AGCCAATCTACGGCAGAAAACCGGTCAACATGGGTGGAGCATTTCACAACTCATTATATCATGACAGAAAGATCAACCAGTTACATGATCACAGTGTCAGAAAGTTTGGTGAGTTTCAGATTCAACAATGATATCACTCATATCAGGGTCGACAATATGAACCAGCAAAGCACAACCTGAGTCATCCGGATAGAGTTATTGGTGCATTTGAAATTCATCCAACAGATGATTGCCATCAATTTGACAACTTGGATCACATATTCAGAAGCCATGAATTCCACTTATGTTTTTGTTTAACATTTCTGGTTATATGTAGATCAGTGCCTCATCCAGCCAATCAGAGCACTGAATGTAGTGTGACAAATTACCAGCAAGTGGCTGGTGGACGTCAGTCCAGGTTTTTTCATATAGATCAATGTTTATTGCAGAGATCTGCTTTACCAAGATCAATTTTTATTTATTTTTGTAGCAGAAGATGTTGAAAAATCTCTCCTAAATGAAATTTCGTTTGTGGAATCCAACAGTGGAACTAGAAAAAGAGGTGAAGAAACACCAACAAAGTCATCTACCATTACAAAACCAAACCATTTTAAAACCTCCATTCCTAAACCTGGCAAAAAGACAACTGAACGCTCTGAAGAAAAGTTGAAATCATTTTATCGGCACAATAAAGATCCTCAACGCACATCAGACAAGCATCTGCCTCAAAATAGTCCTAGAAAGAAAGTTATGAAAAGCGCTACCCGTCCATCGTCATTGGGTTTGTCAAAGGGAAATGGTTTTAACTCGCCTTCAGAATTGCGCAAAAACTCTACAGACTCTTCGAATACAGATAGACTTATGAGGAAAAGTCCTACTGGAATTGAAATGATAAAGCAGGATTCTCGTAACATTTGTAACTCGATCGACAAACACACTGGTCTTAGGTCTACTCAACCGTCAATAGTTAGACCCTCAAGAAATGCTACAAGTCCTCGTTATAATAAAGATGTTGAAAAGAAGAGACAGATTAGCTCTCAAAAGGAAATACGTCCTCAAAACTTGCTACTTTTCTCACGAAGTTTCGCGTACCGGTACTTTAAACAAGCCACGCCCTGCCGACGTTGTCTACGGGCCTACGAGTGTCAAAGCCTCTCCAAGATCTCCAAGAATTAGTGCAAGCGAAGAGCTTCAGAGAATCATAGATTTTTCCGAGAAAAACAACAAGCAAGCTCTCAGGAAAGATCATTACCTCAACGGTAAAGCTTCTAAAAAAGATATAAATCGTCAAAATTATGGAGTAACGACGTCGGACGATTTTCACTCCAAAAGAACACCTATTACTAGTACTTCTATAAGAGACCATAGTTATCCTACGAGATTAACATCTCGGGATTTGCCCCCTACGAGATTAGTGCCATCGGAAAGGCATTATCAGCAAAGTTCACCTCGGAATGGGAACCTTCTTTTAAACAACTATAGAAGCGTTTCCTACGAGAGAAATCCCCCAGGGAGAAGAGTCCCCTGGAATTCTGATCCAAACAAGTCTGTTCCAGTTGGTAGAATCCGTTATGATAAACTTGGATCCAGGTTGCGAACTAAATCTGCGCCTGGCATAGCAAGAAACGCGTATAATGCAAGGATAGTCCGAGACGCTGATTATGCTAATGAGAGGAAGATTTTAGATGCTAGTTATGCTGACGAGAGAGAAAGTTTGCTCGAGGACACGGATTCAGTGGATACAGAAGCGCTAATAATTAAACCACCGATGCCGCTATTCGATGTCAGCCCTTCGCTATCCACTGTCAGTCCAGAAAGTGACGCGAGTTCAGAGGAAAGTGGAAACACGATGATTGAAAATCTCGCGTTGAGGACTTCATTATTAGCCACTGACACTGATCTCCAGTCATCAGGAACAAGTTATAAAGATTTGCCTATTTTACCTCGAAATGACGAAGAACAGACACCGGAATGGAGAGATGATGATTCATCCAGTGCAGAGTATGTCAAATACCGGTCATCTTTCAACAGGGGCCTCTATTTTTAGTTACCCATCCTACTGTCTCAATTTCTGAGCTAATTTCGAAACATTGTTGAAAAATGTTGTTTCCTAACAATGTGTAATCATGTTGACAAAAGCATGAGCATACTTTGGGAAACAACAATGAAAAACCTGAAGATAAGTTATGTTTGATGATCCTCATTGCTGTTTCTTGCGTTTAAATGTTTACACTTGAACCAAGAATGATCAGAAACAGAAGAAAATAGGAAACGATGTTTTGAAAACATAAATCACACTTGGGAACATGAAATGCTTCTTAATCTGATAGGGGAACATCTTTACTTCTTAGGAGATTCATGGTGTTTTCGTGACCATATTTCCCCAGGTGGTCAGAAACATCGCGAATCGCAGATGTTCTCGCAAAAATGTCGACCCCTAATTTGCCCAAGGCTTTGTAAACAATAATAAATTGTGTTTTCGTGACCATATTTCCCCAGGTGGGCAGAAACATCGCGAATCGCAGATGTTCTCGCAAAAATGTCGACCCTTATTTCGCCCAAGGCTTTGTAAACAGTATCCCTCCCCCAAAACGCAACTCTTCTTCAACCTTGACCTAGCTATGCCTTCATATCAATCAGGCTTTCTACTCAGCTGTTTTTAATTACCAACATATATCTAGCACATCAAACCGTCCTAACAAGCCTGGTATCATTGCTTCCTTTATTGAAGACTGCATGACCAGCAGTCTTGAGGTAGGATAAAGTCGCTTCTTTCAAAATATTGTTTGGAATAGATTATCTGCTGCATGTAAACACTTGCTATCCTGAAGGATCATGTTTTTTAACACGTCATATTCTTTTGTTTTGTCATCAAGAGTGTTTCAGACATTGCACCACCAGAACGTCATAGCAAGTTTCCTGAATATTCGGGCGAAGGGCAATCATCGTTTATGGAGGAAAGTTCTGACAGACCTGTTGAGACCTTGAAGAAGATGTTATTCACCGTACAACGTCTGGCTAATTCCAGTGAAGAAGATTCTGGCGAAGATGCAAACAATCATTCCTTTGAGACGCAAAGCGAGACATTAACTGAAGGTGAATAGTTTTATGAATATTCCTGTATACTCTTTCCACAACTTAAGCCCCGTTTACACTACAGTCAATTTATCGGCACGGCACGGCTAAAATTGGTACCCGTACCCAATTTTATTAGTGTTCAGGCTACCAAAACAAAGGCCGAGCACAGATGAAATGGGTACGGGTACCTATTTTAGCCGTGCCGTGCCAATAAATCGAGTGTAGTGTAAACGGGGCTGTAGGCTTCAGGTGAAAACTTTGCGGAGAGCTTAGGCCCTAGTTATATCATACCGGATTTGCATGGTCGCAACATTAAAGCGAGTTTACCCCCCACCCTCAGAAAAAGTACAATAGCGTGATTACTTTAACATAATCTGTCATATGAGAAAGTTCAGGTACAGGGATATCTTAAACACTCGTGAGCATGTGGATCCGGTATAGTGTAGACAAGGATCTCATCATGGAGTAGAATATTCTGTTTTTGCGGTCAGTGAAGGATTTCGTGTATAATTAGCGATATTGACAACAATGTTGATAACAGTCGAGCGGAAATGGCGGGCGTGTTAATAATTGTTGTAATGGTCTGTTTAATTTAAGAAGTGCTGTCGGAGATTTTATCAACCGCAAGTCGTAATGAGGGTCAGGACTCTCTCTCCAGGTAAGCTTTTTATGGAAATTTCTTTCAAGATGATGGAATAGAAGAATGATGTTGAAATCTCTCAGAATAACGAGCTTTTTTCTTCTCATGTTCCAGGGCATATTATCATCTCGCGAGGCTAAAAAGACTTGTATCAGCAAGCCAGGAAGTGGCTGAATGGAGGTGACTGACTTTGCATGCTTGACACAGAAGTTGCGCTCAGCAAAGAAACATCACTACAACATTTCCTCACAGGAAGCTGGAGTTCTACCTTCAGAGAAGACAAGCCGAGACGCATTCTGGTTTAATGCGGTGATATGAAATGCTTGAACAAAATGTGTGAATTCGTAGCAGCCTTTTTTTTGTATGAATACTGTTGACAGCAGTAAATACTTGCGCAAGCTCTTTAACCCCACTTTGCAAGTTACTCAGGCAAAAAACGTTTTATAGCTAACTATTCTTTCTTGCCTCTGGACACAGTGGGCACTATCTCAACTGATTATTTCTAATTCATATTTTCTTAGAAAGAACGTGTATAGAACGGAAGCCCCAGTCAGCCTATATTAGTTTCACAGTCGGTTATATTATATATAACTTATATTTTTACACCCCAATATTGCTTCCGTTATAAATAGCAATCCATGTGGCGGTTCAATTAAAGATATCTTATCCTCAAATCTGACACAGTATAATGGCAGTAATCTGCCCATAAACTACTCCAAGGCTTTTACAACCATGCTTTTGCATACCCTCCTAAAACCTGATATCCTTAAGACGTGCCCAATTTCCGTTTATCTGAACAGAATGTAAAAAATAAAGAAGTCACGTCTGCATAAAAGTTTGGCGAAAATTGGCCACATATTGTTTTTTTCACAAAGGCTGTCTTTCAAGCGTACAGTCTTGTGATTTCTTGTGATCTACAATCACCATTGCCTTACAATATCGCATATGCGTTTTTACAGCTATTAACCGCGTGCTGATAACGTGTTATTCAATATACAGTTAGACAGACAAAGATTTGGAAAACAGGAACCTACATCTTCCTTAGAATACCAAGAAGTTCTGTTTCCTATTTGGCAATCGAATATTTGCGTAACTTTAAGACTGCTCGTAAAGCGCCGCCCGTTCAACAAGTAGTTCGAGCGAAATAACTAACAGTCGGTCTATATTTGGAAAGATTTTGTTCGCCTGGCTTGTTTGAAAAAAAAGCAATTCTTTCTGAAGAAATTGCATAATCTCAGTACCATACCACACGTGCTGTGATTGTATCGTATTTGGGTACGCTGTGGCGTTCAAAGTCAAAACATACGCACATTCGGCTACCATTTGATCAAGGCGCTTCCAAAAGCTGACTCTTAATGCACTTTTTAACCTTTTTATACTGCTGGTAAAGACTAAAGAACTTTATCATGATTAGCTTGGTATTCCTGCTCGTCTTTGGAGGAATTTTAGACGGTTTTGAAGCTAATTTCGCTTCCAAGTGTTGCGGTAAGTTTTAAACGTGGCATAATTTTTTTCTAGAGTACTTCATACAGCGTGCATGCATAGTTCATACATACATCGTAACTGTTTCATTTTTAAAACGTTTACATCGTTTCTTTCCTTTTCCAACTATAGAAGGTTAAATTTATGCTTTATATAAAGTAGTTGTCTCGCAAACACTCAGATTATGAAGATGCACAGATTCAAAGACGGATATCCAATAAATCAATAATACCATAAATACTACAATTACAAAAAAAAAGCAATATAACAGTGGTCCGTGATTTTCATTTAATGTTTAATTTGTATTATTTCGATACTCGCTAGCTTCTAAGATCTGTTGAATTTTAATTATACGATATAAAGTAAATAAATACCTCGTGACACATGTTTATTTTAAAAACAGGAAAATATTTACTGTAACTCTCAACTATTAAATACAACGCTAGTTAAAATACCACTGTGCGTTGTAGAAATATATTCTATTGGAGGGGGGCAGATCTAATTTGATTATCCAAAGCAACTTTAAAGAGTCTGTCCACTTTATTTACGCATATTTGTTATATACTGTGTGATTCTTGATAATGCATGTAGGCAGGCTACGCTTTTGATGTTTTGATGGATTTCTCTATACCATATCCTGCCTGTTATTGGGGTCAGGGTAGGGGCAAGGTTCAGGTTAAGATATGTCTCATGGAAGTGGTGTAAAATTCTTAAACAGAAATCAGAAATTCTCTCTAGAGATTTTTAATGTGTTTAGTAACTGGTCATGCATGTCCTATGAGGTCTTGCATATAAACAGGAACAGAGTCCAAAGTTAGCACTTGAAGTTGACCTAAATGTAAATATTTTGTCTTTACCACATCCTGTTAAATAGATCAAGCATTGCAATGCGATAAGTAGTAATGAAATTCCAAACATTGCATAGGTGCAACATAGTAATCTGACCCCTTTATATTATTTTACCATATTCCCTTTTCATATAAAAGTTGATAGAAACATGAATAAGATAACTTGTGTGAGAACTTGCATGGATTTTGGTTGACTCCATCTTTGACACAAAAGATGCCTTAAACTTTTGATCTGTCAATTTAATTTTATTTAACAAACCAATTTTATTCAAATAACTATTTAAATTGACATATGCTTATTGAACACTAGCAATTTATAAATTTGGTATAATATTTTTCCAGGGTCAAGCTGTGCGCACAAGGATTCGTGTACTGATGAGGGTAAAAATCTTTACAAAGGTTACTGTGTAAGCAAATGTCCCATTGGAAATTATGCAAAAGACAACAAATGTTCAAGTTGTCCTTCTTTGTGTTCATCCTGCAGTGGGCAGCCATGCCTCAGCTGCAAGGACTCAAAATTTCTGTGGAAAAATGGAAAATGCGCACCTGTTTGTCCTCAAGATGCAAAACTTGCGAAAAACTCGAGTAGTCCCAGGGTGCGACTTGTTGCAGGGCGATCAAGCTTAGAAGGTGTTGTTGAGGTCTATCATGATGGAGTGTGGGGAACAATTTGTGCAGATGGCTGGACCGATAGCAATGCAGATGTCATTTGCAAGGAATTGAACCTAGGAGCAGTTATGGAGTCCAAAATTGTCCATCAAGACAGGTTTAAAAGACAAGGAGGCTACAAATATGACCGGATTTGGCTGAGTGCTCTCAAATGCAAAGGAACCGAATCTTCAATTTTCAATTGTGACAAAGGTCTATTCTATTCTACTATTGCTTGTCTCCCAGTCTACTTATTCCCTATAAATTTGCTTTGTCCTGAGAAACCTTGAAATACCTTGGCTACTGGTAGTAGGCACTGTCTAATCACAGTTCTTTAACACCTTAAATTATCATTCTTTATGCTAAAGATGAGATTTATATAATAACAGGTATATTGTACTTCCATCTTAGAATGGGATGATAATTCCTGCAGTCATTTGGAAGATGTTGGCATACGATGCAGTGGACCTGACTCAAGCAAAAGATGTGTTACTTCATGTGGCGATGGTTATTTTGAATCAAACGGAAAGTGTTTTGAATGTCCTTTGGACTGTAAGACATGCACTTCACTCGACAAATGTTCCAGTTGTAATGAAGAAAGATTTTTAGAAGGTACACATAAAATATTTGCTGAAATACTGATAGTATTTTAATAAACTGGTCACTATTCAGGGGTTATTTTTATACTCAGTGTAACCCATGCCTAAATTGTAACCCCTCTTCCTTATTCAAATGTACCCCTTTCTCGTCCTAATAAACACCCTAAATCCCCCCTTGTCCTTAACGCACATCATCATTGATCAATTGTATGTAAAAAGTAGCCTTACAAAAACAAAATGTTGTAGTTTACAGAAGGGCTGTGTAACAGGGTGGTGGAAGATCCTTATGTTGTGGAGGGGTGGGGTGGTGTGTGGGAGGGGTGTGGGTGGTGTGTGGGAGGGGTGGGGGTGATGTGTGGGAGAGGTGGGGGTGATGTGTGGGAGGGGTGGGGGTGCTGTGTGGGAGGGGTGGTGGTGCTGTGTGAGAGGGGTGGGGTGATGTGTGGGAGGGGTGAGGGTGGTGTGATGTGTGGGAGGGGTGGGAGTGCTGTGTGGGAGGGGTGGGGGTGATGTGTGGGAGGGGCAGGGGTGGTGTGTTGGTGGTGTGGTGTGTGGGAGGGGTGGGGGTGATGTTAGCAGACTCTAAAAACAATCAATTTAAAAAGAAACCAATGCTGAACATTGTATCTAAATATAGATGCTGTTCTCGTATTTTGTAGCATTATGAATTGATCTTTTCCATTCAGCCACCATCACTATGTTTCTCGTTCTTAGGAGACTCGTGTGTCGCTGAATGTAAGCCAGGCACTTTTGGTGACAGTAAAACTCTCAAATGCAAGCAATGTCCTGACGAATGTGAGACGTGCATTGATTCAGGATGCAAAAGTTGCAAATACGAAAAGTTCTTAATTGGTGGGAAGTGTGTGGACAAGTGTTCCAGCGGTGTTTCGTACAGTAAATATCTTCGTTTATCTGGAAACCATAGCTCACCGTACATGGGCTTACTCGAAGTGAAGTACCAAGGTGAATGGCACACTGTCTGTGACGATTTGTTCTATCTTCGTACAGCGAGAGTATTCTGTCGCGAGCTTGGCTATGGTGAGCCAATCAAGTACCGTAATACAGGATTTGGAATGGGAAAGGGACGCATACTTACTCGAAATGTTCTTTGTCTTGGATTTGAGAAAAGTTTTCTGGATTGTTCTCAGTCAGAATGGTTCTCGCCTGGTTGCTCCCACCATGAAGATGTTGGCTTATCATGTCAACCACCGATTAAAGGACCGTCTGTTCTTCCACATCGATGTATGGAGGACTGTCCGGATGGAACCTTTCAGAACAAACAGAATCAATGTGAACTATGCAATCGGAAATGCTTGACTTGCGCCAAAGGTCCTGAAAGCTGTTTAGATTGCAGGAAAACGTTCTTTCACAATGGTACAACATGTGTAAGAACTTGTCCTGATGGTACCTACCCTAATACCACGGTTCGTGCTTGTCTATCATGCAATAAAGAATGCATGACCTGTGACGGTCGACCAGATGTATGTCTTTCTTGTGTTCCACCCTTAGTCCAAAAGGGATCTTATTGTGGTAAAAAGTGTCCTGACGGTACGTACCAAAAGGAATACACTTGTGTAGAGAACTGTGGGTTGTGGCATTATCATGGAAAAGACAAAATGTGCCATACATGCCCGCCGAATTGTATCATGTGTAGTTCGGACGGTAAGTGTAAAGCATGTAAAAATGGTTTGGTCTTTACAAAAGATGGGAAATGCAGCACGAGTTGCCCACGTGGACAATATTCAACGCCAGTAGAACCATCATCTGTGGGTATCGACATGCAGTTGAGGTTAACAAGCGTTGAAGGTTTCAAATACAAAGGACGGTTGGAGATCAAGCATCAGGGTGTTTGGGGGAGTATATGTGACGACGGATGGGGCTATCAAAATGCAGTGGTCGCATGTCGACAGCTCCTGCTGGGACCTCCAGTTCAAATTGTATATCTCCGCTCTTATCGGTTTGTAAATATGAAGATTTTGCTTGACGATGTTAATTGTAAGGGTAATGAAGACAGCCTTACCCAATGCGAAGTCCCTGGTTGGGATCGCCATAACTGTGCTCACTCTGAAGATGTTCATATTGAATGTTCTCCTCCTGGCCTCTCAAGATGCGACGTGGAATGTCCGCCTGCTTACTTTGTCAATGGTTCAAGCTGTTCACCTTGTTCTGTTAATTGTTCAAGCTGTACTGGTTCCGCTAATAACTGTTCTTTGTGTAAGGAAGGGTCCTTTCTTGCTAACGATGGCTCGTGTGTTACGAATTGTCCACCAGGATTTTATCCAAGTGACAAAAAACATTGCAAGGCATGTCATTCAAGATGTTGGACATGCGATGGCGAGAAGATTAAAGATTGTACCTCGTGTAAACCACCTTATTTTCTTTTGCTTGGTGGGTGTGTTCTCAATTGTACAAAAGAATTCTACAAAAGAAGTAGTAACCCCTTTGTAGAGTTATGGGGGAAAGTTGGACCGTATGAAGGCGTTGCTATGGTATGTATATATTATAAGCCTGGTTAGATCATGCAGAGGTGGTACGTGTTCTTGAATGAGAGCTACCTTAAAGTGATCTGATGTTGTACAGAACTCATGTGAGTAGAGTTAAGTCTCTCCTGTGTTCTCTCTCAGTTGACTGAGTTAAGCATGGTTAGATCATGCAGAGGTGGTACATGTTCTTGAATGAGAGCTACCTTAAAGTGATCTGATGTTGTACAGAACTCATGTGAGTAGAGTTAAGTCTCTCCTGTGTTCTCTCTCAGTTGACTGAGTTAAGCATGGTTAGATCATGCAGAGGTGGTACATGTTCTTGAATGAGAGCTACCTTAAAGTGATCTGATGTTGTAGAGAACTCATGTGAGTAGAGTTAAGTCTCTTCTGTGTTCTCTCATGACCAAAAGCTTCTTTTGTTTTAGGTAACAATGAAAGGAAAAAAAGGATTTGTCTGCAGTAGATATTTGCGTGTTGAACAAGGCAATGTTGTTTGCAAAGAACTTAATATGGGACATGCTGAGAGAGTGTATTCAAGGTCGATGTACCGGCATTGGCTTATCCCGTTGTTGATAAAGAATCCTGTATGCACTGGTAAGGATAAGGTTTAACCGTTATTACTTTAGGGAGAAATTTTAACCATATTCTTGAAGTAGTTGGATGTTATTGTCAACCGCATTTAAATCATTTCTCATACATATAGGTAACGAGTCCTCCATTTTACAGTGCCCAGTTCAAAAATATCTTCGCTATTGTTCCAGACGAAGTATTTTGGCTGTTAAATGCAGTGGTCCAGACTTGATTAGAAAGTGTTTGGAGAGGTGTCCAACGGATGGTCACTTCTACATCAATAACGCCAATCACGAAAAGACTTGTGATCATTGTTCAGAAAACTGCTTACGATGCGAAATAAATGCTACCAATTGTATATCATGTCCTGAAGGTTTGAACTTTTTTCATTATGTTTTGGGATTATAGGACGATGATGATGGCGGTGGCCATGGTGATGACGATGGCGTTGATGATGATTATGGTGATGGCGTTGATGATGGCGATGGCGTTGATGATGGCGATGGCGTTGTGGTGACGATGACGATGGCGTTGATGATGACGATGGCGTTGATGATGGCGATGGCGTTGATGATGGCGATGGCGTTGATGATGGCGATGGCGTTGATGATGACGATGGCGTTGATGATGGCGATGGCGTTGTGGTGACGATGACGATGGCGTTGATGATGGCGATGGCGTTGATGATGGCGATGGCGTTGTGGTGACGATGACGATGGCGTTGATGATGGCGATGGCGTTGATGATGGCGATGGCGTTGATGATGGCGATGGCGTTGATGATGACGATGGCGTTGATGATGGCGATGGCGTTGATGATGGCGATGGCGTTGTGGTGACGATGACGATGGCGTTGATGATGACGATGGCGTTGATGATGGCGATGGCGTTATGGTGACGATGACGATGGCGTTGATGATGACGATGGTTTTGATGATGACGATGACGATGGCGTTGATGATGGCGATGGCGATGACGATGGCGTTGATGATGACGATGGCGATGACGTTGATGATGACGATGACGATGACGATGGCGTTGATGATGGCGATGGCGTTGTGGTGACGACGACGATGGCGTTGATGACGATAGTTTTGACGATGGCGTTGATGATGGCGATGGCGATGGCGTTGATGATGACGATGACGATGGCGTTGATGATGACGATGACGATGATGATGGCGATGGCGTTGTGGTGACGATGACGATGGCGTTGATGATGGCGATGGCGTTGATGATGGCGATGGCGTTGATGATGGCGATGGCGTTGATGATGACGATGGCGTTGATGATGGCGATGGCGTTGATGATGGCGATGGCGTTGTGGTGACGATGACGATGGCGTTGATGATGACGATGGCGTTGATGATGGCGATGGCGTTATGGTGACGATGACGATGGCGTTGATGATGACGATGGTTTTGATGATGACGATGACGATGGCGTTGATGATGGCGATGGCGATGACGATGGCGTTGATGATGACGATGGCGATGACGTTGATGACGATAGTTTTGACGATGGCGTTGATGATGGCGATGGCGATGGCGTTGATGATGACGATGACGATGGCGTTGATGATGACGATGACGATGATGATGACGATGACGATGGCGTTGATGATGACGATGGCGTTGATGATGATGATGACGATGGCGTTGATGATGGGGATGGCGTTGATGATGGCGATGATGATGACGATGGCGTTGATGATGACGATGACGATGGCGTTGATGATGATGATGACGATGGCGTTGATGATGGCGATGGCGTTAATGATGGCGATGGCGTTGATGATGGCGATGGCGTTGATGATGGCGATGACGTTGATGATGACGATGGCGTTGATGATGACGACGGCGATGGCGATGGCGTTGATGATGGTGATGGCGTTGATAATGGCGATGATGATGATGATGACGATGGCGTTGATGATGATGATGATGATGACGATGGCGTTGATGATGACGGTGTTGGGGGTCGGACGATGACGATGACTAACTGCGTTTATTTTTTTAAGGTCAAATTTTAACCTGGGACAAGAAATGCGTGTCTTACTGCCCTGAAGGAACATTTTTCCATAAGAACAAATGTGAAAAATGTGAAAGTACATGTCTGGCTTGTTACCAAAACAAACAAAATTGTATCACCTGTGCTCATGGAAGATACGTTAAAGCCGGCAACTGTCTCGATAAGTGTGAAAACATTGGATGGCCAAGAGTGGGCTCACCTTCTGTGAGGTTAGTTCGTTATTCGTCTATGACGAGATCTCCTGCAAACGCCTCACTGGGAGTAGTCGAGATGTTTGTGGATGGCAATTGGTTTCCAGTGTGTGGAATCAACTGGGACATACGAGCCGCTGCTGTTGCATGCCGGGAACTGGGATATGGTGATCCAATCAAAATAATCTCGGGACCTAGTTCTTTGAATGGTTACACGAGGAAACTAATAAAAAAGTTGAATTGCACTGGAAGAGAAAACACATTGAGTAAATGCGGTCGAAGTATGTATTTATGTAGTTTTTTTACCTGATATTGGAAAGATTTAAATTTGACCTACGGCTCCCGTCATATTGATGTGATATTTCGTACTGACGGCATAGGCTTGTCGACCATCTGACCTTCTTATTCATACTTTAGTTGGTGTCCTGGGTAACTATCACGTACAAGTGTGTCAGTGCTTACTATACCGTGTTCAGAATTCGCGTCTTCAAGTATTACTATTTTGATTCGCATCTTCAAGTATTATTATTTACAAAACAATTTGAGTTGGGATTTTCTTGTTTTTTTCCTGGCAAAAAAGTTGAAGGAAGTCTTAAAATGTATTAGCGATATTGAGATGTAAATATGCCATGTTCTCATATTTTGTTTTCGTTTATAGTTGGTTCCTGTGAATACTTCAGACTCGCTGGTGTTCAGTGCAGCCGCGCCACACCAAAGAAAGAATGTGTGAAGTTAGATAAACCTTGTGGAACAGGTTTCTTTAGAAATTATAATAAAGAAGAGTGCCAAGCTTGCTCCAGTGACTGCATTACGTGCTCAGGCACCGCCAGTCATTGTACTTCATGTAACTATACGCATGTCTTGCACGGTTCAAAATGCCTCGAAGAATGTCCCGATGGATATTATATTGATCTGGAGATGAAAACATGCAAACGATGTAGTGATAGGTGCAAGACGTGTTTTGATGGAGTAAGCAACGATAAATGTTCATCCTGCAATAAACCTTATTTCCTACGTAAGTAAAGGATAAAGAATGAATGAAGGAATGAATGAATGAATGGAAAATGGTTTGGTCGAATAAGAGTAAGGAAGAATGGTTAGAGGGGAATGGGTAGGGTAGGGGTCAAAGAAGAGGAGAGTAAGGATGATTAGAAGGGAAGGGGTAGGGTAGAGGTCAAAGAAGAGGAGACTAAGGAAGAAAGGGTAGATAGAGGAGGGGGAGGGTAGAGGTCAAAGAAGAGGAGAGTAAGGAAGAAAGGGTAGATAGAGGAGGGGTCGTGATCCAGATTAAAGTTGGGAGAGTAAAGAAAGAATAAGAAGACAGGGTGACAATGATGTAGGAAAAGGGAGAGATGAGTGAATTTAGAGAGTGGAGGAAAAAAAGAAGCAGAAAGAAAGAACAATGAAATGATTATTAAACGTTCACTTATCCATCAATATTTTAGGTGACACTTCCTGTGTGGACTCGTGTTATCCTGATCGTACCTTAGAAGACCTCATGAGAAATAAACCGCCTGCAAGTGTTCGTTTAATAAATGGTTCAAACCCTCGAGAAGGGTTTATTCAGTTGAAGAAAAATGATGGTGCATGGGGGAATATTTGTTATATGAATATATTTGTCCGCAATCTTGTGTGTCAAGAACTAGGCTTTCAAAGTGCTTCCATCCTGCGCAGCGCAGTCGCTTATGACCGTAAGTAGAACTGGGACGATTGTCAGTGTTATTTACTTACTTACTTATTGAATTCTTTACCTTGTATATCAAAAACACCTTGTTTATATAATGATTTTTCTCTTAAATGCCTCGGTGCAGATCTATTGTGATATCATAACTGACACCTGGGCTTGTTTATACGAGGAGGCTTTAAGAAATGCAGGAGGTTTTAGCCCGTAAAGAAGATGCGTTTGTGACATCAATCTGTGTAACAGTGTGATATAGATATTCTTTGTTTCTTTTCATAGTGTCCAACGTTTGGTCGATCACCTGTAGCTCTTACAAAAGTTCCCTAAAGGACTGTTCTGTCGTCCCATTAAGATGGTGTACTTCGAGATCCTTCATTGCTTGCTCAAAGAGACGACTCGATAAACGAGTTTGTCGAAAGGTGAATAAGGTTCCGTGTTCGCCGACTGTCTGTGCCAGGGCAGCACCGTGTGTTGATGGAGATGACAAGGTCATTCCTACAGGCCATTCATTTTGCAGGAGTTGCCCTCCAAATTATTATGGTGATGGTGATAATTGTACAGGTATGGTGTGGTTTGTGGGCATATCTTCATAACTCTCCTGACGAAGGCCCTCAGGTCGAAGAAGTGTTCTTGTCTATTTTAGGCAGTTGTTATGCCACATTTAATGCTAACATATCTTGATAACATTTGATGCACTATTACTACAAGTGAAAACCATTTTTTATACTAGATAGCTCTATCAGTTCTAAACTGTTCTTCCTAGAGGTCCAGTGAGGATCATCTCTTATTGATCCAGTGTTACTACAGGAAGAAAGCTGAAAATGACGATGATAATCTTTTGTTTCTATATTCATAATTCTAGCTATCTCCAAAATCTTACCTTCAATAACCATTCCTTTTGTGAACAAACGCACACCCCTTGGACTACCCTTGTACTTGCGTTGTTACGGTCGAACCTCTCGTGCTTTCCTAACTGCAAATCGCTACAGCTGGTACAAGGATGGAAAGAGATTGAACGTACCACACTCCTCGTTTCGGCGCCCTATTTTTTTACGTGCGCATTATCGAGATGCTGGTATTTATACATGTGTTTTGCGCACATCTGTTGGTTCAACCACGAAGACCTTTAATGTCACAGTTGTAGGTAAGAATTGCAGATAGATTGTACCTCGTCTTTCTGTTTATTTCGATCACAACACTGCCGCCTTGTACAACATCAGATCACTTTAACATGTACCACCTCTGCATGATCTCACCATGCTTAACTCAGTCAACTGAGAGAGAACACAGGAGAGACTTAACTCTACTCACATGAGTTCTGTACAACATCAGATCACTTTAAGGTAGCTCTCATTCAAGAACATGTACCACCTCTGCATGATCTAACCATGCTTAACTCAGTCAACTGAGAGAGAACACAGGAGAGACTTAACTCTACTCACATGAGTTCTGTACAACATCAAATCACTTTAAGGTAGTTCTCATTCAAGAACATGTACCACCTCTGCATGATCTAACCATGCTTAACTCAGTCAACAGGATACTGGCAGGGAAATATAAGTCGTTTCTAACAATGAAGTATTTATATCACTTCTAAATGAAAGTGTGATAACATTATGACTCGAAGTCGTGTTATTTCTAGGTGCACCGTTGATAGAGAAAGCAGATAATGTCGATGCTGTAATTGGAGACTCGGCCATGTTGGAGTGTAAAGTTTTTGCTAACCCCCCGGCCACTCTCGAGTGGGTTTTTAATAATATTACTTTAAATGAAAATAGCACTAGTGACGGGGGGCCGAGGGTTCTGAAAAATGGTTCTTTGTGGATAAATCAGACAAAGGCAAAGCATGCTGGAAATTACTCGTGTATTGCGAAAAATTATATCCGGACAGTTGTCGAAGTTATTAGATTACGAGTTGGAGGTAACGTGTTTTGTCTTAATCTTAATCTTCGTCTTAATCTTTGTTGTAATCCTGGTCTTAATCTTAATTTTTTTTCTTAATTTTAATTTTTTTTCTTAATCTTAATCTTTATTTTAATTTTTATCTTAATCTGGTCTTAATCTTGTCTTTTTCACTCCAGAGGAATTACGATTTGAGAGAAAAGGAAACACTGCCGTTGTTTCAAAAGGGGGGAATGCGAGGTTATCTTGTGTGCCTCACAAGTCAGATTCATCCTGGTCGATAATTTGGCGTCGTAATGGCAAGACACTGAAAACAGTTGGTCGTTATAAAGTACTGGAGGGTTCGCTGACTATCCAGGATGTTAACAGCGAAGATTGTGGACAGTATTATTGCGTAGCAAAGGATACAAGCTCGATTATTACCAGCATAGCGACGGTGGTGATTAAAGATGGTGAGTTATACAGGTCCTTGATTGACTAATTTGTTTTCACTCCAGGTCATGTTTCTGAAGTATAGTGAGAATGAATCAATCTTTACTGGATAGCTCTGTCAATTCTAAACTGTTCATCCTTTATCCAGTGTTACTACAGGAGGGAAGCTAAACTAAACTAACTTTATTTATACTGGAAAGCTCTATCAGTTCTAAACTGTTCTTCCTAGAGGTCTAGTAAGGATCATCTCTTATTGATCCAGTGTTACTACAGGAGGAAACCTAAACTAAACTAACTTTATTTATACTGGATAGCTCTATCAGTTCTAAACTGTTCTTCCTAGAGGTCTAGTAAGGATCATATCTTATTGATCCAGTGTTACCACAGGAGGAAACCTAAACTAAACTAACTTTATTTATACTGGATAGCTCTATCAGTTCTAAACTTTTTTTCCTGGATAGCTCCATTAGTTCTAAAATCATCCTCGTAGAGGTGCAGTAAGGATCATCTCTTATTGATCCAGTGTTACTACAGGAGGAAACCTAAACTAAACTAACTTTATTTATACTGGATAGTTCTATCAGTTCTAAACTGTTCTTCCTGGATAGCTCCATTAGTTCTAAAATGATCATCATAGAGGTGCTGTAAGGATCATTCCTTTTTTTTCACTCAAACATATTTCTTATTCAATCCTTTTAGATCCCCCATGTATCCACACGCGACCTCAAAACCTTCATCTGGAGGATGGAATGTATGCAAGATTTTACTGTGCAGCCAGTGGTGAGCCAACACCGCAGATATTCTGGCAAAACGAGGTATGAAAAATGTAAATTTTCCTCTACCAAATGAGGCTTGATGATCCGATAAAGTCATGGAACAAGTGTGGTAGGAACCTGCAGTCTTCATAACCTCGATAACAGATCTCAAAAGCTGTGTACCATTTTACATTTACTCTTTATATTTCTCACCGTGGTTTTTCTGTCTTTATGATCTGCAGACCAAAGCCAGCAATGTTTTTGAGATCAAGAAAGTGGACATATCTCACGTCGGTGTCTACAAATGCTCGGCTCGAAGCGGGGATAAATTCAACGAGGCTTTTGCTTTTCTCAGCGTTAATGATCATCATGGTACGTGGTGTAATATCTCTCATCATAACTTGTGAAAACTCTCCATAATTTGCCCAAGGAAGACCTTCCTAGTGGAAGGCTTGTAGCGTTCTCTGTTGTGTTTTCTCTGTATTGTTCATATATTTTGCCAATTCATATTCCGCTTGGCACTCGGTCTATAAAATCGATTTGATAAACTATTATCATTGTATCTCTAGCTTGATTCTGTAAGGAATTATAAAAACATGTTGTCAACTTATGCTTCCTGTAGCTAGCGGTTGCTACCTCTCTGCCTTTTTGGAACAAACCAAAGCTTTCGAAAGTGTTTCTCTCGGTTGAGAAAAATTTGTGTCATTTCAGCTTGTCCGTATATTTTTGAAAAGCCGAAAAGCACGTCAGTGATGCCCGGCCAGACGGTGGTATTTCATTGCAAAGCTGTGGCCGACACCAGTTCGACCATTGAGTGGCATCGTAATGGTCATCGCATTGTCAGTAGCGATAAATATAAGATTGAAGATGGTGGGAGAAAGTTGACTGTAAACAACGTGAAAAAAGATGATCTTGGAGAGTACAAATGTGTCGTAAAGGACAAATATGGTGAAACAACTGCTACAGGCTCTGTCAATGCTTTGAATGGTAATATTCAACACTTGTAACGTGAAAATCGTCATTTTAAATTTAAGCCAGAAAGCTTGTTTGAATATGTTTTTATTTAACACGCGTTCAAATCAGTTTTGTTTCAGGTAACTTTAGTACGAAACACATAACATTCGTGTCTTTCTGTTTAACTGCAGCTGAAGCTTTCAAAGTCTCTAGTTCATCTCCAAACACGGCCGGGATAATCATTGGTGTCCTTGTGTGTATCCTTGTGATCATAATAGTCCTTTACTTCGTCCATCGTTACCGTCGCTATGGAGACACGCCAGCCTCCGTCATCAGTGACGTCAAGCGGAAAACCGTATCTCGATTCCAGTCTTCGCAGTCTCACACGGTGCTGAAAAACGATACGACGGCGTTGGTTGAGGATAATGATGATGACGCTTATGACGACAATCCTGATGCCAACCCATTCGTGAGAGACTGAGAACGATACTTTAGGTTTGTAGCTAACGATGAGGTAACTAAACCACTGATCTCAAGTAATATTCTGGATTGTTACCACCAAAAGGTGTCTAAAAACCTTATGTCACCTTAATTTTGCTTTGATATGCCGCTGACAGCCATTGAGTTCAATCAAAATTCATGCATACTAACAAACATAAGGCTAATTTAATATCAGTCAAATGCACGGATAACCGGATTTTTTTCTGACTGAACACGCTAGAAATATTTAGCCACTTTTGTGCAGTATAGATGATCTCTTTTAGTAAAGGTCTGCACGTCTTTTGAAACGATATCTTCTTGGTAGTATGTATGAGTTGTGAAGATAGTTACCTTCGATTTTTTTTGTAGATAAATAATATTTTGGTATGTATTATATTCTGGCACATGTGTACAACATATCAATTTTTTAATACTAGTATTTAATACAAGTATTAACGATTAAATCGTTCAAATTCTCTCAAAAATTTGTATTCTTTTACACAACGTTCACAAGCGTATCGAGACTTGTGAGGCCTTTTGCAGAAGGACGAAGGAAAATGGAACAGTATGTATCAAATATTTTAAGTAAATAACGTAAAGAAATTGATGAAGTAGACAAAGTGATGATATCTTTTGATAAACTAACCTCGTAGCAAGGTTTTTTGTGGAAGGAAATACCTGACTTCCTGCAGACATTCAGATGTCCACCTCCCAAACTGAATTGTACGTGCGGCAGAGATGGGAACAAATTAAACTTGTTTTTAATAAACGGCGCTAAAATTGGCTTCATTCCATTTCCTTGAGAAATACACGAAGTTTGATTACTTCCTTGAAGCAAAATACGATTCATAAATCATAATCATTTTATTACAATACAAACGGTTTCATATTTCCTGGTTGACACAAATTTCCAAATATTCGAGTGCTTTGTACATTTTGTTTTGGGAAAAAACGCTGGCATCTATAAAATAGTTCATTAATATGAGTGAAATTACTGTCAAACGTACTTTAACACGACGACTTTATTCCGGTTAGAAACGGAACTCTGGTTTGTTTAGTTTTGTGTCGAAAGCGTGTGTCGTTCACCGGGAACACGTGGTATCAATCGTGGCAACGTTTGTCTCCAGCACACCGCAATTGACGAAAACTAATGACCAGTGAGTATAAAATCACCGTAATCTTTAAATCTGCTTTTTAAGCTTTCTTACTCCGGGTGAACCTCAATCGAGGATGGTGATCATGACTGGCGTGTTCATCTGGATGGTGTTTGGTGGAATCTTCGCTGGATTCAAACCCGTTTTCACGGCCAGCTGTTGTGGTAAGTTATCGTATAAACATTCTATTTCTGGGTGCTCTTTATAAAACCGTCTCGCTAAAGCCGTTAACCATTTTGAATTTGGGGTGCGAAATAAAAGTAGCAACTTCGGAGATTGGTAGAAATTAAATACGTATGTTATATTAGCGGTATTTACGTTTGGTATTCCATAGGTTTGGTAAGTATATATATGTGGGATAGTGGTGCTTTTGTAGGCCCTAATTATAAGTTTGACCTCGACTCGACCAAATAAATGCGCCCGAAGTGAAATATTTGCGTGTAATTTGCAGATATTGCGAAAATGTGGTCATTCTGAATCGTGTTATGGGTAAAATAAACGAGAAAACAAACGCAATTAGTCGCACGCTCTTAATTCGCACCTCATTAGAATGATCACGCATTAACATATTTCCCGATTTCATGGGGGTATATTTGAGGATGTTTATTCTGACGTAATCACGGACGATTTTTGTTTTTTGTTCTTTCCCTCTATATGAAAATAACCAAGCTCTTGTGCTTACGAAGGCTTGTGTTTATACTAAATAGTAACTACCTTCAGTTATTAAATTTTACGTGATATATCTTTAGACTTTAGGATACTTATTATTTGATACAGTTTCCCCGTTAAAAACAGTTAAATATGCACGAATATACCACTTTTTAAGTTTGAAATAGATGATGAAGTATGTTAGCGTTTCGTTCTAGTAATCTGATAATAACAAACTCAGAATACATCTGATTATCGCCGAAATTTATGGCGCGCCTTCGGGCTGACAGACGCCTGAAAAGTATCTATAATTGATTGGATTTAAATGAAAGTCAGACATATGTAATATGTTGTATCATTTGACAGTTCCAATTGCGTTTTCCTAATCGGGCTAAGATTCGTAAACAAGACCCCTCATGAGACAAACTAACTCAAATATGTTTACATTACCATGGCTTGCACAACACGTATATTAATTCGAAACAATTGATACAAAAAAATTGCAATTTTGATGTCACAAAAAATTTCATCGGAGAAAAAAATAGAACCTATGAATGTAACAATGTTTGTAAACATATAGACGGCAGCCTCCGACCAGAAACATTTGAAACTAGAAAAGTTGGGAAAATTTTTATGGAATTTTACAAAAATTTGGGCAATTTTCAGGAAAGTCGGCAATTTGTACTCGTGAGTCGGGATCTTTCAAAACATTAAAAAGTTTTAGCCGCGCTCGGCGCTCCTCTAATATGATTGAATAAGAAGAGAATTAAAAATGTTAACACGTTGAATTACGATAGGTGCATTTTGAATTTGGCCTATTTTGGGTTGTATTCTAAGACAGGTCTGTCATTCACATCCGTAGAGGAGTAAGATTCTGCGTAATTGTTGCACGTTCCCCCACTGCGCTCTTGAAAGCCCTACGTATAAAGCTTGGTTTTATTACTAATCTAATTGTAATTCCACTTCAGTAATTTTATACTTAATAACGCCTACTCTAGATCGATTTTAAGCTCGTATAGTTTTACTTTACCGATTCTCAGCAGGAGATTGGATTGAGATACTTCCTTGTCACGTCTCTTTTCACACACTACCAACTGGGCTGCAAAATTTTCCTAAAAGGCTAAAATATGAGCATTTTCAGTCTAAAATGCGCCCAAGAAATGTCTGAGAGTTACTTTTCATTCCACTTTTAAAGTGAAAAGCTTCGTATTTTTGTGAACACTGCATGTGTATACTTTCTTTGCTGTTTGCATATACGAACTATTAACGAAAAAATACTCAAAAAATAACATCATCCTCGAAACTCAAGATTTGAGTTATTAAACACACAATTAGACGCAGTATTCTGAAGATATTTTGACTTTTTAAAATCATTGTCAAACCTGCATGTATAAATTTCGAAACATCATCAGAATTTAGCGTGTTGTGTGTTTAACAACTCAAATCTTGACTGAGTTTGTACGATATGATATTATTCGGAGTATGTTCGTTTTATATTCCATCCTGTGAAGGATTTTACGATGAAATACGGATAAGATTGACTCTTAATTCCTTCGAAATAACGTATTTTATCGATATTTTAAACCCCTGTGTTCAAAAATAACGAAAAAAAACGTGGTGGAGCTTATCTAAAGTCATCATCCCTAATACGGATACTCGCAAACTGTATGATCCAATTTATCCTCGTATTCTTTCAGAGAACTCCGGTTGTGCCAGAGAGGCGAACTCTGCTATGACGTCTTCTCGCAAGGAATCCTGTAATCTTTACAAAGGCTACTGTGTTAGCAAATGTCCCATTGGATATTATTCAAAAGACAACAAATGTTCAAGTTGTCATTCTCCGTGTTCATCCTGCAGCAAGGATCGATGTCTTAGCTGCAAGGATTCGAAATTTCTATCAAAACATGGAATATGTGGACCTGATTGTCCTCAAGATGCAAAACTTGCAAAAAATTCAAGTAGTCCCAGGGTGCGACTTGTTGCAGGGCGGTCAAGTTTGGAGGGTGTTGTTGAGGTCTATCATGATGGAGTGTGGGGAACAATTTGTGCAGATGGCTGGACCGATAGCAATGCAGATGTCATTTGCAAGGAATTGAACCTAGGAGCAGTTATGGAGTCCAAAATCATCCATGAAGACAGGTTTACGAGGAACGATAGCTACAGGGAAGATAGAATTTGGCTGAGTGCTGTCCAATGCAGAGGAACAGAATCTTCAATTTTCAATTGTGATCATGCAGGTAACTTTATATGGTGAATGTTTGACCCTTGAAGTATTATTACCCCTCATCCCCTTTCGATATTCCTTTTATTCCCCTCAACATCCCCTGAGACTCCTTCACTACCCCAACTACTGTGTAGTAGTTTGTCCATTCTAATATTACAGTTAAAAATATTCCTCACGGCTCACCCCACTCTCGTTATAAGATTCATGTTAAGTTTTCCCTCTCAGAGTGGGGTGAGAATTCCTGCAGTCATTTGGAAGATGTTGGCATACGGTGCAGTGGACCTGACTCAAGCAGAAGATGTGTTACTTCATGTGGCGATGGTTATTTTGCATCAAAGGGAAAGTGTTTTGAATGTCCTCTGGACTGTAAGACATGCACTTCATTTGACAAATGTTTCAGTTGTAATGAAAGGAGATTTTTAGAAGGTATACAAAATAATGCTTATTTCTATCGAAATCGATCTATCAACACTGATGATATTGCCATGATAGATTGATCGTCACCTCGTATCCTCATTTCTAGGAGACTCGTGTGTCGCGAAATGCGAGCCAGGCACCTTTGGTGACAGCAAAACTCTCACATGCAAACAGTGTCCATACGAATGCAAGACGTGCAACGAGACAGCGCAGGGTCCAACGTGCACAAGCTGCAACTCAGACAAACAGGAGATGTTTTTGTATGGTGGCGAGTGTGTAAATCAGTGCCCTGAGGGAGTTGGATATGTAAAATATCTTCGTTTATCTGGAAACTATAGTTCACCGTACATGGGCGTACTTCAAATGATATATGCAGGTGTATGGCGCTCTGTATGTGACTATTACTTCAGTCGGAACACAGCGAGAGTATTCTGTCGCGAGCTTGGTTACGGTGAGCCGATCTCGTTCACATTTACAGCGATTACCCGATATATCGGGGCACCTCTCAATCTTTATTGTTATGGAGACGAAAGGAGCTTCACTGATTGTTACCAATCAGATTGGTTCCACTCTTGGTGTTCTAATCGATATGGAATTCAGTTATCCTGTCAGCCACCGGGTAACCCTCATAAAGTTCCAGAAAACAAATGTTTGAAACAATGTCCAGATGGAACCTTCCATAACAAGCAAAATCATTGTGGATTATGCAATCGCAAGTGCCTGACTTGTGCCAATGGCCCTGAAAACTGTTTAAAGTGTAGAAAACCCCGCTTTCTTCTAGGTACAACATGTGTAAGAACTTGTCCTGATGGTACCTACCCTAATACCACGGTTCGTGCTTGTCTACCATGCAATAAAGAATGCATGACTTGTGACGGTCGACCAGATGTATGTCTTTCCTGTGTACCACCCTTAGTCCAAAAGGGATCTTATTGTGGTAAAAAGTGTCCTGGCGGTACGTACCAAAAGGAATACACTTGTGTAGAGAACTGTGGGTTGTGGCATTATCATGGAAAAGACAAAATGTGCCATACATGCCCGCCGAATTGTATCATGTGTAGTTCGGACGGTAAGTGCAAAGCATGTAAAAATGGTTTGGTCTTTACAAAAGATGGGAAATGCAACACGAGCTGCCCACGTGGACAATATTCAACGCCAGTAGAACCAGCATCTGTGGGTATCGACATGAAGTTGAGGTTAAGAAGTGTTGAAGGTTTGAAATACAAAGGACGGTTGGAGATCAAGCATCAGGGTGTTTGGGGGAGCATATGTGACGACGGATGGAGTTATAAAAATGCACTGGTCGCATGTCGACAGCTCCTGCTGGGACCTCCAGTTCAAACTGTATATCTCCGCTACGAAAGTTTTAAAAAGTTGAATATTTCGACGATTTGGCTTGATCAAGTTTATTGCAAGGAAATTAAAGACAGCCTTGATGAATGCGAACGTCTTCCGTGGGGTCATCATGACTGCTCCCACTATGAAGATGTTCATATTGAATGTTCTCCTCCTGGGGTCTCAAGATGCGACGTGGAATGTCCGCCTGCTTACTTTACTCATGGCTCAAGCTGTTTACCTTGTTCTTCTAATTGTTTAAACTGTACTTCTGCTAATAAATGTTCTTTGTGTAAGGAAGGGTCCTTTCTTGCTAACGATAGTTCGTGTGTTAAAAAATGTCCACCAGGATTTTATGCAAATGACAAAAAACATTGCAAAGCGTGTCATTCAAGTTGCTGGACATGTAATGGGAAGCTGGAAACACAGTGCACCTCGTGTAAACCACCTAAGTTGCTTCTAAACGATAATGTGTGTGTCTCGAGTTGTCCTAAAGGATATTATAAGAAAGGTGTTAACCCTACCACAGAGTTGCAATGGAAGGTTGGACCATATGAAGGGGTTGTTATGGTATGCATGTAATTTTGATTTCTCTCTCAGTTGATTGAGTTAAGCATGGTTAGATCATGCAGAGGTGGTACATGTTCTTGAATGTGAGCTACCTTAAAGTGATCTGATGTTGTACAGAACTCATGTGAGTAGAGTTAAGTCTCTCCTGTGTTCTCTCTCAGTTGACTGAGTTAAGCATGGTTAGATCATGCAAGGTGGTACATGTTCTTGAACGACAGCTACCTTAACAACGCCGGAGAGGAATGATCTGTGTTGTCTCAATCCTGATAACTGCTCTTCTTTGTTACTAGACGACAAGAAAAGGAAGAAGAGGATTGGTCTGCGATTATCATTTGAATATTGAAACAGGCAATGTTGTTTGTAAGGAACTTGATATGGGAAAAGCTGAAGAAGTTTACGCAAAACCCATGTACAGTTATCACTCTATTCCAGTGGTGTTAAAATATCCTTATTGCATTGGTAAGGTTCTCAAGGTGGTAGTTAAACAAGCATTGTTGATAGAAAGAAATTGTAACCTCTAGTTCCAAAATAGAGTGCTCTTATTTGTTTCCAAAGCCTAGTTTATTAGTGTGCATGTATATTTAACAACGAAATCATTATACCCATTGTTTTAAAGATCATTGCTCACTCTCAAGTGAGAAGGGTACTTTCAGTTTAACTTCTGGCATGTTTCCCTTGTTATTCTATGATTTTCTTTCTGTATTTGCACCAGTTTTGAGTTTTAAATTAATTTCTATCCTTGATATAGGCACCGAAAGTTTGATATCACAGTGCCGACGGCTCAGTTACTACTATTGTTCCAGGGGAAGTATTTTAGCTGTTAAATGCAGCGGCCCGGACTTGTCTAGAGTGTGTATAAACAGATGTCCCACCCAGAGTAATTTCTACATAACGGACAAGAATTCCTGTGAACATTGTTCAGAAAACTGCCTACGATGCGAGAAAAATGCCACCAATTGTACAGCATGTGCCCAAGGTTTGAGTTGTTTTCATTATTTTTGGTGATGGTGATGTTATGGTTAAGGTGCTGATGACTGTAGTGTTGGTGGTGTTGAAACTGGTGATGGTACTGGTTGTGCTGTTAGTGGTAATGATGGTGTGGTTGTCATAGTGAAGAAAGTGTCAATGGTGTCAATGAAGATAGGAATAGTTATAGTGTTTATAGTGATATAGAGATGGTGGTTGTTAGTGTAAAGATAATAATTTAGTCATTGGTGATTGCACTCGTAATAGTGAAATAATATTGGTAAATATATTGATAGTTATTATGATTGTGGTTGTACTGGAGAGTTTGAAGTCATAGTAACTAATGATGGTTGACGTAATGCTGATGTTAGGACTGGTAGGATGACCATATAGCGAAGATGATGCGCGGTATATGTGATGGTAATGCATGGTGAAAACATTAAGATTGACCATGGTTGAACTTTTATCTTGGTATCATTTAAGACTCACCCTGAGAAAACTGAGAAATATTTATACATTTTTTAGGTTTGCTTTTAACCTGGGACAACAAATGTGTCTCGTATTGTCCCGAAGGAACGTTTTTTAAGGCTGGTAGATGTGAAAAATGTGACGATGAATGTCTTGCTTGTCACCAGAATAAGCAAAATTGTATTGTGTGTGCTGATGGCAAATACGCATTTGAAGGTGGCAACTGCTATGATGATTGTCATGGAGTTGGATATCGAAGGAAGGGTTCACCTTTTGTAAGGTTGTCGCCATACCCTGATTGGCTTCGTCCTAAATCAAACGCCTCACGGGGAGTAGTCGAGATGTTTGTGGATGACAATTGGTTTCCAGTGTGTGGTATCAACTGGGACCTACGAACCGCTGCATTGGCATGTCGTGATCTGGGATATGGTGACCCAATCAAAGTATATTCTTGGGGCTATTATCTAGATAGTTACATGCCAATTGATCATCTGAAGGTATTGAATTGCAGTGGTGAGGAGAAAACATTGAGGGACTGTCTTACAAGTAGGTATCCATGCAGCTCTTTATCCAAATCACGAATTTCGTTCGAAAAAACCCCCAGAAAATTCGTCATAACAAACTACAAAAGAATGCCAATATATTTTTAAAACCATTATAGAATATCTTAAGCCTGTGCTCTTGCGGTTCTCGTTGTGTAAGATTTAGGTATCACGTATTGTCCTACGTAAAGAATCCCAGTTTATTGATGATAATGTAATCCAATGTTTTATACTTGAAAATTATGGAAAGAAGACCTAATACCAATTATTTTAATTTTATTTGTAGTTGGTTCCTGTGATTATTACAGATTTGCTGCTGTTTTTTGCAGCCGGGCAACACCGAAAAAAGAATGCGTCAAGATTAAGAATCCTTTGGATTGTGGAGCAGGCTTCTTTGTGAATAATACGAAAAGGGAATGTCTAGCTTGCTCCAGTGACTGCGTTACGTGCTCAGGCACCGCCAGTCATTGTACTTCATGTAACTATACGCATGTCTTGCACGGTTCAAAATGCCTCGAAGAATGTCCTGATGGATATTATATTGATCTGGAGGTGAAAACATGCAAACGATGTAGTGATAGGTGCAAGACGTGTCTTGATGGAGTAAGCAACGATAAATGTTCATCCTGCAATAAACCTTATTTCCTGCGTAAGTAATAGTGAAAAACTGAATGGAAAGATGTGCGGTTTGAGGCGAGATAGAATAAAGGTGGGGGAGGGAGGAAGGAAGAATGAATGGAAAGAGGAAGATAGGTGGATATAAAAGAAGGGTGTAGAGGAAGGAAGAATGAATGGAACAGGGGAGACAGGGTAGAAAAAAATAGAAAAGGGAGGAAGTAAGTACAATGGGATATAAGAATGAATAATAGGCGATCATTCATCATAAACGATGAAAATAATGATCATTTTAGGCGACACTTCCTGTGTGGACACATGTTATCCTGATCGTACCTTAAAAGACCTCGAGCAAGGACAGGAGTCCTCTCGAAGGGTTCGTTTGATGAATGGTTCAAACCCAGAAGAAGGTTTTCTCCAGTTCAAAATGGATGATGGTGAATGGGTAGATGTTTGTTATGCTCGTTTTTATGCACTTAATCTTGCGTGTCAAGAACTAGGCTTCCAGAGTGGTCTTCGCGTTGAGCATAAATACGGTGATAATCGTAAGTCGAGAAATTTAGATACACGAATATACAGCAATATCAATGCAAAAAAAGGAATACTTCTGATCTAACATGACGATATTTTTTCACTCTATAGCTCCCAAGGTAGTTTCAGCATCGTGTGATTTTTATCATGGTTACGTAAAAGATTGTTCAATAGAAGAAAATAACTGGTGCAACTCGCGATCTTTTATTGTTTGCTCCAGTAAACCACTGGACAAACGTGTTTGTCGAAAAGAGAATCCGGTTCCATGTTCGGCGACAGCCTGTTCCTATCAAGCACCGTGCGTTAATGGAGATGACACCGTTATCCCAAAAGGTCATTCTTATTGCAGGAGTTGTGGTCAAGATTCCTATGGCGATGGTGATAATTGTACAGGTATGGTGTATACCCTATTCTCTGGGCTCTTGTACCTTGCAAATACAACGAGATTATCGAAGACGTTGGCGTTTCGTTAGCTCTTTATTAGAAATCTGCGACGGTAGCAGCGCCCGTTTAGTCAACAGGGGTAGAATATAAAGGTCTGTTCGCACGATCCAATTTTGTTGGATCCAATTCACTTCTGATGGATGTTTTATAGTCTGTTGTCTTGTAATGTACATCAGCAGCAAATCCACTGAAGCCAATGCACGACGGCTTCATCAATAATCGACTATATTCCATACGTCAAAAGTGATTTGGATCGTGTGAACAGACCTTTAGCTGAAATGATTCTAACTTATTGCTTTCATTTCAATTTTAGCAATCTCTAAATTCGTGCCTTCAGTATCTGACCCTTATAGAGAAAGGGTCATAATTCACGGAAAACACAAAACTTACTTTTATTGTTATGATCGTTTCGCACATGCCAATCGCTACAGCTGGTATAAAGATGGAGAACAACTTGATCTATCTGATCATAGTTATTATGGTTCTGTTGCTTTGTCATTTGTCCATTTTCGAGATGCTGGTATTTACACATGCGTTTTGCGCACATCTGTTGGCTCGGCCACAGTAACTTATAATGTCACCGTTAAAGGTAAGGATGGTATAGAAAATACCGTGTCTCTTTGTACAGTTGAGATCACGACACAGTGCCGCCTTGTTAGAGTTTCGTTGATGATCTGATGGTGTCCATCATGAGTATCAAGTATCAACTCTACTCGCATGAGTTCTGTACAACATCAGATCACTTTAAGGTAGCTCTCATTCAAGAACATGTACCACCTCTGCATAATCTAACCATGCTTAACTCAATCAACTGAGAGAGAACACAGGAGAGACTTAACTCTACTCACATGAGTTCTGTACAACATCAGATCACTTCAAGATGCATGGCCTAAACATACTCAATTCAGCAAAAAGTAAACGTTAGTTGCCCTAGGCTAACTCATTCAACATTTTTCAGGTCCACCGATAATCGAAAGCGCCAGCGATATTGTGGAAATTTTGGTTGGTGACTCAGTCATCCTGGAGTGTGACGTTTTCGCACACCCCCCGGCTAATATCACCTGGGCATTTAATAATATTACTTTGAATGAAAATAACACTAGGGACGGAGGGGCGAGGGTCTTAGTAAATCGTTCTTTGTGGATAAATCAGTCTATTGCCGAAGACGCTGGAAATTATTCGTGTATTGCCAAGAATTCGTTTGGGAGAACTGTCCGAATAATCAGACTTCGAGTTGGAGGTAATTTGTCTTTTGAACCGTGCACTTGAAACGGAAAACTCACTATAAAAATCAACATATTTTTGAACAGATAATATCTGAGACCTCATTTACGACTACTTTTGAAATAAAACTTCTTTTCTTTTTCATTTGAATAATGGATGAAATGAGCAAATAGGGCGTGGTAAAACTCAAACAGGCGAACTTAATCTTACAACCTTACTTAATCTTATTAAGTTGATCAAACTTAATCTTACAATCTTACTTAATCTTAATAAGTGGATCGAACTTGATCTTAATCTTGTTTCTTTCATTCCAGAGGAATTAAGATTTGAGAAAAGAGCCAATACTGTTGTTGTTTCAAAAGGGGGGAGTGCTACGTTAACTTGTCTGCCTCACGAGTCAGATTCATCCTGGTCAATAATTTGGCGTCGCGATGGCAAGACACTGAAAACAGATGGTCGTTATAAAGTACTGGATGGTTCGCTGACTATCTATAATGTTAACAGCGAAAGTTGTGGAGAGTATTATTGCGTAGCAAAGGATGCAAGCTCGATTATTACCAGCGTAGGGACGGTGGTGATTAAAGATGGTGAGTTATACAGGTCCTTCATTGACTAATTTGTTTGCCTGTCATTTGTTACTTTAGGAGTAAAAATATATTAACCCTTACTGGATAGCTCTATCAGTTCTTCCTAGACGTCCAGTAAGGACCATCCCTACTTTACATCCCTATTTCTGAATTATTATTCAATCCTTTTAGATCCCCCATGTATCCACACGCGACCTCAAAACCTTCATCTGGAGGATGGAATGTTTGCAAGATTTTACTGCGCAGCCAGTGGTGAACCAACACCACAGATATTCTGGCAAAATGAGGTATGAAAACATCTGTGAACCCTGGATGTCATAGAGCAGCGTTCTTGTCCAAATCTCCCTCCATAGAAATCCCCATTCATCTGATAACTCCTTGAGTGACCAACTCACTGTTCGTTCTTCATATTTTTCTTTCATTTTTCAACATTGCATTGCCTTTATGATCTGCAGACCAAAGCCAGCAATGTTTTTGAGATCAAGAAAGTTGACATATCTCACGTTGGTGTCTACAAATGTTCAGCTCGAAGCGGGGATAAATTCAACGAGGCTTTTGCTTTTCTCAGCGTTAATGATTATCACGGTAAGTGGATTCTTGCATCTGTCATTTGAAATCTCTATTGTTCTTGAAATACGATATGAAAAAAGGGAATTCCCTGTCAAACCAAGCAAGCCACCGAGAGAAACTATTCGCAAACGTCCTCCCTCTGAAACAGACCCAAATCTCTTGCTTAGCTTTCCAAATTGTACCTCTCAGAATACGACATACAATTGTGTCATTTCAGCTTGTCCGTATATTTTCAAAAAACCGAAGAGCACGTCAGCGACATTCGGCGAGAAAGCGACATTTTATTGCGATGGCGTGGCAGAGTCCAGCGTGACCATTGTCTGGTATCGTAATGGTAATCGTATTATAAGTGGTGGTGGTAAATATACGATTGAAAATGATGGGAGAAAGTTGACTGTGGACAATGTGAATGAGGATGATCTTGGAGGATATATATGTATTGTCAGTGATGAAAATAACCATGCAAGTGCAAAAGCTTTTCTCAGTTCTCTCCATGGTAAGATTTGCTATTTCGTATTGTGTTTATTTTTCTGTTTCTTTAGTTGTTAGGACATTGTTATTAATTAGAAAATTTGACACAAAATATAACTAGAAACAACTGTCATGATCTTTTACAGTTGGGGCATTGAAGGATAACAGTCGCTCATCTTCAAACACAGCAGGGATAATCATTGGCGTCCTTTCATGTATCCTGGTGATCCTAACGGTCCTATTTTTCCTCCATCGTTATTGTCGCCATGGAAGCACGCCGGTTGACGTCATCAATGATGTCAGACGGAAGACCATGTCTCGATTCCAGTCCCTGAACTCTCACACGGTGATGCATTACGATACATCAGCGTTGGTTGACGATAGTGACGATGAAGAGCGTTGTGACGCTAACGTTGCGAATCCATTTGCAAGAGATCAGTGAGAAATGGCGTTTCAGGTTGGTAACTATGTCTGATGAAACTACTGATCTCATATAATAAGCTCGATAATTATTATCAGATCAAAGTGAGTGGGTTTAAACTTACCAATATTTAAGTCTTTTAAGAGAAATTATCCTCTACTTTGATGAAACATTGCCAGTATTAAGTAACTGGTGTAGAGTTAGCACCATTTTGCTAGAATTTTTTGTTCAAAGACAAAGTATTTTTCTGTTATGCATCCTTGAGGCGAATATATATATACATGAATTTAAAATTTTGAATTTTAATGTAAAGTATTTTAAGTATTAGCGATGAAAGAACTTTTATTCTTTTAAAATTTCGTACAAAAATACAATAAGAAAAAAACTATTCCTGAGGTGGAATGAATGAATACTCGGATACAGATCATTTGCCTTCTGACAAATTCTGTCTAAACTATCCGGTTTATCCTTATATTGTACCGATCGACCAGCCCACGTTTCAAGTTGTTTGACAGTTTTCCGTAAAGCCTTTCAAATGAATTCCAGAAAATGAGTATAGAAATGGCATTCTTTGTCAATTTCATAAGTGAAATCGACCTTCGAATATTGTATGCCGTTCAGGAAACGTAGGTGTGATGCAGGATTTACGTAGATTTCAACTTCAATGCCGGATGTTCTTTGTTCGAGCGGTTCGAGGCATTTTTCATTGTCCGCATGACTTGAGACTTGAGAATTGACCGGTGTCCTTACCTCCTCCGCAGGCCCGTGTCCCGTGTTCGTGAGCGAAAATGTCTTTAAGAATTTAATCGGTTAAAATCAAAGATAAACTGCGAACAAAGCAGTAGCCAGCTGTTAAGCGCATATTGTCTAACGAAAAAGCAAACTTAGATAAAGAGTTGTTAAACCAACTCTTAATAAACTCACATAGCGAGCTAGTGCTAGGTCAAGCGGTCATGGGAATACAGAACTTACAGGAAATTGATTATTGTTTAGTGAACTCATCGGTTGCTGCAATACTTTCTTTCGTAAGTGTAAAACCTATATATAAAAATCTTGCACAGCTGTAGAGTTTTAACTGTAAGTTTACCCTAAATATGATCGTCCCATATATTATAGAGTATTCAAGAACTAATAGTAGGTTTAGGGTGTCTGTTTAACACTTGATATTTGGCAGGTTATAAAGATAAGCTATACCTCTTAGGTGAAACTCTACATAGGAATCTCACGTGAAATACGAGTGTTAGGAGATTATTTTTTGTAAGATGTTGATATTGAGAGGGGTGGGTGCATCGCACACCCGAAACTAATTTCATATATACAATTACAATTTTAATTAAATTGCGGGAGACCGGACGTACAACCCATTTTGAAATATCGTTATGTTTACCACATCACTTGGATATAACGTTTTAAATAAATTTATTTTGAGAGAAAATTCTCATACTTTCTTCATAGGTTTAAAACCTATGGACATAGAATTATTATTATTATTATTACTTAGATTTATATTGCGCGAGGTTCCATAGGAAGATGCTCACCTGCGCATAAATTGTACTCTAGTTATATAATAATACTTTGTACAAGGTATATACTGTATGTTAACAATTTTTCTACTAATCTAGTGTTTATAGCAAAGTTATTTGTCTGCTGAATAGTCTATTATATTAAGGTAATATTTACAAATAAGTTAGCAATTTGAGTTTCGTCTCGTCTAGATTTTTACAGTTCATTGCATTTCCTAAGTTTTAGTATTCACTCGCTGTATGAAGGAGTCTTTCCTCTAAGGAATATCGTCGTATCTCTTTAGAGCTAACTCCCTCGAGACGTTTGTCGAACATATGATGTACTTCTTATTTCGTACTGAAAAGATATTCTGCTCCTTTCCTTCGCTGCCTCCTTCTTTCTGTGTTCTTGTTCTGCAAACGTCAATATTTTGATCTTATACCGACAATGGCATTGCTTGTTGTTGTTTTTGTCGACCTGAACAGGAATGATACCGTCGACCTAAATAAAAGATTATCAGAAAGCTAAAGCAATTTGAACGTTGAGACTACATGATTGGTTTGTTACTAACAAGCAATTATTAGCTTGTTAATTATAGGAGATAATAATTTTGTTGGTCTATGAGCTTATTAAACTAATTTACTCATATCAGCTATTAGTAAATTAAAAAGCTGATATGTAAAGATACATGTATTCATACCATGTCCTCAGACACACCCGTCGTCTTAATTTGTTGCATGTGTGATTCGCATTGCTGACATATCTGCACGTTCGTCAAATCTTGCATTTCACTAAACATTCTCCGATAGTCTCTGAACATCAAACTCAAATATATCCCCATAACTTGTTCGAACTTTAGATTCTAGATCACAGGAATCAATGGATTTGTTGATAACACTAATGACTTTTGGCCCACTCACAAGATGGGCAAACGAACACACACGGTTAGAGCTACGGTGAAAGCTATTCTTATAGCTAAATGGTTGTGTCTTCGATTCATATGTATTTGCAACAAACATATATTAACCTTTCTTCTGAAATTTTCAGTTCGACAGAAAATTCACTTACACAGTATATGGCTTTTCCTCCTATATTACCAAACCAACCAGATCTGTTCTCTCGTTGACATGGAACGTACGAATGCAGAGTAATTTACGAGTCTCATTGATTTATTATGGGTGAAAAGGTTGCTTAAATATTCATTTCTAAGCCGGAATAACCGGAACTTGGTTTATATTACACGGGCGTTCTGTTTAGCATATCGAAAATTAAGTCCTTGAAAATTCTACGGTGTAAACATTGAATGTGAAAGTGGCGTTGATTGATCTCTTTTTGAAGTTAAGAGTCTGAGGACACCTTATATGAAGAATTTTCATTTTCACCTGATTTTCATTTTCAAATGCTATTTTTGTAACCGAACCCGTACGCCTGCATGCATGCCTAGCAGCGCTTATACTGCGTTGATATAATTGCTTTGAAGATGTATATTAATGAAATTACATGTTTTCATTGAGCTCATTCAAAAACCTTTTGAAATGCTTTGATTGAAACTGACTTTTTGTCAAGGTTTAAAGGACTTGGTCTGTTAGGATTCCAATGCAGTTAGTCTTCATTTGGCGCTTGAACGAAAGGACAACAGATGGTACTTAACCGCAGCGCATGATTTTTAAATGCACGTGATGAAATTAGCTTACATCAGACGTTGTTTGTTTTTAGTAGAAACACAAAGATAACATTGTTTCATCATATAAAATACTGTAGCAAATGTGGCAACCATCTGCCATATTTTTTGACTCAGAAGTGTTGGTTAGTTAATTTTTTGGTGATTCCGTGATTTACGTTGAACCTGCTAAACTCTGGCTAACCGGTTTTAGCGCGTTATATATGTTATACCGGATGAATTGGGCAAACCTGTTCCGGCTTAGCAAATACTTAAATCTTACTACTTCCCGGAACTGTAGTTTGTGTAAAACATTTGCACGTGTGATATTCTTGCTTGTTTCCATTCACGATGATTTCGTAAGTGAAATACTAATTTTAGATCAATACATCATGATTGTACTCGCTGAGTTTCTGATCAACTTAACAAATGGGTCATGCGAACAACGGTATCTTTTTGTAACTTCAAGTAGGAGTCACCGCAAGTAATGGTAAATTCCCTGTCTCCGAACAGTTCAGTCGATGAGTTCCGTCGGGATATAATTTTTAGATATAGGTTAGACAACAAACTGCGATAGCTTATTGTGATCGACCTACACTGGACCACCACGTTTGAGATATCTTTCTCAGGTAGTTCAGACACAAACCACGACAGCTTATTGTAGAATACTACCTACACTGAACCACCACGTTTGAGATATCTTTCTCAGAAAGTTAGAAACAAACCTCGACAGCTTATTGTAGAATACTACCTACACTGGATCACTACGTTTGAGATATCTTTCTCAGGTAGTTCAGACACAAACCACGACTTAACAACGTGAATAATATAACTTTGTAGCTATATACACAAACATACCTCACGGGTTAGTTGTATTGAATCGAAAATGTTGTCTTTGAAGTCTTGTTTATTATTAGAGTGATCAGAATGTATCCTTATATATCCTATGGCGGGAACTGTTCTGGTTCCCGTCTTTATTCGCGCTATCAGGGAATTACCAAATTGCCTAATGGCGTGTTTAAATGGCGTGATTCGCGCGCTTTATTACCATGACTCAGCGTTATTACAAGTCACTTATTTGGTTGAACATTGGTTCTAACAAATGGCCAGTAATGGCAGTATGCATTAACAGCAGGTAATATCTAACTTTTTTTATTCTTTCTTACAATCGGTCAGAAAATGGCGCTGGGCATAGTTGTTGCAGAAGTTTCATTTTTTTTTAACTTTGGTTATTGGTTTCAATTTTTGAAGGACTTTGCCCCATATGCTTTGCCCTCACAGTGGAAGCGACTGGAATTAATTTCACGTGATCATATGACGTGATCATCGAATTTTGCTATTCTTTTTAATTAACGAGGTCTTGTATTGGGGTAATCACCTAGTCTCACTATTGTAATCGCATGTGTCATCAACCAATATTTTCTGGGAAAATGCCGGGTATCAATTTACAAATTCGATCCTATGCACGAAATACAGCCTCAAATGCCTCTACCTTTTTTACATTTTGTACAACAGACTAGAATGGCCATATACAATAGTCATAAGAAGACGTTTGATGTGCAGAGGTAGTCTGTTTTGTTCGTACGAATTGAGTTCATGTTGTTGCGTAATTGGTGCGTTGTCAGAGCTTTTTGCGTGTGGAAAAGACGAGAGAAGAAAAGTGACACACAATGAGCGTTGTTTAGCTTTGTCTTGTAACTTATGTTGCCATAGCGTCGCTCAAATATGCGGAGAAAAATAACAACTGCAGCCTTCAAACTTAAGCATTGTTTTCCTGGTAGTCAAAGACGTCTTTATTATCCCCACCGTCACGGTTACCGTTAGAATCATAACATTGAAATTTTCCTAGTTGGCAAGAAAAGAATCCTCTTTCTCATAAAACATTTAGAGAGTAATGTTTATATTAACTTTTTTATACCGCAGAAATCCATCCCGGTTAAATTTAGAGGTCAAAGCCTCGTCTCTCCTCTGATTGGCTAATATTTTTCCCGCATAATTTTGTTGCAATTTATCCCAAGAACCGTTTGAAAGATCGTTGAACACGTTGCTTCAATATTGCTCGAAAATTCGTTAAATTTCACCTCAAATCAACGCAAAAAGTGTAAAAAAGCTACTCCAATGAAGTACAGGTATGTGGTAGATTAAATTATTTATTAAAATCTACTTAAAAGCGCTTAATTTTAGAAAAAAATCGATGGATTTAAACGCTACGTGCGAGCGGCCTAAAAATACATATTTGCACGCTCTGATTTTAAATGTTAGTTCGTGCCTTTTAAATGTCACATATCTTCGCTTTATTTTTTGTTTGTATTTTTTGAGTATTGGTTGTTTAAAGGCAGAGCTTATAAGCTTTAAAGAGAATTGTACTGTAGGTTTATGCGAGAAAATAGAGTGTTTTAAGCGAATTAGTTTTGTGTCGCGTTTTGAAGAATGAAATTCAGCTGAATATTTAGTCAGGTGCATCGTTATTGATCCACACCTGGCAAAAAGGGTGATTGTTCATCGGGTATCGTTGAAACACATACATCAGGAGGAGAATAAAAATCCGATGAACCACGTCGCTCCTAACTTTTCGTGGATGTTAAATGCACGAAGAAAGTTAAGCCAAAATCTTTAATCTTTTGGTTTTATACAACCGCAAACAACGAGAAAGAAAGGTCTGTAGGAAAACTATAGAATAGTTCGCAAGGTTAATTTTCAATTAAAGTAAGTTATTCATCCTCTAGAATAACGTTTCATTTGTGGGTCAGCTTTTTCTTAAACTAGTATATTTTCTTTCAGGAATTCTGTATTAGTCATACTTATATATATGTAGATTTCAAAAAGGTGTTAAACTGTGGGTTTATTCACTGGAACGTGCTCCTGCATTTAATCTATGGCGGGTATCGTACGATGGAAATAATAGACGATCATTGATTTTGTCCCGGGTTTTAATGATATTACAAACACTGCATCAATAGTTACGGTATAGTGGGTATACAAATATAGATTATTTATTGCATTGCCATTGAAAAGAATAGAAATAAAAAATTACAAACTGATTCAACGATATAACCGTGCATGTTGCAACAAAACAATAATAGTTTACGTTTGGTATCAAAATCCTGTGGTTACTTTAATTTCCTCTTTTGCGGGCCGTGCGTTTACAAGCTGCGAGCTGTCTCTTGATCTTTCTTATTTGAGGCTTCATCACCTTTCCAGTGTACTTGTAGATTGTCGTCCCAGAATTCAGCACGACCGTGATCTTACGGCCGTCGTCTTGGAAGTAACTGTTTTGACCAATCACAATGGATCGTTCCTTGTCGTAGATCTCATCGCATGGACAGAATTCTGGAATGCGATACTCCAGATTTTTTTTCATAATGCGCTTGCCTTTCTTCTTCGAGTCCTCGGAAAATGCTTTGACAACTCTGAGCATGCCTTGCGCGGATTTCATTCTTGTCACTGAGAAGGGGAATACAAGAAAATATTAGCCAAAATATGCGACGATGATGCTCTCTATTCTGTTAATAATAAAGGACATAATTCTTTTACTAAAGAAGAATTCTTTTGAACTTGTCAGTGGGAGGCGAAAACAAGGCTTGATATTTTGCTAAGAGAACAAGGGAAATGTCAACTTACCGGTGCTGTTGCATCCAACTATAGCATCCAGATTCTCTAAAGCCACACATCTTGGGCACTCTGCACCAACTGAAAAAATAAATGACAGCTAAAGCATCGAGCTTACTCGAAATATAAAATTACCACCGGTAGATTACTCTTTCTATGGTTTTTCAACATGAAATGTATTTCTTAACAAATCATGATCTAGCTTCACGCATGTACTTTACACACCTCTGTTGCCATAGCATTCAGCCTCACCAATTCTGTACATCACTTTAGCTTGGCTTTCTGTTGAAGAGAGATTTTGATTTAAAGTCAGCAACTTAGGATGCTCAAAAATCGTTGGATAGATAAGTAGACTGGTTGTCTTGGCTAGTCTCGACGGTGCATGCAAGATTCGCTTGTTAGAAAACCAGGTTTTCGTGAATTTTAAACGTCGAGAATAACAATATTACTCCAAATTGGGACGGTTTAAACAAGCCTGAGTCATAAAGACAACTATCTCTTCACCTGGTTCATAGTAATCGTAGACTTTGACAACGGCTGGTTTCAGTTTCTTCACAAGTGTGTCTTGATGGATGTCAATAGAGAAAGTAATATCCTTGATCTAAACACGGAAACATATTTGGTAATAGAGGCTAATTTTGGTATCATGGAGGTATAACACTAGATGAATAGACGATGATCCTTACTTAAGACACCAGGAAGAACAATTTAGAACTGATAGAGAAATTGAGAAAGGAAACCTTTAAAGATAACGGGTAGTTACCTCATCGAAATAAAGCTGTACGTTCTGTCCATCAATGTCGTAACGTTTGAAATTCAGCGTCAGATCATTCCTTAGCTAAATAGAGAAATGACGAGATATGGTTACTGTGGTTTCCGAGGCATCGTGGCGAGTTCTCAACTCTGTTGAAGAAAATATCGAATAGGTTTAGGGCGAATGCATTTGAAACGTTTCTGTTTAATAAAGAAATTGAAATCTTACATTTTTTAAAGACTCTTCTCTCACACTAAATCCAGTAACAAGCTTAATATCCACCACTGCCATGTTGGAAGCATCCTCCTTGAGCCACCTTAAGTAGGTTTAATAACAGTGTCAGACAATTGGCGTAGAAAATACGTAGAAACAGTTAGGTAACCAAGTTGAATAACCCCCCTGCCATACAGTTGATTGGACAGGATCAATCAGGTGTTTTGGGGTTAATATGGTTGTTTGAGGGTTCCGGTTTTTCTCCCATACATCGAGGATTCTAATCTTATAGAGTTCACCGCCTAATCCTTAGTGACTGGTTAGTAACGAAAGGTCCCTAAGCACCATTTTGGACTCCTTGGCTGGATCAAACATTGAATTGATTACAAGGAAAACACGTTCTTACTTTGTAGTGATTTCCAGTTTTAATGGGCTGCACTGACTCGCTTCTTCCTCAGGAGCTGAGCGTCTCCTACGAACATCAACTTTAATATCAAATGCTGGATCTTCTTCCGGTTCTGGAACATTATACTTCACTGACGCCTAAAGAAATGCTTGGCGTAAGTTCATCATTTCCCATAAAAGCCATTGGTTAAAAAATAAACAACGATGTATATTGTTGCTGTTTTTCTTACCTGTAACAAAGCACAACCAACGCCCTGACCCGTTACTTCCAATTTACCGGGAATGATCTTCTGAGGGAGCTCGACAGTTTGTAATGTCAGTTTATTCGCCATTGTTACTGCGAAATTGTGGTTGTAGTAATTACCCATCTTTAAAGATCCTGTTAACTGACTTGTATTAAAATCAGCGCTATCTCCATAAGCTCTTCCTGCAAACTCGGCCAACGCTTGCAAGGCAACACAAGTGTCCTATAAAAAGAAAATACCAATGGATCAAAATCCTTTAAATCTTAGAAGGCTTCCAGTTTTCTTCCAGTTTTATACAAGACTGGATCCGGAACAAGGTCTTTAAGCGTTTCAGACCTGAAATATCTCTGGAGTAAGATCTTTAAGCTTTTCAATTTTAGACTTTATAAAGGACCTTACCTGGGTTGAAGAGAATCCGCCTCGGGAATTTCTTTGTCTTGATAACCAGCGAATAATGGCCATAATTTCATTATTTACTACGCCTTCATCAGTTGGCATTTGGTGTAAAATTGAAAGTAAGGCATACGCTGTCATTTCTACGTCGGCTGCTGAATGATAATAGTAATATCTTGGCTTCGGTGTAGGTTTGTTTCCATTAGCCCAGTACATTTGATCCTCTGCAGAGAAGGTTTATAAACGTGTTCATTTTCAGTTAAATATGTCTGTATAACATCAAATAACTTCAACGTAGCTCTTATTCAAGAACATGTACTACCTCTGCATGATCTAACAATGCTGAACTCAGTAAACTGAGAGAGAACACAGGTGAGACTTAACTCTACTCACATGAGTTCTGTACAACATCTGATCACTTTAAGGTAGCTCACAATCAAAACATACTCTTGTTATTGGGCTTACCTTGCTTGGTTGCCTTATTTTTCAACATTCTGAGCATCCTCTGTGCGTCAGTATGGTTTGCTAAAGTCAAGGTGTACGTCACAAGGGCAGTTGAATAAGTATCCGTGATCGAATCAAGTCGATCTACGATACACTGGAGAGCTTTGGACACCATGGTGCTCTGAAGAAGAAGCATTACATTTAGTGAATAACAGTTGGACGTTTCGAGAAAGAATGTACTTATAAACTAACAAGAAACTTCGTTGTTTTTTTGCCTGGAAATATACGTTGCTAAGCTTACATTTGTTGTTTCTCCAGCTTCCAAAAGAGCCGTGGTGACATATGCTGTGATTGTAAGTTCGCTGTTCACGCCTCCCTAAAACACACAAATAAGACATTTCAGATGGTTTTCCAGACGATGATATGAACAAGCGTTTTTAATAATCTGATGATAGTCTTGCAATTCAGGCGTTCGATTGTCTCAAGGGATGCATGAGACTCTCAAGGGATTCATGACAAGGGATTGTCTCAAGAGATTCGGCTGTTGTGCTACAAAAGCTTTTATCTTCGTCCTTAAGTTGTCATCTTGGCTGAAAACTCGTTCGCGCCTGAGAAATCTGGTGTAGCATTCCCCCCAGTATATAACTAGACCAAATTACCTGTAGTCTTCTATTAAAAACTTTTCCGTACTGTGGGAAACATCCGTTATCCAATTGTTTGCTGCGGAACCATCTGAAACTGTGTTCAACTTGGGAATGATCAACAAAAATGTATCTTTTCGCTCGGGCAAATGATCGAACTACAAACGCGGTCAACCTGAAAGTATTGTACAGGAATCACATATTGAAGTGGTGTACTTAGGTTCGAAGAATCACTGTGATATTTTTAATATGTAAAGATATGAGGGTGAATCAATTGTGATTTTTAGCACTTCAACTATAGGTCATCTGGCATGAATCGAACCTACGCTTTAGGACCCTAATAAGATAATAGTTCACACTTACATCATACTTCCTTGACTGTCAGAGTCGCCAAACGCACTGTACGAGCCGCTTTTTCTTTTGTAAGTCAATTCTCGTTGATAACCTGAGGAGATAAATATCAGAGCAAATGTTATAGTTAAAATTGTTGAACCCCACCTGTCAGTAAAACAAAAAAACCCTGCTATTATATGCTCATGCTAATAAATTAGTACACTTCGAGAAATATCCTGCCGTTTCGTACTAACCAACTTTCATAAAGTTTTCCGCTGTACTCTTGATTCTTTCTGTCGCTTGGTTGGTCTGAGTCAAGTAATCCATGATGTAGATATTGGGTGCGAAATTTGCCATATTTTGTTCGCCACAGCCATAGGGCATGCGCAATAGGTCCTCTAGATTCGTCATTGCAGGTCCCATGATGTCACCTGAAAGTGAAGCAAGTTATGACGTGAGAGTTGGGAAGCACATTTAGCCCCCCCCCCGCCTGTGATTCAACGTTAAGCTTGACTTATCATCAGAAAGGCTCTAACCATGCTTAAATCAGTCAACTGAAAAAGAGGTATCAACTGAGGATAAAATGCTGAAAATGTTGAAATACCTATAATAGTCACTGTCGGGTATATTGACCCTGGTACGTAATTCGCAGGTACCCTGAGATCAAACTCCTCCTTGTATTCCTGGTCTAAAAAAAAAAGGAAACGTTTAACCAAAAACAAGCAGAAGAGATGAACGACTAAATCTGACGATTCTTACTTCCTGGGCAGAAGAATGTTCCCTGAGTGAACTCCTTGCGGATGCCTTCAGCCTGAAAAGGAAAAATTTTTCAAGTTAAATTTAACAACCATTTCCATTTAGTAAGAATTGGTTCGTCTTGTTATCTTATATTGTTTTACAAGACGGTTAGACTACGACATAGGACAATGTAATTGGCTGAATCAATGAGTGCTTTTTTTGAGAATCACGCTTGCGGATTATATTCTTGCCAAGCGTCAGTTTCTCTTCACTTTTTTTTATCTGGGTAGTTTCTGCGACCTATTGTCCATTATTTCTAAATGATTAGTTTTACCTCGACAAGTAGTTTTCGTGTAACGGCATCCTGGACTGGAATATTAATTGTGTTATTAGAACAGAGTTTAGCAGATGACGTAGTTGCCGTGACCGTGAGAGGAATGTGTCCGAGGTTAGTAGGAATGATGGTAAACTTCACTGACTTTCCTTCGCTGCCACAAACGCAGAGTTTGTTGATATGATACGACGTCACTTTGTAGTCGGCCTGCTTGTGGCTCAATTCTAACTTGATCTAAGAAAGAAATCCCAGTGCTGTGTGTGAGAAACTGTTTTGCATGATAGCGTTGTAATATTCCATCTCATGCTGTGTGGTTAGTAAACCGTATTTCGTATTTTTAATAAAACAGAATTGCTATCGAGTGTCTGCGTTGTTTTTGAATTGATATCAAAATGTAATCCCTAAAGTATTCCAATAGACACAATGCTCTGGCATCTACGTCGTTTTCTAGCGGATGGGAATGAGTGGATATGTGTTCTAGGACAAAGACAGACTACCCTGATTGATTTAGCGTAATTACCAGAGATGGTATAAGGTCGCTAATTGGTAGCTCTTCTACCAGGACTGTAGAGAGTGCGTCAAAGTTTGTCTCTACGTAAAACTTACCGCAGCGCAACTGGGCAGATAATTAAACACTGTTACGATTACTGGAATCTCTTCTCCGCGGATGACGGAGTACGGTAGTGTCATTGAAACAAAGAACGGTTGGAAAGCTTTCAGTGTCGTAGTTTCTGAAACGCCGATGCCTGTCTTCGAGGAAATAGCGAAACCATTTGCCACCCAACTTGTGATTGTACCTGGCACAGTTACTTCGATTGTCTTGTTTCCGGATTCGCTAAAGAGGATTAAATAAAATTGTAAAATTGTTGCTTAAGCTGAATTCAGTAAGGTTGGATTTAAATATTGTATATCCAGCTCCGATAATGAAGGAATTAGTTCTACATTAGAACAATTATGAAAGAATCAGTTCTACATTAGAACAATTATGAAAGAATCAGCTCCACATTAGAACAATAATCATACGAACCTACGCTTAATTAGAACTATTATCCTTATAAAAAGAAGAGAACTTCATGCAAATCTTACTCGAGTTTCTCATCCGACCATAACCATGTCTCTGGGAACTCTTTGCGAATTTTGACCGTGTTTTGTTTCCTTCGTCTGTTCATGTGTTCAGGAATCACTTGCGGTTCAGCTTCATTTTGCGGACCTTGTACACCAGGTATACCGCCTTTAATGTACGAGCAGGAAATGCTTCAAAACACAGTAAATGCTTTGGTATTTCTTATTAGTATCTCTACGAATTCCTCTATGAGTACAAGAGTAGCCCAGAAATAGACTTTGAAGGTCTGGGTTGTTTGCACAAAAGCTGGATAACGCTGTAATGATTGATTTCAATCGCTAATCATTGTAAACCATTGTTTGATATAACCCGGATTAAACATACCATTCGTTTCGAAAGAAGAAAAATGTTTACATAGTGGGAAAACAACTCCTCCGTTCCGCGATAATCTGCTTAATGAGTGTTGTTTAGACCTAACACATGTGTAGATGTTGCTCATTGCATCAACAACATTGAATGGGGGGGGGGGAGAGCCTTGAACACACTTATAGTTACAGGTAAAGTTTACAGCTATTGCTGACGTGTAAACGTGCTAAAGTGCCCCAACTACTTTTGAACAACCAGTTCATACCTCCTCCGGACCTAAGAGTAGCACCGAAGCGACGATACGTTGGGCGTGGTCTTGGGCAAGGTTTGTTGTGAATTTTTAAGTTGGAAATAAATCTTACACCAGCATTCTGTAAAATATACAAAATTTAATATGTTACCGCTTGTATCTTCCAAAGCGACGGCTTCCGCGTCGACTTCACCATAGAGATAGTGTTTTGGACATGGTTTTGTAAAAATGCGAAGACTTGAGAGGAAAACGAGGCCTGATTCCTAAAATGAGCGAAATTCGAAGCGAATGCTATAGCGTTTTGCTTCCAGTTGAAATCTATTTTCAGAAAACGTTGCAAATGGTAACATATATCTTTGGTATATTTTACTGAATGCTGTTGTAATTTCGTATGTTGTCCCGAACTTTTCTTGCTATGAACGCCGTATTTTGGCCGATGAAATAAACAAACAAATGGCCCACCAACAAGAGATTTTGGAAGCGTACCGAGACACAAGAGCAGATTCATACCGGTAGATTTAAGACTCCAATGCTATATATATATGCTATACAATAGTTCTGGTCTTAGGCAAGTTTTTGTCGGAATTTTTAAGTTGAAAATAAATCTTACACCGGCATTCCATAAAATATACAAAATTTAATATATATTACCACTGCCTCCATCGCGCGAACGCCCAACACTTGCAAGAGATAGCATTGGATAGTTTCTTGGACATGGTTTAGTAAAAATGTGTAGATTTGATAGGAAAACCAGACCAACCGCCTAAATGATGGACAGTTGCACCTCTATTAATTTGTATTAGAGAGATGTCTGTTTTAGATAGATGTCTGCATTAGAGTGATGTCTGTATTAGAGAGAGTCTGTATTAGAGAGATTTCTGTATTAGAGAGATGTCTGTATTAGAGAGATGTCTGTATTAGAGAGAGATGTCTGTATTAGAGAGATGTCTGTATTAGAGAGAGTCTGTATTAGAGTGATTTTGTGTTGCATGTCTTGGCTTCCGTGTCGGCTTCATCTTCATAGAAATAGGGTTTTTGACATGGTTTTGTAAAAATGCAAAGATTTGAGAAGAAAACGAGGCCAGATTCCTAAAATGAGCGAAATACGAACCGGATGCTATCATAGCGTTTGCTTCCAGCAGAAATCTATTTTCAGAAAACGTTGCAAAACGTTTCCAATGGTAACATATATTTTTTGTATATTTTACTGAATGCTGTTGTAATTTCGTACGTTGTCCCGTACTTTTCTTGCTATGAACGCCGTATTTTGGCCGATGAAATAAACAAACAAATGGCCCACCAACAAGAGATTTTGGAAACGCACCGAGACACGAGAGCAGATTCAGTCCAGTAGATTTAGACTAAAATGCTAACGTCGATTATACAAGAGTTCTGGTCTTAGCCGGGCAAGGTTTGGTCTGAATTTTTAAGTTGAAAATATATCTAACCCTGGCATTCTATAAAATATACAAAATTTAATATATATTACCAGTGCTTTCCTCCCGCGATACCTCAACATTTCGCGCTTCACCAGAATCGTCAAAGACTGGATAACCTCTTGGACATGGTTTAGTAAAAATGTGTAGATTTGATAGGAAAACCAGACCAGCCGCCTAAATGATGGACAGTTGCACCTCTATTTAGTTTGTATTAGAGAGATGTCTGTTTTAGAGAGATGTCTGTATTAGAGAGATGTCTGTATTAGAGAGATGTCTGTATTAGAGAGATGTCTGTTTTAGAGAGATGACTGTATTGGAGAGATTTCTGTATTAGAGAGATGTCTGTATTAGAGAGAGATGTCTGTATTAGAGAGATGTCTTTGTTGCAGAGAAGTCTGTTTCAGTGAGTAATAAAAAGATGCCTGTTTAGTGAGATGCCTGTTTTGGGAGATGTCTCTTATAAGCTAAATCTATAGGATTAGATCGAATAACATACATCAAAGGCCGCAGATGCGTCTTCGTAGTCTGTTCTATCTCCCCACCACGGCGCAATACCACGTTTTCGTCTCCCCCAGGGTCGCCAATAGTCACATTTTGGGTTAGAAGACCATGCTCTGCTTCGCTGCTCGCGTAGGTATGGACGGATCTAAAACACAATAAAAACCGTACAAAGATTGTATAAGAATATCCTCTGAGTCAGTGATTTAAAGCTCTTTCAACTACCTTCTCTTGCTGCTAATTTTACGGTAGTTTTATTATCAAAAACATTTAATCTGAATCCTAATGTAAACCCCAATAGTACCGTAATGTTATCAGTCCTAATCTTACGTTTTATTACAATGAAGAGTAATAAAGAGTAATGGGGAGTGATACAGAGTACTAAGGAGTCTGTTTACCTTATCCTTTGTTAACTCGTTCCCAGATTTCAAAATGTGAATGCTCTTGTCCACGGCCACAAACGCCACACGTGATCCGGGCGAAGCCTTCAATATCAGCTTCGTTTTTTCTCCTGGTTTCTGTTCCTTCTCCGCAAAACTCACCGACACCTTCAAAAGTGAGGAATTGAGTTTGGGTTTGATGTCGATTAATGAAAAATCATACGTTGAATGTGAGTCAATGTCGTACAAATATTCTCTAGAGTTACCTTGAAGTGATCTGATGTTTCACAGAACTTATGTAAGTCTCTCCTGTATTCTCAGTTGACATGGTTAGATCATGCAGAGGTGGTACATGTTCTTGAATGAGAGCTACCTTAAAGTGATCTGATCTTGTACAGACCAAACTCACGTGCATAAAGGGAAGTATAGCCTACCAGGAATTCTCATGAAAAGCTCCTTACCTGGTTTTCCAGTCTATCTTCTACATCGAACTCCACGCTATCAGCAACAACTTCCTTGTCTTCTCTCACGTAATACACCATAATCCGACAGGAAGGCACCATTTTCATTGTCACTGGGAATTCAATATCAAATTTTTCAACTCGTGGCCTTGTATCCAATTTTTTAACTGGGTCAGGTCGGGGTCTCCATCCTCCCCATCGTGGACCAACGAGGATCAATTTTTCTAAAACGGGTACGATTGTACCATTGTTCGCGGTTTTGTTTGTTGGTGCAGCAGTAGTGGTTGTTCTTGCTGTGGTAGTTGGTTCCTCGACCACGATGAAATCATGATGCTGTGTGTGTTTTCCCGTTTTCACAAATTCGCCCTTACACATTACCTAACAGGTTAAAACCAAAAGTTAAAATTTAATTTGACTGAGTTAAGCATGGTTAGATCATTCATAGGTGGTACATTTTCTTGAATGAGAGCTACTTTAAAGTGATCTGATGTTGTACAGAACTCATGTGAGTAGAGTTAAGTCTCTCCTGTGTTCTCTCTCAGTTGACTGAGTTAAGCATGGTTAGATCATGCAGAGGTGGTACATGTTCTTGAATGAGAACTACCTTAAAGTGATCTGATGTTGTACAGAACTCGTCTGAGAAGAGTTAGAGCTATTCTCTGTTCTCTTCTTATCTCATGCTGTGCAAAACTCGTGTTTGTTCCGAGGTCAGCAATCTAGAAGCACGTACTACTTACAGTGTAATAAAAATCTACTTCCTTGCCAGTGTCGTTACGTGCTGTGTATCGTACCGTCAGAGAAGCCTCGCTGCCGATCTATATAATATGAAAATCGTTTGAGTTTATGTCATTTACACTGGTAAATGGCAAGATCTACGAGATATCTGATAGTTTTGGTCATCAGGATCGCCCTTACCATAGCTGGAGTCTTCTTCTTAAGTATTTCAAGGTAACTGAAGCTTGGAGAATACCAGGGTCTGGCGGAATGCGATGCTCTCATATTATTATAGTAGTAATAGTTTCTAATTTTCACTGGATACGGATTTTTGTCTAGAAGTTTTGCCTGAGAAAACATAGAAAACAGGTCATTGATAAGCAATTGACTTGACTGGCTGTTTGTCAGTGGCAGCGCCAATAAGGGGAGGGGCGTTGCAGAAACAAATGGTCCCCCAACCTAATAGCCCCTAGTCACAGACAGGTACTAATAAGAATGAGATTTATTTATGTACCTCGAAAACCAAACTTTTGGCATTGTAAGTTGCGTCATTGATGGAGTCTGTGATCAAGCCATTGGTGACGACGAATGTTTTGTTATAGAACAGAGCACCTGAGTACCAGCCGCGAGCGATTGTAACGCGAACGTTGGCTCCCGTCGCTGGCGAGTTATCTGGACGTGTAACTTTTAGCTGTTTAAGAAAGACAATAAATATCCAAACGTTTAAAAACTGCGTCCAGCAGAGATCGTCAGGTCAGTTAGATCGTGGAGTAGTTTTCAACAACTTGAAGCATTAGCTCCTTTCATGCCCTTCTCAAATAAGGACGCGAGATCAGCTTTGTTTATCGTGATTTATATATCATCTATCTTCCTCAATCAAACGAGATAGACTATAGAGTGAAGGTTAATACCTATCAAGGCCAGTTTACACTTGCGACTTTGTGTGCGACTTTTGATAGATGTGAACGAGTAATTAGTTACGAATGCTCTTATGTATAAGAGCTCTTATTTGAACATCAGTAACTAATTCACTCGTTCACATCTATCAAAAGAAAAAAATCACACATAAAATCGTAAACATGAATTATTGAATTTTGACGTACCACATATGAGAAAGGTAGACCCGGCTTAAATTTATTCGAAGTTCCAGCAAACGACATTTGAAGTGAGCGTCTCTTGAAGTTTCTTGTCACAGCTCTCTTTTTTAATGTCACCCCGGTTAGGGTTTCAGTAACCCGACTATCGACGACAAATTGTGATCCATAAATACTAATAATTTCTCCCATATTTAATGCCTCTCGTGACAGTGTAATATCTGTGCAGCCATCGATCTGAAAATATAGAAAAATTGTTTTGAAAAAGTCTCGCTGTTCTTCATGTCACCCAGTTGTGATACAGAGATCAGAATGTTTTATTGTTTCGATCGAAGTCGCGCAGAAAATAAGGCACAAAGAGGAATGAGTTCAAGAAAATGAAAAATACATACCTCCTTTGTGATATTTTCGCATCTTGTGAAACTAACACTTTTTCTAGTACTCCGCCATGAATCATAAGATGAATGCTTCAGACACAGCTGAGCAGTTAACATTCCTTTCACGTTTTTCCCGTATGTATACCTATAAATATACACATAGTCCATCATGCAATGGGGGATCCATCTGGCCCCACTTAGAAAAAACACATGAAGATACTCTATAAGATTGTCTCTTAGATATTAGAATGACTTACTTAGCGCAAATTGTAGTTGTAAATTCTTTCTGATCCAAAGCCATATATTTTGGAAGTTTGATATTTACTTCGTATTTTGGTAAAACTAAGAAGAGAATGATATATTTTAATGAATTCTCTTCTTCTTCCAGATCGTTCTAGAAACTGATGATGAACTAAATTCTTTTGCATTTGTACTTCCTAACATTAGCTTTTTATTGATCATTGGTGGATATAATGAATGATTATTTGTGAAATACTAATACTTCTATGGCCAAGACACTCAAAAATCAAACCATCACAAAATGGCTATGATTAACTGAGTTGTGAACATGATCACTGACTTTTCACGATCGCAGGTAGAGGTCATAATTCTCGTGAAGTGTTTTGAGGTAGAATGCTTAAAACAAGTTCTCAATCTAGTAAAATGCTGCCATGAATAGCTGTGCTGGGATATGAAGTTTTATGCTACTCAAAAGGACTCCTCTTTCCTAATGATTATGGTAGAGTCCTTTCTTATGGATTGAGGTGAAATACGTAGGCCTCATGCAGGGCAGAGGAAATTCTCTCCCTTCTCCACTAACCATATTTAGAAACTTCAATTCTTTGTGATGTTATTTTTTTCTAAAGGAAGACAGTTTTACAGTTAGTTTGTAAATGAAAATGAAATGAAATTTGCAACCTAAAGAAGTTTATTTTCTTAAAACAATAATTGTGTTTTCAGATATTATTTTTAAGAGATTTTCATTTTTTGAAAAAAGGCGGGCTACACGTCTTTTAAGCTCAATGGAGCAAAAACAACATCCACTTACGCCAACAAACGCGTTGATATGATATTGTCCCAAAACAGGCTCCTTGGATAACTGAAGTTCAAGACTAGCAATACCATCCTGGAGTTCCACATTATCCCACTGGTTGATTCTCGTAGAAGAGACGCTCTATATCAAAGTATATTGTTTATATCCACTGCACAGTGTCCATAATGCCTAGGCCTAACTGCACCATGCAATTTCACTTTCTTATGGTGGGCTTCTAGCCTTCTATCATTCGTTGAAATAAGATACTAAACTAAAGTGGGAAAGCTGACGTCGACGAAACTTTTCATTTGCTGCCAAATTTTGCTAGCCTGCAAATTCCGGATGTTTGCCCAGAAACTAGGGTGATTTTACTCCTTAGTTGTTTACGACATTCAATTATCACGGATTAGAAAGTAAACTTTTAAGTCCCTCACCATACGAACGCTGTCGATCTGAAAAACAAAACAAGAAATTAAAACACGGACTCAGTGATAAAAAAAGATTGGTAAAAAATCATCCATTATATATTGTGCGAATGCGCACTGACATATAAGATTGCAATCCTAAACTTAGTTGAGTCAATCCTTTACCTTCCCTTCTTTTGGTTTCAATTTTCTGTCAAGTACAATGATTCTCATGCGAACTTAAAAAAAGAGAACATTGTCATTTCAGTACCTCAAAGTAATTCAACGCCTCGTTCGATCTCGGCTAAGTGGGATCATGTAGACAGCCCTTAAGTCTGTTTATGACATGGTTGCATGGTTTAAGAGTAATACATTAACAATACATCGCTTTCAATGTTTCTTATTCTACTGTTCGTCGACTATTTGAACTGAAATAGAATGTCACTGTCGTGGACAAGATATATTGCTAGGCCATGCATAGTTACACATTTCACACTATTTCAAAAATACTGGCTAAATAGCTCTTACTTTTTTGTCCTGGTTTATAGATTGGCTTATCGGTTTGTATAAAAACAGCATCGTCGTTATTCCTTTGTGTAACTATCACGTCAACTTCATCCGAATTTTTACCACAAACATTTGCTTGAAGTTTAAAATTGTATCGATAGTAATAGCGACGAGTTGTTGTTACAAAGTACGTTGGTATCTAAACATAAAAAGAAACCATTACCTTGGAACGCAATCAACGCATGGTGTGAAAACTAAGCGTTCAAAGTTTACAAACGATTTTTCTAGCTCCTAACTGGTCAGATTCTTACGCATGCGTGTTCTTATGAAGTAAAATGTACATTACATGAATTGCGAGCTTTCCCCGTTCTCCTGGCGCAAAGGTACCATTCACTGAGACGAATAACCGAGAATTATATCTGGATTTAAGTGTAACTTTCACTGCACAAGGTTTTGTTCCAAAAATTTGAACGTTGATTGTTTCATTCTGACCAAGATAATATTGATAAGGCGATGTGATGAGATACTGGGTATTCTCAAGGTCAATCGCGCTATATTTTCAGAGGAAAGATTTACTGAATATTAGCCAATGCATTTCAGAAATACTATCAGTTCTAAACTGTTCCTGACCTAAGGATCATCTCTTATTGATCAAGTGTTACTACAGGAGAAAACCTAAACTAAACTAACTTTATTTATACTGGATAGTTCTATCAGTTTTAAACTGTTCCTAGAGGTCCAGTAAGGATCATCTCTTATTGATCCAGATTTCCTACATGACTGTAACAGGAGGAAACCTAAACTAAACGAACTTTATTTATACTGGATATGGCTCTATGAGTTCTAAACAGTCCAACAAGGATCAGCTTTTATTGATCCAGTGTTGCTACAGGAGGTATAAGACTAATCTAAACTGCATGGATAGCTCTTGATAAAAAAAGAGCCAAAACAACAAACAATATATTTATAGCGCAAGGTCAGATAAGGGCGCGTGATTGTTGATGTCATTAAAACAGAACTCCCTTAACACTTCTAGTGCTTTCGTCTAAATTTATCAGAAATTGCAGCCAATCATTGTATTTTTATAGATGATTGTATGACCTTATGGAAGATGATTGAATATCCTGCAACAATGAAAGATGATAGCTGTGATAACGCGATATTGGGAAATTGTTGTCAATACCAATTGTTTTCAGGTATGCGTTATATCAACATTTAATATAATTGCGTAAACAAGTCTTGTACATTAATCTCACCGCACGTAGAGAAAAGTATTGATAAAATGGCAGCTTGCGCAGCTTATTCAAACACTTTCAACCAAAGTTGCGCGCATTTAGAATTTGGCGCGATGAAGTTGTGACGCAAGTGTTTTTGACTCGAACGGCCTGCGTCAAAACATGTTTAAGCGTGCCATTTGTTTGGAATTTGCAAACTTGGCAAAGGATGTAATTCATTAATCCGCAATATAAACAACAAGGGGTTTCCTATATGCTCAAGAAACCTCTAGGGCTTGTCTGCAGTTGTTGCGTATATTGCAAACTGCATACGCGCAAAAAATGCGTGCGCTGAATCACATTTCGGACACCATTGACAAGCAAATCTAGATCAAAGGAACAGGTGAACACATCGTTGAAAAGGAAGTAGGTAAAGACTAAAGCGCTAAAAACGTTGTGTTAAATAATGTTTGGCTATTAAAGACGTGAAAGGAAGAATATATTAGGTTACATGCACACTTGACAGCTCAATTATATTGTTTCCCTTGTGCGGTGTGAAACAGCAAGTCAGCAACCAGACGTTTTTTTTTGAAGCGCATGTGTTGAAGCAAATGTTTGCGCACTTTGCCAACGGACGTTCAATTAAATGGATATTATTATCGCTAAAAGAGTGACACATGCATTTCTTTCCAAATTCATGGTGATCTTAGCTTTTCTAAAATCTAAACAAACGCAGACTACATAATCTGGACATGAAATTCGAGAAACCAGCAATCATGTTGTGACGCATATAGATTGTCCAATATTGCTCAGCAAATCTCACACAAACAATGCAAATAGAAGATGGTAAAGTGTATATCTAAGTTTATACTGTGGTATGTAATAGATCAATGTAACCAAAGATAGTAAAAACTAGGTACAAACCTGGTTACAGCCGCAATCAGCAAAATAAGCGCAAAGCACCTCACCATTTTGACGCGGAAGTGTAAATGGAGGCAGACGCTGCAGATAATGCAACAGAGAACAATCTGGACATCAAATATATACCTTACCACCGGAACTACGTGCTGTGGAATAATCTGGGCGAGCCGGCGGTGACGTCACTGGAGTTTAATCAATCTTTCAACATGCCATATTAGCTGTTTGAAGTAGAATGTTTATATTACCTGGAAATTTAGAAGCATTTTTCAGTAAAATTACGAAGAAGGTTGGGAGTGAAAAATGAAATGATTGGCCATCACGCCATGATATTCTTGAACATTCCTTCTCTTTCAAGATTTCCGGACCAGTTTGCCAGATATCTAATATCATAACTTTGCGAAAAGACCTTTTTATCAATCCATTACGACTCCATAGCTGTCTAACGCTTAATTTTCGACGTGCGTCATGCTTTCAAGGTCCCAAAAAAAGGATTTGGGAAACAATAGACCCATTCATTTCAGCATTTACTCGAGTGGTGAACACTACAGTTCTTCAGAAAAAACTGCTACGTTTTATTCTTGTTCAAAACATTAAATATGTACATTCACATCAATTACTACGCTATGTTGTGTTCTAAAAAATTGGAGTTTAGGTGGAACTCTTTTCATTCAGTGCAGTGCTGCAATTGCTAAACTGTATTTGCATCACCAAAGTGCAGGTTATATTGGCTTGATGCTCGTGTCCAAATGTCAACTGTCAAATTTTGATAGGTTCTCATTGAAAAATTATTTTCCTGCTTTTTCGTGCCCACGGTTTTCCTTGTTGAAAGGCAAATGTATCATCAGTTTTAGAACCATGCACTTGACTGCAAAACTTATTAATTGTTTATGCTATACAAACTTGGCAAGGTGAAGATGCAGTCGTCCTTATATTGCTTTTGTCGTTCTGTCCGCAGTGTGAAATTATTATTATTGAATGCATCATGTTCATAATTAGATCCTAGCTCCCCCTCGGACAAAGAACTCTTTTTTTCTTCGGTCTTCTTGTGAGAATTTATCTATGCAGGGGTGCTCTGTATATTCGTTCGTTGTTTTTGGAAAGTGACTCATTTTGGGATCGGTTCTTTTAAGCTGTCAACGATGCTGTTCTGCCTGCTCAAGTGTGTCGAGTGACAAAGCTTTGCCATATGGCGGCAAAAATTTCATTATCCTAGTTTGAGGAAGTAGATTTTCATACTGTGAACTAAAGAGATTGAATCTCTTCCTCTGTTTCTCAAGATAACGTATAGGATCCGAACTCATTTTTGCTTGTTCCGTTGAATTTCATCCTACTGCAGGAAGGATTTTTTGACACAATGTTTGTACCAAAAAACATGTCTCATGCCATTTTTGATATTACTAATATTGGTTTGGGTTTGCACTAACCGAAGCATTCAGTCTGGTGATTTTTCATTATCTTCGATAATTGCAGTTCACCGGATTAGGTGGTCACGACATCTTTGTTTATCGTTAGTAAGCAAATACCTATCTCGCTTTCATAGATTACGAAATCTATCCATATTTATTCACATGTCAGTCTCTGCCATTAAACATCTTCAATATATTCTTCGTCTTTCAATATCTGCAAAACCTGATCCGCTCCGTGATACTGCTGATATGAAAAATATAAAGAGTGCATTTGAGTGAGGGAGAGAGGAAAAGGACTTGAAACATTGTTGTTTATACTCAAGATCTGGCAAAGAAGTTCTCTGATGAACCCGTGTTCTTTAAATTCTTAGTCTAAAAAAGGAATGCACACGGTATAGACCAAGTTTCTTGGCCCAAAATTTTCTTCAGTTATAGATTTCCAGTCGGCAGATGTTGGTAGCTAATTCAGTCGGCAGACAAAAGATTGAAGACTGAAAGCAATATTACGTATCATTTGGTTGTCAATTAGTTGAAAGATCATACACCCCCTTGGTAACATATCTGAGGATGGCTCTGGTCTGAATCACGCGTGACCCAATCAACGCATGCCTTTATCTGCGATTTTCATTTTTGATGAAATCACATCATCTGAGAGTTAAAAGAGATTGAGATAGAAGACCCGTCCAAAATCTGCAGCAGAATAGAAACAGTTATAGATAGTTGTCTGATAAATTTGCGACGTATTTTCCGCCCAAAAGCCTTGAAAGGGAATACTGTCACCGTAAGTAACGTACCGGAGATCAGCCCTTTAAATAATAGCCACTTATCGAGGAAATCATGATTATGATGACATTTTGCCAAGACGAGATACCTTGAAGTTGTGCATGTGAACAAGAGAAACCGTTCCTTAAAAAATTTGGACGAAATGGCATTAAGATCGATGCAGCGCTTCTAAAGCACGGAAGCACCATTTACGTCATTTGGTGATGTCTGATGGAAATACAGTGATGTACTTATGATAAGACGATGCTGGAACCCGTTTCAAGTGAGACTCGCATGTTTTGAAGCCGAATATTAGCCGAAGCAGTCAAGCAGTAAATTTGAGGACAAAAGAAAGAAATTTTGCCGTATCAGACACATTGAAAGCACACCAGTCAGCGATGTCAGTTGGTTAATAACAGTTGATGCTCTACCTGCTTGTGCTGTTTAAAATTAAATTTATCTGACCGATTTGTGGAATTAAATACGTATTTTTGTGCTTTTTAATTCCCAGTTTGCTACTATGCGTTGAAACACAAACTATAGGCGTTAAAAATAGAGCTGTTGCGCTGTTGAAAAACTTTAAATCATGAATGATTGCGAAAAACGTCGTGCTCCAAGTAGGTACTTAATTGAACAGGAACGCGTATCAATGATGGGCGTATGTGTTGTCGAAATATGAAAATTAATACGAGTGTTGATTGCGCTACGATAACATCGCTTAAGATAAGAATAATAACATTGCATTTTTGAAATAATTTTTGTATGAATTATCTCAATCAACTGCTGTCGTCCTCGGGATGGTTTTGTCACTGGGCGTCTTTGGGTGGGACAATCGCTAATTAGATTTAATTCATATGTCCTGCGTATTTAGGTCGGCCTTGCAAGATTCCTAAAATTTCTTCCTACTTTTAAAGATTATTTAGACATGAATCATAAGACACCAATTTTAAATGAATGCCTTTTCTACATTTTTAATTGTGCTAATTGATTTAAGCATCTCGATACTGAAGCAATATATTTGAGTGTATCAAGTGTCATTGCCTCTTAGGATCAATATTATGTTTTTAATCCCGGAAGAGGTAGCATTGCTTAGGGAAATCATTAAACTTCAAAAGAAAGTTTATGCACGTCTTGTTTAGGGTTCCAAATTCGTCCAATGCGTCCACTGATTTCTCCCGTCTCAGCTAAAACATGTGTCGTCTGTGTCGGGTGCTCTTCAATAACTCCACTCGAGATAAAGATAATAAGATCGTATTATTGTAATAATTTTTATACAAATCAACTTTTCATAATAATATTAACAGCGGGTTTCTAGACAAAACAATCGCAAAAGAACCGTCTGGTTAGGTTCTTTAATTTGCTTCCTACATTATAGTTTGTTAGGAACACGAAAATACTTTAATGAACATGGGGTTGTACATTTTTAATTGACCTGAAGGTCTCAATCATCCAGCTATTGGCTCATTATAAGAATCAAGAATGTGTCGACATTGGCGGTTTTATTGGTATTTTTATTTCGAGTCAACTCTTAAAAATATTTCATTATTTTTTTACACTTTTCAATCCACAGATTGATTTTTATTATAAACTTTATTCTTGATTCAATTCTGTCGTCAATCAGTTTACGCGTTTACGTCACAACTAGGATACAAGTAAAGCTTACGTATTTTTTGTTGATGGGAGAATTCGTTTGACTAATGCCGCCTGTCACAACAAATTATCAACTGAAAAAAAATACTAAAAGTAAGAGCAAGATAACCCGAGTCCAGTCACTCGCGTCGATGAAATTTAAAAAAAGTTTAAAGTTAAATATCTCGAAAACTACTGAGACGGATTAGGTGGGAAGCCTGTACTTTAGGAATATTGAAAATAACTATTGTTTTGATATATTTATATAACCTAATCGAAATAAAAATTTTTGCGATATAGTTATCGCTCTGGCTCACTCAACAGCGACAATGTAGCAATTTATTGCATGTAGCAAAATATTGTAGCAATTTATTGTAGCAATTTATCGTAGCAATCTATTGTGGCAATTTATCAGTGTAGCAATTTGTAATAAACATGATCAATCTCTAGCAATATATTGTAGCAATTTATCAGTGTAGCAATTTGTGATAAACAAGATTATTGTCGCCAATTAGAACAGCAAAATATTCAGCTTAACAATAAACAAGGGACTTCAATGAAATAAGACATTTGAAAAATTAAACACGACTTAAATAATTAGTTTTCGTAAGCAATGTAAAATGAGGTCAATGGGGCTAAGGAGGGGAGATAAAGCCGCCAGCCTGCAGGCTTGTACAACCTTATTGACCTGTATATACAGATTCGTGATAACCCTCCCCATTCGGACCTCAGGAAACATTGATTTGTGTTTATTTTTAAATACATAACAGTACGCGACCGGCAGGCATGTGGGACGCAAGAAGTTGAAAGTATCTGCGCATGTACAGTGAGAAATGTCGCTAAATTACAATTTTGAGAGATATAGTAATATATGGTATATTATTCAGTTTTAATCAGTATACCCGCGATTCATTCGTGGTTCAATCTAATTTAACAAGAAAAGCGCGATTTTTAATTGTATTTTATTTTGTTCATTAGTTCCTTCTAATACGTCTCAATTGACGCAATTAACATCTTCAATTAGAATCCTAATTTTTTTGTGTTGGATCCTTCATGTATCGTATTTAATGTAAATGAACTCAGGCCTTTGTTAAGGATTTTTTCCCTCAGGAACAAAGACCTTTCAATCGTTTACATTCATTGCAACACATAAAAATTCAACGCTCAATACAATGTATCAAAATTAGCTATCATTATTACTATTGGGATGCGCCAATGTTTCAATTATCAGTCAACTTCAGCATGAGAACTCCACTTGGGTTTACGAGACCTTTGAAGGAATCTTTGAAAACTCCAAGGTCTTTGGAAGCGAAGAGGTCTTTAATTCTTGCAGAAGATGCTGGGAAACCAACCTGAAAATAAGATTTATTAGCATCTGTTCCTTGTCGTGATCAATCTATAATTCAATACATTGTGCCATAGACAACTTTGATACTTACAGTTTTAAAGGAGAACGATATTTGAATAGGCATATCTGTCCTTTTGCTGAACAGCACCACAGCTACCGAAGTGTCTGCTAATGGTTTACACCATATTTCATAGTGACTGGTGGACTAAATAAGCAGAATCATTGTGAGACATCTAACTTCAATCTGACTTCAAAACATCGACAATAAAGTGTAGTTCACATACTTTATACACCCGTTTTCCTTGAATTCCAAGTTTATCCTGATTTACAGCTATGACATCCCTTTAAAAGGATATAAACATGTCAGTTACTACCGTAATTTGCTTTGACTTACATTGGATCATTTCGGTTGCTACGTCTGTTTGAGATGCTTCCTTACTTCGTCTTTTATGGAACTTACTTATTTTGAAGAATTTCCTTGAATTCTGGTGCCAATTTTCGAAGATCGTTCGACATAATAAGAGGCTGAAATATCAGATATGCACAGAAACTAGTTTCATGAATAGTAATTAAATTATTAGGATCATGACTAATAAGTATTTAACGACATTATTTTGAGATTGATCATCCTACCGATGCCATTATTGCCCAGATTGCAAATTGTGATTTGCTTTGCTCAAAACTTAACGAAAAATCGCCAATTATTAGCTATAAAAGAACAGGCATTTTTTAGAGATTCTTAGAACATTTAAATAACTCTAATTATGTTTAATCATCAATTAATTGTACTGTGTTAAACCTCATCAGGGTCATTCCAATTTCCAGGCCCAGCAGCCTTGGCAAGGGCGTCTTGGTTTTCCGCATAGTAGTCAATGATAGTTAGAACACTGTCCCAAGAATCCTAGTTATATGGAAACACATGATATATGTACCATGGGTAATTCTCCAGCTAGATATCTTTAGTAAATCTGGGAAATATGAACCCATACCTGAATGTCATTATAGTTTCTCCATAAGTTGCAGTATTTAGCAACAATTTGATAGTCTGGCTACAATAGAAAGGTGAATTGTGCTTTTTTTAAAGATGCTTTGTGCTTTTTTTAAAAGATGCTTTGTGCATTTTTTCTTTCTTAAAGCTTCAAACACCATATACATACCTTTGGGTTTAAATAGGCTGGCCAACTGCAAGAAAACACTATTGCTCTCTTCGTAGCATTCAGAGCCTTAGTCATCTCTGGATATCCGGTGGCCATTGTTTTAGGATCAGAGTAACAACCATCAAATTTCAGATAATCAACAGTCCAGTTTGCAAATGTCTAAATTATATATTCAGTGAAAGACTGACATTAACATAATAGTTCTAGCCACATTAGCAGGTAGCTGCGTGGATTGTTTTCAAACCTCTGCATCCAGCATCATGTTGTCAATACTTCCTGGATAACCTGCGCATGTGTGAGTCCCATAGTCTGGGGAGATAATGGCGATGTTAGCGAAAGAGGATGAGGAGATTATGAAAAATCAAAAGCATGGATTACCTGCATATATTCCCAATTTAAGTTTCTTTGAATGGATCTGTATGAGGTGGATTAAAGGATGTCAGGATTAGTGGATTTTGTTAAGCAGTTTAATCAGTGGTTTAAGTGGGATTTCAGTCATTTCAGTGGAATGTCATGTCAAAAACATGTTGTTCTCGCACATATTGTCATGCAGGTGACTCTAACACATGTAACACATTTCATTATTACATCCTTATCTCACATGTTATTGACACATGTATTATTGTCACACATGTCTATGTAAAGCACGACATTGTCAATATTTCATATTTCATTGACACATATTAAGTGTCTGGCAAATTGACAGAACATACATAATCTGCAAGTGCTTTCATCCCGCTGGGGAATCTTTTCTTATCTGGTTGTAATCTTCCCTGGCTATCGCGTGTTTTTTCCATCCAACAATCCTAAAATACACAACAGGCCTACCATAATGATCCAGTGCAGACTGGTGTGGTAGCCTTTATAGGAATGAAATAATTGAAAGCGTATTCTGCTTACATCAATGCTAATATATTCATAACCAGCCTCCTGGAATCCATCTTCAGCCATACGGTCTGCCATATCCATAAAGAGTTTCTCGCTATCATCATATAAAAACATTTGCAATAGTCACATGATTTTGAATGAAACTTGTTTTATTTGAATAGCAATGGTGCATCTTATGTACAAAATCTTCAGTATTTAAGAAGATTTAGTGTTACCTACTGACCTAATGCAAGTATCTGGAAATGTGTCGCAGTCAACATTGCATCGAAATCTCTCCCATGCCATCCATCCCACTAAAAAACAAATAAACAAATACAATTTTAACAAATTTCGCACATCGTATATAACTTAAAAATAACAAAATCACACTAATATTCTTGTAAAATCACACTAACTTGGAGGCGTTAAGGCCATTCCATTGTCCAGGGAGCTTGTGCAATCAAGCCATAACGAAAAAACAGTCAAAAGTTTGAAAGAAACGCCGAAATAGCTTGTACCTTTCATCTTTGATTATGTTTTGATATTTTGAATAAATTGCGGAAGTTGGAAAGTCGCTTTTCTGCCCGTTTTTGCGGGCTAAAAAAAAAGAAATTCGGGAATGTGGAAACAGCGGCATTCTGTGGCGTTCTAATAGCCAATCAGAAGCAAGTATAATTTAAAAAGAGCGGGAAGGGTTCAAAATGGCCGGTGATAAGGATCACTGGTGGCCTTGTAAACTCAAATATTTAGAGGCAAATTACGAGAGATGCAAACTCAAAGTACGGCAGGATTCGTTGTATTGTAAACTGTTTATACTTGAGTATCAAAATCGCTTGGAAGAAGAGCGAAGAATTACGTTGAAATATGAAAAAAATGCCGTCGAAGAAACCGGTGTACGTTGAATATATATTATTTTTTATGCAAATACACAATTACTTTCTAGCGTGTCATGAATGTATAAATATCTATAATATCACTTCTTTTTACATGTATTTCTCTTCAGTTAATGTAATAGTTCATGCATATATTTGAATCTCTGTAAGAAATACATTGCCATATTAGAAGTCGCCATTAAAAATTACTAAATTCCAAATACAAATGTCAAATGTCTTATAGTATGTAAACTGTTCAAACAATAATCCAAACTGCTCAATGTCAATGCCAAGTCTTTAAATATTGATTGTTTGCAAGCATCTATATCAGTATTTCTCTGTTTAGCAAAAACATATTGAGCTTGCTAATAACCAAGAAGTTCTTGCCAGGAATGCTGTGGAAAATTTAGCAAATGTGGAAAATGAATGGAAGACAAAAACAGATAATTTGACTAAACAAATCGAGTGTTTGAAGGTAATATTAGCAGAGTTATTGGGCATTTCATCTGATTTTTTACAAATCTGACCATTACAATTTACACATACACTTGAGTCAAACATATATACTTTAATTCAAAATATATAACCCTGTAATATTTCTTATTTTGCAGGAGAAACAGAAAATTGAAATAAAATCTAAAGACGACACAATCCTTCACCTGACCAAGGAGGTACAAGTTTTAAGGAATCTATCTTCTCTTAAGGTCTGTTCTGTTATTCATTTTTAAACCCCAGAGTGTTACTGATTTCAAAATGGGTTATATTTTGAAATTGTTTAATCATTGTTGTGTGTGTTTGTTTGTTTGTACTTGAGAGATGTTGTTAAAGACTACTTGTTGATTTAAATATTGCACATATGCAAATTGCTCTTCGTTCTAAAACACTATGACTTTTGCTAAAAATGTTTAAAAAGAATATAAATTAATCAGAGAATTATAAATGTTTTTATATGTTTAATAGCATAGCATAAATGAAATCATTATAGTATTTATTTCTAAAGTTACAATAGTATGTAGATGCTGTAACTACATGAAGTGAAATTCACGGACATCACTACATGATGTATGCATACAGTACCGTATATGGTACCTGGTATGCATGTTGTTGCGACTTTTTTATAAGTGTTTTTTTTTGGAAGTTTGTTATGCTAAAGAATTATGGCACTGACCAATGCAATTTTTTTTACATCTGATAATTTCATGAATAATTGGGTGCGTTTCGAAATGAAATGGTCACCATTGGATGGAGTTGATTTTTGTTCATGAACTTTTTTACATCACGGGTCTGATGTGGTCACCTTGCAAACCTGAAAGTGGGTTATATGCGATATTGGTAGTTTTTTTAAAGATTTCATAAAGATTGTGAATTCATGATGAAAAATTAAGATATCTTGACTTGGCAGTGCAAAATTCATGATCTTTGCATTGTTGATGGAAAGAATCACTTGTAAGAAGAAAAACAACTACATCATCAGGAATTTGCTGTTCATTTCAAGAGTACAACAGCTGGCTACCTTGTGTATAAAAATTCATGAAGACCAATAGTCAGACAGTGCCATTATATATATGTAAGTTTCTTGTCAGCATTAGGTCTGAGAAACCTTTTGTGAAAATATTCAGAGAATTAATAGCACAAAGCTTGGTCCAATAACAAACTGTATGCATTGAAGAGTTTTCTTTGAAATTTGTTGAAATTTACGTGTGATCTTTAACAGTTGTTTACCTTGGTGCATGATTGATTTAGGGAGCCCTGCCGAAAAATGCTCAGGAGGAATTTGATAAAATACTGAAAACTCAACAGGAAAAGCCACAAATATCGTGTAAAATGGATCGCCAAGTGCGTACCACATCGAAAATCGACGATGAAGATACAGGTCATGGTGTTGAAGAATCCTGCGGCGTTTCTGGGAAAGGTCAAAGCTGTGAAGATGTAACAAATCTGCTATTAGACAATTCTGAGAATTTAGAATCGATAAGCGGAGAGAAATTCGGAGAAAGTCAGTTAGGATCTGTTTTGGAAGTTACAGAAGAGATGTTAAAAAATTGCAGAAGGCGCTCTGTTCTGAAGAGATCACGCAAATCTCAAGTTCCTGACGTTATAGAGAATGTGTCTGAAGACTTGGGTGGGTCTGAGAAACAGGTTAAAACACGAAGAGAAAGAAGAGTAACTTTCAACGGCGAACTAGAATTCAAACTTCCAGATGGAAGTAAAGAACTTGCGGAACTGGTGATTGATGATTCTAATGGGGAAATTGAAACACATGTAGATCAGAATGAGGAGGTGTGTGATGATATTCTGTCATACGAAACGCACGAACAGAGTGGGGTTGATGTATTGGCAAGCAATGATGAGAAAGAAGTGATCAGTGTGGATACAAAGACTTTGGAGGAGTCGAGAGAACCAGAGGGCTCTTTCGAACAAGCTGAGAAGTTGAAGTCTCGCGAAGATGAAGATTGTGCAAGTAATGTCCATTCTCAAACTCATGCGACTGACGGGTTGGGTGGGAGTCCTATGGAAGATAGACAAATAAAGAAAGGAAAAAGGAAAAAATCCAAGCAAAAGACTGACGAGAATAGCAATGTTATTCAGGAATGTGGAAACGTGAATAAAACGGCGAATGCGAAAAATAAGGTAGATATTGATGAGAGTGGAAGCAAAGACGTTAAAGATGAAACGGGAAAGAAAAACAGACGATTTTCAGTGGAAGCAGATATTTTATTATCTGTTGATCGTCAGGCTCAGGAAGAGAAATTAAGCTCTGGCATCGAGAATACTTGTAAGAAAAAGACTCATTCAAAACAAACCGATTCTGAAGAAGCAAAAGTGGTCACCGTTCAGCTACAAGATACAGTCGAACGGCGGACTAGAAACGGACCAAAAAGGGGCCTGAGGAGAGAGAACTGTAATAAAGTGAACACAACTAAGAGATTAGTGGACGCATTTGGCGAAGAAAGAGAGTTAAATGAATTGCAAAGTCGTGGAGAAGATAGAAAAACGCAGAAGGGTAAAAAAGGGAAAGGCTCTAAAGTGGCAAAAACTAATATGGTCGATGCTCCGAGACAGGCAAGCCCAGCAGATCCTGATACTCAGGAGGATCTTGAGAATGGTGAAGATAAGAATATTTGGGAGAACATCGCATTGGAAAAGCAGTCTTGTGGCGTGCGAAAGGGAAAAAGTAAGAGAACAGTTGGTCGCAAGTCGGCCCAAGCGAAGAAAACTACCTCTAGAAAGGAATATAGAATACAGACAAGGAATTCGAAAGCAAGACTAGCTAAAGCTGATGATAATATTGGGGATGAAGTGATGAAAGATATCAGTGGAGGAGATGATATGGCACAGGACTCTCCGTTTAAAGAATTTTCTCAACTTGGGAGTGAAGTAGAAGAAGAAAAAGGGAAAGAAACACCAGGAAAAAGTGATAAACTTCATAGAAAGAAATGCATAAGTGAAGCAGAGGTGGACGTTGGTCAAATGATATCAAATGGTTCTGGTAATGATGTTGAGCCATCTTCGAGAGAAGATAAAATTGATAGCCAGGAGGATGATGCAGTATGTGAGAAAATCCAAGATGAATGTAACAACAAAAACGAAGGAGAGAAAGGCGCAAAAACAAATAAAAGGAGATCGGTATTCGAGCTGCACGATGATGAAGCTGAGGATCTGAAGGGAAGCAAGGAAGGTATGAAAGATGAAGTGGAAGCTAAGAGTAAAGAAAACCAACCTGGAAACATCGAGAGAGAAGAGAAACCAACTGGAAACATCGAGGAAATAAACGAGAAAGAAGAAAAATACGAGAAAAAGGAAATCTTATATAGATTTAGTGGATACACCACAAAAGAAAGTGAAATCCAAGAAAGGAACAAAAGAAGAAGTGGAAGATGGTAAAGATCCGAGCAGTGGTGCGATTGAGGATGAGAATCAAAGGATAGGAGGTGGAAAGATGGTTGGAGAATTAAATGATGAAAATAAAGAGAATAATAGGAGAAAAAGTAATAAGGGAGAGAGGAAACGAAAAACAATAAACTATAATGAAGAGGATAACAGTAGTGGAACAAGAAGATCAAGCAAGAAGATTGATGGTGGAGCGAATGCAAAGTAAGTTATTACGCGTTTCAAGATAAATATAGTGGCCACTTCTTGCCTAACTTTTAAATACTGATCCCCAAGTATAGGAAATATTCAAGAGTCTGGTCTATATGCCTATGAGAATTAGACAAGATAAGTCATAGGAAAGAATCGAGTTAAATTAATTGAATAAAACATATTAAGATAGACAAAGCAATAAGAGAGTAACGTAAAATAAAGTAGTGCAACCCAGCAAAAATGAAATAACTAAGATTCCTACCAATATCGTATAATTTACTATTTACCAGAGCGAGAGAAAAACACCAGAAACCTAAGAAACGAAGAACCTTATACAGCGTCAGAGAAAACACGACTTTCTTTAATGCAACGAGCTCTATTTTCCAGGTGGGTTTCCTAGATTTTTTTGCTTGTATTTTTTTGGTGGTTCACTATACATGCATCCCCGCTTCCTTCTCTGTCTTCCTTCCTCCCCAGTAAAACAATCCACCCGTGAGTGCACTAGCCTTCTTTGAGCATAGGTTTATTGATGAATCTAAAATCCAAGGTTATCTTTTTTTTTCAGGAGACTCTTCCTGTCAACCAAACGCGAAACAGCAATGGAATGCCACCATCGTTATCTTCATTTATGAAAGCATTTATCGTACCTAAATTAAAGAAAAAATAACTGCTTCGTATATATACGATATATTCCCTGGTGGTTGTAAGTTTGTCAAGCCTACCTGTCAAAGTGTATTTATAAATTAGCTTCGATTTCCAGCCTCTGTAGAGACAATTTGCAAGCTCTCTCTCTTCACACACTGGTAGTTGAGTTTTACAGCTGTAAATATAATAAAAGTAGAAATGTTGGATAGTTTGCACCAAAATTATCCTCAATACAACACTAAATTCATACCTGAAATAAAATGCCGGAAGATAAGTGAAGAAAAGAGATCTTTTTTGTAAACATGAATACCTGTGAAATAGTCAAAAAGTAATCCTACAGCAACCGCAAAATGTGATATAAACTACATGCTCGTAGGATAGATTTTTGTATCTCTGAGGCAGATTTAAACAACAGAAAAGTTTCATTTCATAGTCAATTTAACAAGTCTCAAGTACTGTACACGTTCAATATAAGTATGTGAAACATTTGCTTGTCACAGACATTTGTAATGATGCCTTTGTGTATGCGCTGAATATATTGTTGATAATTTCAATATGATATTTAAGGGTCCATCTTTCTTTGTTCTTTATATAGTGTTAATAATAAGGCTTTCAATTTGTAGTGGATATGTACCTTATTATAATGCTCTTCTAATCATACACCTTGACCACTCTTTATATTTATGCAAATTGTGGCTTTTTCGTCTAGACGATTTCAGTAGGCAATTAGAACAATTATGTTGCGCGTAGCAGGAATTGTAACATCGCTAATTATACCAGCCAAGCAACTAAAATAGGTAATAAAGAAATTTTACAAATTCTTATCAGAGATATCATAGATACAAAATATCATAGATACAATCGAGGCATTTGTATGCATAGCAGCAGCTAGATCTTTATTCAGTTAGATATTAAAATGTTGAAACAGTTTGAGTCGTGCATGCCATGCAGTACTAGTTGTATCACATTCGATCCGTCGTCTTTTGAGCTGAAAAAAGACGTGCTTTAGCAGGTCCTCACCACTGTTTTACTATACAGACGTCTTGTAGAAATATTCTTTGACAACTGGAAGGGATTCAATAATATTGGGACAGGAATATCACTCAAGAGGTTTGAAGGAAACACGCCTTCTTAAGCTAATTTCTCGGTCTAATAATAAGTGTGATAATATCTGAAGCGCGTGCATGGTGTGATGCCTGCAGTGCAAATAGATTATTTGTGAAGATGTGATGGTCAGTAAGCTTGTTTATCAAGAATTTCTACGTCTCTTCACCTCTTTTAACTTGCACCACTTGAGTCTATAAATCAAGATTGTTTCATCTGCTATATTGTGCTTTTATTGGTTAAGAAGGGATAGGAGGGAAGAAGGCACTTCCCATTTGGTCCCTTTCGGTATCTGGGAATTGAAGTGTGGGTGAAATGAAACAAAGATAAATTGATTATTTTCCGAATATCGCGGGTTTTCTAAGAGTATTCTGGTTTTCTCCAACAGGGAATGTTGACAGGATAGGTTGGATATGTCAGGGTATGTCATAAACTAACCCTGCCATTGTAGCAAAGATCCTTGATCTGACATAACTCGTAAACATGCAGGCGTCTTTATAGTTAAATATATTCGCCTTTGTTTAATTCGACCTCCGCGTCGTTCGAGCTCTGTTGCAAATGTGAAGGATTACAGCATGCACTCGACGCTTATTTTGGTTGCATTTTAAAGAATTTCGTATCATGATGATTGAGTTAACACGTTATAAACATTAAGTGTCAAAATTTGATACTTTTTGGATAGTTTTTTCACATTTTCTCTATTACCAAAACCAAACCGCATATTAAAAAGGGGCTGCAGGTCGAGTTATCTAACTGCGTATCACAATTACTTCATCCTTAAAGACACATTCTCGTTTCAAACCATCTCATGTCTCGACGTTGCTGCAAAAAGCGGCAATTCTTTTCTCTGCACTTGCGGTAATTATTCCTGAGCGATATTAGTGCCGCCATATTAGACTCTGTTAGAGGAAATACCAACTTGCGTGTTCTTTCTTATCATGTGGATTTTCTCTGCATTTCACCACGGTTCCAACGTGGTCGTCTCACAGAGTCCACGGGGTGCGTCTTCCTGTCAGCGTGAACTTAATAGAAAATGCTTTTTTACCGGCGCGTATTAATAAAACTTCGTCCTTTTCATGCACAGTATGTGAACAGCAAGCAGTCAAAATGGCGGCTCATGCTAGCTAGGACGAACAATCGCAACTATGCTGGTTATTTATCATTCGTCAAAACAATTTTTCATTTCGGACCACGGCAAAGAAAGAAGCTGCGATTTAAAACTTAATATCTCGAAAGTCTGTAGCCCATCTAGGCAAGAAAATCAATCTATCGTTCTTGTCTTCTTTGTAGGATGACCAAGGTTATAGCACGTTTTAATAACTGCAGACAACTTCGTATCTTTATACAAGACTCCAGAGCAAATATAGCTATGTTATATAGTTCATTCGAAGGCATAGCTTTGTGCGAATGATATATGAAATAATAATGAACGAGATAAAATGAAAAAGAAGATAAAGTATTTGCACTCTCCATAATCAATTTCTCCATGATGGGTTTAAAAAGCTGCATAAGCTTTGTTGCCGAATTATGTAAATGAAACAACTTATAAGTGTGCCAAATTGAGATTGCAAAAAATGAAGTAAAAGATCATAATCTAACCTTGTCAACCTTAAAACCCGGCGTTATGATAACAATCATCCCAAGAATCATAATTCCATAAAAGTTGTGTCCAAAAAATGGACAATTTTAATCGAGTCTCGCAATTTTTTGTATTACAAAATTGCGAATATTGAATAAATTACATGTGTTGATATCCTATTTACATGCATATACAATATATATATATTTATATAATATTTATTACCCGACAGATAAATTATGATAATTGGTAATCGTGAAGACAACTTGATCGCAAAAACAGAAACTTAAGTAAGTTGAAAAGCAACATCTGCGGTGAACAGTTTCGATTTAAATTTGCTGTGATAATTTTTTTGTCGAACCGAAAGCATTTTGGCCAAGTCGTGTTCACACAAGCCTGAAAATCAAAAGCGAAACACCGCAGTTAAAAGTTGCGGAAGTATCTTTCTAAAGTTGATAAATTTTATTGTATTTTAATATTATCGCCTATCAGTTGCCGTTCAACATGCATAAGTTTCCTAAAAAAAGTGGGCGGCAGCCATTATTCACTTTCTTCATTTTACAAAAGCACCGTACAAATGTGGCAATTAGCGTCAATCCACCCACTTTTTGTCTTCGTAATTAAATTAAGACTCATCTTTACCGCAAATTCCTGTTAATTTCAACAATATGGCGATACGATAAACTGTGCTGTTACACGTTTGTATTAGCTTACAAGGCTTCAGGACGTGAGGAAAATCGCTCGGTCAAATAAATGCAATATATTCGGTTTGCCATTGATTGAAAGGCGACTAATTGTGGTAAATTGGCTTTGTAATTAGTTTAGGGTATGTTTTTGGAATTTGGTGAATTCATTCTGTCTAGACAAATTATCGAAACAAATTAGTATTTTGCTATAAAAATCTAGCCTGACCCTTGGAGGAGAATTTTCTGCTTTGGCTATTGTACGAGATTATTTGACCGATCCACTGCATTTAGGGATGTAGGAAGGTGAAATTCAGCAATCCGCTACAAAAGTAGGTTTAGTTTTTATACACCCTGTATATAGCCTTGAGAACTAGAATGTATTGTAGTCTAGTGCTACGTGATCGCAACATTTCGCTGCAGGCAATTACCCTAATACCCCTGCGTAAGAGAGGATTATTGAGCGTTCACCGAAAGACATAAACCAAAGTCGTCAACATCATCAGCACTAATGAAATATTCCTCTTGTGTATCGAGAACGCCGATGAGTTAGGTTCAGTACCGAGTTGGATGCCTACAGTAGTTCTTACTTCGGTCAGAGCTTCCGTAGGCCCAGTCCACCAATCTCTCGCTGTTTCGTTCACTATGGGATTACCATTGTCATCTACATTTATCGTTCTGAAGTCTTTCATTGCTTTACGAGCTGCCTTGGCAAAACTTGCATCATCGCTCGTCAGCATATCAAACAAACACGACTTGTAGTAGAATCCTCGCACTCTCGCTGCTCCACAAATCCTCCTTGCACGTTCCTGTCTTTGTCGTTTGACGCGCTTACTCATTTTCTCAAGTTTATCTTTCTTGTAGAGCATTGTAATGACCTTATCGATAGGACTTCGCTTATCTAAATTCATTTGCTCAATTCGTGGACAGCCTCGTTGGCAGAGACCAAACGTTTTACGTCTCGTCATGTCTTTAGGTACACGCATGTGTACGGTTAGATATTTCCCAACTTGTCTTATTATAATTTCAGTTTTCAAAGGACAAATATCGATGATCACTCGACGACCTTTTCCTACTCTTGTTACAGTAGTTGCACAGTCTTTATCTCCACTGGATTTTGTCCCATCGGAGAAATGCGCTGGTAGAGAAAAGCTACGAGCTTGATACATCTTTTCCTCGATGCATTTATGTTTCAGACCTCGGACGATGACCGTCACCTGTAACGAAGAAATTGTAAATTAGGGCTTATTTAGTTCACGTTTCCTTTTGGCTATCTTTTTAATCGACGTTCTAAGGTTGTTGAAGTCTCTTGCTAGTGATCTAGCAAACTATATATCATAAACTACAGATTAATGTCCCCATTCTACATTGTTCGTGCTGCTTCCAAATTTCCAGACACCTCAAAGTCAAACTTGACGAAATAACTCGATAATCTTTCAAGAACTTCTTAGAGCGTAAGATTAGCTATATGAAAATTACAAATTTTCTTCTGCATTCTGCACTCCCATAGGGAATAATATTTAAGATGAATAAGCATCAATTCATGCAGTACTACCCAAAGGCTATAAAGCTACTAGGATCTAAAGATCTAACTCGGTTAGTGCGTTCTATAATGTCGTAGATATAATTAATGATTTCCATTTTTGCAGCAGTTGTTATACAACAGACATATGCATGCTACGTATGACACGTTGATTAATGTTACTTCGTAATTTCTACACATGATGATTTAATCACGTACACATGTCGGGAAAAATTTAAAAAAAATTCTAATGTGAAATAATAAAAGTGTCAACACATTTCTGATGGTTTGCAGAAGCTGTTGTGTTGTGGAAGTCCATAGGAATGTTTGGATCTATAAGTCCTCTTATAGTTTTCCCTGCTGGACTAGAAGGCTTTTCATTAGCTCAAACAGTGCTTTGACGCACGTTGAATTCCTGAACATAAAACCATTGTGGGAACGTTGCCTTTTATACAATGTGGATATTCATCTGGCTGGCATTGTTTCAAAAAGGATTAATTAATCTACTGTAATCTGCGTACATCAGCTCTCGACTGCATTTGATGGATTAATCCTTATTCCAGGAAACGATGTATTCGAATTCCGTCATTGTTGAAACATGCATGTACATATTTGGACTTTCTAAGTGGTTTTTCTATGGGATAGTTAGTAGGATGTTTATAAATTATACTACAGATTGATAAGACGGAGCTTGCACTGAAGACTTAATATTATGATCTATGTTTCTGATCTAAAGTAACGAAGCCTTGTTGTTGTTATATCTTGTTAGGCCCGCTGGTGGACGCTCTGGTATGTGGGAACAAATCCTGCACGCATACACGTCATTTTCATCTATTATCGCAAAGACCTTGAGTGTTTGTCTCGCTTTACTTGAACTCCACCTCTACGCGGATAATGATCCTAGCGTTTCCTATACTCTAAACACACTTCAGAGGTGTGATTGATTACTTTTTATAGCATCGCTTCTTTGTTATTATGACACGCAAACATACCTAACTTATGATAAGGATTGTTAACTTCTTGGGGGTATAAACATCGCACATGTAAGTCCATGTGCTTAGTTTAATAAAGAAATATAATCTTTAAACATGTCATATAGCTGTGACTTATCCCTAGTGTACGTATGCAAAACAATGATGCCCTCGGGTCTCGACTTATCAGCTAGTTATACGATGTTGATCTTTTCTGTAATTTGGTGTACGTCCAATATTATAACGTACTAAACATCAAGTGGGAAAACATGTATATCCTGCATATCACTTGCGTGATGCCCTTAGCAAGATGCAACAGCTTTATGTTTACTCTGAGGTGTATTTTTATTAAAATTTGCATCCGCGTCCCACATGCAATTTCACATGCTTTTGACAGTTGTTGTTACATAAGAGCATGTTTGAAGTTTGAAATACAAGTAATGGCCCGACGCTGCATATCTGATGAGCCATGTTATTAATATTTGCTTTCCGTGTTGTTTCGCGATTCGGATAAAATAAATATGTTGCAGCGCAAGGCCGAGTCGTGATGGAGTTTTTGACGTGCGTTGTGAAAATGGCGGTTGTGGAGTTAAGAAAACAACACGTTAGTTTCAAATCGCTGTAATATCCAACAATTTGCGCGATTAGGATCAATTGAAAGGGTATATTTAGGCAATTTCTAATCGTAAAATGAAACAGGAGGGTTCCGCTAATATCGGCTTCGCTTCACACATGCCGTCAGCCTGAAGATTTTGAGAAACAATAAAGCAAACACGAGTATTGGCTTTGTATTCATCTGCTAATATATTATTTGTAGCCTTCTACGGGCACTCCGCGCGTGTCATGAGTAGTAGTGGAGTATACGAGGAGATATCGCGCAGATCGCGTCTGTGATAAGCTAGGAACCAAGCTGCGTGTGGGGAACAATGACATGCAATGAATACCTAAGCAAAATCCTTCACTTTCAAATACAATGAAGAGGCAGGAATAAAAGAGGGTATTTAATCAGGCAGATTAGGCCGATAATCATTCTAATTGCACATCAGATAAAACTGTAAACAAACGAAACACAATGAGATCTTGGACTTCACCGTACCAAACCACACAGATATTTTAAATCAGATGGCAGATTGTCGGCTTCGCAACTTGTCACCCGCCAAGCTCGCCATAATATATTCAAGATATTTTCATCTCTCCCAAAGCGAAGATAAAACCGTGTGTGGCAGGCATATATTGAATGTAAATATTTAGCGCTTGCATTTACCTTAGAATATTTAGCCTTCTTTATTATTAACCGATCCTATTCAGAGCGCTCAATTAGAACCATGAATATTTGTTACTTTAATCGTATATTTGTTACATTAGGGTTCGAACGATAACCGATGTTTTGGTTATCACCAGCAATTATTTAAATCGGTTTGGAGCTAAGTCATGCAAACTTCGTTTCTGTCATTTCATGCACGATATTTCCCCATATGTCAAAGCCGTTTGAGGTGTATATATACGTAATTAAAACACAAAATATTGTTACTGTAATCCTATATTTGCTACAATGCCAGTCGAATGACTTGAATGCAAATCCATTTATCTCAGTTGAATGACGATTAAAACGATAGAAGTTAACGTTAATCCTACCTTACTCGTAGCCGTCGCTCTGGAACTGTTCTCCAAAGGTATATTCGTGACCTGAACCGTTAAATATCTATTAGCGAATAGCGGCCAAGCGCCAGGAACGGAGCATGTATGTCTTTTGTCTGAGAAGGTTCTTAAATGCGGGTCGCCAAACAAACCACATATTTTATAGACCGGTTTAAAAGTAGGTCTTCGGCATTGTTTCTTATTTTTCCCCGTATTGTGTTTCGCTCTTCTCGCTTCGTCTATGATTCTGAAAGCTTCGTTCACCGTTATATTCATACTGGCACACTTGTTCCTCTCCTTGAACGAGCGCATAAGAGTTAGAGCGCCTTGAAAGTTTAGGTTTAATCGACATGTCGATTCCAGCGGTTCTGCACAACGTAGAAACTCCTTGACGTACACACACGATTGTTTGACATTCTCGATCTCTTTTCGTTCAAGTATTGTTGCCAACTGACGGTTTTGTTCAATACATTTTTGACAACGATCATTACCTTTGCTCATGAGGCTCAAGCCACGAATACTGTCCGAATACAAAAGTAATATAAATACAAAACACACGTATAAATGTAGTTGGATTATATTCCTCCTAATAAGGCTGTTAACCATAATTCACTGGTATAGTAAACTTGAATCCAGCTATTCTTGTTCTTCAACAGGTACAAAATGTGTAGCAATAAAGTGTCTCGCATTGCATATCAGTGAAGCATTCGACACATTAAACATGTTGTGTCGGGTTGCAGACTACGAACCATGCTACGCAGTCGAGACGACGTGTTCTCGACCTTTGTGAACGCGATGTTTGATGCGAAAATAGCCTTGAAAATGAATGAATATGGCTATCAATCAGAGAAATGACAGCTTCCCAATTAACCAAAACTCCTTGTCCGATTGTACCCGCCTACTTTAACGTGATTTTGATCTCACGCGATAACGCGATAGTTCCCCCACACTTCAACACGATGCGGCAGTAACAACGTACGATACGATGGACTTCAACCAGCTCTGACTTACAGCTCGGGTAACTATAAAATGACAGATTATATATCGGTTTAGTTTGCTTTAAGGTAGGAGAATCAGCCCCCTAGTGCTTAAGCTCTCCATCTGTCATACAATCCATCTGCTAGAGACATATCAGCCAGCCAAATTTATGGGCTTTGTGTGATTGGATCACAGTATGTCGAGCTTGGATCTACAGGCTATAGTCTATAAACAAACTAGCCCAGCCAATCAGCGCACACGGAATACGCTTAAAATTTTATGCAATTCTATACGTTTTCCCCCATCGAGATGTTGCGCAGTACTGCTTGACGTTGATTGGTTCGCTTCTTTCCCCCATTATACTCGCTTTGTGGGGTGTTGAATTTTTTGTTTTCAAAATGCTGTGCTTCAATAGATTTCGCATTTTAAACGTCCTCCGTTCACACTGCTGGTAATATCAAACGCTATTAATAGTTTACCATAAGCGGAAAGTCTACGGCTGCATTTTTAAGCGATATAATGATTTCGCTGCATTTCATTTACGTGCCGATCTAATAAACTCGAAATTTGTTTTCACACTCGACGCAATGGTTTAAGTAAATGCGATATGGCGGGATTGTATTATTCTAATTCGTCATGAGACAAAATTATATGGACATAATCTGATCGTTTTGAAAAAGTCATCAGCATGCAATGTTCAAGAGTGATAACATTTCAAAATACGAATCAGATAATGATGTAATTTATTTATTAACTATTTTGAAACAAATATATCGTTTCAATTTCAATTGCCAACAAATAGGGAAACCGTTTCTTAATATATGTAATAGCTAAACTACATCTTTACTTTTGATATTGTAACCCGCGGTATAGCAAGTCTGAACAAGTACACGTTATTGTATTTTGTAATTCTTAAGCTATCAACCAAGATAGCATTTCTGCGGTATTTTTTCAACCTACACAGACAAAAATAAATATGTACTTTGAAAAGGCAGACCTATTTAACACAAAACCAAACAAAGACGCGATTTTGTTGACACAGTGAATATAAATATTGGGTAAAATAAATAATGTTCCGAAAAAATACGTCTTTCATGTGGTTAAAGAGACCCGTTTCCTGAAAGCAAAATAATTTATTTCAAGGGATAATGGTTATAAATCATCTTAAAATATCTCAAAAACTTCATACGCTTATGTATATTGCATTGTTTGGCTGGAAAAGAAATACATTGATATTGGCTAAAATAGGATTAATATAGGTATTACTTATGAGATTATATAGTTTGTCTTTGAAAAGCAATTTATAAAGATAATTTCCGTAGGCCAATATAGATATAAATGATAAAATAGACTACAGTCCAAGATGCTTATATAGATAGAGTAAATTTCTAGGTTGGATAAGATATTATTCTCGCAAAGATGTTAACGTTTCTCTCTAATCTTATTGACTGTTCATCTAAAACCACTACATGGATATATTGAAAGAATTTAGACTTTATCTTCAATTTCAAAATGATATATATCTCTGCAAGGCGTCATTTTATATCTATATGTAGCTATGTTAAATTTCATCTTAAATGACAGACGAATTTTATTTTGATGCGATAATCCTTGACCGGAAAAAGTGGGTTGTTTCAAAGCTATGATAGAAAACGAATTATATCTCCACAACAATGTACGACCTTTTTCTGTCACTCTTATTTTACAACGGATAGAATGCTGAGCAATTTTGTCAGTGGGGGAGAACGCGGTCGGAAGAGGCATATAGAAAAGGCTAAGCAGGCATAATCAGAATGAAAAACAACCCGATAATTGTGATACAAGGTGGCAACAATAATATTGAAACTATAAATGTTCTGTAAATGACATCAATATAAATGTTGTCATGTTGAACACATCTGTGGTATTAAGAAGCCTTAGAATGTCTAAACATCATTTCATCAACTTAATTGGAGCGTTTACACCGCGTTATAATAATTTGCTAAACTTAAACTCCATCAACCGACGGAGGTCAGATGTTTCTTGGGAACTTGCTCTTCAACAAAGAATGACATTTCATGCACGCGCGTGCGTGGTCTTCATCATCCATGCTGCATGTGCTAGTTAAAAGTTCCTTCCGTAAAACTGCTAAACTTCTCTTGTTGAAATTCTGATGGGGCATTGTCCTCTCCACTTAAATAAATAACCTATGTATGTATCCTCAACAAAAAGGTCTTATTTTCGCACATGCAAATAAGCATTCGCCAAATGCCGTGATCGCCGTGATCACGGCAACTATATACGGACGTTTTTTATCCTTATATAATGGATAATTATATATGCAAACAATTTGAAGGTTTCCAATGCCACCGATTAATTCCCGCCCTCACTCCTAATTCATTGTTTATTCTACGGATAAGCATTTAGTTATAGACCAGATATCCGCCATATTACAAAGTCGCTTGAAATGAGGGTCAGTGAACGCCGTAATAGGCTTAAATACTGTAAAGTCAACACACACACACACACACGATGTTCAATATCAGTGTTTCATTATGCATCGCAATTTTGATTTTAACTACGAGACAAAGGGAGTAGGGATGCGTAAAATTGGTTTAGCAGGTCTTGCGATTAAATCTATTAGCCACAATCTCGGTCTGACTCGTCCTATATTTCATACAGAATATCATCTTAGGACTTTTTCGTTCAGTACATACAGCCGTATTTTCCGCTTTGGTCATGGGGAAATTTTGACGTTTTCTACAGTTGTGCACAGGAGCATTTCATGCAAATCTGCGTGCATTCCTGACACCTGTGAAACGCGGAATGGCCAAAATATACGAGACTTTCACGGCCTTGGCACTTCAATAACTTCGAAAATCTCGTGAAAATATTTAACTAATCCTGTTTTGTTTTTCCTGCTTAGATGGTCCGCTTGTAAAAACGTGAAATACTATTGGGGATTATTATGTAAGATTGTACGCCACAAGAGATCGTATATCTGATTCGAGACTCATTATTAAGATTAAACTCGAACTGTAGATTCATTGGTTCATCACGTAGACAGCGAAAAATTACCATCTTTGATCCTCACTTGTGTCATCCATCACACACACACATGCATATATGCACAGGTATTGACATCCGGACTAACATGTTGAAACGAAAGTAATGTCTTACACAAAGAAAAAACCCTTACCCTTGACCGTCGCTTGTTCCTGTTATCTCCTCTTTCAGCTTTTAACGCCGTTTCTTATACCTCTAAAATATATTCAAGATAAATATACTTCAGCAAAGAAGAAAATGTAGGAAGAATTGATAGAACTATCATAGCAAAGAGCAGAACCAGAAATACTACCATGTATTTAATCTCATCTTTAAGTCTAATTCCGCTATATTTTTATAATTATAAAAGTCAAACGTTGCGGTTTTTTGCGTTTGTTATTTATCTCAATATTGCCAATGGAAACTACCCGCTACAGCCTAAATTAAGAAATTTTTGTCAACCAATCTAGCTGTTTCTCTTGATGTAAGATACTGTACATCAGTTGTGAAAGATATATATGTGAATTCTGAGTACATTTCTTTATTCACCTTCAGATTTCTCCTAACGGCCGGCTAACGCGTCCTCTCCTCGAGAATTCGTCTTAACACTGAGTGTCAAATCTATATTCGTCTTTTGTTATATACGGTGTGACGGTGTGATTCGAAACAATTTGCTAAGAACCCTTGGAGTTCGAATAATTACGCTTGCCTTGTAGGTCGACATGCAGTGCGGTCAATAATATAATATTAATGATTTATTTTCACGCTATTGTCTTGTTAGGGCCCCAATAAGCCTCTTAGCATGAGCCCTTTTCCTTAATTTACACTAAAAACACTGGTTCTGCCCTTGTTTGCATGCTGAAGAAGAACACCTGGTGAGCCCAACATGGCACCCTGGGGTACGCCATGTTATTAAGTATTGTATTATTTCCCTAACCCTCGCAATGCTACACATCTTAACCTCCCCTAAAGCAGTCCGTGATCTCTATCCTAAAAATGTATGGACAAATTGCCCTCCTTGTATGTGGGAATGTACCCAGCAGAATTTAGCAAACCGTTAATGCTGTTTACATATAGTTTGCTAATTTTTACACGTCAATCATGTTTAAAACATTGTAGTCAAAATTTCCGTGTATTTTAGCTGTTATGATGTCTTTTAATCCAATTTTATCTAATACATGAACATGACAGAAGCATATAATAGCACATGAACATGAAAAATCACCGATTTATCTGCTTAACGCAATATCTCCCGAGAGATAAACCGCAATAATATATAACAAACGGTTAACGAATGCCACGTAGTAACTTGCAAATAAACTTATATTTCATACAGAAGGATTAATTTAAATATAGCTGTCCATGCATTGCTCTGTGGTATTTAACTATAATATCTGTTTGATGCATGAGGTATATAATTTCTCCGATTATACAAGCTTAAACACATATATTTCACTAGCTATTTAGACTATTACTACATCAATCAACATTTACTGCTGTGCTTTGAAGAAATTAAACGATTCGCTAAAATTCCCTGGTTGGAAATTTTCTTGTACATAGTCAGACCCATAGATAGCACTCGGTTATTTTAGTCTCTTGTGTACGATGTTAATGCGAAGAATCAAAGACAACTATTATGAGAAAAAACAACTAGCCGACACATTCTTGTTTACACGATCGATTGCGAGTGGTAACCTGCAAAACATTAGAAATTGCTAAGGGTATTTACCCGAGGATTTTGGGCAACCGGAATGCTAGATATTTCAGTGTAATCCCATATTACCCATCGATCGTATATATATGGCCCTTGATGCCACTATCTTGTGAGGCTATGTATAGCAATATTTTTGGTTGTAGCTACTGCTGTAAGGATATATTTAATTATAGTTTTGAATGCGTGGGTCCTCCTTGGCTACGATAAATAAACCCCTTCATAAGCGGCCAACGTCTCGTGAGACGCTTTTAAATCGTCTTTTACAACATCGCATATTTTTCATATAAACCTCAAGGATTATCCATTAATCATCTTATTACCTTTGCAGTAATAGATCAATAGAACTTTAAAACATTCCCGATAGATTGTACTAGATAACTAGAATAGACATTTTCTTTAACGCAAAGCTCGTCTCGTGTTCTGTAGACAAAGAATACTTTAAGCTATTTTGTTTTCCTAATTGCAATGTAATATAGCATTTTTCTTTGCAGTAATTTGTTGTAATGAGTCATCAACCACGTTTCCCCGCCCTTTTTTTGTGGCGACTTTACCGCCGCTGTGACATCGAGCTCGCTGATCTCAATAGAATCTGGCACCCATGAACCAGAACATCTTTGGCTTTTAAGGGTTTCTCAACTCATTTCTCCAAAATCTTCTAAAAAATAATCGTTTGTACTTGCATACATATAGTACTGAGTGTCATGTACGTTGATATAGAGAACGACAATTATTTGATCATTTAAAAAGATGTAGTTAAATGATACAGTTCATACAGTACTTGGTTGTCAACTGTTGTATTACCTGATTCGATTTCTTCATTGTATCGGACTTTGGAGTATAAGAAAAGGTGTTTTATCGGTTCTCGTTAAATGTATTTTTACCACAAAACTAAGACGTAAGCATTCTTCAAATAGTTTCCTCCCTCAGAGACCTCCCCGATGGTCGGGTTTCCTGCACCCATTTGTCGTTGAAAATTTTAATGATTTAAAGACACTTGTTTGTGTTCAATCTTGTTCCACTACTTTGAAAACTCAAGCACCATCATTGTTGCTTAGCAAAACTGATCAATCTGTCCTTAATCTTAAGTGACTTGTCAAATCAACCAGTCAGATGTGACCTACTCTAAACGTCTTTAAGAACACAGGAAATGCTTAATGATGACATTAGCTTCTAAATGGCTGATTCTTTGTTCTAATAATCATCAATTAGAACAACGAATCTAAAAAGATGTCAGAAGGACCTTTTTCCGTGTGAGATGAGAATAATCGAGAGTGTTCAATTCAATGTTTTTCATGTGTTCAAAATGTGCTTTGGATGGATTCGTGTCACGAAGTAACGCTCCCTCGCTTAGGAAAACTGAACTAACAGCAAAATGCTTGGATGAACACATAATTGGAGCACACAGTGGGTTAAATAGTACCTTGGTTAAGTGCCTGAATATAATAACTTTTTAAATAATACTTTACATTCCAGATAACTTTTAAACTTCGTTCCTTTCATGTTAAAAATTTGAAAAGAAAATACCTAGATACGGTTGCAGCCATATAACGTCCCTACAGTTGCACATCATTATTCTTTAAAAAGATTAGCTTAGCCCCTGTAAAAGTTTAAAGGTTTGGTAGAAAAAACCCGAAGCTTTTTAAAAATGAGTCTAACTACTCGTCTATTTTGAATGAAACATTTTATGTATGTTTGAATATAATTTCCAAATTCCTAATTAGGTAAACTTGTCCTTTTTTCATAGTATTCATCGAAATATATGCAAAACGAATCGTATTACCCTGGCTGTCCCCCTGTACTTGAGGTGAATCGTATAATTATACTGCTTGTTTTCGATCAATTTCCTGTGTTCGAGATTTATCACAGACGGTTGGTTTGACTCTTCTACTTTTATTAGCATTCATTTAATATTGACCACATTTCATAAATATATTTGGTTTATCAACATTTGTGTGTGTCAATGCACCTGGTGGGGTAACAAATGCTCATTAAAAATGCAAGCTATCGTGTGTTCATCAGTTAACATCTGTGTATAGTGCAAAAATTTCTTTCTGCTGAGGCCAATATTTTTTTGCAAGGGGTAAAACACACTTCTCCATAATGATCTAAATCAAGTGATGTAATCGCTCTATTTAAAACGTATTAAATTATTTCTTTTCCAAGCAGATCTTAAACATTCGTGTAACCACACTTTGAATGGCTGCGTTTGATCCACAATTTTAATTGGCTGGTTTCCTTAACACATTTATTGTATTCAGTAATGTAATAATTTGACAGCTTACTTGAGATTAGCCACACGCAGATCAACGATGATCAATAAATTATTTCACCACATATCAATTCAAAATTCTTAAACCAACCTTGATGTACTTTAGCAAAAAGACACGCACAGAGAAAATGTAATTTTTCAAGTTTGATTGGCCACTTCTGAGATTTGAACGGTTAGCTTGCAGAACATGCACTTCACATAAAACGATAGATCACATTCAAATTAAGTGCTAATTCATAAAAACATTTTAAAATAACTTCGTGTAGACAATATTGTTTTGCTTTTGAAAACACATGCAGAACATTTTGACCACGTCTGAGACCAGATCCCCTGCTATAGTAAGATCGTCCTTTTTTAGATCAAATACCCACCCATATCTTGATAAATTATAATTAAATAAGCGAAATTGGTTTCCCTTTACTAAAATATTAAATTTAAACGAGATAAAACTACGTATCTACTTCACTAAAATGTTATTAGGCCAGCGAAATGCTAACGCTATGATTAACATTACAAAAGTGAATTGTTCAGGATATAGTCTATAGAATGTGAATAGAACTTTTTATTACTTCTCTCTTATATGGAGGGAGTTTCTAATTATTTTTAACTAATTCTCATAAAGAGATATAAGCTTAGCATTACTCATAAGTGTAGAGCATTGCGGTCTTTTAATTAATAGATCAATGGCCCTCGATTGATTTTTCATTAACGTCAAGACAGGTAGAGAGAATGTCTGGCCATGTAGTGTATACGACATACTTACTACTCTAAATTCCTGACGTACCATGTATCATAGTAGAAACGTTTTTGGTATTTATGCTGACTGCGAGTGAATATATAGTTGAATACGGTTTGAGTATCATTACGCACTATATTTGGTAATGGAAGATCATATCACTAACCATGTCCTACTGCTTGTCATTTTAATAGATCTTACTGCTATAGTGAATACAATAGATAATCTAAAGGAGTACAATATCACTGCTTAATTAAATTGAAAAGATCTCGTGTGATCATGCTGTGCCTTGTTCCATTTCTTTCACTGTCGTGATAAATGATCTGCATTGATTTCATTTCACGTGGTAATTATAATACTCAAATTTCGCAATCATCTTATCCACCTTTTTAAGTAAACCATATTCCGTCAATCTTACGCAGTCACTAATGCGACTATTTTTATTGCAACGATGTACTATATTTGTGATCCATATATAGTATCAGGGCATGCGCAGTGAACATTGTAGAAGCAAAATTCATGCCCAGTATTTTAGGTTTCTCCTAATCTCGGTTCGTGCACTTTTAAACGTACGATAATATATTTGCTTTTCAATATCATTTCATTTTTCACTATATCTCGAGGCTTGTAGGAAATGAAATCATTTCGAAAGCCTGTGCAACAAAGCAAATATCATGAAAATCTGCACACACACATGAGAAATAACTGCGTCAATACAACTGCAGAGTTAACCTGAACGTGGTTACAAACTAAATCCATAGATGTATATATTATCATATATGACGTGTACTTTTCTCTCTATATACATTCTCTTGGGTATATTCAGGATGTCAGTACATTTTATGCCATTTCTTGGGCAAGGCATGCTTGAAATATACAAAGGAACTTCGTTAAGGGGCGTTCTGTGTCAGGCATGGATGTATCTCAGTGGATGCGGGGTGCCGTCACCACAGACGACATTCTTATCAATGACGTGGTTATTCTCCATTGATGTACTGTATATATAAAAAATTAATTAATGAGAAAAAAGCTTAAACTACTCGTAAAACAAGATAAGGTATCCTGACGCACAGCTATGACCAATATATTTTTCATTGGTTAGAACAATATAAGTTGTTATATATATATTAACCGATTTTTTATACTGACCATGCATAACAATGGTGGGAAACTGAGCATGGGAGACAACCAGTATTAACTGATTAGTTATGTAACAATTTACATACGCGTCTTTTTGATTGACTGCATGTAATCGTGAGCGATGCCTGGTGAATCCTGGCAAAGAATTCATCATTAGAGAAAAGGTCAATATACCATTATACAGAAACGTCAGCCGTCGGAAATTGCTATAACGGTGAATTGACGTTGTTTGAAGGATATACGTAAACGCGCGGTTTTCTTATCTGTTTGGTTAAAATTTCCCGTCATTTCGTGTTTATCTTGTCCCTCTTTAAGTCATACATTCTAGCGACATCTACTTCCGCCATTTTCTTCACATAATCTGGATTAACGTGCAATTTCGGTTTTAGTTGCTACTCAATTAAAAAATCGCGTTTGGAATTCGCTTTTACTTAACCCCCTCTGCATGTTCTATAGCAGATAACAATTATTAGCTAACTCTAGATCAATATATTTATATGAGCTTTATCATAAATACATGATTTGTGGTTTTCCCAGAATGAGAAGTTGAACGACTATATGTATCATAACCTTCGCTAACTTTCAAAAGTGATTAAGCGGTCGGCTTGGTTATTTTTATTGATTTTTGTCACTTGGCATTTGTTTTGACTATATAGCTCTGCAGGAACACCGTGGGTTAAAAATATTTGTCTATTTACAAAGTAACCGTTTACTTAATTAAGGTATCAATCCCTTGGTCTTTTTTATTAGTTCCCGTGTGTGTGTGTGCGTCATTTATTTCATGACGGGGTAAATATCGTCGGTCAATATGTATAAAAAGATTGATCTCATTATTATGTTTATAAGCTTCTTTGTACAATCGTCAGCGATCGCTGGGAAACTTTAAGAAAAGTGAAATTTTGATTCAGATGTAGATCTTCCTAAGATTTCAACTGTTTTTCGCTGAGGTCTAGTGGAAATACACCTTATTTTGCGGTTCTATAACAAGGACCTTCGAGCACTAATGACAGGATCTATTTCCTTCTTGCAAGCTAAATGACGCAAACTATAAAATACAAGCACTTACTTTGCTGTTAAAGACACTAAATATAAAAATACTGTTTTTCATATATGCACAGTTTGATGCAGTGTTTTGTAAAGTAAAAATATTTACACCTAGACAGTGACAATTGTACTCCAGCCAGAGATTCTTGTATGGTCCCCTAACTATGTTCTTGCATGTTCTAATATTTTTTTATTTAAGATAAAGAATCTCTTGCGGACCGGGGTATGAAAATTTTATTCTATTAATAGGACTAATTAAAGTTTAAAGATCATAACTAACATTTATGTGAATGTATGTAGCAATTATATACTATTTAAGTATCAATCTGAGGTAATGTATTGCTATTAAATTCGGGAGGAATAATAACTTCATGGGATCATGCATTCCTTACCCAACTAATCGTTTCAAGAAAGAAATTAAGCTCTGTGATAACTCTTAATATTCATTAAAGTTCTGCATTCTTCGTGTAAGGAATTAAAGGCCTTTCCTGATTTGTTCAATTATGAGCGCTGCTTTGTTTGAAATCGCCGATCAAAGGAACATTGCAAGGATCGTAGCAATCACCGCCGAAAAGGGCGTCATGATGTTCCTGGGAATGTTCAAGTTACTTTTTTTATCTAAGCTTTGATTGCAATACGATTCAGCAAGATGTTCATGCATACAGAATTCAGTAATAATTTAATCCATTTTTCTATATCAGATTATCCAGAACTTTGATTTTTCCAGACTCTTCGTTACTGCTTTATATGTCTGGGACTCAATCTTGTCGAGAGAACAGTTTAAATATAGCTTCAGTGCAATAGTACATAAATTTTGATGCATGCAGTTGAACTGTTTGATATTTTTAATGAAAAAATTTACATTTTGAACTGCATGAAACACAATACCTAAACATCGCGTGTGGGCATCTCTGAAGCTCAGGAAGACTTTATCAGTTTCACTTCTACTTCGAAGAAACGTTTCCTACCTGTGATTTTACATAAGCACTAGCCATATCAATAGTTACTTGTGTGTTACTTATTAATAGTCAAAAAGTCATTCTCTGCATTTTACATGGAGCATTTATAGTTATTTATAAGTTATAAGTTATTTAATTTCATATCTTATAAATTAAGTTATTTATTTCTATAGTCTCATGTACAGATCGTAATTTTACAAGTTTTATGTTGTTTGAAGGGTTCATAAGTCGAGTTAGGTATAAGATAATAAGTCAAAACGTGCAAAAATCACGTTGAATGACAAGACAATAACACCCATTGACAACAATAGTACTTTATACGAAATAAGCCCGCTTGTATAACCAATTATATTTTGTAATCTGCTTACCTTATACATCACTTGTCTTAGAGATGCTCCTTAATTCATTGTCTATTGCTTGGTTATTCCCCAATGAAACAATATACGTTACTTCATACAAAGCTATCATTCAGATACTAAGTGAATGCGGCTACATTCTTCTTATATATAGCGCTTACAATGAATAGTTTTGCAGCTATTCAAATAATTTAAGAGCGAAAACCTGCCTTAACTTATACAATATCTGACGGATGTCAAGTGAAGTGCTTTGAGGGAGGTACAGATACAAGCCTCACTGAATCAATATAATGGATGTATCCGCATACTATAAACACTTTCAACTCGTGAGATTTGCGTGATTGTATTATTGCGTTTTAGTGGGGGAATTGTTATGATTAATTTCCACCCATTTTATGCGTGAAGACGGTTTATAAGGGTGTGGCGTCACGAAACTGACGTCACTCTTTGTGTAGAGGTCCAGTAAGGATCATCTCTTATTGATATAGGGTTACTACAGAAAGTAACCTAAACTAAACTAACTTTATTTATACTGGGCAGCTCTATCAGTTCTAAACTGTTCTTCCTAGAGGTCCAGTAAGGATCATCTCTTATTGATCCAGTTGTTACTACAGGAGGAAACCTAAACTAAACTAACTTTATTTATACTGGGCAGCTCTATCAGTTCTAAACTATTCTTCCTAGAGGTCCAGTAAGGATCATCTCTTATTGATCCAGTGTTACTACAGAAGGAAACCTAAACTAAACTAACTTTATTTATACTGGGCAGCTCTATCAGTTCTAAACTATTCTTCCTAGAGGTCGAGAAAGGTCTCTTATTGATCCAGTGTTACTACAGAAAGTAACCTAAACTAAACTTTATTTATACAGTCTAAACGTATTTTCTAGAGGTCCGTTCTTTGACTAATCTATTACCTACTGGAAGAAGTTTAAAACTGGACCGTTACACTGTTCTCCATTGGTGGTCTTTTTTATAATGTAGTGTACTGTAATGACGTCATGCAAAGCAAGCAATATTCCATGTCTGTTCAACACATGTCGGTGAAGTCAAACCTAAACTGTGTACTCAACCTGGAATAGATCTTTTTACAAATTAAAAGAAAACTCGTTAACCTAAAATATTATTTGGATAACTAAAACGTCTATCTGTGTTGCACGTTATTTAATTACGACATTTTATATAAGGTGGCTCTCATTCATGTACTACCTCTGCATGATCTAACCATGCTTAACTCAGTCAACTGAGAGAAAACAAAGAAGAAACATTTGTTTTACGAATCTAAGCGATTACTGAGTGTAGCAATAGAAAGCCCACGCGTGAACGAAATGCTGCAAATCTGTCGAATTATTTTCAAATTAATCATAGTTTCATCATTCGCTGATAAAAAGATAATATTAATAACTTCCTTTGCCCCTCAGTCTAAGAAAAATATGAGTGAGTGAAATGATTTGAGTCATCTGACCTTCCTGATTAGTGAGAAAGGGTGTCAAAAACTGGCCAGTTACCCAGTTATGGGCGGCCGTTACCACCAAAAATCATAAAGACGGTGAAAAGCATTAAAAAGTGTACGATGATTCAACAAAAGCGTAAATTATTTAACAACATCTGAAATGAGATAATCCTTGGACGCTACACGACATACATAAAATTGAAGTGGCGTACCTAAGTGTCTGATATATTAACTTGCACGTGTTGAATTCATCAAACAAATGTAAAATCATACAGGGAGTTGCAAAATGCTTCAAGCACTTGTAGAATGCGACAGCTTTCAGAAGTCTCAAGCTGCTTGCATGTCTTAATTTGTGCAACTGGTTTTGCATTGTAATAGCCAGTTTTAAAAAATAGCTAGTTTCAAAATATAGCTAGATTTAAGATAGCTTATTTTCAAGTAGTTAGAAGTGAAATAGCTAGTTTCAAAATAGCAATAGTTCTAAAATAGCTAGTTTCAAAATAGCTAGATTTAAAATAGCTAGTTGTAAAATAGCTTGTTTTGAAATAGCTAGTTTTAAAATAACTTGTTTTCAAGTAGTTAGAAGTGAAATAGCTTGTTTTGAAATAGCTTGTTTCAAAATAGCTTGTTTCAAAATAGCTAGATTTAAAATAGCTAGTTGTAAAATAGCTTGTTTTGAAATAGCTTGTTTTCCAGTAGCTAGAAGTGAAATAGCTTGTTTCAAAATAGCTTGTTTCAAAATAGCTAGATTTAAAATAGCGTGTTTCAAAATAGCTTGTTTTAAAATAGCCAATTTTCAAATAGCTATAGCTAGTTTTGGAAGAGTTAGTTTTCAAATATACTGATAAATTATAGCTGGTTTTAAAATGTATAATTTTAAGATAACTAGTTCTGGAATAGCTGGCTATGAAAACGAAATAATATAATTGAAATAGCTATTGTTTTTAAATATATACCCACCCCGGCTACTCGTTACAGGATTGTTTGAAATACTGCTGAAAAACGTATGAAATATTGCTCTTCCGCAAAGAGGTATAATGGCTGTTGAGATTCTTATACTTATACGAGACAGTCTGCAAGAAATAGATTCACTCTTAACTGAAAATATGCAGGAGAATTGTAATATGTGTATGAGGCGCTTGGGGGTTCTGGCTGAAGAAGCAATGCGCTGTGATTCTATCGACATTGGTATTGTTGAAGAACTAAATAGAGCAAAAAATCAATTGATATCAGAGTCACAATGGAGTGAGAGACATTGTCCTTACCAAGCTCCTTTAGAAACGAACGCTCGTAGAGGAAGACCGAAATTTTTTATTTCAGAAGAGCAACTATGTTTTTTCAAAGGTAATAAATAATAATGCTACTTTATTTTTTCAATGACAGTATAAAAATGCTCGTTTGCAATTTCATCATATAAAGATAGATTTTTAGTTAACCACTGATGACTTATACTTATTACAAATTTTCCTTAGTGTTTGGAACAAACCATCGAACTCGGTGTAAAAAACATTGTAGTGTTGATGTGAAAACTGCGAAAATTCTACTTAGTCCACGCAATGCTGGAAGAATTTGAAAACGCGAGAATATTTTTACGGTCATATACGGATTCAGCAAGGAGGAATTTGAACTAATCGCCATATTTGTTTACATTTTTTAGGTAAAGCCAATCAGTAAGCCTAAATTTTTAGCACTTCATGTAAAGTTATGTATTTATGCATTCAAAATTTATGCATTCTGATTGGGTTACTGAAAATGTAAACAAAACTGTGATTGGTCTAAAACGAAATTCCCGATTGCTTACGGGTTCCGTCCACGCGTATTCGGCGTTTGAAAAAGGAACAATCTAACAGATACGTGAGGACGGCTTTGCCGGATAAATTTGAAAACCATATGAAAACGTAGAAAAGATTTGATTAATAGATTACTCTTGCGTTTTCAAATTCTTCCGGCATCGTGTCGACGCAGCCTTCGACGGCAAGTCGACAAAAATAGGACTTTTGAAAAATATCACATTACTTATATCAAATTTTTCACATGTTCCAACTTGAAAGCCAATGGATTTACACAAAGGGAAATGGGTGAAATGTTAGGCGTCAGTCTAAGAACCATCGAGAACAGAATGGCTGAATATAATATGACCAATGCAAGTCGTTATAGCAATATTGATGACGAATGTTTGGATATTTATGTACAACGAATTGTGGGGCATTTTCCTAGATCAGGTAATATATGCTTAGTGTTGAAATATTCCATTATATTGTTGGCGTAATGTGTTAAATTTATTGACTACGTGTGCATGTAATTCCTGAGCCGACGCTGAGGCAGTAGCGCGGGAGCCAATTTTGACCAACGACTAAAGGCTATTCTCCATTACCGTCCACCTCACTCGCGCGGGCGAAGCGGCTTTTGAAATTCTGCCCATGCGACCGTGACGGGTCTGAAAAACAAAGCGCGCTTCGCCCGCGCGGGCGTGGCGGACGTAATGGAGAATCGCCTTAACTCGTCCGCCATTGTATCATGGACGTTTGGCGTTTTTTAGTTATACAAATGCGCGAATTCCAAATCCAAAAAAGGGTTTATCAGAAGTGAATGATATAATTGTGAAAAGTAATTTCGCTTAAGTTTTTAAAAATATTCGTAGCACATTTAATCATAAAGTATGATGACACGCGCGAGATCAGCAAGAACGTTTGGCAAACCTAAATTGCGTACTTGTTCCTGCATGTAATTTATGCAAACATTCAAGCATGCATAAAACCAATTTAAATTCTGCAAAGAAACGTTTTCAAATTAAAAAACAGTAAAAATCCCAGATTTAGAGATCTCACGTTGGCCAACGTGTGACCTCGTAATTTAATGCAATAACAGAACGTATATTTAGGGGAAAAAACAATTGAAGGCGAGCTAAGATCTCTCGGAGTTTGTGTGCAGAGAAGGCGGCTTCGTGATTCTTTAAAACGTGTAGATCCAGTTGGACGACGCATACGGGCGATGACTGTAATACAAAGGCGTGTATACAATGTTCACTCACCTCTAGCTCTCTGGCATATGGATGGCAATCACAAACTTATTAGGTTTGGTTTCGTATCAATTTATGCCAAAATAGAATAAAAGTACTTTTTCCATGCTTAATTTTATAACTAAATCTTATTTCGAAGGTGGCGTTTTATTGTTCATGGATGCGTTGACGGATTTAGTAGGGTGGTTGTCTACCTTGCTTTGTAGCACCGACAATACATCTGCGACAGTTCTTCGTTTGTTCAAGGATGGCGTTAGCGCATGGGGGTTGCCCTCAAGAGTACGTGGCGATATGGGCGTGGAGAACAGAGATGTCGCACGCTATATGCTTGCTCACGAATCGAGAGGTCCAGGAAGAGGAAGTTATATTACGGGACGAAGCGTTCACAATAGCCGCATTGAACGTCTTTGGCGAGACGTTTACCAAACCGTTCTCTCTCTATTTTATGATCATTTTATGAATATGGAAGCTGACGGAGTTCTTAATCCTGATAACGAACATAATTTGTTCTGTCTACACGAGGTCTATCAGCCGATAATAAATGAAATGCTAAAAAGATTCTCAGATTCGTGGTTGCATCACAAGTTGCGCACGGCTGGAAACAAAACACCACTACAGCTGTTCTTAATGGGGATGCAACAAATTGGCGGAGAAAGCAACTTAATATCTAATGAGTACTTCGAACATTTAAATGAGGTGCAATAAACGGGCTTTTTACCAGAGTTGTGAAAAATTTTATTTGTTGCATTAAAATTTACTTTTTTTCAATGTAGGCCGAAATTCAGTCCTTTGGAATCGATGGTGATGCATATCTTCCTGAAGATGTTAATGAGCTAGATGCCGTCACAATTCCGGAAACAATTTGCCCGTTATCTGAAGAACACCTTGCTGTCTTTAGAGGCACACTTCAAGTTGTAAGTGCTGATGACTTGTGGAATATACAGCCTTATTTGCAAGCCGTACAGACATTAAATTCCATGTTAAACGAATTACCTTAGACAATAACCATAAAGTACTTAGAGTTCGTGAAACACAACATAAGATAAGATATCTTCAATTTTAACAAACCTAGGATATAAAGACATATGATAAAAATATATGGAAATATTATATGTGATATATAATAGATATATGGAACGTGGATGATATTTGATAGCTAGATACACACTATACACAGTATACTGATCAAAAGTATTTAAACACGTGCGGTTTTCAGCCCTCATAACAATGCAAATATCTATTTTAAAATAAAAGCATCTTATACAAAAATTTAACATGTTATAGAACAAGATATATTATTACACACTGTTCACCAGTTTTTTAAATTGCCATTTTCAATCGGAAGTACATTTCTAGTCCAACGAGTGCCATTTACTACATTTTTCTAAAAATGAATTGGGAGATATTTATATGAATGATATTTAAGGGTTAGAGACTGTTGTGAGCGTTTTATTTTGTTGGAAAAATTTTAACAATCAACTTTATATATGGTCACAATGGTTGTAGATAAGTTGGTTGGTCAGAAATGTACTTGCGGATGATCGCTATTTCCGGCTAAAACTGTTTGTGAGTGCATATTATCATACCCACACAAATTACAATTCAAATTGGTTCTGTATTAAAATAGGTATGACCAAAGGGTGTTCGAGTACTTTTGATTAATACCGTACATACGATATATAGCCTATATTACGATCATGTATATCATCAACGCAATGTAAAATAATGTAAAATATCAACAAAAATGTATCATATAACTGCATGTAAGCATAAAATACAATAACAAAAACAAGGAAGACAGGCATGCCAATGACTTATCTACACCATGCCAAAGTATGTATTGGCAAATGCCAAATCAAAAACGTCAACTCTTCTCTGCTCCTCCGCCAACATTTTGTCACCAATTACCAAACATAATTTGTTGATGCACGTGTTAGCAGTGGGATATGAAGATTCTGACATCACAAAATCTATCTGAGGCGATATGGAAAAACCAAGAACAGGCTCATATTCAGATCCTGATACAAATTTCAAAATGTTTTCTAATTTCATCACTCCTCTTCTTCCAGCTAGATAAAAAGATTAAAAGTAGATTCACGCGTACGTTTCTTTACAGTGTCACCTTAAAATTACATACCCGCAACCTCTTTGCAGTATTTTAGAAAGTGTCTATAACTCTGCTCCTCTAGGATTCTTCTGTTTGAGCCTTCCTCGCTAAAATTGGGTTTCATTAGCTTGACTATCTTTGGGTATGTCATGGGAGATACAGCTGTCCGTCGAAACAAGTAGATTAAAATTGGTCGTCGCATAATCAGCTGAAATGAAAGTATAATATTATATTGAACACTGATTTTTCACAAAACAACTAAGTAAATAAGAAAGTCTTCGATATAGACCTAATGCCTAATGATGTCAAACGCTTTTGCCTGACCACGAAGACCGACATTGCCTGCAATAATTATCAAGAAAGTCTCGCCAGGAATGCTGGTATTTTTTATCACGCAGAAGCGTTTGACGTTACTATGAATAAGGACTATTGTATTACTTCTGGTAGAACAGGGCTAGAAGAAACTGTTACTAAACCATGCAGACGTAGGCAATATTTACCTCATCCAAACCAAAAGAAGCAAGTCCTTCTAAAAACTGTATTTCTTGGGGCATCTTTTCCTCGGTATTTGTATTTGTAAACAGCCTTTGTAACTGATTTTCAGAGAAAAAGCATGGAAGCGGACCTCCTTGAAGTAAGGTATAGCCTAGAAAAAATGTCCGAAATCTATTGTGTGTATGTATACCCATATGCATAGAACACATGCAAGCTTGAGTTAAGTAATTGATAAACCAAAAAAATTCATACCAAAAATAATGCCTGCTCCAACGTAAAAACGGCTCGTTCTAGCCACAAGGTTGTCGCAAAGATTGAAATTTCCATCCTCACCCTCGGTGCAAAGTCTTTCCTTTATTTGCTGCAACATAGACGAGAGAAACTCTCTTCTTGGTCCACCCTGATCACGAGCATTCTCCCCTGTAAACGTGACTTCTAACGGAAAGCTCCTGTCTACAGTTTCAGACGTCACGTTCAATATTTCGTCCATTCCATCTTCAAATAGATTCAGACGTGAGACGAAAATTTCCGTGGTTTCGCCTTCCATGATCGTTGTTTCGTTCATTAAATCAAGTGGCCGTCCTCTCATGAAATTTTTTTGATAGATGCGAAGAACTGTGACAGGCTCTTGACAATCACCACTATGTAAGAATTGCAAATAAAAAAAAATATTGGCCTGTAGCTTCTGCTGCGTTAAAATAGCTAAAGAACTTTTATCATAAAAATAATGTGCATAAATGTAAACTCACAGTTCCATTAACGTGTCCTCGATCGCCCTTGCTCGATGTTCATGGAATGATTTATAATTGCTGAAAGTATTTCAGATATACTTATAAGTATATCAACGTTGTTAAATACTGTAAAAAATTACTCATAAATTATATGATACTTCTTAGAATTTCATACTTGTTACTCATGTCTGCATCTGCCGTGGCAATGTCATCGCTCACAATAACAACTTCAACAGGGTGGCTATCGATGCCTTGTCCACTAACAAGGTCACTACATTCTGACGCGGTGGTCGGATGAATTTCAACGTCTTCGACAAAGTCAGTTCTATTCAGGAGAGCACCAACAATTATATAGAACAACATGGCACCCATTTCAACTATATATCAAGCATAATTTAGACTCTTACTTGCTCGTGCAAGCCCAGTATATATTTAAGGTTGCTCTTACACGACCAAATTTCCTTTGAAAAATTTTACAAGCAATGTCGACTCACTGTTTCATTGGGTCATTAATTTCTTGATCAGATCCTTCAGAACCACTATCACTCTATATAAGCAGAAAAAAAAATTGTGTTAATTTTCTAAAAAATTGATGCACAAAGGAACTGTGTTCAGTCAATAGCTCACACTGCCACATTGCTTTAGATGTTCCTGCATTTCATTAATAGCAATCAATGCTTGACAAGAAAGACACTCTTCAAACTGCACATCAGTATTGTCGTTTTTTTCAAGTGGTATATCCTTCTGTAGAGGGCGGATATATACACGCCCAGTACCAAAGCATTTAAGTTGTTCAGCATTACAGCAACCATGGGAAACCACGTGTAGTTCCTTTCGGGCAGATTCTTTTGAGAGAAGTAGTTGCATCCCGCCTACATATTTTAGTACAGGATAGTGTCTACAAAAGAATACAGTATATATCAGACTATATATAGCTCAGTAGATCTTATTTTGTATGAAAAATCTTGTATGCTTAAGAGTCGTCGTATCAATACTTGTACAAAATGTCTTTTACTTCACCACTCGATGCTGTAGAAGGAAATGAAATACGTTTCTCCCCCAAACCGTTTTCGTGCAGTTGAAGCTTTTCTGATGCCGAGGAAACTTGTGTCTGATCTTTTCTTGCCAAGCAAAATATTGACTTTGTGATAGTTTTCCCTACATACAGGCATTAAATAAATTTTAAAAAAGTTATATAGATATAACTGAATATTGGTCCAATTGCCTAATCCTTCCGCAAAGTAGAGCGTTTGGTGCCTTCTCCAACGTTTGCTGCTGGAGAAGAGTGACTCACTGTGCTGTATAAAAAGCTGGACTGCAGCTGACTTTGTCTTTGAACAACACTTTGCCGAAAAAAAGATCAAAATCAAAATCTGTACCTCTGGATGCAGTTCGACTTGAGCTTCTACCATTTTGTCTCCTATACGGCTGAATTCGCTGCAATTAACAAACAGTTTACACAAATAGGATTTTGCTGCCTATAATTTAATTGAGGCAACCCATGCGTACAAATGTACTATTTAAGGATCCTATACCGAAAACATGCAGCTACCACCTGACGATATGTGAAATATAAAATGAATAAGTTACTCACAGATTGCCGACTAAATAACCGACGGTGCTCAGAAATTGCTGGATTGACATTCAGAGAAGCCGTTAGTGAAGCGCTAGAAGTTGGCTGTTGAGCATTTTGCAACTGATTCTCTTGGGCACTGCTCCTTGGCGGGTTTGGCCTTAGGCTTTGATTAATATCTTGAACACTCTCTCTGACTTGCAAATTATCAGCTGCGCTACCGCTCAGTTGATTGTTAAGCTGATCAATCAGCTGCCGTATAGTACGTCTTGAATTCGAATTTGAGGGGAGGTTGCCGTCGGAACTCTAAAACAATATCGGATTTAAAAAATCCTAAAATTCCTTAAACATTGGTACAGCATGAAGTATGTATAGCCGTAATGTACCATACGGGCAATACCCAAGGTATTCAAAAAATAATTATTTAAATTTTTTATTCCCACTGGGAAAAGAATGCGGTTTTCAACCGACAATAGACCTTCCCCTTTTAGCTTTGAAGCGCGCAACGCGTGGCGGTAGTTGATCAAGCAACTTTGACTTGGGAGTTGGGATATCGCTCTGCTTAGAAGCGATTTTGTTTGTATAAGAAAACCTTGCCGATTCTTTTTGCTTCTTTTTTAAACTAAATCGCTTCTGAAGATGACGAAATCATAACTCAAATTGACCTTGATAATCAACTACCGTCATGCGTAATGCGTATATGCAATGCGCTTGAAAGCTAAAATAGGAAAGGTCTATTCTCAACTCACGATTATTTGGTTATTTCTTGTAAAAGGTATTGTTCCAAAGCTAAATAACCCCTCCTTCTCTTTCGATATAAATATTAAATCGTTAGAATCAATATTTAATACATTACGGAATGTATTATGTGTTTGTATCCACAAATGATTTTTCAGTGGGCCTATTGACAATATTTACACAATTAAACTTTAGAAATATGGATAACAATATTTGAATTTACAACTCTAGCACCATGACCTCGACATGCCCTTCTTTTCTAGAAAATTTTAATTTTTTGTAGGCCTATTTAACATTTTATAAGTTACGTTAATCTTCACGAGCAAGAAATAATTGAAATTTTAACAATAGTTGATTTCAATCGTTTTTGGATTTTTTTGGACACCCTGTATATACGCATAATTTTTTTATTAGCTAAGATGTGACATACAAGGTATATATATCAAAATATTGCATTAAAAAAGTGCAAAATAAGATATTTATGAAGTTGCATAAGTTAGCGCTAATTGATCCCAAGGGAGCGTACGACAGGCGTATAAGACACAATCCATCATGCCTGGGCCGGATTATCAAATTCGTACTTTTAGAATTTGTGTGGCTATTCGAAGAACAAGCTTAAGGAATAATGCGTACCAAACCCCAGAGATATAATTAATTACACTTGCATTGAAATACTATTTGCAGTAAACTTTTTGAGACACCCTGCATGTATTGTAGTCCGTGCAATACTCGCAAATTGCAAATACCAAATGTTTGTCAAAATCTAAATTCACATTCATACCATCTTTCCAATTTTAGATCAGCAACAGTAGTACTCATTCTGGAATACGATAGATAATATTTAGCTACATTATCGTGTTAAAATATCAAATAATAACATACAATAAATATAAATACCTTCTTTATTCACCTATATTTAGTTCTACGTGTGTGAGTGTGTCATCGAATAAACGGATATTTGTGTCTTCAAACTTCATGTAGGCAAAATGAAACATCAATACTAATTTCCTATGAAACTCGGAGATTTTTATTTATATTTTAGGCTTGTTTATTAATTTTTTAAAACAACTTATCTTGAAATGTTCATAACTAAATAGCTATTTTGAAACAAGCTATTTTGAAACAAGCTATTTCACTTCTAGCTACTGGAAAACAAGCTATTTCAAAACAAGCTATTTTACAACTAGCTATTTTAAATCTAGCTATTTTGAAACAAGCTATTTTGAAACAAGCTATTTCAAAACAAGCTATTTCACTTCTAACTACTTGAAAACAAGTTATTTTAAAACTAGCTATTTCAAAACAAGCTATTTTACAACTAGCTATTTTAAATCTAGCTATTTTGAAACTAGCTATTTTAGAACTATTGCTATTTTGAAACTAGCTATTTCACTTCTAACTACTTGAAAATAAGCTATCTTAAATCTAGCTATATTTTGAAACTAGCTATTTTTTAAAACTGGCTATTACAATGCAAAACCAGTTGCACAAATTAAGACATGCAAGCAGCTTGAGACTTCTGAAAGCTGTCGCATTCTACAAGTGCTTGAAGCATTTTGCAACTCCCTGTATGATTTTACATTTGTTTGATGAATTCAACACGTGCAAGTTAATATATCAGACACTTAGGTACGCCACTTCAATTTTATGTATGTCGTGTAGCGTCCAAGGATTATCTCATTTCAGATGTTGTTAAATAATTTACGCTTTTGTTGAATCATCGTACACTTTTTAATGCTTTTCACCGTCTTTATGATTTTTGGTGGTAACGGCCGCCCATACCCAGTCGCATCTGTCTGTGGTGCCATCCTCTTCCGATCACAAGCTAATTGAGTCGTAAAAACATGGGCGACTTCATTCACAAAGTTTTTTTTATTTCTACGGGTTCTTTATTTATCGACATATTGCCTTCTACTCATCATGTGTTCGAACGGTGACTTCAAACTTCTTTGAGCAAATTTATCTTTAATATTTTCATAATTTCCATGATCCGATTAAGATGCAAAAGAAAGCTTTTTAGTATTTGTAAATTTGCCACTAAATCTGTTCTCGTTGTGGTCTTTTGTATTAAAAAGCCATATAGTTCATACACTATATATACCATATGAAATAATACATTCTCATATATATTCTAGTTATCAAATGCGTTTGACGTTTGTTTTTATATACCCAACGATAACCTGTGATAATCGAACTGAAAATTATTGAATATTTTCTCGTTCTATTAAAAAAATCAAACAGCAATATTCGATATTTCTTAAAATGTACACGTAGAATTTTCTAGTGCTGTAGCGCGTATTTCGTTTATTTTTTTTAATCGATATTTAATCTGTATGACTCCATCCCTTGTGTTAAAATGTCTACGAAAATGCGCATCCCAATGATAGCCGTATTACGTTTATCGACGCAAAAACTTGACCTGACTTTTCAAAGATTCAATAAAGCGATAACAATTGTAATATTTTTCGCGCAAATCATAAGGCTATGTCCACTTGGTTTCAAGACGTAGACTATTGGTCTTTGAATGAAAGTCCCTTTTAGCTATGTCAACAAAACGCGCGCGGTGGGATTTTATAATTTGCATAATACACGCGTTGGCCTAGTCTGGATTTAGCCAAAGTACGATAATGTTCACTTCAAACCTTCTCACTTTATAACCTATTTAGATTAATTTCAAATTATAACTCCATAAAATTGGTTTCAAACCAGTATGGCAGGCAATACGGCATCATAGTATTTACTTTAAAAGAGAAGTACCTTTAGCGTAGATATTTTAACCATCCCCTTGGTGTACTGGTGAAATTTTCGCGTGAATTCTAAGTTTCTGTTTCCAACTCCACAAAAAGTAGCAAGCTAGCCTCCACACATTTCCCCCAAGATGAATATGAGCCTTCAAAGTGCACGTTTTGATGTGTTTTTTTTAATTCAGACTGATCAAAGCATGTGTAATTTGACACCCATTCGATGGTTTATATACATAATTTACATCTCGTGGTGTCGAAAGACATGTGCCCCTCTCCTTGACAGTCGTTGACCTACCTGGTAGCTTGTAGGAGTGTGAAAAAATCTTCAGGCAGTGTGCAGAATTATAAAACGTGAACGTTTTCACATAAAGCATGCTAAAATTCATGGCAAAGCGTTTTGTAATAGATATATTTAGCTGTTGTGTAATCTAATATATTTCCTGGATCCCGACAGATTATCCTTTATTAAGAAGACATGCAAAATGTGGCGCAGATGCAGAGCGGGAAAGTTTTCTACTCCGAGAAAATTTTCAAGCGCTGTTTAGTAGTGCGGTAACCCTGCGTGCTTTCTCGTGGGGCAGTGTGCGCACCATGGTTGTCGTTGAGCGAAAAAATATTTCAAATTTCAAGCGATCAGTCTTTTAAGAGTCTTAGATCTGGTTCTTTCGGTAATCTGTTTGTCTGTAACGTAATTATCTCTAAATTGCGTTTGTCCCCATCATTAACACCGTGTACATAAGCCCGGGCCTCCAAGAATTACCCCACACCCTCGTAGAAAAACGGGGCTTACGACATTCCAGTACATGCACATCCCAATGCCGTTCACTCTACTTGAAACAGCAAGCCTTTTACCATAAAATATATTCGCCTATTTTATTGCCAGCTTTCGAATTAAGGTAGAACTTTATACGCACATAATACAAGACTAGGCATTCCAATCTGCCAGGACTTTGTAACGCAGATGTCTCTATATGATTATGAAGTTAAACCACTTTCTTTTAATCTGCCTCCTCGACGGTCTTAAAGCATCAAACGATTCACATAATCTCAACAATTATTTTAGTATCACGCAAGCGAATTTTTCAGGGGGTTAATATTGAAATGATGCAAAAAAAGTAAAAGGCTGATTTTACACCAGATCCGTCATCCGACTAATTAAATAGTCATGTCACAATGCTGGGAATGTTGCTAATTACTATAAAATCACTTAAAATTTTGATTAAACAATTTTGATTGAAAATACTTGCATTGAAAAAAAAAATTAAAAATAAAACAAACATTGATTTTGTGTCTTATTACATTATCAAACATAAGCTCACATTAGTTTCACTTATTGCACATTAGTTTGCATATGTGACCAACTAAAAATTGGCCATCGCTGTGACAGAGCAGTGCGCAGTGTCATCTATATATTTTAATATCATAAATATATATAGTGAATATTTTATACGTTTTAAGCCAACAAAGCATCTATTTTCATTGTTATCTTCGTCCAAGAGAAAAACTTTAGAGATTGTTTGCTGTATTTATAAAGTAAAAACCGGATCTTACACTATTATTTAACATCATCAAACTATTAAAAAATATTTCAACAAAGCAACCATTTTTTGTTACAATACTGCCATATTAGCTAATAGCTAACTATAATAGAAAGTAGCGTGAAGCAATTCAAGTAGTGACGCATTTTTTGATAAATATACTTTATGTTCTGACAGATTACTGTTCAAATGTGCACAAGTTACAAGGCCAAAAACTGAAGCGGATCCTCATGATGAGCAACTGTGGCCCGGCGGAGCATATCAACACAAATCACCCTTGGCAAATATCGAAAGAAACAATGGAAAGATAAGTGCATTTACAATATTTCATGCGATATGGTCCATTCTATAATTTTCGTTTTGCTTTCCGGTAGCGTCCATTTTTTCGGTAGCGTTCATTTTTTCGGCAGCGTCCATTTTTCCGGCAGCGTCCATTTTTTCGGCAGCGTTCATTTTTTCGGCAGCGTCCATTTTTTCGGCAGCCTCCATTTTTTCGGCAGCGTCTATTTTTCCGGCAGCGTTCATTTCTCTAAACTTAAGGTCCCCTGTTAACGGCAGAAGGTATGCTGAAATATGCCACTAGTACTTTCTTGTTTGTTGATATGGCTTTTCGTTTCGCTAAATTGCGGCAGCGTTCATTTCTCTAAACTTAAGGTCCCCTGTTAACGGCGGAAGGTATGCTGAAATATGCCACTAGTACTTTCTTGTTTGTTGATATGGCTTTTCGTTTCGCTAAATTGCGGCAGCGTTCATTTTTCCAAACGTATAAGTCCCCTGTTGACGGCGGAAGGTATGCTGAAATATGCTACTAGTACTTTCTTGTTTGTTGATATGGCTTTGCGTTTCGCTAAATTGCGGCAGCGTTCATTTTTCCAAACGTATAAGTCCCCTGTTAACGGCGGAAGGTATGCTGAAATATGCCACTAGTACTTTCTTGTTTGTTGATATGGCTTTGCGTTTCGCTAAATTGCGGCAGCGTTCATTTTTCCAAACGTATAAGTCCCCTGTTAACGGCGGAAGGTATGCTGAAATATGCCACTAGTACTTTCTTGTTTGTTGATATGGCTTTGCGTTTCGCTAAATTGCGGCAGCGTTCATTTCTCCAAACGTATAAGTCCCCTGTTAACGGCGGAAGGTATGCTGAAATATGCCACTAGTACTTTCTTGTTTGTTGATATGGCTTTTCGTTTCGCTAAATTGCGGCAGCGTTCATTTTTCCAAACGTATAAGTCCCCTGTTGACGGCGGAAGGTATGCTGAAATATGCTACTAGTACTTTCTTGTTTGTTGATATGGCTTTTCGTTTCGCTAAATTGCGGCAGCGTTCATTTTTCCAAACGTATAAGTCCCCTGTTGACGGCGGAAGGTATGCTGAAATATGCTACTAGTACTTTCTTGTTTGTTGATATGGCTTTTCGTTTCGCTAAATTGCGGCAGCGTTCATTTTTCCAAACGTATAAGTCCCCTGTTGACGGCGGAAGGTATGCTGAAATATGCTACTAGTACTTTCTTGTTTGTTGATATGGCTTTTCGTTTCGCTAAATTGCGGCAGCGTTCATTTTTCCAAACGTATAAGTCCCCTGTTGACGGCGGAAGGTATGCTGAAATATGCTACTAGTACTTTCTTGTTTGTTGATATGGCTTTTCGTTTCGCTAAATTGCGGCAGCGTTCATTTTTCCAAACGTATAAGTCCCCTGTTGACGGCGGAAGGTATGCTGAAATATGCTACTAGTACTTTCTTGTTTGTTGATATGGCTTTTCGTTTCGCTAAATTGCGGCAGCGTTCATTTTTCCAAACGTATAAGTCCCCTGTTGACGGCGGAAGGTATGCTGAAATATGCTACTAGTACTTTCTTGTTTGTTGATATGGCTTTTCGTTTCGCTAAATTGCGGCAGCGTTCATTTTTCCAAACGTATAAGTCCCCTGTTGACGGCGGAAGGTATGCTGAAATATGCTACTAGTACTTTCTTGTTTGTTGATATGGCTTTTCGTTTCGCTAAATTGCGGCAGCGTTCATTTTTCCAAACGTATAAGTCCCCTGTTGACGGCGGAAGGTATGCTGAAATATGCTACTAGTACTTTCTTGTTTGTTGATATGGCTTTTCGTTTCGCTAAATTGCGGCAGCGTTCATTTTTCCAAACGTATAAGTCCCCTGTTGACGGCGGAAGGTATGCTGAAATATGCTACTAGTACTTTCTTGTTTGTTGATATGGCTTTTCGTTTCGCTAAATTGCGGCAGCGTTCATTTTTCCAAACGTATAAGTCCCCTGTTGACGGCGGAAGGTATGCTGAAATATGCTACTAGTACTTTCTTGTTTGTTGATATGGCTTTTCGTTTCGCTAAATTGCGGCAGCGTTCATTTTTCCAAACGTATAAGTCCCCTGTTGACGGCGGAAGGTATGCTGAAATATGCTACTAGTACTTTCTTGTTTGTTGATATGGCTTTTCGTTTCGCTAAATTGCGGCAGCGTTCATTTTTCCAAACGTATAAGTCCCCTGTTGACGGCGGAAGGTATGCTGAAATATGCTACTAGTACTTTCTTGTTTGTTGATATGGCTTTTCGTTTCGCTAAATTGCGGCAGCGTTCATTTTTCCAAACGTATAAGTCCCCTGTTGACGGCGGAAGGTATGCTGAAATATGCTACTAGTACTTTCTTGTTTGTTGATATGGCTTTTCGTTTCGCTAAATTGCGGCAGCGTTCATTTTTCCAAACGTATAAGTCCCCTGTTGACGGCGGAAGGTATGCTGAAATATGCTACTAGTACTTTCTTGTTTGTTGATATGGCTTTTCGTTTCGCTAAATTGCGGCAGCGTTCATTTTTCCAAACGTATAAGTCCCCTGTTGACGGCGGAAGGTATGCTGAAATATGCCACTAGTACTTTCTTGTTTGTTGATATGGCTTTGCGTTTTGCTAAATTGCGGCAGCGTTCATTTTTCCAAACGTATAAGTCCCCTGTTGACGGCGGAAGGTATGCTGAAATATGCTACTAGTACTTTCTTGTTTGTTGATATGGCTTTGCGTTTCGCTAAATTGCGGCAGCGTTCATTTTTCCAAACGTATAAGTCCCCTGTTGACGGCGGAAGGTATGCTGAAATATGCTACTAGTACTTTCTTGTTTGTTGATATGGCTTTGCGTTTCGCTAAATTGCGGCAGCGTTCATTTTTCCAAACGTATTAGTCCCCTGTTAACGGCGGAAGGTATGCTGAAATATGCCACTAGTACTTTCTTGTTTGTTGATATGGCTTTTCGTTTCGCTAAATTGCTGCAGCGTTCATTTCTCCAAACGTATAAGTCCCCTGTTAGCGGCGGAAGGTATGCTGAAATATGCCACTAGTACTTTCTTGTTTGTTGATATGGCTTTTCGTTTTGCTAAATTGCTGCAGCGTTCATTTTTCCAAACGTATTAGTCCCCTGTTAGCGGCGGAAGGTATGCTGAAATATGCCACTAGTACTTTCTTGTTTGTTGATATGGCTTTGCGTTTCGCTAAATTGCGGCAGCGTTCATTTCTCCAAACGTATAAGTCCCCTGTTAACGGCGGAAGGTATGCTGAAATATGCCACTAGTACTTTCTTGTTTGTTGATATGGCTTTTCGTTTCGCTAAATTGCTGCAGCGTTCATTTCTCCAAACGTATTAGTCCCCTGTTAACGGCGGAAGGTATGCTGAAATATGCCACTAGTACTTTCTTGTTTGTTGATATGGCTTTTCGTTTCGCTAAATTGCGGCAGCGTTCATTTCTTCAAACGTATAAGTCCTCTGTTAACGGCGGAAGGTATGCTGAAATATGCCACTAGTACTTTCTTGTTTGTTGATATGACTTTTTGTTTCGCTAAATTGCGACAGCGTCCATTTTTTCGGTAGCGTTCGTTTTTTCGGTAGCGTTCATTTTTTTGGTAGCGTCCATTTTTCAATTAGACCAATAATTTCTTGTTTAAGTGCCGTTGTACGTTTTCGCTAGTTACTGTTGTGTTTTAACAGATTATAACGAAAACAGTAAGAAATCTTATGATGAGCGATCGTGGATCAGGGCATCACAAAGAAGAGCTGTACAGATTGGCAAATCGTCGAGAGAAGTCGAAAGAAGCATTGAACAGAAAGTGCATTTGACCAGAAGACTGCACTAACATTCGCTCTAAATCAAGATTGCTGAAAGGCCACGTGAGATAAGGGAACAGCATCTTCATAAAATGCTGATATTTCATCTGGTACATAATTAATATCGTGCAGCATTGGACGTATATACAGAGCGTCCCAAATAATGTCACCGCGTGAGGAAAGTGAGATTTAAACAACTTTTTATGGAAATTACAGATACGCAAATTCCATACAGATATGGAAATTACAGCGGATATTACAGATGAAATAAAAAGTTAACAATGCTGGCTATAGCATTTCGTTCCAATTTAGCTGCTATCCATTTAGCTGCTATCATATGAATGACGGTGTAATAAACTTTTAACAATTGGAAATGGTCAAATCTTGATCAAGTGTATTAAAACGAAATGACTGTAATTTGAATTTATGCTTCATATATGCTTCATCATGGTTGCTGGGCAGTTCACAGCTGAAAAACGTCGCCTCGTGGTGCTGGAATCCTATGATAAGAATTAAGTCCACGGCGGGTCGCCGAACGTTGACGAAACAGATTTCCGACCGTCGTCTACCAGAACCGTTTTTGCAAAACATTTTTGCTAAATTCTTTACACCAGCTATTAGCTTAAATCGGAATGCAGGACTTTCTGTATGAGAGCAAGCATCGTAAAAATATCAACAAAGTGCAACAATCCTTTCAACAAAATCCAAGAGTCAGCGCTGGTGTAATCCAACAAAAATCCTACGTGATCCAGCATAACGTGTAGCATTTTGCACATGGCTCAGTTGTGCAAGGAGATGCTCACTTCTGGCCTAATCTTGTCATCGGCGATGAAGCATCAATAAAGCCTGATTCTCATATGTCACCGACGGTCGGCGATGTATTGTTTGTGGTCATTGATGAAGAGAATTTTACAAAATAACAAAGATTCAATATGAGAATCAGGCTTAACGAATGAACGTGTGTTATCACAACATCGCGTGGAAATCCGAATCAACTGATGGTAAAAGTAAGTTATATCATTGCTTTACGATAATTTTATGATAAAACAGCCTTGGTTCAAAAGCTAACTTCTGATAACTGAGAATATAAAACCTCAAAACTCACAGCAAAGAAACTGCAACACAAAATATTTGTTACCACAAATTAATATTCACGCGGAAAGAGTGCCAAAGAAACTCACGAAAAATCTATCTCAGATTATACATAATACTAAACGAATATTCAAAATTATCTAATTTGTTTGTAAAATGTCGAGGCACAAAATGGAGTCCGTTGCGTTCCTCTCCGATTGTTGGTTTTTCTGCACCTCAGCGTTTATTTTATAAAACGTTTCTAAGAATTTACAAATCTTCTTTGTCTTTTTCCGATTTCTTTTTCTTCTTTCCGTCTTCTGGAAGCTCGACAGGATCGCTCGCTTTTCGTTTGATGAAGTCGACGAAATCAGAAACCTCTCGTCCACCCTGATATTTCTCGGGCTTGTCTTTTCCATTCTTTGGCGCCCAGTAGATCGTTGGGAAACTAAAAAGGTATATTAGACAAATTCAAACTTCTACTACCAACACAACAGCACATCTTTCGGTTGCATAACAGCAAGCCAGGGGGATGTCAAAATAAATAACAATGTTGTTTCATCTCAACTCTACTTATCAGACAATATAGAAAATTGATATTCTGGATAAAGCTATCATACTCACCCACTGACTTCGTATTGAGGAGGCGAATCATTGGCTGTGGCGTCCATCTTCGCAATCACGACATTTTCAACATCCTTGAGCTGTTAAAAAGGTCGATTTCATGAATCAAAACTTGTCATAGATAGTTGATCTCAAAACGCTGAACACATAACGTCAAACTTAGAAAACTAAGTGTATGTACCTTTTCACCAAGTTCGTTATATTTTGGTTCCAAGCTCTTGCAATGGCCACACCACGGTGCATAAAACTCAATAAGAACATCTTTTTCCGGGTTGTTCACGATTTCATCAAAGTTTTTGCCAACAACAACCTTAAATAAGAATCACAACTTGCATCAACGTGGAAAAGCAGAAGCCACGAACTGAAAACACTCTTGAAATGGTATTTATTCTAGTTATATCGTTTTGAAATTGGCAACATTTTGGATGAGACAAGAGGGAAGACACTTTCATGTACCTTGACCGGACCATCGTTATCTGAAGGAACGTCTTCTGATTTGATAAAGGCCTCCACCTTTCCATCCAAATAGTCTGTCACGAACTGCTTGAAGTTATCTACACTGCAATTGACAGAGGTTGAAAGAATATGATCAAAAAAATGGACAGATATAGTTTGTCACAACTGTGCCGGAGGAAATCTCTACCTAAATTTCTCAGCCATGACGAACTTTGAACCAGCGTAATTCTTCACAGCAACGAGAACGTCCTCATCCTTTTCGCGATCACCGAAGCTCTCCATCTCGCGAGCGAATTCAGATTTCGATGCAATGGCAAAGTTGAGCTTCTCTTTGAAATCTTTGGCAACTTTTAGAACTCTGTTTCGCCAGTAGTTTGTACCTGAAGAAACATCGACCCTGCTCTCAATTGTGATCCTTTTTTAGGGAACAAGTTGGGGGAGAAGTATGGTAGCTCTTTCAGTATGGGAGTCCTTATTCATTAATACTGTAAAAACGCGTGGAATTTGTTTAAATTCAACCATACCTTTAGGATTCAAGGTGTAGTCGACATTGAAGTATACAATGGCCAAAGGCTTCTTGAATGAATCTTCGTTATCTGGTGTCATATGACCAACAAGACCATGACTATAGGAGAGAGTTTTAGTGGAATATACAACTAAAACCTGTGCACACTGGAATATATCATCTTACATGTTCTCTTCCACAAATCTCTCGATACTGCTGCGACTTGCTGAACCAGAATAGACAAATACTGATTCCTCAAATTTGCTCTTGAGACGATTTGGTCTATACAGCACAATTTCACTATATCGAAGAAAAATAGCATGATGAATTGGTCCTTCAATGGCCTTTGTGTGCACGCTGTTTTCTTACTCTTTGTGGCCTTGTGCATCCATAACTGCTTCTTCAGATGTGTGAGCAAAGCGATATTTCTCTCTCAGAGCATCAGCAGATTTAAGAAATTCACTTTTCATGTCACTATCGCTTGTGAAGTAACCAACAAGAACAGCATCAAATCCAGCAAGAACCTTCTCCATCGTTTCAACATCGGCCACCTCTGTCATGATGCAACAAGTAAAGAGGTCAAATTTAATTGAAATATTTCAAGATGATGTACAATAAAGGCAAGAATGATGGAATAGCCAGTGCTTAAGAAGTTAAACAGACTCTTGCATACCCTTTGAGCTTGGTCCAGCTTGCTTCTTCATGGTCGACACAATACCCTCTAAAATTGAACAAGATTAGGATTTTCTTAGAGATAAAGTTATAGGTTTTGCTTCATTCATTCATTCATTCATTCATTCATTCATTCATTCATTCATTCATTCATTCACAGTCTAAAAGCATTTTTGTAATTTTTTGGTATTATATTTATGTACAATACACTCACTGGCTTCCCGAGGACCATCATAATCTTTCTGTACTTCACCATTTCTGAAAACTTTCAATGTTGGATAGCCACTGACACCATGCTTACCACAAGTGTCCTTACCCTCTCCCACACAGTCAACCTGAATGAAATTTAGGGCAAACATTAGAAAAACAAAATCATCATTTCCTCTCCCACCCTAACATATATGTTCTCATTGCTGAAACCAATTCAAACACCTTATCCATGTTGAACTTGCCATTCTAATTTATCTATAATTATATATTTTTTTTGCTGCCAATGGCAGCTGCTTTTTCACAAGGAAATAAAACAAGCTGTTGCAATTTCTAAAGCTGAAACCTTTTAGCCCCTGTCAGGTCATTTAAAGAGGAGAGGGGAGGGGAGATAAAAAAGCAGTCTCAGCAAGCTCCTAGTTGCAGAAGTTTTCAATTAGCAATAAGTGTTTGAATGCTTCTCATGAAATCAAATCTTCACCCAGGGGGCAAACTATTCACTACTTTTCATAATGAGAGTAACGGCTTGGGAAAGGCAAGATCTTTTCTATTATAAATTTTGCATTTAAATTATTCCATTTTGACATAAGGAACTTGTGCGATACACTCCCCCCGGCGCAATGCTGTGAAATGTACAATATTGAACACTTCAAGCAATTCAGATCAATTTGCGATTTTAGTAGGCATTTTAATAACCGTAATGTACAAATTTGGGTTCTGCTATGTTACTGCAGCGATGTTCGTACAAATTTATAGAAAATCCAGTAGAAATCCATTGCATTATCAATTAATTTCGTGTCATTTCCAGCACAGTAATATGGATATTCCATTTTTTACCTTGACCAACGAAACAGGGGGGTCATTCTTTTTCAACGATGTAGCTGCTTGTTCGTACTCTGGAGCCAATCGCTTGCAGTGGCCGCACCTGATGAAGATCAGAATGTACGCTAACATTTAAAGCAAGAAATACTCACATTTACGTCAAAAATTACTCGATCACTCTAGCTCGGTATATCAACTTTTTCAGAAGCTGTACACTCACCATGGTGCAAAAAATTCAACTAAAGCTAGATCCATAGACTTTATTCTACTTCCAAAATTACTATCCGTGAGTTCGATAACATCTGAGCCATACACAACGCCCAAAAATGCAAGAATTATAAAACTTATCGCTGCCATTGTCAAACCTTGATAAAAGAGAACTCGTCGTGTACATGTGTTCCATCAAATACCCGTTGGACGCCTTTTATTGGTCCGTTTGTGCCACGTGGCGATTTCTTGTCATGCTCTGATTGGTTGGATTTGAATGCCAGAATGGACGAGCTCGCGTTCAGGCTATATATAGAGACCTCTGGTTTGACGCAAGGTCGCTTGGGAAAGTCTCGTGCGAGCTTCGAATTTTGAAATTCGGAAGCCATGTTGAATGAGTATTTATTTACAATGTTTATTAATATCACAGCTATTGTACTTTTACTTTACAGGTATAAACCAATTAAGTCGAGTGCAAATTTATTAAAACACGATTTATTAAAGAGCAAAGAGGTTGCATTGCTGCCATTGCATTCCATATTCGCAAAGAATTGTGCGAGTTTTAACTTTAAAATGTAGACTTAGACTTAGAATGTTTGCATACTTGTTAAGTTCAGTGTTCAGCAGTTTTTCTAGCTCCTGCAAGTTGCAACAGAATATGTACTGATATAATAAACGTGAAATCTGCATGATATATTGCAAACTTTCCAACTTTATTGATAGTAAAACTAATCCAATAGAATTTAGCTCTTTCAAAATGATGTAAATTCTGCGCATGTTTTCTGCGCATAACAAACCTAGCCAATTTTAGTTGAATTAATTTAAATCACATTCGGCAACTGTTTTCATTTTTAACTCACAATGGAAGTATACTTTTTATTCTCAATTTCTCTGAAATTCCTGCATTTATCGAGAAAATTTAGGGTTGATGTAAATTCCGTTCTGCGCATATCTTCTGCTCATAACAAACTAAGCAATACAAAGCGGTGTCTGTGTTAGGAATTAGGATATTAATAATAGAAGCTTTGCCTTTGTAAACGCTCCTATTTGTGTGTTTTCCGGTTTCTATAACGGCGCTGGCTTTTAGTAAATCTAAAAAACTATATTAACACGTTTTCAATAGGAATATGTACATTCGGCTGAGGTTTCCATCAAGCAATATTTCGCTATATAAATTTTATAATAGCTTTGTTATGCGTGATAAATTTTGCTATCATAAACAGAACAACAGTCTACAAATTAGAAAAATGATTTGTAGTTTTTCATTCATCATGCAGACAGCAGTTTCTTGTTGGTTTGAATCATTGTGAGTCCGTGTCTCCTCGTCTTATCCTGCTGTATTATAAAATGGGGCAGGAGCTGCCGGCGCCTGGGCACTATATTGAGCTTGATTGTATGCTTGTGCATCTTGTACAACTGGCTGGGACTCGGGTTGACTAACTAAGCCATCCATGAAAGCCGCTATCGCGTCTGAAATGATGAAAAAGTAATCATTCACTTTAGTGTCATGTCACTACGAGCTTGTGGTGATAGTTTCTTAGTTTTTTTTCTTTCGTCCACCGGAAATAAAGCTACTAAGGCACAATCTTTTTGTCAAAAAACACTTGAGATTTTGTCTTTAAAATATTGAATAAAAAATGAACACGTTTTTCACTCTTTAAGGAATTGAATACCACTGATGAATGATCAGATGTGAACAGTGAGAGATGCCAGAATGGATAATGTTTATCCAAGTTTCAAGGTATGAAATCAGTGTGTTTCACTACGGTGTTGTATAAAATAGTTTTAATTGTAGTTCAGTAGTTGTGTTAGGCGATATAGTCTGATAGTCACTATGTTATTATAAATGCGAAACGTCTGACTATCTACGTATGCCTTCTAAATGAAGACTGATTGGGATTGAACAGAAAGCTCTCTTTGTTTTTGAACACATTAGTTCAGGCCGAGAACTCGTACACAAGAGAATCTATCAGGTCCGCCTGAGGTTATTGTTTCCTCGGGGGGAAGTTAGCCATGAGTCATGCGATATTTCATGCCGTACAACAAAGTTGTAATAACATAGCCGAAAGTGAACGGTATCAGACTCACAACGATATCTTCCATAAACTTACAAGCATCTTCAGCTCCGTAATACTCTCCTTCGTATTTTCCATATTTAAAGAGCTTCACTTGTGGCCAGCTTCTGACACCATATTTTCGACATGTTGCCATTCCTGATCCAAAACAGTCAATCTGAAATATAAAGAACACATTTCTACATTCTTTTCACTTGTATTTTACTGCATGCAATCAGTAAAATTCTCATATAATTCACACTTAATTTTTTCGCCAACAATTCGCAATAAACATGCAATATGTCGCATGCTAAACACAAAAGTATCGGTGTTTTCAGGAGGAAAAACACAAAGGTACCTTGGCTAAAACAAATTTTTTCTTCGCGCCAAGTATGGCTGCTGCAGATTCGTATTTCGGCTCCAATCTTTTGCAATCGCTGCACCTGTATTTTAAGAAGAAAATTTGTTGCAGAAATGAATATAAATGATACTATTCTTGCTTTAAACTTAGTTCCGTTAAATAAAAGCATCTTGAGAAGATAGATATAAGTTCCTGCTTCTAGCAAACTGAACAATTAGATGCAAGGTAGAAATCAAATGAACGGTTTGAGGGACCCGATTCAATACGCTTCATTCTGACATTAGAACGAGGATCTATAAAAACACTCACTAGTCCATTGTATAAATACGTGTCATAAAAATACTATAAACAATTTACCTAACACATAAAACACATTACGATCACTTGGATTATATCATCATTATCATGCATGCACGGTCGACAGGCTTTGATGTTTACACTGTATTTATTTATTTGTTTATATCCAAAAACAACGACTATACTTGATATACGATTCAACAAAAGATAACCCGCGAACTATCTTTTATCAAAGCTTTACATAAGAAGCTTTATCGACGTTGGCATGAAGTGTAATAGTAATCTTCACGAGTACAATATTTACTAACCAAGGCGCGTAGAATTCAACCAACATCGCTTCCTTATCCTTGATATACTGATCAAAATCGTTGTCCGTTAGTTGAAACACTGAGTCACAATAGACCGTTGCACTTGCCAACAAAACCAAAAATACTGAATACTGCATCTTCTTTCCAAATCCTTTTATATATACATAGAATTATAATACAAAAGTTGGGAACTGTTTCATTAGCGAAACCTGTATATTTGTGGGCTTAGGTCATAATATATTCGCTTCGTCGCTACGCTTGACTGAATTGTTCAATAAACCTTAATTTCCTCCTAGTTAATGAGCTAAAATAAAGAAGTTCTTTTTTTATTTTTTATATCTGCAGTATATATTGCAAATGTGTGTCACATATTTGTATTGGTAAAATAGTTCTTCATCAGGAGAGCAATGTTTGTGAGTGTCGAAGTTGGCAGACTAGGACTGTTCATCTTGTGACGGGTTACCTAGCCAAGCGAGAGGGCCATCCAGGACAATTAGCGGTCAGTTTATATGAAACTGATTGACTCGGCATGGGGGATCTAAACTACGGTATCCAAATGTCCTCACTGGAATTTCTTCTGTCCAGAAACCTTTTCAGAAAAGATTGTTTGGCCGACTATGTATGAAACACACCTGAACACACATATAACGATGCGTTAGTTCCAGTTTTGATGAAAGAGAGTTGCTTGTGGAAGGCCTTTTTGACAAGAATCAATACGTGACGGGCCCTGGCTATCATCGAAAACTCTATCAGTAGTTTTACATTCGCTGTGCGGCATTGGTTAAGAAGTTATAAGTTAAGAAATTAAGAAATTATAAGCTAAGAAATAATGGATTTTCTAATTCCAATATTTTCCACGACAATGTCCAGCACAGTCATCTTCCAAGCAACATCGTTCAAACTATGTACTCAGTTTTGGAATGGGTTCCTGGTAGCCCGCTAGGATCTTCCAAGAATTGCAAATTTAACAATTGTGCAATATTCAGTTCCGGGAAAGTTTATCCTCTGTTCCATTCATCAATAACTGGTATTCGTTCTTTTTCTAAGAATTAGAACAATTCACAGTTTCACTTTTGACGTCTCTATCGTAAACACTGTGAAATTGTCGTGTCCGGAAGGGCTGGAATCGCTTTTGGTTAAAGTGTTTTACATATTTTCCGAGAAATAGTTTGGATTGTAGTTTGAATAGTTGACGGGAATGTTTTCAAGCACCAGTTAGGCGTGATAAACGTGAAGCTCTTCTTTTGAATGACTTTATTGCGTTGTGTCCATATGGAAGGCCTAAAAAGGTAACCGTGGTTACACGGAAGCTGATGCAGTGAATTGTGGAACCTGGAAATACACAACGAATGGTGGATGAGTACATTTTGGTCGTCACGTCATGGATATTACAGTATTTAACTTATTTTCTGTCATTGTCGCTTGCTGTATCCATTCATATCTCGATATCAAATCTGGAAGATACAGTGATGGTCAGTTTTTCTAGCAAGTTGATGGGAAGAGAACATACTTGGAGGTGAGCGAATCTGCAAAATAAACAGCAAATTATGGATGATGTAACATGAGCAGAGGTGGGAAACCATTGGAACGAGACTCCCCCAAAGGCTGATGCATTTTTTGCACAAGGGTTTATTGTTACAACGTCTTACCCAATGAAATAATGTGTTTCATTTTCGACGGTAAACATAAGACAGTGATCCAGCATATTTTGCGCATTCTTTGGTCTTGACTTCCTCGTCTGTGTTTTGTAAAAATTTCCACTCTCGGTTACTCCTTCGTCTCCAGAAGTTCTGACAATGGCGATGTTACGGTTCGACCCTAACACTGGTAAACTTAGTACAGTACCTGTCTTTGACTCGGATGAGGAAGAGGAGCAAACAGTAAACGTTCAGCGTTCTCAAAGTCTTCAGGTCAGCCGCTCTGGGAGACGTTCTCAAGCGACGTTTAGGGAAGTTACCACAGTCAAAGATGAAGGCACGACAAGAACAACCATCACTGCCAAAAATGTAACCTCCAACGACAACTTCAGAGCAGAAAGTTCCATGATGATTTCGTTTAACGAGACGAGAAGTACTAGTAGCAATACACCAAAACCACTTGGATTTTTGTAAGTGCGTCACTTTTTTACACAAACAACACGTATTAGAAACAGCAAGTTAAGTTAACAAGCTCGATTCAGACAACAGGCCCGATGATGAAAGTAATATAAGAGTAATTTGTCAAGCATCGATAAAGCCTGTACCGCTTTTAGAATTTATCCTTAATGCTCAACGTAATCTCCCTCCTTTTTTTTATCAATCAGGGAGGATTTGTTTGGCGAACGAGGGGATTCTCCGACGCTCTTTGGTCGATCCAATGAACTCACCTGGCGTTAAGCCTATTTTTCTAAAGAAGTTTGAAATCATTAAAGTTTTAACTCATTAAACTGTTTTTAATCTTACCATAAAACCCCTAATTCTATATCCAACAATATACCAAACCTTTTTCATGACACTTCTCAAGGATGCTTATATAATTCTAAAATAAGACGAGGATAATTTTTCGTTTAAACTGCCTTCTATTGTTTATAAAGACGGCTATATATTAATGAAATTTCATTGTTCATGAAGCAGTTCTTGCTATTTTTCTAACAAGCGACTACTAGCTCATTTCCAATGTATAACGAAGCAGTTATAATAATATATATTCAATAATATATACTCATATATAATTTTCTTGTATGATTGCATGGCGACTTTAGTAATTATAATAACTTGTAGGTACACCACGTAAGTATTTAATACTTACGTGGTGTACCTACAAGTTATTATAATTAAATATATACTCAATAATTTAACAAAACACTGAACAAAATTAAACCTAGGGAATAATCTTTTTATGATATTATAAGGTAATCTGTCTGTCTGTAATTATACGAACAATCCTATTCGAGATTACACGCATAAAGGAATTATGTTTTGGATGCTTGGTTGTTCTGCACTTTTAAAACATTTCTTGTACTGCTGCTTCTGATCATAACAAGTTGTTTTGTTGAAACATTTGGACGTGATTCATACCTGTTTGTCCTGTTCGTCACAGCAGGAAGAAACACGTTTGGGCACATCTTGAATCTGCTGTGTTTGCTATAATTTGAAAAGCGAAACTGCAAAATCTTCTTTATGTTGTAACACTTGCTACATTCCACCTCCTGGGTGACGTCACTTTTGCCTCAAGGTCTACAGACTCACCCAACCTCGCTCAAGGCTTCTTTGGTGTATTAATAATGAAAGATTGATGATAAAAAAAGCAACCCAGGTACTACACAAACATTGGTATATAATAATTTTAAAAATCTATTCTTTAAAAATTTTTACATATCTCTAGCTATATTTGTACAATACTCCGAGAGTGTGTTACAGAGAACACTCCTGTATATTAACACACTCCAGTGTCATGTGCATTTAAAGACCAGTTAAGGCGTCACCGTTCTTACAGGTTTAAGTGCATGCCATTGCGCAATACTTAGCTGCGGTTTATCAATGATTGTTTCCCAATGTTGATATCCACTCGCTGTGATATCATTCTGTCTGCCAGTTCCTAGGAATACGTAACCAATTCCTTGCTTCGTAACTGACTTAGAGAATACTGTTAGTTTTACGAGAACTTGTTTCATTTTCCCACGCGAGAAAAAGCCCGATAAATGAAATGTTTCTTTGTACGTTGGACTATTGCATTTCGTAACCATTCTTGTCTTCAAGCGTTGCACAATCTTATCACAAAATATTACGTGGATTTTTACGTACGTGTCTAAAAAGATTAAACAATTCATGTATAAATGAACGAGTTTTGAAATAAGTAGAACATGTTCCTCTTTGGGAAGGTGTATCGAGGTGAAAATGAAACTCAAATCACTATTTTCCTTACCAAGTAGCTTCTTCTTCTTTAATGGACTTCTCAGGTTTCGACATTCAACGATTTCCAAAGTGACGCTATCCACAACAGGGTCGTACTTCAGACGAACTAAAATATCGCCACATTTTGGCGATTGACTTGTCTGAATAAAATAAACATGATATGTATCAGAGTAGTTTCAATTCGAAATGCTACCAACACTGGACCACTACGTTTAAGATATCTCTTCCGGAGAGTTTAGACCAAACCGCAGCAGCTTCTAGTTCACTAACTACTCTCTATAACATACCTGAACTATGCCAGGGTGTTGTAGTTCGATTATTTCGTTGCGTGGAAAAGATGGAGGAAGACCAAGTACGACGTGAACAGCCTCCGCCACGACTGTTGCATTGTCAAGGACGCGAAATGATATCTTCGTTCCATTAAACAGATCTGCAGGAAAGTCACTCACAACACACGTCTCATGAAATACCAGTTCATCGACATTTACACATGAACAATATTTTGTTCTGAACTCTTGATGGTAACCTGAGAATTCTACTTGTACCCAAACGCACACGTTTGGTTCTTCAGTTAGATCTTTGAGCATCGTTATGTGATGAACACTTATGACTGTCACATTTAGTTCACTCGAGGCGATGCAATAATAAAGTGCAAATTTCAAATTTGCCTGCATGTCTTCATCAATCACGCTTACCCTGAGAAATGAATTCGAAATTTGAGTTAAGAAACTGAAATTTAAGAGATTTCTGTGTTAGAGAGGTGATCGTATTACAGAAATATGTTTGCATTAAAGAGATGTCTGTATTAGAGAGAGATGTCTGTATTAGAGAGGGATGTCTGTATTAGAGAGAGATGTCTGTATTAGAGAGAGATGTCTGTATTAGAGAGAGATGTCTGTATTAGAGAGAGATGTCTGTATTAGAGAGAGATGTTTGTATTAGAGAGAGATGTCTGTATTGGAGGAATGCACACTAAGTCATATAAGACGAGAAAAGAAACCACACACACCTTCTTGTTTTTGGCGAGTAAAGTAAATTCAGGTCTTGCAGAGAAATAGATCCAGACAGCGCTTTCTTTACTGATTTTCTTTTCAGTGGACTTAGCGGCTCCATTTTTGAAATCTCTTGTGTAATGTTGGGATTTGATTGTGTAGCATACGTCGCAGTGGTGACAGGCACGTTGTTATTGGTTCTAGTACCAATCGAGTCAATCTCGTATTCTTCCGACGAAAGTTCGTCATTCGACATCGTGCGTACACGATCCTGAACCGGCACCTTCCGTGTCAAAGGAAGACTGAATCCCGGGATATCATGGGGGAGTATTGTAGGTGTACGATTCAAAGCCATGGGTTTCTTTGGACGTTTTTGTAGTTGAAAGCCTCGGTTCAAAGTCAATTTGTAAAGGAGATATAGGAATAATAATAGTAAGAGACCTGTGCCTATCCCCAAGGAAATTGGTAGGAAGTCTGTTGAGAAAGAAAATAGCGGTGTAAAAATAGCGGTATTGGATAGCTCTATCAGCTCTGAATTGTTGTAGCGCAACCAGTTTTCTTTCTATCTGATAGCTCTATCAGTTCTAAACTGTTCTTCCTAGAGGCCCAGTAAGAATCATCTCTTATTGATCCAGTGTTACTAAAGGAGGAAAACTAAACTAAACTAACTTTATTTATACTGGATAGCTCTATCAGTTCTAAACTGTTCTTCCTAGAGGTCCAGTAAGGATCATCTCTTATTAATCCAGTGTTACTAAAGGAGGAAAACTAAACTAAACTAACTTCATTTATACTGGATGTAGCTCTATAGCTTATTAACAACTATATATTTAATCATGCATGTCAACCGCTGTTCTTAAAACAGGCTCTTATCCGTTTCCTGAGATACTGGTCGTGGCGCTTTACTCTTAAAAAGCCATAAAAAATTTACATCTAAAAGAGACATCGCAATTGGTTTCCATAGTAATATCTTTGATGTCCCTTTGAAAACTGAGCTCGATTTCAAAACATGAGTTACCATAGACTGATCACATCAAAGTGCAAAGGCTGATCCTTACAACCGACATGCAATACGCAGTATCAATTTCAAGTATCAATTAAAACAATGAGTCAATTCCATGGCAAAACAATTTAAATTTAAAAAGAAATATTCGTTGTGAAGTATGCCTACATATATTGGCACTTCAGCTGGTATTTTTTCCTATAAATGCCTCAAAAAGTGCGCCCAATTTGGCTTAAAATGTTTAACTTTTATGTGAGTTTGTATGCGGCGGACTTTGATGAAAATATAGTCAAGTTGCATGTGAACCATGTCAATGAACAATAACAAGCGAAGGAACTTTCTAGTCTAAAAATCGCGAGTAATATTTGACTGCCTTAAAAATATTGCATTAATTGAATATAATACAGTTTAAATTATATCTTTACTCTATATCTTTACTATCTTGAAATAGTCAGAAACTGAATTTCACAATGTCCGTTTGTTATGATGTAAATATTTTGCGTATAAAGACATTAGCTGACATAAAGAGAGTGAAGAGCCAGACCACCTGCAGGTGATAATATAATTTACTATACAAATGGTAATTTACTTCATGCATGCAAACGGTTTAGGAAATTTTTGCTACGAAACGGTTTAGGAAATTTTTTCACAAATTCCGATATGCTGGCATGTGAAATGCAGAGTCAGAGAACAGAAGATTTTTCGATCCGTTGACACGTTTATTGTGGAACTTGATGTACGAGATTTTTATTGTGAAACTTGGGCAATCATCCGTTATAAGGGTGAGAACACTTAAATCAGAAATCGCATTATATTTTTTCGTAATTTATGTCTTATTTGAAAGAGGTATCATGTCTTCCTATATGTCTCAAAAATCGCCAACATTCAGTTGAAATTCTACACCAAAATTCCCCATAGCAAGAGATTAATTCCTGTAAACACAACTCGTTAATACAAGCCTATATGTATAGCTTTATAAATACCAGAAAAAAGCAATTGTAAATAACAGAATTACTTTGCACGATTAGCGCAATCTTTTAACACAATAGCCTTGATAAAAGCAAGATTAAGTTGGATTTTTTTAAAGTCATCTATGTCGGGATAAATACGCTAATTCGTGTTTCCACGCTTTTTTTTATTGCAAAGCCTCAAATTTGCAAAATATTCTCGTTAGCACACTCTTTTTAATACAAAGGCATAGGGCCTAAATAGATTGACAAGAACTTTTGCCATAGCAGAATACTTCAAAAACAAGATGCAATCTTTTCGTAAATATTAGGTAATCTTTAGGTCTCTTGAGGTAGCAATGCGTCAAAATGATTTTGAAGTTGTGGAATATATATTCGTGCATGTTCTGACATGTCATTTAAATAATGAACATTAAGCGGAAACTAAATAATAAAACCAGGAAACCATTCAAACTAGACTATAATACGTAATTCAAATCTTATATATAAACATTTACATGCTTATAGAACTTTAATTAACTGCATGGTCAGTATAAAAGTTAAAAGCCCCAAAGAAATATCGTTCAAAGTATCTTTTCAACACTCATAACTTGAATTTTTTGTGGTGATCACATTTATATATATTCATCCTTAAGGTCAACAAAAAGCTAGCTCACTTAAGCGTTCAATATTCAAGAGACTGCAGTCTTTCATTCCTTCATCTTGTATATAGTTTAAATATTTGTTGCCATGCATATGTATATAAAATTGTTTCAGCTCGGCTTTGTTTGCTGGGATCATTTTGTCATAACCACATGTTATTTTGCATACCAGAACATAATTATTACGATAGTTGCGATGCGGGTTGCCAGGTTAGACTGCATCTTAGCCCAACAATTTGATCATAAATATATACTTAAAACTTCCGTCTCATTAATATTCCATCAAAGAGGCATATTCACAAAATTGAAGTCTCATGTTCCTAATCCAATCGCGGTAAAATATATACAATAAATGGTGTCGAATATTCGAGGGATTTTAAGTTAGACCACAGTCTGGTGATTTTCTTTGCTAGATTTGAGACAGGCAGTAATTATGTGATATTGCTTCAGATAAGTTTTGGCGAATATAGAGTTGATCATATAAGGAGGTTATTTTACTTCAAATTGGTATGTTCTGCGTACTTGAAAATGCTTTTCACATGAGACAGATAACTCCCCGCATCTCTTTCACGCGCGCGTAAAAAGTGAACAGCACTTGGTACAATTCAAGAAAAGTACATTAGTACAAATATCAGATTGTGAACAATTTTGTACAGCTCTTTTCTCGACCTATTACAGTGTGGTTGATGCCATTTGTTGTGATTTGGCCTGTGTGCTTCAAAATTCACGCAATCTACGACCAAATAGCTCAAAGTCGCGCGTATAATCAAATATTACTAACATACACAGCTAGTATAAAAAATTACCAATATAATTCGACCAGACCAGCATACCAAGTATGCGTTTATAGATCAAGTATACGTTTATAGCAAGTATACTTATAATATTATACCTATTACACAGTCTTCGCTAATATTCGATGTTATATTTGATGCGATTTATTAAATACCGCGCAGTGTCTACGTGAGAAACGACCACAATGCTATTGAATATAATCTCCATCAAAATGCGGAAAGTCAGTTGAAGAAGACAATTCAAAATTCGCGTCGACTTCTGATTTAGATTAAACTAGATATGAAATCTCGTCAACTTACATTCTCCCTGCATCTTTGCTGTCAGTTTAAGTAATGCACATCTCAACAATGTTCAAGAAGACCTGTTTGTTCATTCATTTTCAGGATATTTTCCCCTCGTTTCATTAATGTATTACAGCATATTCGGTGACTTCCATATGCAATATTGAGCACGTCGCGCTTTTTTCGTTATTGGCTGCGACTATAAGAACAGAGTATCGCATAACATCAGCCCACGCTGAGACCGCGCTTATTCCGTTCCGGAAAATGACGTCATACGAATCCACCCTACTTCCGTATGATGGTGTATTGATGCCTGAACTGCAATATACGGAAGAATCGGAACCAGCGGCGACGATTGTATCGTGAATTATTTTTAAACCATCATTCGTGTTGAAGAAGATTCTTTAGAGGATTCTCGATTACAAACATTCCTGTCATTGGCCAGTATCGTCTTTCCATTACGGGTGAAACGGTCTTGGAGTAATCTTGTGTGGTAGACGACTCCAAACTATAGCAATATGAATAAGCAAACCACAGCAATAAAAATTATTTTCTTCTAGTCTTCTTGTTCGCACTTACAGCAGAGCATTGGGGAAGGATGCAATTGGTTGCATTTTGTGTGTAATGTTAGCTGCTGAAGAATTCGGATGGAAGAATGATTTATATAGTTGTACAACATCCGCTTTTCACATATGGGGCTATATCGAAACCGGAAAGTTTTGTTGCTTTACTAATAAGCAATGCTAGTAATGTAATGATTCCTGTCTCCTGCTCCGGCTAAGAGACAGTTATGACTCTATTTCCATAACAAATGGTCGAGACTTACACATATTCTGTGCACAAGACGGCCCTAGCTCTATACCAAGTCCAATGAATGATGATTTCTTGATTGCTCACGAAAACACGTTGTTTTGAGTGGGGTACATCAATACCAGCTCCTCTTCGAGGAAAATAAATGCAAATGATGGCGCCATTTAAAAAAAAAAAGCGGGTGCGTGAATTCATGTGACTGTTTTTGGACTGACCGCGGTGCTGAAACGGAAGTTTGAAAAGAGCTTTGTGGCCATAGAAACACTCGAGATGGATTTGAATATAATTTAATCAAGTGTTGACGAAAACCATGCAAAATTTCGTAATCCTTTCTCATTGTTCTACCCATCTTTCACTTACAACCAGCCGGTCTCTCTCTTGCAACCTGCGTAGAAATACTAGAAAACCTTTGACACCCAGAAAACCTTTCCTAATTGTGTCTACATTTCTTATTGCTGCGGCCAAAAAGTCAGATCAATGCGTGTGGTGTGACCTTGACTTTTTCAACCGAAGCATGTTGGCCAATCTCTGTTGCTGTTCGGTACCGGAATTGGGTGTCCTATGTTGTAATTATGTAATAGTTATCGTGGTCATAAAAGGGTATATTAGACGAAGCGATCTTCAATATATAGGAAGAGGTCTAGTGAGCACCGCCACTGTTTCCTGAATGGGCTGAACTCTCCCTGAAAACTTTGCATATACGCGATTGTTGAGAAAGAAACAAATGTGTTTCAATGGTTTGGTTCAGACAATTACGGTGTTTTAACGAGCACTAGTTTTCTTAATGTCGAAATCTTGTCTATTTGTCCAGTGATTGTAAGACAGATTGTAAGCAAATAATTTGATTGTAATAAGCAAATCATAATAGTGCTGGTGATTTATGTGCAAATGTTTGACGTTTTCCAGACAATAAATTAACAAGAAAAATATAATATAATCCAATAGAATAAGGCTTATTAATTTTTGTGTTTATGCAAAAGAAATTGGCGAATTAAACACTTCGTGTCTAAAAATATAATTGCTAGAATCACCTATAAAATTGAGAAAGCGTCTAGTGTGAGCTGGCGTTTTATTACTTAGGATAGTCTTTGCTCCGTCCCTGTTGAAATCATAGAAAAGCAGTAGACATTTAGCTTCCTTTATTGGTAATGGCTTGTATTGGATGCCATTTCTCGATGGTTAAATGTGGTTTTTCTATGACACTGGCCCAGTGTCTTGCACCATAGTCCAATTTAAACGGATGTCCGTTATCTAATTCAAATTGATAGCCCAAAAATACCACCCCAATCAGATCGTCCTTGTTTATTAATCGCTTTCTGTGATGAGACAGACTCAAGATGACGCTTGTTTGAGGCATTCTTTTTCCAGTTACAATAAAGTCAAATGATTCTTCGAATTCTGGGGAAGTTGTGTTCTGTTTGACTGTCGTTTTTTTCCTGTATTTGCGTTCACCGCTGTCGTACACTCGTATCTGTACAAAAGGATCTAAAATAAAGAGAGACAGAAGAGTTTTATGGTTCAACTGCCGAGGATATGAACAGCAACAACAACTGGCCGAAACAGCATTTGCCGAAAGCAAAATCTAGCAGCAACAATCGCTAGCAGCAGCTTGAAACACCAACAAGATACACCAAGAATGATGTCTAAAACACCGACAAGAACGTACTGATTTTACTTTTCTCTGAAACTCTTTTAAGTCCTTCGGCACTTTTCACTGTGACTGTTAACTTTCCTTCTGAAGGATTGTGACATAAAGCGACTAACATCTCTCCATGCGTCGGTCGCTCACTCGTCTGCTCTGAGTCGCTCTAAACGTGAAAAATAACCCGTATATTGTTATATCTATGGTCGTTTGGTGTTTTCCAGAACCCTCTGTTGATTTGAATACGTGCCTATATCATTAAACTGATGTTGCACATAACTCATGTGGGTAGATTTAAGTCTCTCTAATGAGTTGACTAATCGAGTTAACTGCGTGGTTAGGTCATGCAGAGGTGGAACGTGTTCTTGACAGGAGCTACCTTAAGGTGATCTGATGTTGTACAGAACTCATGTAAGTAGAGTTAAATCTCTCCTGTGTTCTCTCTCAGTTGACTAAGATAAGCATGGTTAGACCATGCAGAGGTGGTGATCTGATGTTGTACAGAACTCATGTGAGTAGAGTTAAGTCTTTCATGTGTTCTCTCTCAGTTGACTGAGTTAAGCATGACTAGATCATACAGAGGTGGTACATGTTCTTGAATGAGAGCTGCCTTAAAGTGATCTGATATTGTACAGAACTCATGAGTGGACGTTAGGCGTCGTCTGTACATGATCTAGCATTCTTGAAATTTGCCTCTTTAGAAAGTACGATCGACTTACCGCAAGTGGCTGACTTTTCTCATCACTCTGATCGCCCAAATTCCTAAGACTATCCAAAGACGACGAATCTGGGCTGCTGTGTTTCAGATGACGTTCGGAAATACCTCGGAAGAGTGACCGCGAAAGATCTTTACCTTGACTGGAGTGTTTATACGAAGCATGCTCTTTCTTGATTCTACGAATTCGTGGAGACATGCATGGAGTGTTTATATTATCTAACGAAACTGCGTTAGACAGTGGGCGATAATGATAGCCTTTCATTTCGATCTTAGCGTCATCATCTTCTATTATGGACTCTAAACTGTCCGATGATTTTGAGTATTGATTTGGTGATGAAGTCGGGTCAAATTGATATTTATTACGGTAAAACGCATCCATATCAACGCCATATTGATCAGGATCTAAATTATCTTCAAGCTCTTCCTTGTGTTTCAACGATGAGCCATATTTCAGAGGAGGTATTGCTGGTGGTTGTACAGATTGATGGCTTGCATTCAAAGGCGGGAAATCCTGATATCTGATAGCATCCTGGGCGGGGTAGGGTGGGGTTTTTCGTCTGTTGTTCCAGAGAAGGTATACCACTAGGATAATGAGGGTGATGCATGTTGAGGCCAGGACACTCGAGGCTACAATGGCTGCTGAAATTAGGAGCATATATGGATAGAGTGATATCACCTTAAGGCTTGTCTATATGATCATCCCGGGGTTTTTTTCTCCCTGGGCTACTTTTGATGTATTGAAAGAAATTGCGGTCAACGATTTTGTGAAATCTCGAAATCTTACACAGCGTATGAACGAAAAATGACATTCAAATGCGATAGTCTTTTTATATCAACCTCTAAATTAGATAAACAGCATCTTAATTCATCAAACACTGTCTATCTCTTCATGCAGTAATATGTTTTTGATACATTATACATTAATTTCGACAAGTTTATCATAGCTAGAATTTTATCCAGGGAAACAAGGTCACTTTTGAACAGTTCCTAAAGATAACATATTTTGGCATTGAGAATTTAAATTATTGGTTGGTTTGCCGGCAGACAGAAACTTCATCAATATAGGCCTTTCTTAGAATGCACGTCATTCGTCTGATGTTACAAGACGTTTGATTGGCTGGTTAGTTTTTCAGAGTCAGACATTTAACGTTTGTCATCATAATGAAAAAGATCTATTAAGAATAATTATGCGGCCATTATTCATGCACAGTTCCGCTTCAGCTCGCGGGAAGACGAGTGAATTTCCATCAAAATTTAACCAAAACGTGAGTGAATTGCCCCGTTTATTTTCCACGAACATTACCATAACTTATTCAGATTATTATTTACTTGATAATCGAGTGATTGAATATGCTTCCATAACACAATATCCAGCCACTTAATGCATATAGTAAAGAGCTCATTGAAACTGAACTAGTTAAGTATATTGCATTGTTTATTTATAATATTTGTACAAATGTTTCGAACAAGTTATTAGAAATGTCGGACAGAATTATCGAAATTACTTCATTCATTTATTCATTGTACCTAAAACACTTCACAACGCTTCTGAGATAGTGTCAGAGCGCACGTCTAAATCTTATGGATTCTCGCAAGATGATTGTTTTCCTTTAAGTCTTAATAGTTTGTATTAATTGTTCTTACCTTTATTCAAATTAACCATACTGCAATAACGTAGAAAAGATCGTTTACATATTAGCCAATTCCCTCTTTCTGTAAGCGACAGAGGTACAGAGATAAATCGTCGGCTGTGTGAGAGTATAATGTGATTACACTCCGTTTGTTCAAGTTTTTTCCTGTCATAACGGATCGCGACGTCATAATACTACCATAAACAATTCCCATCCTATTGAATTTTACACAAAAAACGCGACACGGAGACATAAGTATGTACAAAACAAAGACTCGAAGCTTCAGTTAGCAACATTTATGTAAATTTTTGTGTAAAAGATTTGTAGGAAGATTGAGTTCTCTTCCGCAAGCTGGATTGATGTACTCAAATCGGTCAGAAAACCTGGGGTTGTAGGGTTCGCACGCACCGAAAGACCTGAAATCTTTCAAGCTTTGCATGATTCTTAGTATATTTTGAATATGCTGTAAACATAACACATAATGATCTGAATGAATCATATTGTGAATGTTATATTTCATATCTCTTATGCATCTCTTATGCAGGATTGATTGAAAACCCTACAAATATTGAAACTAACTTATAAATTTGATCGGTATTTTGAGGTATTTTATTCCCACGAAAACACAATTATTAGGCGAGAAATGTGGAGTTTATATTGCTCATCATCCTTGGTAGTACAAAAGACCATTTTGTATCGAATTCGCTGTAATGATTCTTTAATATGTTATTTGATGACCTTCTCTCGATAGATCCTAGAATTAGCGACACGACATCACCCTTGTCAGACAATTGTGCGTACCCTCCACGTTAATGACGTGAGCTGAATTTCGCTGAGTCAATTTTCCTACATTTTTGAAATGTATTCACAGGTTTATTTGCTGCTCATAACGTAATGTGTAATTAAATAAACGTAATAAAACAAAAGTTACACTCTCTTTACATATAACATTTCTTGTTGCGAGGATTCCTTCATTTATCAATCGCATACATACAACAATATATCCATATTTTTTTCACGTAGAAAACGCCTGAACGGGATGCCATTCTTCAATAGTTAAATGTGGTTTCTCTATTATACTGGCCCAATGTCTTGCACCATAGTCCAGCATAAACGGATGTGGTCCAAACAACTCAAATTGATAGCCCAAAAATACAACGCCAATTAAAATGCTTTTGCTCAGGACGTTGACTCGACTTCCGTGATGGTAAAGTCTTAAGATGACGCTTGTTTGAGGCATTTTATCTTTTGTTACAACAAAGTCAAAAGATTCTTCGTAAACTGGTGTCTTGGTGTCGTGTTTGATGGTCGTCTTCTTCTTGTAAATACGTTCTCCGCAGAAGAAGACACGAATCTTTATGTAGGGATCTGGAACGAGTTAGATAGGTTAAAGGTTCCTTGAATATAGACTAAATTTGCTAAGAAAAATGAAGAAGAATTGTTCGGAGATATTATGGAATGAAGAGATCAGAAGAAGATGTGAGGTGGTAGACATTGCAGAGAAGATGAGGGAAGCAAGGTTGAGATGATAAGACACGTAATAAGAAGAGATGAAGGAGAGCTGGTCAGAGATATTTTGAAATGAAGAGATCAGAATATATGAGGTGGTAGACATTGCAGAGAAGATAAGGGAAGCAAGGTTGAAATGATATGGACACGTAATAAGGAGAGATGGAGAGCTGGTCAGAGATATTATGAAATGAAGAGATCAGAAGAAGATGTGAGGTGGTAGACATTGCAGGGAAGATGAGGGAAGCAAGGTTGAGATGATATGGACACGTAATAAGAAGAGATGAAGGAGAGCTGGTCAGTAGAATAAAGGAATGAAAGGAAACCAATGGAGAGTAAGAACAGATACGCGGGAAGGATAAAAGATAACCATGTTAATATACGGAAACACCTACCAACTTTGCCTGATTTTGTAACACCAGGAAGTCCTTTTGCACTTTTGATTGTAATTGTCAACTTTCCTTCTGAAGGATTGTGGGTCAATGCGACCAGAATCTCTCCAAGCGGAGGACGTTCACAGAACTCATCACCCTGCGTCGAAAAAGTTGACATGGAGAAGTTACTCCAGTTTAATTTACAGTCCACTAGACTCGTGGACTACTGTTTACCAATATTTCAGCGGCTGTTACCGTAAGATAACATGCACTAAAGGACTGCCACGCGCTTTGGACGTGTTGACGGGCCAATATTGGAAAAGTATTGTCATGCAAATTTCTTTTAGAAAATGCTTTGCAAGGGGTAACTGATAATTTAGATGAACACCAAGTTTGCCTTTAGCATTTAAACATGTCGCTTTCATTTTTCACAACTAACTTTGGCAAGTATGCAATAAATGTTTTAGACTCTGAAGTTTATACGCATTGTCGGTCTTGCACGAAACAGAGTACATATAGTTTATCTTTAAAAGATTTCAGATATTTCCATTTCCAATCGATATAATTTCTTGCAACTTATAAATATTTTATTTGGCTTTATCAATTTTCCGCCACTTTTGAAGATTGAAAAACAAAAGCTACCGAGACGATAAGTATCTTTCCGTCCGTCAAAGCCCCTTGAAAACTGACGTTATAGCTACGACATAACATCTCATGGCTGAAATCGTAGGAAATTACATTTTTTCGTCTTACACAAAAAAGTTATGCAATTCTTTACAGCCGTAAAACTTTACAACTTGCACAAGGATAATTCGTGTATATGCAACAGCTGATATTTCTTGTCATATATCACCGATTGTCAAACAGGAAAGAATATCCCTTGTATATACATTTATTAGTTGACTAGATATACCGTTTATCTCCATGCTTATTTAGGAATTTTGCCTGTGGCTTGCATGGAAATTCGATCAAAATGATTAACTTGCCCGTGTGATGCTCACGAGACCGACTTGTGTCGGGCAAAGCTTATGTACACAATTGATAATATACATGAAGGATTGTATTTTATTCCTACTGACAGGACCAATTTATTTTATTCATGTTCTTGCTAGAAATGTAAATATATTTAAAAAAAAAGAAAACATCGATAAAATTTTGATAAAGAGTATCACGCACGCATGTGTTTGAAATTCGGGCAGTGATTCTTATATAGAGATGCTTCATTTCTCTCAAATCATTTCATAGAATTCTCTTAAAAAGAACTGCTAAATGCTGAATATATTTTAACCACAACTTTTGAGCACGTCTGTTATATTAACGCATGCATGTTTGACAATATTCATGAAAACATAACTAAATGAAATTTATCGGTATGACTCGGAAAAGATAAGTTTCAAGTGTTTCAGGAAGTCGTGTATATTATCAAACTTCTGTCTTGTGGCTTTGAAAATATATCGCTGAGAAATACCGAACTTTGTGTCCGCAATATGAGTGAGTTTTTCAGTCGCACAATTAAAAATGAATGCACTAATTATAGATGTTGTGCAAAAACGTGCTGAGCAAAAAAAAAGCCTTGATAGATGGATTGCCGGTGTGGAAATAATTACAGGCAACTAGATGCACGATGAACACAGCTATTTAATAAACCTGTTGACTGTTGTTGTCCAGTTTAAGGCAGGGTTTCTTCCTTAAATCAAGGTGCAAATTGCCATTGTAGGAAACAACATAATTATGTGATATCTACGCTAGTGAATAATACAAAAGTTTATGATCTCCGCCTCCCGAGGTAACGACTTCCATGCACTTCTATGTAACACCTTAGTAATCAATGTGTGTAATATATTTACGCTTGTGAAGTCGCAGGATAACTTCCCTTTTAGAATGTATGCACTATCGTCTTGAAAAGGATTTTTAGTTAAAATCCATGCCATATCTGAGGTCAAAATATTATGCAAAATGCACTCTGTGTAAACTTCCCGATATATCAGTATAGGTCTGAACGTGAATTCCTACATATCCAATTGTCGTCATACAAATCACGCCTACAGTGAGCTCCTGAAAGCGAAAGGCGAATAATATCGTCGTAAAGTCAAAAGAGTACGCGCGTGTTGTTCCGAAACACCCTGCACTTGCGGAACGGAAGGCAGCGTTAATAAAAACTTCGTGAAGGATGTGTTTAGCATATTAGATGAACACAAGCTCGGTGTATCCAGCGACCAAACATACTACGAATCCCGCTCTCCTGAGAAAGAAGAGTCAAAGTTTTGTCTAGACATGCAAAACTCTTTTAGACAGCCTAATCCTACATACACAACTTCATCAATATTTGTTTATCATGCATCGCTATTCCTATGCTCGCTGTATTCATATACGATGTACTTACTAGTTCGTCGGACACCATTGGAGTTAGACTGAGACATTTGCTTGTAATCTTATTCGGTTGTAAGTCCGCTAACGACACATGAAGTTGACCAATGGCTTTGTTCTCGGCATTGTTCATAACCAAAAACTGGAGACTGCATTCGCGTATTTTCGTATGCGTGAAGCCGGACACCAAGAATGTTTCGTTGAACAGCGGATCCACTGAATTGAAAACGAATTTCGTCTCTCGACGCCAGTTCATTTCATCCGGTTTTAAAATAGCGATGACGTAAGACTCTAGATTATCGTCCCCAGGTAAACGGAGCGCTTGAATAACGTTCACGTGAAGCTGACGGTTTTTTTCGTCGAAGTAATACGAGAACTCCAGCTTTCCGACAACTTCCGAACTTGACGAGATCGTAGCGCTTCGCTTGGATCTTTTCTCTGGCGAAGTCGGCTCGCTGAAGCCTCGGAAACGACGACTGAAAGGCGACGTGGGGCTGCTAGGGCAGCTGTAACCTCCCTTATGGCTGGTACGGTGTTTGATCGTTATGGCAGGAGATCCCGCAGTATTTAGCTGCTCTAGGGAAATAGCATTTGGGTAATGGTCTCCTTTAAAAACAGAAAGTAAACCATGTTTATTGATTAGTCGTGAGGTCAGTTGTACGAAGACTGGATAGCGTTATCTTCAATTAATAAGGAGAAACATTACTTCAGATCTACTGAAGATCAATTCTAACAAACTACGGGCAATTTTAGAACCTAAAATATCACTTGGCACAGCCCCTTCTGTGAGGTTGAGTCATTCCGCCCAAATAGTCCATGTTGCCAACTTTGAAGTGTATTGTTAGTTTTTCTCTAGTGGAGATCTAAGTTTCTATATTTTGATTAAAAACCTTCACTAACTCTAATAATAAAGTCACAGTAACCGTCTCGCCCTGTTGTTGTGGATTTCTTGAAGTAAAGGTGAATGGAACAACTCAAATTATTCAAACAACTAACATACCATCACTCCGATGGCCAAAGAATTTCGACATATCAGGGCCATAGTTACGAGTGTCCAACAGCTCAGCGGTTATAGGTGGGGGAAGACTGGAGACTGGACCCTGGACCCTGCGTGGTATCGTTCCCGGCATGAACTGCGGGATGTCTTCATGTATAATGATGCCGGGGGGAAGTTGACGGTCGCGATGAACTGGGGCTGGTCTCTTCCGTCGTACAGCCCGAACAAGATAGAGAAGAAGTAAAAGAAGAATCGCGCATATTGATCCAAGGACTCCCGAAACAATGAGAACTGAAAAGAAAAGCGATTAATAGAGTTTGAAACAGAGGAAATAACATGGCTCTAACAGGAACTATGAGTTAAAAAACGTCGTGCAAACAGTCATGCTAGTATACACTTAGAAACTATTGATGCGGATGAAAAGCACACTTGAGTATTTGCCATACGCCAGAATTGGGATACAACCAGACACTGATTATATTTATCCTTACTCTCAGAACCGAAGAAAAATTTGATCTATGCTCATATCAGGCGTGTCTCTGAGAGATAAAACGTCGTGGATTCTTCTTTGGAGATCGCATTTCGAGAAATTAGATGTTGGCAATTGTCTGGCTCAGTCCGACCGATTGCATGCTTAAACCCACGAACAGCGAATGTCACTCAAAATGTAAATTACTTTTGTTGCCAGCTGTCCATGGAGACGATGGAATGAATTATTCGCGCCATTTACCGCGATTTGGTTATCAATGAACGTTGGATAAAAGGACTTTAGCGATTGTCAATAAACTTGCCATGATTCTATTAATCCTGATCAACCTGTACGTCTATTTAGATCACACCTATAAGGCCTAAATCGTCACAGTTAAGTTAAATAAGGTTACTTCTTCATAACGAAACACGCTAATCTACCTTTTCTTCATGTTTTTGCCTAAAGTATCTATCATTTACAACTTTTAGTGTTAGCCATGTGACTACTTAAGAATGCATGGTGATTTATTGTATAACAAAAATAAATATATAATTATATCTAAACACTATCAACAAGGTAGTTAATATCGAATATTAAAATTGTTAGTTTTTGTTGCAAGCTTGGTGATGCGATCAACCATTCCATTGCAACAATTCCCCTTATGTAACTCTCCATGGAAACTCCTTGGTGGAACTAAACACGCCAATTTATTATTTAATTATTCTTAATCAGTAATTAGAAGCATCGGATTTTAGTCTAGAATATATGGTTTGTAAGACGGAATTTTAATGATAGGAGAAACAACAATAGTTCAATGAACATATTGCAAGATAGCTTCTCTCGAATCGTAGTATCATTTACAATAATGCTTTTTAGTCTTGATGATAAATTCTTTCAAATAAGATGATTTTTAAGATGATTTTTATGACCTTCAATCAACTTAGCCGTTCATGAATTTAACCAAACTTCTATATTGATATTAGAGTAAGCACTTGTCTATATTTAAAATTAACCGGGAAGGGATGAATGTAAGATAATCATCCTATATACGATTAAACAGCCATCATTTCAAACTTGACCTTTAGATGATAAATTCGTTAGGTCACGATAAACAAATACATTCAGCTCGGGCGTTTAAGTTTTGGTTTAACGAAGAGAAATATACAGAATAAAACACAAAACTAGGAGCCGTGCCACTGGAGGGGATGTGAATGCAAATGAACCAGTCTGTCTGCATGATATAAGAAAATAATGATCCCCTTTAACGCTGTACATTTGATTACCTTTACTCTTCTCAACCATTCCCAACGATTCCTTAATCTATGGTAGATTCCATTACATATGAAAGCAATCCGTGATATTTAACATCGCTATAGTTTAGAAGTTCCAATGACAATCAGAGTAATGAGCACTTAGAAATGCATATATCCTGGTTAACTTGCGTTATTTTATGTTTGCCGACGGCTAAAGGATATACGTCACATGGGGGTGGCTAATATTGACCGCTATAGTCTTACTCGGGGGTGTTGTAAGTCTCAGTAAATACACCAGGCTTGGTTTCTACCGGAGGTTGAAACTACAGGCGTGATGCTAGACGCTGATTGGCCTAGGATTTCACACCTATAGGCTATATATTTCAACAGACGTTCAGTATAATCCACTTGATTTTTTAAGAAATTAGTATAGATCCAGTTTCACTATATTTGTGTTTTTCTATGTAATTCAGCCAGTATTGTGACGACAGTCACGTATGGCAGCTTCTCGCTCACGAAACTGGCTAAACACATTTGAATGTGTATAAAATATCTCTTCTTTATTGACTTCATGTAGTCAGTTAAACTCCACTGGCTTCTATTTTTGTACATTCTGGGTGGTATTGGTTGTTACAGCCATGACAACGCTAGTTCTTCTCAAAAAAATCATATTGAAGTTAAACTGCTTGTTTAAATTAATTTCAGTTATCAGAAATTCTAGTTTAAATGCAATTCTCTCGTTTAAAACCCTTGGAGTTGAAAAGTTGGGAATATTTCAACCAGTTTCGTCTTGACATTGGAAAATCAGCAATCATGTTGCCGCGTGAATATTTCATAGAAAGAATTGTCATAGATTAAGATTGCGCAAGTGGTTTTTTAAGCCCAAACGAGGATTAAAAATGATCATATTGAAAAGGTCAATACAAGGTGAATTATGAATTTGTGGCAAGTTTAATCGGTAAACCCTAATTGTGCCTCCCGCCGCCATTTCTATGAGCAATTATTCGTCTCAGTCGCTGCAATAAAGACGATTTTCATATTTCTGTCTAAAGTAGAAAGCACTTAATTATACTATTGATATAGTTCGGGCAAGCTCATAGTGTCAAACGTAAACAATCCCATCTCTAGTCACTTAACCTCCACGATTTTAATAGCGAGACCTAAAGTCACAAGTCTCAGGAATAAATTCAGCTATTTTTACTTCAAGAAAGGGCCGCAAAGTCATCTAGAAACAACATCAAACTTTCAATTTCCGCTTGTGGTTAAATGCGGACACTCTTCTATCAGAATTGAATATTTTTTTACGCTTCAGCTAGTACATTTCCTCTCTCCTCTTAAATATCCTGATGTATGTGATAGAGTGATCAACACCAGTGATGGCGTTATCTGCCCTGGCCGACGTAGTTGTTCAGGAAAAGCGTAAAAATGGAGTTTACAACACTGAATTCATTTTAGAATTTTCTCTGAAGGAAAGACTCGTTGCTAGCAAATAGTACCTGGCGGCGTGAACCGAATAGAATCAGCAAAATTGACATTAAGAGTTGAGGCATATAAAATCGGTCTATTGCAATGTTCAATACCATTTATCACTGGATGACAATGGCTGTAAAATACCGTTCATGGTACCTGGGTATTTTTTAATTAATACAAATTGTAAACTGGCTTACTTGGTTCCATGTTATCGTATTTCACATCATCTCTTCCTCCGAGTTACTCTGAAAATCCAGGACCTTTTTGGATACAAAAATCAACAAAGGAACTTCTGAAATATACCTTTAAAACAAGCTCATAACAAGCGTATAGCATGTGATTCTTTACTCAGTCAACAACACGACTACTGCACACTTTCAAGTTTACTAGACTACAGGGTGTCCCAAAAAAAACGAAAACTATTGAAATCACTCATTGTTAAAATTTGAATGCCGTGTTCACGAATTTCAACCCATGGGGATTTAATGCAACTTATAAAATACTAAATGCTTTATGTTGCTAGAGATGGGAATATGTCGAAGGTCATGGTCCTTGAGATGCACATTTAAATATTGTTATCCATATTTGTGAATTGTAAATATTGTTAATAAATATCATTTTTGCGTACAAGCAAATTTTACTGCATCATATGCATGCATAAAAATGCGTATGGTAAACATTTATACACTTGTGGGTCCCAACAGACTGTTTAGGCATTCAAACTCTAACAATTGTATTGTTATGGGTGATTTCAATAGTTTTCGTTTTTTTTTGGGACACCCTGTAGAGTAGACTCGTCATACAGGACGACTCCGTGGAAAATTCAACCTCAACTATAATCACACATATTATTCAGTTATTTATTATTGTGTTAAAGGCTAAATAATTGCCCCATTTAAGGTTCATAAAGTGAAAATGTCTTGTACAAGTAAGGACATGCAATTAAAGACAGTGTAAAGGGAGACATAGTCTGGAGCCTCAGTAAACGCCAAAGTGGCCATAATAGCTAGGATTTGATATTAAAACGGCTCAATTAAGCACAAATCTTTTGAAATTTTGCCTCTATAAAGATTTCAAACGCGTGCGGTCGACAAAAGCTATTGGAAGATAATCGCTTATTATGTAAGAAATCTACCATTGTATTTACTGTGCCCAAGTTTTGCATAAAAATGAACAAATTGTCGAAATAATTGTGGGAATAATTCATGACTATGCGTTTTAACACAGAATGCACCAATCTTCATTGACCAGACTCGACAAATCATGCAAATCTTTATAGGGTGTAATTATACAATTAAGCGATTTCAGGTCCCTTACAGGAATAACGCTGAAACCGAAAACAATCATAATTAACATGCACAGAAGACGAAGGTTAAATTGTTAAGCGAAGTCTGAGGATTAAAATTACTTCATTATTGGATTGAAGATAATCATTTCCGAAGTTAATACTAGTGTGAGTATATAGCCTTCAATTTTGATTCAATGTGATACTTAACATTTTGAGGTCCCCGAAATATTTTGCTTCTGAAAGTAACGGTACCTACCTTGCTTCCAAAACGTTCATCCAGCAATTGTAATATTTCTTTATAATCCCGAGTTGCTGGCAAAAGTTAGCATGAAGCCACAAACGCCATACAATCGACTCTTGAAACCTGTTTATTTTGAATTATATTCAAATCAAAGTCGATTTTTAAACAAAGACAAAATGGGTCGCTTCAGCAATTTTGACCTTTGGCTCATCCAGAAGTCTACATGTGTATATAGGGATTTCTAATGTTTTATTGAAATTTTACCACCTCAAGTATAGAATATTACATCAAGAATAAGAAATAAACGATTAAATTCATTCTGTGAAATATATTCTTCATCCTTTAACCGACTAACAGTCTTGCAGCAATCTGCTCTCGTAGTAGCTATGTCGAGTTTTTTGTTTGTGTAACGAAGACATCCTGTTTATGTATCATTGTTGATAATGATAACCAGTCCTTCGTGAATATTTTTGCATATAAGTCAGCTTACCTATGCTAGAACTGATCATAGGGATCTGTTTTACCAGTTTTCATTTAGGATTAACTTCATTGTGATATTCCCATACAGAAATGTTTTAAAATTTACATGAGTAAACTCTTTCAGGAAATCAGGAAATACATTGTTTTATATCTGATATAACAGCATAAGTGGTTATAAGGGTCTCTGATCGCATATTTGCCCTTTTACCTCGAAATATAAATATCGGTGTAATTATTTTGTGCGTTTTCAGCAGAATTGATAAAATAAAATTGTTGTAATTTTTCACTACGCTATAGCATATAGAACCGAATGGTTTTCACTATTACCTATGTATATTCACCTTGCCTTCATGCAGTGTGTAACCGTTCAATATTAAGTCTATCGATTTCTTTAAAAATATATCATATCGCATATGCTATTGAAGGTTATTGTTCATTTCAAAACAGGATATATTTTATGCCATTGTTCAATTGATAAATTGGGTTTATCCATCATCATATTCCAGTGTTGATAACCCGTCTCGGTTGGGTCAACGTTAAATCCGACCAAAACGACGCCAATCAAATGATCTCGTAGTTTTCCGCGGTGAATCACTTTCATTGTGATGCTCGTTGATTGCATCTGATCGCGTGTTAACTCAAAGTCAAATCCTTCGTCGAATTCTGGGTTCCATTCGTGATGCTGTACTTTGGTTTTTCTTTTGAAGATTCTGTTTAAATCCTGCATCACGTTGATTTTAACAAAAGCGTCTAAAACATATGTTTGCACTGAATACTTTCTCTAGATTTAGCAATATAGGCCTGAACAATATAACTTTATTTATACTGGATAGCTCTATCAGTTCTAAACTGTTCTTCCTAAAGGTCCACTAAGGATCATCTCTTATTGATCCAGTTTTACTACAGGAGGAAACCTAAACTAAACTAACTTTATTTATACTGGATAGCTCTATCAGTTCTAAACTGTTCTTCCTAGAGGTCCAGTAAAGATCATATCTTATTGATCCAGTGTTGCTACAGGAGGAAAACTAAATTTATGATGACTAACGACAGCAGATCTATATTCTAACCTGTGTGTCCAACTCTCGTCATTTTAGGCAACCCCCTGGCTCTGATAATCTTCACGTTCAACTTCCAATCGATGGGATCATAATCCATGGAAACCAGTAAATCACCAACATAAGAGCGATCTTTCTCCTGGCAATAAGGTAAAATTTAGTTTCTGGTACAATATAGTACAGTAAAGTACAATGCTGTACAATACAGTACAACAAAGTACAGCATTCAGTTTAACTCTAAAGTTGCTAGTTTGAGCTCATTTGCATTGAGTTAGGTTTATAATGAGCTAGATAATGATATCAATCTGTAAACCATATCTTGGACAATATGAATGCAAAGCGAGCGAGCACACAGGATAACAGCATGAAAAATAAATACGAATGTCGGATTGTTTTAAAATAATAAAATAGAAGAATTCCGCCCACATCGCAGCAGGGAAAATAACTGAACACAGCAAACGTTATTTTTATTTAATTTTAAATTTAAAACTCGCAACGATTTCTTTTTGACGTCTCGGTCATTCCAAACCCACACATACACACACACCTACTTGCATTTCTCACGTTTTCAAAAAAACTAAGAATAATAGCTCGATTAAAACTTAAAGTGATTTGCTCAATATATCGTATCCTCCACTTCTCCAGCTGATCGCCGCAGTCTGCACTGTAGTGTTTTAAACCAGTATTTTTAACCAAACGCTTGCCTTGCCTCATAGACTATCGTTATAACGGGACTTTCACTCTGTCCGGCATTAGTTTCATAATAAATTGATGCCAGAAAATTTATGTTAGATAATGTAACTTGGTAAAATCGTGAAGGTTTACTAGGGATAGAAATTTTCCTTACAAACGCGTGCCTCGAAAGAGTTTAAAAATCAGATTAGGAACAATATGTGTAAAATGTATACTGTACACAAACATTCTCAAATGATGAATCTCGAAGTATAAAACTTTTAGTTTTAGCTGTTAAATCAAAGCTTTGAATGGCTTCGTCCGAAAGTCTGTTTTATATAACATCTGAACTAATCTATCATTTTTGATATATGATCTATTGATCTGGTTGCATCATCTCCTATACACTTATTTGAGTGGTTCTACATGTAAATCCAAGTTCCATCGTATTTAAAATAAATTAAATTCCCAACCGCGACAGGGTCGTTGCACGACACAAATAGCAGACACCCAGCTGAGTCACCACGCCACACATGCTGAGTTAAAACACGCGTTATATATCCAGCACAAATGAATGCAATGGAACAAATGCTGTTGGACTTCCTTAAGTTGTAAACACGGGGGCGAGACATCGCGATTGTCAAACATGACAACATGATTTATGGCTAATTCAATCACACCCGCGCAAGACCGTTAAATAACATAACGAATTTGTTTGCTCAAAAAGTCACTTGTAAGGTATAATTTGGGCATCGTTTCAAGATCGTATCAAAGGTTGATTTGCATTCTGTTGATTGCTGCCCACTTGTGTCACCTGAAAGGGTTGTTTTAAGAAATATTCCTGACTCCTTCCGATCATGTCGCCTTTTACAACTTTTCTAACGAGAACCGATTTTGTCTAATTCTATTTTGATTGTCATAACTTTAAGTGCGAAATCGAACGTGATGCTGCAATGATGCAAATCCTATGTCATCACTAGATAGAGCATTGGTTGGGTGTTGTGATCAATCTTGTTCTTAAGTGAAGTTCCGTTCATTTTCTTCCTTTCACTTCCAAAAACTTTCCCATTCACTTCCAAAAACGGCCTTCAGTCACTTTTTAAATTTCGCATATGCAACGACCTCACTCGGTTGTAAAAGCATTCAATGAATGGATTTTTACGATACGGAGCTTGGAAAGTATAAATCTTACCTTAGGAACGCCAAGAGGTTGCTGTAGTTGACTTGTCCGACTTGTGAAGACATCAGGCTGTAGGTCTCTCAGTGAATAGGTCACCTCGCCAATAGTCTGATCAACATTAAAATCATTCAGTCTGAAAAGCAAGGCGCAGTCGTGCAACTTTGATAAAGAGAAACCGCTTATTGTGAACATCTCCCCAAAAATTGGATTCTCTGTTCCCTGAACTATTTTGGTTTGCGCCTCCCAGATAAACTTGTCTGGCTTGAGTTGAATGCTGAGGCATAACTTCCCGTCCTGTTTGCGTTCCACCGGAATCATAACATTACGAATGCGCATTATGTTCAGGATCAACGAACGCTGGCTAATTTGTTACTGGAGTGAGAATTCCAAAGTTGCTCCAGTGAGTTTGATCTGATGCTTTGATTGACGGAAAAGTCTCAGAAGTCGTGGGCTTTCATCAGGGGACTGGCGACTAGAGTTGCCAGAGCCTTCCAGGCTTGAGCCTGCGCTGCGGGTGGAGGGCGGTACATTTATCGCGAGAAGGTCGATCGAGCTTGAGCTTGGGTTACGGGATAATGGCTTCTTCGGTGATGTGGGGGCTTGGGGTGGGCTTGTCCTTGGTGTGACGATACTTGATGCTCTACGCTTCAGCTCGGATCCATCTCTCGTATCACGTTCTGGAAAGAAATCAAGTAATTTTCAGTCTATTACAGGCATCTCCTTCTACCACAGCCATTCTCTCTAATACAGACGTCTCTCTCTAACACTTGCACCCCCCTCTCTCTCTAAAAACATATCTCTCTAATACAGATATCTCTCTCTAATGCAACTACCTCTCTCTAATACAGACATCGACCTACCTACTAACGGTTGTAACGATATTTTTCGATGAATGGGCAATGACACTGTATATCCTCTTGGTTGGATGCTCGACGCTTCTTCATCGTCGTGTTTCCAGCTCTGTGTGAACTCCGTCGGACTCGTAGCGCGGGGGGAAGTTGATCTCACTGTCGGTGTCGGGGGGGTTATTATGGGTTGTACCAACCGAAGTTGTGTCCCTGAACGGATATATCGTGATCATAATTAGGATGATTTAAATTGTTTTGTATTGTCAGATCACGCGAATACTCGCGCTCAAGTTTTTAAGAGCGAATACGATGCTGATCGGAGAGTGATTGTGACGATAAGGATTATGATGATAACGGTAATGATCGTGATAACGATGATCATTATCATTATGGTGCTGATAATGATGATGATTATGATAATATAGTGATGATTATGATATTGATGGTGAAGATAATGGTAATCATGAAGCGCGATGATTTTCTTTAATCCCATCTTACCTGGGATCACAAACTCCGGGATTTCATTTCGCACCAAGGATTTACTTCGAAAAATCTTGCTTGATTTTCGTTGTGTTGTCGGAGTTGGAGTGGAATGTTTCCTCAACGGATATTCCGAAGGAACCTTTCTCCGCTTCCATGCTCTGCGTGCTACTAATGATACGACTATGATGATTATGCAGAAGGCTACACCAAGCAAAGCTGTCACCAACGCTAAATACAGCAACAAAAATCACTGTTTCACTTCAGTAAACTTGCAGAATCTCAGGGAGATTGGAAAAGAGCTTCGTTTATCACTAATTTTCAACAAAATCGTAATACTGTTATCCAGTTAAGGTGTTCGATCAGTTGCTACTGAAAGTAATTAATTAAATATTCTATGAAAGTCTGCGTCGCATTCATTAGGTATTTAAATTTCCATTCATGCATAAGAGAGGAAATGTTCAACTATATGCTGTATTTAATAGCCAAGCAATTCGTATTTTCACCTGCTTCTTGTGATCAAAAGCAATAAAAATTCTGTGTGCTGAATTTATTGTGAACACCTATCTCCTTTATATCTTCTCTCAATATCGCTAAAGAATTTCACGTTATTTATGAATATCCGTGTTGACTCTATTGAAATTCTGTAATAATAATAATCCTTCTCGTAATAATAATAAACCCCCTTCGTCTCATCGCAACTCGTATTCTTTCACTTAAACGTTTCCCCTCAATAGCGCTCATAATTATTAAAAAAAGATAAATCTGCAATTTTGAGCATCGTCAGGAAAGCAAGTATCCTCGTGTCTCTCATTATCTGAGTTTACAGGGTAATCCTTTGGAGGTAACACGAGATCACTGTTATTGGCGGATTCTACGAGTTTTATATTTCAAAGAACGATGAACTTATTTCGATAAGCAGTGAACTCTTAGATATCCACATGAATATTATAAATATATATTCTAAAATAGTAAAATTATTCTTTAAATTTCAATGAATGATTAATATTAAAAGGAAGCTATCGCACTGACCTGTCGAACTCATGATTTAGAATATTTGTCTGTCATTTTGCAGCAATGCAGCCAACTTTATAGCTTTTGTGTTATGATGGAGTATCAACCCAACTCCATCGCCTTCACCAGCGTACAACACAAACAAATTTAAAATATTTCAACTCCAAAACTTCTATAGTAATCCTATATCATTGTAAGGTTCGCATATCCATTTATGACATGAATAATGGTTTCTGTGCTGTGCCGTTGGATGTTTCGCCCCACTACACTCCATCAAATATATGATTTGACATTTTAAATGATCTCGCACGCACGGCTGGTCTTGCCGTTTATTTGCGTCCCACGTTAGCCAATCACAACGCAGTAGAGCGAAATTTGAATGGAGGTTGATGACGCCAACGCTTGTAACCGTTGCATAGTAAGTGCTCGATTAGTAAGTCATTAAACGCTTCAGATAGCAGAGGTATTGTCAACATGGCATTGGAATGGAATAAAGTGAAATTTTTTTTTGTTCGACGCTTTACGCCCAATAACAACGGGATGGTTTTGCTACAGTAACTTTACAGAGGCGAATATCTGTCGAAACCCACGCGCAATTCAGAAAAAGCAAAAAACGGGTAGCGCAAACATGTTTGGTGAAAATTGAATCAGATTAGAATGATGTTCAAGGCATTGATAGAAATGATCTATTAAGCACTCATTCTTCGGATTAACCTATCAGATTAAGATTAAGGACCGTTCTCCATGCAGAAACAAACCGGCATATATAGAGATAATATCTTACACCAACCACCGGCATATAGAGAGATAATATCTGCTCTATTAGCCGAATTCATATTAGAGACGTCTTTCCCGTCTAACGGGAAATTTAGACGGGAAACTCATTGAAGACGGGAACCTTGAATTTCTGAAATATCAACACGGTCAAGTACGGAAGATGAGTCTAAGATGAGATTCCCGCTCCTAACATGAATTCAGCTGATATCTGTTGGCTCTCCAAACTGAGTGCCCATATGATAATTCCTGTTGTGAAGCTCGTAACGCCAAAGCTCTGGCAAGAAACTTGAGATTATCGACCAATACCATCGGCAGGTTGGAAATGAAACGGTAAAAAATAATCATCAATAGCACGAGATTCCTCTGCCTTGGGGAAGTGATCAAACGGACGTTAATAATCGATTAGTGATTGTTATCTGTGAACACGTTCGTACAGTTACAGTATTTTGATAGTTTTCAATCGATAACGAACGATGAAGTAGCTGCATGGTTTTACATCCAACTAACTGACGCATTGTGTCTGGCTAAATTCCAGTTCAGTTATAGTATATGTCATAGACACTGGACATTATGCAAATTTGAATTAAGATATTTGAAAACATTTCTTACGCGATTTACTAAAGTCATTAGTTTAATATGAGCAGCCTCTCACGACAGCAAGAACTTTACTGCGCTCTGGAGGAATGAGGCAAGAATGAACCGACCAGAGACTTATTTGTTTCAGCAAACATTGCCAATACAAAGTTCTGACATTGCACTTAAAACTCGCAGCATTTGGCAGCCACGGTGGGGAGCTGATTAATATTGTGGGCTGCGTCATAACGTCACTATTGGTACCAGCACCTTCTTTACTCCAAACGAATCAATAGCCGTTCGTCTCAACACGTTTTTCTATTCCTTTTGTTTTCCAAATTTGAATTCAATACGTCAATATAACGTCAAAAAATTTTAAGCTAGTGATTTTTATTTTCGTAGGTCAGGAGAATTTATGTAGTTCGTTCGTAAAAGAAGACTGAGCTAGTGTTTGACTAACAGCTATAACTTGCCAAAAATATTCAATACTCCTCTGGTCAATCGAGTAAGCTCGCTAGAGAGACGTAGTCTTCTCTCACATGAGTTCTCTACAACATCAAATCACTTTAAGGTAGCTCTCATTCAAGAACATGTACTACCTCTGCATGATCTAACCATGCTTAACTCAGTCAACTGAGAGACTTAACTCTACTCATATGAGTTCTGTACAACATCTGATCACTTTCTACCAATCTAGAATTAAAGCATTTTCTCAAACATGAAAAGCTATAATTTATCACAGGCTTGCCGTGTTGAAATGCGTGGGTAAAGCTGCAGCGTGAAACAGCATGGGACGACAGTATTTTGGTTTCATTCTGACAAGTGATGCTTATCCCCGTCTAACTGCCCTCTCAATTAATGCTCATTTCAAACCATGCGGCGATAAACTCGATGTCAAGACAACATTTGCACCTGTTCTCGTGAACTTTACCACGCTTTGCGTAGGGGTTGTGTTGGTTGTAAAAACCATGAGTCCTTTCAAATTTCAAATACTTTTTGTCGAAACTGTTGGTCGTCGTTTCTTGTTATGACATGCAGTTGAGAAAAAACTGGGGTTATTTCGAGGAAAGTCAAATGAACTGAAGTGGAACCTGGGCCAGTCAGATATAAATAAGTCGTAAACCGTTGCCGATAGTCAGATAGAGTGTCGTGCAGAATTGGACAATGAGAATAGTGCTTCTATTTGGGGTTAACTTCGATTCAACTGATGTAGCTCCTGTAATCAGTTTCGAAATAGTGTTGTAGAACCTAAGCGATGTCTTGCAGATTATTCAGATCAACGTATTTGCCAAAACAATCAACTGGCGGTAAAGGATTGTTCCTGGGTTAAAGAATGCACTTGAGCCGAGCGGTTGGGTGTTCACAAAACCGTTGTTTTTCAAACAGCCAGTTTGAATGAAACGTTTGTTTAAGCGGCAGGGATTCTAGATTCAGTTTGCTTAATGGTTTAGCAATCGTTATCCAACTGTTAAAGATGGAAATTAATAAAACAAACTAAACACCTGTTCATATAATAGGCTATATGAAATTCCACCATGCCTATGTACGTGGCTGAGAATATATTATGTATTTTATATAGTCAAAGAAATCTTAGTTTAAAATCGTTAAAAAACGGTTGATTGTTTATTCCGGTGAGCAGTATATACTCATTCAATCTTTTCTTTTCGTTAAGTTTTTAAATCTTAATTATTCATTCTGGTAGAGACTGAAACGGTAAATGTTTAAAAAACGTTTTACCGAGTTTTTTTTCATATATACACGCGAAATACCTTTTATAATTTACAACAATTGCATGAGCTCTGTGGCTACCGTTAATTGTGGTTTTGAAGTGCCTCAAATTATACTTCATTTGTTTGTTATTTCCTCTTCCGCATGAGTGACTGATCTTACCCGTGCTTTAATAATCTTTCTCCAACTGAATGAAATGTTTTAAATGCTTTTCAAATGATTCACCTACCACTATATCGCCCTAATTTTGTCATGCGCCATCAATCCTTGGTCGTCTCTACCAGTGATAGCCTGGTAACCAGAGTATTACTCACATAATTCGCTGACAACTTATTTGAGCTAGTTGTCATTTAAATGTCCAAGTCATATGCAATTATAAGGCTTAGACTTTTTTAGCACTCTTGAATAATATAATTTTAAGCCAAATGATAGATATATTATATTTATTAAACAACGTTTAGACTTTCCCCATAATACAACATATACTTATCAATATATTATGTTGTACGCAATGTTTTTGTCACTTTTAAAAGAGCATTTGCTCTTAAATCAATCAAAGGTTGATTGACTTCACCCAGCACAGTCCAACAATGGTGAAACTCCTCGAACTCAACGACTTCAAAACGCACTGTGCACTCCCTTAACTTATGATGTACTAAACCCGACACTATAAACGTTTCATTAAACACTGGCTCGCGTGTCCCGCAAACGTAACGCGTTTCGTGCGATTGCGTGCTGCACGTTCCAACCCGAATACGCACGCGAAAATACTGCGTGGTGCACGTTTCGCTGCCAAACCGCTTCAATTTGGGCATATTCGACGCACTGATCACAGTAATGTGTAATTCTTTTGAAGGAGAATCATAAAATATGGAGAAAGTTAATTCAGGTTTTAAATAATTTCGAATTCGACTCGATTTCCGCAAAGTTTGCGTTGTCGTCAGGAACTTGTGATATGACAATCGTCGGCGTTTCAACAACTTTACTGCCGTTTGGTCCATAGGATTTTTTAATGCTCTTCCGTTTCTTCCGCTTGCCCGATTTTTTTCTCGTTTGATTTTTGCTGTTGGCTTCGTAGTGGCTGATCAACGGGATTTGATAGTCAGGATATGCTTGACGACCAGAGTTGTTATTGAGATTTTCATCTGTGAGCATCGAAACGTCCATAGACTGCAGTATTTTCGAATGAGGTTGTATATTCACAGGTTCGTTTGAGGTGTACGGAATACCATCGCTGGGATCTTGTTTGACACGACGTGATGGCGTTAGAATATATTTCTGGTCGTGTTTCATATTCTGGGAAAGAACAAACGCCGCCTTACGTCGTCTCCAATAGAGCACTGTGTAAGCAATCATAAGACTGACAACAAGTAGCGAAAAGACGATTACTCCAATTGCGATCCACCACATCTAGGACAAACATTTAGAGAAATAACTTTATTATTTTACACATGTTTTTGAACATGCTTCTTGTTCTACTCGGATTCGAAGGAAGTTGAATAACTATAGCAACTACCGGTCTCAGCACCCAGCTGAGAACATGCAAATTTGAGCGTAATATAATTTGCAAATCATTCAGTGTTTATGTTTGGATTGGTCCAGAGAACATTTAATATCAAATCTTCTCCTCAAATTCATTCGATGAACTAGATCATTCCGGCCATGGCTGTAAGTAGCCAGTGAATACATGAGGTATTCGATACTCTTAGACGCTATATACTAACAGCGCGGGAAAAAATTCACAAAATCTGATATCATTCTAATTCAGCCACTTTAAATGGTAATTTCTGCGTGTACTCTAATACTTGTATTACTTAAAATTGTGTCAAATGTTAACTGACCAGCTGTAGGTGGAGAAATACAAACCGTTTAACATATGTCAGTTTAATACCTAGTTCAGACACAAACCACGACAGGTTATTGTAGAATACTACCTACACTAGGCTGTCACATTTGAGATATCTTTCTCAGGTAGTTCAGACACAAACCATCAGTGACAGTTTATTGTAGAATACTACCTACACTGGACGACCACGTTTGACTGATATCTTTCTCAGGTAGCTCAGACACAAACCATGACAGTTTATTGTAGAATACTACCTACACTGGACCATCACGTTTGAGATATCTTTCTCAGCTAGTTCAGACACAAACCACGACAGCGTATTGTAGAATATGTACTACCTACACTGGACCACTACGTTTGAGATATCTTTCTCAGATAGTTCAGTCTGTTCAGACACAAATCACGACAGTTTACTTGACAACCTACAAAATTTAGTCCAGACAAAAGCCACATGCAGCAGCTCATATATATGCTACAAACTACGCAGTTAAATATTGTGGATAATTCTAGTACAATATATCAACACACTTTCACTGCACAGTTCTAAACAGTTCAGTATGGATTTCGACTGAACTGTGCTCAAAAACAGGAATTCTGCAAATCTTTCTATGATCATGAATTTGTCCGGGCCTGTTTAAAATAGACACGCAGTTTTTTACGACATCAATTATTCCTAATATCCTGAATGATGGCTGCGTGTTATAAAAATCAAGTGTCTCACGAAGCTTTAAAAACATACACATAATTATCCTTTATAATTTTTACATAACATCAAAGAAAGATTGTTTCGAATAGCCGCTAGCAGTTGTCTATGTTTCTTCGTTTAAAACTATATAAGATCTCATTAAATATTCTCCTCACCTTGCCTCCCTCCCTAGCTATGCAAGATATTTGATGTTTTCGTTTGTTGTAACTGGGATTCCGTCTTGAAAATACAATTTCCACGCAATTCCAATATCTTAAATCCCAGAGGAATCATCCCTATTGCATTTTAAACCAAATTCGTCAACAAACGTTTTACTTCGTATGTGTCATGATTCATTCTTTATTAAAATCTTTTTTCAATAAAACTGCACTAAGTAAATACGGCTTTGTGGTTTTTTAAGATTTTAGCATATTTATGGCTGGGTAATTACCATAATAATTTCTTGCCAATATAAATGTAATTTGCAAGCTTAAAAGTCTAGGTTTGAAGTGTTCGCATAAGGACAATGTTAGAAAAAGTGATATTCGAAACAGATGTACTGTGTGCGTTGCAGAGGTGGTATAATATCCATGTTTAACAAAAATTATCATAAAATTTATGACAGACTTCAGTTTCAAGATGAAGTAAAGATCGTTTCTTATTTATCCACCGTTACTAGTTGCGAAAACTGACAGATATTTTTTGCAACTCCACCAGTTCTAAACTTCCTTTAGATCCCAATGTTCCTACAGAGAAAATCTAAAAACAAAGCTATACCCTTGTTTGAGTATGTATGCTGTGGAGAAGATGCTTAAAAATGCATTACCCCTAAACTGAGGTTGTTGCCAAAGAAACACAGAAAACTACCTAAGTGGGGTAATTAATGCTCGTAACAAGTTTAATTACTGCTTAATTAATTTATTTCGCTTTAAGAAAAAAGTAGCCTTATAGTTTAATGGATTAGCGTAGAAAAAAAACACAGATTGTCATCTAAATGAAACTTATAACAATCACTTAGCTTCGCTGAGTTTAATTTTAAGATTTTAAGAAGTCCCTGGAGTTGTAACATGCATGAACAAGTCTTCAATAGTACCCGCAAATTAGACACAGATCGTGGCCAAATATTATTACTGGAGAATGATTTAAAGTGATCTTATTGTTCCAAGATAAACACTAGGCTGGATCCTTTTTGCTCATGTCAATGCTTTTGATCCTTGTTTGCACTCGTATTAAAAACACTTCGCTCTGGTTTTCATCAAACTGCCGAAACATGATCAAGTTTCAGGCATGCGGCGTTTTTATGTCAATAAAACTCTCGCAATTTTTGGGTAAAGGATAGCGTAGTGTGGCTATCTTTTAAATATTAATCTTATCTATTTTTTAATTTACAACAAGATAGTTTACTTTCAATCAATCAGGTTTTTAAAAACGTAATGGAAAATTAGCGTGGCGTTGCAATTCGAGTACCGTATGTGAGAACCTTTCACAAAACGCTTGCAGCAAAGAAACGTCTGCACCGCAGGCTAGCTTTCTTATGACATTTAGGCGGAAAGCAATAACTGTAAATTCATAGTTTGTCAACCAATATTTATCTTTGTGATAAAAAATGTATTTCATCTTTTGGATGTGAGTTTTGACATTGAATTACGGGCGGTATAAGAATAAGTTTAGCTCTGAAAAGTCAATCGTGCCAATAATTGTTTAGTTTTATTTAAATGCACAATGAGAAGCGACATCCTCGTCACTTGCCGATTCATAAGCAAAACTCAAACTAACACTGTCCCAACATGCATCGCTGTCAGAGCAAACGCCATCAACCTCGTCTCCATAACAACCGAGCTGGCTTGCTCCGCGCAAGGACTGGTGACTACCATTTAAATTGAGTAAACCGCGTTTTCCCCCTTTTATTGGATCACTGGTATGAGCTGATACATTTTGAGGTATTTTGATTGGTGCAGAATAATCACTTGAACTTTTTTGCTGTGTTTTTGATCTTTCATAAGTTCTCGGTCGGTAGAAATTTGATGTTATACTTTGGTGGTTGTTAGTCAGAGTAATAGATCTTCTGTGTTGCATTCTTTCACAACTGTTTAGCTCTGAATTGAACTCGTTTGGTTTGTATCTGTTTGTATCAATTCTGGCTTTAGAGGGAGTCTGAGTAAAACGAGAACTTGGCTCTTTGTCCTTAGCTATGGTGGTCCCGGAAGAGGATGTTATATTACATTGTTTATTTTGTTCTTCAGGAATACCTTTTTCCCCACTTGCACTTTCGACATTTCTGAGGATCAATATTGAGGAATTTCTTTCGTTTTCCTTGTTGTTAACTGATCTTGATGTTTGAGAGTTTCTTCGTGTCTCTTGTTCGAAGAGGATGTTTTCATAAACAGACTTTCTCTCAGGTTCCTGTTTTGGAGAGCTTGAATGTCTAACTTCAGAATGAGCAGAGTTTGCGATCAGTGTACTAACACTAGAACTGTGTTTAGATATATCCTCAGATTTTGCTGCATTATATGATGTTAATATAAACTCCTTGGTAGAATTTATGTCTGAAGGAGTATTTGTTTCGTCCGTGGGATGAGAAGTTTCCGGTTGAGATGCTTGAATCTCCGAGGTTTTTTCAAACGCACTTGCCCCTCTCACCTCAGTCACACAATCTGGGCTCACAATTATTGGTTTTCGTCGCTTACCATTGTTTGCAAATGCGCTGGCACCTCGTCCAGAACTACAACTGATGTCCGAGAGCCCTGATCCTTCTCTTCTGAACGTCAATGCGTAATAATCGGGTGAAAATGCCCTTGTTTTTGGACTTAACTCGAGCCCTCCAAAACTACTCGCACCTCGATGACTATCATTAGCAATACATTCAGTATGGCTGGTTACTTGATCACATGAAATATTACATGGAGTATTCTCGATAACGTCTGCACATAACCGCTGATCATTTGTTGCAGGCTTATTCAACTGAACATCGTTCATCGCAGATTCACTTAACTGCTGGTCATTACTTGCCGGCCTGTTCATGGCAGGCTCAAGAATATGTCCTGGGTTTTCATTTGCGGCTTCTACTCCTAGATCTTCCTCAGTAATTATCCCGCTTGTTGCTGACGTGATGCACATTTGGGGATCTACAGATGCATTGGTGATATGTATGGATAGGCTACTGTCGTTGGTAGTGTGATGTTGGGATGGTGAGGGAACCTGCAGCGTTGTAGGGTCATCAGGTGAACTAGTCGTATGGATAAATAGACTGCTATCATCGATATGGTTAATTTTGCTTGAAAATCCATTTTTTTGTCTGTGCTTTCTTTGGAGTTGCTCTGAAGATTCAGCAGAGTGTGCACTTAGTTGATCTGATGAAGTGTGAGGAAGGATTGAATTTTGAGTGCTATTTGGATATACCGTGGTTTGTTGGTTTCCAAATGAGCTGGTTTGATCAGTGGTTATGCTCCCGTTAAAACTACTTATGTAAGTAAAATGGGTGCTCGGTAATTCTCGATATGCTGGGGTTAGTGAGTCGATGACTTCATTCTCTTCTTGTTGTAAAATGGACTGTGTGGTCGGATAGACGCTTGTAGGTACATTTGGGAAGAAGAGCTTTTGAGCAGGATTACCTGAGAATGAAGAATATGCATGAAATAGGAGAGTGGATGGTAAGAGGGTCCGGATTATAGTTCCATCCCACCCACGCATTGCTTTTAGAATGAGTGAGCTTTGGATAATCGTGAAGAGGTTAGGCTGGATATTTCTGCTCCCTACCTTATTAAAACTAACCTGTAAACCTTAGCCATGTTTTGTGATCAGCGATGGTAGAAACATGAATCAAGGGAGAAACATGAATCATAGTGAAACCCACATTATTGGAACAGCGTGCTTTCAGCTGTCAACTGCTCGTGAAGATTACAAGCACCTTCTCTTCTACATGCAGTAGATATTTGGTGTATGAAATACAATTGAATCAAAGTCTCCTGTACCTTGATTAATAAGGTTCTTCGTTTCTTTGTCATCATTCTTGCTGGGTTTTTGACAGCAGTAAAATGATGTTGATATCGCAGCAAAAAACGTGAAGGTCAGGATTGAGCCGAGAGCAATGGACAGAATCAACCATCCTGTGGCGACCGAGAGATTTGCACTTTCAGTCGTGTGAATAATATCTGTAAAAGAGATATTGGAATGATATGTTTAAACTTTGCCTAATTACTTAGGATCTAGCATGGTTGGAAGCTAGTGATGTCTTGTTATCGTTTCTAAATCGTCAGGACTTCTTCATTTGTGTGTTTATAATTCAGCATAAGTTGAAGGGGTAGTTGCGTTTGAAGAGTTTCCTGGCAAGAGGATGAAGTGGAACCGCAAAAGTTGTTTAAAGAGTTTCGTCTTGAAACGTTATGAGAAATGATTTGAACCAGGGAATGTCTGTGTTTCACAACCTCAGATCAGACCAGCTTTACGAGAGACACAAGACATAACAGGTACAAAGTTGGATGGCCTTTTACAACACAATAAATCAAATTATGCGCTGGAGTGTGGCTCGTCTTTTTCAGAAAACACTGGATTATAGGAGGTATTTTCAACTTTAAAAATAGGATGATATCTTTAGTACTGCCCTAAAGAAATGCTCTCATATAGTAAAGAAATATGGAGATTTTGTACGGATACAGGTGGCTGTTTTGTCTTGTTCCCCGTTCCGGTTATAAAGACCTAAACATTTTTATAAACCAACATAAATATCTATTTCATTTATGGATTGTCCTACCTTCTCCGTTGTACATCGTTTAAGACGACAATAACATTGTATTCTTGTGCAGAGTTTGTGCAACGACGAAACAAGAAACATTCAACGCATGACTGGATCACGTCTTGTCTTTTTCAATCACGTCAAATATCCTTCGCGTGCCGTGTGTTTCTAAATTTAATTCACTTCTCACGGAAGTTTGGAAAACTAAAATGTTTCAGACAAATACCCGCCTCAATGGCAATACTCGATCAATAATAAGACATGAACTTCTAGGAAGAATAGTTTAGAACTGATAGAGCTATCTGAGTATAAATAAAGTTTGTTTAGTTTAGGTTTTCTCCTGTAGTAACACTGGATTAATAAGAGATGATCCTTACTGGACCTCCAGGAAGAACAGTTTAGAATTGATAGAGCTTTCAAGTATAAATAAAGTTAGTTTAGTTTAGGTTTCCTCCTGTAGTATCACTGGATCAATAAGAGATGATCCTTACTGGACCTCTAGGAAGAACAGTTTAGAATTGATAGAGCTTTCAAGTATAAATAAAGTTAATTTAGTTTAGGTTTCCTCCTGTAGTATCACTGGATCAATAAGAGATGATCCTTACTGGACCTCTAGGAAGAACAGTTTAGAACTGATAGAGCTATCAGATAGAAAGAAAACTGGTTGCGCTATAAAAATTTAGAGCTGATAGAGCTATCCCAGAAAATCTATCCATTAAAAACGTGCAGTGAATGATTAAATCTATTTCATACCCAGTCTCTCACTCATTTTAGTCCAGACAGTTCTTTGTGACGTCATAACTGGACCGTTTCAAGAGCCGTTAACAGAAGCGTAACATGGTTGCTGGCCGAGTGAGCGACGTGATCTTCTCAAGCGTAAAATCATTCTGCAGAATATAATGAAAATTTTTGGATAATTTCTCAAGGTAAATTTACAACACTGAGTATCAAAAGTAATCTCCCGATTGCATATGAATGTATCTGTTCTGTGTTTAGTTTATAATATTGATCACAACACAGCTTTGTTCATATAAAACACATGTTATATTCATATTTAATGAAGTCTTTGCGATTTTTTCTTCCTTTTTGAAGTCCCACGAATAGACACGGTTTGTATTTCCGATGTAGAAATGTCTTACACTGTCACAAATAATTCCACTTTCATTCTTCGTCGTATTTCTTCATGTGTGCAGATCCCCGTGAAATTTATTCAATCAAACTAACAACATGTGCCTCATTTAAATTTGAATAGCAGTATATATTTCAATCCGTGTTTTGATCGTAGATTTTCATATAAACCTAGTTTTTCCTGCTAAGAAAGACACTCTCTTGCAAGCGAGCAGTTTAAAGCGCAAATTTATGTTTCACATTTTTTAAATTGTTTCCCAGTTACAAATTCTTGGTAAATAATGCCTCTTATGACCGCGCTTGTTTTTATTCCAGTTACAAGATTAATATTTTTGATTGCTGTTTTTGATATGCAATTGATATATTTTTGAAATATGCATGAATCTCGACTAATAGATATACCACCCTCTGCTTTCTCCCAAGTTTCGTTGATATAAGACCTCGCATAGTATCTGCCGTTCTAGCGCCATGAAACAGACAGTCACATTTATTCAAAATATCCTCGGGTCTATGTTTTGATATAGCATATTAACTAGCATTATCTGTCCCCCATGTGGCACTAAAGACTAAGTGACTAGTGAGCCTGGCACTGAGTTTTTAATTCAGTATAACCTTTATCTTTCTTGCAATGTCTACCTGTCTATCACATCTTCTTCTGATCTCTTCATTTCATAATATCTCTGACCATACCTTCTTCATCTCTTCTGATTACGTGTCCATATCATCTCAACCTTGCTTCCCTCATCTTCTCTGCAATGTCTACCACCTCACATCTTCTTCTGATCTCTTCATTTCATAATATCTCTGACCATACCTTCTTCATCTCTTCTGATTACGTGTCCATATCATCTCAACCTTGCTTCCCTCATCTTCTCTGCAATGTCTACCACCTCACATCTTCTTCTGATCTCTTCATTTCATAATATCTCTGACCATACCTTCTTCATCTCTTCTGATTACGTGTCCATATCATCTCAACCTTGCTTCCCTCATCTTCTCTGCAATGTCTACCACCTCACATCTTCTAACAAATTTCCGTTTTTTGTTCATGTTAAAGGGTAAAACTTTCCACAGAGATCCCTCTCTTATTCAGGATACTGAAGTTTCCCATTTGAGGCTTATCCTGTACATCTTTTTAGATCCTACGTATGGAAGACGTTTATGAGAAAGGGTACTCAAGTATTTTTGAAAAAGTTGTGACATTAGTTTCCGGCTAAAGAATGCAAGGTAGGTCGCCTTGCTCGCACAAAATCTCTCTAAATCGAAACCAGGAAAGGTTGCACGTGCATATTTGTAATAAAACTTTCGCATTTGACAGTTTAAACGAACCGCCTAGCCTGAGTAACCAGTTCCCAACGCATTTCAATCTGCATTGTAGTTCCAGTTGTATGTAGTTGTTACATAGACAAAGGATTTCTTGTGCTTACATTAGGAATTCGTAACAATGTGACAATAATCTCTCAAGGCTGCATAGTTTTCAGTAGAATGCGTTTCCTAGCAAAATGTAAATAAGGTTATTTATGCAAAAGACGGCTGTGTTGATATTAAAAATGAAAACGTGTAGAAACCAGGGCCATGCTATGAATCTGGGAAACCTTACGGTGTAATTTATACAAAACAACTAGCTGTATCGTGATTTTCCGTGCCAGGTCGACCGCAATCAGTTTTAAACGGATGGTATATTTTCAATCGACGGACCTTTCTAAATCGACGATTGACTTTTGATATGAATTACGTCCGTTTGTTATCTTGTTATTGAAATATTTTGGTGATTTTTTTCACCAATTGAATCACTCGCCAATTTAGTTATGAAACGTGTTAAAACAAAGAAGCAATACAACTAATCCTTGTGGCGGGCTTAAGCGATAAAGGATCGAAAACGAAGTAATCAATTTTCGACAGCATAGTATCATTGTGCACACAACTATTTCTCTAAGACTGGAGTGTTGAATAGATCTTTATTAAGCTTTACTTGAGATGTCGTGTCATTGTTTCACTCCAGATCTTGTTTTAACATCTCGCAGAGGTAAGAACAACCACATTTTACTTAAGCTAAAACGCTTAGATTGAAATTTTCAAACTGAGCTAGTATTCTTCAGCACAGAATCACGTCCATATGCCAGACTGACTAATGTTATGTTATGACATGCCAGGTAGTGTAATGTTTTCGTATTTCATGCATGCTTAGCAAAGTCTTAACCTGTAATAAATTAAATAAACGATGCATTTAGGCCTATTTCATAATTCAAATGCCTCCTTCAGTCTCTGGTTAACCACTGTCGCGAGTGATTTCATAGTATATCACGCAAACTTTGTTCCTCAGTTATATTCAACTCGTTCCCTCTTTTCACTAGACTCGGAGCAACCTGAATCATTTCTCCGTCGTCTTCTTTGGAAGAACTCGGGTATCCTGTGCTTGGCTACTTTGATCACGTTACCCATCATCCTTGGCGTCGCCTTGGGTTACGTCATCGTTCTGGCATTCGTGACATCGTATCGAAAAATTACGGGTAAAAAATCTCGCGAAGAAAAAGAGAATGAGGCGGCGAAAAAAATCCGGATTGTTTTGGGTCAGGATTTGCTTGATACTGCTTTTACAAAACCTGAAGAATTGCCAGGACAAAGGCCGAAGTTTATACGACCACCTCCGAGATATGGCTCGGTAAACGACGACGTTCTTTCAAGCGATGAAAGCGAGTCTGAGAGTGAAACGGAGGGTGAATCCGTTGAGGAAATGGATGAAAGACTTGCAATGGAAAATAGAAGTGAAAAGGAAGATTTACACGAGAAAATGGAAACATGTGTCGAGGTTGGAGAGAGTGAAAATCTTCGTCCCCAGGCCGCTCCTGAGCGGCACAGTGCTAATGACGTCACAGGTGATGGCGTCATTGGTGGTTCGAGAACAACAAGTGCTTCATCCGGAAATTATTCCACGGCAAGTGAAATGACAGGAAGGGATTCTAGGGAGACTAACACCTCGGCATTAGATACCCGGAATATTGATACCGCGGAAGAAACTTATCAGGATTATGTAGCTTCGTCAGGCAATGCCCCGGGGCAAAATAGCAGTGGACATGACGCTTTAAGCAAGACTGTTCCGGATGTTGCGAGTCCCACAATTTCAGACAGAGAATATTCTGAAGGAATTACGGCAGCGGTACATCCTGTGAATCCAGTCAGCGGTCTTAACCAAACCTCGCCTGCGATTAACTCCAATATTCTGGACAGCGGTTCTGAAAATGAAAAACGAACACCTGCAGTGCATTCTGTCGTCATGGACAGCGGTATTAAGAATATCTCCTCTATAAAAAACGACAGTAAAGCTTCCAGTCATAAAATTGAAATTCCCCCAGTCTTAGGAAAACTGAAATATTCTGTGCATTACATTCGAGAAAAAAATGAACTTCAAGTAACAATCACAAAAGCAATCAACTTATTTTCTGCGGATAATGAGACACCTCCAAGTAGCTTTGTTAAAGTGAGTCTGCTACCACAACGCTTTTGTTGGCAAAAGACAAAAATCGTTGAAAGGACAGCGCACCCTGTCTTCAATGAAACTTTTGTGATTTCCGGGTTTTCTTACGAACGTTTTTCGAACTACACGCTTTTGATTTCTGTTGTGAATGCGGCGACCTCCTGGCAAGGATTTTACGGTGATCACGTCATTGGTGAGGTTTATGTGCCGTTATATCACGTGGCTAAATACTCGTCCAATCAGGACAAGGTATTTAGTCAATGGGCGGATTTGAAATCAAAGATCACAGAGGTTAGTACTTAGTATCAGCACTGCTACTTTGGTTTCGGTTGGGTAAAGAACAGTTAAAAGTCTATACTATTAAATTCGAATTTCCTTTTTTGAAGATTTTTAAAAGTAATAATACTATTTTAGCAAATACTAGTACATTTACTAATAATTGATTACACACAACCTGGTTGTTTTGACTCATTGTTACTATCAATGACATAAGTAAGTTTTATTGGTGAAATTTGTTTAGATGCGAAATGTTACTAAATGTGGAAGAATCAATCTGGCATTATGTTATCGACCAATCAGCGGGCGTCTTATTGTCACAATTAAAAAGGCGAAAGAACTGGAATGTGAAGGTCGAGAGAAATTTGGTAAGTGGCGACAGAGATATTAGATTGCACAATAAAGAGTGTATGGTCAACATATTAAAATGTTCATTAGAATCAATGCAAAGGTACAGCTACTGAGGATGATATTACATGACATAACTTCAGTTTTATATCTCTTATATAGACTCCTATGTTAAACTGGCGTTGTATTGTGGAGGGTCACGCGTGGATCGTGGAAGCACTCGTGTTAAACGCAAAGTCAGCAGTCCGGTTTTCAACGAAAAATTTAACTTTGATCTGAACGCAGATCAGATAGCTTACACAACGATTGTGTTGAAGGTGATGAACAGTATTGACAGTAATAAATCAAGTTGTATCGGAGCAACGGTTATTGGTTATGAATCATCAGAAAACGGTCAGGAACATTGGATGTGCATGATGAAATGTCTCAGCAAGCATGTGGAAGCGTGGCACAACCTTTATACTTGATGGTCCAACTTGGATTTAAATCATATCGAATCCTAACGTGCTCTTATCTGACCCCTTATATCCATTTTCAACTCTCAATGAACATCGCTATGATTCGGTTTTGCTGTTCAGGTACACAGGTGCTTCACAACCATCTACTGGTACCCTTGTCATGTATTTAAACAGGTTGCAGCTTGCAAAGCAAATTGCTGCTTGTAAGAATCATCTTCCCATATCACGGGGTGTATCAAGGTTTGTCTCGGTATGAATCATCGAATATCGGAAAACGTCAAATATTGGTGTCATGAACTCTTGAGAAGTCGAGGATATCAAAAAGGGCGTGTTTTCAACGCAGCTATTCAAGAACGAACTAGGAAATTACAAGACACGCGCCAAGTATTCTTGCTCGATCTGTTGAAGGAAATGAGTTGTTATCTTATTGTTTAACAAACTAATTCAATATAATCCGCACTTTCGATTTGCAAAGATTAGGAAATAAAGTGTTATTCATTACAGATTAAATTTCCTTTTCTCAGATTCAAACTGTGTTTGCGGTGTCAACCTGACCTTGGTCATTGAAAAAGCGTGATTTTCGCAGCCGGGCTAAGAACTTGGCAACAATAACTCTGAGTTTCTAGCAGCTCTGCTTGTTTCAAAAAACGACAGAATGTCGATGATTAATAGCGTGATAGCGCTGGATTAAGATGAAAACTATATGCGTTATATGTTCATTCTTGAAAATGTACAAAATTTATAAATATAATTGTGATTTTACTACAAATACCGCGCGTCCTGGTGACAGATTGGTTGAAATTCCCGCAAATCAGCGCACGTATAGTCTCTACTAAAGCAGACGAGTTTATTGAAGATCCACAAAAAACATGATACTGACTTTGTATTAATGAAAACATTAATATGTACTTTACAATATATGAATATTTGTACGAAGGTTGTAATGTTCGTTATCTTTCACTAATGAAGAGCTAGAAATTGACTTCATTTTGACGAGGGTTTGTCCAAATAATTGCAGTTGATAAAGTTGATTTGCAGTTCAAAGATAAGGGTGACAAAGAAATATTTGTGAAAGGAGTCGACATTCCTGGCGGAAACAACTTTGTTACCAACACGGAACCGCAAACTTCCCTTTGCACAGCGTGTTTACTAAACTCAAGGGTCGTTTCTATTTTTATTTCTAAACACAAACAAATTAATGATAAGTTTATTCTACAGGACATGTTTTTGCTTTGCCGCATTGCCTTTTGACCTCGTAAGGCATTGTAGGACAGCGAGATGAAAGAACCGCCTGGTAAACTTATTTGAACACTGCCTGTATGAGTTGGGGCCTGTAACGTGGTTATCACGTCATTTCAGCCCATGACCTTGGTTCGAATTCAGTCGAATGAACAAGAATAAAGGATAGACTTTGAAGAAGGTTTTTTACAACATCAGATCACTTTAAGGTAGCTCTCATTCAAAAACATGTACCACCTCTGCATGATCGAATCATTCTTATGAACCACACTGAAAACGTACGTACTGCCACAGTGGAGATAGCAAATATTCATTCAATCTAAAAATGGACGAAACTGATAAACAGTTCTGGATAGTTCTTGTGACTTAGCTGAAGGCGATAATTTCCTCGAACTTCAACGAGTGTTGATAAAGCGTCATCTCGGAAGATGTCGGAACCGCTCGAAAACGGAAATATTAGAGGAGTTTTTCCTGACGCCACAAACACAATAACTATTATCACGGAGTTGGGTAGATAAAGCAGAGAGCCATTGAAGAACTGATAATTCAATGAACGAGCATCTAAAGTTAGGTTGATATTTACAAGAGTCTAGGGAAGAAACGCGCCGTTTGAAGGACAAACGAAAAGTAGACAAGTATAACAAGTTGCTGCTTGAAAGACTTGGGAAAGTTTTGAATTGCGCTTGTGTGACGAAATTTATTTGGACTCTTTCAAAAGCACCAAGCTTTGTCAATAGCATCAGACATATCTTCGACATTTGGTTACAATACCACGGCGTTGAACTGAGCAATCGTCGAGTTGAGGTGAAGTTCAAGGAGATCGATAGTTACCTTTACCATGTCTTATTTGAGTAACACCGTGATGGATAGCAAACAAACAACGTCCTCATCAAAACCACCTCTATCCTACATTGCCCTTATTACCCTCGCTATCAAGAACAGCCCCTTGCAAATGGCCACCCTCAACGAAGTGTACGAATACATTGTCGCTAATTTTCCGTATTTTCGTCAAAACCGTCAAAAGTGGCAGAATACAGTACGACATAATTTGTCCCTAAATGATTGCTTTATCAAGGTCCCTCGACACGTGTTTGGCGTTCCAGGCAAGGGGAATTTTTGGGCTTTACACCCACAGTCAGGTGGAATGTTCAATCATGGGAGCTTGTTAAGACGACGACGACGATTTCGCGCCAAAACCTCTACGCGTTCGAGCTACACAAGTCGTGGGTACGAGTCTGGTTTAAAATTGGAAAGTAGCTCGGCTAGTATACAGCATATCGACTCGAAACATCACTTTGAGTTATATGGTGAACAAAATCTGGCCATGAAGTCTTATCCAGGATTAGGCAGCATCGACCTGACCACGGAAGGAACTAAAATGCTTTACCAGAATTATGAAACACAAGACAGGAGCCTAGTGCCTAGTCCCCAGTACCTGTTGCCTCCAATCGGTCTGCATTGTTTGCCTAGTCACCTGACTAGTTTCGCTGGGAAATATTTGGTACAATCCATTCATACGAACTGCTTCATCCTAGGACAAAACTTTCACGACCAACCGTTTTACATAAGCTATAGTCAATTCTAAACTTGATTGTGATCATTCACAGTATAAATTGAACAGACAATCTACGGAAATCTTGCTAGATTTATTATTATTTAAAACGATATTTTAAAGTTACAGGTATATATTTAAGGTAGTCTATAATATATTTGTCATTAATCACTATTTGTTAATCAAAAGATATTTATTATTTATACTGTGATATTTTGAAAAGAATTCATAAATCATAATTTCAAATTATATTTTCAAATCTGTTAAACCGACTCAGTTTTTTTGTGGTTTTATGTCGTATTAAATGTCATATGACGTCTTCGCTTGTATAAACTGTATTAAACTCGGAATTTTAAAAGTGGACACTGTTTCGTGATAATCTATTTTCCTGATGCCAAGCCGATACCTCTCAGTTCCTAATACTAACCAGAACCGCTATTAGACCGTTATAGTTATTTATACGACCAATGGACGGGAGGGAAGAAGGTTATTTGGGTACATTAAAAATAATATGGCAGTTAAATTCAAATCATATGCCAGCAAAACTAGCGAAGATTTAGCCATCCAAAAATCTCTCATTGCAACTAATTGTGAAAAGAAACGAATTTCATTCGTTCCGGTGAAATATAGGGACAGATTTAAGCGAAACAAACAGACATACATTTAGGAGTTTTGATTCGCATAATGAAGAGGCTTACGTCATTTTGTGGCAAGACCTTTGGCAAATTTATATTACTTTTAACAGCCAGAAAACTGTTCATTTCCCTTTTCTTCATGTGTGGTTGTTTCACATGCAAAACGAATCTAAGTCAGTCCATTTTGCTTCCTGTTGAAGTTCTCCTAACGAGTTTCCCTGATGTTGAACTCGAGTCATGGCCAAACTCAGGTTAATTTTAGCTGGATAAATACAGTAAGATAAACAATGTTAGAGCTTTTAATGATCGTCTCATTTCAACAGTATTTCATCAAAATTGTGTTAAAATCACAATATTATAAACAATACATCATTCATGTTAATGAATATTTAGCTAACTTCAGTTTACACCCATTAATAAGATAAATGTGTTGTACAATTTACTGATATTGTTTTCAGATAAATCTCGATTGGTTTTCTTGAAAGCTCAAAATCTCGTCCACAGTGCCACTAACTGAAATTCCGTGCACGGCCCCTTACTCAACACCTGATATACAATTAGGACTATACTAATATATGATGGTTAGGTTATCTGTTCAAAACTTTATTTGTCTTTACTGAAGCAATCAGTCTTGGTTATAGCGATAGATATTTTGTATTCCCAGCAAACCTTAAAACGTATATTTTTTTATCAGCACATTTGGCAAAGCTATGACCTTCTGTCAAATAGTTCTGATAGGTCTCAAAAAATCATCGCAACTCATCTTGTTTTCCATAATGGCCATACAGGAACTATTGGACGGGCTTGGAATGTACCGGTTTTTAAACTTATTCTGTTGTACAAATTCTTTGTTTACGCGACGAAATTTTACGGATTTAGTTTTTTCGGCAAGGGTAAGCACCGCGATGAAAGCTTGCGTTGCTGTTTTGTTTTGTTTTCACATATTTTCAACTATGATCCACTAGAATGATTATGAAATGAGAATGAAATAGCAATATAGCTTGTGTTAGAATTGCCTAAACTTAATTGGGAAACTCACAACTGGAACATGGCAATGCTTCAAGTTGAAGCAGGGTTTGTTTTGTAGCGACAGTAGTCAGCAGGTGGCGGTAAGCAATATGGACAATATGATATGAGCAAAACATTTCGCCATTCGTATAGTCATTTCGTATCTGCTCTTCATGGTCAATTGACCCACATCGATTCATGCGAAGATTTACGCATTTTTAAAAGACGCCCACAAAACACCGAACATCCGAATGCATTTTGCGCAAATTATACAAATTACTCGCCTACGTCATTCTGGGCGAGGAGCGAATCAAAATTCCTTCTGAGATCATAAACACAAAGCCAGAATCCGAACTTAATTGGCCAAAGACTTCGCGGCTCTGCACCGAAACGTTTTTACAAAGTAATTAAGACCACCCTATAGTAGTCAAACGCGTATTCATTTAACATAAACGCGAAAATTATGGAGGTATATTAACATAATTTGCGCACAATACATACGGCACTATGATAATGATTTCCAGTTCATACTCGGCGCATTTATAGACAGTCTCTGAAGAGTCGGAAACTGAAATCACATTTGGTTGTCAAATAACTTGAAAAGGAATATGAGATGTGTGTACATAGTTATAACAAAAATAATCTACACTGTGAGATAAATGATCATTTGTAGATGCTAAATTAACTTAAAAACGATGTGAAGTGTGTAAATAGTTTGGAAATTATCTATGGTACGCTAAGTGAGGAGTTTGCTATAATGGTTTTATTACCATATTTCATCCAGCATGAGAAGAAGGTTCGGTTATGAGTTATTTCTTTTGCAGGGACAGAAGTCATTAATCATTTTCCAAATGGGACAGCGATAAAATTCAATAACGATGTTTTTGTTGAGCGCGCTTAGGAAATTGTCGCAATAGAAATCTGTTTCGTTTGTAAGTAATTGTTGACCCATCTTAAGAAAATATTGAGTCCAGTTGTGACATTTATTAAAAACGTGATGCGAGTGACAATCGATATTTTTGCCACTATTTTTGTTTTACTGTTTGCAGTTCGCCGGTAATGATGGAAACAGTGAACATATATATCTATGATCTGAAACTCTTCCGTCACTGATTAATCGTTTTCTGCGAGACTTTGGAACAGCTCGTCTGATTATAAAGCGCTAGAGATCATTTGCAGTGAACTTTAGTTTGGATTTTAAACCGCACATGAGTTTCGACTATTCACAATATCTCTAAAAGACAATTCGGAACCGCCTCCAGTGACTAATGAGCTCACTAATGAGTTCTTCACATAAGCTGTTGAAAAACATTGTGTATTTTTTGGCATTCAATGCTTGTTTGTATAACCCTTTTACTTTTCTTGTCTCTTTTAGAATAACACACGGTCAGAAACATAGCAACAGAACAATTGTTTTCTTTTGATCAAATTATGAAAATCGAAGGGGCTACCATTCGAATGAACCCAGAGCAACAAAACTCGTATAAAGCCTTTCTAATGATTGAATGAAATTCAATTCACTTCCGCTTGTTTGCCTTTTCGCGGTACAACTTGTAACAGAGTATTGAATGCCGAGGTTTTGAGAAAGACACCGCCAACCCGGCTTTTCGGTCGATCACAGTCAAATTGTGCCCCATCCTGAGCAAATAATGACTCTGCATTTCTTGTAATTAAAAAACTTCCTTTTCTAAAATACCGACAAAAACCAAGGAAGTTCAGGACATTTGATGGCGTTCTATTCTAAAGAGGGGTATTTTTTGCAAATTTTGCGCGGAAGGCACAAATGAGACCTTTTTCTTCTGAAATTTTAAAATTTATCAGAATGAGGTAGTGAGCTCCCGATGGCAAATTCTACTGAATTGTTTCAATTTATTTGCTCCTCACTTAACTCAATGCTGACTACAGAAGGATCACATTCACTGAGACATCACGATAGCGAAGTCTTCGAAAATTCTAGTCCCAGAAATAGAAAGGACGCATATTCTCAGCTGAAACTCGTTATTAAACTTTCTTACCGGAATTCAAATCGTGTTTTGCCGCTTGCCTTTAGGAAGGTGCATATTCTAGAAAGAATTCCGATTTCTTTCTTTTCATTTTCGAGGTAAAAACGAACACAACAGATCTATGGGAGCGCGTGTGAAAGCGGTAATGACACGCTAATTTCCTCGCGTGCTGGTGTGAGTTTTAACTTCCCCCGTTTCGGTGCCGGGCAATATGGAGTCTTACTTTTCCTTTCACGAAACAGAGAGTCAGTCTTGTCTTGTTCTCATGAAAGTGTGGTTCCTTGAACAGTATCATTTCTATCGAGTGGAGTGCGCTGAGAGGCAAAATAAGACGAACTTTGTTGCAACTATACAGTCTATACTTCTGTTCGTTAGGTTTTCTAAGTTCTCGATATTGTTTTTAGGATAAAATGAAAAATATATTTATTCAGTGACTTGCCAAGTAAAAGCTTGGCTCGCCTGAATACAAGACTCAGTGCCTGAGAAGGGAGCCGACTGTCACATCACAATACATTTGCTGTCCTTTTTGGTGTTCATTGCGACTGTCGCATTGAATTTGCTTTGCCTTTGCAAGAAGTAGCAAAATTTATCACTGAGTTCCCTCACGGAACATCGCTTTTCTAGTTTTATTCCTACCATACGCATCTGTTAGATATACCTGGTCTCAAAGATCTCTCAAATTTGTAGAAAGTGCTTGGCTTTTCTGTGGGATAAACGGTTCTATGGAATACTGTCAAAGTTCTCACTGAAAGCAGTCAAATATCGATCGAAAACATAAGCCTTCTTTCAACGATACCTCTAGTGCCTCTGAACTGCAATGTTCGTCTTTGCTCTTTCCAACCTAATAGTTTATTCTCAATGATGTTATGTTCGTTTTATTTCACATAAAACAAAGTATTAATGTATTTACATTTACACATTCATAAAATGAAGTCCACTGTCTTGGAAAACAAAACCTTGTACTGTTAAATATAGAAAGTACTAAAAAAATTAATATGAATATAACCACTAATATAGTTCAAGGAGCTTCAGTTTATAAAAGCCAATGTTAGTTTACTATAAAAGTCTTGTATATAATTTATATTTTAGTTCATAACATGCAATGTTTACTGTATAAAGTCATAGGACTGTGTATATACTTCAGTTTATAAAACCTAACTGATAATTGATTTTTTCAAACAAAATTTGAATATAGTGTCATTTACAAGAAAATATTTACATTTACGACTCACTGAATTCTTCAGGATTGTCCATGATTTCCTCAACGCTGAACCCCTTCTTCACAGAGTTTGCGAAATTGTTCGTTATGTGTTCGTTGCATAAACTGTTTGTGAATCTTGTGGTATACGTTTGTCTCAGAGAACAGGTTGGGGTTAAGATGTAGGGCTTTACGTATGGTGGATATCTGTGTTGTGTTGTGTGGTGATGAGTGGAGCTGAACAGACTGAAATGGTGATATGAATCGACGTGGTGGACAAAAGCTGGATCATTTGATGACTTCGGTGGATGGCATTTAAATCTCTTTGGTCGCCTGAGGAAGCTACCGTTTCCAAACATATTACCACACGCTGGATGCAAGCTCCAGAAATTACCCTTGCCCGGTTTGCCGAACATGCTTCGAGGTACTTTGATGAAGCAATCGTTCAAGGAGAGGTTATGTCTTATCGAGTTTTGCCATTTCTGCTGGTTCTTGCGGAAGTAGGGAAATCTTGTCATGATGTACTCGTAGATTTCGCTCAATGTTAGCATCTTGTTCTGGGAGTTTTCAATCGCCATTGTGATTAAAGCAATGTATGAATATGGTGGCTTAACATCGCTGGCGTAATAATGCTTTGATCCTATCTTCTCAGCTTCGCTTGATCTATCTCCGTCTTCTTCAGAGATTAAAATACTTGGAGAGACCATATTTGCATACGTTGGATACCTCAGACTAGGCGTATCTTCGTTAGATAGATTCACAGAGGAAGACAAACTTCTTGCGCCTAAGTTGAACCGTTGAAGTAAATCGTAGCGAGTGTACTCTGCTGGGAAAGAAGGCGACAACCAATTGCTGTGGCTCATCATATTTTTGCGCTATCGCTGTAAATATTCTTCTCAGTACTTCGCTTCGTATTTATTTACTGTGTAGTTCACGTAGATCAATCTGGTGCAAAGGTTCGCTTTCTCTTCTTTCTCTTTCAGAGCTGTGCGTCCAGGCAGTGCGTGTGCTCAAACATGACTCCAACAATTTATCGCAGTATTAATGATAACTGTCAAAGGCAAACTCAAAGCCATCAGCGACAAGGACTGTTGACACCTCGGATTGCAGGCCACCCACATGGCAGGCGTATGGATTAAACAGGCCCCATTCAGATAATCCTAAACACTGTACATTTATCTATAAACAAAGTGCAGACGCCCTGTTCCGAGCAGCCTGCAAGAATTTCGTATCTCATTAGCGTATTTTGCGCAAATTGGAATATTCGGCGCAAATTCGAATAAAACGCACAGCTTTCTCTGCGCACGCAAAGCAGCATGTGTCCTCCATTAGGAACATATATGTCAAATTTATTTTCTTTCTGCGGACATTTGTTTTAATGCAAGATTTTGTCCTAATCTTTACCGAATTGTTTTTCTAGATAATTTACACCAGCAATGCTAATAATCTGAATAAGGGGCCGAAATGAAATAGACGTAGCCTTTGCACAATTGCTAGTACATCTGTCGCTTGATCTAGTGACGGAAATAGCACTCCACGGTGGAAAAACACTGAAAAATTCTTGCCGTTTTCAGAGCTTAGCTGGCCGACGGGCGGAGTCATCTCAAGTAGAAGCACACTTGTAATACACACATTCTCTGATTGGATTAACAAGATAAGATGGAAAAAATGACACTAAATAAAAACTTGTAGTTATCGCTTCAGATCTTATCGGTACGGGAATCATCGTCTTATAAGTGTTTAGGTCACTCCTTGTTTTGATCGCGCGATGCGCGCACGCAGCAAATCTGACTGCGCACTGAAATATCGATCTGTAGCGATGTATTTGGCTTTTAAAAGTGCTCTCAAATGATCTCGAAGCTGTTTGCGGTCAGCGTCGGTAGACCTCTGTACAAAACACATTAAGCACGAATTGATTTACGGGATCAAATGAAAACACCTTCCCAGTAAATAAAAGGTGAATGTCTAATGGATATACCATCTTGACATGCACAATCATTGTGTCTAGCCAATCCTGCGATACACAATACTATGAAAACATTTTCAAGTTGACATTCACGTTCGTTTCCTTCCGTCGAACCGAAAACATATCAACTGCGCAATTTTCTCCTCAAAAGCCTAACATTACGTTGTTTTAGGAAATCTTATGGCGACATTTGAAAGCGTGATCCTTGAACGCGTAACTGAATAAACAACACTATGTCATACATTTGTTTTTATATAAAATAGCTTAATAAATAAGGCACAGATTGATTTGATAAAGATACATTGTTAAGAAAACTACATTATAGTTGCAATCAAGGAAACAAATGCATTGAATTTGTGTTTCATATTGTGACATAACCACGTACGCGAATACACAAAAACATTGACTTTGTTATCAAGTTAGACAGAATTACTGCAAAGCAATGAAGACGATATTAACGAGGGAATGAGTTTTCAAGACGAAAAATTCACAGGTTTTACGAAACAATTGGCTAATCCTAAATAACACAGCACCCTTGAACTTTGCCTAAGGAGATTTTTTATCTAAGTTTCGTATTTATTCAGTGTTATGATAATTCTCCGTCCTTCCTTATTCCCTCTCCTTTTGAATTCCTTCCTACGCATTTGGAGTGGCCGTATCTCGTTGGATGCGAGGCGTGGTGACTAGATATGTCGGCGTAGGCTTTGATGTCGCCCTTAAAGTAAATGTTCTAAAGATTGCGCTTTCATTTAAGTTAATCGTTAGTTTCTGACCAACGCTGAGACAAAGATTCTGTGATGTCTCCTTTGTGGCTGAGCCATCCCGCATTGTTTGAAGTCATGCCTGTGATTTCCACCAGGATAGACTCGCTTAGGCACAGGGAGAAGGCAGGTTTTCGATAATTTAACGATTAAACTTTGGACAAAAATATTAATCATTTAATCATGAGCAAAAGTCTGTTGTTTCTCAGTTGACTGAGTTTAGCATGGTTAGATCACAGAAAGATAGTACATGCATGCTTTTGAGTGACTGCCTTGAAGTAATCTGATCATTCTGATGTTGTACAGAACTCATGTGAGTAGAGTTAAGTCTCTCCTGTGTTCTCTCTCAGTTGACTGAGTTAAGCATGGTTAGATCATGCAGAGGTGGTACATGTTCTTGAATGAGAGCTACCTTAAAGTGATCTGATGTTTTACAGAACTCATGTGAGTAGAGTTAAGTCTCTTCTGTGTTCTCTCTCAGTTGACTGAGTTAAGCATTGTTAGATCATGCAGAGGTAGTACATGTTCCAGTGGTCATCTTAAAGTGATCCAGTTTGTGATAAACTGTTTCAGACTGCACCGAAAATCACAGAGCTCTGTATCCCATTTGCAATCGCAGAACAAAGGTACAGCTGCGTTGAAATAATAATCATACAATGCTCTTATTATCCTCTTTCCCAATTGACAAACTGCGGCATTAGGCGATTGTAATGTCTTTCCAAATAAATTATCGCAACCATATTTCATCAGAACGGAAACTAAATGTCTCAAGTAAGGAAACTTGAAGGGTCTGTGAAAACAAAATACTAGACAATTTCATTACGTCCAAACCTGGACCATCAATTCAGCCTGGGAGAGCAATAAAGTCCATCAATTTTTCAAAGCCTTCCACTTCTTTAGTCCCATATGTGAGCCATCCATCGAGCATTATTACAGATATTCAATAACGATGTTAAAATGATTAAATTGTCAATGTTCGTTTTCCACAGGAGAGTAAATGATTTGTTGTTATATGACTTGATGAAGTGCTATTTATAAATGATTAATGACACGCAGTTGCTTGTAGCAAGAATTTGCAAAACTCGTTGCTAATCTCGCTAGTTTTTTCTTAATGAAGTACAGTAATTCCTTCATATATAAGACAAATCATATTAACAAATAGACGGGCTTCTCTAAGCTCTGCAGAACAGCAGATGGTGTCTCAAGGCGGAGTTGTAAGAGCATTTTCTTCGATGAATCTACCAGCCTTGTATGAAAAGCTCTTGACGTAAGAGCAATCACGTCCACAATAATCTTAGTGCAATTTATCTGTCATGCATCAGGATAGCTCCAGTTTAGCTAGGCCTAGTCTTCACATAAATATCACACCGAAGACATTGTTTAGTTTCAAAGATATTATTTATTTTCAAAATATCATATTTCCCATTTTGCTATCTCTTGAAGAAAGGCAACCTGCCCAAAAATCTTTGCGACCATAAATACATTCTCATCCATAGTCCAGGTTGTGGTACAGATTCTTTGAGTTCAGTAGATGGAAGCTTCTTTTCCATTTCTTTTATTATAATATCTCTTAGTGAAGGTTTAGTTTTCGGTACGGAAGGTTTAATGCCTTGCAGCAACATGATTTCCTCGTGGAAATGAAGTAATGTTGGGAGGTAGGTACTGCGTGTGGCACTCGCGGGACTCGTGTCCTGGGGACCATCTGAAAAGAGAAAACGGAGAAATGAGGCAAGTTTGCTTCAAAACAAGCTGTGGATACAGAGGTACTTAGATGAACACTACGCGCTCTCACAGGGTACTGAGGTTTCGCTGGTTGTAAAACTTTATTTAAACAACTCTTGTTGAGCGAGCAAAGACTGATAAACGCATACCTTTCAGAGCTGAACGTGCTTTCCAGTCCCGTCTTTCCCAAGGTGGTTTAGGAATGATCCGTCCTGTTCTGTCTGAAACGCGCACTTTCTCTCCCTCCTCCGTGAAGCGAAAACTCACTGATGTTGGCTGTCTGCATTGCGATGAAAAACGAACGGTTACCAGGAACGTTTGTGACGGGGATGGTTGGTTCAGAAGGTTGGTACCTCACCCCAGTGGGCCCCACCGCAACCCACCCCACCCCAGTGGGCCCCACCGCAATCCACCCCACCCCACCCTGCCGATCTGAACTTACTTGTCTGAAGGGTCAACCAAAGCAACATCTGAGTAAGGCAATGGTTCCTCCATGCGAATAAAAGTGCCTGGTGTGGCGTCCGTTGCATCCAATTTTTGAAGTTCCTGTTAGGTTTGAGAGACGATTATTAGGCTAATGGTATTGATTATAGTCCAATATAGGCTAGTTAAATATTAAAACTGACACATCTACAGCTTCTTTTTAAAAAACTGGAGTTATTTCTGACTGGTACAAATGTTCAAAGACCTGTTCACACTTTTCATTGGATGGATGTGAACGAGTGAATTAGTTACTGATGGTTAAATAAGGGCAGTTATCGATCAGAGCATTCATAACTATTGGCTCGTTTCCATCTATTACAAGAAGAAAACCGCAGGAATGCCAGGAAATATTGCAAATGAAGGAGGCCTTACTGTATTTAACCCCGCCACAAGAATAGTGTTCTTAGATCTGATGACATCCTTTACTTTTCCCTGTTTTCCTTTGTCTTTTCCACTCAGGATCTGAACCTAAGTGCAGTTTAAAATTATTATAAAAAGAAGTAATGCAATTCAGAATTTACCCTAAGATAAATATCGAAAATTCATTCACCAAATCGCCTCTGACAACGGGCCATTCTTTCTGTACTCGTGGTTTATTCTTCCTTTTTGAGCCGGGCAAAGATCGGGAAAATCTTTCTGGAAGTCGATCATAGCCAAACTTGTTCCAAGGGATTTTAATAGAGCCACGAGCGACTTTATTTCGAGCCGACATTTCAAATATCACTCTTGGTCGGCAGCCATTTTGAACACATGCGGGCGAGAAGCCCGTCTCACACCTGCGAACAGGTTTTCTAGTGTTTCCATTTATATCGTAGGTTTCATTTTCATTTATTTATTCATTTATTGCCTTCATTTGTTTAACCACTAAGGCTGACATGCCATAAATTTGCATTTTCTTTGGCGCATTGAGGTGCGAATAGATCTTGAATATTATCTTAAACAAAACATAATACTACCACAACAAAAGGTTGTTTGTTTCAAACTTCCTGCTTCTAATGCGCAGAACAAAGGATTAAAACAATAGTTATGAAGGTAATGCGTTCAGCGCTACGTTTGAAGCAAGCCTTCGATGCATTAAGACAGTGGTGCATTGTCCCGTTGGAATGTTCTTCGAGGTAATAAAAGATGGGTGAATACATGGAGAAACTCAGACTTTTTGGTGTTGGAGAAGGAAGAACCACTCACAGCAGTTTAGGAAAAAGTTGGAAGAATCTTTGCTCAGGTATGTTGTCATGTTGGTCAGGTTGGTTAAAAGAATCTGTTGGCTTGATCTTTGGCTTTGCAAATTAATTGAACGCTCTGTTGATTTACATAGCCACAAGTCATTAGCGACTGGAGGCATATTCTCGGCTGATTTTCACTGCTATATCTTGTATATTTCGATTCAAAATGTGAAATGCAAGTGCGCTGTTAACTTGATTTTGTTTTTCCTTTCTCATTCCATTTCAGAACGAACTACGGCGCCAAAAGATGGGGAAGGAGAAACGTAAAGGCTTGCTCGCAGCGAATAATAGGTATTGTTCTATTAGTATATGTCTATTTTGCATTTGTGACTTGAAATAACACGTTTGTACACGGTGGCCGAAACTAAGATATAGTTTAATCGAACTTTTCTGGTCTTTATTTTGAAATATATCGCATGAAATAGTTGAAACTTTCCCGTCTGGCACAAATGCGTTTTCCGTACACGGTTGTCGTATCGTCAATACTCGTCAGCGCTTCATGATCATGCTAGTTTGTTGAGGGAAAGACGAATTCAAACTGAAATTGAATGCGTATGATTATCCGTTGGGTATATGTACGTTCTTTATGCTGGACCTGACACGTGCTGAGTTATTTCAGCCTGTCTATTGTAGTCCAATGCTCCGGAGCATGTTTCTACTTCCAATCGTGCTGTAGTGATTCCTTTGCTTCCAATGTCAATTAGTTTCACCACAAAGCAAAAAGTCGGAAAGCAAGTCACTTTATCTAGGCTTTATATGCCCGTGAATGTTTTGTTTCATCGAGGTTTTCTTGTTTTAGAAAGAGGAATCGTCGAAGTGGAGAATAACAGACCTGCCTTGGGACATTAATGCACGCAAATACAAAACTCGATTTCGGTGCATGAAAATATGCATGAGTAAAATATGCATGGGATTTGACTTTTTGGCTGAGATATACTGAACACTCTTCTGTTTACCTCCTTCATTTTCAACTTTTTCGGATTGCAGTTTTTGTGCATGGATCAGGTCGTGTCAAGCGCATGCGGAGTAAATACAAGTGATTTGGGGCCCCATCACTTGTATTTTCTCCATCTTGAACGACAATAGTCCGGAACAAAAATATCGCTCACAGAGCGCCTAAAACATAAAAATGCATGAGAAATTGTATTTCCAGAAGGAGATGATAGTCGAGTGTTTTGGTTTTCTCGGGAGCATGAAGAAAACGATGAATATTTCCTGCAAAACGTGCATGACATTTTGTATTCGCGTGCGCAATGCGAAGGCCTTGGACGAGTGGCGTTGGAGATGTCGAAGGTCAAAAATCGGGTTTTGAGTGATCATTTTATCCTGAATGCTTTATACTTAAGTTGATATTTGTGAATTGGAAATTGATATCATATTTTTGTGATAAAGGATCGTCGCAGGATCAGATGATAAAGGATCACCGCAGGATCAGATGATGAAGGATCGTCGCAGGATCAGATGATGAAGGATCGCCGCAGGATGAGATGATGAAGGATCGCCGCAGGATCAGATGATGAAGGATCGTCGCAGGATCAGATGATGAAGGATCGCCGCAGGATGAGATGATGAAGGATCACCGCAGGATCAGATGATGAAGGATCGTCGCAGGATCAGATGATGAAGGATCGGCGCAGGATGAGATGATGAAGGATCGCCGCAGGATCAGATGATGAACTATCGCCGCAGGATCAGATGATGAACTGTCGCCGCAGGATCAGATGATAAAAGATCGTCGCAGGATCAGATGATGAACGACGAGACGGGTGTACAAGCAGAAGCTGGTTGAGGTATATACTATATTGTATACTGATTAGAGTAATGCATGATTATTGCATGTGCATGCTGCATGGCATTGGATCCTCCTGGTGGTCTAACCTAGTATATTCACACATCAAGTGACATTTCACCCTTTTCCGACAATGCATGATGACAAGAAATTTCTCACAGCTCTATTGCATGAGGGCGTTTTTCGAGTTTTCTCGATAAAAAAAATCCTAGTTTTGTCACTTGTGTGAATACGTGTGAATTCCAGCGACTTAGCGGCTGCGAAAAGATGCATGATGGCTTTAAAGCGTTCAAAAGAAACTAACAAAATGCAATTTGCATTGGCGACGCGCACGCAACGAGAAAATATCGAATTCGTATTGGCCTAATTTTAGATTAATACGAAGGTAATCGCGAGTAACTTATATGATTATATAAGTTCTCTGTCCAGCCTGTTAAAATGCGGCCGTTTCGAAAGACTTTCGTCAGTGGCATCAAAAATTATCAGTTTACTCTTTCAACACTTAAATTCGAATTACTGATGTTTGAAATGAAGAAAAAAAAAGACTGATGTTTAGACACTCTTCTGAATTAGATGATATATTACAGTTGCATGATAACTACACTGGAATAATGGGGGGACCCCCATGGGTTTAGAGTTTAAGTCAATACTGCACACTACCCTCTAGCATAAAAAGCTGTCTAAAAATTCTTTGCATTTTGACACACTTACTATTTTGTTTAATTTTTTACACGCTCCAACGTCGAGATGCTGTTGAAGAAGAATAACTCAAGTGTTTGTAATGAAGCAAAGAGGCAAGTGAAGTTCGGTACACTGTTTGCCAAAGGTAGTTATAAAGGTGAGAAACATTATTTCATTATAGCCATAATGAGTAAATTGCATGTTTAGCCCTATTAGGTGCATGTCTTAATTGAAGAGTGTTGTCTACTACATCAGTTTCAAATGAAAAAGCATGCCAAGCATTTCGTTCCAAAATAAAGCATGATCATACAATGCATGAGAATTTAAATAAATAGAATAATTTTTGTTGCCACTGTCGGACAAAGCGCAGTTTGAATAAAATTTGTAAAAGCCTGCTGTTTGCAATTGCCGATTTGCGCGCGCTGCGCACGTTAGACCACCACCAGGATCCAATAGAAGAGGTTCAAGAATTGCATGATCATTCCTGGGACTCGGTTCGGATGAGCGGAACTGAAACGGCGAACCATAGGGAAAAAAATTGTCAATGAATGACCAGAATGACCGTCATTTTGGGCGATTTCTCAATAAAATTACCAAATTCGGAACGCCGGTCAGGTAACCTGAAATTCAGGTTACCTTTGGAGGGTTTTTCTCCGGGCACTCCGGTTTCCCTCCTTTTCGTTTGGCTTTAAAAAACAGTGTCCATGTCTGGGGCCAAACGTGTTCGTTAACAGTGAAAGGATTTGTTGCACGTTTTACAAAATCGCAGAGAAATCCTATTTGTACATGAACAGTTAAAAACGCGAGTGTTTGGCTTCTGGGTTGGATTCCCAGAACACATTGCGTGGAGTAAAATAATTAAACATTTGGAGACTTAACTTACAAAATCAGCATTTATATCATATCACGGATAACAATAATAATTTTTAACTCTAGCAAAACAGCTAGTTCTTTGGGCATTCGGTTTTTCATAGGTAATACAGCGGAAACGACTAGATTCACGAGCCGAACAATGGCATGGTTTCATTGTACATAAATTGTATTATTTGTGTATATAAATCAGCGATATCTGATTAATGTTTACTACATTAGAATTGAAGTTGAATAAAACAAACTTTCCAACACAATCAGTATATTTTTATTACCAATGAACCCACTGTTGGTTTAGAAGTTCAAACTCGAAGGAAAGTTCTCAATAATTTTATTTGATTCTGTGGCGTCGAGCAACTTGTCTCATGAGGTTTCCTTTGGCCAACATTGCATACCAATGCGACTGACCCGCGCCGCCTACCTGGGCACCAATACGGACGCAACCCATGGTTGAATGGGGCGAGAGTAGATCGCGCCTGCGCACTAAGAATATGAGCTCGTAGTTGCTCAAACCTTTCTCTTCGTCAACATTGAATACAAACGGTTCATTCCAGCAGGGACTTGAATTTCTTCTCTGAGATTTCGTTTGCTTTTTGTCAATCACCTCCCCCTGATAGAGCAGCTTGATTTTGACATAGGGATCTGGAAAAAGTTGAATGACTTGGTTATTTTTATCATCAAACATTTACCATCAAACAGTACCTACCACTTTGTAAAACACTTCCTCTCTCAATGTTTTCAGCCTTCAACACGACAACGTTGATACGACCAGATTTTTTCTGATATCTCAAAGACACATAAAGCTCTCCTTTGTCTCGTTTTCGAGATGGTGAAGAACATGGCGACTCATCGTCAGTGGTGATTACTGGTGTAGACGGTGAATCACTCATTTGATGCTAAAATAATCAATATTTCCTTGTAAGTCAAATCAATCTGGACTAAGGTCAAGTTTCCCATGTGTTATCCTGTTTCAAATGGATTGTATATCCCCTGTGTTGTGATAAAAAACATCGAATCTCTTTCATTGAAAACACTTAATATGGGAACGTGGAACATACTAAAAATGTGAATACTACCAGAATATATAGTCTCGCTGAAACAACTACAGTTTGTGAGAAACACATGCAGCTAATAGCAACCTGGAATTGTGGCTGTACAGCCTGTACTTTAGGTCAAATCCATAAGTAAAGGCCTGTAAAAAACCTCACTACACGGACATTACATCTGCGAATATCCGCCCAGCCATCTTCTCACAAAGACGAATTACTTCGTAGCCTAGTAACCGGGGCATGCACTGCTCCGAAATAACACAGATGCCTGGGTTAGATTCCTGTCAGAGAATCTAAGTTGCAAGGTTCAGTTTGGTTTAAAACTAGTTGTATTTTTTCATTCATAAACAGCCAACTATATCCACCGTTAATTTTTCTGTTTTTTCAAAACGAATATATAAGCATTCTAATAATACAAATCTGAAGTTGAACTAATTATACCACTCAAGGGCGATGAAAGCCGCAGGGAATATGATATAATATCTCTTTCTGAAAACACTTGAAACTTTAAGATGAAGATCTTACGCGATATTGAAACACAACAATTTACTTACATGACGAAGTTCCTGTTTAAACTGAGTTTTTCCAATAGGATTCCAGGGTATATCATTGAGTGCAAATACGGTATGACCAACGCATTTTGGTTGATAAACCCCATACGTTTTGTACAAAAAGAACTTAAGATAAACTTTCTCTAGCATTTCAGAGCTAACATTAGGAATGCCAAAACTTTCATTGAAGGCAACCCCGTTCTCTGCATATTCTCGAACATTTGTACGAAATTGGCCGGGCTCAAAATCCGAGGGAAACAACTGGGCTTCGATGTAGCCTCTTACGAAATCTGGAGGAGTGTCTGTCACGGACCATACGTCCAGAACTAAAAGATCGTCGCTAGGTTGATGAAACAATGAGAACGTGATTTGTGACGAATTTGTTGATTGTTGTTCTTGACCTTGCTCTTCAAAAACGTTGTCCGGACCTTCGTCTAACGGTTCCTTTGCATAACTGACAGGCCGTTTTTCACGCTGTTTCGTGACGCTTCGCCGCGGTAATTGTGGGGTGAATGGCTCGGTTTCAGAGATGTGTTTTAATTGGTAGAAATATCGCCTTCGTAAGAGAATTGCCAATACGATCGTCAAGGCAAGAACGAAGGAAAATATCACCGCCAAAACAAATACGAGAACGGTGTAGATTTCTTTAAAAAAACAGAAAGATTTAATAGCACATTGATTGAAGATTCGTTTATTTCACCTATTTATGTTTGCAGTTAAATTTAGCCTATACTGACTGACCTCATTTAAATAACTACCGTAGCTCTGTTTACTAACAATGCTCATCGTCTCTGCAGTATTTTCGTGCCGCGTGATATCCTGATAATAATCTTATGATTACCTTAGCTTCTATTGCTTGGAAACACCTTTCCCTAGCTTCCTGCAACCTTGGCCATTGAAGCGAAAGGGAATGGGGAATAATCATTGGGAATAATTAATTCTCAAATAGTAACGCTAGCTAGTCATTCAAGAACACATTTTACCACGCTCGTAATGAATTAAAAATGGTATAAACGCAATAATTGTGCGCCATTCATTTCTTCAATATCCAAAATTGCCGGTCATTAAATCCAAAAATATTTAATTAAATGATATTCATAATAACAGCCGCAGAGAAGATATATTTGTCGTATTGATCGCAAAGATTCATTTTCACCAGATAATCTATTGTCATTTGCTTTCGAACTCCATAAAATGAATACTTTATTTTAATCTTATCGTCTCACATTCACAAACTAAACGAAACCATTTAAAATGAAATGAAATAATACAAGTTGAACTAAAAAAAACATAAAGAATTTCCCTTGGTAAGCTTGAATATCTTTGATGTCATCAATTTTGGTTATAACAATATTCTTCTAATGCTCTTACTGGAGTGTAGTAACATATGAAGTAAATAGCAATTACCTTCATCAACCATTTAAAACATACAGTATATAATTCAAGGTACACTTGTAGGGTATGTATTTTACTCACCCATATTCGTGTCATTATGTTTTTCCTTTTCAACGTCAAACAATGAATGATATCGTGGTGCTAAAGACGTGAAATTCTGATACCAACCTTCAGTTAGTTCAGCACTACCAAACGGAAATCGCCTCTTGAAATATTGTGCTCCCAGTCACTTATGAAAGACTTAGAGACTATGAAAAATTTAACGCATTCTTGCGTTAAGAATCGCTTGCACCTTGGTAATATAGATTTAGTAGATTATTTTAACAATTTAAAATTGTTATATCGAGGTGGTTAAATGGCTAAAGGTGATTCAGGGTGTAACTTCAGTGATTCTTGAAATATCTCAGAAATATTGAAACCAATGGCAACCCATGAATTTCGGCAACAGCTTTCAGCTGCTGCTGGCGGGGCATATATTCATATATTGTTATTTAGCGCCCAAAATTGAACAAAGACACTCAAGACGTCGAGATGGATTATGTGATCATTGGCGTTGCAAGTATTGCTGGGACTATATACGTAGCCATACAACTATAGAAGACAACCCTTTCATAGCGCATTGCATTGTTGTTTTAAAAAGCGACCAACTTCCTGGTGATAGTCATTTTGGAGTAGAGTCAATGACTTATATAACTGTGCTTATATACGTTATTAATTAAAATGAAAAAGTATGAATTGGAATAACTATAGAATATCTCGCAAGCAAAACAACCCATATGAACCTACAGCACTATAAACTTTACTAAAATCCACGTATATATGACCATAATATGGAATGCTTAGTAAGAGGAAGTAACTCCGAAAACCTGACCGACAAATAAAAAAAGTTATTGTGGGATTTGAAGAAATTATGTAAGTTGCTAATTAAGCTATAAATTGACCAATTTAATAGAGTTAATTGCGACAATGAATAACCTTGATTCCAGATCTCCAAAAATTTTATCTAAACCGCGCGGTTTCCAATATGGCCTCCAAAGAAGTAAAAAATGAACTAAAAAGTGCCCGTGAATCAATTCAAAATAAAGATTATCATGCAGCTTTAAAACATTGCAAAGTAAGACCCATCGATTGTGCTTTATGTGTTCTCTTTTCCGTATAAGTTTGAAGTGAAACCGCAGGCTTTTGTTTATTTTAGGCAGTTCTGAAGTTGGATAAGGCAAACTATAATGCATTTGTATTTGTTGGGGTTGCTTCCATTGAAGTGGGGAAACCAGAGCAAGCGTTGGCTGCGTATAAGAAAGCTATCGAAGTGAATTCAGACAATATTCTTGCATGGCAGGTATGCTCTCTGAAATCCATGTAGAATTAGCTTAGCTTAATATAAAGCTTGCTTTGTTATATTCAATCAATGTCTGGTGTATACCAGATTGCAGAGTTTGACACTTTTTGCCAAAATCTCGGGTGCAGACTCCCGACTGTATTTAGGGGCAAAATCGAACTCGGGTGCGCCGAGACGTTACAGTAACTGATTTCATCTCGGGTGTGGCAACACCCAACTCTGGTCTGGAAACCACGTCTGGTCACTGGTGTAATCCAGGGTGCAAGGCTTGCACAGATTAGTTAAAGCTTTGTTTCGTTCAGGGTTTATCATCATTGCACGAGAAAGAACCAGAGATTGCAAGCAATGAAGAACGTATTGAAGTTTACAAAAGATTGATGAAACATTATGAGAATGATGACAAAAAGAAGTGGTCAGATAATGTTTTGAAGTTAATTGAGATATATAAAACATTGAAGAATGTTGATGAGGTATGCATTCATTTATAGATACGTACCACTCTTTGCATATGAGCTCTCATATCAGTTCAGCTCTTCTTACTTGAATTTTTAATTCAAGGCACTGACCCTGCTGAAGTTGCTTTGCGATGCAGATTGTGATAAAGACAAGGGATTCTTGTGCTGTAAAACTATTGACCTCCTGGTGGAAAATAAGGTATCCTTGCTTCTTTTAGATATACTGAGGTTGTCACACTGTATGCTTTTTTAACCTAGTGAATGAGTCAATTTTTTGTGGTTCTTTCTGTAGAATGACTTGACTGCTGAACAATCAGATGAGGTACTGTTTTTCAATTTTCTAACCTGTCCTACATCATGCTTAATTAACTGACTTTCTAAATTAACTTTTTTTCTCTTTTTTCTAGTTAATAAATTCATATAGGAAATTTCTAAGCGAAGGCATTGAACCAAGTGAGGAAACACATCAGTATTTTCAAAATTATCTCAACCTACTTCTGGACAAAATGGTACATATATAGTGTTAAGCATTTCTCCAGAAAATATCATTTCTTTGGTCCAATTTCACTATGCATTACCATGGGTACAATGAATATCCAGTGCTATGTGCTAGTATATAGATTTTTTAACATGAGATGTTTAACTTTAGCATGGTAATGGAGCATTTCCTGTAAGGGAAGTAATATCTGAGGCAAAACGAATGAAAGCTTTTTTTGAAAAAGATGAGTTTGCTCTGAATCTCCTTGCACGACTCTATCTTGGACAGACTTCAGGTAATGCTGTCGTCAACAGTACCAGAAATTCTAAATTACTGTACCTTTATTTTTGCTGCATAATTCTGTGAGTGAGAAACTCATTTGAACTTACAGAAGTTGATGTTGAAGAAGCGGAGATTTATGAAGAACTTTTGCAGCTCAATCCTGAGTCACCTTTTGCTCATTTTGGTTTGGGGAAAATTAAATTGTTGGAAAAGAATTTTCAAGAAGTTGAAGAAGTTTTAGATAAGGGTAGGTTAGCATTGTCTGGCTCAGATCATGGTTAACAAGAAATAATAAATATTTTCAATGTTTAACTGTCAATATTGCATGTTAAAGTTGCCTAATGCATATAGGATGGAGATCATGTTTTGTATGGTATATTGTCTCTTTCTGTTCCCAGGTCTTCAGCTTTGTGGCACTTCATCAGTTGCGTGGTATTTCATGACACAAGCCCAGTTATTCCATCACAAATATGACAAAGCTTTTCAAAATTCTAACACAGGTATTCTGGTACATTTACAAAACGATTATAATTTCACTGTACTAGAGTACATGTATGTACAGAGTTACTTATAGATACATTGTTACCACATTTTACTTTTTTCTCTAGGAATATTGGTCATGAAGGATGATCGAGACATGTCATATAATCATGACGATGTTCATTTTAATCTTAGGTACTTGCAGTAAACTTATTTATGATTTCCAACAAATTATTAATTGTTTTTCTTTTTTTCAAGTTTCTGCAAAGCAAAAGCCAGCAGTTGGCTGGGAAAGAACGGGATAACTAATGCAATTGAATTACTACAAGAGGTACAGTGAAGTCATCGAGACTGATTTAGTTTGATCTCTTTGTACTGTGGTAACATTGTGTGTGAAATCATCTTTTTTACTTTTCCAATGATTTTTAGCTCAATGCGTTACAACCAAACAATCCCAATGTTTCCATTGAACTTGGCAGGATATTTGTCAGAAAACATGATTTAGAGGAAGCAAGACAGGTATGTACCATCAGTAATATATCTTGATTAACTAGAATAGAACTAGAATATAACTAGAATAGATTGTAAAATAAAATATTTAGGTCAGGCCATCAAGTTGAAAGCAAACAAATTCATTAAATAATTTCTGTTTCTACTTGTCTTTGTTGCTAGTGTTTTGAAAACGTCTGCAATATCATTGAAAAAGATTCGCCAAAATGTTTAACGCTCGAGGTACGGACTACGGCATCAGAAATTTTAAAGCAAGTAAATTTGAAACGTCGTCTGCAAATCCATCATCTACTCAGTGCTTTTTACACTATAGGGAGAAATTTATGCCGCTCAAGATGAATTTGAAAATGCCGAGAAAAGGTGAGGGAATTGTGGAGGCTGCACTTCTGTGAATAACACATTTTTCGCAGCTAAGCCGAAATTATAGTTGACTGGATACATATTGTAGATGAAACTGATGAAGTGGGAACTCTGGTAGAGTAACGGCACATTAAGCAAGTCGATTAAGAACTGTCTTTTTTTTAGTTTTCGTTTGGCGATTGAACTGCAGCAAGATGTTGCTGAAAATCATCTTAATCTTGGCAAACTTTATTGGAAAATGGAAGGGCGATATAGAACTGATAGGGACAAGTGTTTAGAGCATTTGTTGAAGGTACGTGAGAATGGACCAGTAAAACAAAGACAGGCTATTTTCAATAACTTTATGTGCACCTCAATACGATCAAAATTCAAAACGATGTTTGATAACCCGGGCCTAAATATTCTGTATTTTAGGCGGCCAAGTTAGACTCCTATATTCCCACGACATTTTTATATCTTGGTAAATATTATGAGACGGTTGGACGAGGACATGAAGTAAGAATTAGTTTCTTCCATTCCTTTCTCAAACACGTCTGGTTCTGACTAAGAACTTGAGCAGCTTTTATCGGCTACTAATATGTACCTACTACGGTTCAATGTTTAGCAAGGCATTGCGCTGTTACAAGAAGTCTCACGATTTGAGTCCACTTTGCGACGAAACTGCTGAAGCTTTGGTCGATGCATATATGAGCTCAGGACAAGAGGTAACGTCAACTAACGGATGCATGTTCGTCTCACATCCAGTCCTTGCATGGGAGCTTCGCTCTAACGTTTCAACCGTATTCTCTTCTAGGAACAAGCTGCTGAACTCTGCAGAAAATTTGCAGTAAAAACTGGCGTAGGAAGGTAAGTATGGGCGGCCATTACCACCAAAAATAATCCAAAAATGTGCATTATTTTTTAAGGTAACGGCTGCCCATAGGTATAGGTATAACTGGTTGGGTTAAACAGGTACAGTAGAGAGGCCTTGTTTAATCTATCTTGATGTACTTGCAGAGTAAAATGGGCATTTCTACGTCTTGGCTTGTATCATCTTAAGAATGAGCAGTTCAACGATGCTGTTCACTGGTCAGTAGTTTCCCTCACCTCAGTGCGATGTTTTTGCCCCATTTTCGTCGAAAGTCGACACATCATTTCTTGCACAACAATTCTAAAAGATTTTCAAAAATTTCAGTTTTCAGAACGCTTTACGAGTGGATGACCTTGACGCGTACGTATTGGAAGCTTTACAATCTCAATGGATATTCCTTTTGAAAATAAAAGAAACATGCAGTATATATGTTATTTTCACCCTGAACGACGTCTGTTCTTTTATATATGATTTTTAGAAACACTTGGGAATGTCTGGGCGAGGCATACATGAGTCGAGGCAGTTATACACCTGCATTGGCTTCGTTTACTCGGGCAACAGAGGTGAGAGACATATTTGAACAATTTCTTTACTTTGGCATTGCGATTAAGTCTCGCCCTTGTGGATAAAATTATATCTTAGCAACTTTCTCGTTTCGTTTAATCTCGATTGATTCATAATCTAGACTATCAATTTAACATTTCATATCTCTGAAGATGATTCTGATACCTTTTGTATTAGATACAGTATGAATGATATCTGTGTATGAATTATATATCCACGACATTCTGTTTTTCTTGTGTTAGTTAAATCCATCTCTGCTGTACTCGCACTATCAGTAAGTACTCTGTATCCACATACATCTATATTCTTGGTCTTCTAACGTGCAATGCGGTGAAATATAGTGATTCGTTTAGAATTGCAGTTGTAAAGCATCTTTTGGGTTTGTTTGAAGAAGCTGTGGCGGTTTACAAAACAATTCTCTCTGAACACTGTGATTACGTTCCAGCATTGAAAGGTATGTCACTGTAATAACGATCATTGGAATGGAATGAGGCTCTTAAGATATGGTATTCAGTTTTCCAGAACGAGTTAAACTTTTTGTGTTTGGTTTTTCTCCAGGACTGGGTGCGACTTACATTTCGTACGCAAGGTCCTCTCTTGAGCAAGACTTTCACGGCAGAGCTTTGGATTATATTCAGAATGCGGTCAATATTTTGGCACGGTATCTTGACTTTAACCTTCTTCCTATATTTGTGTTTATTTTCGCTGTTTAGTCTTGTTGTTTGTGTTCTGTCAGTTTGTTTATTTGTTTGTTTATTCTACTCATTCTGTAGCGGTATAGAATGTGATGGTAGTCTATCATGTGTTTGGAAACTGCAAGGCGATGCTTGTTCACTTGTATTTAATATCCATGAAACAAAAGTAAGGTAAGATACGAGAATACCATCAGACGCCGTCGTTATTCACTTTAGTTTTCTTCAATCACTCACCAAAATAAACACTATAACAATTTCAGAGTTGAACTACCTGAAAGTCTTCGAAAATTCCTGAAGTTAGAAGACGATAGCGCTGTTACTAAAATGGAACTTCTGAGCCTTGCCGCAAGGTAGACTTTATCATCTAGAATTTTCTATCATTTGGTGTGAAGGTTTTGGTGGTTAATTATATCGAATTACGTGCAAGGTTCGATAAAGATTTCAAACTCTATTTTCAGTTGTTTTGGTCAAGCAGTTCGTTATAATTCGTCCTGCGCAAGTCTTTGGCAAGATGTTGGTCTGAGTTATTTCAAAATGTCTTCAGTAAGTATTTGAAGGCAACACGCAATGACAACAGTTAGAATGAGGAGAGAAACCATCTCTTCAATTATAAAAAAAGCCTTGTTATTATTATGTGTCATTCAAGATCCATAAATCACTCTACGGTATATACTATACTTTTCAGTACTATACATAACTATGCAGTACTTTACACTACTATACGACACTTTACGACAATACACGACACTATACGACACTATACGACACTATACATTACTAAAAATACTATACAAGGTTAATGCTTATTGTAGTATCGTCTTTCAATCCTGTTTAGATCGACAAAGACCCCAATGAACGAAGAAAACTATGTGAAAGATCAATGAAGGTAACGCACTGTTATTGAAACACCTTTCTCTCTGTCATGATGGGAAAAACCAAGCTTCAGTGAAGTGATATAGTATTAGTTCATGAAATTGGCTGAACCCTGTTGAATGAAATCTCTAGTTGGAGACCAAATGCAATATATATGTTCATTTTCATTTTCTAGGCGCTAAAGAAAGCTCTAAACATAGAACCTGATAACTACATCATCTGGAATACCCTTGGCTTGGTCGCTGCTTCAGAAGGTAGGATGCGATGATAACATTGTTCAGGTTCAAACTATTGTTAGATTAGTACGATGATAATCACGTTGTCTTCTCTCCAACCATTATTTAGATGTGAACAACCCAGAGCTCAGTCAACATTCATTTATCAAATCAATTGAATCGCAGAAAGTGAGGAGTTGTTTAGTTGCTTTGAAGCTTGACTTGAAGCTATGTGAGAAGTGTGTACATGCCTTTGAAGATCCTTATGACAAATATTTGAATAGATTGTCTATTTTCTTTGTAGAATGCAACAGCTTGGACAAACTTGGGAGTTTTGTATTTGCGATATGGAAAGGCAGATGTAAGTTGCAGGTTTCAACCAGACTTTTGCTAGGATATATACCTCTGTTTTCTTCTTAAAGAACAGTTTAGAACTGATAGAGCTACCCAGTGTAAGTAAAGTTAGTTTATAGTTTAGGTTCGCTCTTGTAGAAACACTGGATCAATAAAAGATGACCCGGTGTGCAATGATTTACTATATATGAAGTAAATTGTCTCTTATAGATGGCTAACAAAGCGTTCAACGCAGCTCAGTGTACTGACCCTACCTATACTCAAGCTTGGATAGGGCAAGCAACAATTGCTGAAATGTTTGCCAATATTGAAGCAATGGATCTCTATCGACACTCCAACGAGCTTGGAACACACGTACGAAGATAAAACAATTTTAAAACGTTGTTTGGGTGGTTATTGCATGGTATCGTGATGACTGGATGGTCCTTAAGGAATGGTTACTGTACATATATTGATGATGTAGTTTCTGTATGGCATTACAGTGCTATATATGATCACAGTATCATAGTGTTTGGTATATAATCATGTGAATTGTGTATGGCTTATATGTAGTGTACGGTATGTGTCTTGTTATTTAGGTTGAAGGATATCTTGGTTATGCCAACTGGGTTTGTCATACTTTGTTACCAAGGGATCAAGCATCGTGTATGTTAAAGGGAAAACCTTTCGCTGATCTCTCGCATCTACCAGACAAGCTTAAAAGCGTGGTCCTAATTGCTTCGTTTGGTTTAACCAAGTATTCAGGTTGGTGCATATGAAGCTTTCATCTGAAGCATTTCTGAAACGATCCTGCGTCTGAATGGTGTTAGCTATATAATGCAAAAATTCCTACAAATTTTGATATGTTTTAGATCAAATCAAGAACAATCCTTGCGCTTATAACATGCACGGTATTTTAATGGAACATCAACAACTTTACAGTCAAGCAGCGAAGTTTTACAGCTGGTATGAAACGTTTCTTATTTCCCTTCATGAGCTTGCAGTCTTGTGTGTGGATAAAGCCACTGCCTTTCTAGAAGATGGTTGTATGAGAGTATATTTCACTCTTGATATGTTTCTAACAGTTCTTTAGAACTATTGAAGAGCGCTGAGAATGTCAACAACGATTATTGTAACATTGTTAGAGCTAACTATGCCAGAGTCTTGCGGTAAGCATGATTGATGCTTGTCTTCATTGCTGATATGACCCCGTTATTTTATTTCATTCCCTTTCTGATAGTTTTTATAACCTTTCACAGTGCTCTGGGAAAATACAGTGAGTCAATAAACGTGTATCAAGAAATCAGTCCATTGAGTAATTTCCATCATATCACTGGCTTGGCTTTGTCTTTCCTGATGCTCGGTGATTTTCAGCAAAGCTATCAAGGTTTGTTAAAACATGGTTTGACTTCATTCTTAGAGATATTAGGACACCTCAGCTTTCTTCAACCTAAGAAAGGTCGCTGGGATAGACAACTCCTGAGAGAAGGAAATCGTGTTAAACGAAGGCCGAGGAAGTATATGTATAGATTGACAATCGTGTTGTTAGGATTTTAATTTCTAGTTTTGAATATTTCATTCCTATTAGCCTACGAGCAAGCCTTCGCTCTGGCCACAAGCGAGGCTCAGAAATCTCATGTTCGCGCTGCGATGGGTATGGTGAGATACATGTCAAACCAGCTCGATGAAGCTAAGCTTGATTTATGTGAAAGGTGAGTCTCTTCTACTGAATGTCAGCCCGTCAGAGAGTTGTTTTGTATTCTTAGCCGTTCATGTTTTTCTCTCATATATATTTCGTCGTAGTTCCGACCTAAGGCCATCCAGCGAACAAGGTCTTCTTGCTCTTAGCGCCCTGGGTTTGATCACGTCTGACATCACGCTGGCTGCTGCAGCACTCGCTGAACTTGTCAAGATTGGACAAAAAGGTTTGTCCTGAACTAAAATTGCTTGGGAAGTCCATTATCAATGGATTTAGCCAGAAAATAACCAGGCAGTTAGTCTAGCTTACGTTAATGATTTAAGGAACTACATTGTAAACGAATATTGAATGAGACCATGTCTGTGAATCATGTCGACCTCACTTGGCCGAACAAGTCACGAAAAATATTTTCATTTCTGAAGAGTTCATTGAATCTTTAGGCGATGAAAACTTGATTTCCGAGGCAAGCTTTCTTTTTGCAAGTTTCTACGCTTTGCAGGTACAAAGACTGAGTCGAGAGAATGCCATATTTTTGTTTGTTTTTAATATGATGTGGATTTTATCTCTACAATTTACGCGGCCAATGTTTAAGGGGAGTCCAAATGCTGGTAAGATTTATATCGTGAAAGAGATTTATAGAAGACCCCACAGCAGTTTGTTGTGGAACTGCTTGGCCAAGTTCATTCTTCGTTTTCAGACGAATCAGTTGAAGGTGTGTACAATGTTTACACTAGTTCTTGTCACTTTCTTATCAAAACTGTTGATGCAAAACTGTTCTTCGTTTCCGAAACAGGAGGCTGGAAGATGTGCTGATGCTGCGCACAGACTTGGAGACAGAAATGTTGAGGTGCAGTGAACATAGAATATTAGAAGAAACAATATATTTTTTTGTACCAACGTTTGTAAGATGAAAGTGTTTCGTTTCTATTTGCAACTGTAATGGTCGTTTCAAACAAACACACCTAAAAACGTCTATTTTACTACTTCAAATCTCTCTTCACGACCAAGGTTCGCCACAGGCCTGAATAACCTCATTTGTAGAACCAAGTCTTATTTCTTTCAACGTTTTCATTCTCAGGATGTTTCAATCACGTGTGCCTACAGTGCAATCGGTTCCGGTCGTGATCCAACGTGTGTTCAACAAAGCAGAATCTCACCTGGACTAATATCAGCCCAGAAAACGGTCCATATGAGACCAGATTGTTTGACCAACTGGGCCTTGCTCTCAGCAGCAGTGACTGAGGAAACTACATACCAAAGCACGGCTCGAAGAAAAAGACTTTGTGAGCTGGTCACACACTTTGGATTAACTGAAGGTTTGACGCTACTAGTTTAAAATTTTATACATTAATAAACGTCTATCAAATTATTTATTTGAATCGATCTTTTTCTAGCCATCGAAGCCGCTGATCGTCTTCTCACAAGGCCAGACGTTTTTGAAAGACGGAATATAAACATGGCAGATGAAAACCAGAAGTGGTTTGCTCTTCATTATGGATATTCTTTGTACTACTCTGGGAAAACGGATGAAGCTATTCAACACTGTGCTCAGGTGAGTAGATGACACGTTCAATATCTACGACTTATGCAAAATTACGACCTACACTGTATAATAATCCTAGGAAGATGTCTTGAAATTATTTCCGTGGAATTTTGGTGACAGTGTTTCTAGGTTATGAAAGAAGCGAAATTGATCTTCTGAAATATCTTTTACTTGTTTTTCAGGCGCTTCAGATTTGGTCGGAAGACTCCTCTTTCACGGACAGAATCAAGCTGCTTCTCGTAGAGATCAATTGTCGGTCTTTTAATGATGGTTTAGATAACTCGAGCTGTCTTCAAGACATGGCAACGGTGCTGACCCTCAACAGACAAGATTGCTATGCTTGGCAGGTTAGTCTCGTTTGAAATGACTGCAAAAGTTGCCCGGGTCGTGGTGTTTGTTCTTGCTGTGGACTTCATCACCACCAAAGGAGGATTCCTTCTGGTTTATCCAACTGACATAACTTTCTTACCTTGTAGTTTGCTGGATTATTTCATGAGCAACATGGTTTCATAAAGGCAGCTGAGTTCTGCTATCGAAATTCTCTGGAGTTATCCAGTAGAGAAGGGTTAGATACAGTTCTTCTGAATACCGAAGAAAGCTCTCATGCATAGGATATTTCAACTTGAGTTTTTATATTCACAGATCGTTACATGGCAAAGTTTTCTCTCTCATTCGTTTATCTCATCTCGCTTTACGTCAAGCCTTGGTTTGTTTTATTCATTTTCCATCTATTTCTGCATTCAGAAATCACACATTTCCACTATCAAAAACGTGTGACGCATTTTAATAATACTGTTTAGGTCAAAGAAGACTCAACTCATTGGTTAGACCTGATTGTTGAAGCCACGAATGAGGTGTTGTATAAATGTTAAAGTTCCACACATCTTCACCTTAACGATGTGAAAATTACTGGCTGTACATGCTGAAGAAGTTAACACACTTGTTTCGTTATAGACTGTGAAGCTTGTCCCAAACTGCTCGGCTGCATTGCTTCTGAGAGGAATTGCACATTACTTGCAAAACCGCATCAGGTGCCGATAACCTTTATTCAAATTAGTTTGTATTGAATTACTTAATATGTGTTGGCTTTTATTGATGTCTATCATGGAGTCTCCAACTTTATCGAACCCTCCCGAGTCGATTTAGGGTAGCTCAGATTTAGGTTGTGGTTCTATATGTACCACAATATTTACTGCACAACCTCCCTGCGGCTTGAACATACAGTTTTCAACTCGTGTTTGACCTAGGTGAAAGTGTAATCAGGATGCTGTATAGTTACTGACAGAAGTAGGCCACTATATTCGGTGTCTAATTCATCGTTTTTTTCTTAGGCAAGGCAAAGATACCCTCAGTTTGGTTAACAACAGCGCAGGCTGTGCTGATGTGGCAAATCTTTATCTTGTTCTGTTGAACTTGAAGCGACCGAAAAAGGGAGAAACTCTTGATGTAAGTACAACGTCGTAAGGTTCGAGGATGATATTGTGATAACGCAATGTCATTGAAGAAAAAAAGAGTATGGAACAACCCCAACTATGTTTGGTTGACATAAATATGGTAAAAACCTCGCTTGCAGACGTGTTTAGATAAGGACTTCCTTCCTATCTTGATTAACAGCATTATGGTCTGCCTGGGGTCCTTCAGTTTAACTTTTCCAACGGGACTTACTAGTAGAGTTAGCAATATGAAGCTGGTTCTCTGATATTCCAATTCATCATTTTACTTACAGGAAGTGATTGAGAATGCAACTAGCGAGAACTTTTGCAACACATTGCAAGATATTCTTCTGTATTTAATGGCGATGAACGTGGATGGTCTGGCGAGAAAGAGACTCTTGATGAGATGCGTTCATCTAAATCCAAGTGAGACACGATTTTGGAAAGCATTACGTAATTCATAATGTTCATCCGCGGGACGCTTCGGCCTCGGATGGGGTTCGTCTATTCGGAACGTGTCGATTAGCTGATGAACACGAATGAAATTTTTTAACAATTTTTAATATTTTATAACCAAATTATATGTGTATTGTACATAAAAATGAATTTCGAGTAATATTTTATTGATATAAATACATACCACAGCTACTGTTCGTATATGCCGATAGTTTTAGACTCGTTTAGACAGGCTTGTTTGATTCGTGAGGATCTGGAAATCAGAGGGCATCGTTTGAAGGAAAATTTCCAGCTTAAAGGTAAGATTACTCACAGTATTAAAATATCGCTTGAAATATAAATATCTGCACTTTTATATTTCTAATTGTATGCGGTAAATTTTAGATTCAATGTATAGAATGTGTAGAATGTTAGGACTCAATGCGTAGGATTCAACTAAGTCGCTATACTGTTTAGTTCAGGTCTCAGATTTACTCTGACACAGAGAGGGCTCTATGTATATATAGAGCTTCTTACTTCGAAGTTCATGGTTAGACTTGCAAGTGAGTCTAACTATTACTTCTCAACAAAAAACAAGCAAGTCCTTCGCATTAATTCCACCGTCGATTTAAAAGTATAATCACTTTCAAAATAATCAGTCAGTTCGATGGGAAACCCATCAAAAATGTTTCCACAATAATTCGCGCTTTCCTTTTCTACGTGACCAGCTCAATTTCCTTTCTTCTTAAAAACACGTCCGGTAAGGTGATTCATTACGTCACGAAATAAATACCTATCGTTTTCTATGCTGGAATGACGTCATACACGGAAAATTGCGCTTGAACGAGATTAAGAAATCCGGAATCGGATGGCAGACTGCTGAGGTAGTATTCCCTCTTGAGAATTGCTTCCTGTTTTTGGCCAGCCCAGTAAGACTCACCCGGAAACCACAGACGATCCCATCTCGTCGCAGATCATTGTTTGTCTTCAAACGTTTGAACTGATTTACCATATACAGGCAAAAAGACAATAATTTAAATACGTTGTTATACAAGCATTTCCTTTCAAGGATTTTTGGCCACTGTTGGTGGAAATTATTTGCCATTTTCAGCATCGAATCATGCGTTTTATTGCATCTTTAAAAATCATTTTATTAGTTTGTTTAAGCAATTTTTCTGTGATTTCAATAAGTATACACGTTCGCCTAGTTTCCTCTCTCGTACCAAAACCAAAATGGTCTGTTTTCATTCAGGTTATTATGAAGAAAGACTAAACTGGTCTGATGTTGTACAGAACTCATGTGAGTAGAGTTAAGTCTCTCCTGTGTTCTCTCTCAGTTGACTGAGTTAAGCATGGTTAGATCATGCAGAAGTGGTACATGTTCTTGAATGAGAGCTACCTTAAAGTGATCTGATGTTGTACAGAACTCATGTGAGTAGAGTTAAGTCTCTCCTGTGTTCTCTCTCAGTTGACTGAGTTAAGCATGGTTAGATCATGCAGAGGTGGTACATGTTCTTGAATGAGAGCTACCTTAAAGTGATCTGATGTTGTACAGAACTCATGTGAGTAGAGTTAAGTCTCTCCTGTGTTCTCTCTCAGTTGACTGATTTGAGCATGGTTAGATCATGCAGAGGTGGTACATGTTCTTGAATGAGAGCTACCTTAAAGTGATCTGATGTTGTACAGAACTCATGTGAGTAGAGTTAAGTCTCTCCTGTGTTCTCTCTCAGTTGACTGAGTTAAGCATGGTTAGATCATGCAGAGGTTGTACATGTTCTTGAATGAAAGCTACCTTAAAGTGATCTGATGTTGTACAGAACTCATGTGAGTAGAGTTAAGTCTCTCGCGTGTTCTCTCTCAGTTGACTGAGTTAAGCATGGTTAGATCATGCAGAGGTTGTACATGTTCTTGAATGTGGGCTAATTTAGGCAGGAAGGACGTGTCATGTGTATTTTACTATGCTTATATTAACTTCATGAAAGCACATGATACTGTTCAATGACTAAATATGTCAAAATTTATTCAAACAAACTAAATATAGAATTTGCAAATTTGTGTCCATATTTCGGCGAACATATGGCTTCATCTCAGGACTATTTAACGGCTGCCTGAAGTAAATTTAATAAGCATGGCCATTCAGGAAAAAAACTTCTACAATTGTTCACATGCAGGTGTTTTAGGTCGCAAACAAGTTGATCTATTTCTTTGATTCAATATGAGATCATGTTGTATAGAAGTGAACGGGTGTTCAATACGAGAATGTGGGTGGATCTATATCTAAAAAGGAACGCAATCCCGCTGAACATTATAGTTATAAAAACGCCGAAAAAATTTTGATCAATCGAAATGAAACCTTAAGCGAGATAGCGAGCATTTTATCGGCCATATGTTCGAGAGGTGGCTGCCTTATTTCCCACATATATGGGAAGAGTTGTTGCAATTTATCAATATACAAACATGGAATAAACTTATATAATATGGAAATATCTAAATTTAAGGCGTGTATATTGAGAGCAGTTTTTATAAGTCGATTTGGGTCAATTTCGTTAACAAAAAGGATATCATTTCATTTCTGAAACACACTCATCTCAGCTATATACTTGAATTACTCACGATATAGGAACACTGCTAAAAATACTCATGCAGACGAGAGTAACTAGACATACAGAGAAGTCGGTTTAACGGGGGCATCGAACATTCAATAATAAAAAGCATTTGAAATGACACTTATGAATGACATCTTAAAAATACAAGATATTTAGCAGCTTTGGCTGGCTTAATTGTACGAGAAAATGACCCTATTATAACAGTATGACTCTAAAGATTTTCCCAAAATGAAAACTTTCGATATTTGAATCGTTTAAGATTACGAAACTAGTTTTATACGAAAACGCAATATTTCATCCTAACAGGCGAGTATACAGTCCAATATTTGCACGGAAGTTCTGCATGGCATTCGTTTACCTCTTGGAATATTAAGTATATTTAGTGTGATCCTGATGCCAGAGGTCGATCATATGACAAGTTTAGGTGCATTACTCAATATGAATATGAAATATATGAACAGTGCTGTGCTGATGTATGGCAGACCTCATCCTGAAACAGGATAATTATGTCATACCAGGAAGCAAGTTGTAGCGTTGTAACTTTCTATATTTACTCTAACCTCATGGAACTGTGATTCCAGCCCTAAGTTCTAAATATAAAACCTCGTCTGTAAAAGTCCCTTACGACAAGATTTTTCCGATCTAAGTCTTTCAGGAAGCTTTGTAAGAATGAAATATTTAAAATAGTATCCATGCATTTTGTATCTTTGTCATGCGGTCTCCTAGCATGGTTAAATGCATTTGTTTATACATATACTGATATCGGCTTATGTTTTTCTCCTTATTTTGCCATTATATATAAAACTAGTGCTTTTTCTAGGTTTTATGAAGCACTGCCCTCGTAACTACGAGGGCGAAGGCTCCACCTTAATCTTACATCATTTTACAGCTGCTTTTAAACATGCAGATAATCAAAACAAAACCCTTTCTAGCTATATGAAGGCCTCCTACGCGCTCACAAACCGGAACTAAACATGCAGCATGCATTTTCTTATTGTTAAACATAACTCATTGTCTGTCATCATTATATACAACGTCGGCAGAGATCGATCGCGTTCTGTCCCTTAACTCTGCCGTATACGAACGTCAATATCCCGAAATTTGACGTACCAAACTCGCTAGAGAATCCTGTTTGTGATTAGCAAATGGTTCTTCTATAAAACAAGCCAACTTCAAAAGAACAGACAATCAAGCCTAATAATATGAGTAAGTTTTAATTTATTTTTCATCTCTTTGTTGTAAACTATGATTGTTCATATGTGATTGTATAATCTTGTGAATTTTTTTTATACACCTCGTTGAGAATGTTTTCACATTATAACATTTACACCTTATTTTTTAAATATTTTTTAAATTAATTGAATTTTTGTTCTTGTAACTTTTGTATTCCTGAGGTTTAAATCCATTCCTGTTAATATATAATATAGTTCAATTGTTCTCACTCGGATTTGCCAAATAAAAATTGTCAGATTTTTCACTTTACTCGTAGTTCAAAGTAATATACCGACAGCACTTTAGAGCGTATCGGTTTGGGCAGATTTGTAATCGTGATTTGATCTTATTTTAATAGAAATATTATGGACAACCGCACGTACGCTTCGTATAAAATAAATCTTTAATCTCACTTGAGCGTGAATTTACGCCAATGCGTGGTAATCTGCATATATTGTCAATGCATTTGCCCTTCCTATCTTAATATTTTCGAGGACATTGTAGGCCAGACCTAATCTAATCTTTACTCAATCATTTAGTTCAACCTTAAACATGAAGTGTACTGTATATATAACATTATTATTTATATAAACTAATCAATATTAAGCTACAAGTTGTGTGATTCCCGTTTGATTTTCATAGAATACATTAAACGTTTTGTGATTTCATTGCACAATTTGCTCTGAGTGTAAATCTCAACCTTCAGCTTAATCACAAACTAGACTATCGTATTCAAATACATTCAATGCTGAAACTATTTTTTCTTCAATTTTAGCTTCGAATGTCGCCCTGACTGCCTTTGCTGTTTCGTTATCTGCGGTAACTCTGCTAGCATGCATAGTCCTTGCAACAGTATTTTACTTTCTACGAAGGCAGCGAGTAACGAAATATTCCATAACAAAACCTTTGCTTAGAACGACTCCTCTACCGATGACTAAAGGTATACTCAAACTGAAAACAGACTACGGGGAAAGATTCTATTCGGATTCCGAAGACTCTGGTGCCGTTGTGAATCGCTGGAATGGACAAAACACAGACGATAGTTTAGGGCTGGAAGATTTATCAGACTATGAGTTCACTGGTAGACGAAGCAGTTCGGTTATATCCAACTCATCCAGTGATAACTGGCTGTTGAGCAGCTACGAAGAAGATCCTTCGAGGACTCCTGGGAGCTCGGCAACCAACAGTCCAAACATCAACACACGAATTTGTTTCCTAAACATGTCTTTGAAATATAATTTTCACCAAGAGACGCTGGACGTTGTCATAATCAATATTACTGGCGCTCCGAAGCAAAGGGGTTCTTCAAAGGGAATATTTATCATTTCTCAACTCTTTATCACGAAGGAAAACGGTGATATTGAAGACTTCAATGCTGTAAATAAGACTGAGGCGAGGAACTATTCCACAAACGTCTTGTTTAACGAAGTCTTGAGATATGATTCCGTGCAGAGAGACAAACTACAAGCGATTTCGATCAGACTGTCACTTTGTTCGCATGATCGATTTAGTCGAGTTCAAGCACTTGGAGAGTTCATTGTAAATTTAAATGAAGTCAGTTTTGATCCAATCCAACCATTGCTCTTGCAACGTCGAATGACACAAGTAAGAAAGGCGATTAACGGATAAATCCACAGCCAATCACTCTAAACTGTTCTTCCTAGAGGTCCAGTAAGGATCATCTCTTATTGATCCAGTGTTACTACAGGAGGAAACCTAAACTAAACTAACTTTATTTATACTGGATAGCTTTATATGTTGTTCGTTTTTGATCGTCTCATAAGGCACACCACGATTTGTCGGGCCGATAAAGATATTGGTTTATATAATGTTTTAAACAGGCGTGGCAAACGTATATATAATGTCGATGATATTATCAGCTGCAAAAAACTCGCTATCAGCATCTGCCCGTAGCAAAAATCAGGCTCCACTAATCGCGGTGTGTCTGAACGAAATCTTAAGACTTAACTGATTTAGTTCTTGACACAAGGAAGTATCGGAGTAAAAATTGCTGGTTTCGGCAGATTAAAAACACGAGACTCGGAAGAGCCCTTTTAGGGGGGAATACCATCATAAATATGGTCATTCTTTGTATGAAATCGGTCTAATACGTATTTCGAGGGCCTCAATATCTTTCTCTTGGAAGAACAGTTAAAATCTAATTAAATTATTGCATGTAGTATAAATGAGGTTGCTTTTAGTAACCTCCATATACAAGTCGGTTACCATAGAAATATGGCTTCAGTTTCTGTCTTTATTATATCCGAAAGGCTTTGTTCCCCTTTTTTGGAAGTTCTTTATTAGTGTTATTGAAAGTGTTATTCTGTTTTCTTACCAGACGAACCCTCAAACAACACTAGAAGAAAAAGAGAAAGGAGAATTATCTTTGTCGTTAAGATATCAAAAAGGCTCAAAGAAGATTTCTGTCATCGTTTTGAAAGCCACAAACCTTAAGAAACCAAAGAAATTTATGACAAATGGTACGTGAACCTAGTATTGTTTTCTTTGTCCACCTTCGTTTGAAAAAAACTATCAATTCTAACAATACTGTTCTTGCAGGAACTCTAGTGAAGATAATCTCTTATTGATCCAGTGTTACTACAGGAGGAAACCTAAACTAAACTAACTTAATTTATACTGGATAGCTCTATCAGTTCTAAACTGTTCTTCCTAGAGGTCCAGTAAGGATCATCATCTCTTATTGATCTAGTGTTACTACATGAAGAATTAAATTCACAATCGTTTTTTAGATCCGTACATTACTATTAAGCTTCTCTACGACGACGAACTGATTGTGAAGAAGAAAACGAAGTCGAAGAAAGGAACCTCTTCTCCCTGTTGGAACGAACCGTTTGCTTTCGATCTTGACAAAGGTGACCTGGCAAAATACATGTTTATATTTACAATCAAGGGAAAAGACATATTTTCATCAGCGACAAAGCTTGGTGTTGTTCGTATTGGAGCCGAATCAGAGTCCACTGGCAGAGATCATTGGAACGATAGTGTGTGTAGCAAGAATAATACTATGAGACAAGTCACTATGACACATAAATTATCATGATTTTCACCATATTTGGTCATAAATTATCATGATTTTCCACCATCTTTGGTCATAAATTATCATGATTTTTCACCAACATGGATCATAAATTGTCGCCCTTCGAAGTTTGGGATTGGAACATAGGAACATGTAGAGGAAAGAATATGACATGGAATGAAAGAAGAATTGCATGGTTGCAACCTTAAGACCTGAGCCACTTGGCGACCTAATGATGGCTTTTGGTAGAGCGATTCAATGGTGTAGAAGACTTTGTAAGAATCTCGAATGCAGACATCAACTGTACCGCCGGAACTTGTCTCAAGATTTTGAATTGAAAACAGCGTTGAACATCTTTGCCCAACTTGGAGAAGATACGGTTATTTTATTGAACATTTATTTTGGTTTTAAAGTATTTGTATATATATGTACATTATTAAAGTATATTTATTTCCTTAGCACAAAGATTCTATAAGAAATATGGAGTTAGATGTATAATAAAGGTTTTCAAATTATCAATTAAAATCTCTATCGAAATTTACTCGTATTTACTCATATTGTATTCTATCCACAGACATTTCATAAAAAACGAATATAAAAAAGTGTTGTTTATCCGTTAATATACAATCCTAGACTTTATATAAACAATTTAAACCAGCCCAAAACAAATGTAATGCACTACACTTGTATCAAAAAATGATTCTACAACATGACAGGATTTCGTACAGCGAACCTCGCTAATATCTCTTTGGTTTATATGCACTTGCAAAGGCTTTCAAGCCCATTTTGAAGGCAAAGTGTGAGTTTTAAGGTTTTAAAGAAAACATTTTCCAAGCGCTGTATTTATACAAATTTACAGGTAGCCCGCGTTGAACGTTTAAATTATTCATAAATATGAAACACTCTAGCTGTTTCCCTGTTTGTGCCTATTGTGTACTGAGAATGTTGTAGCATTCACCACGCGTGTTTTGATAAAATGTTTTGGCTTCAAAAGCGCTGTCTTTGCTGTTTTGTATTGTGTAGTATTCTATACAGATTCTCAAGCGCCCAAGGATTTAACAGTCTACTTTTCCAACCGATAGACGCTAATGTAACTTGTGGCACTCCGGCCGAAATATATTTCAGGACCCAGGATGGAGTTCTTCATCCAAGGCTGAGAACACCACTGGTTTGCGATGCAACCGACTCTGCGAATTCGCATCCCCCGGAAAAAATGGTTGACGACGATCTCACCACGTTCTGGCAGTCAAAAGCTAGCATTGATAGAGCTGATATTCGCATTGATTTGAATCAGGTTGGTTGTGTAAGGGGGGGGAGATATCCTTACTGAATGTGACATAGCAATTACGTTCTTCCCCTCCTGATGAATGTAAAGTCTTGATAGAACATTTAAGGGTACTATTGACATCTGGAATAAAGGTTTTTAAATCTTAAAGGCGCTGGTTTTCACTGATTTTGAAGAATCAAATACAATACCATATTACAATCCAAATCACTTCTATTTTTGAAGGAAGTTTATGGTTACGAGCTTTTCATGACATTCGGCGATTATCGTCGACCAGAACAAATCGCATTTTACAAGTCGAAAGATTTTGGCGCGACATTTGAACCTTGGCATTTCCTGGTCTCTGCTCCAGCTGTGGAACAATGTCGCGATGTCTTCAATATGCCAGTTACCTTCAACCCTGAGAAAGTTAATACAGTCATTTGTCAACAATACCCAAGTTATTTCCCCATGGAATACAATGAGACGGTGGGTCTTTCTTGGACACCAAATTATTGTAATCCTATTCCCAGTTTTTCTTTCTAACCCTGATCCTGATCTTAAACTAAATCAAGACATTAAATCCCATCCATAACCCCTCCCCGAAATCCATATATTTCACCCTAATCCAAGAGATGGTCGAAACTTCAATTTCTCTTCTAGTTTTCTGTTGACATGAACGGTCGTCAAAGAGGAGACGGAAGCAGCGCTTCAGATTATCACTCGCCTGAAATTCTGGTACGATTTTTGTCGGTTATACTTTTCCTTGTTGTTGTTGTTGTTGTTGTTGTTAACTTTACTGATGTGTTGTTGTTTTTTTAAGGATTGGATGAAAATCACAAATCTCAAGATCGTTTTTACTGGATTGTATAAGAAATTCGATAGATTGTCGACAGCCTGGGTGAGCTTAGAGTTTAGATTTGAATGAAGGCTTAGTATAAAAAGCAAGCTCTTTTGACCGCATAGCAGCAATTGGGAGTAAAATACCGAGTTTATTTACCAAACAGGAGGAGGGGAAGTAACTCTTTGAAAGATGCTTACGTTTTTTACCATCCTATTTCGACTTGTTGGCCTTTTGAGATCATTACAAATTGCCTTCTCTTTCAGCACCATTACACAGTGCGTGAGGTTGGTATCAGCGCAAAGTGTAATTGCAATGGTTTTGCTGATGGGTTTAACTGTCCTCTCGATTCCGTCACTAAACGTCGTGAATGCCGTTGCCAAGGCAACACGTGTGGGTCACATTGCCAGCAGTGCTGTCCTGCGTATAACCAACATCCATGGCAACCAAGCAATGGTGCTCCTTGGATGTGGAATGGAACTGCGTCATGCGAAGGTTTGAAAAAGTTTATTAGTTTGTTTTAGCTGGATACTAGGAAGTAAGCTACACCAAACTAACTTTATTTATACTGGATAACTCTATCAGTTCTAAACTGTTCTTCCTAGAGGTCCAGTAAGGATCATTTCTTATTGATCCAGTGTTACTACAGAAGGAAACCTAAACTAAACTAACTTTATTTATACTGGATAGCTCTATCAGTTCTAAGCTGTTCTTCCTTGGATCATCTCTGATTGTTCCAGGATTACTACAGGAGGAAACCTTTAGTTCTTAGCTATTCCTACCGGATCATCTCTTATTGATTCTGTTTTCGCAGCTTGTAATTGTCACAATCATTCTGACGTTTGCGTGTACGATCAAAACGTTGCTGATAGGAAACTGAGCTTGGACACAGAAGGTCGATATAGTGGTGGGGGAGTCTGTGTGGATTGCAAGGTAGGAATTAGGACATTCCATGGAGTTAACTTGACAGTCTTTCAGTTAACAGTGAATGTTAGATTCAGATGTCGTCGTGAGGGTGATAGGGGGAAAGATAGAGTTGAAGATTCAGCAGTCAGGCAGAATATTCCCTAGTAATAAAATATCAATCTTTCTCAGCACAATACTGATGGAATCAACTGTGAAAAGTGCAAGACTAATTTCTATCGACCTGTGAGTCAAAGTAAAACCTCGTTTGATTCTTGCAAAGGTAATTCTGCACCAGGTCATTGCGCTTGTCTGACTAAGTTTCATCCAGGTCATACGTCGGTCAATTTTTTGTGATGTTCATTTTAGAATGTGGCTGCAATCCCGCTGGGACCATCGCTCATCCAAACATGACGTATTTAGACTGTGTTCGTGATGAAGATACAGCTAAACTCCACAGTGGAAAGGTTGGGGATGATCCAATGTTAAACCACCTTTAATCCTAATAGTGTTAATCCTAATCATCATGAGTTAGCTCATCCTGATCCTCTATCTGATCTTTGTGCGATATATTATTTTTTCAGTATACAAGTTAACTCTGTTTCGCTATCCAATGATTCTAACTTGAATCTTCTTTCTCCCCTAGATTCCGGGAGATTGTTATTGTAAAGAAAATGTTTTAGGCAGGACGTGTGATACTTGCAAAGATGGGTTTTATCATTTGACTGAAAACAATAGCCTTGGTTGCCAAGGTAAGAATGCTTCACGATAAGAAAACATTTCTAGTAAGCTTGTACGTTCATCCAGTTATGATCCTTATCGTCCAACTATGATCGTTATCATCCAATTATTATCCTTATCATCCAACTATGATCCTTATCGTCCAACTATGATCGTTATCATCCAATTATTATCCTTATCGTCCAACTATGATCCTTATCATCCAACTATGATCCTTATCGTCCAACTATGATCCTTATCGTCCAACTATGATCCTTATCATCCAACTATGATCCTTATCATCCAACTATGATCCTTATCATCCAACTATGATCCTTATCATCCAACTATGATCCTTATCGTCCAACTATGATCCTTATCATCCAACTATGATCCTTATCATCCAACTATGATCCTTATCATCCAACTATGATCCTTATCATCCAACTATGATCCTTATCATCCAACTATGATCCTTATCGTCCAACTATGATCCTTATCATCCAACTATGATCCTTATCATCCAACTATGATCCTTATCATCCAACTATGATCCTTATCATCCAACTATGATCCTTATCGTCCAACTATGATCCTTATCGTCCAACTATGATCCTTATCATCCAACTATGATCCTTATCATCCAATTATTATCCTTATCATCCAACTATGATCCTTATCGTCCAACTATGATCCTTATCATCCAATTATTATCCTTATCGTCCAACTATGATCCTTATCATCCAATTATTATCCTTATCATCCAACTATGATCCTTATCATCCAATTATTATCCTTATCATCCAACTATGATCCTTATCGTCCAACTATGATCCTTATCATCCAATTATTATCCTTATCGTCCAACTATGATCCTTATCATCCAATTATTATCCTTATCGTCCAACTATGATCCTTATCATCCAACTATGATCCTTATCGTCCAACTATGATCCTTATCATCCAACTATGATCCTTATCATCCAACTATGATCCTTATCATCTAACTGCGATTCTTATCATCCAACTATGATCCTTATCATCTAACTGCGATTCTTATCTTTCCGTTTTTTTAGGCTGCGATTGTTTTTTACCTGGTACTTTAAATCGCTCGAATATTTGTGAAAAGGTACTATCATTGCTGCTTGATTCCTCTTCAAGAATTTCTGAAGTATTAACAATGATGTTTTGTATTAAATAAAGGACACTGTTGGTCAATGTCCTTGCAAAGAAAACACTCACAGCAGAAACTGTGCTCAGTGCAAACCAGGCTATTATAATCTCAGAAATGAGGATGTTGATGGATGCGAAGGTACATATTCATCAAGTGCCCTTTTATCAATAGAAGATGGTTCATAGTAGCAAGACCCAACGTGAGGGGATGGACACTATATTTTACTATATTTTTTACTATATGTTGAATGTGATATATGTTTCGTGCGAACCTGTTTTTATGCTTGTTAAACCCACCAATCAAGAGTTTTCTTTTTCCAGATTGTGGTTGCGATCCCGGGGGGTCAGTTCAAGGCTCGTTTTGTAACAACATCACAGGAACATGTGAATGTCGCGCGCATATTTACGGCAAGCAATGTGAAAGGTTTGTCCATATTATCACTGTCATCAAATATAGTTCGCCAATAGCCTAAAATATGAAAAGAAATACCTTGCCTTACCTTGTTGTCTTGTAGTATATTGTCACTTTTGTTTGGTTTTCGGATAAAACGCTTCCAAGAAAAATGGCTGCCAAACTAATATCTTTCTTTTCTTTCTTAGCATTGAAACAGGCTGCTATTACCCTGGTCTTCACCATATCTCTGCTGAGAAGAGCATTTACGAGGAGGCTAATGTAAGTCACATCAGCAGCTGCCACAAAACTTTCATTTCACTCGCACATTTACAACTCAATGTCTCATTTTCTTTTCAGTCTAGTCTTTCTCTCGTCCTGGATATCCCAAAGAATGGGTACTTTCGCATCATGATCAAATATTCGCTGCAAATTTCTGATTCTGCTCAAGTGAACATTGCTTTGATGGACGACGAAGATGGTACCGTGATTAATTCCAGTATAAAAACGTTTCAAAAATGCGCCACAACTTGCTACCATCGACTGTCATCCGAGTTTTTATATCTGGACGAAGGAAAAGTTGATGTGCTGGTGAATTCTGTTCAGAGTGATTTGAAATTGGTAAGTATCGTTTGGAGTTTTCGTGACTATTAGGGTATCCCTGCATTTTGTAGTTTATCTCAGTGAACAAGGTTTCTGCTCAGTCATATATTTGTCTCTGACGAACTTTCCTTACAGGAGAAAGTGATCGCAATTCCACGGGAGTTTTATGAGGACACCGTGCTTGGTGATAGAGTTTCGTCACACTTCCAATTTCAGTGTAATATCGACGATAATGAAATGGGGTGAGTCCTAGGTGCTCGGGTGAGTTAGCTCAGGTATACCACAGGGTTCATCACTGGTAGTAATTTACCATTAATCGTTGTTGTGACCTAAAACATCGTACATACTTTGATGTTTTTATTCATTGTTTAATCGTAAAAACATCCTCAACCAAATACTTTGCCGGAACTTTGAATTATGAATCGTGCGGTTTAGATGTAGATAAAGAAAGGCTATTGTTTCTAGCGGTAGCTATCTTATTTCTTAGGTTGGGAACAGACCTGGAAGAATATTGTTTGTCAAATGTCTTTTCTCTTACGATCGCTTACAACGGAAAGCCTTTGAGTAAGTTAATTTTTATCGGCCATATGATATATTATGGTAACGTACTTAGCAACATACCTTGCGTTTACCTTAGATTGCAGCTGCAATCCAATTGGTTCGTACAACCATACCACGTGCGACCCACATGGCGGTCAATGTGCATGTAAGCCTGGAGTGACAGGTCGTGATTGCAGTCAGTGTTCGCCGGAGTTTTACGGATTCTCGGAAACAGGATGTAGCTGTAAGTAAATTTCATGAAACCTTAAAACAGGGAGAAGCATGTATATGTATATTTAGACTGCTGGAATATTCTCATTCTCATGCATAACAATCCATTTTAGCGTGTGGTTGCGAAGGTTTGGACAAGCAATGCAATCTGATCACAGGCTGGTGCAACTGTCCCAGCAACACAGCTCTGAGGACATGCGAACCTTGCCAGTGTAACGGGAACTCTGACCGATGTATGAGATCTGGAGAATGCCTGGATTGTCAAAACCACACAACTGGTTTTTACTGTGAAAGATGTATGAATGGGACTTATGGAAATGCTTCTGCCGCTGACTGCAAAGGTTTGTTGACACAATTTTGCTTTAATCTACGATAATCATTTTGAAACAGATAGAGAGAGAATTGAAACCTGGAACGTCTGTCGTACATGAAATACTTTTCTTTGTACATAGATTGTAAGTGTCATGACGTTGGCTCAAAGAACAAGCTTTGTGACAGTGTGACCGGGCAATGTTCCTGTAAAACTAACGTCGTTGGTAGGAATTGCTCACAATGCCACGTGAACACATACAACATGTCTATTAATGGCTGCATGGAGTGCACGTGTAACGCTGATGGCTCTAGAGATCTTCAGTGCGACGATGATGGAAAATGTCCGTGCTTGGCTCACGTGACTGGAGAGAAATGTACTCAATGCACCATGGGATACTACGGTCTGCCTACGAAGCCATGTCAAGGTAAGCTTTGACAAGATCTATGTGAATTCTACTCACGTGAATAAATCGGAATAGTTCGTGAAGCCTCGCGAGTCTGTATTCTGACTTCGAGACAGTTTGTGTGTATTCCATTCTTTTCACTGTACCAGGATTTCCGCGACGGTCTCGAGGACATTCCATGCAAAAACTTGGCTTTAATTTCCGGTTAAAGTTCAGGACTGCATTTCAAAAGCCTGGATGTAAATTATTATTATTTCCATCATGTTAATTATAGCTTGTGGCTGTAGTTCAATCGGGAGTCGAAATGGAACCGTGTGTTCAAATGATGAGCTGGGAATGTGCGTTTGCAAACCTGGGGTCAGCGGCCGAGCTTGTGATACTTGTCAGAAGATGTACACAAATTTCAGTTCCGCTGGCTGCTCAAGTAAGTTGAAATATTCATGTTTCACCTTGTTGTAAATGGACTGAGGCATTAGTCGTTTATGATAGAGATGTCTCTTTGCTCAAATTAAACGCAAAGGAAAGATGAACCAGTCCAGTCCACGTCAATGATTATCAACTACAGTTGACAGTACGACTGTTTCTGAATTATAACTTCCACAATGTGATGATTCTTTTTTTCCTACCAAAGTATGTTCAGCCTGCCCTCGAAACCTCCAGTATGTTTTGAATGGTGTTTTGGAAGAATTTTTCAATGTCTCCCGAGATGTCGACGAACTGCAGAACTTTACATCCGTGGGAAATTACTACGAAGACACAGTCTCACGACTTGAAACGACCCAGGTAGGATGACTAAATGAGAACATTCATTTTACTTAACTTTAATAAGAGGTGATTCTTACTGGACCTCTTCCTATCCAGTATAAATAAAGTTTAAGTTTCATGTTTCCTTCTTTATCTATACTTAGAAACTTGGAGATGAATATTCTGCAATCATAACAACGTTCAAAGAAGAGTGTGATGCTCTTTTAACCTCATATTCCTTGGAACTTGTGCGTCTTAATGATGAAGTGGCTGATCAGGTAAGACTATAAAATACCTTGTACAGAGCGTCAGCATACGAATTTCTACGTTGTTGATGTATTTTTGATGTATTTTTTTTATGCCAATCTAGAATAACAGAATATCCGCCGTTATTCCGTTGATTGAAAACCAAACAAAAATTGCTCTAGAAAAAGTTCTGGATATCCGGGAGAGTTCTCTTAGTTCAAAGAATTTCACCGATGGTTAGTTTTGTTTTATCATTGTATTGTTTTCCATTGTTTCAAATGATATAACCAACTAAATGCGATGTCCATTTATCTCAGGAACTCACGAATTTCTTCAAGACATTCTCCTTGTGTTGGTCAACTTGGTGGAGTCCAGCACACTCAAATATAACGAAGCAAAGATTCTTTTTCAACATCTTTCAAATATTGATTTTAATAACGAGCTTAATATGGTGAACGAAACTTCAAATTCCGCCAGAAATTTATCACAAATGATTGCTAATATTTCCCAAGAGGTAAGACATGGAACTTTGAGAGTTATTTTGTTTGCAAGCTATTGTGTAGTGGATTAATATTGCTGGTTATAGCTATGGCGATTGACGAAACTCGCAAGAGTGGAGCTAAACATTTCCTGTGTTATCCAGGGTTTTGTTTATTCCTCTTGTGTTCAAAGAGCTTTGTTTTTCTTCAGGTCATATCCCAAGATGATTTAGCGCGCGCTCTGCAGGTGTCAGTCGACCAGGTCGCAAAACAGTTCACTGAAACGCAAAATAAAAGCGATGCAGACCACGAGGATTTTGTGAAGAAAATTCAAAACATCTACGGGAAATTTTCCACAGCCTCTGAGCTGGTGAAGGACATAGAGGTATGTTTGCCTGGTATAGACTTTTCCATTTTTCTACTTGAGTTTTGTAAAGCATGCCATTCACTGGATCTGTCGGAAGAACAGACAGAACTATTCGATGTCTTTGGATATCTTTCAGAGTACAAATGAAAAGTCACGACTATTCATAGAAAAGGCAACTGCAATCTTGGACCAGAGCGATACTGTTGTGCATGATGCAACAGAGAATTTGAAGCAGACAGAACTCGTCACTCGACAGATAAGAGATATGGTTACTGCAGTTAGTGGACAACTTGAGATCTCCATGTTACAGTACGACTTTACCGGTAGTGTGTTTTTGATGAAGATTTTGCAAGCACGTGATTTACTCGCTCGGGATTTCCCGAGTGGCTTGTCGGATCCTTACGCCATCATCTCGATTATTCCTGCTTGGAGAGGACAAAAGAGTCAGAGGTCACGAACAATCAATGGTAAGTTGGTAAACGAGCTTCCTCCGTGACACGATGGTTTGTACATGTGTTCTTTCATCCATGTCTGAGGTTTGACGCCTGTGTTTCTCTCAGTTTTCATCTTCCGTCATTGATATATGAGAGCTTGATGTTGATATTTTATTTAAAGTTTGTGAAGTCAAAAGCGACCATTTATTTTCCAGGAACGCTATCGCCAGTGTTTCCATTCTACGATATCTTTAGTTTCAACATCAAAGTCGAGGAAATCCCTTTGACCAAAGTCCTGATATCACTTTATGATTACGATGCTGGCGAAGATTCTGATGACAGTTTGGGTGAAGTTGTAATAAACCTTCAGCAAGATGATTTCTTTGACAGAATTGTCACAAAGTGGTTTACAGTTCAACCAAAGGTAGGATTTTGAGTAAAGATTAGACTACAGATACCTCCTGTAGTAACACTGGATCAATAAGAGATGATCCTTACTGGACCTCTAGGAAGAACAGTTTAGTTCAGCTTTAACGGTTACCTAAATTAGTTTTCAATCCTTATTTAGGGAATAACTGCGTTAAGCACTGGAAACTTTGACGCAGAAGGTATTGGATTGTTGGATATGAATATATTACTACAACATCAGATTGATCAGATCCAACCTGAATTGACTATCGCTGAGACGAAACTGACCGCAGCAAAAGCTAACGTTACAAATCTTGAGAACGCTATGAATTCACTGAACAGGTGAGTGTTTCCCAAGTACAGTATGTCAGTCCTGAAGGTAAATAATCCAGGAAACATTGCCTTTCCTATGGTGGAAAAAAATGAAAAATATTTTGGTAAACGTTCAATGTTATAACAACACCTTTTCATAATTTGTTCAGCGCGTCAATTCAAGTGTTTACTTTTTCTATTTTTCATAGATCATTACAAGAGGCAGTGACGTATACCAGAAGACCAATTGAAGTCCTCGGGATTTACGATACAGTGTTGATGTTGGTAAACGAGACGGTTCAGAAAGCCAACGAGACCAGAATTGCCATTGTTAACTTGATGAACTATGTGAGTGTTTCGTGAATCTATATACATCTAACCGTCGTGCTTTTTTATTGATATTTAGTATAGATAGCTATCTCCGATACACGTTGGCTTCTATATGTCATTTTTTATATCCTTCGTAGCTTGTGGAAAGGTCTGTGGAAGAAATTAACAATGATTTCAGTGATGCAAACGAAAAAACCCGGTCGCTCTACCAAGCTACCCTGTTACGGAATTCATCAAAGGCAGTCCATCTCGAGGGGACCATCACATCAGCCAATAAAACCTTCAGATCTGTGCTTCCATTGTGGCATCAAATCAATCAATATATGCCTGATCTCCAAGCAAAGACAGCGTTATACCAAACAGAATCTTTACAAGGTTGGAAAACTTTCTTTCATTATCAAAGCTCAGTTTAAGTACCTCTAGATTTCACAGAGTCAAACTGGAAGAGTAAGACCAATTTCAGATGAACTGACGATGAATTTCTATTGATATTCTAGAGGAAGATATCCGAAAGACAGCCTTGTTTGCAAACAACATCAGTAACATCTTCATGGAAAGAATCACAAAATTACACGGAGAATGTGAAAACTTGTTAGCAGATATGATTACTATGACAACCAGGATGGATGAAATATTAGCTGCATACGATAATCACTCCAAATATATCGTTGACGGCATAGAACTCAGTGAGTATACGACTTTAACTCAATATTTTCAAATCATCTTCCCAGTAAAACTTGAAGACTGCAAGATGCAGTAAAAAATGCCTCTTGCATGGTCTATGGCGTTCCGTTTACGCTCACAGTTTCGTCTTTTGCTTGATGCGAACGAGTGGATAAGTTACTGATGGTTGACTAAGGGCACTTGTAGATCCGAGTATTTGTAACTACTCCCTCGTTGCCATCTATCAAAAGAAGAAAAATGCCGAAAGAATCTCAGTGTAAACAGACTATAAATCATGAATTCTGCCATTTATAAATTGAAGATTTTGAGAAACTTCGGTCAATGTTGTATAATTTCTGGAGGGTGGTAGGTCTTGAGGGTGGTTAATACTTATGGTTCTTTTATTAAAGATTTTTTTCTTCATAGTAACGAAAGCGGAGGAAAAATTAAAGGCAAACCCAAGCCCAAGGGAAAATGTCTTAGCGGCTCTGCCAATTAAACAGAATTTCGAACAAACTCGTGATGGAGTCGCTCAGAAAATTATTGAAATGGAGGAAAGAATATCACGCATGAAGAACGCGTCAAAAGTGTTCAACTTTGCCATGAAGTTTCTTGGTGACGGATCCACAGTTTTTAAACCTTCCAAAGAGTTCCAACTCAATGGAATATCGGACTTTATTGAGTTTGATTTTAAAACAAACAGCTCAAGAGGTGGAATTATTTATGTGATAACTTCACAGCAGGATCTGGTGAGTTTTGAAGAATTATTCTTTCATGATAATTTCCTGGGATTGCGCATTCATCTGTGCTGTCATTTGTTGTAAAATGTGCTGTTTTTATTCATGTTTCGTATCTGATTATCATCTTTTCTCTTCATTCATTGGTCAGAGCAAGAGTCTGCGAGTTTTTATCACACGGGGGCAACTTTGCGTGTCAACTGACTTTGGTCCAGGCCCTGAAACTCTTTGCCATCCTTCAAACGTAGCTACGGGGGAGTGGTTCCGAGGACAATTCACGCGGTTGGTTTTCTTTTACACATTCAAATCTAACCTGGCCACATAAAGAAGATAATAGAATTTCCTATTACCATTTTAGATACAAAGCATTTCATTTTCTGACGCTGTTAACTAAAGATGGTCTGTACAGTACAGTAAATATGACCTCACCTGGGAACAGCCACAATTCCGATTACAACGATGATACAACTATATATCTTGGCGGCCTTCCACCCGATGTCTTTGTAAGACTTAAATCATTCATTTACCTAAACACTATACTGACTTTATTTATACTGGATAGCTCTCTCAGTTCTAAACTGTTCTTCCTAGAGGTCCAGTAAGGATCATCTCCTATTGATCCAGTGTTACTACAGGAGGAAACCTAAACTAATCTAACTTTATTCATACTGGATAGCTCGATCTATCAGTTCTAAACTGTTCTTCCTAGAGGTCCAGTAAGGATCAACTCTAATTGATCCAGTGTTACTATAGGAAGAAACCTAAACTAAACTAACTTTATTTATACTGAATAAAACTATATCTGTTTCAGCCAAGCGTTTTATCTTATTACTCCTTTTATGACGGAGTTCTTGATCACCTTCGTATAAATTCAGAAGAAATTCATCTATGGCAACCCAGTGAGATGTACGGACAAGAAATATACTATGCCAACAGACGTTTCCCCAAACATCCAGCCAGCCCAGTCTACGCCGCTAGTTTCTTTGGCACTGGTGGAATATGGCAGCAAATGGGAGAGTTTACACTCAATACTTCTGAGGTTAAAATTTCGATGGAATTTCGGACCTTACACAAAAATGGATCGTTATTTAATGTTTTCATTGCCGGCAATGATTCAGTTCTTGAGGTGTATTTACAACAGGGACATGTTAAGGTTTTGATCAAGCCTGATTCATCACAGGAAATTACAGTTGTTAGTCGAAGGTAAGTTTGTTTCGGTTGCCATTGTTTCCATAGCATAGCCTTGACACTTCTGAAGCTTTCTTGATCCTAAGTTAAACGGTGATTCGGTGAGAAGAAATATGCCCAGCTGTAAAAAAACGGTCTGTTAAAATTGTGCTTGAATGAGATTGTGTTAACTTTTTCTTAAACCAGGTCATCATATGACAACGGACAATGGTATAACGTCTCCTTAAGCATCTCACAAAACCGAACAAGGTTAAGCGTATCCCAAACTGGTTCAAACACACTGGACACGCGTACGGTAGAACTTGAGAACATGCCTTATACAAGTGATGGCGTTCAGATTGTAATTGGTGGCAGAAGAGTTTCCTTCGCAGGTGACATAAGAAATCTCAGATTAAGTGGAGAAAATGAGTCCGATGTATTGAGGGATCTTGTGGGGTCAGAATGGATCAAAGATGATGGCGTGAGCTATGATGGGATCATCAAAGGGGATGTAAGATGATAGTTGTAAGGAAATTAGTTTAGTGATCCTTACTGGATCACTAGTTCATGTTCTTAAAGTTGCTGGACTTCTTCATTTCTTTCCAGCAGATATACCCAGGCTATCGTCTCTATGGTTATTTGCCGTATAAAGGACATGGTAGTTATTCTGTTTTGGAAAGTCAAAGCAATCCAGTAAAGCAGCTACAGTTTACGTTCAAAACGTTAGTAAAGGATGGTGTATTGGTGTACAGCTCTATCAAGGTAATCTCTTCTGTGCAGACCTGGATTTAGGATTTAGAATGGATTAACGATTTATGATTAGTGCGTTGATTTAGGTTCGTATAATCCAGTGTTTGCTAAACTGTGTTTCAACTTGTTCAGAATGAGTCCAACAACGAGGAATCGAGATTTTTCTACATCGCTTTATGGAATGGTTACTTGTATATTTCCCATCAAACTGGTGACTTCAGTAATCTGACACCTTTATATTATCAAGATGAACCATTGAATAATAACAGATGGCAAACTGTGACCTTGAATTACACTAACAACGGGTAAGATCTCTTTGCTGAAGCGGCTTCTGTGCAGCAGAGAAACTTGTAAAGAGCTTAGCTGAATTAGACATAGTTTACTGGAAACTTACTTTTTCTCCTAGATTTCATGCATACCTAAACGGAAAAAGGATCCACATTGGCTGGTTTGGAAATGTTCACGAACCAATAAACATGGGTCGATCACTTCATGTTGGTGGCGTTGAACCAAGTGGTTATATTTTCTTGCCAGTTCCTGTACATTGGTCTCTACAAGCGGATTTCCAGAGCTTTCTAATGGATTCACAGTTAGTATTCATGAAATTTGTTGTTTCCGTTTTAGGGCACCGTTTAGGGCACCCAGTTTGAATACAACCTTGGTAACCAACCCTCTAAAATGTCGACGGTTTTTTGCAGGGATATGAGCCTGTTATCTGGACAATCAGAAGGAGTATCTGTTGGGGGAATCACGTCTGCAACCATCATTCCAACATTACCTCCGACTATGGCAACAACTGCCGGTCCTCAATGTCACTCGGCACCTGGTCGTCCACGACAGTCCGACGATGTTAACTCGGCAAAATTCGGAGCAACTTCGTACGATTATAACACGACCATACCTAGCTATCTTGGGTTCACCCTAACTGACAAACAGAGGGATTTCTTTAAATCAAGGTACACGTGTTTCTAGTGGTTAATGCTCATAATACTTTGTAAAGTTTGCATTTGAGGGATTAATTTCTTTCTCAACAAAGTTCAACGATTGTGAAAATGACCTTTCTCAGCTGTTCTGGAATTGACCATTTCAACCCGTCAATATTTCGTTTTCTTGCAGTATTGTGATAACGTTGGAAATGCGATCATTGACAAAAAATGGTCTGGTGTTTTATGCGGCAGAGAGCGAGACAAACCCTACAAGTTTTATCTCCCTCGAGTTGGTTGACGGGCGACTACGATACCAGTTCCGGTCTCCTACCGGACAAGTTACTATGGAAACAAGTAGATCATATTCCTTGGATGCTGTTTGGTACAAGGTAGGAAACTTAGAGTTGTTAGTGATTGACACATTGTTTGCGAGAGAGTTAGATCATGCAGAGGTGGTACATGTTCTTGAATGTGAACTACCTTAAAGTGATCTGATGTTGTACAGAACTCATGTGAGTATAGTTAAGTCTCTCCTGTGTTCTCTCTCAGTTGACTGAGTTAAGCATGGTTAGATCATGCAGAGGTGGTACATGTTCTTGAATGAGAGCTACCTTAAAGTGATCTGATGTTGTACAGAACTCATGTGAGTAGAGTTAAGTCTCTTCTGTGTTTTCTCTCAGTTGACTGAGTTAAGCATGGTTAGATCATGCAGAGGTAGTACATGTTCTTGAATGTGATTTTCTATAACAAACAGAATTCAGTCCCAGGAACCCTGTGAATTGAATCATGTATTATATTTCTCTCTAGATCTATTTATTACGTATATTTCAATTCGGCGCTATTGTCATCCCTCAAACGAAGGAATATCACAACAATCGTCATCGGAATTCACCGTCTATGATCACGATCACAACTCCCTTCTTCATTGGTGGAATACCAAGTCATGTGACCGCCTCAAATCTTGTCCACCCTGACCTCAATTTTGTTGGATGCATAAGAAATGTTGAGATTTCATCCTCCCGCGAAGATGTTACCCTGGATATGTCTAATGCAGACCTGACCGGGTCGTCTGTCGGCAAATGTCATTCAAATATTGAACCCGGAGCTTACTTCAATGGTGATGCGTGGATGAGATTTAGTGAGTGAATTTTGGATAGGTCTATCAGTTCTAAACTGTTCTTCCTAGAGGTCCAGTAAGGATCATCTCTTATTGATCCAGTGTTACTACAGGAGGAAACCTAAACTAAACTAACTTTATTTATACTGGATAGCTCTATCAGTTCTAAACTGTTCTTCCTAGAGGTTCAGTAAGGATCATCTTTTATTGATCCAGTGTTTTTACAGGATGATTGTTTTTCATTACCTCCATTAACAATATTTTACAGATAATGTTTCCTTAAAGCAAGACTTTACGATCACTTTTCAATTCCGAACTTATCGACGTTCTGGATTGTTGTTGGCACTCGATACGCTAGCAGGGCGTGGCCTGATCCTGCAACAGACATCAGGAAAGGTCTGTACTGAAGACAACAGATCCAAGCCTTCACACTTTCGGTCAAGGCATGATTTCTTTAGCATTAACCAGATGATATTAGAATGACATCAATCTTTTATTCACAGCTTGTTTTGATATATAACAATGGCACAGCTAACATTGAACTGCCTTGGATGCCTTCATCAGACAGTAACCATGTTTCTTACATTATCTGTCAACTGGAATGGTACCACGTTCAAATTACGAGGCAAGGCACGGAGCTTTCCCTGGTGATTAATAAAACATACAAAATTTCAAGTGAGGTGGCGGATAGTAATAAACTGATCGGTACCTTGTTTCTGGGCCAAATTTCAGGTAATATCATTGTTTTAAATCTAATTCAAATAATATATTAGTTTACGTTACCCCCTCCTCATTAAAGCTGTATCTGTCCGGTGAGTTATTATCTTCACAGGACAATGGTTTAGAAATGATAGACATTTATCTTGTAAATAAACACAGTTAATTTAGTTTTCTGGGTTTTTCCATGTTTAGAAAGCAGCCTGGGTGTAACAGCCTCGGCATTCTACGGATGTTTAAAAGATGTTTACATTGATGGCATACTACTGGACATATCTCGACCTTTTATCCAAAGAAACACAGAATTATCCTGTCCAATTGATGAGGGGTAAGAAAGAATTCGAACTTGAAGATATAATTTCGTAGTCATTATAATATTTAAACTAAATTTCATAGCAATTAATGATAAAATAAATTGAGAACTTTATAACATATTGTAATCGTTTAGAATTTATAAACAAATTTTAACACTTTTTAATTGTATTTAAACATTTAAACTGTAAAGACTAAGTAAATTTAGAAATAAACCCGAAGTTCGGAGTTAAATTTGTGGCAAGATTTGATAGTAATGGTTCCTTCTGAAGCTTATAGATTTAGTCATTTATAATTTGCTTAAATGTTATTCTCCTTTGAGGGATCTCTTTTATTTGTCAGACTGTCAGTCACTAAAAGCCAGTTACCAAGACGTTACCAAGGTCGAATGTACCAATTCCGGTATATTCGACCTTAGAATATACCATATTCCGGTATATTCGACCTTACGATAATAAGGTTGAACATACTATATAATATACAATAATAGCATAATATACAATAATAATATACCATAATATATATACCATACACTGGTATATTCTAGTAATTAGCGACCTTATTACCACCGTCCACCAAGGTCGAATGGTGACAGTTCTTAGCGTCAGTGGAAAGTACCCAGTCACGCATGCGCTAATTTAAAATACAATAATGCTTCTAATCTCTAAAAGTGAGTCATTCATCAACTAAATACAAATTATTGCGGAAAAAATTACATTTCTTGATGAAAATCTGAATCTAACTGTACCGGCGTATACTTTCCGATCCTTTTCAAGCAGGGAATGAAAATTGCGGAGATCGTAAATCATTTTTGGTATAAAACGTCTCTCAAAGTTGGATTACCACATTCTCCAAAATACATATATTATGTTGGTTCTCTATTCTAGCTAGCACTTGAAAAATATTATGAGCAAAGCTAAAGTGGCGTATGCTGCCAGTGTATTGAAGAAAATCGAAGGAAAGCCACTTTTAAATGGCGAAGTACAGCCACAAAATTATAAAACGGGAAGTGTGTATGTTTTTGGACAAGACAATGCAAGATGTGTTGTGGACGATGATGGTACTCATGAAGATACGGTGTTTGAAATGGGGGAAATTCGCGCTAGAGGGGCAAAAAATGGACAAGAGGGAAAAGAAAAAAGTGAAATACAAAAAATTAACATTATACATAGACCAGTATTCCCAAATGATACATTATCAAAGTTTGCCTTGCAATATGGATGTACGGTAGGTTTTCTGGTTTTCATTATTACAATAATTCATTATTAGGTTGCCCTGTGTAGAGAACTATTCTTTGGTAGATAAGTTACAGAAGTTTGGTGTTACATTTATATAGAGCGAGCAAACTGTCCTTATGATCACAGGCTAGTTCTGGTATAGTACCAAGCAAACTGTCCTCGTGATCACAGGCTAGTTCTGGTATAGTACCAAGCAAACTGTCCTGGTGATCACAGACTTGTTCACCAAGTATAAAGCAAGCATATGTGGTTTACAGATTACACCTTGAAAAATATAGAGAAATTTATCTTTTTGAGCAAGGACCTCTAAGCACTGCCTAAAACTGACATCAAGTTATCCTTTTCTTGTAGGTCGCTGAATTGAAAACAGTAAATAATTTTTACAATGAACAAGACTTTCATGCATTGAAACATATCAAAATTCCGATTCAACCGCACAGTTTGTTAACGGAACGTGCGGAAGAGGAAAGACGAAGGGAAAATGCATTTGCAAATCACGCCACAGGTAGTCGGTCAAGAGAAACCAGCAGTCGAGGTGACCATTCTGATTCAGACTACGAAGACATTGACAATCTCGCAAGTCCTAATATTAGAACAGTCAGCATTAGTGCAAATTTGAAAGACCACGAGAAATTTCTCAAACGAATGGATGATGATATACAGAAGATCTGTCAAACAGTAACGAACCGAGAGTCTGACCCTAACGATATAAATCGAAAATTATCAACACAATGTATTCATCCGAGACAAACTAAGAAGAAAGATGCAGAGGAATTGGGATCGATATGGACAGGTCTTGGATGGAAAAGTGCGGTTGCTGTGTTTGTATTTATTGCAATAATTGTACCAACGGTATATTTTATATACGTTGAAGAATTTAAGTCGTAGCAAATTAGTAATAATCTGTCAAAATAATTTATAAAGAAAGTATTATATTAGTACTATTTTAATTAAAATATTTTTTACAACATGAAGTTTAAGTTGTGGTTTGTATTTTTCACTAACTCTAATGACATTACACTTTCTTTTTATATAAAACTTATTCAACTTCACATCACGACGTTGTAAAACATCTTGCCTAAAACACTTCTAGCTGCTTTATCCTACTAACTCTTTTGACAAATGCCCTTAGGTCGACTCATTGAGCAGTGTTTTATCCTTTTTAGGCAGTTTGTATACCACATTTGATGTGATGTTATTTGAAGCTGCAGCCTGCAGCATTGCACAAAATGGTTACATTGAAACTAATTCATATACAATATCCATCTAAATATTAAACGTTAGCAATCGGTGCTAGAAGTCAATGCATCGGCCCTTTCTCTCCCAGTCTCCATAGCGTGTTGGCTCTGGTCCTCTTGGTCCATTTATTTCACCAGTAACTGGATTGACATTATCAGGATATGCAGCATATGGATCAGTTTCTTCCACTGCTTGCTTTCCATCAGTAGCAGATTTATCATCTTTTTCATGCGTTTGTCCCTGACTAGTGTCCTTACTATTTGAATTTGACAATCCTCTTTCTCCTGGACTGTAGTTTACGAGCATCCTCGAGGCATAAAATAACGTTTTTGACAAGTTTCCAACCATTTTTCTACAAAAAATGAGTGAAGCCATTTTGAGTGAAATGATGAAATAAAAGCGCGAAAAGGACTGGAGACCAGTGGAAATTTTGGCGCGAAAAAGATAAACAAAAATGGCCGAATATTTTCCATTTCAAAATTTTCAGCAATAATTTATATGTTTTCTACAAAATGGGCGATTTATTTAGGAAAAGAAAGCCTAATTCTTGTAGCAGAATACGGTGAATCAACGTGGAATGCTTTAAAACCATGGCTGCGAAGGGAATGATGACCAAAATTAAGACAAATCCATTTGATTTGAAGGAAGTATTTTATACCAATCTCCTGTTGTTAGGTTTTGACGGCGAAGCTCAAGAGGCCAAGTATAGAATACCATTTAATAGGTGAGACGACGTTTAATGTAAATATTGAGTGTTGGTAATTTTTAATAGGAAGTCACATAGATAATGGACAATTACTGATATATTTTGAGAAAATGTTCTGATATCAGTGAAATGTAGACATGCAACAGTTCATAGAGAAAGAGACTAAAGTACTATATAGATTTCGTCCCATTTCAATGTGTTTAACTGTCATTTCTGTCAAAGATAATGACAGATGTAAATCATGTCATGAGCAATCAATACTGAAGGTCTGACGGTCATCTGAACACAGTGGAATAGAAATAACTTTAATAGACTATAGACCTTTCTCAAAATGATGTCAATTATAAATGCCTGGAAAGTCTGATGTCACGCAGCGTTAGATTGGCTATGCAAAACTAACGAGGCAATCAAAACTTGAGTAACGTCAGATATCCCATGCTTCATATCATCATGGGAAATTTGAGGTGTATTCATGGAGTAATTTTATCCCATCTCTTTTCCAGTGATATGTTTGTGTATCCCAACAAAAAAGCAATGGAGGTTATTCTTCATTTCCTGTTTTGTAATTTGGACGCACCACTGGCATTTCAGGAATTTAGGTAAAACATGCATCATTTTATTAGCCTGTATCTTACGACAGTAGTGACTGAAGAATTGTTTGTGAATTTGCAGAGACTGTTGGCCTGTTCAAGACAAAAAGATGGAACAAGAGTTTAGGAAATCTTGCAATAGTTGGCTAACAAGAATATCAAAAGTAAATTTGAAGACTTTAGTTAATATACGTAACAAAAACTGGACTGTCAAAGGTTCTTTGGTTTGCCCTGAAAAGTTACTAAGAATTTTACCCTCTTGAGTTTCACCTTGACTGAAAAAAATCAAGAGTTTGCATGATCTTTAACCTAATTTACCATAATTCTAGGAAGAACCTGACTCCAGCTTACCCAGGATTGGTCCATCACTGTTTTTATCTCCTGGAGGTACAGCTTTGTCAGCCTTTGTGTTATAATGATGGTTTTGCATATCCCAAAACTATATTCTTTAATATTTGGCCAATAATTTTAATTTTCTATGTTCAAAACAGGAGAGAGATTTTATGAGGTGATGTTTTATTTCTCAGCCTACGTGTTGAGACAAGTTGATATGCGGGATCACAGTCATGGTGAGTTTACACCCTCGTACTGCACGATGCAGAAATCAAGATATCTTCACCTTGCATGGTGTTATCATAAAAATCAACTAATTGTACATTAAAAAGTGCTTGAATGAGAATTTTTGCCAGTTTTTTCTACCTAGCCTGGATAGAAATTGAGCTTTCCCATAGTCTAGCAAAAACCTTTCAATATATGATCTAGAACCCTGCATTTTCTTTGTAAGCTGGAACCCTGTATTGCTTTGAGCAGTTAATATTCTCAGTTAATATTCCTAGGGTTTTATTTCCCATTCAATCTTAGCCATGATGTGGTACCCTACTGGTTTAAAATTATAGGTAAGAAAAAATCAGCCCCACTTGGTTGTAAAAAGATTACCAAGATGCCCAAATTGACGGACACCTCTTCCAAAGCCATGCTTGTGAAGACGTTAACTGAAAGAAACAGGTGCAGTGGAATAATATTTTTGTTTGGAAGAAGTTTTCTGAATTGTATTTTGTTGTTTTTTCAATATAAATGGTTTTGAGTAATTTTGGATTATTCTGATGCTATGGTTGTTAGATTTTTTGAAAATGTTCATTGTGATGTTGAGACTCAGGAACATTGGAAGGCACATGCAACGTAAGTTGACCAGACTTATTGTAAGATGGCACTGTACTTAAAATTGCAATTCTTTTGCCCAGCTTAAAATGTTCCCTTGATCAGCCCCTAAAACTATAACCTGCTTCTGACCTCCTATGATGGTTACTCACTAGCTCTACCAAAATGTCTACCAATCTGTCTACAAGTACAACTCTAAAACAACTGTATCATTGATTCATATCTCACACTCAGGCTGTCTACAAAAATTCAGAGGAAAATTTGCAAAGAAAACAGAGAATTGGAGAGGAGACTAAATCCTACTGGGGATAAAGAAAAGTAAGAAATAAAAATCAGAATGAACAATTCATTTCAATAACACTGAATGTTTATAGTCACTTTTCACCTAATGACCTTGCCTTTTAACTACTCGCGTTTCATTTTATCCCTTTAGAAGCAATTATCTTGAAGAAACTGAGGCTCTACGACGTATCATGCAACTACAAGAGGTGCTTTACCTTTCTTGATAGTTCTATAAGATGTCTGATTTAGTGTTCTCAACCGTCATCAGAACAAGAAACTGATGAGGGTTGCAAACCATGAACAAATATCAGACTTTAATATAGTGACAAATATTACATCCTCTGCATCATCATTGCAGGTGCGACGACTTTGGTCCACACTTGAGTCATTTTACGAAAACACAAAAAAGAAGGTACGAGTCATGCTTGAGTGTGTCATTTCTAACAGCAACGAATGCAGATTACATTAATTACGTTAATCTTTTTAAAATATTATGCAGAGAGCGGTTTTGAATGAGATGCTTGAAAATAATGAACCTAGATTTCATTTAGATGGTTCTTCCGTTCATATTCAGGTGCGTGTGGTTATTACTTATCAACTAAACATTTGCACTTAACGGTTTCCTAAAGTTTTCATGAAAGTCTAACCACAGTTTTATATTTACAATCCAGATTCCTGAAGTCCTGACAACAAAATATGGTCATGCGATTCAAATGGTACAGTAATACTCGTTCAAGTGATTTTAGATGAAGAACATAGTTAATGCATATTTCTCACGTGCAGAGTGATGTAAATTTTTATAAAACAGGAGCTCTCTTTTTTCAAACAGTCACTACACGCTGTTTGGAGCGATGACTGTTTGCTGATAAGATCTGACTGCCTCGGAAACGTTTGTCATCACACTTCCCGTGTTGTTCAGTGATGAAAATTAATACACATTTCCTTCAACCTTGCAGAAAAACATCAGAAATACTTACAAGGAAGGAAAAATGAACATGTTAAGGTACTTATAGCTATTTCGTGATGGTGATTCTGTAATGGATATGGATCTGTTGGTTTGGTCTTAATAAACGTGTGTTCTGTATTTGCTTGGCCATAAACTATCATCACCATCAATGTCACCATTTGATAAATTTTCGTTGTTTTTGCCTAGTTTGGTTCAGTTATCAAATCTGTCTCTCCATGAACTAAAGGAAAGAATCAGACAAGGTATATCAAATGATTGTGAAGCTTTATCTAAAGCACTATGACCTTCATTAGTTCAACGACCAGCCTGTATTTTTCTCCCAAACACAGACGGTATTCCTGATTTCGAGCCTTTTATCACAACAATGAAGAATGACGTTCGAGTTCATGGAACTCACCTTGCACAAGCCAGAAGTCTTGGGTAGGAATTATTGAAATCATTTGAGCAACTAGACTGATACGATCAATAAAACTACACCACATAGTAATCATATGCTTATTCTTATCTATTCATAGAGTGTCTCTAAAAAATGAATTTATCCCAGAATTGAAGAAATCTATTGAGAAACTGAAAGAAGAGTGTTACGCTATGTTGAACGAAACAGTTTCTTCTCCAGATGTTGCGCTGGATTCGTTCGTAAGTACAGTTGATTTTACCAACAGGGAAACGAAGCTAGTTCCGTCTACTCTTATAGAGCCTCCAGAGAGAACAGTACATGCTAAAATGGCCACCATATTCTTAGGATTTCGGTCTAGGTCTTCTTCCAGCCACTCCATCACCTGCGTTCGCCACCGTGGATCACCTTACTCACAGTGATAGCAAAATACCGCAGTTGTCCCTTAGAAAAACACCAAAAAATCAAGGTATGTTTCACAATTCTTGTCCATTGCTCATGAGAGAATCACACTCAAATAAAAGTGGAACAACACATTTATCTTTCAGCCACTCCGGATGTTATTGAGAATCTCACAAGCAGTATTCGGGAAATGGTTGTAAGAGACAACCAACAACCAGGTAAGTCTGTTGAGTCTTAAGCCTGTAAGTCTTTCTCCTCAATCCACCAGCGCCTTGACATCTCTCTTTGTATATAAGTTCCAATATAACCAGGGAGCAGCGTGGCAGCGTCTTCAAACAACTTAGCATCAAATGTGGTACAACTTAGCATCAAATGGTGTTATCTCTCTGTATATGTTTAATATTTTAGATCAAAATAGTTTACCATCATCCGTCTCTAATACAAGGTATGTCGTAGCCATTGATTTGTTGAAACGTAATAATTATAATGACGATCGTTATTTTCATGCCCTTTTCTTGCGACAAATATTAGGTAGCTCTATCTCAGGATTTCAGGTCTTTAGGAACAGTATTTATCGATGTTTAATGATGACACTAGGGGTCTGTTTCGTGTCATCTTAATCATCAATCACTCTGGTGAAAAAGGATTCTAATATTTCTTGTAGATTCTTTGACACGAGAGAGACACCCAAACCATTTGTATCCAAGATTCCAAAACCAGTGAATCGTAGACTCAGTCGTACTCCGGATGTAAAGAGAGAGAAGCCAGCAACAACGAAGGAGAGGTCGTTGACATCAACTAAGAAACCTAGGAAGGTAAAAATTGACGTGGCTAAGACCGAGGAAGACCACACAGAGAAAACAATGAAGCTAAGAATGATGGATGGATCTCGAAAGAAGGATGTTGATGTACAAAAATCCAACGTAAGTCGCAGTGAGGATGGACTTATCTCATCCCATGCGTGCCTAGCGTTTCATGGAATGGTGATGGGTGATACAAACTCTGTTTCTTTTTTAGGAGGTGTCGAATGTGAAATCAGGGGCTGACCCGTTTAGAACGCCTTTAACACGAAAGACTATTCTCGACGAGCGTCATTCATCAGCCAGAAACATTTTAGCAGAGAAGGTAAAGTATTTTATTTTATGGATATATTTGTATCCCTCTCTTGTTACAATGTTTTATTATTTACAAATCAGATTGCTGCAGCAGTGTTTTCAGAGGAGCCATCAAGTTGCGCTGGTTCATCACGAAGCTCATCTGAGCAAAACTCACCCAAGGTAGAGTCCTTTTTCTCTACTAGTCTGATATGTATAATTGACCTCTGTGAAGAATAGTTTAGAACTGATAGAACTATGTACTGTATCCAGTTAAATTCAGTTTGGTTTAGTCTTTTGTCAAGTAATTTCTTTCTTAATTCGCAGGACTTGGCTATTACTGACCCTATTGGAAGTTTAAGTAAGTTTTTCCTTGTTGTGTTAAAATTTGGGTTGTTGAGTTTTATCAACGTAATGTTTTATCAACCTTTCATATTTTTAATTTTGTAGGTGTAGAGCCTTTTGTGTCGAAAGATCTTATTCCAAGAACCCCGTTTAAAAGAGATCAAATTTTTTCTGGTAAATAAAGCTGTTTACTCGAGATAAAGTTAGTTTAGTTTAGGTTTCCTCGTGTAGTAACACTGAATCAATAAGAGATGATCAATGGACAATGACTCTTTTAAACTTTCAGATCTAAGTGATGAAGATACCCATCCAGACGCCAATACAATTATAAATCCCGTAATAGGATCAACGATGAATAGGGACAAAGATGACCATATCTCACCACAACACGTACACTCGATGACCTCAAGTCGTACCTCGCTCTCAGAATCACTCGTATTAACAACTGATCCAACTCTCGTCTTGAAACAGGAGTCACCCTCTCCCTCTCAACCAATACAACAAAATACCCCAGTTACCCAGGTCATGTCACCTGTCCGAGACAAGCTATTAAGTAGAACTCAGACGACTTCAGTCGATACCTTAATAAGTTCTACCTTGCCTCTTTCAACAAAAGGGAGCCCTCTCGTATCGAGTGACCTTATTTCGCAATATCAACGGCTTAAACAGGCACAAGGGAAGTTGAGGACTGAGTTGAAAGACGTTTTGGGTGAAACAAACTTCACTCGTTCTCCCCAAAGCCGTCCCGAAGTGACTGAGAGTCTCGTTAGCGTGTCCAAGGTGGTCAGTATATCTCGAAGTCAATCACTACCTGTGACTACGTTACCGTTGAGTAGCAACCAAACTACAACCAATCCTGTGTTGTTACGCTACAGACAGTGGAAGAACGCTCAAGAAACTAGTTCCAAAACAATAACAACAACAACTAGTGCAGCAAGTTCAACCAGTACAGAGACCTTTTCAGATGCACAATCCACAGCGTTTTTGCGGTCAGTTCAGCTTCTCCCACACTAGAGGTAACGTCATCTATCCCGTTGCTAAGAAACCACGTAAGCCCTCATGTAGCAAGCGTACATTCACCTGATATGTTTCTGCCACAGAGCAAAAGTGACCTCATTCGAACATGTCAGCAAACAACTCATGTGACTTACTCCAGGGGGTTTGCCACACCTATGATGTCATCAGTGGGTGATATATTTGAGTTTGGTCAAACCCCCCTGGAGCGCATCGCCCCTCCTCTGGATTTCAATGGTAACTCCATGGACCGTGATAGGAGAGAAAGTGTCCGATCACGATTGTCCTTTGACTTTCCTGATCCATTGGTGGAGACCTCCGGGGGAGGACAGCAGTGGGTGTTAAACACCCCAAGTGCTAGGGATATTGATAGGGTTAAAATGGATATTGTTGGAGGATTGAGAGGGCTTGATCTTATTCCAGTGAATACGGAAGACCTTTTTCAAGATGAGGGAAGGTTACACCTTGGGACGAAAGTAGAGAATGAAGATTTAGGTAAGGTGAAGTAAAAATTCCTTTGGTGAATTTATCCGGTGATAAACAGAATGTAAATTAAAAGCAATTTTAACCCTCTCCAAATCTGGTGCATTCATAGTTTAAATCTTAATGAATAGAGACATGGTCTGGGAACTTAGATGAACTCTATTGCAGTCTTTGTGGACCATGACTAAACTGACTGTGTCTTCATTTGCTATTTAGAACCAGCATATACCACAAAAGCAGAAAAGAACTCATCTTTACAAGAAGTATCTTTTGACTCAACTTCACATGTAGAGGTTGGAACATTGATTGAATTTGAATAAGAAACTACATACGTAAAATATGGCAGTATATATAATATACTCTGTCTCAATTCATGGGTTGCTTTGGCTGGTGTGTCTTTTACTCATCATTCCCACACAGAGACAACCGGTTAACCATTACCAACTTCCGGCTGACCATTACCAACTGCTGACCATTTACCAACTCCTGGCTGACTATTACCAACTGCTGGTTGACCATTACTGACTGCAATGGTACTTTGTGAAACCACTATAATTGCAGTCCCTCTCTTGAATAACAATGCAGACAAAATGAATGTATATATATTGGAGCGTTTAGAATGCTTTAATTATTTTTTGTACTATCATATGAAAAAAATAAATTATTCCAAATTTAGGTAAAATTATTCATTATAATTCTTAACCATATTTTTACAGGTTTTTGTAGTAGGCAGGTAATGGTAAGTAATATAGTTATCAATTCAATTGGTGCATAGTTATATTTGGTTTAGGGTGGAAATTTTCCTTCGGATTGAGCTACTATGTCAACATTACCTTGTATCATTTATACTTTATCCAGAATGAAAATTTTACTGAACTGGACACTTCTTTAATTTTAAAGGTAAATGCCCTAAGGCTATATACATCTACAGTAAGATTTTGTATATTTCACCTCAATTTACTGCACTGTAGTATTAACTATTATTACTATTAACATAATACAATTATTAATTGAAACACTGATATATCTAGTTGCTATTTTTTTTCAACTAAATCAAACTCAGCTGTGAGCAATCTGTGATCTGAGAGAGTGAATTCTGCAGGCCATTCCTATGAAGAAAAAATGGTCAATTGTGAAAGAGAAATAAGAGGCTTAACCCTGATGTGAAAATCTAATTACTTCATGTCCATATTCTGTAGGGAATAACTTTGCATCAGTTGGCCTTAGAACACACTTTGACGAACTTCTAAAATAAAACAATGCTAACTCATTAGCTATGGTACAACTCCACCATTGAAACATGTCAAAGTAAAATTTATTAGCTCAGCCAGTTGAAAGAATCCATGAATTGTGGTTTACCGATAAAATATGAAGTCAACCGCAGTACAATTTTCCGAATGATCTTTGTGTGTCACTTTTGGTTCTTTTCCATGAACAGTCTTAAAAGCCGATTCAAAATCCTCCTCGAAAATACACTCACAAACAGGGCTGTCCTCAGGACCGTTCAAATCTCCAGCTAAAATAATTGGAATGTTGCGATTTCTAAAGAAAGCAATTTATACCCGTCTTCAACATGTTTTATAATAGTAGTGTGATAAATACTGTAGGTATTTAATGTATTACCTTCTAGCATATGTTTCAATCGCATCCATTAATTTCTTTGCTTCGGTCTGAACAAAAGTTTAACAGTATAAGACTTGGTGAGAGACCAGATGTACCGGCCAATACAATGTATGTGTGGAACAGTGGAACTTACCAGCCTCAGATATTGGTCCACGTATCCATCTCCGTATGCCAAATGTGAGGTAACCACAATCACCTAGATTATGCCATAATAAACTGTTAAGATCTAATCAACTTTCATAGGTTTCAATTTGCAAAAAGACTGACCTCGTATTTTGAAGGCAATTCAATGTGCACCAATAATCCTACCCGGTTTGCGGCATCATTAAACGTAATATTTTCTACATATTTAACCCTAACAAGACAGATATAGCATATTGTTCTATCTAAATTTCATTGGCAAGGAGATAAAAAATATGTGTGCATTAAAATAAAGCAAAGTTAACGACAGTGACATATACATCTTACTTGTAACTTTTATCAACAAGCATGACAAGGCCGTCTGATTTGAAACCAAGCCGTTTAAGTTGAACAATTTCATATCTAAATAAAAAATAGGTAGTCTTGCAAGAACATGCCTAGCAGATGGTGAAACCTTTAAATTGCTGGTCACTGGAGGCGATCATACTTACCGATGGCCCAATTTTTCCCTAAACAAGTTAAAAACGAAATCCTTGAACCAGAACTCCTGGAAGCAAACTATGTGCGCATCGACGTCTTCCGACTGTAACAACTGTATGATGGCTTCAAAACGAGGTATGTATTGATCAGGATATGAACTTTCTTTCTGGTACCATAGTGTCCATTGGCACTTGCTAAACACAAGAATGACAACTATTACTAACAGTATACATGTTCTAGGTGTATTTTCACTTTGACTAAACAGAGTGGGGCAATGTAAAAGCAAGATTCCCCTTGCACCCCCAGTAGTATCAACCTTTCCTCCAGGGGGATTACCCTTGTCCCAAGAGTACTGCTCCTTGCCCCAAGAGTACTGCTATGGTGCTACGTCCTTCTATTGTTCTGAGTTTATTATGTTATCATATTTTCAGCAGTAGCATATTTAGTTTATACGCCAGTATTATTAAGATACATGATCTGTGCATTAAAAGCATTTTTTTAAATCAAATACTTCACCAGGATCTTATCAAACAACACAGTTGCTAAAAGCACTTTATATAGTATAAACTTACTCAAGAACTTTATAACAAGGAGCAAGAATATTAAACGTAGCACATTTCAAATGCCCGGTTTCTTTTGTAGCCATAGTTCGGAAGCTCTGACGTGCCAGTAGCTTCGTAAAATGTCTTAGCATTCACGATCAGAGACTTAAAATAGACCGAGCAACATTCATTTCCAGACAAATCAAAAAACATCGGCCATGTTTACATCTACACTGGCTTCAGGCAGGGGGGGAGTGACTTCTCATGGTGTGAGCTCTGAATTCACTGAAATCACTTCTGAAATCTCTGTTTTTTTAGAGCGATCAGAAATAAAACAGCAACAAAAAACAACATTTAACAAAGCATATCGCAGTTTCTCTGCTTTTTTATCTTTATATGGACGAGTTTATCGCATTAACTCGCTCTAAGTTGAATTTAAGAGGTTCAGATGAGGTCAGTTTGCGTCTTTGCGCACGAGAAAATTTCCGAATTTTTAAACCGTTTTTTTCAGCGGGAACCTTTGCATATTTTATAAAAAGAACTTTTACCTCTTATTTTACTATTTTAGGAATGTTTATGGCTACAAAACGTTTTCAACGTTGTAATGGGCAGTATTTACAGCCCCCGGTTATTTGATCAGCCCTGTGACAAACTCTGCGTGGATATTATCAATGTTTTACTGGAAAGAAATGATAATATCCTACCATTGGACCACACTGTGCTCTCTGTATCCAACCTTTACAAGATGGAAGAAGGAAAATATTTTACTGGTACCTTTGGTGAAAGGTCAAAAATTACACCATCTCAGATTCCAGGTATGGTCCTACCATCATAATCATTGGTACTGTACCATCATAATCATTGGGACCATCATAATCATTGCCACCATCATAATCATAATGGGTACCATCATAATCATAATGGTACCATCATATTCTTAATGGCACCATCAAAATCACTGGTACCATCAAAATGATTGGTACCATCCTACTCACTTGCACCATAATAAGGACCATTATAATCCCTGGTGCTATCAATATTATTGATCTAATTTCTCTCACATCTATTAATTTATTAGAATTCAATATCTTGGAAGAACGACCAATGATCTTACTTGGTTTTTTAACTAGCATTCCAACATCAGACGCAACGCTTATCCCAGAACGTGGAATGCTTTATCTTGAAGATAATAAAAATGCTATAATATGCCAGGTGATTATTTTAGTTAGCAATGAATTAATAAGCACAGATTCACTTTATTCACAACTCTTTACAACTCTTTTTTGTCAGATGAAACTTTTTTTAATCAAAACAACGTTTTACTTCAGATCTTTGAAGAAACTATACCCAGCAAATGTTTGTTTGATCGTTTGGTTCTTTTACCAAGGTGGAATTTTATTAATGTAAAATTTCCAGTTTATGTCTTTAAAGGTAAGCATTTTTATATGGACCTGCAATATTCTGTGTGCTGTTATTTATTGCATCAGCTGAGATCTATAAAGCCTGCTTTTTTATAGGTGATAAACAGAGAAAGACAGCTGGGTCTAATTATTTAAGATACATTGAAGTTGTTGAGGAATTCGCTTCCATTCAAAAGCCACTGAGCAAGGCTGTGCCAATAGCTTTAACAATAGAGGAATATTTTTCCAAAAGAGAAGGGTTAGTTATGAAGTGTTAGCTCTCAAGATTTTTATTCACTTTTCACACTAACAATAGTACATTTTCTTCCTCTATATATAGAAATCCTGAAAAAGAAAACATAAACATAGTTGGTTGTCTAAAAACTCTTTGCTTATCCCAACTGTAAGTTTTTTAGTGGCATACATGTATGCATATTCCTAAAATGAATGCAATTAACATCATGCTTCTCTTTTCATTTCATATAGCACGACTGAATCCAAACCATTCTTCTTGGCCTTGTTTTATTCTCTAGAAACCCAACAACCTGTAACAATTGCATTTATGGTAAATATTACAAATTTTATTCAAGTTAAGTTCTTTTTAGACTTCCTAAACTTTCCTAGTTTGCATATATGCATTCTCATGTCTTTTCTTCTTGTAGGGAGAGCGTTTTTCGCCTTGGCATGATTTGATGAAAATTGGAGAAACTTATGTTATTAGTGAACTGAAGGAATCTAAAATGAATAAGGTTGCTATGAGAGCCATTTTTCAATAGTGATCGATAGACCTAATATTACATCATTTTTATCATAATATACATGCAGTTAAAAATGAACCACTATCAGTATGTATGCTCTGGATTTCCTAATGAATAGTTTTTGCAATAATAAACTTATATTATGTTTTTCTATACCAGGGTCAGCCAAATGAAAGGGAGTTACTTGTTGCTACAAAGCATTCAGATTTCTATCCAGTTCATCCCTGTATCTACATGAGTTTTAAAAATGCTTCAACAGAGCGTTGCAAAGAATCGCAAGGACTGAAGCGAAAAAGAGATGAAATGGAGACAGAGAAAGAAAATGCAACAGAGAAGGAAACAAAAACAGCGGTAAACTGAAGTGTTTGATGGATTTGCTTTGATGGTTTGGGAAAGGACTCTCATTGTAAATATTTTTTAATTTTTCAGGAGGGTGTGAGTAGATGCAAGCCAACTCCTCCATCTGAGCCGCAGCCAGTTAAACAATTCCTCGGAAAGTCCGGTTACTATTATTGCTCTGAACCTCTGGCTTATTTGGTATTAAACAATAGTGGTCTCCTGAAAAATATCTTAAAAAATAATTATTTAATAAAAACCTCTCTCTTTGTAGGGAACTATAACAGCCATTATAGATTCAAATATTGGTCTGTATGAGATTGATAACACATTCAGGTGGGATTGGTTGCAATTCATCCTGCATGTTTCCCTAAACCCGCAGCACTGTTTTAAAGAAACTCCCGAGACTGACAATTAATCACCATGCAAACACCACCATATTTTATATTGCTTTATTTTCATTTCAGATTGTTCACCCACTACCTTCCATGTAGAAATTTTGGTTGTGGTATGCGCGTTGGTGCTTGTGTAAAACTACATTATGTTCATATGTGTAAACTAGGCAAGGTGAGTTAAAGATCAAAATCAAAACATCAAACTCTTCGGCTGGTGAAGTGTCTAGCTCTGATCGAATAACATTTTCTCAACACTATGTAAAAATATATGATATTTATATACGTTCATTGTGGTGATAATAAAAACAACTGGGGTTAATGAATATAATTGTGATGGTGCTAATGCAGCACCCAAAGGTCGATCACAGGTTGATTTGATCACTTAAAGTTTTTTTTTTGCTTACCCAGGTAATGGTAAGTGGTAACTCAAAATAGCACAATCATAATATATAACCTATATTATAAGTATTTTCTTTAATTTCAAAATACTGATTTTTCAAAATAATTATAAACACAATATTAATGTTGCATGCAAAAGGATATGCTATTGATTATATTACATTTTATATCCATTCTGATTATAGAAAGTACTTGGTATTGTCTGTTGCAATTCATCCACAATCACCGTCACAAAAGCTTCTATGTTGGATTCACCTTTCGAGGTATAAAAAAGATCAAGCTAATCCTAGTGGCTTATCAAAGAATTCCCTAACATTGAACACAGACCTATATGTATACCTTTTAGTACTGGATCTCTGGTGCTAGTTACATTCACCAGATATTTCATTTGTTACCATTGGTGGACTTAATAAAAGCACTTGATGTTTGCGAAACCCTGTCAAAGCAATTTAAAACCATTCTGAGGTAAACAAATTGACTGTCGATTAATCAGGATTTTTCCTAGATAGAGACGGTTTTCTCTATTATGGTTAGTATTACTTTGTAATTTTTTTTCATTTTTTTTTTCATTTTAGTTCCACTAAAATTATTGGCCCAAGAAAAGCTTGGAAAAGGTACAATGTATTAGCCACATTTACAGACGTGGAATACTTCTCTAAAACCATTTTCTTCAAATATTTAGTGTCACACCAACCATTCTTTCCCATCTTGTTGACCTGGAAGCAATGACGTCAACTTCATCGCGTTGCGAATTTGATGAGTTTTTCAACAGTCCTCATGAATGCGTTGTGACCGCAGCTACACACCAGTTTCCCATTCCTAAACTGATGACATTGAGGGAACTTCTGGATCTCGTGGATGACCTTAGGACACAAGAAGAGACGCAGGGACAACCGGGGACATCTAGGGGTCAGTATAGTTGGGAATATCAGGAGATATGCCAGGATGAACTACCAGACGATTTGGTAGGTTAAAACCCTAATATAGTGAAGTTTCCCTCCTGCAAAATATCTGCCTGAAATTGTTCACTGTTTATGTACAAAATCAAAAGCATCAGTCTTGGTATATCATAGAATTATACTCCCTTCTTATTTCCAGGTGTTGCTTGGATGGTTGTCTAACAAGAACGGCAGGCTTCATTTTACAGATTCAACTTCCAGCGTCCTCTGCCATATTACAGCGAGCACAATCTCGGAATCTCTGCACGAATGTCATCCTGGTTGCTTGATTAAAAAGTGAGTTAAAATGCTGAATATTTTGCCATCAAACGTGTGAAGCGTACGTAAGGTCGGGTTTCACATTTTCATTGTGAAATGGCGGTCCTCTCCAAAAGAAAAATGGGACCTGTATTCCTGTGGCAATCGAAAGTTTTAACTTCGCTGGATTTTCTGTCATTGTAGGCAGACCATGGCTGACCCTATACTGCCCGCCACGGAAGGAATAAAAACGACGTGTCCATTACCGCAGACAGCTCATTTTGGAGCTATTTTAAAACTTACTTCATTTAAGATCATTGTTGAGACGTTTAATGGCGTTGAGCCGTTGAATGAAAGAAATCCACCAAACCCGAACAATTCTTTCATAAAAGTGTATCTGGTATTCTCCCCTTGCGATGCGATTATTATTGGAAAGTTACCTTCTTTTGCCAGTGAAACTTCGGTTAAAGATACTTTTTCAAGACAAGAGGAAATGGACGTTTCTAAACAAGTTGAAAAAAGCGCTGTCGCTGCTTGCAAATTCGTCGTTCTTGTGAAAAGTAAAGAGTTAGCAGCTGTTCGATTGGAGAGATCTGGAGGGGCTTATACGTTGGCAGCTAACGTTCACTTTTATCTACTTGATGGACACATAACTGATCGTAGGGGAAAAAACAATGTTGTGAAAGATGGGGGTGTTATCTCGCAAAATGTGAAACCTTTCATGGTACTAAGGTTGTTGAAAGAACACTGTCATTGGTTAAACATGTTACATGAAGGACACGTGTTTTATATATATGAGACTGAGCATGTGAACAGCACGTGTGAGATTGCAGATACACAGACATACGTTTATCCCACAATGAACATGTTCTCGAATATACGAATTGAGGAAATCGATGACGGAGTACGAACGCGTGATGAGTATGAAGACTGGGTCAGAATGGCTGAGCCATTGATTAGAATACAAAGTGTGAGGTTTTATTTATCAACATGGGAAAATAAGACAAGTTCGGAAAAAAGGGAGTAAGTTCATTCGTGCCTTTTAGTTTATTTGAGCGGATAGTTTAAAATGGAAGCCAAGTTTTTGCATTGGTGCTCTTCGTAACGATTGAGGGCCCTACTGTTGACAGTCAATGAAGTTGTTTTAAACAGCATTTTAAAATGTTAAAATATATATTTTTCTTGACAGTTCATCGAATCTTTTTGTGTCCCTCCGCGGTATAATTCTGACACGAGAAACAATCGTCCCCGATCCTCGCCATTGTCCGTTTTCCAGTGTACCCGAAGATCTGGTGTTTCTTCCTCACCATGGTCTTGCTCCCAGTTCCATTCCCGTTGATTTGGCGCTTGGATCCTGTTACCTTGGTAACCGGACTGTCGTGCTGACTGTCAGGGATGTGTCGACGGATGATACCATGAAGATGTACCTGGATTTCAGAAACCGTGCTTATCCCCTTGGCTTACTTCCTGGTGCCGTGGTTACATTTTATGAAATGGAACAACACATATCCAGAAAAGGTGTTTTGAAATAACCATTGTTACAATGCAAACAACAGTCCAGCTAATTCCAGCTGATCTGAAATCATGACGTCACGAGACGCCAGAAAGCATTTGTCATTAGTGGTAATCCCACATCCATGATCCACGAATTTAATCCCTGATCTAATTTTTTTGGGCTAATCGTTGGATTGGGCGAGTGTCGGATTTAGGATTAAACTTCAGATTATGTTCGTTGATTCAATGCAATGGGCCGCGGTTTTACTATAGCTTTCATTTTATAATTGACTAAGAAATAAAAGAATTTTTATGTAAAAAAAAATTGGAAATACTCAAATGTTTCCAGTAAAGAACTGTGATAACTAAAGAAGGTGATAATTTAGTTTTATCAGCCGTTTCATTGGCTGGTTTTGTACTTGAATTAAGTGGATATATTTCATGTTTTTTATCAGCCACATTTTATATCCCCCCTGGCAAATATCAGTCTGTGTTGTGTGACCTAAGATATACATTACATGTCCATTAATTGAAAGTTTTTTGTGTTTTACAGGCAACCTGTATCTAAGTTTTCAAGTATTTTCAAATATAAGAATCGATGCTCTTCCCTCCAAAACGAACTCGCTGTCATCTGTTACTTCTCAACAAGAACATTCGCTCATCGAGTCACGTCCAATTATAGAATACTTCAATTTTCAAAGTTGTGGAAAAATTTTCTTCACTCTATCGTATGTTCTTTGTCACATAACTGCCGTTCAAAAAGTATCTCTTGTATGGACTTGTTCAAGATGTTCTCGTTTATCCAACAACTGTAATTGCTCTGCCCACGATACATCTCGGAAATTGACCTGCTCTTCTCAGGCAAGGTATAGTTGCACTTAATTTAGACGTTACCTCGCCGCTAAAATGCGCCCAACCTTTGAGCGGTAAATTCTTTAAAAAATATCCTTCACTTTAGATGTTTAGTCGAGGATGGTACAGGTGAGGCCATGCTATTCCTAGAGGAGGATGATCAAGTCAGGAGAATTCTAAATCTCAGAGAATCGGCCTGGCTTGAAATAAAAAACGCGGCACAACCACACGGAGAAATAATCTACCAAAGACCTGCCTATTGGAATAGGGTAGATATTTACTCTATTGTCGCATTGACGTACAACATGCATTATTAAAACCCCAGGAATTATTTCTGGTCGTTTCGAGGCATGATATATTTAGACAATTGTTTTGTACAAGTAAATTTGTTTTGAGTCATTTAAAATGTTGGATTATACAAATCAAATTGCAACCAACAAAATATTTGGGATCAGGCTAATTTGGTCTCTCTTTATTATATATCTAATTTCTTACATGAAACCCATTCGTTTTTAAACATTGTTTTGATAGATTCACCAATATCGCACACGCACATGAAAACTATTTATACCGACGGTATATTGACTCTAATGTCGAAGCCTGTCTTATTCTGAGTGATGCTATTTTCTAGAACGACAGTACTCGTGGTGAGAGCCAAGCTCAATATTTGTTAAGATCAGCAACGACCTCGCCTATAGTTTACCGCAGGGTGAAGGCCTTATGCAGGCAATTTAAAATGGAAAAAATTCAAGGTAATTGTGAGCCTCGGTATTCTATGTTTGCTGTTCAGTTATCCAAAGGCCTGGAGCTACAAGCCTTACAAGAGTCCCGCGACCATTTCTCTGTTTAAGGCTGAAATGTTAAGAAGATGACCCTACGATTTTCAAAGCGCTAACACCAACCAAAAGGGGGGAAATGAGATATAGTATAGAGCAATTGACAAACGTATTGCAATTCATTGTATTGTTTTTACTCTTAGGAGGCGATACAAGAAACATTAAAGTCGACGGCAAGCAACACACAACTAGTGTTCCTGCGAAGATTACACTGAACGCTCTGGAGATCAATGAAGTGGACTCCAAGAAAGAAGTGAAGACATTATTTACGGCCCTTACTGGCCTTAGTTGAAGGTAAGTTTAGCGTGTTCATCGGTAAAGTCTTCATAAATCATGTTAATTCTGTTCCTTGGTAATGTTCCATTATCTGCACAATGCCAGTATAATGAACTTTGTGGAGCGCAAGGAAGGACCTAAGGATTTGAAGTCAGACCCTGCGTCGTCCTCCCTTCTATTTGGTTTTTGATTTTATTTCCAAACATTTTCGAAGCCTCGCATATGTTCAAATCCATTCCTAAACAAAGATTTTCAAATGGTAGAAGGTGTACATTCGAAAATCGTGAGCAATGTATATAGCGAATGTACATTCGAAAATCTTTGATCTAAGGTACAGAAGAGAAAAATTTTCAAACTTCATCCAAACTCTCTGATGCACGGCTCCATAACACGGAACTAACCAACTTTAATTGGCTAATACACCGTCTCGTGCCCGTCACTCATCGCATGGTGGGTGTATTGTGGGTGCAGTTCTGTATTATCATATTAGACGTTTGACGTTATCGCGTGGTAATACTAGCCATGTTTTTGTAAACCTATACCTACAAGCAATTGTGATCAGCGTCAACTAAAATATATGGCAAAGGTCTTTATTTGGTAAAAATCAGACGTGTGGAATATTGGAATATTAAACTTTGAGCATTTTGGTAGGAGGATACTTCCCACGATAATATAAATATCAATTTATTTATAACCACGAGGGTATTAATCGCTGTTGAAAGAGGCCAAGTTTGGCTGTATGCCTGCTTTTTGTAGCGTTTCATTTGGAAGAGCCGATATCTTTTCATCTGGGCAAAAATAGCCGACAAATTAAAAGCACTTAGACAATATCTCATTTGATTGTTGGGAATAATATTCTTATCTGCATAATGTACATAAAAGGAATCATCTGCCGTCGTCTTCTATACGATAATATTATCATGCATTGATGTTAAGAACTCATGATAAGAATTACGCTCGAAACTTCAGGATAATCTCGCAAGATCAATGTCAAATAGTTGACGGAGTTAAGCTTTGAATCTCCTCCTTACGTTTTAAATTCAATTTACGACAGTTTCTTGTTGAGTTGAGGTCACACGACTTTGTTATCAACCCACGCAGTTAACTTATATTTGCTGTCTGCTTTTTTTTTCAAATAAGTTTGTCTTACGTTTTGCTATCGATCTTTAGCGATTGTTTTAATCAGTAAAGTGAATCAAAGCGCCTCTTTTAGAGCGAATAAATTCAACTTTAGCTGCTTTATTTTCTCTGGCACAACAGGAAAAACAATCGAAACAATCCCATATTCGGTTTCAATAACTTCCCACGTTTATTGACGAAAGTCAGCTGGAGTTATTCTATACGTGTTAAATCGTACGGAGGTCATCTTAAACGTGTATCATTGATATAATTTGATCTAGTGAGGTGTTCTTTCGGGGACTTTTTCAGTTCAACCAAGGTTATTTATGCTTCTCGGCTAATTGAGCTAATTCTTCGCTGTTTTTGTTTTCACTTTGTGCATTAGTAGCATTACAGTGTGGTTTCTGCGGTTGTATGCAAATGCGATCATCCGTGCATCATCAGCTTAGAAAACATTGACCCTGGCACAGATATTTAACACTAGGCGTGTTTAAATATAAGAATACTGTGGATAGTATACGCACTTTCGTATTTCCTATTATTTTGACACTGTTTTGATAACATTGTTCAATAACACATCTGTACAGTTGTTTGCTGTATGTAACATACTACTCTTTACTGTAATAACAGCGTCGCCAAACATGGTCAGTTTCCGTTTCAGTAATTTAAACTTCCTGCAATTGTGTAATTGTATGATTCCGTAAAAATATTTGCTATTATAATGAATTGAGTAATAAATATCAGATATACAGCAGATCCATAAATTATTACACGTTATATTATTACATTTACGTCTTCTTCGTCGTTATTACATCTTCTGAGTCACTATTAAATCTTCTAGAATTCACTAGACGAATCCTGATTGGTTCGTCTCCCTTATTTTGTTATTCTGTGATTTCTGTCCATTTACTGTTTATAATCATGAAGTTCTTAAAAAAACATCGTAGGATATTGGGAGCATGAAAAATATGTGTCCAATATTGTGAGCTACCTTCAGTTAAAGAAAAATCATTTCTAAAACTGGCATTAGAATGACAAAGATTTTAATGGGAAATTAGAACGACAAATAAATCATGTCGCAATTTACTAAAAGTGTTGCTATTTTCGAGATAATTTGGTAATGAACTTTTCTGGTGAAGTGAAGAAAAGGAAACAGGATTTCGAAACTCAACTTCCGTATCAGAATCGCAGAGTTTCTTGAAGATACACTAGAACGTGCCTTGCTGCATATCACATTGTCGAGCAATATGGACTATATATAACGTAAATTTTCAGCATTTTATTGCTCGTGACATATGTATCGCTGGATTTCATCAGCAGCAGCCAGAATCCATTGTTTTAAAAGGAAATCGACTGTTAATCTGCTAAGTTTAGAAAGATTATGTAACATATGTGGCATAGAACACGTCTCAGCGGAAAACGTGGCAATTTTGGCGCATCGCTAACCAAACCGGAAACGATTCTGATGCTAATAATGATCATAAAATTTCAGTTCAACCTTTCGAGATTGGAGCTTTCTTCGTTGTCTTTTTGAATACAAGTTTGAAGATTTCGCTTCCAGCAAGGTCTCTCACGGTCTTGGTATTGTCGAAGTCTCGACTCGAAGAGAAAAAAGCCGCAAGAAAACAATGAAAATATTTTAACAATATTAAAACCGGAAAATACTTGAAATCACCTGACGTACACACAACAGCATGCATGTCATTCTTGCGTCATGCTCGGTATTGTGTATAAAACCGTCAACAACTTCTCTTGCCTAATTTAGTGTCACCAAAACGTGAGTTTTGTCAGTTGGGTGAGCGGTACGGAATATTTCGGCAAGCTAGCCAAGTTTTCCCGAAAGAGATGGCAGATCTAAAGCAAAAAAGTGAAGTTTTAAGTGAAATTCAGCCGCCAAGTGTTATAATTACGCCGGCCGATTCCAGCCATGTCAGTTCTTCAACAAGCGAGGACGAAAATGATAATCATTATATCGCTTCCAACGGAAGCTTTATCGAGTCGCATTCAGAAAACGAGTTTACAAAGGCAAGTAAAAGCCCTTTCCAGCCACCAAGCGATGAATTAAAGGAGAAAATCAGAGGACAAGTTGAGTTTTACATGAGTGATGAAAATTTGACGAAAGATGCATTTCTCCTGAAGCACGTTCGTCGTCACAAGGAAGGCTTCGTGAATTTAAAACTTATAACATCGTTTAAGAAGGTTAAAAACATTACGAAAGACTATAGAGTTGTTGCCGAGAGCATTAAGGACTCTGAACTGTTAGTTATAAACGCCGAAGGCACGAAAATCCGTCGTAAAAAAGCTTTGCCTGCTGAGTTAGTCGAGCGAAACCCTGGCAGAACCGTTGTGGCGAGAAACTTGCCCTCGGATGATCCAAGTGTTGAAAAGGTCGCAGAAATATTTTCGAAATACGGTCCAATTTCCGTCGTACGTATCGTGAGAAATGGTAAGAATGTCCCGCCCGAGTGTAAACAGCATTTCTCCAGTCATCCGGAGCTGGCCAAAGAGGTTTGTGCGATAGTCGAATTTGAGACAATGGCAGCATCAGCCAGAGCATGTGCAGAGTTGAAACACAGTGGGGGTGATATGAAAGTGAATGAGCTCCTTCGTGGGCCAAGTAAAAACACCAAAGCCAAGAATGATAAAGAGAACCGACCAGATACCGGCGACTCTGACCACCCAAAGGATCCAGATGAAGGGAAAAGTGGGAAACGCAGACGGAAGAAGAAGACACCTAAACGAGACAAGAGATTGGATGAACTTGTTAAAGTTTCTGGAGATGAAGGACATACAAGTTCCTCTGATAATGAGAATAACTACTCCTCGTTTAGTAGTTACAAGAAACGATTTTCCAGTTCTCCTGATGGTCATAGTCCACGGCTAAGAAGAGCCAATCAGAGAGCATCGCCAGGTGTTAGTAGTTCTAGTCCTGTGACATCCCCTGAGATGCGTCGTCGAAACCCAGATGCACCTTGGAGACAGAGTCCAGGTTATTCATCAGATAACAGCAGCCCCAGCCGAAGTCCTGTAGTCCAGCGACGTTTCACATCGCAAAGTCCTTTGGCTGCAAATGCGGACCACAAAATGACACAAAGCTTAGGAGTGTTACGACAACCAAAAGGGCCTGATGGCACCCGTGGCTTCACAACCGCAGGAAGAGGTCGTATGGTGGGTGTCAGTGCTTAAAAGATGAACATTAATAATTTAATAGTATAGAAAAGTGACTTTGTATAATATTTATCTGATGGTGGTAAAGTTGTGTCTATAAAGAGATGGGGCTTGCTTCTGAGTAACTCAGGCCAGCCCATAGTGATCAAACCTCTAAAGCTCTGACTGGACTATGCCAGATTGATATCAAAGCACGTTTTGTAGGTTTCGTAAAACTGATGACTTTTAATGACAAAGCAAGCGAAGATATTGTTTCTGGTGTAGTTTAATTGAAGCTTTATTATTTATTCCTCATTCAATGTAAAATAAAAGGAAATTGTAAATAGAGAGAGAAGTTTATTTCAAAGAACTGGAATGGAGATATGTATCTATATGTATTGAATAATGTTGTAGTACAGAAAACAAAAATGTTGTTGTAAATATGAAAGTATTTTTGAAATAATTTAATTACATGCATCTTCAAATCATCAACGTTTTGAGATATTTTCAATGGACCAGAAACTAGCAGTGCATCAGCCTTGGCATATTTGCCTAACATTGAAGAATCCTCATTAGTCACAATGCTCTGCGATGAGTTGGAAGCATGGCATTGCTAGCAAGGCACAGTAAATTTACACATCCAATTTTGGTACTTCCATTGTTAAAAGGGATTTTCTGCCCTTTTAACAGCAGAGACAGATAAATTTAAAGAGCCAAACACTGCCCTTGACCTTAGGAATTTTGTTAGTTTATTTACAGTCCTAAGTATGTGATTTAAATAAACAACATTTCCTGCATTTCAGATTAACGGATCTATCAACGCCATGTGCAAACACCAAAACATCACCTCAACACCTCATTCAATTTTGGACCTATCTCAAAACACTAAGCTGCTAATTGCATTTAAACAAAACAATGGTTGTGCTTGCCAAAATTTAGATTTGATGATAGCAAATGTTCTTGTGTTTGGATGGTGATCCATTTTACGCAGCAGGAAGCAGGAATGACACACAAAATTCTTGTTTTATTAAATAGTTTTTACAGTCCTGCTGTGATAAATATTATGAACATATTTATATACCTAAGAACACTATTTACATTGAATACCTATTTATAAAATTCCTAAAGCAATTAGAAATGATTATTGCTACTATTAACAAACACACACTCTAAAGTTTCAATTTATAATCAATTATAGTAATTATACTATAATCAATTGTTGATTATTGAAGTTGATCAATAAATAAATTAATGAACTTCTGTTGGGCTGCTGAATTCATCTTTGATCACTTTTAACTTTGATTGAACCTGCAACACAATTGATAACTAGGTGAGAATAAAATCTCTAATAAAGCAAGTAACTGAAGTAAGCAACCCTGGTTTTTCTAATCTACCTTGGTTTAGTAACGATTTACTAACGTTTTCAACTGATAAAATAAGTCCACTCAATGCTTCACTGAATCTAAAAAAATGAAATTATTGCGCATTTTAAGGTTTTTATATTCATTACAATTTATTGTGCAAAAGGCATTAATACAACGAGCATCATGAAGACGAACCTTTCTGTTTTTTGACGTAACAACGTTTCCTGTTCTTTCAATAACTCGCTCCAATTTTCATCAGATTTTTTGTCAGAGCTACAGAAGGTGATGAATATGTTACTCTTGAGCTGGGAGCATAAATTTTTTGTAGTCTCGGAATGTTTATTGATCAATAAAAGGGCGAGCTTTAAATAATTAAAGACTTACATCAAATATTGGTTGGATGTGGGCACTGGTTGGTAAAATCTATCTTCTAGCTTTGAAATACGGTTCATTAGAACGTAAGTTGATATGAATAAGAAAATTAAACTAAAAGTGAAAAAGAGCATTGGTTAGAATTAGAAAATGAAATATTTCGTTTTAGGTTATATAATTTCACTTCATGAGACTTACAAAATTGATGAAAATAATAAAAGTACGTCTGCGTTCAATCTATTTCTGAACAAAAGAGAAGAATGGACTCAGCTTCAATTCTTATATCAGAATTTCCATCTACAGAGCGCGATTTATACCTTTTGAGCCATTCAAATGATGGAAAGCAGTTATACAAGTAATGAATGAGAGCCCAGGACGTTGCTGCAATCTCTGGAAGGAAAATTATAGAAAAAAATTCACAACACGTTTACATATTTGATCGTCATCTCAGGGGAGTAGATTTTTACTTACTGCCAATGCATTTTCCCAAATAACTCAAAGACAAAGATCTTCTGCGAGTTTGATGATCTTTATAATGTGAACGGTGTGTGGTTATTTCAGGACTCTCGTCCACGCTGGAGTGTCGTGATAGTGGAGTATTAGGGCATGATACTGTGCGATGATGTTTCTTCAGGTTCCATAGCGCTGGATCTAAAAAAACGTGTACATATGTGCATCAATTTGAACATCATCTAAAGCCATTTTTGCCAATTATGGTCTCATGCATGTGAACGTTGACATCCACTATCCATTGCTCAAATTGACCTTGAACACGAGAGTACATGATTCAGGCATAAAGCTAGCTCTGCAATCCACAATCCTGGCAATTTTGTACCTGTTGTAGGCGTTGTCATCTCTTGAGTTATAACTGGTATTTCGGTATCATCATACTCAGCAATTTCTTCCAATGCTTCTGATTCTTCCTAAGAGAATAGGTAGAGAGTAGGTAAGCGTGGTAGAGGTAGCTCAATCCTAGTATGGGAACATGAATAACTACTAAAACAGGATAGTGGAAAGTCCTTCATCTCTTTTTCATGAATGAAATATTCGACTCAAAAAATTTCCAAACCTCATCTTGATCCCCGTTCGCTGACACTTCTTCAACTCCCTAAATCAGAACAACATGATCAGTTGAGAAAAACACGTACAGTTTAAAAATGAGTATATTACAATATACGTGATTGCTGAGTGTCATTCAGAACTGACCGAGTCTGGTTTAGTGTTGGTCGACTCTTGCCAGATTGTGGAGAGTAACTTATGAGCTGCGTCACGCATCAGAAAGGAACAGAATAAGTACTATATGAAAAAAAAGCATAAGTAGGAATATAAGAGACGTAGTTTGGGCTATTTCTTGATATAAGTTGTCATTATCAATAAGTAGGAATATAAGAGACGTAGTTTGGGCTATTTCTTGATATAAGTTGTCATTATCAATATGCTCATCATCATCCTCAATTCTTCGTCATTCTTAATCCATTATTATCCTCACTACTACCGCTAATATCATCATCTTCGATATCAACATCACTCTTAATCCATCATCATCATCGTCGATTCTGCATCATTTTTAATCCCATTACCTTCCTAAATCCCCTATCATCAAGCACTACCCCTCAAACTATCATCATCATTCTATCATCATCCTAAGTCCATTATCATCCTCAACACTATCAATCCCTGTATATCATCAAACCACCTGCCCTGGAGTATCACCTTCCCAACACTAAACAAAATGACACAAACCTTTTTCTTCTCTGTACGAATGAGGATTGCATTTGGAAACATATACGCAGTCCTTGCTCGGGCGATCGACTTTACTTTTCGCAATTCAAGCTTGACCTAAACACAAAAAAACAGAAATCAACAAAAGTCGACGACTGTTTTTTACATTAAACGTTGTCTGTCCTAAATTCTATATCCTACCACGGTTTCCCAACCAAATATATTTGAATAAAAACACAGCCAGTTTTGGGAGAGAAACAAGCGACCATGAAGTAAGATTTCACGACTCAGGGCACAAGAATAATCTACAAAAAATAATACGACAACGAATTTGAAACTCTCAGCAATACCGTTGACCCTAACTAAATCAACTTTATATTTACTGTATAGCTCTATTAGTTCTAAACTGTTATTCATAGAGGTCCAGTAAGGATTATCTCTTATTGATCCAGTGTTACTACAGGAGGAAACCTAAAATAAACTAACTTTATTTATACTGGATAGCTCTATCAGTTCTAAACTGTTCTTCCTAGAGGTCCAGTAAGGATTATCTCTTATTGATCCAGTGTTACTACAGGAGGAAACCTAAACTAAACTAACTTTATTTATACTGAAAAGCTTCGCAATTCTGAACAGTCTAACTATATACAGTAAGCAATATCGTTAATGATGTTTTCCTGAAATAACCCACTACTACTATATGAAGAAAAATTACCATTGATTGGGAATTCTTCCTTGGGTATATCGGTAAAAAGCTTGTGAAATTCCTCATATGGATTTCGTGGTGAAAGCAACACCTAGGAAAGATATCTTTTGAAAATAGATGAAGAGTTGCTTTATACAAACAATGCAATATTGGCGTTGATTAACAGAAGACGAACACCTGGTTTTAACAGACTTTAGGCGAGCGCCGTTCATTGTTTTCATTGCTAACATAGCCGCCGCCGCCGCTTAAAAGCTCCGAAAACCTTATGCCCGTAGTTTGAACTTTGAAAGATGGATAAAGTTATCCACTGATAATGATTATTACAAACGTTCACAAATTCCCCCCCCTTCGGCATGGTCAAGATTGAAGATTAGAAAAATTTTAAAGTTGAGATTTTAAAGTTGAGATATGTAGTGCTATATGCCTATATAGCTTTTAAAGTATTTTCACCACGGTTGAAAACTTCACTTAATTTCCGTGGGATAATTTCGACGACTTTTTTTGGTTTTGCTGTCAAAAGGCTCGTATTCATAGATTCTGCTGAACTCTCGTTGTTAACTGTATGGAGCCTAGGTGAAGAGTTGCACAATGTGCGGTACATCTTAAAACCACTTCCCTTTAGTTGTAAGGTCGAAATTTATTAAAGAAGACACAAGCAGTCGTAATGTGTCGCCATAGCACATAAAACCGTGAAAAAACAACACATAGGATGTTAAAAGTTTCCAAACTAATTCTGTTTGTTGACAATCTCTGCGCGTACGATGACAGATATCCCCGCCGTAGTCGGTATGAATAATCTGGCACACTTTAGTATTGGATTATAAATGTATCATGATATTCCAATTATTTTGACAATGTCAATCAATGTGTATCACTGCATTGACAAACCGAACTTTAAAAATAACCGACTTTCGTGAAAGAATCGCATTTTTGAGTTCATTTGTAGATTTTTAAGACAATGCAGTGCTTACCCTGACACCTTTAGGAAGCTGTAAGCTATTTCGACGACGTCTTCTTCTAGGCAATTGACCAGATTCTCCCGGCAGAGATTTCCGCTTCTTTTTCGAACGCTTGCTTAATTTCAACTCATCGCTGTCCATTTTCGCGCAGACAATCGCAAAACGAGTAGCGTGAGGTATAAATTAGCTTGCCATGGACACAGCAGCGAAGCTCCTAGTTTTTATACGGACAAGTCTGGCCGAATCGTCGCATGTTATTAAGTTAGAAGGTTTTTGCAGGTGGCACAATGAATTATTAAGCGTGTAAATTGTCGGGAAAGAAGGCAATATTTAATTGTATGAATTAATACAACTGATTCAATGAGAATATATATTCGCTGCTAGATTAGCAAGTATTGCGTTTTCGATGTCTTTGTGATTGCAACAAAGCGTTACGTCATCACGGCGAGGCACAAAAAATTTTTCGCGCTGAAAAACTCGTTTATTTTATTCGCTGTAAAAATATTTGTGAAACTAACCGATTTTGATTGGTTACCTAATATTAAACTATTTGACCAGAGATAATTTGGTTAAAACAAGCGAAATTTGGTCGTAGCAAATGCATCAGTTTCCTAGCAAATGTAGCAGTATTCTCTAGGAAATATGTCTGATCAATTTCCCATAAAAATACATAATAATTTTCGTGTTGCTTCAGGGCATAAGTTGCCTCAGTTTTATTAGATCTTAATCTCTAGTTGTCCATCTCAATTATAAAATACTAATTGATGGGGGTTAGTATGCTTAGAGGCTCTACATGACATGTTCTACAGGTTAAAATTTCTCAGAGGCCAGGTGGTGTACATTAACGCTTTTCAATTTTATTTCCTGTATTTATTTTTATATTTGTAGAGTCAATATGTTGGCATTACAACAATGAAAATGGCTATCAGTGCTTCAGTGAACCCATGGAGTGGTAAATATGTGTACCCAAAAAACAGTGAATTGCCACAGCAAAATAATCTACTCAGGTTGTTTTTGAAATTTGGTTATTATGTTAGTTACCTTCAGTTTTGACTTCTTTTGGCTCTGAAAAATAAGGGGAAAAATAGCATGAAAAAAAATCCAATCTCATTATCAAGGCATGTCTAAATGTTCAAACAAAGGTCTTAATGAGAGATGGAATTTTATGTATAGGGAAAATAAGAATGATGAAAAATTGTTACAACAAGGTTGCTAGAGACCTTTTGAAGGCACCTACTGGATTTGATACCTGCCCCACCCTTCTTGGGGGCACAGCTAACTGTTAGACAGTGCAAGTTGTTGTTAATAAAAGTTGAGTTTAAGGACCAAATGTGATACCTTTGTTCCTTGCGCCAGGGTGACTGGGTAAGTGATATTCCCATCAAATCTGGTATTGGGTAAAGAAAACCTAAAATATACAATTCCGTACACAAGAATTAGTATTAACCTTCTCAGCTAACAAATATGCAGCCAATGTATGCAAGATAGGCTATAAAATGTGAACATTTTTGCCTAAAGACACCAATTTGGCTACTTGTAATTGCACGAAAATTTTGAACAGAATATTCCCGAATGCTATTCGGACTAAAAAACAGAGGAAATTCATTGAATGGTACGTACTGTAAGCGTCGCGACAATTACAGTTGCATTGAATTTACTCTGATTCATATTGTGTTAACAACAATATGATCATAATATATTAACCGCAATATGACAACATATTGTCTTTGAATGTAGTTTAGCGAAGATTGCAGTCTTTGCAGAGACGAGCTAAACATACCCAAGCAATCAGTTCATATTCTTACCTGTCTACACTGATGATTGAACTTTCCGAATGCTTTGAGGAAGACAGATCCACTCTGTTATTATTCTGACGAATTAATGGGCTCGTTTGACCTTTAAACAAAATACAGGAATCGTGATAACGTTGAGCTGATGAAACCAAAACGGTAACAAAGTTACAAAATAGTATCATATGTACTTCTCGACACGTTTCTTCGACGTTTTCTTGTCCTGAACGAGTGCATTTCTCGGCGGACGACTGCATGAGTAGGTGTATTGTGTACGTAGACTCTGTTTTGCGTAATTTAAATGTTTGCAAGCACAAGAAAACAGCTGGTTATGAATAAATTACAAAGTTCTAAATTTGAGACAATGATACGAAATACTTCGCATAACTTTTAGCTACAAAGAGTCACAGCTCGTGTAAAACGGTGCAATTTATGATCGTTAATCGATCACGCATAGCAACAAGATATACAGTAAAAAAATACCGCTAGAGTCTAGGCAATTATGCAGTTTGATATAGAGAAATATATGTAAAATATATAAAAACCTGGTTATAATGATTGAAAACTAGAACCACCAAAGAAGCTTTGCGATAAATGTCCACAAATTTTCGATACGATGGACGGCGACAGAAAGTTTTATGTGCATAAAAGACAAATATTGGATCATACTTTGAGAAGTGGATCAACTCATGAATATTTTATGTTTATTAAAATGTAAATTTGCGGCATTTTTATTGATTTTTAACGTTTATGTGAAGTTGCAAATAACTGAAAAATTGTCGCAATTATTCAATGATTCTGAGACTTCCAAAAAAGAATAATAATAAATAATAATATTAATTTATTATTTATATTGCGCAGATATCCATATGTATACAATATTATACGCAATTAAATACTTTTACGATCAGCAATTCATATTATGAATTTCATAATTCCCTTTAGGAAGGCATAGCTGCATTTTAAAAATGACGGTTGTATAAAGCATTGTCTCTCCTAGTAAGAGTAGGCCAGTTAGGGTAAGGTTTAGGATTAGATTTGAGATTATATTCGTTGATTAGGATTAGAGTTGAGAGTATATTCGTTATTAGTATAAACTGACTAATAGGCTATCACTTTTCCTGCGTTCTGATTGGCTACGCTACTGGTAGGCTATTAGTGATAGCCTACTAGTAGCAAAATTCAAAACAATGGCGGAAAATTCGCGTTTCGCCGAAGTATCTGAAGATTTTTTGGACGACTTGTTGGACAATTCCGTACCAGAAAAAACAAAAAAAGCAACAAAATACGGAATTGCAATTTTTAAGGGTAAGAAAATACATAAAAATAACGTATACTCAATTGAATTTTTATATTTAAACTGAATTTTAAAACATTTTACGCGAACAACAATTAAAATATTTTCTTCCTTTAATATACGAAATAAATTTCAGAATGGTTTGCAAGCCAACAAGAATTTTATATTGTGTTTCCTAGTTGTAAATTAATGTTATAGTTTATACTAAAACAATTAGACAACTCGGCCTCGTTGTCTATGAGCAAATAGTCAACTCGGCTTCGCCTCGTTGACTATTCGCTCATAGACAACTCGGACTCGTTGTCTAATTGTTAAATGGACATGGAATTACTAAACTGAATTGGATTAAAATATATCTATGCTCAAGCGTGGGATTAGATTTTAGCTAGCTGATCACCGAATTCCGACTATTTCCGACGTCCGTCCGAAGGAACGCCTTCCTGATCAATTATTCCAAAGTATGCAATATTTAAGTATCTCAGGTAAATATTTGATTAAATGCATCAAATACAGCCTAACTAAAGCAAAATGACGCTTTTTTGGCATCAGATAGCAACATTGGCTGCCTTTAAAGTTATTTTTCTTCTCTCTTTGTTGCCAGGTAAGAAAATCGAGATGATTTTTGTGCTAAATTCTGTTCTCAACGTCCAGATAAAAGAAGTTTATTTATGCAATAATTATGGCCGATGAATTCTGCTGTTGCAAACTTTCAGCTGCGTTGAGCTTTAAATTTGCAATTTCTGGGTACAAAAACATCCCGATATACAGCAATTTCAATTACTCAAAAAAGAAATATCTTCACAAAAACTCTTCACAAAAATATCAAGAAAGTTGAAAGGAACATCTGTTTATTTCGGGGGAAAAAAATCGTGCTATTGTTTCTCTTGACGACTCCTTTGGGGAAGAGAAACACGTCTATTAATATGTTAATACTTAGAAATTTGATACTGGGGAAGTTCTCGTTCAAGCCACTCGACAATCCAGTTATAATATTTGACCTGTGACAGTGCGACCTGCGTTTATTCATAGAAATGTCTTATTCTGTTGTGTTATTAAAGCAACAGACAAATTTATATGTACGTTTATTGTCCTGTAAACATTTTTAAGTGCACAGGTTTACACTAAAAGCCAAACTGAAAGCCTTTTTAGAAGTAAATCTTCGTAGAAAAGTATCTTCTGTTGTTATCAGGAAACGTCAGTGGTGACAGATTCCTGTTTCTTTCTCTCTGCCATATATAAACAACCAATCATACCATTTTCTTTTTCATTCAAGATCCAGCATTCTCAGAATTGGACTTGATAAGATCAGGCGAACCAAAGATAATTCTATTAACAAATAAATCATTTGAGTTCCAATGTACTGCAACGGGAACACGCAGTGAACTTGCTGGTGTTACCATCACGTGGGAAGGACCAGATGGCAAAGGTATCCCAGGAAATGATGATAAAGGAAATATTACATCGAAAGACGGTAAGTGACAAATTTCCTAGTAATTTTGTTTACGTATGCAAAAGAATTCACAGTCTCTGATTTAATTGCCAATAACCATCAGCTATGTTTGAAAGAGTGACTCACACTAACTTGGGATACAACTTTTTTATACACAGTATTAGTACATCAAGTATGTGTTATAAATAGTTTTATCCCACTTCGTGATGTCACACATGTTAAAGTCCCCAGGGAATAGGGATATGAAACCAACAAAATTAAATCCAAGCCAACAATGCCGTAAAGCTCATTATTTTAGATATAAAATATATAATAAAACAATTATTGAATTTGGGTTTTATCTAAATTATCTGATTTTAATTAAGTTGTAGTGTAAGCAATCAATACGTGCTGAAGCTAAGCACATATACAATTAAGCAATATAGGTTCATTTGTCACATAGATTTAGAATAGTAAAAAACCAAACCTTGTTTCTGTTTAAATTGTATTACTCTAAACCATAGTATCTACTTATTACTGTTTCAGGAACAGGAAGTGTCACAAGTATTTTAAGGGTATCAAAACCACCTGGTTATCTAGGAGATCAACCAGGCGTAAAATTTTATCAGTGTGCATTAGAAAAATCATCAAAGCAATTGAACTATCATGTCTATTTTGTGGAAGGTACGTAAATCCATTTATTTCCTTTTATCACCATTATACTGTTCCACTTTTCAACACATTACCCCATCTGAAGGACTTCAGATTACCTTCATAACCCCATATTTGAGATATTATTTAAACTTATGTTTAAGCAATTATAGTTTGTATTGTACTTACAATATCATGTGTATATTTTGTATTTTATAGAGGAAGCAGTTCCAAAGATACACCCAATTCAGCTAAATCAGACTAAGTTCAAAGAAACAGTTCTTTTGAAATGTGATGCATCATATAAAAATCAAAATTATAGAATAGCAGACAAATTCACTGTTATTTTGCAATGGAAGAAAGGTGGGAAAACCCTGGCAAACAAAGTTTTCGAATATGAAACTGGCAAGAATACTTCGACCCTCGAACACTCGTTTGCAGTCAACAGTTTTAGAGATGGTGGTGATTATGTTTGTCAGTCACAATTAATGCTGGAAAGTGAAGCAGATAATATCACCAGTTCCAAAATAGTTGAATTACAAAGTAAGTTATACAGTAATATAACATTTATAGTAAGTGCATGCTGATTGGTTGAGAAGCGTGTTTCTATTTAACAATTAGTCGCCGAAGGCGAGGTGATTACAAGCCTATATTCACTGAGCCGAAGGCGAAGTGAATATAGGCTTGTAATCACCGAGCCTGAGGCGACTAATTGTTTTAGTATAATTTCAGTATTGAAAAAGTTTTATTTTTAAATACAACTGATTTATGTTCTCAATTTCTTCCGAAATTTTTCCAAAACGATTTTGAGTATTTTCAGCCATGTTTTTTGGGGGGAAAGCAATAGTTACTGCTCAGACTGCTCTGAGCAGTAACTATTGCCTCATAGTTACTGCTGAAGGAGCCAATCAGAATGCTCAAAGGTCATTTTTCAATACTGAAATTATACTATAACTTTATAGAAACATGGGACTTTTCTTGCCTAACTTGACAAGCGAAGCGATGTACATAATGAGCATTTGTAATTGAATCGAATTATAATATTTGTACAAAATCTTTTTATTGAGTTATATTATAAAAAAATAGAAAACATTTTTTCCTATGTTTCTATACAGTTATAGAAACACTTGTGGGAGTTTGAGAGAACTCTTGTGTGTGTTTCTATAACTGTATAGAAACACAGAAAATGTTTTCTATCTCTTAAACATTTTTGTATTCACTATTATGTCGGCACTGGGCAAAATCCAAGTTCAGAGCTAAACTATAAGAGCCAACAGTTAAATCCAGGTCGATTAATGTGTCAACAATGTTGTGTATTTTAAGATAAACATATTTAATGACTGAGAACCTCTTTAAAAAGCCAAACTATAAGATTGAATCCATACCTCTCATTCCTATAGTATTGCCATATCTTAATGGGCCAATAGAAAAAGAAGTAAAGGATACCGCCGGCAGTGATGTGTCACTCCATTGTGATGTGGTTGGCTATCCAATAACCTATGAATGGCGTGATGAGGAAAATTGCTTGATTGGTGTTGAAAAAAAATGCACAGGTACAGTAATCTGTGGGGTTGAACATACTACTTCAAACTTCAAAGCATGGAAATAAAGTCAACCAGTTGTGATAATGAGTAATTTAAAACTTGTTTTCTTTTTATTTCCAATGAAGAGTCCCGAATCAGACCACGAGAGAATGTCTTGTATATAGATGATATTGACTACAAAGATAGGAAAAAGTATACATGTGTGGGAAGTTTTAGAGGAAACAGCACACTCAAACAGTTCATCATTTTGAGAGTCAAAGGTTAGGATCTATTATTGCCACCTTTGCACAGAAAAGCATTAATTCAGAATTGATAGTGCATCTATGGCACGTACCTAGCTGGTTAAAAACACAACATGTTATTGTTATTGTGTTCATAGATCCACTGGCAGCCCTATGGCCATTCATTGGCATACTTGTTGAAGCAGTTCTTGTGGCAGCCATAATTCTTGCAAGTGAATATTACAAGAAGCATTCTCAAAGTAAGAAAGATACAGTAAGATTCAAATAATTCATGATGTACCATTGATTGATTGAAAACCACTGCAGACTATTAATATGTTGATCATTATATGTGCGTGACTTGGATGAATAAAAAATTGTGATACCCATGTGCTCTTTCAACTTGGCTACTAGGTTAAGATGGTTTAAATATGTGATATTTGAGAACTTAATCTAGTCCCTCCAGTCATCATCTCGGTGTCTAAAATTTTATAATTGTGTGTAGACCCAATCGTCCCAATGAGTGGGAATTGTGATGGTGTTTCTCTAAGTAATGCACCAAATGGTAGCACCATCACAATATTAATTCAACTTAATGGTTGGTAGTTGGTTTGCAGAACTCAGAATTGCGCCATAACAGATTTATTGTGTATATGATTTTGAAACGAGTTTTTTCCTTTCCTATTTTAGATGGTGCGAATACAAAAACGTGAGTATAAAAATAAATATGCGATAAATGCTGTTCCGAATATCAATAATATTGGGTCAATGACTGACCACTTCTTGGATTAAATTCGTTGTTTAGTGTTAATCCAAAAAAATTCCGGGAAAGCAATAACTAAATGTATGCCATGTTCTTTTCAGAGAAATGGTAGAACAACCAACTACCTCTCACGACGCTTGAGAAAGCGTTATCGGAAATCATGGCGAGAAATCTAGGAAATTCTCCAAAACATTTTCACTGAAATTCGGGAGGTTTTTTAAAACTCAGCAACATTAAAAGCGTATATGTACTGTATCGGTCAAAATTTTAAGAAACATAGGATACTTTTGTGTGAAGGAACACTAAATAGTGACCCAAGTTGATTCTGGGTTTTGATCTTAACCTTGAGTTTTGAGCAAGGGCGGTTTACCAGACTATGTGCACATGACATTTGGGTAGTATTCGAGTGGGTTCTAATATACAGCGTGTGTAAATTTTCATTGTTCTCAACAACCAGACATGTTCACACAAAATACAGAAAAACGTTTCGATTATAGTTGTACATTTTCTGTCATTTTTATCCTCGATTGATAATTGATATTGCTAGGGGCTAGTGCTTTCATTTTGTGTGAACAGATATTTGAAAATACGGTGTGCCTGGTGCTCAGTGCTGGTAAAACAGTGATTTAATTCTTCTATTATAATATATGCATAGCCATAGGTAACTTAATTTGAACACAAATACGTGTTTTATTTAAAAATTCACTATTGCCTCCTGGGTGGACGGCGAAAAATCCAGCTACATTGTAGGATAGAGATAGTTTAATAATATTCTCAAGCATTTTCTATTATGCCATAACTTAAGACGTCATATCTTAATGTGTTATTAAAGCGATGTGGAAAATTCACTGATATGTATTTTACGTCAGTGGGTATCAGTGGATAGATTCAGTAGATTTAAGTGGTAATATGATAGAACTATTTGATTCCAAAGTTATGACTAATGTTAATATTTACAACACGCCTCGATATAAAAAGTTGGCAAACCCTTAGCCGAATATAGCTGTTTACACTACTCTCAATTTATGGGCACGGCTCGGCTAAAAATGGATACCCGTGCCCATTTTATTCCTGCTGTGACAATAAATTGACTGTAGTGTAAACAGGGCTTATTTGCTTGGCATCAAAACCTGAAATTTCATGGCGTTCCTACCAGTTCTAAGTTTCTTATTAGCGCACGAGACAACATGCTAATATCATGCGTCAATCATGCCACCCAAGCCTGAATCTCGCTTTCTAAGAACGTGCTTTTAGAATTTGACCCAAAGCAGTTAATTTTAGATTGAAAATATCAGAGAATGATTACTTACCAGTATCGTACGAGGTGTGTTATAGTTTGAGGCAGAATGTGACAAACCACGCGCGTGTCTGCTGGGACTTGACATGCAGCTGCCATAGTCATAGGTTTAACATTAAAAGTGCCAGTCTGAAGGGTTCTCCGGTTTGTATTGCACGAAATCCATTGAACCACTGATTGTGCTCACCAGAAGGCGTGCCATTTGACCTGTACAGCGTGTTTATTGGCTAGAAAATGTCATCGATTGACATGCAGGAACAATGAGAGAGAACATGCGTTTGTGCTTTTACATCCGTTTCTACTTTTATCATATTCATTCTTTGGAACAAGTTCAAAATCTAGTCAATGTTTCCTGTCTGGTTACCAGTTGAATGAAACAAACGCCTTTCGTCGGTCAAGTACGAAACGATCGTTTGGTTTTCTTGCAACCAATCAACCTCAAGGCATAATGAGGCAACTTTGGCAACAGATATCTCCATTGACCACCTGTGGACTTATTCTTTTCCTCTCTTTGGCACCAGGTGAGAAATTCCAGATGATTTTAGCTCTAATTTTGTCGCACTCCAATAGACATAGCCTCGTTTATCCAGCAACGATTGTTTCCAATTCTTCATCTTTTCTGTCTCGGCAGATCTTCACCTTCAATCGTTGTCTGTTATAATATTATTAGTTGAGTCACATGAACTGCCCCTAAGGTTAAGTTCATAAAACGCATTGCCTCGCAAACGTGTTTGTAGTAAGTATAGCACCTGTGATTTTTATTAGATTATAATATATTTTTATAACATATGAAAGTTTATATTGAACAATTTTGATACATTGGAGGCAACACTTTATTTGTTGAGTTTCATTTTTTCCCCGTAAGCCATCAACTATTTAGTTTAATAAGATAGGTATCAAATCAGATTATATTGTTTTTCCAGTCATGCGTTCAGAGCTTGAGAAACACGATCCAGCGTCTAGGCTTACAGTAAAAAAGTTCGACAAGGACCTTAGGTTTGCAATTTCTGACTGCAAAAAACTACACATCAAAAAATGCAAAATTTTAGAGCTGATATTTTTCGTTACGCATCTCCGCGCTAATATTGGAAAAAATGTTTGATGCGTTTCAGGCAAATCAGGGTTTCTGTTACCTGCGATTTTGCAATATTGCGGTTAATATTATTTCAGTTTTCATTTGCCAATATTTTACATACAAGCTCTGTCAAAAGTTGCCAAAACTCAGCAATTCATTGATAGCAATGTTAAATGAGGATTCACCTCTTTTCGTTCGGAAAAAACGGGCTGCCATTTGTATTTTAACTTTGAAGAAAAATGGGAGATAAGACGCGTCTTGTGTAAGATGTATTTGGCAGCTCGTATAAACACTGCGGCCTCGTATAAACGGACAGATCGCGTCCTATACAAGTCACGTCTTATATAAGTTGCGACTTATTTCCCTGGTGGTCACCGAGAAAGAACCTGAAAAAAACAAAAAAGCAAAGCATTTCTTTCGTCAGTGATCACCAACAATAGCCATACCAAGCTGTTGCTGACATACGAGAACCAGGGATATGTGAGAACTCTGACTGTTCCTTGCCCTTGTTCATTGCAGAGAGCCAGAGACTGCTTCTCGCAACTCGCAAGGCATCACCATATAGCTATGGTATTTTATACAGCCGGAATATCACTCGTTAGAGACAACAACAGATCATGAATCATAAACTTACAGAACCATGATCATAAAAATCATAAAACCTTATGAGATTGGACATGATACAGGGTTAAAGACTTAAAGTGGGTGGGATCTTTGCAAAATATCATTGATTCATTGGGTGGTTCAAGTTCAACTATTGTGATCCTCCGGGGGGGGATACGATTGTGATCCTCCGGGGGGGGATACGTTTCCTCTTGAATCCACCTCATAGGCTCATACTTTGTTTTATATTCAATGTCTAGTATCGTCAAGATTGGACTTCAGAAAATCGGGGGGACCAATCAAACAAATTCTAATAATAAATAAATCATATGAGTTCCAATGCACTGCAACGGGAACACCCAGTGAACTTGCTGGTGTTACCATCAGGTGGAAAGGACCAGATGACAAACGTATCCCAGGAAATGATAAATATGGAAGTATTAGAGTGGAGAATAGTAAGTGACAAATTTAGTATTTTTGTATCTGTGACAGTGTTGGTGCAGGTGCTTATCTACTGACTGAACAATGATGATATTTATTAAACTGAATTATTATGACTCTGCATATCACTAAAACCGCATCCAATAATTGTTTATTATGTGCAAGCTCAAGCAGTACTAAGATTCAGTTGTCACATCTAGAATGGTTTAGTACAAAGGCCACTAAAAGCCAAAAGGCATAGAAGCAGGTCAGGCAAGGGGGCAATTTGAATCAAATTTTACTATATTTTACTTTTGATCTTTTAGGAACAGGAAATGTGAGAAGTATTTTGAAGGTGTCAAAGCTACCCACAGATTATCCATCATCTGGGAAATTATTATATTATGTATGTGAATTACAACCAGATCAACTTAATTTTCCTGTCTACATTTTGAAAGGTGATTTATTTTTTCATTCAATTATCATTTTATTATTGTTTGTATGGAGGACTGCAAGGTGTACAAACTTACTTAAGATATTGTTTTATTTTATGATGATCTAGCAATTTGTATTATGTATTTGTATTATTTAGTAATTTGTATTGTTCTTAGTATTTTATTCAATTATATATTTTGTAGAGAAAGCAGTTCCAAAGATACACCCAATTCAACTAAATCAGACAAAGTTCAAAGAAACAGTTCTTTTGAAATGTGATGCGTCATATGAAAATGGAAACTTTGCAACAGCACACAAATTCAGTGTTATTTTGCAATGGATGAAAGGTGGCAAAATCCTGGCAAACAAAGTTTTTAAATATGAGACTGGCAAGAATACTTCGACCCTCGAACACTCGTTGACAGTCAACAGTTTTAGAGATGGTGGTGATTATGTTTGTCAGTTACTATTAATGTTGGAAAGTGAAGCAGATAATATAACCAGTTCCAAAACAGTTGAATTACAAAGTAAGTTAAACGTTTAGTGTATTGTATTTTGTATTACATGTGGACATAAAAGCTATATTGAAAGCCAACAATTCAGATTAATTATTAAGAATAATGATGTGTGTTTCAACTTTTAAGATCACCACATACACGCCTAAAAACGATCAGGTTGATGCAACATTGATATGAACAGCATCGAACAATGTTGTGCTGCCCACATTGTTCAGAGTTGTTATCAACTTGGAACAATATTGTTGGAACTGAATCGGGTGTAACAATATTGTTCCAAGTTGATAACAACTCTGAACAATATGGGCAGCACAACATTGTTCGATGTTGATGCAACAACCTGATGAGTTTTTAGCCGTGTATACTAGCTACGAATTTAAAATGCACTCTTGCAAGAGCTCCCACAAAGGCATCAAGTATTATATTCTTCAAAAGCTGAGAAGTCTCTGATATGAAAGCTAAGGCCAGACGACAGACGTAATCCAATTTAACTCTCTTTTCCTAGTATTACCATATCTTAATGGCCCAATAGAAAAAGAAGTAAAGGATACTGCTGGCAGTGATGTTGAACTGCACTGTGATGTGATTGGCTATCCAATAACCTATCAATGGCTTGATGAAAAGAAATGTGCAATTTCTTTTGAAAAGAGCTGCTCAGGTAATATAACGGGTTTGGACATATTACATAATTGGAGCATGGGAATGAAGTCTACCAGTTTTCCCATATATGTGGTAATGACTTGTTTAAAACTTGTTTCCTTTTTATTTCTGAAAATAAAGATTCCCGTATCAAACAAAAAGACAATATCTTGTATATAACTGATATTGACTACAAAGATAGAAAAAAGTATACATGTGTGGGAAGATCTGGAAATAATACGCTTGAACAAATTATCATCCTGAGAGTACAAGGTAGGATCTTCTTGAGGTATTTTTTGCACAGAGACATTCATTCATGATTAATAAGTACAACTATGGCACCTGACTTGTTAAAAATACAACATGTTATCATTGTTTCATAGATCCACTGGCAGCCCTATGGCCATTCATTGGCATACTTATTGAAGCAGTACTTGTGGCAGCCATAATTCTTGCAAGTGAATATTACAAGAAGCATTCTCAAAGTAAGAAAGGTAAGATCAAAATATTTCATGCTAATATAATTGGTTCAGGCTTTACATATATACATTTGGTCTCTACTCAAGTTTCTTTGCTCTTTATAGATCGTTTGAGCGCCAAAAAGAGGTGAGTAATAAATTATAGAAATTAATTCATTGCTGTTCTACTATATCAATCAAATTGTATAATAGAATAAGATTAATACATGCATACTTACCTCTAAAACATTCCAGGAATCAATGCTAAAATGTATGCCACATTCTTTTCAGAGAAGCCACAGAACTGGCAACCACCTCTAGTACTTGAGAAGTTGCATAAAACAGGATCAGGCAAGTCATCCAGCAGTGTCCACAAGTGTTTTGTATTAATTTAATGACAGAGGGCAGTAGTTCGTAGCTTAGTGGAGTTTAAAATTTTCCATCATTTTTCTCTCCGTGAAATATGTTGCAAAAAACACTAGCAAGACATTTTCCACACTAAGCGTATATTGAAATGTTTTATTAATATTACATACGTAAAATACAATTTGTGTTGAATGTCTTTAAATGAAAAAATACTATTAAATATCACCTTGTCAATTTAAATTATATATTTGTAAAATACCTAAATATAAAATAAACTAATTCCAATAAGTTAAATAAGCTTTTGACAATTTGACCTAATTTGAACATACAATGTAAGTGGTTGTTCAAGCCAGCTAGTTCTATAATAAATTTCAAATCATTTTAAATTTTGTAAACTCCTATTTTATTCACCATCATTTGGTTCGATGCACACTCGAAAGTATTTCTGTGACTTGGCAAGTTTAATTGCCTCGTTGATTTGATGTAAGTTGAAAGAAGGACTGATTAGACTATCATAAGGGTATTTATCTATTGTATCGCTTAGGAATTTCACAGCTTGATCAAGGTGAGTTGGTCCATAATTGTGAATACCTTTAAAAAAAGGAAATGTTTTGTCGTTAAAAGAAACTTGAGAGCCTTTTGTCACTAGCTATATAAACTTACAGTTCACTAAACTTGTAGTTTATTAAATTGCACTTTCTTACCATGAATTGTTAGGCATTTTCTTATGATTTGTTCAGCAGTGACATTCAGTTGAGAGTCTGGATGAACCATACCAGTAAGAATGTAGTTGCCACCAGGTTTCACCACTCTCATACCTTCATCAAATACACTTTTAACTCCACATGCCTAAATATATAGATGAGGTAAACTGTGTAGTGGTAGCTAGTGCCAGTCAACTTGTGTTATGATGCTACTTACCTCCAGGACAACATCAACCGAGTCATTTATTAAACTGTGTTCTCCCTCATTACCTACAAATAAACTCCATGCATAAGGTATTTCACTATTGGCTTATGAGGCCATTACAGCTGATACCAAGTACGTGGTTGTTTGAATTGAATTAATTAGCTATGATTTTAGTTAAGAAGAAAAAACAAAGTGACCTCGATAATGAACTATAACGACTCAAATTGCATGCCTCAATCATTACATTTGTTGTATTTACCAAGTTTAATAGGTTTAGCTCCAAACTCTGCTGCCATGTCCAGTCGATCATGATGAACATCTGAGCAAAATATTTCTTTGAAGCCAGCTTCTTTGAACAAAACGCTGGCATAGAGGCCAAGCAAACCAGCTCCCTAGTAAAACCAGATAAGGTCCAGATTATGGAACAATTTTAGGACTGATTCTAGTCATGATAGTCCATATAGCAAGAGAAATATAGCCAACATTCACCTGAATCAGGGCTGTCTTCTTCATGTTCATTTCCCTTTGGCTATTCAAACAGTCCAAGTCAACTACAGGACTAACAGCATTCACCATGGTGGCCAATGCACAGTTCAGTGGTGCTGCTGTTCTACTAGGTAAGTTATCTGGGAGTTTGGTAACGTGGGTTCCTTTCCGTAATACAATATGACTGGCATAGCAACCATTCCACCCCGTACCATCTGACAGGTCAGAATGACCATACTAATAAAGAAAGATATTTTCACAATCATCTACAATCACCACCAATAATCACGTGTTCAGACTAGAACCATTGTCATCAGCACCTGATTGTCACTACAACTTTTGTCACAATTAAATCATTGACCTTGGCTACTGACCTTGAATAATTTGTGACATTTTTGATGTAGATTGTTATGACATCTTTCACAATTTTGACAGAAATCAGCCACAGTAAATGTAAGTCTATCTCCTATGTTTAAATCCGAATTATAACAGGCATGTTCAACAACTTCGATAACTCCCTCGTGACCCAAAATACTATAATAGAAATATAATATATTTATAAATATTTGAACGCCTAAACAAATATAATTATACTTCAAAGCTAAATATCGGAGTTTTATTTAAATACTTCACCTTGGAAATGGCTCATTTCTTTTGCCAAGAAAAGTATGTAAATCTGAACCACAAATCGTGGCGGCCTTAACTAAACCTAAGATTTCGCCTTCTTTTATCTTTGGTATTTCAGCGAATTCGGTCGAAAGACAAGGTTCGGCTGTTGGTCCGTGAAAGACGACCCTTTCCCCATAAATACATGACTTCTGTTGTTCAATCTGCGCCTTTAAAGTCGAGAAAAATTTCTTTTCGATGCGTTGGATAGATCTCCGAAGTATCATCGCTTGGTTTGTGTCTTGAATGACGTCAGACGTGTAAAATTTGACACTTGGTTGGATTTGCAAATGTTTTAAGCAAAATATTTCCGGCAGGTTGTGAAAGTGCCTATGCGTGACCTACGAACTGGGTGATACTTGAGCTGCAAGGTATTATAAATTAACAACTCTTTGATAACAATCTTTTCCTGTCAGTGCAAGTTCATGTTTGGAATGTTATATTTTGAAAGCTCATGAACTGGTGGTATAGTGGTGTGGACTGTGGAGATGGCATGGTCTTGCAAGTGGTAAGTCAATTACCGAAGCATATTACTGTTGACTTCCTTTTCTAGGGGAAACTGAGTGGTATGGTACACCTACTATTATACACTGTCAACCTTGTCCAGTGATGGTCACAGAGTAACCATTATATTGTAGAACTGTCATCCCTTGGTGAAAATCAAGTGCTTCAATTCAGTATATTTCAATTCTATATAGTTCAGTTAGCTGACTAATTTACTTAATCTTCATTCCAGTATTTCTGATCACCCTGTCTGGAAAGAAAGTGAGATAAAAGGAATGAAGCAGTAAAATTAGAGTGTCTTGCTGAAATTATTCAAGAAAATGTTTTGGAAAAGACATTTTTCTATAGCGACTGAACTAATCACAGCCTTGCAGCTGGTGTCTTGTCGACCAAAAGCTTCTGAGGTATTGGGTATGTATTTACGTCAACGAGGTATGCCACCATGGACAGCATATTTTGTACCATACACTTCAGTCCAAAATGACCAGTTTGGCATGTCACATTTCAACTGGAAGGTCAATGGAGTAAATTATCACATTTTAAGAACTGGTTGTTTTCCATTCATAAAATACCACTGTAGTCAACGTCCTTGGCAGGATTTAACAGTGGAGAACAGATTTTATACAGTAATCAAATCAATAAACCTTGGTTTTCCGTGTTTAATGTACGGTATTTCTGCACTAGTTTTTATTTCTCATCGAGATTATGCAGTGATGAAATCTGGTTTGAAAATTCCTCTTTATTTTTGGTACAAAGAAACTGAGGGAGCTATGTATTAATATGGATGGGAAAATTAAAAAATCTACAGCAGTGTCTACAGTTCTCTCTCAACCCCTGGGTTAAACAGGTTCAAGAAGAGACTAGGGAGAGTATTCAGATGCAAGTTGTTGTGAAAAAGGTGCTGGTCTTGGGAAGCTGTCTCAAACAAGTGGAAATTACAAGATTTAAATGCCTTTGCCTAAACGTTTTTTTAAGTGTTTTTAGCGAGAAAATAATATGTCCAATGGGATAATTTAAAATTTTAGTGTTTTGATATTCTTTTGGTGTTTTGAAACAATTAATCCTTGCTGGTTTTTAACGTCAAAATAGTGCCATCTGATTCTCAAAAGGAAACTCGGTGTAAATTTCTGAACAGCTCAGTTTGCTAAAATATTTTGATAATTCTGAATTTAAACCGTTCGATTTGCCGGGTACAAGTAGGGTCTAAACTTCCCTGTCTTCAGACGTTTCTCCCGTTCTCCAGTTCCTCTGTTCCCCGGTACCCTATTTTAAAGATAACCATCACCAGGCCATCACCCATATCACCCATTACTATCAGTTTCACGCAGGTTTCACGTGGTTCACGAATATCTGTACTCGTGAATAGTCGTAATATCTCGCATCATCTTCGGAAGTTAAGTTAAATTTAAAAATTTATTATAAAAAAGATTTTGTTTTTTATTGCAAGAAGCGAGTACAAAATCCTTTTTAAGATCTCAACCTTTTTAAAAGATGTATCCAAGTGAATTGAAAATAATAGGTAAATCAACAGAAACACTTTAGTAGCTTTAACGCTGTTTTTTCTATCATGTTTGAGATCGAGATTTTTCTTTTTTACAGTTTATGCTGCCAGAAATTTACAGCCAAAGAAAAAAGGAGGTTATAATAGATGTTTTTAACGTATTTAAAAAGAGGATTGACGATTTTATAACGTGAATTTCCCATTGAAGTTTTTTTAAAAAGACGTAAATCGGCCTTTCCAGGTGTTTGTCAAGCGTCAGTGAAATTTGGAGTTGGCAAAGACAAATACCGCACTGAAGTCGTCAATGGAGATAATCCAACATGGAATGAAGAAGGGATTATGTAAGTACTCAGTATTGCCTTAAAAACTATCATCTACAACCCAAAGAATGTCTTTCCCTATATGCCAGCCACTGCTCTAAGGCTTCAAGCGACATATCCCAATCAAAGGTACGGTATGTAAGTCTAGAGACTTATGTAAGTCTAGAGACTTGTCGTATCAATAAACCTCTTGTGAAACAAAAGTGAAAAAGAAGCATTTTCGTGGCAAATATAATGTTTTTCTATCTACAATTTTGGGTCAAAAGATCACCGATTACTGATCAACCTTATTATATTCAAATCAATTTTTCTTCTAGCGCTGTTGGCAGTCCAAACGCCTCGCTTGTTCTAACGGTAATGGACAAAGAAGACACTCTTGGTAACATAACTCTGCCAGTAAACAGTCTTCCTTCGGCAGCTCATAAACGTCGCTGGCTTCCTCTTCAACTAAAACATCGTCAACCAACATCGAGTGATCTCTGTTTTGATTGCTGGATTACGCAGTTTAAGAAGGAGACTGTTTGGAACAAGTTTAATCCATTCTTCTCAAGCACTCCGAGGTATACAAAACTAATTTCGTTAAAGATACTGGATAGTTCTATCAAGTTCTGTCAGTTCTAAACTGTTCGTCCTGGAGGTCCAGTAAGGATCATCTCTTATTGATCCAGTGTTACTACAGTAGGAAACCTAAACTAAACTAACTTTATTTGTACTAGATATAGCTCTATCAGTTCTAAACTGTTCTTCCTAGAGATCCAGTAAGGATCATCTCTTATTGATCCAGTGTTACTACAGGAGGAAACCTGAACTAAACTAACTTTATTTGTACTAGATATAGCTCTATCAGTTCTAAACTGTTCTTTCTAGAGGTCCAGTAAGGATCATCTCTTATTGATCCAGTGTTACTACAGGAGGAAACCTAAACTAAACTAACTTTATTTGTACTAGATATAGCTCTATCAGTTCTAAACTGTTCTTCCTAGAGGTCCAGTAGGGATCATCTCTTATTGATGCAGTGTTAGGTCTACAGGAGGAAACCTAAACTAAACTATACTTTACACTATATAGTCATTACTTTTCCCATTTATATTATAGTCCTCAGGAAAAACGTCGTGACTCGATAGCAAGTGCCTCAACAGGAATCCGTGGTTCAACTTCAACCCTTGACCTTTGCTCAAAAAGTTTAGAACGAGACAGACGCGACTCAATACAAGACGAACCCACAGGCAGACGTCTCTCGTCTTCGGGAAAAACCACGAGTGGTACGAATCTTTCCGGCCCACCACGAGCACCGTCGATTATTCAACAGGACTCGCTGTTATCTTCACGACCCAAGTTATTGCCAACGTTGGGAGCTGTAATGTCCATGAAAGGACCACCTGAAATCACCGGAATCTCTCCGAGGTTAATGAAATTTTGCATAATAGACCAACTTATGATCTGGGTAACAGGAATGAAATAAATCGCCACAGCTAAAAAGAACATACTGAAATTAAGTTCCAATCATAACTAAGCAGTAGCGTAGCAGCGTCTTCAAACAACTTAGCGTCAAATGTGGTATAACAACTGCAAAAATAGACAAAACACTTCTCGACGTTTCGACCTGGGGGCCTTCGTCAGGAGAGTTAGTATGATAGAACTATCCATACTAACTCTCCTGACGAAGGCCCTCAGGTCGAAACGTCGAGAAGTGTTTTGTCTATTTTGGCAGTTGTTATACCATGCACATTTGATGCCATACTGCAATTAGTATAATTCTGTAAAGAGTCAATCGTCTTTATTTGTGAGGGCTGATTTATATCCAGTTAACCAATAATACACGAGTTTTTCTTTGTAGATACGGACCATCAAAAGGGGGTACAAAAATCACTATCAGAGGTTGCAACCTGGGTGTCAACGCTAGCGACTACCTTGGTTTTAGCATATGTTCGATCGACCATCTTGACAGTTTAGAGTACCATACACCAGCTAAACTGGTGTGCACTACCCAACCTTGGGATGGTAAGAAACCTAATCGTGGGGCTATCATTCTCATGACAAAATCCGGAGGTCGTGGGGTCTCCACTATTAAATTTGAATTCAAAGGTGATCCAGTTGTGGCCAGGAAAAAGAGTTTAAGAGAAAAAGGTTTGTTGAATTTGCCTTTCTTCCCCTGGAGACTGATAAAAAGGTATTTCTGAGGTGCACCAACGTTGTCATTTTTTTTCTATCAGTTTTAGGTGAAAGTAACAAAAAAAGTAAAACTTCGGTTGAAGTTGAAAATCTTCGCCAGAATGTTCAAGGTAACACTTGGATAAATAGCTTAGAACTGATAAAGTTATCAGCTCTCAAGTTTAGAACTGATAGTGATAGAGCTAAAAGTTAGGTTTAGGTTTCCTCCTGTAGTAACACTAGATCAATAAGAGATGATCCTTACAGGACCTCTAGGAAGAACAGTTTAGAACTGATAGAGTTATCCAGTATAAATAAAGTTAGTTTAGTTTAGGTTTCCTCCTGTAGTAACACTGGATCAATAAGAGATGATCCTTACCGGACCTCTAGGAAGAACAGTTTAGAACTGATAGAGCAATTTGTTCCATCTTTTGCGTAGATCTGACAAATGAAAACCAATCATTGAGGAACTACATTGATAAAATGATGGTCGTACTGATGGAGAAATATCCCGATGCCCTCGAAGCAACCGTGTCGGGTGAAAAATCCACAAAGATGTGACCATCCATAGTCTAGAGAATGAACCTTTATAAAATCAAAATGATTTTGTGTATTACTGACTATGCGATGTCAACAAACAACAAGATATATGTGCTTGATGTGTCGGGGTCGACGCCCAAGGCATGGGCATCAAATAATTAAACGAGTGTTCGTCTGAAAAAGCAAACAACGGCACGGTGCTTAGCTCCCGATTATCCTAATCTTCTGGATTAAAAAATAAAGCACTTTAATCTTAATCAAGCAGCTTACGTTGAAATACTTCATTAGTGTAAAATAAAATGGCTTCCAAATTGCAATTTGTATAAACTATGTTGTATAAATAAAGTTCATGCTAAAATGATATCTAACGTATTTCGCCTTAGCAAGAACTGTGTGTCGTTGAGGAAATTTCTGTTTTGTCATGATATTCTTAGCCCTTGGAGTCATTTGACGCGATTCTCCACTGCCCAAGGTTTGTATATCACTTTATCTCACTTGAATAATTTGCTAAATGCTGGCTGAATGTGAGCAAATAAATTAAAGATCTTAAAATAGGAATGTTTTCATATAAAGTTCAAACCATAGTTAATGCAAATATAGTCTAGAAATGTTTGTTAATTTTCTTGATCGTGTCTATGCAAACAAAAATGCATTTTATGCATAGCAGAGCAAGCAATATGAAAAACTATTGAGGTTTTTAACTGTTGTTAAAATAGCTTAAAATAAGGGTCGATTGTACATGATTGAGGAGGGAAGAGGGGCCACCCCCTGGGCCATAGAGGTAAGGGACTATAGCCCACCAAAAGTTAATGTGAGGAAGCTTACCCTCACCCCTAATTTTGTACTAGAATGTAACTTTATCAAACATGGAGTATAGACCACAAATATATTTGTGTTTCATGTATGTGGTATTAACATTTTTAGTGATTTTTATGGCCAGTTAGACAGAACAATTCAGCTGCCTCCTAAAACCCCTGTTCCGTAGCTCCTGATCCAAGATGCCTCAACTTTGGCTTGCCAGACTGTGTTTATTTGAATGCATGATTGATTTAAATTTTAGTCATTCCTAGCCGAGAATTATCCAATGTTAGTTACCTAAAAGATGGAAAAGATGGTGAACTGCATTCTGATGACAATTATCCACATTGGTTGTGGCAACTGAAGGTCACAAAGCAGAGCATAAAAGAACTTGATCCAAATAGCAAAACATACAGTAGAATTCTACGAAAGACCCAACGCAGAGCTGAGAACGAAAGAAGGAAAATGAAGAGATTTTGAGTTGTAAAATTTATTTATAAATATCATTATTTGTAAGTAATAATCTGGGAAACTCTATTCCAATAATCCTGGCTTAAATCTTTGTAGAACCTGGTGTGTGAAATTTTGAAAGGGAAAATAAAATAAACGGAAAAGAATGAAAAAGAGTAAATGGTAAATGAAAACTGGAAAATGAAAGGCAGCCGAACGCGATTTGCGCATGCTCATTGTATTAGAGCAAAGCTGTGTGCTTTATCAGTTTAAAAATGGCTGGAAACTCGATCTTTTACAAGAAATATGTTGAATAAAAGCTTTCGCCTGTCGTTTGCTCCTGCGTATAATGAAAGCCTTGATCATAATGCTGTCATAGAATGGAAAAACGGGGCGATCCCAGCAAGAAAAATGATGAAAGTTCGTCCGATAACACAGGAGACAGCGATAAATCGCTTCGACTTTTCAGGTAGTCTAGACTTGTTGACAATCATTTACTCGCACAGAAATGATAAACAGCTCTGATCGCCGTGAATATTCTCCGTGTACAAGTTGAAGAATCGATAGACGTCTTAAATGTTTTACGATCGTTTTGTAAAGCAATAATTTTAGCACGATTTTCCACGAAGCCGTTTCCTTTATGTGTGTACATTTGCCATTCCATGCTCAGTGTGCTGTATTAAATCGTCACAGAAAATGTCTGTACTTGTTATTTTCTTCTTGAAACGATTAAATATCGTAATTTCTTAACGCCTAATGAACGTTGTAGGCCTTTTAGATTTTAAATATTTAGAGGAATTTTATTAATAGCTTTTTTATAATTTGTCACGAATAACGATAGTTTGCCGTCTTTGTAGTAAAGGGGTTATCTAAATACCTTGATTCACGATCGGAATTTCGATCAAATATACTATATACTAAAACGTTCATATGCATAAGTAACCAGAATGTGCTATTCCTCATCAAATTAAGTTGTTAATATGGTTGGATTGTATACATTTTTGAGAAATTCTCTTTTGAATATATAGTAAATATTTGTCTGCAGATAAGGGCCTTTTGATAGGGGGAATTTCAGCACAGACCTTTCCAGTAAATAGTTTGCCTTATTATTTGATGTTACTGACAAGGTGAATAGTGATGCATCAGACAAAATAAGTACACTACAATGCATTTCTGGTCAATGATTCAATTTTTTTCTTGTAGATCTTCAGTTCAAACAACCCAAAGGTTGGATACTCAACTGAAGTCCTGCAATTCTTGGAAAGAATTGTTTAACTCTGAAGTAGTTTTACGGCGGCAGAGGTAAGCATGAAAGAAGATGACAACTTTGATAAAGGTCTTTCAAAATGATAATTTATTGCCCAGATTTGTATTTACTACAGTATACATATAAAATGCTGAGTCAGGCATATTTGTGAATCTGTGGGTGGGATTTTTTGTCTACACATTGTTTTCTTTTATCATTTTTTAGTAATTCCTCCAAATAAACATTTTATAGCTAGAAAACTACCCTTTCAATTCTATTTGCCAACAATTCCTGATTAGTCTGAGATGCAATGATATTTCACAATGATTCCTATCAGCGCTGATACAAATTTATCAACTTTTAGACTTCGTGAAAATTGTGAACTGCTGTTGTTCACGTACTCAGAGGATTATGGTCGAAAAGCTGAAGAACTCCTGTGGAGAAAGTGTTTTTATGACCTTATACAAAAACTGAAATATTTTCGAAAGGTACAGAACTTTTAATTTAAAACAACAACAGAATATAATGTAATTGTCAGTTGAATCTGCAATTAATTAAATGTACATTTGTAATCATTGTTTTTAGAAATATGACAAAGACCTTGAGCTATTGTTTGCTTATCGTTCACACCTGCTTTCTGCAATGACTTTTTACCATCATCTTCTTGTTGAACTACAAAATGTCTCTGATGTCAATTTGGCCGCTTATTTTGACTGGATTCCTTTTGTATCAGGTAAAGCTAAAGCCTTAAAGCCTCAACAATGTATAACAGAGAAGCAGCGTAGCAGCGTCTTCAAACAACTTAGCATCAAATGGGATATAACAACTGCCTAAAATAGACAAACACACTTTTTGACACTTCTCAGAAGTAGACAATGTCTTGTTGTCCTTAGTTACACTTATAATCTTAATGAATTTTGTGGTTTTGCACTTTTGAAAGGATTTGGTCATCGATCAGAGAAGGCAAAAGGGAAAAGCAATGAATCGTGGATTTTGGGTACCTGTCAAAGAACATTGATATATCTTGGAGACTTGGGTAGGCCTTTCTTTGATTTTTTTAAATATGGGTGTAATTATGACTGTTAAAAATAATTACATGTTATTGCATTTAGCACGATACCAGCAGGAATTTGATGGAAAGTTGAGCACAGAGATGGCAGAAAGGTTTTATCATCAAGCCATTTATATCAATCCTGATTTAGGTAAATTTGTCATTTGTGTTTTTATAATTGTAAATGATTGTAAAGAAATACTCCAACCTTACTGTGCTCAACCTGGGTAAACCTGTTTGGAGGCAATACAGTGTACCGTTGTTAACTTGAAATATAAACTTTTTTGGCTGCTGTAATAACCCTGCTTTCCGTGCTAAGAACCCCGAATATTTAAAATATCACTTTCATTACAAAGAACTGAATTGATTTGTTTACTGTTGGCTTTCAAGTTCCTCTTCAAATACATCTCCCGTCTTGGCCTGAAAGTTTTCTTAATTTGTTCATGTCATTTTCCTGGTGGGAGAGGAGGGTAGCTGCCCCCTGCTCATCCCCCTCAGCACCCTATGTATCCACCAAGCATACAACATTAAGAAAACTGGGGTTTTTTTCAATAGCCTAGGTGTTCACAATTCCACACCTTTGCAATGTTTTTCATCTCAATTTTTTTTTTCTTAGGTATGCCACACAACCAACTTGGCACGTTGTTCTGGACTCATCGATACGGTTGTAGAGCGGCGTATTACTACATGAGATGGTAGGTCTCACCCACCATGACTTAGGAGATCTCTTATGAACAGAATCACAAATTGATGTCTAAATCTTGTCGTGTTTAGTTTGATGTCGGGTTCGCCGTTTGAAGGAACGGAGGGTAACCTCCTTCGACTCTTTGATGAAAATCACAACACGTTAAAACAACAACAGCAAGCATTGGTCGCTGAGCTGGCTGAGAGTAAAGTTAGGTATGGCTGGAGTTTGCTTTCAAACGTAATCGTATGTCGTAGTTGAAAGACAAATCAAAGTTATTCTTACATAGTACTCTCGACTTCACTTCGTAAATAACATCTCTTCGACATTTCAAGAAAGAGCTCCTTTGTAAAAAAATTGACCGAAGTTGGATGAAGAGGATTCAGGTCCAAATTTACGTCCCCTTTACGTTTATCAAGTAGTTAATCCAATCACACCAAACTCGAGAAATTATTTGGTACTAACTTTAAATTGGATATAAGACAATCGGTAGAATAATTTTACGATTCTTACCAGGTTAACAGCGTCAAGTCGTTTTCTCACTCAATTTCTGTACCTTCAAGAAATATTTTACAAATCAATAGCGTAAGTAAATTATCTCTATATTTTGTCAGACTTAAGCAATTAACTATGGAGGAAAAAACTCTTAACTCATTTGAACTTAATGGAAAATGAGAAATAGACCGAGCAAATTGCTTTAAACAAAGCATAACAGTTTACAAAGTTTATCAGCTGAAGACATACAGTATAGTGATAGATACAAACGTATATTTTATTATTGTATGTCTTGGTAAAAACTAATTTTGTTTGCTTTGATTTTAATAATTATTTATCAAATCATTTCATCTTAGTTTTTTTTTCAAAACAGTTTACCACAAGAAGACTACGAAAGGCTTTGTAATTTCATTCTACAAGAACTCGATATGTCATTAAACCACACGCAGGACACTCTCAACAAAACACTGAATGACGACTCCAAGAACAAGGACGTTAAACCAACCACTTTCAAAGAAGAAATTGAAGAGAAATCCAGTGAAGATTTGATGGATGGAAGGACATTATTAGAGGCACAATCATTGCTGATAATGGCGATTACGCGCATGAAAATAAAAGGTTTGTTTAAACTAGCATTTCATCTAATGATTTTATAATCATTATCTTGTGCAGGTTGTTTACATCAAACACAATTAACGCTAAACTTTGACGCAGTGTTTTTTTTCATCTTCTTAGAAAATAGAACTACTTCTGAACTAAAACAGAGGTTTAATAGAGCGTATTCAACTTGCGATGAAACTGTTTTGTATATTTTTCAGGATCGTCCCAATTACAACATGGCTGTTCATTTTTTATGAAATTTCTGACAGAGATAATCCGTCATTGCGTCTCCAATATGGAGGCATCGCAAGCTGCTGACGCGGTTGCCAAGCAACCAGGCGCCAACGGTCTCGTTCAAAATGGTTTCATCCGGGATGGCAAGGACACGATAGGACACAGAGAGGATGATAAGATCTTGAAGGCTAAGATGTTTAAGAGGAAGCTGCTGACACAAAGACGTCGCAGGCGTCGTCGTAGTACGCTGAGCGATAGTGACGACGGCTCAAGTAGTGAAGATGATCAGGGGGGTATGGACAGCGATCTCAGTGAAGGGGAATTGGATGGTTTGTTGAACGAGACATACAGTGATGATGAGGAGAGTGAATTGTCAAGTCTGTCTGGCGACGAGGACGGTGAAGAGAAAAAAAAGGCTGTTGTTAATGGTGGAAATTGTAGAGGTAACTATTGATATTCATAGGATAACCATTGATATTCTTACGATAACTATTGATATTCATATAGGGTAACTTTTGATATTCATAGGATATTGTTTTCGTTTCCACATCTTGCCCTTTCTCGTTAATTAGATTTCGTTCTACCAAAGAGTATTCATAATCGTCATCATTTCCTGACAAACCTTGTGAAGGAAGATTTACTGATGGTGGTCAAGCTCTGTCTTGAGTGGTTGAGAGTCAATCCTGAAGTCACAGATTGTAAGGATTCTGCTGCCATGTTTACCCAGCTCGTGCAAATGCTGAATCTTCTTCCAAAACAAGAAGAGTTGTGTCGTATAGGTAAGCCTTGAGCGAGATACTGCTTCTCTTGAGAGACCATTGAGAGTGGAACTGTTAGAACTATCTGGTAGCAATAAACTAAAATTAATTAGTTTTGGTTCCCTATTGAAGTAACACTAGTTCAATAAGGGATGGTCCTTACTGTAACTGTAAGAAAAACAGTTTAGAACTGATAGAGCTATCCAGTATAAATAAAGTTAGTTTAGTTTAGGTTTCCTCCTGTAGTAACACTGGATCAATAAGAGATGATAGCTACTTACTCGAACTAAAAGTTTTTTTTTAAAAATTTTTTCAGCGAAGTCAAAAGGTAGTGTCTTACATGACGTAGTTGATGAAAAAGTTGATGAGACCTGGGTTCAAGTGAAGGCGTTGCGTGAAGATATTTCATTGCTCGGTTTCACGCCCCTGGTTGAGCTACACGGTCGCTTGAATATTAGCTGGAATAAAAACGTGAAATACAGAAAACTACTGGAGGTGAGCCTAAGTTCTAAATATAAAGACTGTCCTTCATCAGGCCTGGCTGAAAACGACATTCCCCAGCTTTGACTTCCCCAAACTGCATGCTTTAACGTTTGTTATCAACCATTAAACTTTCTTTGCCTTTTTTAGACCGCTGTTCGAGTTCAAAGTATAAAAGCTGGCGCATCATTTCTCGCCTCATTGGAGGTATGGATAGCTCTATCAGTTCTAAACTGTTCTTCCTAGAGGTCCAGTAAGGATCATCTCTTATTGATCCAGTGTTACTACAGGAGGAAACCTAAACTAAACTAACTTTATTTATACTGGATAGCTCTATCAGTTCTAAACTGTTCTTCCAAGAGGTCCAGTAAGGATCAACTCTTATTGACCCAGTGTTACTACAGGAGGAAACCTAAACTAAACTAACTTTATTTATACTGGATAGCTCTATCAGTTCTAAACTGTTCTTCCTAGAGGTCCAGTAAGGATCATCTCTTATTCATCAATCTGTGTTATGCTACTCTACTAACTTCAGTTTTATTATTTAGTCTGTGTGCTTGATGTACGACAGCAAGTCTGGTGTGTATTCTGTATCAAAACATTCTGCTACCAACGGAGACGCGAAAGAAACGAAATCTGTGGCAAAGGAGGTAGATCTTTCCACCACATTTCATTCCTAAATTACTGTTCCTAGAGATCCACTGGGTTCGTTTAGCTTCATCTCATACCAGAAACAAACAGTTCAACAATCTGAAATGGAATTTTCTCTGTAGGAAAACCAGCGTCGTGCCAAGCTCATGCAGACCATGGCCAAGCAGCGTCTTCAGGTAGTTTGGTGTTCTGTTTGAAAACAACACAGCAACTCTACATAATATCTCCCTCGGGAGAGCCGCTTAGAGAAGACCTTAGCTGTGAGCTACTGCAGTGACCAACGAAAATTTCAAGTGAAACACTGAATTAAACGAGACAGCGAGACACAGCGACTCAGACGAAGCGATGATAATTTGAACTAGTAGATAGATCACTGCTAAATACACCCAGTCTCAAACGTCATGTTTGTAAAACTGATCCCTCAAATTTCATTTTTCTAGTCTGAGGTGGCTGATTTAGAAAGCAAAGTGAAATCCCAGTCAGTGTCTCCCAGTCCGTATTTGATTCCTGATGCTCCGACACTCTGTACGCAACTTCACGTGCTGAGGCAACTTGTGACGACCAAAAAGTTTGTGATTGTTGTTCCCGTCCAAGGTAGGAACTTTGGCATCTTTGGTGTCTGGTGTCTGAATACGTTTTTACCATTGTCCTCTTTCAATTTTTAGTGATTCAAGCGTTGGATGAATTGAAGAAATTTAACCCAGGCGCAAGGGAAGCCATCAAATTTCTCGAACAGGAATTGAAGAAAGGGAACAGGTTTGCATTTGATATGTCATGTTATCATTACCTGGCTTGTTGTTTTATCATTTTTTATTTCAAATCTTTAGATGGATACGTGCTCAGAAAGAAAACGAGACCACTTCTCGTTCACAGAAACGCACTAAACAGGAAGAGGTGTCAGTCTGGTGAGTTCATATAGAAACATAAACTCATATTATTCCACAGTAAGCTGCCGTGGTTTGTGTCTGAACTACCTTAGAAAGATATCTCAAACGTGGTGGTCCAGTGTAGGTAGTATTCTACAATAAGCTGCGTGGTTTGTGTCTGAACTACCTGAGAAAGATATCTCAAACGTGGTGGTCTAGTGTAGGTAGTATTCTACAATAAACTGTCGTGGTTTGTGTCTGAACTACCTGAGAAAGATATCTCAAACGTGGTGGTCCAGTGTAGGTAGTATTCTACAATAAGCTGTCGTGGTTTGTGTCTGAACTACCTGAGAAAGATATCTCAAACGTTGTGGTCTAGTGTAGGTAGTATTCTACAATAAGTTGTCATGGTTTGTGTGTAAACTAACCGAAGAAGATATCTCAAACGTGGAGGTCCAATGTATATAAACTTCCGTTAAAAAACTTTCTGAATTATTCTCTTCGCAGGCGTTTTCACCAAGTTGTCAACTGTTGTCTTTATTTCACTGAGCAATCAGGACCAGGCTTGGTTACATTGCTGACAGATGATGGGGATATTGACTCCTTGAAGAAAAGACCTGGTCGGGGAAATGCAGCTATTGCGGTGGGAACTAAAGCCTCACCCCAGGCCCTTGAACTGGCGCTGAAAAATGACGTGAATGTACAGTCGATAAAGTCGTTCCGAGCACAGTGGGTCGGAAAAAATTCGGTTACGTAACTCTCCGATTCAAAGATGATGATCTATTATAATAGAGGTATGAATTGTCGTTTTAAGAAGGTGATTAGAATTCCCTGTGTTGTGTTCTCTGCAGTTAAGCATATTTAGATCATGCAGAGGTGGTACATGTTCTTGAATGAGAGCTACCTTAAAGTGATCTGATGTTGTACAGAACTCATGTGAGTAGAGTTAAGTCTCTCCTGTGTTCTCTCTCAGTTGACTGAGTTAAGCATGGTTAGATCATGCAGAGGTGGTACATGTTCTTGAATGAGAGCTACCTTAAAATGATCTGATGTTGTACAGAACTCATGTGAGTAGAGTTAAGTCTCTCCTGTGTTCTCTCTCAGTTGACTGAGTTAAGCATGGTTAGATCATGCAGAGGTGGTACATGTTCTTGAATGAGAGCTACCTTAAAGTGATCTGATGTTGTACAGAACTCGTGTGCGTAGAATTAAGTCTCTCCTGTGTTCTCTCTCAGTTGACTGAGTTAAGCATGGTTAGATCATGCAGAGGTGGTACATGTTCTTGAATGAGAGCTACCTTAAAGTGATCTGACGTTCCCATAGCCCAATTTTCTAGTAACACTTTTTTTTCTTCAGGTGTTTAATTACGAAGCCCAATCGACATTCTCCGACGATCGCCCGAAGTGTGCCGACCCTGGTAAGAAAATAGTGTGTGGAGATTCAAGTCTCACTAGCAAAGGTAAATTTAGAGTATCCCACTTCTGTCACCGGAACTATTATCCCTCCGGAAAATTTGTTACCGGGGTAAGATACCCTACCATCAGAATTTGCGCCTATCGAAGGATAAATTTTAGTACGGAGCAGCATGTGATTAGAATTTATTTGGCGATTTAACTACGGATAATTTTACCAACGGAGAATTGTACCATATGGGAAGTGTGCCCCAAGGAACCATCGGAAATATACGGCCGGAACTTTTTATGGCCCCACGAGTTGAACAACTTCAAGATAATTGGATGAAACTGATCTGATGATCATCGTTATTGATTACATCGGACCATACTCATCGATTATATAATTTCACAAACGTATTCATTATCGTAAGTATATAATATATTCATGTCGAGTTAGTCTGTATCGTTTATGTATCATGTGATATTCTGTAAGTCATTAGGAAAGTTAGTGATCTCTGGTATTGCAATTGTAAGAATAATGAGCTAGCAATACAATATCGTAGTTATAAATGAAAACAAATGGTTAGTTTAGTCATCAATTGATAGTATAGTCTCTAGAAAACATCTCAAAAACAACAGTAAGCTGAATACAATAGATACGCAATAGAGATTTTGAGTAATGCAAAGGCTTTTTCATAGAAAAGTGCAGGTAGCTTTAACGTCGCATAAACACTCTAAGCAAAAAGTTGAAGTAGGAAAAAAAATACGAGTTTAATTTAAGTTGTAAAGTGGCTGTATTTGAAACATTTCAAGAATATATGTATGTCAACATCTTGTACCTGGTAAGGTTATTGATTGTAAATCATTTGAAGACGAATCGACATTTTAATTTGTCGCCTGAAGGACACATGTGAGGTATTGTCCCAAAGAGGTTATTTCCTGTTTCTTGGAACAAACACGGCATATGGTCTTGTTTAAGGATTGAATAAACACGATCTAAGTTTCCTAATTAGCAGGACATGCATTCTTAATTTGTTTAGTAAGAAATGATTTCGTGATTTGTTTATTGAACGCTAGTGGGTTGTAAGGAAGTGGCGGTGTAATAAATCTGCCGCAAAATTGTATTGAGTGAGTGATTTTTTTTACTTACTGACGTGAAAATGAACCAAGTTACGTGCACGGCAAAAATGTCTCATTTTTGCGGTTTGTTTTGGCGGATTTTTTACACGGTATACAACGTAAGTCTTTAATAATTACAATTGTGGAGGGCTGGCCAACTATTGCAGACTATGACGAATAAAAAGAAGTTTAGGATTTAAGTAAATTTGAGTTAACCGGTAGTATATGCATAAACAATATTATCAGTAATATTATCAGTATTTGTATCATTGTAATTATGTAACCATTTCATGTCACGTTTAAATAAATGCTTAAAAATATTTGCCTTCTCCATCCCCTGGGTCCCTCGTCGTTCCCCCCCCCCTGATCCCCACAAGACGTTCAACTTATAATATTCTAATGCAGAAAATGCCATATTTATTTCTGGCGGTTAATAAGACCCAAGTGACCTTGGAGTAGTCGGACTTCGCTTGAACATTATTCAACATTTCGTCGTCTTGTCATGCGCAAATCTTAATTACCAACACATGGCGTTGAAATATTCCGTGTCACTGGCGACGAAGCGCATTTTTAGGCGTGGCAGGAGACTTTTTTAAAATTATCGGTTGTGTGGTCTGTGAATTTTGGAAAAATACCAGAATTTAGCCGGGAAATTCCTGAATGTACAGTAGCTATCGTCAGTTGCTCGTTAACGCGTCGTAGATGAACGTTTGCAATTAGGTTTTTACGAGAAATGCAGGCTAATAAGCCTAATATGCGCTGATTTCTTTCTGGGTCACCAGTGTTATAGGCTAACTACAGCCTGTTGTGTTGATGGGGGATTTTAATCTATGCGAGGAATGTGCGGTGACAACGAAACCGCAATTTATTCGCGCGCAACGCAGTGGGTCTGTGGCGTGTAGGAAATGATCGCATAATCTGCTGACAACCTCAAGGTAACGCAATAAGCCTTGTTATCTATCACTTCAAAAATAGCCCTAAGTCAAAGCCGATGAAAGCGATAAAACGTAATTATGTTTTCTTTTATCACTTGTCTAAGGAATTTGCTCGTCAAATATACAGTTGTTCGCAATTGATTCGCTCGTTGACCACGACAACGAAATCGTCGAAAATCTGGACTCGTGCTATGGGGTTTGGACCGTCTGGTAATGGGTTCTGTCCCATTCTGGAGTCCAATGGTGTCACAGATAATGATCATTGAAGTGTATTAAAAGGCATCTTTCCGACGGAAATAATTTTCTAATTCAATGAACAGCCAGCACAAGTGCCCAGGTAGGATAAGAAAGCTTCTCTTATAACTGTGTTATTCCAGAATATTATTTTTTAAGGACTTCTATTTTTGCATCAAACTTAGCACTTCACTCAACGCAAAAGAGAAAGCTTTTTTTTACCCAATGTTTGAATCCAATTATAGAAACGGTTGTTCGAGAACGTAATTAGAAGAAGTTCAGATATTCTGATTAATTACATCTATTTAAAATTGTTACAGAACTCTGTTTAGAGAATAGAGGGTAATTGGAACAGTTCCCGGACATTCTGATTGGGCGACTGTGTCAATTAGAAAAAACTTTGCGGCACTCTGATTGGTCCAAAACACTCGAAGTGAATTATATCTTGCGATAAGTAGAAAAGTGGATTAAAATGTCATGTTAGATTATTTAGATACTATTCCGGAAAGCATGACAGTAAATAAATCCTCGAAAGTGATTAAAATGAAAAATCCTCTGAAAGTATCCGAGGAATTAGAACTCTCATTAATCCCATGGTCGGTTAGAATCCTGGAACCTCGAAGTTTAAATCAAATAAACCGCTTTTTCATTTTCTCTTCGGGAAAATTTCACGACAAATCGCCAGAATTTTGCAGGAATCTTTGAACAAATATTACTGTTGTCGCTGACATTTGGTTTTGTTTCCGATAATTCTACCGAAGGAATTTTTTAAACTATGATTAGGCGGCTTATGTTTTAATGGTCATTAGGCAAAGTCTACAACATGGAATTATAGACTGAAAAAAAGAGTGCCAAGTAATGTCAAGCCTGAAAAAAACTTCACAACTGTTCTGGAATCTCATTCCTTGGCAAATCTTGATCAGGAAATGTTTCCAAATTTATCATCAGTCGTCGTTAAAAGGTAAAAAATACCTTCTCATTAGTTCGGGAGAGTTCCGCAGCATAGGCGACGCCTAAAATAGACGTGCGGTCATGTCGTGAACAGAAAAAAACCAGAGTGCTTCTTCTTTCGCACAATCTCGCTGTGCGGGCCGAGAAGTGTTTGTTCAGACATTCAAGTTCGGCAAATCATTTTATTTGTGGTTGAAATATTCTGATAGCACTAACCGCTGTGACCGAGCACTACACGATGCGCTCATAATAAATTTGCAAACCCCAAACATTTGGCCCGGTGGCCGTACGTTCGCCATTAAGCCTGAGAAACTGAGGCATTAAATATTCATCAGAATTGGTTTATGTATTTATGGAACAATGATGAAAGATTTCTGGCGATACGGTGAAGCTAGCTTGAAAAAACACATTCGTAAATTTCGTCAGCCTCGACTGAATTTGTTCTCGAATTTTGATGCTAATTCTTGGAGAAGCAGCCTGCGCAGTTTTACTGACCGAAAGCGCCCAGAATCGCCGAATTAAACCGTCTATTTGCTAAGCCGCAAAGGATTTTAAAAGACAAATTGTATTTTTGTGTAATCAACATATGAGCCAGCCTCGCTGGACAAATATTAGATCAGGTTAACATATATAAGGAACATTAATATTAAATATTATTGACCGACACAATCCTGCGTTTGACGCTGTGTACACAATTTCAGACAGAAGCGAGAATTTCATTTGCTTTCGTTCATAAAGCAATGCAAATATAAAATCCTTATCATAATATAGTGGCGGTCATCGTAAACACAGATGTTTTTTGCGGTTAGTCAGATTAAACCACAGCAGAATACAAAACTAATTCATCGGACGGCGGAGGTGAATATGGGCGCTCGACAATTGTATTGTACAATATTTTAAAAGCGATTATGTTCCTCATACAGCCCCGTTTGAAAGAGACCTTTTGTTGCGTGTAAATGACTTTTTCTTTTTCCTTCCTTAAAAGGCTATTCTAATCGCTAATGTTTCTACTTTCTAAAGTGTGTTCTATATTAAAAAGAGGTTTAAATGCGTAATTAGTTTCGCGAAAAATAATTTTAAAACTGATTGAAAGACCTGTTTCAATTTACAATTCACCGTCTGTGCACGTGCAATTGTTGCTAGCATGTGGGTCGTTATTGATTAAGTTGAGCATACAAAATTACAAATTTGGCCAAACTTTTAACTAGCATACAAATTTGCGCGCACAGATTTCATCAGTCGCAGCGAGATGTAGGTTTGCAAGGTAAACATCGGTAAAGTGGGGTGTTAAAATTGAGGCAAATTGTCCTTTGATATGCTGCGTGTGTTTTGGGGTATCAAAAAAAAAACGTTTGAGGTTCGGTTTCGTAGTGTGAAAAACACAAACAGAAACCCAATCGCGCGCGCGCCTTTGGAAACAACTGGCATTAATTAGGCTTCTATTTATCACTTTAGGTTTTTGCCCTGTTAAGGCAAGAAGGCGCCAGGAATACAAACGAACCGTATGCGAGAATATTTGCAACGAAGTTCCTTTCGCATCTCGAAACCTCTTAGAACACTTAACCAAGCTTCCTTTGAGATCTTCTTTTATTTATGATGCCCGACAAGTGCTAAAATAACCGCGCCGACCTGATTATATTGATAGCTTCGGCCAAACCAGAAGGTGATTAAAATTAGAATCTTTGTGCAATTCGAAAGAACACTTTTCGGCAGTTCTAAGTGACAATTTTTTAGTTCTAAAAAGCACATTTGGTTCGAAAGAACGAATTTTGAGTACTATTGGAAACATGGAACGTTGCAGGAAGGGATTCGAGAATGCGGTAGAATCGTCATAAAGATCTCGAACATATGCGCTCACGAATAGTCTCGATTTTTTATTATCACGAACAAAAAGTACTGTCAATTTTCATAGAGTTGCCAACGAAAGATGTGTGCTCATCTCAAAGCCCACGCTGCCTTTTTTTAGATCATCATAAGGCCAAATAAATAGGAATTCTAAATTCTGCTTATCTAATTTGCTGTCCCCTTGAGCATGTAAGACCACCGTGGATTCGAAGCGATGAAAAATTCTCAGCGATGATATTGCCCAAACATTAAAGCGATGAAATTGCTTACACATTGGGCTTTTTATTGGCTCGCTTCAAACAACCGATGATGAGTATTGTTTTCGTAAGTGTTAAAATAGACGCACTCGGTCTCTTTAGTATTTTGTATCTAAGTGAGAGAGGCGTAAACCAATGGCATTGTCTGTCCTATCCCACGTGGGTTTGATTGATGGCTGAGGTCATTAAGTACAGGATGACACTTTGATCTCATTAACGCCAAGTCTACAGGTGTTTCACAGGATTTCTCGCGCGCTGATTGGTCCATGGTTTCCCCCAAGAGAGTGCCCCACGTGGGATATTTTCGATCTTCGCGTAATACTGGACATGTTTGATTGGTTTTGACTACAGGGCCAATAAATATAGATTAAACACTTTCCATATATGGCACAGAGTTGAGGGTGTTATGTCGCTATTTCTCGCCGCGTGCCTTGTGTCTTGTCAGTTTTGCTTCTCCTTATTGTGTTGCGGTCGCTGTTTCCCTCACAGCATTTCAAAACCGAGCAAATACACGCAATTTTGGGTCGAATCGACGTGAAAGTATTACCACAAACAAAGGTCTTTCTTACTGAACGGACAGATTGGGAAATCTTCGAAGCGTGTGTATCCGAGCGAATGTATTGTTATAAATATCAAGATTCTTTGGATTATTGTTGATGGATTCATTCTAAAGATTTTGGCGTTTTGCTATTATAATAGATCATCACATCTACGAACCCAAAGGAATATCTAAAGTTTTTACGAAGCTTCAATCGCTATGTATACAACGAATCGTCACACGGTAAGCTTACCGTTCTTAGAACATATTTATGTATCAATTTGATGTGTTCGCGAACATCGCTGCACGATATCGAATGCCGCTTTGTCGCTCCTTCATCGCGAGATAAATTTACGATGTCGTTTCGTTCATAGACGCCGCATACGCCGTCAGGTCAACCGTTCAAGTTTACAGTCACAGAATCCTGTGATCGCATAAAGGAGGAATTCAATTTTCTTCAAGCACAATACCACAGGTAGTATTGATGTGTTTACGATTTTCGTATTTAGGAAGATCTTTCTAAGTCGTTACTTGTATTGATGAAATATATGAATATGTCGGCGCTGAACATGTCATTGCATAAAAGATATTTCATAACTGCTATGAGGAATGTAATATGTAATGGCTTGGTGTACGATTAAATATTAGCGTGATATATGAGTTGTATGTTAATATCCTCGCCTTTTATGTCCTAGGCTTTGGCCGCTTACAGTTATAGTGGGCGTTAAATTTCAAGCTTGTTTTTATAATTTTTATACCAGTAACCTTGGATTTCAAAATATTCGATATTTTGCGGTAATTGTGTGGAACATCTCCAAAGGTTCGATCGAACACATTAAATGTTCGATAGAACGGCCTAAACGTTCGTTTATAGAGCACTTCAAGTATTCTAAACACATTTCAAAACTTAATAATGTCTTTGATCTTCCAGCTTTTTATGACCGAGTCTTTATTATATTAAGACATCGATTCTTGAAATGTGTGTGTTTATATAATTTTATAGTCCTATTCATGTATTGAAGCATTAAGGTGCCGAATATGTTATATGTCAAGGAATTTTCATCTATCAGACGGCTATTCTTGTGCTTATAACTGCATTGTGTATGTCAACTCTCACTTAATGGAATCGAGACCTTTTGAAATAGCTTAAGCCATCCGAAAGCCACATCAAACTCAAATTAAACAAACATTTTTTATCCTTTGAAATCACGATGATCCTAAATTTTTGCGGCTTCGCCTCAGTATAAATATGTGTTCATAATATGAAGGGCTTTGTTGCCTTCATTCCTGTGTGTGTCGGTTAACTCTCAGCGAGACGCCCTATGAAATTAATCCTATCAGCCGCTTTCATCACTATATTTATGTGCGTGTATCCTTGTTTAGCTTGAAGCTGGAGTGTGAAAAACTTGCAAATGAAAAGACTGAAATGCAGCGTCATTATGTTATGGTAAGAACGCGTTCTGTTATGAGCTTTTATTCGCTGTCACTACGATGCTCTGATGAAACAGTGTTTTGACACAAAGGCTCTGGTAATGATACACGTCAACAACGCGCATAGTACAGATAAAATAACTGTGCCCAAGCTAAGCTCCCCCTATAGAGATAATGGTATTGTCCTCTACTTAAAACGCAGTGAGCTGTTTCATATATTGTATACCCTTCTATTTCATTAACACTTGCCTTGTGGTCATAGTACCTACGTAAATAACCAGTTAGCACTATGCATAAGGACTATGGCGCCGAAAATATCCCTCAACTATTGTTTTGTTTTGAAATTTACTGGTGAAAACACATTTTGTTGCATTTGTGCCGCGGTTATTTATAACTCTCCCGATATAATATTAGGTTTGTGGCTACGGTTTTGTGGCTTTCGTATGTTTTATGAACATCGCTAAACATACAACATGTGTCGACCGATTTTCGCGGCATTATGTGTATGATTCCCCTAATCTATGTTTTTCTTGTTTAGTATTACGAAATGTCCTACGGGCTTAACGTCGAAATGCATAAACAAGTACGTGTAATATATTCATTGCATTTCCTTTTATTACACATATATATTCATTTCATTTGCCCATTCATATATCATATGATTGTTATTATTTCAAATGCATGCATATGGCATCCTAATGATGCGGCAAACATATAATGAATGTTTTGTGCTTTGTTGTTTTTAAGAGGAAAAAGCCATTTCCGCTAAAATGACCCCGTCAATGGAACAATATTGCTTCGCTGTTTTTAATGACCGATGAATTTCGTAATTTCATTTTAATGTTCCATTTCGAGAGCTCGGGATCGTTCTAATTGATTGGATACGTTCGAAATTGTCGCAAACGTCGTTCTAATGTTGCTAATTTGTTCGAAACGAACCAGAAAACCGTTCCAATTTGTAGCAAATTCCCCCTTTTTTGTTCCAACCTACTTTGGTGATCACGCACTTGATGACAGAAGGGTTTTTCGTATATTCGACTTTATCAGCTCTCAAAAAGAAGGCCCTTAAAATATTTGGTTACCATGAGCTGTGTCGATAATTATTTTTGCGTGTGTGACATCCTTAGCGCGTTCATATGAAATAGATTGACAATCCTGTTAAGAAGGGTTTGAATGTTGTAACGTTGCCTCCATCTTTGCGCAACGTCGAATATTGTTTTTCATATATACAAGTGGTTCTGTGTTGTATGCATAGTTAAGTTAGTGTTAGTTTATCGCTGACAGAAGCACAGCTTTTATTGTTTGTTTAAGGATCTTGTTGTTTTTATGCCTTAATGAATAGGCATGGAAAAAATTAACAATATGCAGACGCTTTCACAAAAGCATCGAGGACCTTTCTTTCATTGTCAATACTGAACCGAGTCGTTCCTCTCACGTCCGTGAGGAGATAAGTACGGTCTCATTCACATGTAAATTTTTGTCCTGATGGGACAGTCAACAGGCAGCGCGGTTATCCCATTCCAAGTGCTTTGCGGTTAAGTATGGGGAACACTTTTTCCTCACCCAGTTGAACGACGTCCGTTTTTACCAAACGAAACTCCAAGATATGATTGACGAACAAGTTTATTAATGTATGGCGTGGAATGAGGTGTCATTTTCGACATCTAAAAGATCTTGAAGCATCTTCGTGCGTGTTTCTCCCCGAGCGCTGTTTATTTATTCTCAATGCGGCCAGACATGTGTGGATATCTGATTTACCGTTCTGCGTTGGAAATTCGTCGCGCCTTAAGGCTAACTCGAGCTCTTGGGAACCGCATGAGGTGGATGAGAAAATAATTATACGGATCGTATTTAAACATTTTTAGATTAAAATATACGTTTACTTAAGAGCTGCATTATGGAGCAGATGTTGATCAACTTTAATACAAATGTTGACACTTCGTGACCAGATCTGTAGTTTCTGTTTATTCGCCATGAAAACGCGAATTTCTCATTGCTTAAGGGAGAATTATAATTTTCTTATGAAATTCACGCGAATAACACCGATTACCGATGATAAAGGTAATGTCATCCCGAATTATCTTCGGATGACGCATGGTCATTCGCCCGTATTTATTTCTTTTATTATCTCAATGCCAAACGATGAGTGATGAGTGTAGCAATATTGGGCACGTTTCTTTCACCTTTAGGGTTGTGTTTAGACCTGTCTTCAACTCGACGCAAGTGTTTTCATTTTGAGCATCACCGCCTCAGTTTTGCGACATGCCTATACACTTCACAGCATGGCTTGGTTATATATAAACTCACAGTGAAATTCAAGGTGGCTGGATAAAAGTAATTGAGTGATGAGATAGTAAAGGACGAATAAAAACTGGATTGGGTGTTTTGGTGCTGGACTCCACTCTTACGGTTTTAGACTAAGGAGAACATCTCAATTACGTGTCCACAGCATCTCAACCTTGCTTCCCTCCTCTTCTCCGGAACATCTTCTTCTGATCTCTCCACTCCAAAATATCTCTGACCAGCTCTCCTTCATCTCTTCTTATTACGTGTCCATATCATCTCAACCTTGCTTCCCTCATCTTCTCTGCAATGTCTACCACCTCACATCTTCTGATCTCTTCATTTCATAATATCTCTGACCAGCTCGCCTTTATCTCTTCTTATTACGTGTCCATATCATCTCAACCTTGCTTCTCTCATCTTCCCTGCAATGTCTACCACCTCACATCTTCTTCTGATCTCTCCATTCCACATTCTTGATCAAAACCCCATGATCCATCTTAAGACTGGCACGCATACTCTCCTAATGCCTGCCTATTGATGACTATTGACAATTCATTTCTATTGTTATCTTGTAAATGCTAATCACTTCACCACCTGGACATACAAATCAGCTCTGTTACAAGCCTATTAATCTCCCTAAACCATTCGTTAACAACGTCATCATTAAACCATGATTATTATATTGGTAATAGATACTAACAGCACATATTTTGGCACAATTCCTTCGCACATATTGCGGTTAAGACCGCAGACTTTAAACGCCAAGATGAGTCCATGATGCACACAATAGTCCAGTATTGTTAAGCTGAAGTTCCTGGCGAGGATGTTTTCGTAAATGGTTTATATTAAGTGGATTAGAGATACATTAAGCCTTGTCTTTTAGGGCATCTTATCAAACTGGCCAGCAGTATTAATATACATTTGTCCAAATAACCGATGAAAGATGAGTCCCAACTCAGAAGAAACATTATAGATTCCCCCTCTTGAGAGTCGAGCGAAACTAATGCTAATACTTAGATTACTTCCCTCTGGGTTTCCTGAGAGGATGTTTTTGTCTCGTTGGTGATATAATGATGGTTGTAATTACAGATTTATCTCGTGTGATTAGACTGGTTCAGTTTGCCATGAACATCATACATGTTCCCTGGCCTGTAGGTTTTTTCCAGTAAAAATAATGCTTATATTTAAGGCTCACTTGACCTTTGCTTAAGGGAGGTGTCGAGCTTGCTCAGTCTATCCATACAATTCAATTTAGCCTTCATGCATCACCGTTGACGACAATAGAGCCAGACTGATCGAAAAATTGAATTCTTTTAAAAAACGCCATGTTCCAACACTCTCAAAACAGGAAACGTTAATGAATACTTGTGGAACGCGAACCAATGATTATTTTTTTGCTGGAAATATTTTAGTAACTTGTCATATATTTTCTCTGATGACAGCTCAATTTAAAGAATTCGCATTAAGATGCTTCTTGCATGTGATATGAATTCCTTTATTGCTAGATTGGATCGATATTAGACCATTAATGGCCACTCTATAAATACAAGTATATAAAGATCTTACGTGTGCTAGGAGGAATGGACATTCAATCCTACTGAGGCGAATGCCTTGGGCTTTCACTAACAGACAAAGGTTCTTTGGTATCCTTGGCTGATGCTACTACGAAAAGTTCCTCCTTAGAGCAATCTTGTCGCAAAAAACCAGCTATAGTATTCGCTGTTAAGGGCGCTGTTAAGGACGCTGTTTAGCATTAAGCATCTTCATCAAATTGTTGTTGCTAAAAATATCACAAAAACGATATTATTTGTTTCTTGTCATTTCGCACCTTGTCTATTGATGTAGTCTGCTCAAACATATCATGTCTCATAAAAACGGAATTCCTAAAGATTTGTTAGTGAAACTTGTCTGAAATAACGCTGAGTGACAAAGTCATAAAATACAATTTTACATGTGTTCATCCTCAAATTTCAGGGTCAATAACGAAAAGAAATGATCGAGAATGATAGGAGACCATTGACGCAAGCCTCTTGAAAATCTTTGCATTCCAAACCTATCTCGTGTTCTTCCTTATCTCAACATCCAGCCAGATTTTATTGACTTCCTTTTTTTAACCTTTATTCAGTCCAAAGAAGTCCACAGAATATGTTCTAGTTTAAGCCATTTAATACACAATAAGCCATGCGGGACCTCTATCTGTGCGAGGCATCTTCTAATGAATAAAATTGTTTTACATTAGTCGCATATGACTCTCATTTTTGGCTTGATTCATGCAGGGGGTTGTCACACAAGGTCAACAACAACTTAGTCATACTGACAATCTTCTTCTTTTTCCATTCAGCTACCATATGCGTTCGTTTACTGCATTCCCAAAGTTGCATTAATCTTACAGTTCAAATATTTGTTTTGCAGACTGAAATAGCGAAGCGTCTGAACGCAATATGTGCTCAAATCATTCCATTTTTATCAACAGAGGTAAGTTTCATTTATAAATCGCCTAATAATTAACTGGATTCGTTGTGCCTTGGGGTTTTAACACGGATTCATAATCGCTTTATTTTAACTTATCCATTTTCTGTCCCCCAGCATCAACAACAAGTGGCAGCCGCCGTTGAACGAGCAAAACAAGTCACGATGACTGAGTTAAATGCTATAATAGGAGTAAGAGGATTATTATTGATTGATCTAAACCGATTTGTTTATCTTTGGTTACACCATGTCATTAGTTCTAAACTGTTCTTCCCAGAGGTCCAGTAAGGATCATCTCTTATTGATCCAGTGTTACTACAGGAGGAAACCTAAACTAAACTAACTTTATTTATACTGGATAGCTCTATCAGTTCTAAACTGTTCTTCCTAGAGGTCCAGTAAGGATCATCTCTTATTGATCCAGTGTTACTACAGGAGGAAACCTAAACTAAACTAACTTTATTTATACTGGATAGCTCTATCAGTTCTAAACTGTTCTTCCTAGAGGTCCAGTAAGGATCATCTCTTATTGATCCAGTGTTACTATAGGAGGAAACCTAAACTAAACTAACTTTATTTATACTGGATAGCTCTGTCAGTTCTAAACTCGTCTTCCTACAAAGGCGCTTCGTGAACAATTCCTAAATATGTGTTTGTATTTCTTCTCTTCAGCAACAACAATTACATCAGCAAGGTTTGCCTCACATTCATGCACCACCTATTTCCCTTCCCCACCCTGGTGGGCATCTACCACATCTCCCCCCAGCCGGCAGTGTCATAGAACTGATGCCATCACATATGTCCCTGATGCCTGGGATTAAAGACGAAAAAGGTAAGGTCAAACTGTAGATTTTCATCATGACAAAGTTGTACCTAGTTGTACCTCCATCACCTTTAACATCCTCGTCATATTCCTTTATTTCTCTTCTCTATATGCATTGTTCCTACCTAATCTTGACTGTGATGTTTAGATCACTCGGTAAGAATCCAAATGTGTTTTTATTAAACAATTCTGGCGTGTTTTTGTCTGAAATTTGTCAGCGTGGATGAAGAAGTTTAATCGTAGGTATTCTTCGACATTTCAGCATTCCATCTCACCTCTTGGCTCATCTTCACGTGCAGAAAAGTTCCGGCCCTCCGACCATTCTTCTCACGAAAGTGACGATGGGAAAGGTAGGATAGAATGACAAAGTAATCCTTGTTAACTAAACTATTGTTAAAGATAATAGATGGCTCTTTTCATGAGAACTAAACTACATATACGCTAAGGAGATAATTTCTTTTTGATCAAATGATACAACAGGAGGAAACCTAAAGTATAAACCTGCAAGATAGCTCTACTTTCCTTGAGCGCCAGTGGAGATTACCTCTAATTGATCCTACATGTTATAATTTAATATTTCTCAATGTTTTCTACAGGACCAACCTCAAATGCCAAACGACCACATGATCGCAAAGATTCAGATAGGGTGGGTAATTTCTTTTTTAGTTGAAACGTTGTCAGAATAGCACTAAATTTAGCTCAAATGTGCTCAGGCAATCATGCGAAGCTGGTGAACACCTGCCTCTTACTTCATGTTGAGTTACTGTTTAGTGGTCTGTCTATTAAACTCGAGAAGATCTTATTCGTACTGGTAATGATGTGTTTGTTGAACTAACTGTGGTTGTATTTCTCTTTAGGAAAGTGATGGTGATAAAAGTGACGCTGAGTTAGTCGTAGATGAGGTACAGTATAAAACATGCGTCCTGGTAGGTTAAAAAGATGGAGTCTTGAGAATTTATAACTTCATTTTAACTCGCAGGATGCATCTTCACCGCCTGGTATTCAGAATGGCGATCGTGATTCTCCCATTCACGAGAAGAAACCCAAAAAAGACGGCGGTAGTCCACACAGTGTCTCTTCGAACTCTTCCACGCCTTCATCAAAACACAAGGTATCCTAACGCTACAGTTGGCAAACATTGTTAACCTAACTCACATTTTATTCCTTCCTATTCAAGGTTTGGAAACCAAGTTAATGTATGAGAATTACTTCTTTATTAGTTACCAGAAAAGAAGCCAACCTCTCAGTCAGGATCGTCGGGATCTTCGTCAAGTCCTGGTCGTGTTGTGGGTAAGATTCTATGGAACATTACCACCTAAATTGAGTTTATAACATCAGATTTGTATTAATCGTTTCTTATTCCACTCTAATGTAGCATCTTCGTCCGTAAGAAATTCGTCCGGTCCATACCCTATGATGGGTCATTCAGGCAGCAAGTAAGTGTCCAGTTATCCAGTATAAATGAAGTTATATAGCTAATAAGAGATGATCCTTACTGGACCTCTAGGAAGAACAGTTTTAGATGTCCAGCAAAGAAGGTCTAATGAAATATTTTTGTTTTAGTGATATTAGTGGAAACTCGTATCCTCCAATTTTGTCGTCTTCCATGTCCCCTGGAGGTAGGCTTTTGGTCAAAATACTCAACACGATCATTACTATAATTCTGTCCTATTTTTAAAGAGAGTTTGTTCATTTTCACGATGAACTCTCGTCGGAGTGGGACTAAAGTAAAGATTTGCAGTGTTCATATTTCAGTTTAAGCTGTTGTATTTACTCTGAATCACTGCGAGCCGACATTTGTTGACATTTCTTTGCCCGTAACTATACAATATCACTGTTGGTGAAATCAAGTGTGTTCGCTCTCATATAAAATACTTACTTAGTAATTTTCGTTTTAGGAATATACCGACCTGGCATGGTAAGTAAAAATGATTGCATATAGTCTAGGTAATAGAGACATGGTCTGGAAGCGTGTTTATGCAAAGTCATACGGGCGAAAACGATGGATTTCTTGAATGTACATTTTTAAAACGACGTCAAACCTAGGTCATTAATGAAACTTTGCCAAGTTTTCCCAAACATGTTTCTATTGAATTTGGTGATCAATTTGACTCGTTTTCAAATATTCAAACCATTGAATGATAACTTAAGCTCAAGCATATGTCTTTTCAGATGGGTTCCTCGATGGACAGTTCAAGTCGTATGGCACATTCTCCCGGCATGCCTAGCATAGCGAATGGGAAGCCAACGTATTCGTACATCGTCAGCGATGGTCAGACACAGCCAGTACCATTCCCCCCAGACGCTTTGATGGGCCAACACATACCACGTCATGCACGTCAAGTAAACACATTGAATCATGGGGAGGTTGTTTGTGCTGTCACCATTAGTCATCCTACAAGACATGTTTACACTGGAGGAAAGGTTGGTTGATCATTAAAACTTTGTTTCACAAACCAAGTTGCAAAGCAATTTCGGTTGGAAAGAACAATTGACAATTCGCATGTGCATTTCAAACATAACCTGACCCTAATGACCGTAAAAGTTTCTGGTATTCCAAGAGAGACTTTGAGTTCTCCACGAATAAACAAGATTTTTATCAATATTCAATATTTTTTCAGGGTTGTGTCAAGGTTTGGGATATCGAACAAGTATCGGGGAAGACTCCTATATCAACTTTGGAATGCCTGGTGAGTCACGGAGCTTCACCTTGAAATACTTGAACGATACGGTTGCCTTTTGTTTTTGAGGACATAATTTATAGTTTATTTCGACAAGATGCTATCATGATGTACAAACAACTGCTCTATTTTTATAGCGAGATAACTACATCAGATCTTGCAAATTACTACCAGACGGAAGGACTTTGATAGTTGGAGGTGAAGCTAGTACATTAACAATATGGGATCTCGCATCGTCGACACCTCGAATTAAAAATGAACTTACATCTAATGCGCCCGCATGTTATGCGTTGGCCATTAGCCCAGACTCTAAAGTGTGTTTCAGCTGTTGTAGTGATGGGAATATCGCTGTCTGGGACTTAAATAATCAGACTTTAGTTCGACAGTTTCAAGGACATACCGATGGTGCTAGTTGTATTGATATTTCTCCTGATGGTACAAAACTATGGACAGGTATATGAGCGCTTTTTCTTGATGGATACCACCAACGTTACCATGTTGTGACCATCGTCAATGACTGGTGTTTTTTGTTCATATTCAGGTGGTTTAGATAACACTGTACGATCTTGGGATCTCAGGGAAGGCAGGCAGTTACAACAACATGACTTCAGTTCACAAATATTTTCTCTTGGTTACTGTCCTTCTGGCGACTGGTTAGCTGTTGGGTGAGTAACTAACAACATTAGCTCATCATTAATAACCTCTTAGAGAGTTATGTGCAATAACTAGCCAGTTAAAGGCAGCTCTTATTCAAGAACATGTACCACCTCTGCATGATCTAACCATGCTTAACTCAGTCAACTGAGAGAGAACACAGGAGAGACTTAACTCAACTCACATGAGTTCTGTACAACATTAGATCACTTTAAGGTAGCTTTCATTCAAGAACATGTACAACCTCTGCATGATCCAACCGTGCTTAACTCAGTCAACTGAGAGAGAACACAGAAGAGACTGTGGGTGGACAAACGCACTGCTACATGATAGTTAAAACAACATCTTTTTCATTCTAGTATGGAGAACAGTTATGTGGAAGTCTTACATCAAACCAAGCCAAGTAAATATCAACTTCACCTCCACGAAAGTTGTGTTCTCGCCCTGAAATTTGCCTCGTCAGGAAAATGGTTTATTAGCACGGGCAAGGACAATTTACTGAACGCTTGGAGAACTCCTTATGGTGCAAGCATTTTCCAGGTAAAACTGCTGCTCTAGATGTTAGTGAAATATGCAAGCGAGATTTCACATCAGAGAAACTGTCATTTCCTCCTAAAACCAACATGTTTATGTCGCGTTAATATATTTCACAATTTCTTTAGAGCAAAGAATCATCGTCAGTGCTGAGTTGTGACATTTCAACAGACGATAAATACATCGTCACTGGCTCAGGGGACAAAAAGGCTTCGTTGTATGAGGTCATATATTAGGGCAATTAATGATTAACTGGCTACCACTAGCACATTATGTCCTATCAAGTTACTCACCACGAAGATGCCACGATTTTTCGCCGATGGTACGATGGTGTTACGATGAACCCCGATGCAAGTAAAGAGATCCTTCTTTGCACAGATGCTGTTTATAAAGAGCGAACAACCGTTTTAAAACGTTTCCAAACAAGTTTATCCATGTGTTCTTGTACATTTTGACCGTCTACGGTAGACTTGCAGTTATTTTCATTGAAAACGAATGACGTTTTCGCAGTTAAAATTTTAAATTTATATTTATATGTAAAGGGAGATTAGGTAATCCGAGATATTTATATTGTTAGCTCATTCATCGTTCTTGCAAATACAAAAATCTATTGACTTGCATTTCTTGTTAGCGCTCCACACCTTTCAACGTTGCGCTCGTGATTTTCTCTGCAGTTAACAACTCGTATTCTTCATTCCATGATTATTATAATATCTCTGACCAGCTCTCCTTCATCTTTTCTTATTACGTGTCCATATCATTTCAACCTTGCTTCCCTCATCTTCTCTGCAATGTCTACCACCTCACATCTTCTTCTGATCTCTTCATTTCATAATATCTCTGACCAGTCCTCCTTCATCTCTTCTTATTACGTGTCCATATCACCTCAACCTTGCTTCCCTCATCTTCTCTACAATGTCTACCACCTCACATCTTCTTCTGATCTTTTCATTTCATAATATCTCTGACCAGCTCTCCTTCATCTCTTCTTATTACGTGTCCATATCATCTCAACCTTGCTTCCCTCATCTTCTCTGCAATGTCTACCACCTCACATCTTCTTCTGATCTTTTCATTTCATAATATCTCTGACCAGCTCTCCTTCATCTCTTCTTATTACGTGTCCATATCATAATTGTTTCCTAATTACATAATTACAATCCCTAATTGTTCCCCACAATACATAGCAATGTAATATGACACCATTTGCGTTGAAATGGTCCATTGCGGGTTGAATTCTCCAGAGTATCAGCGCAATCAAAATAACTGAGTACTAGCGCATGAATTTGGCGCAATTTTCCGCGAAAGCTGGTTCGCACGTGTGTAGCAATCTATAACAACAACAATAATTTGATTTTCAAAGCTTTTAAAGTAAAACTTGCCGTCGTTTTAATAAAATCATGTCTTCCAAGAGAAAAGCAGAGAAAGATGACGTTAGCAGTAGCGAGGATTCCGATGCTGAGGTACGTAAACATTATATAAACTATAAATTATCATGTTATTCATGTACAAGATGACAGACCCAAAATGTCTTCTGTATTAAAAGGCACTTGTTATCTTAACTGTTTTTAAGATGAATGCTATCATATCTAGTTGTTTGCAAGCCTGTTGTACTAAGAGTATCTCGATTCGTCTATGTTTAGTTTTCTTACTAGGCAAATAAGTTGAGAAGAACTCAGTCCACTCGATAATGCCGTCAGAGAATTGTTTAATTTTCTGCTGAAGTGTCATGTTTATAAAGTGCTTTTTCATTTATTACAGGAAAGAAAGAAAATTGCGAAGAAAGAAGCAAAGAAGAAATCAAAAGAGAAGTCTGGGAAGAGCTCCGAGGGGAATTACACATTTGAGGTTTCTCCAATTTTATTCTCATTTCTCTTTCTACCCATTCAGATATACCAGCGTTTTGTCAACCCTGTATTAAGCTGTCCCTAGAATAAAGTGTTTCAGGATTTTTAAACTGTCTCCTCCATACAAACGTTTGAAAATGCAGCAAATCTGGTTTTGTTCTGATATAAGCAAGCTGTGGCTAGACTACTATAGTAGCGTTGCCTGTATTTTAAAGTGCAATATCTCTTGATAGTCTATCCAGATCAAATTGGGTGACAACACCATATTGGTCTGATGTACTTTGTGAATGAATATGAGAGGACATTGACCTATTGCAATGAGTAGACTAATGTCTGGATCCTGGTTTAACTTTCTCTCCCCCCTTAAGGTGATAATGTAGATAACTCCCCTCCCCTTGAAGGTATATATGTAGATTCATTTGTTCGGCGGACATGTTTTTAATTTGTATTAGTCTTTGACAACAGTCAGAGTTAATGAAGTTGTAATGAAGGTCCAACATGTTTTATTAGATTGGGAAGAAAAGAAATTTGACTGTCCGAGAGTTCAAGGGAAAGGTCTTGATTGATATTAGGGAGTATTATGAGGATGATTCTGGAAATATGAAACCTGGAAAAAAAGGTAAAATCTGATAACTGCTCATTTGAGATGTCTGTATTAGAGAGAGGTGTCTGTATTAGAGAGAGATGTCTGTATTAGAGAGAGATGTCTGTATTAGAGAGAGATGTCTGTATTAGAAAGATGTCTGTATTAGAGAGATGTCTGAAATTTCAATTGTCAAATATTCTAAGGCATTTCCCTGTCAGTGGAACAATGGGGAGCATTGAAGGAACACATCAGTCAAGTTGATGAGGCAATTGAGGATCTGAAATGAATGCTACGGACATGGTGAACCTATGTATATTAAATCTAAAAGTGTAGATTTTTTTCTGAGAACTATTATTGATATTATTCTTCAATGTACATAAAATGCATTTATATGATAAATGAAGTTAAAACTATCCTTGACCCGACTTGTTGCCAACTGTAAAACTTTCCCACCAAATATGATATAACAGCCTTGTTATGCTGGAACAGCCCATAAAGTCCAATTTGGGTTGATTAAGCTTTTTTGACATTTGATTGATCTAATGCAGTCAGCTAAACTCTGCTGGTTTTTATAACTCGCAGACAATTGGCGTTCTCTATCATCAGTTTTTTTGATGCATCAAATGCTTTGTTCTTCGGAAAAATTTCCACTCCATTGATCATCGGCAATCATCGCAAAGTATCGCCGACTGCCTTGCGAGTTATAAAAACTAGGCTCTGTGCCCACAAGCGTCAGCGTTTGGCGTGAAAACGTAAGTGAAAAAGTTCCGTGTCTGTATGCACGTTCCTCGCATGTAACCTTGAAACCCTGGCTTCATTGATTAGTGACAGCCTGCCAATATTGTTTCTGGCTGGTGACGAGTAGAATTCTACAAAATAACAAGACACTTTATGCTCTAGTGATCACCGACTTTCGATGACCTATGAGACCAGCCTTGAAGCCAGAAATGACTGAAGAATGAAATGCTTTGTTATTTTTTTAAAAATATTTCTTCGTCAGTACATCGCTGATTGTCGGATGGAATGTGAGAACAATTGGTTGATCTGCCTGTTCCAACGTGTTTTCTTGTTCTAATGTACGCTGATTGATCACAGTCCAGCGACTAGCATTGTTCCCACAAGGAACTTGACAAAATACTCGATTCCCTGTAAAAAAATCAAACATTGTTGAAAATCGAGATATTGTTTCTGTCATTTTTGGCTCGTCAAGTGCGTTTATTCCGTCGTATACTCTCACAACACACTATTTCAAGTGTCTAAAATATTGAAATATTGGCAGTGCTCAACGGCTGCGGTCATTTCATCTCGCACATGTTATTATAACACTCCTTATTGGCATTTTTTAATGGTTTATCAATATTGTAACGTGATAATCTTCATTTGAATAATGTAATATGAAACTGTCATAGAGCCATTGGATGCTAGTCCACAACGTGTTCAACGCCTGCGAACTGTTTGCGTAAACAGCTTGTTTGTTTAACCTCAAACCCTCCTTTATCACTTTGGTGATAACGATATTTGGTATTTGCATACTCAATTCACAATACAAGTTTCCGTTTCAGGCAAGCATAATGATGGAACTAAAGTTTGCAGTTATCATTCTCTCAGGTAAGCAGCAATTTCAGTATTAATAATATGTCGTATGTATTTTCATTGGGCAACCGGCAAAAATTCGCGGTAGATTACTGCCGTGTGTTTAAAAGCTGCTTCTGACCGTACAGCTGCGAATCTAAGACTAAGATGCTGCAAAAATAAACAAGTTTATATTGCAAGCTATTAATTTAAGCGAAAAGCGATTTTAAAGTTAATAAGGTAATAGGAGGAATCTACCTTTTTCAATGGACTCGTATTATGCAAGACTAGCAACGATGAACGATAGCAGTAGTTGTTTATGAATACATATTTTAACTTTGAATGTGAGCATTAGACCACAGCCTACTACAAATAAGAACAACATTGTGTAGGTTTACTTTTTTTTTGAAAATCTATCGCATTATGTTTCTTCCATGCAGTATTGGAAATAAAAACGTTTCAGATTTCGTAAAAGACAAGATCCAGCTAGAGGTGGTATTTTATAAGCGATACCAGGTCGAATATATATATGTTAGAATATCTATTTAAGTCGGTATTATAAATGAATCGGAAGGGGTTTATTGGTTTGTGGTAAACAAAATGTTTAGCTATAAACGAAGGAATTTAGCTTGTTCGGAGTCAAAACTGTAATCATGACTTCTTGAGTGGGAAAATTGAAGTCTATCACTCAAACATTGGTGAAATCTTAAGTTCTCATCTTTGGAATATGATATGAACGTTGTGAGAGACCCCACGAAATGATGACTGATTATAATAACATCCTGCACGATGTCATAGTATCCAACTCCTGCACTATTATCTAAAAAAATTTTAATATATTGCGCGCTAAAAGCTTAATCCGTGTTTTACACTTTTGCTAAGAATAGCTGATGCCATAGCCATTGTCATTGGTGTAAAAAACGCTTTTATATTTATACCTGTACACGTCGAAAATAATGGAAAGCATTCACGATTCCTAAAACTAGTTTGTACTTGGCCTTGGAATTTCAAACAGTTTCGTTGTACATTGAATCTATAAAATTTGTTATTATGGACGAGTCTGGCGTTTGTATGACAGTATATCATCCATATACTCTGGTTTGTATTGCCTTGGTATGATATGAAACGTGTATTTTTTTAGTGTTTATTCACGCAAGCGTTTCCAGCAAGGCTGATATACGAGACTGCAGTAAAAGCCCCCCGGTATGTTTACAGAGAAGTAATTTCACGCATGTGACTTTGTTAGACTTGCTTTTATGCTTTAATCATATGCTTTAGTTTCGCCCCAGCGAAGCGAAACTGATCTCGAGGACCTGTGTATTGACTATGTCGTGGTGTGCGCATGCTCACGCGCATGGTCACAGGCATGGTCGATTAGCACGAAAGGAAATAACGACTGTCTAGCCGTTTCTAACTGACCAAAGTTTGATAAAATCAATTGAATGAAAGCTATGAAACTCTCAAAGAAAGTTCTGCCACCTCGGAGCATTATTATGCCTGTTTTCCACTAGCGATATTTTCCGCGCGAAGTGAATTTATTCCTTTGTATTTGAGCAATTCGTTCCAGATGATTGCAAGTTGAGAGCTCTGAGACAAAAGTAAACTGTCACTTCGCGGGAAAAATATCGCTAGTGGAAAACTGGCTTTACACACGCTCGTTTTATTTTAATATTCTTCTATCACTGATTCATTTACTTCTAGATGAAACTATTTCGATATATTTAAATTAATTCTCTGCCATTTAACTTCCTGAAATTTTCTTTCTGCGTGCTGCCACTGATAGTTCTCATAATATATTCCAATAGGGGTCAACTCTAAATCGTGACCCAGATACAACTTTACTTTAATAAAGCCATCTTCAGACAGAATATTATCATCTTAAATCTGGCTGAAGATGACCTTAAATGTGGAAACATGAAACGTTTCTTATATTATAACCATATGTTGTTTTCTCAAGATGTGTTTTTTTCATTTGGAACTTTTTTTCTGCTTTGCTCATTGAAATTGTAGGCTCGTTAAAGTTTCATTGAAACAATTCACTTCATTTTGTTTTTCCCATCTAGTATTATCCGAAGACAGTCGTCAAAACGACCGATCGCTTGGCAGATCTTCGTGACCAAATGAGAAAGGCAAACCTGAGTGCTTACATAATTCCTGCCACAGATGCGCACGGGGTTTGTAAAATGAACAACTTTTGTATTCTCCGTAAGAAATGGTCGGAGTTCAAAATATGTTTGTGTTTGATTAGAGTGAGTACGTGAGACAGCGTGATAAGAGACGAGAGTTTATCAGTGGCTTTGATGGATCTGCTGGTAACTTGATTACTCGTCACAGTTTCCATTTGTTAGATAGTCTACTTTTAGTTTAGTTTTTGCTTCTTCCTTTTAGTAACACTGGATCAATAAGTGATGATCCTTACTGGACCTCTAGGAAGAACACTTTAGAACTGATAGAGCTATCCAGTATAAATAAAGTTAGTTTAGTTTAGGTTTCCTCCTGTAGTAACACTGGATCAAGAAGAGATGATCCTTACTGGACCTCTAGGAAGAACACTTTAGAACTGATAGAGCTATCCAGTATAAATAAAGTTAGTTTAGTTTAGGTTTCCTCCTGTAGTAACACTGGATCAAGAAGAGATGATCCTTACTGCACGTCAAGGAAGAACAGTTTAGAACTGAGAGAGCTATCCAGTATAAATAAAGTTAGTTTAGTTTAGGTTTCCTTCTGTAGTAACACTGGATCAAGAAGAGATGATCCTTACTGGACCTCTAGGAAGAACAGTTTAGAACTGAGAGAGCTATCCAGTATAAATAAAGTTAGTTTAGTTTAGGTTTCCTTCTGTAGTAACACTGGATCAATAAGAGATTATCCTTACTGGACCTCTAGGAAGAACACTTTAAAACAAATAGAACATCACTGAATCTATAACATCTTCCCTGAGAAAAAAGCTAAAAATTGTCCCATCGGGCTATTTTATATTAAGGGACGGCTGTTGTAACATTGGACTCAGCAGCGTTGTGGACAGATGGCAGATATTTTCTTCAAGCTGAACAACAATTGGATTGCAACTGGATTCTGCAAAAAGATCGTGAGTGTTGTCTTCATTGATCAGAGAAACCGTTCTGACTCTCAGTCGGATTCAAATGTTTTTTATTCAGGGGAGAAAGGTACCCCCTCACAAACGGAATGGCTCATAAAGGTAAGAGAAGTTGAGAAAAAATTTGCAGCTGGGTAATGAACATTTCGTTGAACATTTCTAACAAAGGATGTGTGTTTCCTCGCGTAGAAGCTGAAATCTTCGGACAGAGTTGGCATTGACCCGTTCCTTGTTAGCATCGGTACGTGAAGAATAAATTATAGTTGAAATTTTCACTGATATTCTTCATAAATGATTTCTTTTTCGACGTACAACTTTCCTCATTTCAACGTACTTCATTTCAGATTCTTGGGACAAAACGGCCAAGGTACGTTAATTAACACCAGGTGAAGTAAAACAGGTCTAGTAAGGTAATCTGATTTTTAATGTATTTGAAAAATTTACTTCAGCCTTTAAAGGATGCCAATATCACGTTTGTTGGGTATCCGGATAACTTGGTTGACGAGATTTGGACAAAACGTCCAGCTGAACCGAATGTGACGGTTATCGTTCAAGAGTTGAAATACACAGGTTTTTATCCACAAGTATTTTGACACAGGATCATTTGCACGTCAATATTTAGTAATTTAACGATTTCAAACAAACAGGGAAGTCCTGGGAGGACAAAGTGAAAGATGTCCAAGACGAAATAAAGAAAGTTGATGCAACAGCTCATGTTGTTCAGGAGTTAGACTCCGTCGCTTGTAAGTTAATGGCAGATCTTCCCAATTAGGAATCATTGTTCAAGTGTTACTACAGAAGGAAACCTCGACTTAACCAAGATTATTTATACTGGATAGCTCTATCATTTCTAAAACTGTTCTTCCTAGAGGTCCAGTGAGGATCATCTCTTATTGATCCAGTGTTACTACAGGAGGAAACCTAAACTAAACTAACTTTATTTATACTGGATAGCTCTATCAGTTCTAAACTGTTCTTCCAAGAGGTCCAGTAAGGATCATCTCTTATTGATCCAGTGTTACTACAGGAGGAAAGCTAAACTAAACTAACTTTATTTATACTGGATAGCTCTATCAGTTCTAAACTGTTCTTCCTAGAGGTCCAGTAAGGATCATCTCTTATTGATCAAGTGCTACTACAGGAGGAAACCTAAACATCATTTCCCATATTAAATAGCTCTCAATCAGTTTTAAACTGTTCCTTTTTTATTGATTCTGTAGAGATCTAATTGTCCAATTAGCCAGGTCATTCGTTAGTTACAAAACTGAAATATTCATCATCGCAATTTTTTCCAGGGTTGTTGAATTTGCGTGGAAACGAAATTCCATATAATCCCGTGTTCTTTGCTTATGTCATCGTGAAAACGAATGAAGTTTTGTAAGTTTTTTTGTTTTATTCTGCTGCTTCAGTAAACCTTGTTTGGGAAGTTGTGTTCGCTTTATTCAGATGCCACTGCACGTGTTACATCATAGTTGATGTATGATTTGTCAATTTGCTTATGAATTCCTAACTGTAAGAAGTGTTTGAATGTGTAGGTTTTTCGTGAATGATTCTAAGATCTCGAGTTCAGAAGTGCAGAAACATTTGAAGTTATCCAGTTGTTCTGGTAAGACTTATTGCATCAAGAGAAAGCTCTATGGAACTATAAGAGAGGAACTGAAGAATTTGAGTCAAGAAAGTAATGCTAAAATATGGGTGTGTAAACATTTTGTCTGTGTAGTAGTTGCCAATAAACTCAGTTTGGGACTGGATCAATAAGAGATGATCCTTGCTGGTCCTCTAGGAAGAACAGTTTAGAACTGATACAGCTATCCAGTATAAATAAAGTTAGTTTAGTTTAGGTTACCTCCGTAGTAACACCGGATCAATAAGAGATGATCCTTACTGGACCTCTAGGAAGAACAGTTTAGAACTGATAGAGTTATCCAGTATAAATAAAGTTAGTTTAGTTTAGGTTTCCTCCTGTAGTAACACTGAATCAATAAGAGATGATCCTTACTGGACCTTTAGGAAGAACAGTTTAGAACTGATAGAGTTATCCAGTATAAATAAAGTTAGTTTAGTTTAGGTTTCCTCCTGTAGTAACACTGAATCAATAAGAGATGATCCTTACTGGACCTTTAGGAAGAACAGTTTAGAACTGATAGAGTTATCCAGTATAAATAAAGTTAGTTTAGTTTAGGTTTCCTCCTGTAGTAACACTGAATCAATAAGAGATGATCCTTACTGGACCTCTAGGAAGAGAAGTTATGTGAAGTATCCAGTATTCGCGATGAAGGTCTGATTGATAGATGATTATATTGTGCTTCTAGCTTAGTCCCAAAGACAGCCACGCATTGAAACTCGCCGTGAATGACGAAGTAAGTCCAAAAATAGGTGTCATGCATGACTAACCTAAGTATGGAACGTGTATTGCGAGAAAAAACCAGCGAAATTTAATTAAATTATATCCTCCTCCATCTAGAATAAACAGTACTTGAAATGGTCTCCAATCCGTTTGATGAAAGGAAAAAAAAATAAAGTTGAACTTGATGGAATGCGAAATGCAAACGTATGTTTTCTTCACATACAGCTAGTGAATATTCTTATCACTCTGACAAATTTTCTTCCTGAAGTACTGTTCCTTAAAAACTTTCGCTTTTACAGCTGAAAGATTCCGTTGCATTGGCTGAATTCTTTTTGTATGCAGAAGAACAGGTGTGTAAGCGTCGTTTTGCACGTTATATCAACGCATGTCAACACTGTTGTGATGATCATTATTTTCATGTTACATAGGTGGCAAAAAAAGCCGATGTCACAGAACTTTCTTTGGAAAAGAAAATGGAAGAATACAGAAGGTTTGAGTGAATTACTCAATTTGTTTCGTTATTTCTTTCCGTCGAACAGCTCTATGCGTGCAGTCTCGTACGAAAAAAAATACCTAAATCAATTCTTCAAACTCATTCTAGTAAACAAGCTTTATACAAAGGACTTAGTTTTGCCTCGATTGTTGGTTTTGGTCCAAATGGAGCTGTGATACATTACAGGTAGGACTTCTACTTTACCGTTCTCACTTTAACATGTGATTTCTTGTTTATAACGCAGTGATTCGCTTTGACAGGGCATCAAAAGAAACCAACGCGAAGGTTACGGATAATAGTACACTGTTGGTTGACACTGGCTCACAATACCTGTATGATTTCTTTCAAAAATCAACACGAACTCATGTGAAACAGTTCGTAAATGGGCAATCGGGCTAAACCGTTTATTCACTCCTGTTTCTTTTAGAGATGGCAGTACTGACGTAACTCGAACAGTTCATTTTGGAACGCCAACTCCTACGCAGAAAGTAAGTTGCATTTTCTGCTGTTAGTGCCGGTAGATTCTTCAGTTAAGTCTAAATGTCAACGCTTTTATTCATTCTGTTAGAGTGCTTTTACTCGTGTTCTGATGGGACAAATTGATCTTGCCATGGCAGTATTTCCTCAGGGAACATATGGTAAGTGTCATAGATTTCTCTTCAAGTGCAATGTTTTCTTAAATAGATACAATAGGAGATTGAGTCTGTAAAAAGTGATGGAGATAAATGCTTCGCAACATAGCTTAGTGATAAGAACACTGCCCTAGAATCGTAAAGCCGCTTTATACATTCGGATTTCTGATGATTTTTGTTAGTATATATGCCTGTCTCTTTGTTCACCAAATCTGCCATTAAACTGGAAACATTTTGAAACAGATTGAACCAGAGTTTTACGCAACAACTCTATTTTCCAGGGCGTGCAGTAGACATCTTGGCTCGACAACCATTGTTTAGGAACGGCTGGAACTATCGTCATGGCACAGGGCATGGAATCGGCTCATTTCTCTATATCCACGAAGGTGAGTGTATTGATGATAGCGGTGCGGGGGTGATAGGGTGTGCCCCTCTAACCAGGAGGGGTGGGGTTCTCTCTTTCAAATATCCAAGTAGAATATTATCAGCTGGTGTTCGTAGCCCACCCAAAGGCGGTGGGGGCTTCACACCCTCTACAAAACCCCTCTGCATTTTTATGTACGTATGATGTAATCTTATATATTATCACCTGCAGGGCCTGGACGTATCGCGTCTGGTTGCCCAGCTGCGTACGAGAAACCGCTGGAAATTGGTTTTGTATTGTCCGACGGTAAGTCGTTCAAGATAACTCCACGAGTTTCTTGTACTTTTTACCTGCAATGCACGTTTCTCCTTTTACATTTTAGAACCAGGTTACTACGAGGATGGGAATTTCGGCATTCGTCTTGAAACTGCAGTTGTTGTAGTGAACGCCTCTACACCTGTAAGTAATATATCCTTACTAGCCTAGTATCAGTTTTAAACTTGTGTCAGCCTTACGAGAGTCAGCTTCTGCCAGCGAAGTTGCAAAATATGAGATGTAATTACTAATAATTTTCTTCTCTGTTTAGAATCGATTTAATGACGTTGATTATTATACATTTGAACCCATCTGTTATGTAAGTCAAGATCTCAATTTTGTAAACGATTTTTTGTTCTTGTCTCTTTTAAACGTCTCGTTGCCTTTCAGTTCCCAATCCAACGAAAACTTATTGACGAAACAATTATGAGTGACAGACAAGTAAGAATTTATATAAAATATATAGATTATTCACTAGCAGTTTTACAAACACTGTTTAGTAGACAATACCATTGAACACAAGACGTTGATTGTAGAAAATATCAATGTAGATTTAGTTTAACCATTTTTTTATACATCGTGAAAGGAACGTCAGAGTTCCTCATAAATAAAACCTTTGAATACTTTCATCAGTTTCATGAAACTATTCGAACTAAACGAACGAAATTATTTTCAGATTAAATGGTTAAACGATTATCACGAAAAAACGGCCAAACTTGTTGGAAAAGAACTGCAAAACCAGAAAAAAACAAAGCAGTATAATTGGTTGATGAAACAAACAAAGCCAATCACCAATGACATCAAGAGCGCCGCGACAACTGCAGTTCACTCTATTTCTTTTCTTTTTATTGCGGCCATTTTTGCTCTGTGGGTTCACTGACCACTGAGATCAACATTAGCGCAATTCTTTATGTTTTACAAGTAAAATACAAAATCAGATTGTGTTGTCCCTCATATATAGTTAAAAATTACATTACTCGTGTCTACATATTAAGACGATTCGTCTTTTATTAGGAAAGTAATGGTTGTATTTCAAATAAAACTATTACAAATCGATTCATGTGATGTGCGAAGGCTTTGCTTTAAACTTCTGGAAAGAAAAACAGCTGGAAATATCATCCTAACACCAAAACAGCTGCTAGTATTATATCAATCTTGTGCCCAGAGTCTTTTTCTCCTGGGTGCAAACACCCTGGGCACATCTATTATATATTTTTATATTTTATATATTTATTTAGGGTTTATCTCTTCGGTGTTGGGAGAGAAGCCTACTCTCCTAGGGTCTTTATTCCTGTAGTATAATATTGGATTATTGACCTCTGTGCCTGCGCATTCAACGCATCAGCGGCTTCGACGATTTTTCTGGTTCAAAATGGCGGCCGAGTGGGATAATCTTATACCGGATACGAGAGAGTTGCCTGCTGAAAACGGTTCATTTCACGACGAATTTGAAGGTATTGTGCTCCATTATGTACAAAATTAAAATCTGTGAAAATTAATCCAATAATTGAGCTGCATCTTTGCAGTTAAGCGACCCTTGAAAGGTCTTTGATTGTCATAAAATTGCCCTTAAACCAACCCCACGATTTGCGAAATTTGTTTAGAAATTAGTGTTCATCGCTAGATTTGGGATTTAGCTATTTCTTGGATTTGTTTGACATGACGTTTTATAAGATTATTTCTCTTATTTCCTTTACATGTAGGCCAGTTGTTGTGAAATTCTAAAGCTATTTTAGGCTGTTTTAGCGATCAATATTTGAATGGAACGCATGAGTTGAGATACCGTCGTCTTGAAATGCATTTAATATTCAACAATCTTCCGTTTTTAACCGCCTGTTTGAAAATTGACAAGATTTGCGGACATTTACAGATTATAAATGCGATGAACAAGTGTCATGGTTATAAACTAATAGTTTAAACACACCGTAAGGATTTTTTTTGTAAGTAAATTATCAATTTCGTCTTGAAAATTGTACTTGTCGCCTAGAATATAATCAATACATCTCTTATAAAACGGCAGCCAACTCCTTTCTATATAAAATTCTGCGTGAAAATACTCTTTAATTTCATATACAGTGGTTTCACAATGACCAGTAGATTGTATTGTTGTGGTAAAAGTTAATATTTTAATGAAATTTGGCCCATTTAAAAACTCTAAAATTAGATGGCATTTTAATAACAAAGTAGAGACATTAGCATTTGGAGATTTTAGGATTTCAGATGTTACACCATGAAAGGGCTTCGATTATCCAGTATTCTAACCTTTCTTACAATAAAAGTATGTTTAAAGCTTTGTAAAGACTGAGAGTTGTGGAATCAGAAATTGCCTTTCACTTCAGACAATTAACTGTGATGAAAACAAGAAAATATGAATATGGATATCTCTCAATTTAATAGCTCATTACTGAATGCAAGACAAAACGCTTCCTGAATATATAATAATCAATGCTGACTGCAATATCTTTCCTTCTTTGTTATTTTTTAGAAACCAGCAAGAAGAAACCTACATCTCACAAAACAAAAAAGCCAAAAAAGAAAAAGGAATATTCTGCTGTCTCAAATGAACATGATGTTGATGTGACAGAATATATCATGGAATATACAGGTATGGAAATGAATGGATAAAAGAACAATAACTCAAGTGATAATGAGTCCCATTTTGAGGACATTTTAGTCATAATCAGGACACATTCACTGTCTCTAACCATAACTAAAATTTAGTCAAAAGATACAATATGTTATTTGGAGTTACTGTTTGTTTAGTATTCTAATCAAACACGATTACATATATGAATAATAATCTTCCTTCTACAAGCAAAAGTCTCTGCAGATTATAGTTAGGTATTTAGGGTTTAATTCCTGTAGGAATATCTTCATTGCATTTTTCCACAAATGTTTCTACCTTTGTATTATTGTTTATTTAATGGAAAAAAGCAGACAAAGTGCACAGTCCCAATTCATATACACATATGTAGTATATTTGAATAGTAAACATTTTTTGTGCAGATATCTTTGAACCAAGTGCACAGAAAAGGGTAGATTTTGTTGACATTCAAGAAGGAGACACAATTTGTGAAGCCTCGGATGATGAAATTGTTGCCCATAGCATGGAACAGAAAGCATACGAGCGTACGGATGTTGCGGAAACTGATTCTGATAATAGCGAGGACCTCTCACGGTTACCCCCGGTCGACATGGGTATGGATACCTTTGGGATAGATGTGGATATGGCATTGAATAATGGAATTGCTGATGATAGTGAGGAGGAGAATGACGAGGCTGTGGAGATGGATAAAGAGGGTCGTAATAGTCGTAATAGGGTGAGTAATGACATTGAGACAAGTTTGGTCGGAGTTGAAGAAAATAGGAAAGGTGATGATAAGGAAGTGGAAGAACATGACATTAATGATGAAACTGAACAAGTGAAAATACCAATGGTGAAGGGCAAAGGAAAGCAAGTGGAAAGAATGAGAGAAAATACACAAATGGTGAAGGAAAAAGGAAAAGATGAAACTAAACAAGTGAGAGTACAAAAAGAAGATGAAATTGAAGAAGAAGAAAGTGAAAGTGAGGAAAAAGAAATGGGTAAGGTGGAAGAGAAAGAATCAGATGATGAAAAAGTGGAAGATGATGAAAGTGATGACACAACTGAAGTTGATAAACTGCTTGCAGATGAAACAAAAGTTGAAAAAACAATAGACCAAAAGAAAGCAAAAAGTAAAATGGTCAACTCAGAAACCCAGGCTCATGAGGTTGAACCACTTTTGAACACTTCACAGACCCCCTCCCCTTCCATAACCCCATCTCCCAGGCACACACCCTCCCCTGAACCCCAGGAATCCCCAAGGGAGAGAAAACCATTCACACCCAGAGAATACCCTGGGAAGGCGGTGAAATCTATTGCAATTGGAACTGATGATGATTATCCATCTAATGAGTATAAAAGACAACGACACACCAAGGCAAGCCCAGGGCAGGCCCAGAAGAGAGCCCCAAAGGGTAAGGGTTCTACCCAAGGAACACCCTCGCCAATTGAAAATGGTGTGCACACTGCGACAAAGGTGGGCCCCTTGAAATCTGGTCGCACCCCAACGTCGGCTTATCAAAGACAACATCGCGACACACCCATTTCAAGGTCGGGCAAAACCCCTCAGGGGGAGAGAGACAGTCATTCAAGCGATGCAATGTTCTTCAAGCAGCGGATAACACAGACCAGCAAACGACATCCGAAGAGACATGTGTGGTTGGTCAGGGATAGTGAGATACATCGCTTGATTGCAGAGAAAGCGGCAATATTACGAAGATACAAAGAGGAAGGCATCACAGGTTTGTTACGAACGCAATATTGCTAGAAATTTAATATTTGTTCGTTGTTTTTACGAGCTGTTTACATGAGCCCGGTTACCCAAGATATAAAACAACCTGGGATGATTTTGAGGTATTGAAATATGTGTTTATGAAACAAAACAAGCACTCGCTATCGTTGAAATGACTACACAACTTCTTGGATAATGATATTTACTCAATCCAATACCTCAAATTCATCTTACGTTTTGTTGAACCACAGTTGTTGAACCCGGCTGGAAGGAACCATGTAAACAGCACCTTAGTCTATGTTATTGTTAGTCTTGCTGCTAATCTCTTTAAAAAGTTTACATAAACGTTATTACCATCGTATTTAGGTCGACAGAAATTCAAAGGTTTCCCGAATTATTCAGAAGTCGATGTACTTGGTTTGCCGTCCGTTGGTTACTCGGGTGGGACTAGGGACGACTCCTATCGACATTCTTTACCTTACGGCAGACACCCCTCGTCCCAGTCCTCCCAGGGGGGCTATCGTGGGTCGTCGTCCGAAGACGAGGATGAGAAGACGAATAGACTGGGAACGAAAGGCGGGAAATCGGGAACTTTTGCAGTCGGACTTGCAGCGAGGAGAGAGCAAGCGGCGAGCACGAAGAAACATGTGCCTGGTGACGAGGAAGAAGGCTGTGAATTATGTGCAGCCGAAGCTAGGGTAGGTTCTGAGCTATGCAAGTAAACTGGACGGCTAACTCGCGGGGCGGGGGGGTGATTCAAGTATTTCTGGGTGATGAGCAGAAATACTAAACACTGTGGTGTACACGAATCTGAAGCTATTTAAAAGGTGTATTTGGTGTAGAAGTTTCAAGGCTTTAGTCAAATGAGAAATACCGTTCATCGCAGGATGGCAGTTGTTTTCTATTTTAAATATATTTATCTTGAAATAATACGTGATTCTTTCTGTTTAGGAAAAGGAAAAACACGAAAAAAAGTTGAAGGAACTTGAAGATGCTGGTAAATTTCACTTTCATGTTTTCATTTCACCAGGAAACATTTGAGAATGTTGTCGTCGTGACCATGTTTGCTTTTGTTTCCCAACAGCGAAGGCCGGACCTCATCATCCACGAAACCTAATGTTAGGAATAGTTTACTCTGCCAAGGTAAATAAAAAGTCTTCAAATATAAACACAGTTCATGTGTTGTCAGCCACTAGAAACAGACGCATTTTCTTCTAAAAGAGCCAGCTCAATGATGTCTCAGGGGTCGTATCTAGATAGACTTCGCCGGCGTCTAGTAGACATCTCATGAATTCTGTTCATCTACAGTTTTTAGGAAGTACAAATTTACTGTCTCCGTCAGCTCCCAACAAGGCTGTCCGCCTGCAGCAAGCCCAAGAAGCTATCGGCCGTATCAAGGTAATTATGTCCTTTAAATGGTATTGATTTATTAGAATGTATTCTCTCATATCGTCTGTTTTATACGAAAATTATCATAAGGCAATAAATTGCATTGTTATCATACGACAAACGATATACTGTCATATCTTGAGTCATTGAAATCGAACTAAAGTATATTTTAAGAGATATCGTCAAGTTGTTCAACCAGGAAATGGATTTTGATAACTGGTCCCAGTTGTTTTCCCGCCATTGTTTTCCCGCCATTTTGGATCAACTGGAAAGTATCGTTGTGTTTTCTTCCAGGTCCCTGAAGGAGAGGAACAGCCTTCATCTGACGTCGATCTTTTTATCTCAACTGAACGAATCAAGATCGTCAGCTCTGACAACAAGGTAAGCTGGCTTTTTAGTCACCGTTCAAACTTACAATTTTCTTCTTTTGATAGATGTGAACGAATGAACTAGTTACTGATGTTGAAATAAAAACTCTTGTACATAAGAGCATTCGTAACTAATCACTCGTTCACATCTACCAAAAGAAGAAAATTATACATAAAATTGCGGCAAGTGTAAACGGGTTTTTTAAGCTGTTCTTTCAAGGAAGGTTACAATTTGTTGATCCGTATTTGACAGCAACCATTGACTGATCATCATCTGAAGACGATATCTTTCATCGCTGATATTGGTGATATTATTGTTGTGATGGCGAGACTTTCCACAGACACAGACGGCAAAACCTGGTCAGGAAAATTGCCCGACTTTAGCCCTCAGAAACAACAGCAAGAGGAGAAAACAACGAAAGTCATTTGTCACGTTCTTGAGACAGCTGAGGTTAGTTGACGTCCCTGAGACAGATGTGGGTCTGAGGGGGGGAGGGGTGCTGCCACCACTGCCACCAAGAAACAACGACTAAGCTGGGTTTTTAAATTCTCATTTTCTAGGCTCAGACTGTGGCCAAGACAGTTGGCCAGGCGTTTAATATTGCTTACCACGAGTTTCTCAAGACGAATAGACTGAATCTTGGGGAAATTGAAGATATGGAATATAACGGCATCTTGGAACAGCAGAAAATTCTTGGAGAAGAATTATCATTACTTGCTGATGAGAGTAAGACGAAAGAGGTTTGTACATCTCTTATTGATCAAGTGTTACTACAGGAGAAAACCTAAACTAAAATAACTTTATTTATACTGGATAGCTCTATCAGTTCTAAACTGTTCTTCCTAGAGGTCCAGTAAGGATCATCTCTTATTGATCCAGTGTTACTACAGGAGGAAACCTAAACTAAACTAACTTTATTTATGTTGGATAGTTCTATCAGTTCTAAACTGTTCTTCCTAGAGGTCCAGAAAAGATCATCTCTTATTGATCCAGTGTTACTACAGGAGGAAACCTAAACTAAACTAACTTTATTTATACTGGATAGTTCTATCAGTTCTAAACTGTTCTTCCTAGAGGTCCAGTAAGAATCATCTCTTATTGATCCAGTGTTACTACAGGAGGAAACCTAAACTAAACTAACTCTATTTATACTGGATAGCTCTATCAGTTCTAAACTGTTCTTCCTAGAGGTCCAGTAAGAATCATCTCTTATTGATCCAGTGTTACTACAGGAGGAAACCTAAACTAAACTAACTTTATTTATACTGGATAGTTCTATCAGTTCTAAACTGTTCTTCCTAGAGGTCCAGTAAGAATCATCTCTTATTGATCCAGTGTTACTACAGGAGGAAACCTAAACTAAACTAACTTTATTTATACTGGATAGCTCTATCAGTTCTAAACTGTTCTTCCTAGAGGAGAATTGATCCAGTGTTAATACAGAAATATTTCAAAATTTCTTTTTTTATCTAGATTGTTATTCATAAGAAATACGGAGAAAGTCTTTTGTTGATGATTGTTGAGAGTGGTTGGGGTTCAATGATTCCCACGGTGGTCATCGCTCATATGGACAACAAAGGACCAGCTGCCAAGTCAGGACAGTTGAATGTTGGCAATCAAATACTGGCTGTGAATGGTCAAAGCTTGGTTGGATTACCCCTACTGGAGTGTCAGAATATTATTAAGGTTAGTGTTTTAGAGAGATTTAACCACCGTTAAGTCCCTCCCGAATTAAGCATGGTTAGATCATGCAGAGGTGGTACATGTTCTTGAATAAGAGCTACCTTAAAGTGATCTGATGTTGTACAGAACTCATGTGAGTAGAGTTAAGTCTCTCCTGTGTTCTCTCTCAGTTGACTGAGTTAAGCATGGTTAGATCATGCAGAGGTGGTACATGTTCTTGAATGAGAGCTACCTTAAAGTGATCTGATGTTGTACAGAACTCATGTGAGTAGAGTTAAGTCTCTCTTGTGTTCTCTCTCAGTTGACTGAGTTAAGCATGGTTAGATCATGCAGAGGTGGTACATGTTCTTGAATGTGAGCTACCTTAAAGTGATCTGATGTTGTACAGAACTCATGTGAGTAGAGTTAAGTCTCTCCTGTGTTCTCTCTCAGTTGACTGAGTTAAGCATGGTTAGATCATGCAGAGGTGGTTCAAACGGAGGGGGGGATTTGTAAATTTTAACCCTATTCATATTGGTTGAATCATATTCCTGCTGTAGGTACAGAAATATGAAGAACGTGTTGCATTTAAAGTGGTCTGTTGTCCACCGACTGTTGAAATTTCCATCAACAGACCAGACACGAAATATCAACTTGGATTCAGCGTGCAAAACGGAATGGTATGGTTCAAAATATGTGTAATACTTTTGTCCTAATCTGTCCGATGACTTCACAAGCCGTTCACAGTCTCAAGACTGAGTAAGTCTGAGTTCTGTATCAATTGACTAACTCGTTGTTTACTAGATATGTAGCCTGATGCGGGGCGGAATTGCGGAACGCGGCGGAGTTCGTGTGGGTCATAAAATTATTGAGATGAACGGGGAGAGCGTTGTGGCAGCTTCTCACCATCATATTGTTGATGTTTTACAGACCACGATTGGAGAGGTTTGGAAGAAAATTAATTGTTCATTTCTTAAACTTCTAGAGATGATCCTTACTGGACCTCTAGGAAAAACAGTTTAGAACTGATAGAGCTATCCAGTATAAATAAAGTTAGTTTAGTTTAGGTTTCCTCCTGTAGTAACACTGGATCAATAAGAGATAATCCTTACAGGACCTCTAAGAAGAACAGTTTAGAACTGATAGAGCTATCCAGTATAAATAAAGTTAGTTTAGTTTAGGTTTCCTCCTGTAGTAACACTGAATCAATAAGAGATGATCCTTACTGGACCTCTAGGAAGAACAGTTTAGAACTGATAGAGCTATCCAGTATAAATAAAGTTAGTTTAGTTTAGGTTTCCTCCTGTAGTAACACTGGATCAATAAGAGATAATCCTTACAGGACCTCTAAGAAGAACAGTTTAGAACTGATAGAGCTATCCAGTATAAATTAAGTTAGTTTAGTTTAGGTTTCCTCCTGTAGTAACACTGAATCAATAAGAGATGATCCTTACTGGACCTCTAGGAAGAACAGTTTAGAACTGATAGAGCTATCCAGTATAAATAAAGTTAGTTTAATTTAGGTCTTCTAATTTAGCTACGAATGAAGACGATGCCAATCACCCTCTATAAACTTCTCGTTGGACTTGAGCTTCCGCAATATTTATAGACGAAGAACAAGCGCAAGTAAGAGTTTTATATATTTGAGAGTTTTTAATACGAGATTGAAACCTGTTAGTCTTGTGCAGCTTGAACCAACATAATAAACACACTCAGAGTAAACAGATAAAGTCTTTTAAACAGTGTTTTAAACGTGTACAATATACAATATACACAACAATGCCGCTGCTACACATGTAAACATGTGTTAGGAGATTTAGAGCAAAATGAAATCGTATATTTAGTGGTATATTTATAGAGTGTAGAGCCTGTTAAAACCAGAAATATACAATCAAATATAAATTACCTTTACTGAAATACTTGTGACGGATATTCACATGAACTGATAGGTGAGGACATGGATTGAAGCTGGGGGTTTTTATTGGGCCGAAGTAAATTAGAAACTCTGCCTTTGACACAAAGTTTAAGTGTAAAATTCTGAAATAATATGACCTCGATTGACGATGGTAAAGGTGGAAGAGTAAAACGGAAGGAAAATATTTGAAATGATGTTGGAATTACGATACAAATGACTGGTTCAAAACCTATTATCCTACTAGTTATTAGGCAGCCCAAGTGCCGTGAAAGTCTCAGTTCAATCGCTCAGAGGAAGTCATGACAGGCACTTACACAAAACATTAGAAACATGAATGCAACGCCATTCGTCAGCAATTTCAGGAAATATAAAAAAGGAGAACTTCCAAAGAATAAATTCATCTTAAAAGTCAAGATAAATAAAACAAGAAAGGAGAATATACGAGACTTAATTCTGGATTCAAAGTCAGTAAAGAACTTCAACTTTTTAACTGACTTCATCCTTAGTTACTACAGGGTAAGTCAAAAAAAACTGACACCTTTGAAATTCAAATTAGCTGCGAACTTATGGCTGAAATATGACAATTCCCATGTACAATCAACAAAAACGATTTGATAAAACTGTTCTTTTGTATTTACAGGGCTTAGAATGCATTTTAACTCCCAAAGGGAACAAACTTTATGTTTTAGGTTAATTAATATGATATGCTTCGTATAGCAATGAAATATTTTAAGCAACTTCTGTCACATTACAGCCGCTATGTGGCTAATTTGAATTTCAAAGGTGTCAGTTTTTTTTTACTCATCCTGTATAGCGTCTCATCACTCAAAGTCGAATTCAACTAACACATGCAGTCTTGTCATTCACGTGAATCATGCATGCCGCATGCATGCATGAGTTCATGTCGTTAACTGCATATGTGTATATGTCCTGTATGTAAAGTATTATGTTTCGATGTGTTTGAAGTGAGTCGATTGTTTTATTCATATCATGAGCTCAAGATTTCTCTATTCTTTGGGATTTGAATTGCAGAAGCAAATTTCACTGACGGTTTCGTTTTCCTATTTGATAAATAGACCAACAGTACGAATAATATCATTTAACATTTATTTCGTGTGAAACCCCAATTTGTATTTGCGAATTGTACAACGCAACATCTATCTAAGCACATTTGATCATCACTAGAACAGTAACATATAAAGTAATAATTTTTAACTGCACCAAAAAGCCAGGTCAAGAATCACCAGTTACAATAACAGTTCATATGGCAGCTGATGATTATTCGTGGGTTTAGTAGCAGCACGGTTTGTTGGTCTTTAATGTACAGTATCTTGTGCTCGAGCAGTCATAGTAACCTTCGGGACAGGGATCTTTGTAGTAATAGCAGGTACATCCAGGATAATCGCAAAATGTCTTGCCTATTGAAAGAAATGGAACAATGTTATGCTTCCTGACAAGAAGTGACAAGTGCATTCAAATAGGAGAGTCCTACATGTAAACAGTGATGAACACTGAGTTCTTTTACCGCGATGTTTAGTGTTGTCATGCACAGCCCACTGGGTTTGTCAATGCGATATTTCAACGATCGTAGAAACTTAAACAGTTTATAAACCTTAAGATTGCAATCTTAAAACATTAAGACTTTAAACTCAGAGCACAAAGATGTAAGTCATGTAACATTGATTAATGAGATCGTAGATTTGGCGTTACAAAGTTGCCTAATGGCAACGACAGATTATACTCTTTGCTGAGAAAATTGCAGAACTGAAACAAATCGTAGAAACAAATCGTAGAGAGACTTGTCCTTCGATTTAGCTTCCGTTTACAATGGCAGAGCGGAACAGTCTTGAAGACTGATCAGATTTATGGCCTTAGACCATGGCGTGCAAATGCCAAATTTTAAAAGGATGTAGAGCTAGTTCAACTTACGTCCAATATCATTCTCATTTTCCCCATGTGGATCTGAGCAGGTACCGAAGGCCACAATCAGCGCCAGGATAAGACAGACAGTGAAGGTCTTCATCGTAGAAATCTTTCAATTCAATATTTCCTAAGGTTGTAGAATAATAATATCGCAATAAGTTTCACGATCATCAATTCAGACACAGACTATATCGCATGATAATATTGTAGCTATAAACGCACCTTTAGAATACTCACTTGTATAACACCAAACCAAGTATACAGGCTGTTGCAATGATTGGTGCTTTATATAAGATCCTCTTGCGGAAGTAGGCAAATTGCGTAAACCAGGTCACATGAGGAATAACCATTCCAAAACCACTCGTCTTAAAGACTACCAGGAAATCTGCCCTGTCGACAGGTTTCGACATGTTAATGAAGGTGTAAATAAAGTGAAAAAGAATAGCTTACGTTGCAAAAAAGTATCATGTCTGCTAAAACACGAGAAAGTCACAAGTGTAATGGTAAACACATATTTTGACACAAACAATAGTTTTTAAAACACCAAAGTGTCCGATGACTCTATATCATATAAAGACCTCTTAGTTGGTCAGATGGAGGGCCCAAGATGTAGTCTTAACGACATTTTATAAGGTTGTATAACGTGTGCTGCTGGTTTGCCCAATCGACACATACCTAGGTACGGTTAAAAAAGTTTAAAAAGTCAGCCTAGAGAAATCACCGACAGCTTTTCCGGGAAAATACAACGGGGGCAATCCTTTTTAGCAAAAAGCCAAGTCGGCACATTATTTAAGAGCTTTGTTTGTTTCTGGCTCAATATCAACAACTTAATTCCATGTATTTGAACAACCCTCAAATTTTGGAGGCATTTTGACGCTATATTCACAGGGAATTTATGATCTGACAGCATTTTTTCAGGGCTGTCGAACTTATCAGATAACCTTAATCATTCCGTCAAAGATGAATGCTTTGGCAAAATGCAAAACGATGGATTGGAAATACAAACCTTGTGGCTTAAAAACAACAGGACTTCCCCAGGAAGGATGCCAAAATAATATTGTTTTTATCATCACATCTTCATGTGATACACTAGAACTGGAGAATAAATATTGTGAGTGCATTTCTCCAGGAAAGCTATTTCATTTCCTATTGGCTATGAATTTCAGTCTCTTCCTTTGTTACGACAAAGTTTAGTTTTTTTCGATAGAAGTAAGAAACGCTTTGAGCTGGAATAAATACGATTGTTTGGGATTTTCCCATACTTTCACAGTAATATTTCAAAACATTGCGAAAAATTTGACGGTTGTGATGAACAATGCTCTTCAATTTGTAATTTGAGACAAAACACAAATATATCCGACTTAGTTGGTTTTTATATCAAGCGGTTGATTTATTGTGAGGACCGGTGCTGTCATATCTTATCATGATCAGGGGAGTAGCGTGGCAGCGTCTTGCAACAGCTTTGCATCAAATGTGGTATAACAACTGTCTAAAATAGACAAAAACACTTCTCGACGTTTCGACGTAAGGGTCCTCATCGGGAGAGTTAGTATGAGGGATGAAAGTCCTATGCCGGTAGTGTGTTTTTGATACATTGCAAGTCAACATACTATAAAACATTCATTAGAAAGAAGTGAATTGGATCTGACCAGATTCAGTAGATTTGATCGTGTGAAGTGTGGACAGAGCTTGATGTTTCAAAATTACATTAAACGATGTTCACAACAATATATATTGTTGTCGTAACTCATAAAAGCTTTGTTTAAAAAATAAGGACTTAAAAAATTACATTTGTTTCCGCATTCGCGTTTCGAAAGCATTTTATTATTGTGCAGGCGCGGATCTAGACCGTATCGAACGTGGCTCGAGCCACGGTCAGATTTTCGCATCCAGAATTTTCCCATCTGCAATCTAATATTCACACATTATTTAGAAGTACATATTAATTATTTGAATCACACCAAAATTAAGGAAATATATGTCTAAAACAAATAATTCGAGTAATATCTTTCGTAATCGTTGTCATATTATTACCAATTCCTGGTAAAAGTGGGAACAAATTCCCAATTATTATTCCTTGTTTCATATTATGATTGTTCAGTTAACACTGAACTATAAAATTCGCCGAAAGCTAACCGAATTGTGCCGAGTATGTTCGGAAGCTAGTCGTGCATTCGAAGCTGCGATCACAGCAACTGGTTGACACGGTCAGCGTGCAGATTATTGCGCAATTGTTACTAAATATAGTAACGTCCGGACACGGTGCAGTGTAGCAAACCAATCACAGGGCAAGCTTTTGCCACGTGAGCCACGGTGCGACACGGTGCGACACGGTGGCCTGTTTTTGATTGCGCAATAAACATGATAAACAATAAAGTTCGACACTTCTCGACTTCGAACTCGGATATAGTTTATAAATAACACGTTAAATTGGTCTGTTCGCTGCATCCTGGCTGATTCAGGCTGAATCGAATGTATTAATACATGAATCCGTCGAAATTTCTCAAAAGCAAATCCAAGCGAGCATATTTCAGGGGAAATATCGCTTTTCAGGCTACAACATGATGGAATTATTACTAAAGAAAGGCTTCGCTCGCTCGCGTTATACAATCGCAACGACAATTTTTAAACTGCTATTTCCCAAGAGACAAATACTGAAAATCTTTGCTTAATGTCCTTGTAAGGTAAGACTTTTAGGTTTTAAATCGAGCTATGGGCGCTCTTCTTTATACGGAAAAACGGCCAGACCGGTTCTGTTGTGTTCGGTAGTCGGTACAGACAAAAGTATATTGTTATTTACATCTGCCTAACACGGGAAATGCAGTTTCACCGCTATATTCTTAACGAAATACTCTATTTCAATTTAAAATATGACCGGTCTGACCTTTTTGGCCGCTTAATGGAAAGCGCCCTAGGCCCTATGATACAAATTTGCATTTACGCTGTGAATAATTTGTGTATGCAAATCTCACGTTATGTTGAGTGTGAATGAAATATCCGTAAATACCTTTATAAGCCTTAACAAAAAATTTTGAAAATGGTTTTGTGGTTTTATGAAAGTACAGGGATTTACAATATTCGCTTTTAAACGTTCCCCCTTCGCCATACGCCCCCCCCCCCGACCGGAAAATTTTTAGTCCAATATGACACGGTCAGATTTTCGGCTGGATCCGCGCCTGTTGTGTGTGTTGTTTTCCTTGAACTAGGTAAAAACTCCATCCGTTTATTTTATTGAAAAGGTTTTCCAGGTATAACAGTTATCAGTAAACATGAAGAAGGGTTTTCGCAGAAGAACGAGAAACGTCTTCTCAGAAAATAAACACCTTTTCTGATCCGGTTTCGGAAGTGACTGGAAGAAGGAACTTTGAAAAATATTGGCAAAGTGCGCCTCTCTATTTTAAAGTCAGCCCATAACTCGATAAATACAATCAAAACTCCCAGAAAATTAAAGATAAATTAGACTTTATTCCTTATTTTGAAGGTGACAGACATAACCGTCCATCATACTACGAGTTATATAAAGTATCAATGAACTTTTCCAATATGGCCTCTCATTTCCCTCGCTGTTGATGGCAGATTTACTTTAGAGGACGAAATAAGAGACTTCTATGTTTTTAGCGAAAATATCATTTTTCTTTTATGTGTTATTTCAATAATCAAGCGTTCTTAATTACTTTTTACTGGCGTTTTATATGTAGGCATACTAGGCAATTATAGTAGGCAAAAATTTATTAAAGAAACATGTCTGACGTAACAATAACAACAGCAAGCCTCAAGTTGTATGTAGATAAGGTGTTGAAGCTTCAAAAGAACTTTAACTGGATGATGGACAGCTATGTACTTGTAAGTTTTGCATGCAATCATCATAAACAAAATTGCCAATTACTAGTACATATTGCAACCACCATTATCACCATCAGTTCTATCACAATGGTTACCACGATTATCTGCAATGTCACCATCACTATCCTTGTCACCATCAGTCATCCTCACCCTGCTAGGCTGTTACTATAATAATTGCCATCATCTACAATAATTAAGGTACCATTTTCTATTCACCGTTTCAATTGATTAATTGTGCACAGGATTTTTTCACTGAAAATTTGTGGCATAAACTCCCAAGAAAATGGGCAGATGCTCTCTCTGAACTACAGCCTAAAGATATTGCTTACTTTTTCTTCGAAATGCCATCTCCTGTGAAACCTAATCAAAACTCACAAACGCCAAAATTTAGGTGGGTTTCAGAAAGCATTTTGAACAATGAAAAAAGTTGTGTCTTGGCCTTGTAGTAACTAGTTGATTTTGAAAACACCACAACGTTTTTGTTTATTTCTGCAATTGCTTCCTAACTTTTTAGAAATGTTTGGCCTTTAGAACTTTTGGCATTCCTTACCACATGTTATGCACTGAAGTTGGAGAATCAGAAATATTTAAAAATTATCAACCAGGTGAACACTCCTGAAAAAAGCAACTCTCCAAGAGAATGTACAAAGTCAAAAACATTTGAAAGGGAACCATGTGATACCAACAGGAATTGTAATATTCAAAAGGTTTCTGACAGTGGTGTGATGCAGCAAAAGGTTGAACATTTCAGTGACCCATTCCGACGTCACATCAAACCAAAGAAGCAATATGAGATCAACGTTCTCTCCAAGGTGACATAGAGTTACTTGCTGTGTTTTGTGATAAGATTATAGCAGAAGTAATGCCATCTCTGGATTGCTAGTCAATGTAGTTAAATAGAGGTGACAAAAACTGTTTGTATTCCTTTATAAATGATGGTGTTTGCTTTTCATACAAGGTAATTTGGGAACAAACAGAAAGACTACAGTGTTGGAATATTGTGGTAAGACTGGGTGTATATAAATTCTTCTTTTTTCAAAAACTTCCACAGTCTAAGAAGCACTTACAAACTGGATAAAACTGCTTAGAATCCGGCAGATGAACCATACAAACACGAAATATGTGATGCACTTGATACATCCTATGTTTCAGGATGTCGGTGCAGGATTGGGTCACTTATCCCGTTTACTGAGCTACGGTTATAAGCTACGAGTTGTGACGATAGAAGGCGTTGGCTGTCACAAGAATAACGCTGAAAAAATTGACGAGAAAGTTCTCAAGAAGTTGCAAAAACAGGAATCCGCGGAAAAGGTGACCTAGCTGTAGTCTTCTGAAACACCAACCCGTTAATAACAAGACCACAGAATTGTGGTCTTTTTTCTCAATTTTTATTTTATTTCAGGCTGTAGAAACTGTTGATAAACCACTTGTTCATATCACACATCATGTAAGAATATAAAAAAGTACAATTCCGGTATTTTGTGTCCAAGACCCAAGGAAGAATACTCATGCATTAACAAAGATTCTATTCTAGATAAATGCAGACATTTCAACTGAGAAGTTCGCGAAAATTGTCTCCGACGCCTTTTCAAAGATGGAAAGCGATGAAACAAGCAAGCAGTTAAACTCGCAAAAGATGTTTGCATCCTCAGAAAACTTTATCATTGTTGGTCTGCACACTTGCGGTGATTTGGCGCCAACTTTACTGCGAGTTTTTACTCAATGCCAGAGTGCTGTCGGGTTGATCTCAGTCGGTTGTTGTTATATGAAATTAAGCCACGAAAAATCCACTAGAGATCAAACCACTCCAACACTTCGAGGCAACAAGTTTAATATGATCAATTCAACAAACACGGACAGCATAAGGACTGGAGACAAAGAATCGACAATCCAAAATGAAGTGGATCTCACAGGCGCTCATGTCGATCATATTCCTTCGGAGGTTTTTGGTCGTTCTCAGGAAGATGCTTTTGTAAAAGTCCTGGGTTATCCAATGAGTCATTGTGTTAAAGGATTTTTGAATCATAAACAGACTTATAACGCTCTCGAATCGGCTTGCCACGCAATCGACAGATATCACAAGAAATTGTTAGGTAAATGAGTCGTAATAGATGCTTGGATAAGGAGAAAGGATCGTTATACTTGTGACGTATTTTTCTTAAATTTTAATACAGAAATATCACCAACACTGAAACTTCACAGCTACAGAGCATTGCTGGAACTCTTGCTTAAGCAAAAAGTATAGTTTTATCGTCTATTTATAACTGTTTCCTATTCTAGTTTCCAAGAAGAATTGGGGAGAGGAGTGAGAGCGGGTTTTCCCGCCGTGATTTTGAGCTGAATGCTGAATAGTGTTGCAAATAGTGTTACTTTTCAATCTTTTACGGTTGTTTTCAGAGGCCAGACTGCCCCAGAAGACAGATCCGTACTTTGCGAACGAAAAAAGCAGTGAATATGTCATTTTTTGAGTGAGGAACTGACCAGTTTCTATAAGTGAAGTATATAATGAATTCTATTCACATAAAAAAATATATGAAAAAAATCTTAAATTTTCTTGGGTTCGGTAACCAAATATTTCTGCATCTTTTTCCTCAGATATGTGACAAAAGCCTGTGATATTCTAGAAATAGATGAAGACAGACCCAGCAGAGAAGGTTTTAATATTTTTATTTCTTTATTGCTTGATCTTTCACAACTTCTTGTTGATTGCTTTCTTATTCCATAGAAATACATGTCGTTGAAGAACTTCACGGTAGAAAACAATTTAATGTGGTCGTGTTTTATGTCTTGAGATTATTAATGGCTCCGGTAGTTGAAGGATTGGTCCTGGTTGATCGATTGATTTACATCAAAGAAAAACTGCCGGGTAATGTTTCAACATTTGGAAGTATCAAGTCAAGCTCATTCGTTTTTAGTTCTAACTGTTCTTTTGTCTTTCCAGAAATCAATGCAAGAATATTCAGGTTATTTGACCCTGATATCTCACCAAGAAACCTTGCAATCATTGCTGAGAAACAATAACATTTGAATCTAATGCCAAAGCTAATATTAAAGGTTCTTTTCAATTTGAGCAAAATAAAATTAGTCTAAAGCTGGCAGTCCAGATCTCATAACCAACCTCGCCAGCTGGACTGTGACCTTTCAATGAGACAGTTTTCAAGCTGGCTTTATAGCGTATGGGTGAAGGGAGCATCGAACTAGCCGAGGAACCCACTCGACCTTTTTGTCGGTGGGGAAGACGGGTTTAGCTTGGACCAGCGACTTCCACACCCAAGCGCCCGCAATGTATGAGACATATGTATTGCAAATTACATGAAGTATCATAGTCGTGAATCAATTTTCAAATTTGAAGCATGAATATTTGTGCGTGAAATTCAGTTTATATTTTTGAAATGCCGAGGGAAAAACGACTCTCTGCAAGACAACTTAAGCACAAAGGTTAGTGTGGAAAACGTTTTATATTACTGTGTTGTCCTATTACACTGTTTGTTTTGTTTTCATGTTGATTTATACAAGATCAATACATTGAATCACGTGTGTACATTAAACTTTTGAGACGTTCAAAAATTACGAAGAAACTTTGGAAATAAGTTGAACGAAATCTAAAACAATTCTGATGAATAATATGCACATCTGGGGTTATAGCTGCCAATTCATTGACAGAGATAGAGAAAGGCAACCTGCCTAAAATTCCCATTCTTTTCTGCATTACTTTGTGTGGCAGTATTAATGGCTGTCTGGTGTAGTTTTGTTTACTAACTATGTGTCATAAGCATTTGAATGTCTGGATAGCTCTTGATCTGTGATTGATTCCAATGTTTTCTATTCAAGATATAAGCGATTCTGAAGAAGATAGCGACTCGGAAACAATGGTTAGAAGTCCTCCAAAGAAACCTAAAAAGAACAACATTGGGCCAAAGTATATGGGAGAGCCTGGTGATGATTTGTCAGATGAAAACAATGCTATCCTGACTCCTGTCATAAGGACCTCGAATACAACTACTATCTTGCCACCTTCTGCTCCAATTATGGTAAGATTTACAACATTTGTACAAGTAAATTTGAATGGAAATCAATTTTTAAATAATTTAAAATTTTGTGGTTTATCTGTTTTCGCTTCAAATTTGAATTGTATGTAATTTTCAATCTAACTTAAAAACCTTTAGAAATTATCGCCAATTATATTTCGCCATATGAACATCTATTGCAAAAAAATATATTAAGTAATATAGAGTATATACTTAAATAATTACAGATAATTAAACTGCTTGCTAATGGAGTAATTTTGACTTTTAGCAACAAACTGTACCAAGCATACCTCCTGATGTTCCTGTGCAAAGCTTTCCTTGTGGAACATGTCGCAAAGAGGTGAGCGATGATGACGCTGCAATATTCTGTGAAAGTGGATGCAGCCAATGGTATCATAGGATCTGCGCCGGTCTAACCGAGCATGCTTACAACCTGTTGACTAACGAGGAGAATGCAGATTGGGTGTGCGACCAATGTATAACGAAACAGAATATCCCGTTAGTAAAGTTGAAGTCGTGACAACAGAATAATTTTGGTAAACAACATATGCGACTCATGGTAGGATGATTTTGTACATATACTCTAGGGGATTTTTACAATATACGGTTTGGTATGCTTCGACTAGCTGTGGAAAGCAAAACAGCCAACCATGATCAGGTTATATTTTATTTGTAACATCGATATGAAAAAGTTGTAATTAAGGTAGATCCGAGATCGCTATTTGAGTTGCGAATCCTACCTAAAGATACAGACTCTTTCATGATACAATACATACATTGTGGGGGAATTAGAGAACTATGACAATGTACATTCTATTCTCCCAAATTCTTACTACACTTACATAGAGCCAAGGTTGAAATGCTACCAGTTTTTTACAGTAGGAGGAAAAGAATTAAATGTACATTAAGTTCTTATGTAAAGTTAATGGACAATGCTTAATTTCAGTTGGTTTCTGGATAAAAATATAACCCCCATTATCATTTCATTGTTTTGAAAATTGTGCTGTTCTGTATGTCATCCAGTCACGAAATCCAGAGATCAGAATTTTTCATCATCTTTTTATTTTTTTGAAAATGTTACTGTTGCTGAACTCATCCAGTCATAATCTGGAGATCAGAATATCACATTGTCTAAATAATTATATTGTTCCCTGGAATGACAGTTAGTTATAAACATGCTCATGTCACATCATGGCACTTTGCTCTGGCGTAATTCTTTTTGTCCATCATTTCTTTCCAATGTTCTGATGTTTCCTGGCAAATCTCCACCACACCCATGCTGGAATCAGGCATTACCTTATCAGAACTTTTGATTTCAAACACAAATTTGTAGCCGCTTGTTTCCGAGTTTCCATTCTTCCAATCAAATACAAAGGGTTCATTCCAGACGGGATCGAGGCTGCCTTTACATGGCTGAGTGAATTTCTTCTCAATGACATGACCATCCTTGAGAAGTTTCACTATCACATAGGGATCTTGGAAAGTTGGAAAGTAGATGATGTTGTATGGTGTTTGAACTAGTTTGGTGTGTTTCAAATTGGTATGGTTGTTTATGATGGTATTGATGCTGTGATATGGTCTATTGTATTCTATGGTATGTGGGTGGTGTCTCCTCACCTGCTCTCAACTGTCGTTTTGTTTTCACTAAGCTGACTGCTTTCATAACGATCACGTTGATTCGGGACGTTTTCTCGTGATATCTCAGAGACACAAATAATTGGCCTTTTTCGTGTTTCGATTTTACGCTTGAACCATTTGTCTGAAGAAGAAAAAGCGATCAGATGTTGGTTAGATCATGCAGAGGTGGTACATGTTCTTGATTAAAACCTATCTTAAAGTGATCTGATGTTGTACAGAACTCATGTGAGTAGAGTTAAGTCTCTCCTGTGTTCTCTCTCAGTTGACTGAGTTGAGCATGGTTAGATCATGCAGAGGTGGTACATGTTCTTGAATGAGAGCTACCTTAAAGTGATCTAATGTTGTACAGAACTCATGGGAGTAAAGTTGAGTCTCTCCTGTGTTCTCTCTCAGTTGAAGAAGTTGGGCTCATACCGATGAACTTTTAACGTATAAATTTCGTACCTTTCTTTGCACTGGACGCCAAAAATACGAAGGTTCCGAAGGATCAAATGTAACATCAGACAGTTTCATGACAAGACCGCCGACGAAATGGCTTTGCCCGAAGCGATCTTGGGAGTATAACGAGAGACTGACGCTAAGCTGCTGTAACTCCGCGCTCGTAATTTCTTTACAAGTGAAAACGCTGTTGAACACAGAATTCGTGCGAAAATGTATCGACGTTTTTCCAACTTTTTCTCTTGTTTCACCATTTGCCTCAAGCAAACGAACCTTGAGAATGATATGGAATTAGTCATTAACGGTCGTTCAGAGTACGAGTATCAGAGTATCATTTTCATCGCTCATTGCATATGTCAGACGTTGATTGAATCAAAGACCGTACCTTGACCAATACCCCTGATTGTAAGCCAAAGAGTTTTGGCAGGTTTTGAGCTTGCAGAACTTGAATCGTGATTTCATTTAAGTGGAAGTTGTAAAACAAGGAAAAGTGCAGCTGACAAGTGCTTTTAGGTGCGCCCGTGTTCTTTCTGCTCATCAGCGGTATATCAAAGTCTGGTGCTTCTCCGTTGCTATGTACCGATGGTCGACCGTGGGTGCTGAAAATGGACTGGATACGATCCCTGTGGGACTGTCTTAGTAATATTGCTGAACTTGTTGGGCTCATTCTTTTGTAGCCATTCCCTGGCTTTTTGTATTTCATGTAAATTAGAAAGGCGAAGAGTAGAATCAAGGAGGTTGTCAACGCTGCCAGAACAGCGGTGATTATCATCCCCAGTTCACCCTCTGGAAACCCTTTATTGACGAGAAATAAAAACAAGTTAAATCTACATTAAGAACATGTACCACCTCTGCATGATCTAACCATGCTGAACTCAGTCAACTGAGAGAGAACACAGAAGAGACTTTGTCATATGCAGGCGAAAAACAATAATCACACGATATTTTTATATTTAGTCTTATTTCAAAACAGCAAACACCACAATTTAAAATGCCTGAATAATAATCGTTTGCGTTTCAAAGGAGATTTGCATATAATTATGTAATAAAGAGCACTCTCAACTTCCTTCAGCTTGACTTAACCATTCTTATCTTCCCCCCCCCTCCTGATGGGATCTCTCCAGAATAATAAACCTACAAGACAACAAAAAGAACACCTTTCTATATCTTATATGATGCTATTGGTCTGCGTGATCTTTCGTTGCGATTTCTGGCCTTGATATTTATATTATCAGTATGTTCTTTAAATCACTGACCGATTTCAAGCTGACTAACATCTTCCCCTAAAATAACTAGCCGGTGTAATTGCTTTTTCAGATAGTATCATGCCCTTATTTTTACTTTTATTCTATTCATTTCGTATCCGTTCTCATTTTTATTTGCACTTACGCAGAGTACTCGCCATATTCCGCGTCTCTGGCGAATATTTGGCGCGCTAAATGAACGGAATTTACTATGCAAATATTCAGAACCTCTTGTAACCTATACTAAACGCTAAAAAACACAAAAGGAAATATAATTTTACCTTGAGGCATCGATAGAAGTTTGTTCTAGATTGTGATTAAGATACTTAGCTCAAAGTGTCGTCAAGTCGAGGTATAAATCAACGTAGTTTCATCCAATCATACTCTTAGCGTCTTAACCTGATAATTATCAAAGTGTTTAAGTAGTGATTGTCATATATGTAACTCACCCATAGCCCATTTGGTTAGTCGAAGTTGTCTAAGATAGATCTAAGCCGTTGTTTACCTTCCATCGCGTTGGTAATCTGGTGCGCTTTTGCCGATGTCACTTTACACATAAACTGGTTTCAATATTGTTTGAAAGACAATGGCAGTGGTGATGTTTATGCGAAAACTAACATGAAAAATCACGTTTAAAGTTAATATATTCTGCTATAGTAAGCGGTCTTCACGCCAGTATGGATTAGCTGTAAGTTAAAAATGAAAAGTTCACGTTTATAATGGTATAAGGACTTAGGAAAGTGGATCTGTTAGGAGAAATTTGTCTCTTGTGTTTAACAGTTCCAATCTGATGAGGTATTTTCATTTATGGCTATGGAAAGTAGAATGAAGCCAGTCAGCATATTATGTTAAGTAATCAACCTTACACTACTGATCTTAATGGATTCTGGATCGCGGTAACCGCAAGAGAAACCAGCCTTGCCACAACTTGGAAGGCGGAAATTAGTCCACACTTAGCATTTGTAAACAGTTAAACGCAGTTGAATAAACATGCTTTGAAAAGCAAAGGGGTGCAAAAAATGACATCATGCTTCCCTGCAGTTCAAATTGTTTAAGTCGATTATTTTACCACATGCAATTAACCTAAAACACAATATATTATAATTACAAACGCGATAATTCGCGTTCAACTTTGTTGGACAAACGTGCATTAAATATTGCTCATTACCTAATATGTGAATAAACTTTGAGGAACTCTTAAAGTTGCTGAGACGAAGTGACATTATTGATTTATCTTCTAATGTGTTTGGTATTTTCACCGCAAGGTTTCGTATTCCGTGTGTGAACACTTTCAACGCTGATCACACACAGACTATAAACACACGAGTTATTTTCGTTATGATGATATCAATCGAGGAATTATGAAATCGATTCCCTGTTGCAATATGCATTCAAAGATTTCGTCTGTAGTCGCATATAACTAAGGTAAGATTTATTAAGCAAACTCAAATTAAATCGTTCAAGATTTTGTGGTTTATGGTAAATTTCAATTACTCATTTTATATTTTAGGTTAGGTTAAACGAAACGTTGAAAATTCCCTGAAGGAAGTTGGACGCCGGAGAGAGTTGCGTGTGCAGTCCTTAACAGTATAATCATTGAGATACTGAGAAATGGGTGCGTTTTAACATTCTATTTTCTGTCTTCGTTTCTCGTAAATAAGGACATAATTGTATTGTCAATTTTGAGGTTTTTTTTAATTCGATATGAGGTCATTTTTAAAAGAAGACCTCTCATGCTGTGTTTTATAATTTTGGAGGTTCTTATGGTAGGATTTCCTGGACTAGGGTTAAGTTTATTCCGCGTTCACTTTCGTCAGAGCATATAAAGCTTTATGTTCTTGAATGTGAACTACCTTAAAATGATCTGATGTTGTATAGAACTCATGTGAGTATAGAGTTAAGTCTCTCCTGTGTTCTCTCTCAGTTGACTGAGTTAAGCATGGTTAGATCATGCAGAGGTGGTACATGTTCTTGAATGAGAGCTACCTTAAAATGATCTGATGCTGTACAGAACTCATGTGAGTAGAGTTAAGTCTCTCCTGTGTTCTCTCTCAGTTGACTGAGTTAAGAGACTCGGATGTCCTAACAGCTGTTTCTATGTCTGTTTAGTCGATCTGAGCATGTTGATTGAAGGAATTACGGTGGGAATCCTTGCAGCTCTGGTTCTACTCTTAGTGTGTATCATAATTATCAAACGAAGACGGCGCAAAAAGAATCACCAGGCAGTAAAAAACTACTCCAGCGCTGACACCGACTCGTCGCCAACAGAATTTCTCGAAGACCGCCGAAATTTGGACACATGTCCTTTGATCAGCACAGAATACGAACCAGTTCAGCCGGAAAAAACGGTAACATGGGCTGACCCGGTGGCCGAGCCAGAGATTAAACCCCGGTCGTACTCTTGCCCGGTCGCAAGACGAAACGCTTTCTCAGATATCAACCCAAATGTTGATGAAAATAAAAGAAAATGTGCCGAGACGCCAAGTACACGAAACAAAAAGAGATCCCGTCGATATCGTATACGAAGTAAAACCGATCTGTGCTTTCAGGCTTGTCAAGTGCAGTTCACAGTATTTTATAATTACTATCATTCTAAATTAACGGTTCAACTGGTGTGTGCTGTGAACATCCCGTCAACGTTTGGTCTTACTTATGGTTCCTACATTGTGGTGGAGTTGCAGCCAAGTTTGAAGAAACATGCAACAAACGTGCAGTTTCATACCAACAATCCAGCCTTTAACGAAACCGTAGAATTTCCTGGCATCTCTTCCGAGGAGTTTTTGAACATGAGCTTGAGGCTCGGATTGTATGCGGTCGACAGACGAAATCGTAGCACCCTTATCGGAGAGGTGATCGTACCTATGGCCGAGCTGGATCTAAATCCCAATAAACCCAGTACAATTTGGAGACCCATAACAGACAACGATCAGCAGGTTTGTGTTATTTTATCATCTTGTCTCAGTGGCTTGTCGACTTATCTTATACAGTTTTTCTTTACTTCACTTTTGTACAGCTCTCTTATATAGCTTTCTATACAACCCTAATTTTCTGGCCAATGGTAGCAGAGATGACTTTACATGTGAACGAGTGAGTTAGTTATGGATGTTCAGATAAGACCACCTATACATCAGAGCATTCGTAACTTATTACTCGTTTACATCTACTAAGAGTAGAAAATCGTAGCAAATGGTACTGCTCGTGCATGTAACCTCGAAACCGGCTTGCACCAAATCTAACCTCAATCTGTGTTTTTATTATACTCGATAACGACTACAAGGGCACTGGGCATTCTTTGAGCACGGACGTCAAACAGCGAGAATCGACATAATTTGAACTAATTTAAGATGATTTTAAGCAGATAAACACGAGCATTGTTTAGCTATGATGACTTAGACAATGACAGTGCTGAAGCGGAAGACGTCATCAGTCTCCGCAGACGTGAACCTTGATAGTTCGGCATTTGAGAAAAGTTCCACAGAGAATTCCCAAGCATAAAAACAAAATTAGAGTAAAAAATAAAGGACATTTTATTTAAATAACATGTATTTTGCTTAGGTGCAAATTAAGTTCATTTTATGGTTGTGAAATAAACCGGCCTGCATATCAAATTTTAGAGCAGAGAATGAAATATTTGAAATATTTACTGTATTTATATATTGTATTAACTGAGATTTTGTAATGATTTTTCCTCGTATTTTGCTAGTCTAGACTCTCAACTTCTCTTGTATCTCTGAAAGATATCGTGGATCGAGGAGAGTTGACAATATCTCTCAAGTATCAAATTCTATCGAGTAAAATTACCGTCGTGATTATGAAGGCCGTTAATTTGCCAAATATTAGCAAGATTTTTGCTATTGGTAAGGCTCTGTTTATGTTACCCTTAATAGTTTTTTTGGTAACGTTTTCCTCCTGTAGTAACACAGGAGATGATCCTTACTGGACCTCTAGGAAGAACAGTTTTAGAACTGATAGAGCTATCCAGTATAAATGTATAATAGTTAGTCTTCCTATAGAGATTATCTTTACTGCAGTTCCAGGTAAATTCCCCTAAAACTATTTAGAAATATCCAGTTTGGACAATTCTCTTTTTATTCTAGATCCGTATGTTATCGTAAAACTCTTGCTCCATCTCAAGACGATTCAAACCAAAAAAACATCAATAAAACGTCGTACGACTTCACCCTGCTGGAATGAACCGCTGGTATTTGAGTTGGATTCAAAAATCCCAATCGTTGATTACAGCATGTCGTTCAAAGTGAAGTCTCACAACAGCCTGTCTGAAGACTTCACCGTGGGAGAGATTGAGATTGGTAAACATGCTGAGGACTCTGGCAGGCAACATTGGGATGATATGATCAAGAGAAAGAATCACGACCGAGCCATGAGCCACAAAATCAAGTGATCAAGCGTATTTTACATCGTTGTAACACTTAGAAACTCGTGCACTGCGAATTATAGCCTTGAAATTTGATACCGAGTCCGATTTCCATATTTAACAATCTGAAATGATTAACAAAGTCAATCTTCTTTTTAAACCTAACCCCAGTGAGTCTAACAGTGACCCTAATCTAAACCCTAATCCGCGTAAACTCTAACCACTTAAATCCTATGGATTACAGTGAGGAATATTTAATCCATCAAAACACACATTGATGATTGAAATATTTTTGTTCTCGTAATTACCAATGTACATTAGGCATGTTTACTTGAAGGGACTTGTAAATGAAGCCAATTTTTTGAAGGGAATTATTTATATTAATCAGGGCTGCAAGATTAACTCTTTCAGAGACCAAACCATTATTAAAATCAGCGTGCGTAAATAAAAAGGTACATTATTTACCATTTACATGAAGTATTAAATATTTAGGCATTCTGATTGGCTTGCCTGAAAAATGTGACAAATTTGCCAGTTTAAAATCCTCGATGTTTGTGAAATGTGAATGAAGTTGTATGGGAGGACTTTAAAATAAAACAGGCGAAATGCAATGTGTTATTAAGAGTTTATTTTTCAAAATATCGTGAAAAAACGTCGTAGACAAGATAAAATACAACAATCGTGGTATTAATACATGTGGATATTTGGTTATAAACTTATAATGATTAACTTGCTGAATATTAGAAAAGAAGTTAAAGAACGGCATCGCCATCTTGTGAAGTTAATATTTGTGCTTTGTTGTACCACGAATGAAGCAAACACTGGGATGTTTATTTAAGGCTTACGGTATGTCAAGCGTACCAAAAAGGGTACACGACGACAAATCCGTCTAAATCTACCTCCACGTGTTCGTATACGTATTCTGAAGCAACGTCTGGTAAAGGCATAAAACTTCAGTTCACATCCAGCCGGTACGGTATCTACAAATTAAATGGATGATTCACAGACATTAAATGCTGGTATTCTACCACCATTAAGCAAGATATTACAAGCCATTCGTTACACTGGCAAATTCTCGTGCTTTTCTTCGATTTTGCTTCTTTAACGATGCAATATAATGATAAGGTAAGAAAGAAATACGTATATGGTAGGATTGGTACGCAATACTTGAATATATCAACAAAATCTTTCTAGAACGTAGTGCAGCATTAAAAAATATCTGCAAGTCCTCAAAATGAAAGTTAGGGGCGGTTGCAATGAGCTCCCAGTCACCTGAGATTTAGGAAAGTGTGAGATGATTTTAAGGTTTCAAATTTAGTCTAACCAAGCAAGCACATTTATTCTCAGGATTAAATTCAACAAAATGTCAGGATAATGTTGTAAACTTTGAAAACCTCACATTAATTTAATGCTTCCTTAAATCTCAGGTAATCAGTCTCATATGAACTGCCCCTTGGGTGTGTGTTTCAGTACCAGTGACTTACATCTCGAGAGAACACGTCGATTAAAGAGCGTTAATCGATAGCTTTTAACTTCACCATTTTCCTTTAATAAGCGGAAAACTAGTCAAGAGAAAATTGTTTAGTGAAATAAGTGCCTCGCTGTTAACCTCTGAAATGGCCATAGATTATTCCATGTGATCTCACGTTAATATTCATCTCATGGGTTGTCATTAAGTAATCCATAATTCTGCAGTATTTAATCAATATGAAGGTGTCTTGGCTTTATTAGAAATGTCACATAGGACTCTCTAGGTACCATGCCCTTACAAAAGATGGTGAGTGTGAAATAAATCCAGATGAATGTGTGTTTTCATTGTACTTACAAAAACGAACTCCTCGATTGATTCGGCTCCCTGTCCTCTTAAACTTGGCAAACTGGATTTGTGAAGCTCCGCTTGGAACAGTGAATAACAGGCGGGGTCTAGCACGATAACGAAGCAAGCCGCGGGCTATTTCTGAAATCAAATTTACAAATTTACATCTGGACTAAATTAAAAAGACAAATTTATATCTGGACTATTTCTCATTTATATGAGAAATTGTCATTTATATGAAAAACTGAATATTTGTGTATTGCAATATTCTTGATTAGTCCAAGAAATGTTGGACTTTACAACCGAGCCCGTAGCACGAGGTTTTGAACGAAAAGACCATTTTTATATGTATTTATATAACAAGAAATGTAGTTTTTATAATTCATATAAGAACAATACATAAAATCATTGAATTTTTACCACTTTTAATTGGTGATGGAGTGGTCATTGGAGTTGTAGGTGGTTCTGTTGTGGTGGTTTCTGGTTCTGTTGTGGTGGTTTCTGGTTCAGGAGGAGTTGGTGGTTCTGTTGTGGTGGTTTCTGGTTCAGGTGTAGTGGTTTCTGTTGTGGTGGTTTCTGGTTCTGTTGTAGTGGTTTCTGGTTCAGGAGGAGTTGGTGGTTCTGTTGTGGTGGTTTCTGGTTCTGGTGTGGTGGTTTCTGGTTCTGGTGTGGTGGTTTCTGGTTCAGGAGGAGTTGGTGGTTCTGTTGTGGTGGTTTCTGGTTCAGGTGTAGTGGTTTCTGTTGTGGTGGTTTCTGGTTCTGTTGTAGTGGTTTCTGGTTCTGTTGTAGTGGTTTCTGGTTCAGGAGGAGTTGGTGGTTCTGTTGTGGTGGTTTCTGGTTCTGGTGTGGTGGTTTCTGGTTCTGTTGTGGTGGTTTCTGGTTCTGTTGTAGTGGTTTCTGGTTCAGGAGGAGTTGGTGGTTCTGTTGTGGTGGTTTCTGGTTCAGTGGTGGTGGTTTCTGGTTCAGTGGTGGTGGTTTCTGGTTCAGGAGGCGTTGATGGTTCTGGTGTGGTAGTTTCTGGTTCGGGAGTGGTAGGTGGTTCTGGTGTGGTTGTTTCAGGTGCTAGTGTGGTAGGCAGGGCTGTTGTGGATGGGGGTGCGGTACCAGGGACATACTCAGGCATATCCAGACAAATACCACTCACACATGCTCCACTGCCTCCATCACAATGTGTACCATCATCAACATGACCAGCACGAGAAAGAAGGTTGCTTCCCTCGACAAAGCATAATAGATTGCACTGTTCTATTAACGAGAACAAATATGGGTTGTATCACCATCTAAATTCTTTCTCATTTTCATCATCATCTTATCATCATCATCGTCATCTTATCATCATCATCTTATTATCCTCATCTTATTATCCTCATCTTATTATCATCATCATCATGTTATCATTATCATCATCATCTTATTATCATCATCATCTTATTATCATCATCATCTTATTATCATCATCATCATGTTATCATTATCATCATCATCTTATTATCATCATCATCTTAGTATCATCGTCAGTCATCTTATTATCATCATCATCTTATTATCATCATCATCTTAGTATCATCGTCAGTCATCTTATTATCATCATCAGTCATCTTATTATCATTATCATCTTATCATCATCATTGCCCCCACTATCCTCACTTTCATCATTATCAATTATCATCCTCACCATCTCCATAACCCCACCATCTTCATCATCATCCCTGTCATCAGTGTCATCCCTACCATCCCCATAAGTTCATAACCCACCATCATCCCCATAACCCAATCTTCCTCATCTTTAAATCATCGTCATTATCATCCTCATCACCCCCATCATCCTTATTATCATCCCAATCATCCCCTCATCCTTATAATAATCCTCATCATCTTTATCACGCCAACATCCTCATTACCCCCAACATCCCCATCCTTATAATAATCCTGATCATCTCTATCACCCTAACATCCTCATTACCCCCAACATTCTCATCGTCTTCACAGATTCGCAATACTACAGGTACAATATTTTTTTGATAAAACGTACCATTGGGGAAAATGTGGTGTCTGCCAGTTGTATACCCACGAGCAAGGCATTGCTGGTCACGATGATGCGTGGTTTCAGAACACGGCTAAAAATACAAGGTCATGATGTTAAACATTTGTTGCCCTTTAATAAATCTTGCTACGTGTAAAGTCTCGTTGGGGACAAAGCGTGTGATTGATTCCGAAAAACTAAAGAACCATTCAGACTTCATGTAACATCAGACTTTTAATATAACATTTATAGTACGCGCGTGCTGATTGGTCGAGAAGCGTGTTTCTATAACTGTATAGAAACACGGGAATTTTCCCGCCGAACTTGACAAGCGAAGCGATGTAATGAGAATTTGTAATTCAATCGAATTATAATATTTGTACAAAATCTTTTTATCGAGTTATATTATAAACGAAATAGAAAACGTTTTTCCTGTGTTTCTATACAGTTATAGAAACACTTGTGGGAGTTTGGGAGAACTCGAAATAACGTGGAAAAACTCGCCCTACGGGCTCGTTTTCCCACTGATTATTTCTCGTTCTCCCAAACTCCCACGCGTGTTTCTATAACTGTATAGAAACACGGAAAATGTTTTCTATTTCTTACTTTTGCGTTTGATGTCATTATTAGAATGAACAGGCAGATTCATGGGCCTTTTTGATGAGAGATAAACAGAGAAAATCTTTTTTGCAGCTTGAAAGGAACTCACATGAGTATTACACCATTCTCTAGCAGCAAGCTCCTTTGTGGGTCCCTCGCAATCTCTTCCATTCAGCGAAGGTTTGGGATTTGTACACGTTTTTGTACGAAATTTAATTCCACCTCCACAACTTCTAGTACACGGTCCCGGATCCATCCAGTCTGAGAGCGATCCGTTCACACCTTTTCAGGAGAGGAATCAATGGAAGTTTTTGTTCATGACTGTTAATTTTTTTTGTAGTTGTGATCGTAATAATAGGGAGCTTTAGCAGTGACTACGAGTACGACTACGAGTACGAGATTCGTCATTCTCGCGCGTTGTTTGCTTACGCCATCAGTCAAAACTCGTAGTCGCCGGGCATTTGAGTACGAGTTTTTTGATAAACTTCGTACTCGAAAGCCCAACGACTACGAGTTTTGGCTGATGGCGTAAGCAAACAACGCGCGAGAATGACGAATCTCGTACTCGTAGTCGTACTCGTAGTCACTGCTAAAGCTCGCTAATGATAATGGTGGTGGTGGTGGTAATTATAGAGATAGATGGATGGGGTTTATTTTCACTAACGTTAAATATATGATGATAGATCATTATGGATTGTGATGGAAAATGTTGATACATGGTAGATGATGATACATGATCATAGATAATCATAGAAGATATTGAATGATGATAGGTTATGATGGATGATGATGGATGATGATGAATGATGATGGAGTATGATGAATGATGATGGAGTATGATGATGATGATGATGATGATGATGATAGTAGTTTTGAAAGTGATGACTGAAACACTACATACCATCGCAATTATTTTGGAAAGTATCCAGAATATAACCGGGAACTTTGACATTCTCCGTGTGCTGTCCATCATCAATGAAATTTCCGGGAGGTGTGTAACGAGCGACAACGTAAACCTTTGTACGGTCCGCACTTCGAGCGTAACCAATGCCGAGTTGAAGTGAGTCTTTCCATACAACCTAACAATATATAACAGTTGATTTGTGTTTTTTCATACAACCTAACAATATATAACTGAAAGACTAGCTAAGACAGGATAGGAAAGACTAACTAACTTCACCCTAAACTGGTCTATCAAAATATGCAGCAAGCAAAAAATTATAGAATTAAAGTCATTCCGAAAAATGATAGCATAATACAAATTTTATTCTGTATGTTTCGAATCAAGATCGATTCACTTTCAGCGGTATGGTTTACGTTTACAAGATTTGCGCAAATCTTGCAACTGAAACTATCAGCTGGTTAAATTATAGACGATGCACTTAGCTGGATTATCTACCTGCGTAAAATGGCCAATATCTTTGTCCTCGTGACCTGGTCTTTTCTTAGACTCTGAGCTATCACCTCGGTCAAAACAGAAATTGTAATCCCAGATTTCATCGTACCTAGTAAGTGAAAACAGTCATTTGCTTCGTTATTATCGAAGGTAAAACAGTTCATTTTATCAGAACCGAACGAGGGCCGATTCAGGATCGTCATTGTTATATATAAATTAGATAAATTGTATGCTCTGCTGCGGTTCGCAAGTTTTCTTTCTAACTGCATGTTATTGTAAAAGGTAAATCATGTTTCCAGGATAATCATGGCCATATTTCTGCTAGGACGCCAGGATACTTATGGATATGTCAGCTAGGATACCAGGATAATTAGGGGTATTTCCGCTATGATGCCAGGATAATTGTGGATACGATGCATGTGAAAAGCTGGGAGCTTGATGTGTTAGCCCCATCTGCTAAGTTTACTCCTTAAGCAAAAGTCATACCAGTTTTTGGTGGCGTTTGTTTCAGCTCGTGTACTACCAAACGCCGTTGCTAAATTCTCTCCAGCTCCATAGCAACATGTTCCCTTTTCCTCACAGCTGCTAACTTCATTATTAATATCATCCTTCTTGTCATCTGCACAATGCTCAAATATATTTTTTTCCGCCAATAATTCTGCATATGATTGTGCCTGGCTTGTTAACCTAAATTATAACAAATAATAATTTAGGCAAATTAACTTGTAGGTACACCACGTAAGTATTTAATACTGCAAAGCTTTCGGTCCGTTAACCGGGCCTTCATCAGTTCAATTACCTGATTACACATCTACACGTCACTTCAGTATCCCGTTCAGTATTAGTTCAGATTTGCAGTGAATAATAATTTATTTGCTTGGTCGTGGTGTTAACAGTATTGGTCGTGTTTTGTACGTTTTGTAGTGTTGTGTGTGCTTTATGTTCGTTTTTATGATAGGCCTATTGTGTCGTGTCGTGTTCTTTCGTGTCGTGTTCTTTCGTGTCGTGTTGTGTCGTGTCGTGTTGTTTCGTGTCGCGTCGTGTCGTCTTCTCAAACACAAAGGTGTCGTTAAAAACATACGTTTCATTTAGAGTCATGGCAGGCACTCCGTGTAGCGATCGATAATAGTTGTGTAAATTAAGTTGATTTTGGCGAAACGCGTCGAGATCAAAGCCAGGATTCAGATTTGGATCGTTCAACTGTTGCTTAAGTAAATCATCAAAAATTTCGTCTTCAAAATCAAACCTGAAACAGACACACAAAAAAGTTGTTTTCCGATGGACAACAACCCCATTTCAGCATGATCTAACTCACATAACTCTTTTCATCAACTTTTAATCCAGCCTTGTCTGAAGCTTATTTCTAACCGAAATACTAACCTCGTTCGCGCTTTTACAAATACAATCAACTGGAAAAGCAGTAGAAATCTAAACATGGTTGATCCTGAAAAACAAATTTATAGTGATACAATTATACGTTGTTTATTGTTCTTTCAAAGTTTTCATCGCACATTAAAGCAATTCCGTTCAGAAGTAAAGTTGGAAAAAAGGGAAAATTTGACTCCGCGAGGTGTAAATTATCCCACGTAATTTAAACATGGCTCCATCCATTTTGTAACCGGGTTCTTCAACTGTGTATTATTTTCGAAATATTGCTTTTGTTTGTTCTAGTTTGATGTCGTTCTTCAACATAAATGCAACGATAAATATTCCTTGATTTTAAATCACTCTTTGGAATGGATCTTTCCAGACCTTAATCATATGGGCGATAAATTTATGCACATCGTCAATAAACGTTTTCTAATACGTTTTGCGCGTTTTGCTCAGAATGTTGAGGAGATTTGACTGGCTCAGCAAGCTTCCGCCGCTCCAATCATGTTTCAGATAGTGTCAGCCAATCATGTTTCAGCCAATCATGTTTCAGCCAATCATGTTTCAGCCAATCATGTTTCGTGTAATATCAGCATTGTTTTCGAGCATTTCTCTTATCTCTTAAAAGGATCGTCACCCGTAGGACGTCTTTTGTTCATGGTTTTGTGATTGATATAAGATATGGTTTTAACCAGTCTGTAATTTCCCTCGCTTCGCTTCTGGAACTCTTTTCAATTTCAAGCATGAAAACCCAAGCAGAGGCGGTTTTGTAAAGTGCATATAGATTTAATGATATGGAAATGAAGTGGTTTATTTTGGGAAAGGGCCCACCCTATTGTGATGCAACTGGTAAATATCGCCCGCACGCAACCCCTCTCATTTGTTGCCTGAACTGAAATAGTCCTAGCAAATGCTTTATTTCCTAACCTGATAGCAGGATTTCATGCAGTCATAAATATACGTAGTTTCTTTAGTCATCTTAACGCGATATTAACTACACAGATGGAACATATTTAGCGTGTCTACAGGGTGTCTAAAAAAAACGCAAAAAAAAAACGCCACTTAAATGTGCAAGAACATTAATACAGCTCTAAAGCGCAATAGATAAGCACCTCTGGGAATTGAAAATGGCTTTTAATCCTTCATTTAAAATACTAAAAGCATTTTAGCTGAACTATGGTGCAAACCCGAACAATATTAATATTCTTGCATATTTAAGTGGTTGCGTTTTTTTTGGGACACCCTGTATAGGCATTTATAGCGAAGTGTCCATGGCACATTGCGAAAGTGCTGGAATGCACCTTGGGTGACCCTCTGAATTTAATAAAAATCTGTGCCAAATCTCTGCGGCATTTGTATCTCGAAGCTAACAGAATTATGTTTAAGCATAAATCTTTGGGCTGAACTGAAAAGGAGAGAGTTCTGATGTGAGTAAGATTCTCAAAAAAGAAACACATTTCGAGGGCAAATCATACATGATCAGCATGAACTAGCTTCATGAATTCACACCTCATCCTACGCAGAAATACTTTTCGGCATTTCTTCAAAGGACAATCAGATCTCGTCAAAGAAATTCGCTCTTTGTTGTATATTGAGTGTTTTCGTCATACTTTACATGGGTTCCTTTTTGCCAAAGGAAATGAGATGGAGTGCATTAAACATTATTCCATACAAGAAAAATGCTGCAAAATCTTTATTGTGAAACATTAAGACTCTACCTTGTTGCTCTAGTATATATAATTGTTGTGTTTTTAACAATGCCTTTTCCGTTTCAGCAATTTTTTTGTTTAGCTCTTCAAAGTTAAACAATGATCAATATAACTGGCAATGTTTCAATGTTTTTATTTATTCCCCCGCGCTCCAGCATATTCGAGATCCAAGGAAATTTATAATGTGCTAATGCACTCTGTCTCTATATTATACTTTCACGCCTGACCATCTTATATATTGATAGCTATATATCGCCTGTTTTAAGTCCTATATTTCGTGTATCTATAAACGTACAGCCATAAATAAGACGCTTATATAAGAATAGGAACGTTCTTATACAACATATTTCAAAAGGTTTTAGCATGCAGTAATTGCTTGCACTAATGACAAATTATGTTAAGTTAGTTTGAAGTGGAACGTCTTAATGATTCTTTTCAGCGTGTTGATATCAGCTCAAGAATTTCACGCATAGATTCGACCCAAAAATAGACCTTATCTTGAAATCGGTTGAAACCAATGTTTCGCTACTCGTTACTTAAATGACTCTATATCAATTCTAAACGATACTTTTCTCCTCACGTTTGTTTAGTAATCGTGAAACTCTGTCATGCAGTTATAAAAAAACTTGGTGTATTTTTACTCAACAAATATCAGGTAACGTGAATCTCTCTATATCATTTGTACAACTGAGATAAATTCCAATAACTGCCCTTAAAAACGTTATAGAAATATCCAGTACCTTTTATTTCAAGCCTTTCGGTGCTTCCCGTCTGATCTTGTCCAAAGACTGATAATTGTGTTCAGTGCGATGAAGCACCACTGTCTGCACTCTTTTATTCGTGTAAACCATTCTTTTTAACCACGCAATTAACCCCCTCCTAAATCTCCTAATAAGTCAATCTATTGTCATGCAAAATCTCGGAGTCCTCAGCATAAAATTTTGACCAAATAATTTGTATTTAAGGAGGTCAGGATGTGCGAAATTCCGGTCTACCTTTTTATTCTTTTCTTTACCTTCGCTGCTTCCAAAGTTCCAGTTTTAACTCTCGCCTTTTTATATATTGAATAAGAAGTCCAATATGCGAGATGAAATTTTGAACATCGATATTTTACAGAGATGCTATCTCCAGACTTGTCTGGTTGTAAATCTTATATAATATGTATATAAGATGATCTTTGTTTCAAATCGTAGGGGTTCTCAGCACTTTTTCCCAGGTTCTGTTTATAGTTTTCAGAGTTTTAGACGACAAAGAGTCTTTTAAGATTGGACAAAAGCATTAATGTGTTTGGTGATATAGAAATTGTTAGATGAAATAATGGCAATGACAAAGTGAAATGGAAATTGGTTCGGGAAAATGGGTTTTAAATGAACACAGATGTTATCAGTGGGCGATTTTTAAACCCACTCTGTTTGGTAGTGTATAATACAGAAGCTAGCAGGAGGTCGATCTAGTTCAATTTATCTCCTGCATGCTTGCTTGCTCTCTTGCTTGTGTTGAAACGTTAGAACAATCAAGAACGTTAAGGCCGGTGATAAATTTCAAAGAAAGTTTCAAACTTTGGGTGTTTATGTACTTTTGAGAAATCGTTTGCCAAGTGTTTTAGTTTTTGATGTCTTTAGTCAAGTGTTTGTGTTCTTGACCATCGGACTGTTTATTCGTAGTTTCCTGTTGACGTCTGAAATCGCCTGCCTTTGAAAAAAGAACTCTTTTATTCTCTTTATGAGTTTGCTTTGAGATAAAGGTCCATATGATATGAAGTTAGCCAAATCACAGGATCTTTGAATGATACTAAATTAGGGTTCACCCTTATGAACCGCTAACCAATATTAAGGCTGAATCCTTACTTGAAAAAAACAAATACATGGAGAACGAATTTGATCACAACATTTTATTTAGTGCTTGATCATGCATTACATCCCCTAAAACTAAAGTTGTTTTAAGTAAACGACGAAAAAAGAGAAGTTAAAGTATTAAGCATTATAGCTCCATGAAATATCTGCAGGTGAACTTCCCGTGACAAAAAGAACCAGGACGTGGCCAGAAGTTGGATTGACAGGACCTGCACAAAAAAATTTGCATCTTTACTTCGCTATTGATGAACTAAGACAAGTATAATAGTTGTTTCGTTTTAGGCGGATTGAAATGGGATTTATGACAGACTAATTGATTGCAAGTGGGGTTTTTTTAATTATTGTATTTCGCTCAATACAGAGCTTGAACTGAACTGAACTGGTTGTATTGCATTGCATTGCATTGCCACCAAATACATTAATGCGAGCAGATTTTCATAACACATTCAAGGCCTATCCTAGCTCACCTAGTACTGACCACTAGTAATGAGACAAGTTGACTGTCACCCTCAGGGCAAGCAAGCACTACAGATAAAGCGGAGTACATTTCTGATAAATTATGATAACTTTCTTACCAGCAATGGTGATTGTGGAATGACTCGAAACTCGTCTGTAAACAAACGAAACACCAACAATGGTCTTTGTTTTTTCATAATAGCCCTGATAATCCACCCAGCTATTCATCCAAGAGCCTTCACTGAACTGGTAACCCCAGCCACCAGCTAATCTTTTATAACCAACCTCTAAATAGATACAAGAAGTCATTTTTGATGATAATTATTTCTCTTTCCTTCTGAATAGAAGATTCTCACTTACTGATTCCAACACCGTTAAAGTTTCGATTAGTAACGACAACATTTGTTGCACCATTTGGAACGATAAGCATTTCGTGGAGATTTTCGCCTGGTGTGGCCGTATAAGACCCGATTATACTCCCTGCAGTGAATGAGAGAGGAATGAGGTGGAGGAGAAGACGTGGATGTGTTGGGGGGAATGTGGGGGGGAATGTGGGGAGGAGAATGTGGGGAGGGAGAATGTGGGGGGGAAATGTGGGGAGGGAGAATGTGGGGGGGAATGTGGGGAGGGAGAATGTGGGGGGGAAATGTGGGGAGGGAGAATGTGGGGGGAAATGTGGGGGGAAATGTGGGGAGGGAGAATGTGTGGAAGGGGGAAGAATGTGGGGGGATGGGGGGGGATGTGGAGGGGGGGAATGAAAGAAAATTCTTACCTGCAGCATTGGTCGGTGGAGGTTCTGTAGGGGCAAAATATTGTAACATCTCTTTACACTCCCCACCGACACAGGCGCCATTGTCAGAATTACAATGCGTGCCATCGTCCACAACGCCTGCAGGTGAATAAACGTTTCCCGAGCCTCTGTAGCAGTACAATTTGCATTGATCTAAAATGATTGAATGCCCTTTGATAGAAAAACTTTTACGAAATATTCAGGTGGTGAGCGATGTTGATGGTGAAGATTTTATCAGTGTTAATGAGAGGATACAAGTGTTTATCAGTGTTAATGAGAGGATAAATGGTGTTTATCAATGCTAATGAGAGGATAAATAGTGTTTATTCGTGTTAATGAGAGGATAAATGGTGTTTATCAGTGTTAATGAGAGGATAAGTATCAAAATTACTTGAAAATATATGCGATTGTGCTGGACGACCCCGTGCTTCACACTGCTGATCTCTGTGACTTAACTCTCCCTCAGGGCAGCTCTATAATACAAAAACAGCCTTGCAATTATTCCACAACTCTCAAACAACAAATCTCTTTCAAACTCCTTCACTTTATCAATGTTACACCTACGTCAATGTTACACCATTCTTGCGATGCAAGCTCAGTGGTGTCTCCAGTACAGTCAGCACCATTCAGTGACGGTTTTGGATTGGTGCATGTCCTTGTCCGAAATCGGACACCGCCGCCACAACTTCGAGAACACTCGCTGGGCTCCGACCAAGCCGACCATCCACCATCAACACCTAAAAACATAAAGCCAAAAAGATGGAGGGAGAATGTGGAGGGGGAGGGGGGGAATGAAAGAAAATTCTTACCTGCAGCATTGTTCAACTCTTTACACTCCCCACCGACACAGGCGCCATTGTCAGAATTACAATGCGTGCCATCGTCCACAACGCCTGCAGGTGAATAAACGTTTCCCGAGCCGCTGTAGCAGTACAATTTGCATTGATCTAAAATGATTGAATGCCCTTTGATAGAAAAACTTTTACGAAATATTCAGGCAGTGAGCGATGTTGATGGTGAAGATTTTATCAGTGTTAATGAGAGGATAAATGGTGTTTATCAATGTTAATGAGAGGATAAGTATCAAAATTACTTGAAAATATATGCGATTGTGCTGGACGACCCCGTGCTTCACACTGCTGATCTCTGTGACTCAACTCTCCCTCAGGGCAGCTCTATAATACAAAAACAGCCTTGCAATTATTCCACACTGACTCTCAAACAACAAATCTCTCTCAAACTCCTTCACTTTATCAATGTTACACCTACGTCAATGTTACACCATTCTTGCGATGCAAGCTCAGTGGTGTCTCCAGTACAGTCAGCACCATTCAGTGACGGTTTTGGATTGGTGCATGTCCTTGTCCGAAATCGGACACCGCCGCCACAACTTCGAGAACACTCGCCAGGCTCCGACCAAGCCGACAATCCGCCATTATCACCTGAAAGCATAAAGCCAAAAAATGTTATAATGCCAACCTTTTGATTTTTTACGGCGTGAGTTAGATCATGATAAAAAGTCGCATACCATCACAATTATCCTGGAAAGTTTCAAACAAATAGTCCGCCTTTGGAACATTCTGTCCGTATTGTCCACGAACATTACCATGGTCTAAATAACGTCCAACAACAAAGACTCTTTCCTTGTCGCTGGTTCTTGCATAACCAATACCCAGTTTTGTCGAGGTTCTCCAAATTACCTGTGCGAGAGTATGCGATTTGTATTGCGTTTGATAGAATAAGTTTTCAACTTACCCCGCAATGGTTATATAATAAAACTGAACTGAATCATTACAAGTTGGATGATGAAAGCTTTCTGGAATGCACGAAACTTTTGTTTAAGGCAGTGAATATTTGTATTTATAATTGAGTTGGTTTGCAAAGATCACAATGCGACTGGGAGATTGAGAAAGACGTTAAAGATTGGAGGAAAATTGTAGTGATACTCTGAGATGAAATGATCGATTTGGTCAAAATTATGGACATATCTAGTATATACAATAATTTGCTCTCTTATCATTCTTAGACGGACTATATCAGTTAAGGTACATCGAAAAGTATACTTGTTATACTAGAGCTGCAAATACAGACAAGGAAATGGCACTTATTAGAATACTTGCTCGTCTGTAGTCGATCAAAGGCAAGGAGCAAACTAGCTTGATACGGTCAGGTACCTGTGTAAAATGTCCGATTGCCTTTCCTTCGTGTCCAGGCCTATTGAAATTGGTTTCGTCGTGACAATAATTGTAGTCCCAAACCTCATCGTACCTATGGAAATAGACTCCAGTTATATATATATAGATCTTCAACACTTCAACAACAGGAATGAAATGTGATATATTGATATCAGTCTTACCAAGCTTTCGTTGCATTTGTTTCTACGGTAGTGCTACCCCAGGCCGAGGCTAAATTCTCCCCAGCTCCCTCACGGTCACAGGAGGGCATATTACAATGAACTAAACCCTGATTTTTTGCTGCTAATGTTTCGGCATATTCTTGTGCCTTTGCCTCAAGTCTGCAGTAAAAATTGAATTAGTTAATCAATCATACTCCTAATCTAACACCCAATCCAATCCCAATCTAATCTCAGGGATTAAATTCGTGTATTTAGGATTTACTAAACATAGAATTATTATCGATCGAAACAGTCCGTTCGCCGAGGTCTTGTTTATACATAGTTTGACTTACTCTGCATCTCTTGTCATCGCCGGAACCCCGTGTAGAGAGCGGTAATAATTGTGTAGGTTCAATTGATCAAGGCGAAACGCATCAATATCAAATCCTTCGTTCAAATTTGCATCATTTTCCATCAAATTGTTCATTATCATCTCGCCAATGTGATTGGGTCTAAAGCCAAAAAAGTTTGAACTAAACTCTTCCAGTAAGGATCATCTCTTATTGATTCGGTGTTATACTAACCCAAACTAAACTAACTTTATTTATACTGCCAGGATAACTCTATCAGTTCTAAACTTTTCTTCCTAGAGGTCCGGTAAGGATCATCTCTTATTGATCCAGTGTTACTACAGGAGGAAACCTAAACTAAACTAACTTTATTTATACTGGATAGCTCTATCAGTTCTAAACTGTTCTTCCTATAAAGGTCCAGAAATGACCTTTGGAATTTTTTTTATAATATTAAATACATTTTATACTATTTTAGACCATACTCAAAAATATATTAACCTGGCGTGAACCAAGACTGCGAACGCTTGGAAGACTAGGAAATACACGTTCATGTCGCACCTGAAATGGAAACAGTTTTTCTGGTAAGTGTGATTGCCTTGTGAGGTCATAGACTAAACCTATGAGAAGATCGGGGAATATGGTGTTTGAAGTTCCGCAAGAGGAAACCAGGTTAAATATATTCAAAAGGCGTAGTTGCTCTGAAGAGGGTACTCGAATCTTACGCAGAAAACTCATGCATGCAGTTCCCATGGAAGTTATCTTACTAAGTACAATTCTATAGCGAGACAACTTTCAACGTAACACAGCAACCCTATAAATACAGCTTTTTACGTCCTGAAAAATGCCTACAAACAACTGTATTAGCACAGGGCTCTGCATAGAACTGAGTTTATTCTATATTGTGCCGATATAAATGACGGAAATGCCCTCATATTGAGGTCACCGGGTGATAAAAGGAGGCCGCGTAGAGTGACTTGTATAACATTTCGAAGTCTGAAGATTCGCCTTTGGTTAATTTTGTTTAATTTTTGAAAGCAATATGTATGTCGATAGTGATTTAAAATGCATTCGGGTATAAGTTTGGCCACGCGAAATACGTCCTGGGGTTAATGTTAAATACCGTAGAAAGATCGAAGCATTTATTATTCAATTCTACTCACATGAGTTCTGTACAACATTAGATCACTTTAAGGTAGTTCTCATTCAAGAACATGTACCACCTCTGCATGATCTAACCATGCTTAACTCAGTCAACTGAGAGAGAACACACGAGAGACTTAACTTCACCTTATCTTTCTTGCTCATGAAGAGAACGCTATTTTCCATGCATTGTTTTTATTGTTGCATAGGACTTAAAACGCAGACAGAACAAAACATTACTGCACGATACTTACCTTAAAATGACCAAAGATTTACTATATAAAATTCTGACTTTGCTGGGTTAAGATTTTCTTCCACAAACACTTCCTAACACTCAACTTGAAAATGGCAATCCGTGCTTTGGTCAAACTGCTTTTATTTGTTTTCTCCGACAACGGATGCGTGTCCAATTTGAATTTTTTCTTTGTGATGTGAACTTGAGTGTTTTATATAACTTTGCAATATTCTCCGTGCACTCCCAGACGGCACGTGCTTCCGGAATCCCTTCCACCCTCCTCCCTTCCACTCACCTCCCTTCCACCCTCCTCCCTTCTAACCCACCTCCCTTCTAGCCCACCTCCCTTCCACCCTCCTCCCTTCCACCCTCCTTCCGTCCACCCAGTGACATTTACGTCATGAAGTAATTCTGCCAACGCCCCATGCACTCAGGTGATCTAAGTCCGGCCTTCGGTTTTTTATCGCGAGAAATGTAGACAGGTTGAAGGGTAAGCCAGCCGCTTGCCGGATGAATCTTGAACTTCCCTACCATCGTCCCGTCTCTGCCGGTACTGATATGAATTAACGTTTTACACGACGTGTGAATTTGGTTGTTTTCCTTACAATAAATAGCTACGATTATAAACACTTCAAATGTCTTTCACACAACCTATCAGTATGTATTTAAGATGAGCAAATCTTATTTTTCTATGTGCCGACTTTAATTTCGGTATGAAGTCAAACCAGATGATCAAGTTTTAAACGAGCAAGGAAAATCAGTGTTTTCCCCCCTTCTCATCAGATCATGCTGTTTAATATTTTGTTTTTTTCGAATATGTATAACAATTGTGAAGTAATATTCAGCCTACCTTTTAGTTGCTTTTCCTCCAAGTTCTTGTTCTATAAGAAACGAGGTTTTACAAGTCGTCCTCTTCTTTTATTCGCTTCGTAAATGAAGCTAATTAAGGCAACCTTTTGTGATGACAGGACTCTTAATTTGCCGTAATATACGTGTGAAATATTTGTTCAGAAAGTCATTTCGTTTTATTAAACTACAGGGTGTATCAAAAAAAGAAGACCTTTAGAAATATTGTTATTATAATTTAAATGCCTGTTCAATTTTCCAAGCCTCCAGGTCGCAAACATGCACAAGTGAATAAAATTTAATTCATGAGACAAATTATCACTGCATGTTCATTATTTCGCAGCGGTGTCCTTGAAGGTTGTGCTTATCACCCGTGGATTTCGATCAAGAACCTTTCGCAAAAGGTTTCAGAACACATCTGAAGCCAAAGGCTTAGCATAATGATGGGACATTTAAAATATAACAATAGTTTAATTGTTAGGCCACCCTGTATGCTGTTTACATTTAATGCAAAGGCTTCAATAATGTTTGTTCAGAAGGCATCCCGTTTTATTATGTTGTGTACATTAAGAATTTTATACAATCGTCAAGTTCACCCTCCGATGGCCAATATTATCGTTTGCGATGAAGACTATGAAAGTCGTACGAAAAAAAAAACATGTCTGCCAACACTCGTCATAGACATAGAGTCATAGTTTATCGTTTCCGTTGATTTTCATGAAACCTTTGTTCGGCTGTAAGCAAACAGTATTCCGACATATCTGTTTAAATACTTCTAAAATTGACATCAATTTGTTCAGGTGCCTTCGAAGTAAAATCATCTCCATTCTCAGCTTTCATAAGTCAACCCGTTGCGGTAAATTCTTAATTAATCTTTTAAAGCTATCAATAAAGATCAATTTATGTATCATAACTTAACCATAATCATGTCGACATGGGGATATACTTCTTCAGTTGACACTGCAGTTGTACCATAAGTATTTTTCGTTGGAAATAAAGTAAAACTAAGTGATATAATTTTGAACAACATAATATATTTAAACTAAAAACTTAAAATAGTATACACCCTTATATCTTTTTATTGCTTGCTACAACAGAGCTTTTGACTTTATACAACATTAGATTTCGACTTATAACATGTGATATAATAACACTAAGTGATATAATTTTGAGCAGCATAATATATTGAACTAAAAGCTTGAATAATATACACCCTTATATCTTTTTATTGCTTGCTACAACAATGCGTATTTCAGGAACACGTATCCCCAAGGAGAAGTAAAATTTAGTCTTTGTATATCAAGTCTCTCTTTACATCATTTCCCTGTTGACATCCATGCACGTATCTATCCACAAAGCCCTCTCATAGTGTCATAAATTAAGAATGATGTCGGAAGTTTACACTCATAGTGAGAGGGCACATGCACTCTAGAAGGTGACACCATAGCGCCAGGAAATTCTGGCTGGCGCAGTTCCATTGATGAATATTGCCAAATGGTGGTTATTGGTTGGTTGAACTGGACCTGTAAAATAATTGAGACTCTTTAGTATTAGCTCAAACATCATCTGCCGTTGGACCCAATAAATACTGGATGGATCATTATAGGGAACATTTATGCTTTGTAGTTAACTTACCAGGAATTGTTATCGTGGAATAACTAGACAGACGTTTGTATTTATATGTAACACCCACTGTGTTATACGTTGTTTCATACGAGCCATAGTAATCTACCCAACTATCCATCCAGTTATCTTCACCCCAGTTGTAACCTGTACCACCATCAGGGGTTTCATAACCAACCACTGAAATTGAGAACCGACATACATCAATAAGAGATCCTTACTGGACCTCTAGAAAGAATGGTTTAGAACTGACAGAGCTATCCAGTATAAATAAAGTTAGTTTAGTTTAGGTTTCCTCCTGTAGTAACACTGGATCAATAAGAGATGATCCTTACTGGACCTCTAGGAAAAACAGTTTAGAACTGATAGAGCTATCCAGTATAAATAAAGTTAGTTTAGTTTAGGTTTCCTCCTGTAGTAACACTGAATCAATAAGAGATGATCCTTACTGGACCTCTAGGAAGAACAGTTTAAAACTGATAGAGCTATCCAGTATAAATAAAGTTAGTTTAGTTTAGGTTTCTTCCTGTAGTTACACTGAATCAATAAGAGATGATCCTTACTGGATCTCTAGGAAGAACAGTTTAGAACTGATAGAGCTATCCAGTATAAATAAAGTTAGTTTAGTTTAGGTTTCTTCCTGTAGTTACACTGAATCAATAAGAGATGATCCTTACTGGACCTCTAGGAAGAACAGTTTAGAACTGATAGAGCTATCCAGTATAAATAAAGTTAGTTTAGTTTAGGTTTCTTCCTGTAGTAACACTGAATCAATAAGAGATGATCCTTACTGGACCTCTAAGAAGAACAGTTTGGAACTGTTAGAGCAATCCAGAATAATTAAAGTTGGCTGGGTTAAGCTACCTGGAGAAAAATACGTATAGATTTTTCAGTATAAATATTCTCAACTTACACAGTTTGTCATGTGCAGGATCACGATTAGTAATGACAAAATTCACCACTCCATTTGGGATGACAATCTTGTTTTTCCACAGGTCTTTGTTTGGCATTTTTGTAAACGAACCGATTCGAGCGCCTGGAAAAACACATCACAATATAAATTCATAAAACTCTCTACCACGTCGCAACCTCTTTAAATACTCGAACAAAATTCATGATACAATGATAAATATCGTGTGCATTTCATTTCAGATCGCGTTTGTGAGGAGTATTTGCAAGAATTACTATCAACGAAAGCAAAACTGATTTTGTTACCTGAAGAATCCGTTGGTGATGGTGGTAATGGTTTAACGTACTTTGGCATTGATTGACAAACTCCGAGAACACAAACACCACTGTCTGAGTTGCAATGGGTACCATCTTCTACTGTACCAACAAGCATGTAAGTATTTTCCTTCTGGTAGCAGTGAAGTTGACAATCGCCTTAGGACAGGGTGAAGTTGTTAGATATTGAAATATTCGGCATTTTTTAACGCGGTAAGATAAAAGAAAGGTTTTCTAAGCCGACTCACTCTGTCCTCCGAAGTTGTACGCGTCTGCTGGATAACCAAGTGCTTCGCATTGCAAATCACGGTGGCTCTTTTCTCCTTCACAAGGCTGGAAATATAAGTCGAAATTTCATGTTATAAGTTGTGCTATAAGTCGGCACCGCCCTGGGAGATTCGTTCTTGTTACCTGAACATTGCACCACTCGGCAGCAGCAAGCTTCTTGTTGGGCCCAACACAGTCTCTGCCGTTCAACGAGGGTTTGGGATTTCTGCATTTTCTTTTCTGTAATCGAACACCACCGCCACAGCTCTGGGTACATTTCCGTAGCGATGACCAGCCGGAGTAACCACCGTTTATACCTACACAGGGACGATTTTTTCGTTAGGTTAGTTTACATCTCCCTAATTCCAGCCGAGTTGATGCTGACATTCAAGATATACACTCACGACGACAGTTGTTCTGGAATGTTTTCATGAGATATGCTGGCTTCGTCACTTGCACATTATACTGTCGTGGAACATTTCCATGTGCCTTGTATCTTGCGACAATATAAACTCCGGTTCGGTCAGCGGTTCTTGCATAACCAATGCCAAGTCTGACAGAGTTCCTCCACACAAGCTGAAATGAAACTGTGTCAGAATACCTGCTATCTATATAAAGCTAACTAACTGTTATCTGTTACCCTCTTGAAATAAAGTTTTCAATCAATCAATCAATCAATCAATCAATCAAAGCTTTGCAAAACAGCAGTCGAGGCTTGGGAGATCTTGATTCCATAAGCACGATGGCGTCTTTGAATACATTTTTAGTATTTTCGTAAAGTGTATGGAAACTTTTTTAATCACCTGTGTAAAATGTCCAATCGGTTTCCCTTCGTGTCCAGGTCGGTGCATTTTTCTTAGGTTTTCATTGTGACAGTAGTTGAAATCCCAAATTTCATCATACCTGTGAATGAAGTATGAGCATTTAGTAAAAGGTAGCGAGATGGTAATGATTTTAAACAATATCCCACCAAGCTTTGGTCGCATTTGTTTCGATATTCACAGCGCCCCAGGCACCGGCTAAGTTCTCCCCCGCTCCATGTCGGTCACATCTTGGCTTGATGCAATGTTCCAGTTCCCCACCGGTGGCTGCAAGATCTTCGGCATATCCCTGTGCTTCTCTGGTTAACCTAGTGAAGAGAATAACTCTCATGACTCATTTCATCTTTGATTGTTTTTTTCAACCGGATCAGTCAATCTCAAAATTCGTTTCATCTTTGGTAAACTCACGCTGGATCCAGTGTCATCTTGGGTACTCTGTGAATTCTGCGGTAGTGATTGTGAAGATTCAGCTGGTTTAATCTGAACGCGTGAAGATCAAAATTGGGATTCAAGTGTGGATCGTTGAAATACATGGTGTTGAAGATGTCCTCATAATTGCTTGGCCTGGAAAATGAAATATGATTTAGTAATTTTTATAAATGTAACGACGCCGCTTGTTAGTGGCGAGGTTCAGATTTGAGGCAAATTTTAAACTTGAGTATTTGATTTTCTCGACGATATTTAGCAATATTGCCAAACTCTTTAATACAAGTTGCTCAATACAAGTAGTTCAATTATTATTATTATTATATTATTATTTAGATAAAGCTGCTAACCTGGCTTGAATTCCTGCTGCAAGAGCTTGGAAGAACAATAAATATCCAATCATTTTGGTCTGAAAAAAGAAAATATCGCATGAAGGATTGGACCGTGTTCTGATAGCGGTGAGTTGAAAAATTAATATTAATTTTTACAGTAATAGTTAAATATGGTTGCCTAAAATTATGAAGAATACGTTTGACAAGTGCGCATAATAAACTAAAGTTCCCTATGTAAGATAAGCAGTACTCTTGGCCTTTGTTGATACCCTCTGCTCACGTTTAGCAGATCCTCATTTCGCTGGACACACAAAGTTATGCCAGTCAATATCAGAAATCGTCACCGCACATTTTACCTTAAATATGCAAGTACAATCTTCCTTTTGTATGTCTTGTACTGGTCGGTGCACTGATCAATAAATACTGACTCCTAAGAACTAGCTCCGTCTTTTTATACCCTCCCATAATCGTGTGGTTAAAGTGAATATGCAGTCTAGCCATTATTCTGGTTGAAGTTAATCGAGTTACAACTTGATCTGACGCATGCTGTGGGTGAGAGAGTGCTTTTCCTGTTTTTCTCCCTCTTGAGGTTTTAAAGATAACCGCAGATGTATACGCCCTTGGGCTCAGACCATTTTAGCACATCATGGATTACTTTGCAAGTTTCATTGTAAAGAATTTCAATCGCTACATAGTTCATAGTTACTCACTACATACGATATATATATACTAATACTATAAGCACGCGAGTAGCTTTCTGCGTAAGAACAAATTAGGATATCATTCAACGCAATGAATTGCGTCTTAAGGTTTTAATTAAAAGCCGTATAAAGTGAAGTGATATTCTCTTATTACTCCATACATCGACCATGCAATTCCGAATGACCGGATTTGACTAAGCGGCTACATACGTCATTGAGGGCTGGATGACATTCATCGTGCAATTGAATGTTAAGAAAAAAATAACTTTAAGTGAGAAATTTTTGAGAAAAACCATTTAGGAAAAATCCTATCATTGAAATCCAATATTCATAGGACTTTTGCGTTGTTAATTGCAGTTGTGTTGCCAGGTTTTTTTTTCATTTTAATCAATGTGGTTGGCTCACAAAATGGAGCGAATATTAATTCCATTTTCACACTTGAAAATATGAATTAGGCTTTTCAACATCTTGGCCTATTTCTGACATTGAAGCATGCAGCAACTCACCTTCTCAATGCATATAACAACCCTTTTCAACACAAGACCATTCAAGAATATAGCAGTTTAACTTTAGTTTGATCTCTCTGGTATTCCTCTGATGTTTTCTACGCCAATAAATAAAAACCCTGCGTCGTGGTTTTACTTTATATCTGCGTCTGATATAATGGACGCAGGTTAATTGAAATTTTCTGAAAGGTTTGCTTAAGCGCAAACACTCTGATTGCGGCTTATTTACCAGCCTGATTGTGAAGTATTATTAGTTTTTTGTTGACAAAGCATTTTGTTATTATTGAATAGAATTTGCAGTTATTCTATGAGAATATTAAGTTTGTTTAACCGAAGGAGAGTCAAGTGTCATGGAAGTATTAAAATGGTGTTGTTTAAAACGATAACTAGGTGCATTCAGATTGTAAAACGTGCATGTCTGGATTGCAGAACGATTGAAGTTACTTGAAAATACAAGATGAAAGATTTTTCTTTCGTATATCTGGAGTCTTAGAGATATCAAACTTAGCTGACTTATACTTGACATTTTGCACCTGCATGTCTAAAACAATATAGTTTTATTACCAATCTCAAAACTATTGACCTTGCCCCCTCATCAAAGTCTTGATTTAACAACATTCAGTAAGTCGCAAGTCGCAACAGCAAAACTTCACGAGATCGGAATGAAATGAAAGAGGAACGACGCTTTACCAAGCGTCATTTTTCATTGGCCCCGCAATCAAGCTATTTGCATGTGACCTGGCACACGCGAAGTTGGCATCATATTGTATGAAAAAGGATTTTTTGATAATTTGCACTTGACAAAAACTACTTTACATCAATTATATATATAAAAAACACAATCCTAATGGTATAAACGACGTGGATGAAACGACTTTTTAAAAACGTAGGTCACGATCAAACACCACTTTTAACAAGACAATAGTAAATAGATTATAAGTTATTGAATGTGCTTCATTACCTATTGTTTTTAATGTGTTTAGCGCATTAAGAGCGGCGAGTTTTGACCTCACCAATGTTAGGTTTGCTATTGCGCTATCACAGTCAAGCGCCAAGCCACAAATGAGCTATATATAAAAAGTATTTTAATGACATTTATATACTCAAGATATCTCTAGTTTTAACGACATGCGTTTATCGTGGCATCTTATCTGGATAATGAGCAAATATTGCGGATTATAAGTACGGAATATTATTAAAAACGCCAGACATAATCACCGCAAATTTCCTATCACATTATCGTTTGTCCCCGACCGGTACTTCATTGTCAAAACGTCTCCGTGCTGCTGAGTGACTTGTTTTTTTGCAGTAAACAAACTTTCAAACATCATGCAGGGACAAGCGTTGCCAACATTGTATATAATTATCGTGATTCGTGTCCCTGACCACGCTTTTGAAGATTTTGAAAGATTTTTCTATACAAATGGTTCAGCTTTGCCCAATTTTTAGCCATAGTATTATAATGATCTGCCCTGGGCTGAGACAAATTAATTAAGAACTTCGTTATATGAAGCTCGCTAATTACCGCGCGATGAAAATTAGGACAAATTTAAAATACGAACTTAATTGCACATAATAAGGGCGAAGTTTTGATTCTTTTCTGCCATATTAACAAGATTAGGATTTATATATGAAGCGCTACTCCAGTGTTCTACGGAAGGCGTGTGTTTCCCCCCACAGGAAGGCGTGTGTTTCCCCCACAACCCCCCGCTCTCCTCCCACAGGAAATGTTTTCATAGTGGGTGGAGTTAAGCTCTACACTTGCCCCATCATCGCAGACTGTGTGTGTGAACAGTCAGAGCAAACATGAGTCATACTAGGGCATGCACCTTCAGCAAGCATTCGCCTCGAACATGCAGTGTCATCTCCCTCAACTCTCATCTGCGAGTAAAACTGTTCTCTTTTGCGCGCATGCAAACCTGATTTCGAAACTAACAAGGTTCTGTGGACGCCGTACAGCTCTTGGTTGTAAATGCATGCAATTCCAGGCGAAAGCCATGCAAGAGAGAAAGATGCATATTCTCATCTTCTGGTGCTGATCAAAAGCAATTCTAAAACTCTCTCCTTTCCTGAACTGCGCTTCTGACTAATATGTATACAGTTCAATATCCCATGCTTGGGTGGAGCCAGTCTTAGCTCAAATTTCATTTTCAAATTAGAAAATTGACACAGCTTTTATACGCATTCTACTTCCTTTAGTCAACATACACAACGAAGATAATTAAAGCAATAAGGATTCAACACTCACTTTTGACTTCAGAATCGCTATTGCATGTGATCGGCTCCACAGCTCACTAACCTTCCCTGAGCCCAGTCGCAGCACACACTCGAATCACATCCACCGGAGCAAAATTTTTAAACAGAACTGAATCATGAATTTTTAACTAAACTCATTATCTTCAAATAGGCTGTCAGATAAAATGTCGGAACCAAAATTAATCCATCTGATTTGATGCATATTTTATGAGCTGCTTCTTGCCTGAGATAAATTTCTGATTGTTGTGTTCTAATGTTGAATCTGAGGGCAGTTTTCAAAACATTCAATTTCAAAATGACATTTGGTTCGGTCAGGCATCAAAGGTTCAGCCTAAGTATTTCAAATTTAGAAAAAAAGACATTTCAACTGTAAGGAGTGTTTGGTCTAGTGTAGGTAATATTCTACAATAAGCTGTCGAACCATTGTGTCTGAACCAGCTGAGAAAGATATCTCAAACGTGGTGGTCCAGTGTAGGTAGTATATTCTACAATAAGCTGTCGAGGTTTGTGTCTGAACTACCTGAGAAAGATATCTCAAACGTGATGGTCCAGTGTAGGTAGTATTCTACAATAAGCTGTCGAGGTTTGTGTCTGAACTACGAAAGAAAGATATCTCAAACGTGGTAGTACAGTGTAGGTAGTATATTCTACAATAAGCTGTCGTGGTTTGTGTCTGAACTACCTGCATAAGAAAGATATCTCAAACGTGGTGGTCCAGTGTAGGTAGTATATTCTACAATAAGCTGTCGAGGTTTGTGTCTGAACTACCTGAGAAAGATATCTCAAACGTGATGGTCCAGTGTAGGTAGTATTCTACAATAAGCTGTCGAGGTTTGTGTCTGAACTACGAAAGAAAGATATCTCAAACGTGGTAGTACAGTGTAGGTAGTATATTCTACAATAAGCTGTCGTGGTTTGTGTCTGAACTACCTGCATAAGAAAGATATCTCAAACGTGGTGGTCCAGTGTAGGTAGTATTCTACAATAAGCTGTCGTGGTTTGTGTCTGAACTACCTGAGAAAGATATCTCAAACGTGGTGGTCCAGTGTAGGTAGTATATTCTTTAAGCTGTCCTTTTTAAACATCCATAGTTATTTTTGTTTTTCACGCTCTTTTTTTCTCACACTGATAATGCTAAGTGGAGCGTGCGTCCCCGCGTAATTAGGAATTTATCAACATTTTCTCTTAAAATGGGTGTAGCTAGGTTTGCCATAAGTTTCCCACAACACACAATCCAATTTCATCTGAACTGTAAATCTTACGGGAGGTAAAGAGGGTATAAGTACAATTTTTATGAGACAAATATACCATTAAGACGAGAGCCCCGCAAGATCAATATCTTTTTTACATTAAGTATTAAATGAATCCATGGATATTGATTCATTGATTTTATCCCGTAAACGCGATGCAGAGCACAGTATTGTGCAGTGAAAATTGCATTGGAATTTCCAATTCTCCTTTAAACAATCTGTTAGATTAATTCTTTTCTGTTTTGAGGTAAATTTCACTGTGTCGTGACAATATTATGAACTTACTTGACGTTTTTGTGACTTGGTTGACCTCATCTCAATGGTTATATAAATGGGGTCTTAGGTGAAATTTCATTCAAATTAATATTTAAACTGTTTGAGGTATGTTTCGAATCTTATATAAATGAATGTCAATACACAGAGATACCGGAATAATGCAATGCGTTTCATTGATGTTATTTTATATGCTCACTGTTAAAATTGGAGAACGTGTTTAATAATGATATCTGAAGAATGTGTATGTCTCTTGAAAGAGAAGATAAACTCTGGTGTATTGAGAGTCAATAATAAGATATTTTAATAAATACATTTTGCTTTTTCATTGAGGATACAAAAAATGCCTTAAATAAGCGATAAAATTAAAAATTCCAATGTGAGATATAGGACATAGGTTAATGCTCGTCAGTGTGTGTGGAGCAAATGATATACTCTTAATATTATGTTCTATATTTGCGCAAAACAGCCTTTATTTGCTGGCTTGTACTGACCTTTTCTTTTTGAGGTTCAGGAATTTGTGTAACCTTTCAAAATGGTCGCCAATTATATGCTTGAAGTGAAGTGACACTGTGCTTATCAAATTCTTTGCGTTTGTCAAAAAGTTCAAAATCAGTCTTCTTTTATAGCGTTCAAATTCATAGGAATTTTTTATTGTTAGCATTCCTCGCGTTTTGTACACTTTTATCAGTAATTCATCAGCAGATTTCCATTAAGCTTAATGTATTTGTTTAGATTTAATGTGTTAAATTATTTTCTCGGCAGGAGTGCCGTGTTAAAACCTCGAAGAAGGAATTAGCTGAGATTTTCGTGATAACAACTTACATTGCAAGTCATAAAAGAGACCATTTCATTATCTTCCCCGCTCAGTGTTATTGAAGGAACGTATGTAAAATCTCCAAGAAAAAGCGAATTGTGTTTTACTTTTTGGAGGCTTAGAGGGAGGGTATTTGCTGTCTTTCCTGACAGCTGATAAATTAAAAATATTTTCATATAAACAGGATACATGTAACAGCGGGTGAATTATCGTAAAACTGATTCAGACAAGATATAGACAATGTAACTAAGTCAAGCGAAATATGCGGTAATTTGCGTGTAAAGGTCTGGCCCTGTGACCTCAAACGTTACTGCTTCATTTTTACCTCAAGTAAACATAACTCAATGTTCTGTACTGAAATGAAATGAAAAATATCACATTTTCAAGTTTCCTTTTTTGGAACTATCTGTTTTCCAACTTTTATACAACTGTGGTAATCGATGAGCAGCACATATGTTCAATCAGACCTAATATCTAATCTTTGGACTGACTCACGCTTACACCGTAGTCTATATAAAAATCGACTCATTTTTTAATGATTGTGCGCTGTGTCAATATACAGCAGACTCACAAAATGGCCGAATATATTTTCAAGAATGACTTATCAGAAGACGAACAAAAGGTACTCGATTTGTTCAAGTTTTCTATGAAAATATACCGTTCTCGGTTTAAACTGTTTCTTTATGCACTACTCCTCCTAGCTATTTGTTATTTTGGTCGAAAATGTTTAATTTGTGTAAACTGTGTTCAGTGTGTTGTGTTTCCGGTTCTAGCGATGTGTACATTATATCCCTGTTCACTGTTTACATGTATTAAACTATAATATTTTCTTTCATCAGTTGATGGAAATTAAGCGGCAATGAATCTAGGATTCGTCCTGTGCTGTTTGCGATAGGATTTATACGTTATTTTTTAAAAATATGGTTAAATTTGCTAGGCAAACATTTCATATTGAACGTCTTAGATATGTTTCAATTAGCGCTTAATTATATTATTTTTTTAATATAAACATTCGGAGAATTTTCTTATTACAAACGCGAAGGTATTCACTGCATTTTGTCGTGCTTTATGTGATATTTCGTTAAGTATTTTCTGTTATTGTTGAAGCCCATCCTTTCTTAAGAATTTCTTAAACGTTCAATTCGTAGAAATTTTATTTACTAAATTACATCAACATTGGCGTTCAGAAACAACTTTTTTTTTAACCGACGGTCCAACTTCCGAGTAATTGTTATATCAAGTTTAAAACTACGCAAGATCTCTTGGTCAACAAGAGACAGATATTTCTAGTAACCAATTTGATTTGGTGCAATTCCCAACATTGAATGCATTTCAAACTTATAAAATAAACAGAATAAAGCTTTCCACTCAACTCTATTGAATGGCAGATGAAAACACACTTGTCTGAAAATGTAAACATGGGCTTTTCATAGTAGCCAGGGCATATTTTCCCTCATGTTAGTTTTTCATTCCACAGGCATTACAAAATTTCCTGGAAAAGCTGAATACAGAAATGTTGAGAGCAGGTTTCCCACCTGTGAGCACTGCCACGGCGCTCAAGTTTTTAATGGCAAGAAAATTCGACGTCACCCGATCCACAAAACTTTTCAAAAGACATTTGGTAATGTAGCTGATGTGAACTACTTATGATTTTGAGCAGTCCTTTTTGACCCTAATTTTGATTCAATAAAGTTTTAGCGAAGACTCGTAACTCCAATAACTTGGTTTGCCTTCTGTCGATTGTAGGAGGTTCGTGCTAAATATAAAATGTCTGAAATGAAGCCATTGGACGAGCCATTGGCAAAGGAATTACTGAGTGAAAAACTGACCATTCTTGTAAGTGATTCTCCACACTAGACCTTTTCTTAATTGATGTCCCTGTTAATACAACCATGTATTAACAGAGTTTCACTTTATTTGCATCTCTCATTCTTTAATTAACCAACCATCAACAACTACTTTAGCTGATACTTCAGCTTATCCAGCTGAAAACTGTATTTATTTGACATCTATTTATTTGACATCTAACTGTATCTATTTGACACAAGCTTTTCTGTTTCAGGACAGGTTTGAAGAGGACAAGCCAGCCGTAATATTGGTGAATGGAAAACATTACAAACCGGAAGGAAAAGATCACATTTATCTTATCCAATCTCTCATATTTCAGTTGGATGAAACACTCAGAAAGTAATTGCATGTGTCATATAAACAACACTACATCAGTTTCAAATATCTCCAACAAATCCTTTGTCTCTTTAGAACCACAACACAAAGAAATGGCCTGTTATTAGTTTACGACATGACTGGATCTGGGAGGGAGAATTTCAACTATCAACTCAGTCTTGAGATACTAAATCTACTCAAGGTAATCACCAAGGTGTTTTAGCTTTTTTCAATTTTGAAAAGCGATGAATATGCTGTTCAGTAACGGGTAACGCGCAAGACGAAATGGTTTATTTAGGATGTCATTTACAAAAGGCAAAGCCTGAAGCTTTAAAAGCGCGCATGCCTGTCACTCTGCGATTCATGTCTGAACACGCTGTGAAATATGGGTTGGTGTTTATCATTGGGAATTTTTGGGATCAGCATCCCTAGTCGTAGGATTCCCGGGGTACCCTCTGAGGAAATACGGAGACATTGGGGTGAGGGTATTAACTCCGAGGCTTCACACATATGGCACAAGCTCCTGTGAGAATTGAACGCCGTTTTTTTTTCCATATGTTTCCTCAATATTGCGCGTTGGTGGCGCAACACGGAAAAGGGAAGTGATTATTGATAGATATCAAAGGATGTATGAATGAACTGATAGTCTAAGCAATATAACTCTACCGTTTTATTCAAGAAAACATTATAAAGCAAGTATTGTGTTGATGCGAATAATACCAAATCACGTTCAAACTGATTTTTGACAATTATTTTTTATATCTCCGGGAGAATTTTTGTGCCGTAAAAGATCTTCAGAAAACTCCTGTAAAAAGCTGTTTTTTCATATCATCAAATATATTGAATATTTAGTTTTTATTTCGAAGGACGCGTATCCAGCCAGATTGAAGAAGATTGTCATCGTTTCCGCACCGTTTTGGTTCAAAATTTCATTCAAAATTATCTCGACATTTCTCAATGAAAAAATCCGCGATCGGGTAGAATTTTCCGACGTAGAAGATCTCAAGGGACATCTTGAACAAGAATGTATACCTAAGGATCTGGGTGGTATGTGGGACGTTAATCATAGTCTGTGGATGTCGAGGTGCATTTCGTCGTATAACGAAGGAAACTGTGATGAACCGTGCTTCCACATGACGGAGTCTATTGTGATGAATGATGAAAAAGATATAGGTAGGCGAATATGAACAGGTTATTATCAAATCCTTTGGCAGAACACAACAGCTTTTGAGAAGATATCTTGACTGTTCATTGTAGAATACTACCTACACTAGGTTTCAAGTTTGAGATCTTTCTCAGGTAGTTCAGACACAAAGCACGACAGTTTTATGGTAGAATACTATCTACACTAGACCACCACGTTTGAGATATCTTTCTCAGGTAGTTCAGACACAAACCACGACAGCTTATTGTAGAATACTACCTACACTGGACCACCACGTTTGAGATATCTTTCTCAGGTAGTTCAGACACAAACCACGACAGCTTATTGTAGAATACTACCTACACTGGACCACCACGTTTGAGATATCTTTCTCAGGTAGTTCAGACACAAACCACGACAGATTATTGTAGAATACTACCTACACTGTTTACATAAAATTTAAGCTACCGCAAATTCTTGTAGATTCTCCAAAAGAGTCGTCTCCAAAGAAAGTACCAGACATCAATGTTCCCCCAACCGAGTCAATACGTAATGATATTCCTCAGAACGGAACCTCTGATGATGGAATCCACCAACTTTTGGATCATATGAAAGAACAAGGACCCAGTGGAATCAAGAGAGAATTTGATAGTTTACCAAAATATGATCGTTCAGCATCATATAGCGTTTTCAAGTAAGTTTTCATTTGTTCTCTAGGAAGAACAGTTTAGAACTGATAGAGTTATCCAGTATAAATAAAGTTAGTTTAGTTTAGGTTCCCTACTGTAGTAACACTGGATCAATAAGAGATTATCCTTACTGGACCTTTAGAAAAGGTTTACACAACACAGATCATTCACTGCAGTTTCTTTTTATAGATCACCCAGCAACAGACATAAGAACAGATACGTTGATGTAATATGCCTTGATCAATCCAGAGTATATATTCCCGCCATCGAAGGAGACGAAGTACGAACGTCAACTGGTTTTGTTGCCTAAAGCTACAAAAGTTGGTAAAAATCTTTTCTTTGTGTTATTTTCAGACTACGGATTACATTCACGCAAACTTTGTTGATGGTTACGAGGGGAAGAATGCTTATATCGCAGCTCAAGGTATTGTAACTCTTGGTGGAATTTATGGTTGAACAAGACTTCGAGGAGGATTTTCAAGATTTGTTGATTTTAGCAACGTCTTTATACTATTTCAGGGCCTCTTCCAGCAACGTTTGCTGATTTCTGGAGGATGATCTGGACCACAGGAACTGTCGTGATTATCATGTTGACAAAGTAGGTTGCTGTGTTGAAAATTAATGACTGTTCTTCCAAGAGTAAGGATCATCTCTTATTGATCCAGTGTTACTACAGGAGGAAACCTAAACTAAACTAACTTTATTTATACTGGATAGTTCTATCAGTTCTAAACTGTTCTTCCCAGAGGTCCAGTAAGGATCATCTCTTATTGATCCAGTATTACTACAGGAGGAAACCTAAACTAAACTAACTTTATTTATACTGGATAGCTCTATTCGTTCAGACTGTAAACATTTATTAACTCTATCTTCCACTCCCCACAGAGAGATCCAAAGAGGAAGAGTGAAATGTGGTCGTTATTGGCCTGAACAGGGATCATTTGTGCAGTACACTGATCTCGAAGTGAGCTGCCTGGAGTGCGTTGAGAAAGATGATTTCATCAACAGAAAATTCTTGATGAACAATACACAGGTAATGGAATCGCTCGCTTTTTTCTGTAAGAAGAGACGGAAGTTTGACTGCTTCGTCGAACTAGCAAATTGAACTACATTTCTCTGCTTGTTAACGCAAGAATGCTGCGTATATATAATGAAATAATGCCGGCATATTGGCCATATTTCTACAAAACTACGGTCAAGTAAACTTAATCTCAATTTTTTAATAATTTTTTAGACTAAAGAATCTCGCACTGTTTATCAAATACAGATGATAAGTTGGCCTGATTTTGGGGTGCCTGATTCTGCCGAGCCCATATTCCAGCTTAAATCAACGGTCGAGGAGCTACAGTCCGCTGGTACTGAAACATCGCAGGCTCAACGTCCGCCTATAGTGGTTCATTGCAGCGCGGGAATTGGGAGAACTGGTAGCTATATCACGATAAGTATAGGCATTGATTCTTTATTAACCACGGGGAGGTGTAATGTTATAGACACTGTCAAACGTATTCGCGGTCAGCGGGCGCTTAGCGTGCAGACCGCCGACCAGTATGAACTGTGTTACACGTCATTGTTGGAATACGCAGCGCTGCACGTGACCAGTATCGCGCCGAAAGATAAAATTGATATTTTGGAATTTTTGAACGATTGGAAAAAAGCGCCGACGGATGAATATCGGTGGTAAAATGGCGGCTTCGAATGAAGATTTTGAATGAAATGAATATAATATGGCGATAGTTAAACATAGAGCTAGTTTGATGTACTAGACTGTCTCAACTAACGATAAATTTCAAATAATTTAATGTAAGATTATGAAGTCATAAACGGTCCCTCGCTGATCTAATAATAGACTGGGTTGATATAGTAATTGAACACAGAAAAGAACGAGGTCAGAATTAATGGACATTTAGAGACCATTTGAAAAGAATTGGCGCATCACGTGCACCCCAGGAGGAGTCTAAGTTAAGGCGTTAGTTCGCATCAAGTTCTGATTCGTTCCTAAAATCGTGCATTCATAGCGACGCACGTAAGATAGTACTTTGTTCTGAGTCAATCCTGGCCAGGTTTTTAATACAGTTGCTACGTCCAGTGTAATATCAGATCAGTGGTGATCACATGATCGGGTATATTGTCATACATAATGCACTAACTTATTACTTACTAATACACAATATTACAACGTTATCACAGTTATTCATAGCACTGACAGGATATTTGAAAAAATTCTTAGCACGCAAGCGAACGATACTTAACATATTCCAAATATTTCGCTTCAAAGAATCCTGACACATTCTTTATCCATAATTACCACGTAACCCACCATACGGCATAATATACCATTATCTCATATAAAAAAACAGAAATGAAGTCATCATTCACTAGCAAAATGCAAATTTAAAATTTGTAGTTTTAATTCCTCTACCAAAGTTATTTATTAAAGATGTTAAATATTTGTAAAGACGCTGTAAATTTACCTACATTTAAAATAGATAAAACAGAAATTATCTGTCTCCGTTTTTACGCACCCGTGATTTTAAGATGTCATGTGAAATGCCTTGCCGTGGTGTTTTTTCAAATCACTTAAAATGATCGTGTCTTTTAGTTGTTAATGCAGTTTATAAATATAATACAAATTTGTTTAACATTGTGACATAGTTCATTAAGGCCTTGTCGGATACTTAGGGTGTTTCCAGGAATTAGGATCTATTGGGTGGGTGGGCGACGTAGTGTCGCCATTTAGAAACAGTTTTCATAAAAAAAAAGCCTAGTCAGGCTGTTTAACCTTCCTAAAATTGATTTAGATTTTATGATGAGTGTGAACACAATCTTTTTGCGACATCTTTTTTATTAGCCTTGACGACTCTAATAGCTATTTCTGGTAAATAAATTTAATGATTGTTCGACACTTGGATATTTTCCCCCAATTGGGATTAAATCTTTCAAAACACCTGGGTGTATTTGTGGTTCTGACGATTTACTCAGTCCGGGTCGAACCAACACTTCGCTTAAAAAAATATCACCGGCAGAATAGATATGATTATCTTAAAAATGGTCATAGTCTAATTTTAACGCTGATCGAGTTAAAAGTTCATTCTTTGACCTGTTTTAATGTTCGGGAGTTCGTGTATCAAATTCCTGCTGCGAAAAGAATTCCGGAAATAGTAGAAAAAAAGAATACGAGATTTCTGACGAGAATTAACGATGACTTAATACGATATAGTATGCAAGTGAGAGTTGCTGATTGGAAAAGGATATTTAACTAGAAAATACAGCAGGACGTTATCAGGATTTGATTCATAAAATTTCCGCTATAGCTCTTCCATTCATTATTTTCATCTTGTTGACCAAATTTCCTTGTTTATCATTTGGACGTGAGTGGAAGCAGGAAGATCCAGGGTGTTTATCGAGGTCACAGCGTTGACGCGATTCACGTCAAAGGGAAATCGTTTTAATGGGAATACCTGCTGGAAATCATGCGCCAAAATGATATAGACGGATTTCATTAAAAACTATCTGAAATAAACGGATAAAAGTAGTATTAGTATAAAATGCTATTGGAAAGTTTCATTCAATACTCAAAATACGAAAGCTATTTGAATGATGCTCATCAATTCAAAACCAATTTGGCCTTTTGAATCAAGTTTTCATGACCTAATATAGTCTGGATAGTTTTGCCAATTTTATATTATAAACGTTTGCGAGCTAACAGCTAAATTCCATTTTTAATGCACGAATCATGGTACGTGATATGACAAAAGATGTAAAAAAAAGACGGGAAATGGATTTGCCCAAGTCGTAAGAGTTCACGCCATCTCGCGAGGTTATATACCAAAGATTGAACATCATTGTTATAATAAGTCAGAAACCTATCTACCGGATGTGATGTCATGTATGAGGTCACGATATTCGGGGATGTCCGGTCTTTGCTTTATATGTTCAGACAACATTCGAGCTATGATTCGATCAGGCGATAATGTCCATTAATGTACATCATTTAATATATAAGAGTGTCAGAATGCTATATAGTTGATAAGTGTGAGAAAATTTATTGCAGCCTTGTAGGGAAAGATCAGCTGAGGGCCAGATGTCAAGACTGATATCGATAAATATCTACATGTTTATAAATACATCTCGGGGAGTCTGAAATATATATTTATAGGGCCATTTATAGCTTCGTCCGCCCCATTGACAGAATTTTTTGAAATCTTTTTATGCAAATGTAGACAAAAATATGAAGTGAGTTCAATGATATTAGTTGCTCATGAAAACACTATTAAACGCATTCATTTCACCTTTTTATTAATATTAGTTACAAAGTTGTACATATTCACATAAATATACATAGTTGAAAGATGAAAGAGAATGTGTTCCTCATGTATTCTTTTAAGTTGATATTTGCTCATAAGGCGACAATATTCTAGATTTATCGGAATGTATTTCGTTCAATAGAATGAATTAACGATGGAAACTTCTAAATTTTCTCTCTTTTAATATTTCAATTTACAAGACTTCACATGCACCATTTTCTGTCACGTCCTTGCACTTTACTGAAACGATCTCTGTTGATCTCGAAAACATCAACACTGACAAACTCCTGCCAAGCCTTCATTTGCAACCAACATGATGCAACTTGGCCCAGTCATGACCAAACTGAAAATCATCCCTCTACTCCCTAAATATCAGCGACTAATGAACTTGAATGATTTATCAACAAACTATATGACTCTAATATAGCAAATTTACTTCATGTATGAACTTAATTCATGTTGGGTTCTGAATAAGCGAGTTTAATCCGGTTGGCTGAGCTGGTTAGCTCGTCTGTCAAGCGCACCATGCATATGTAACTCTAGGAAAGCATAATTTCATTCAATGTACACAAGTCTAAGAAAAAAAAGGCGAAACATCATGCTGTAGCATGTTTTTGCAAGATCAAAGAAAGAATGATAGAACTGACGTGTTCAATAGCTCCACTTCATCATAACAATAAAACTCACTATTCTTCAGTCTGCGTAAGAAGCTTTCCCGACCGCAAAACTCTCGTCAACAATTAACATCACATGATCTCAAGGAAAACAATCAACTCTTTGGTATTGTTCCGCATGATATGAACAATCGAACACAAAGAAAGAATTGTAAACCTTGCCAACTTCGGGACATCACGAGTCCTGTTTTACTACCAAATAGAGAATATATTAACGTAACTATAACTAAACAAAGTGCGTCTTTTTGCATTGTTTATTCTCTTGCAAAACTCGCCCGGGAAATCATGCGCCTGTGTGGTTTGATCGTTCGACACGCAAATTATGTTTGCCTCTTATGTAGGCGGTGGCGTGTTCAGCCCGTTCACGCCACCAGGCACCCAGCACAACATACAGCAGTTGCATGTGATTCCTTTTAACCTTTTTAACTTGAGGCTTATTAAAAAATAGTTTACTCCTCTTCATTTTCGTTTAGAGAATTTCCGCGACTTCACTTTGGCTTGTAAACTGATGCAATTTATGTTAATTTTCATGACCTGCGCACGTGTTCGTCGAACCAACGCTCAGTCGCTCACGTAGGGTCCTGAGTATTTGTGTCACATGAGAGAAGCCCTTGACCTTTGCCTCTTTTGCTAATGCATGGTGTAATGCCTTTTTTTGTAATACTTATGAAATTTTGGACCTAATTTCTTTAATAATGTTCTGAGTGTGTTTAGGGTTTATCTTTATAGTTCATTTGGTAATCTACCATATTGGATGGTTGAGCACAATTAGACACTAGTTATAACCTAATGCCTTTAGCTAAGAAAATATTACCCAATATTTTGCAAGATCATCCCACTGGTCAGATAGATTGCATAAACAGTTGAAAAGCCACGACTTATGAATGTTGCAACAAGATCTCAAATACGTCATTTAACTTTCTATACTTGAATACACACTTGATTTTGTCATACCATGAAGGTATGTTATATTCTGAGATCACGTCTCAAAATAACTTCGAAAACTTCCCAGAACATTGAGAAACGAGTGCCTGGGAAAGTTCCTCTGTATGTCTCGCGTCTTACTTGCAGTAGAAGCTTTGGAACCATGACCCATGGCCTCGTATGACATCAGCACTGAACATCGAACTTTCGTAAACTTTATTTCATTGTGCATCTCAGCTGATAATTATTTATGCATTCAACATAATTAGGCAAGTACACTTTGATCTGATAAAGAATTTATGATAAACTTATAAATAGCTTTCGAACTTCTTGACGTTTCTATGAAATATTTATCAGAGATGGTTTCCTATGGCTATGTAGAATTCAGATTTTACTTCTCGGTCATTCTCGATTACTTCTCGATTACTTCTCGACCATTCTCGATTACTCAGCGTTTATTTTTGTAATTTGGGGTTAAAGAGCACATGACCTTCAACGGTTTACTGAAACACGTTCTTCCTTGCTGTCGTTTACTTGTTTTTGTTCCGTATTTGCAAAGCTCTTCAAATTCATATCATTGTTACTGACGTGAGGTTTTATATTAACATATTGCACATGTTCTAACGTTTTAAGATGATATTTCTAATGATAAGACCATATTCAGCCTAATTTAATCGTACGCTGATATATGCAGGCAATATCGTGTCAACGAGGCAGTGGAATATCCTTTCTCTCGTTTCCTGAGTTGCTTTTCGAAATTATATAAGCATGGGGGCCTATCCGTGTTGATTCCAGCGTCATTTTGATCTAGAACTTTTAGCCTGGCTGTGTACCCAATTTTTGAATATCGTTTTGAGTTACATTCAATCTGCAGATGCTCAAAAAATATTGGTTTCTTTAACCATTTATGTTCAAGTATATTATATCCGCTGTGCTCAGTAGGCATATTAAAATTTATCATTGTTTTGTAAGCTTGAAAATAGCAATGACAGTTTTGCGATTCTGGTCTTTCCCTGGTTGTCAAAGTCTAAATGAACCCCATTATATGTTTCAAGCATATGTCAGTCGTCCATATCATTGTTTGGGATCATGCTTAGTAAGGCAAAGTGCACAAAATGGTTCTATATCAGCAATTTTTTCCTGATTGAACTCTGCAGATACTCATAGACTTGGCAAAGATTCAGAGAAGGTCCCATTTCCGCATGGAAGCCTAACATGATCCGCTAACGGTGCATTTAACATGCATGTATTCCTTAATTCAAAAGCGACTGATCCTAAGATAGCAAGCAATCATTATACCCGGCTAAATTATTGGTTTTTACCGAAATATTTTAGCCTTATAAACTCTGGTTAGAAACGGATGTTTCAGTGAAATTCGAAACTGAAAACTGTTACGTTCATTTCTATTCTAAGCTTTGTTTTAAAGAAATGTTTAGAGAAACTGAATCTAAAGTTCATAGTTGTTTTGACACTTTATTCCGAAATATTCGTGTGTAATATCACGCTTTTAAGTCTTTGCTTTACTGAAGAATTCAACTGACAAAGTCCGGGGATTTTTGAGGTAAATTACCCGAATATCTTAAATTTTTGGGGGCACGAATCTGCGATTTGGCTACGAATTACTGTGCCGAATAACTCTCTGAAAACCTGGCCCAGTGATTTTAAGTGAAATACAAGTAATATAACATCGAGTTTTATCATTTTAATGCACTTTCATACGGTGTAACTTGGGCTTATATGTTATTTATACCGTAGTTGGCTTTCATCCATTTTGAAGAATCCGTGTCGTACTGCACGAAATTACTCCGCGCTTTTTAGGGTAAATAAAGAAGATCTGCGATTGGTTGATGAAACGTAGTACCATTGAGTCGTACGTATATACTTCGATCTGATTGGCTGATCTGACGCACACGTCATGTTACTCCTGTATAAAAAAATTGAAAATTTTGAATTAAGTAAACATTTTGTCAGACATTTGAGCCGATAACATAGCGAGAACAAACGATAGTATATAAGGTTCGTGGTCGAGTAAGGGGAAGTTATAAACGTATTGAAGACCAACTCGGAAGACCAGACTTCACAGAGAAACATGGCATCGAAGATCATGGATATGACCAAGGAATTAGCGGAAGATATTGTGCTGTTTAAAGTTGGTAAAGAAACCCCAGCTGCAAGCGTCTCACTAACTGCCCGAACACTGCGACGCATTGCTGCAGAGGTCGAAGCCACACACGGTGATCTATTTGTGAACATGTTACGTACGTTAGACTGCCAAACAGATAATTATTCCGAAGTGTATTCGAAGATAGTTGAAAGTATGTTTGAAGATCATGTCATTAACTGGGGAAGGATTGCAGTTTTATTCACATTTTCAGGCCACTTGGCGCTTTACTGTAAGCAGCATGGCTTGCAAGAAGAATCAGATCTTGTTCCTTTGTGGCTCACGTCATTCGTCAATAAACGACTTCTAAAATGGATCCAAAATATTGGAGGATGGGTAAGTGTTCGTCACTTCTAGTCAACCGAAAATATCATTTAGTTTAGTTTAGCGAGACAAAGGATTTTGTACTTCAGAACACATTTCACTCAATGAATAGCCACAGTCTCATTCGCTCACTCCACTATTTCATTCCCCCACGCATGTGCTGCTCTGAACATTAACTTAAAATCAGAAGCTAGTCTAAATACCTTCATCTTAATGATTTAGTTCCTTGTTCTATATCTATGCTTAGGCTATTAAACTGTTTAGATTTTCAAATGCCGTAGACCTCTGCAACATATCCAATAACCGATCATCTAAACTCTTCCTTCCAGTTTAATGAATCTCTTCGACTTCCTGCTCATAATTCTACCCGTTCTAATACAACAATTTTACAGAGATACGGAAAATTTCACTTCGAAAACACTCAAAACGGCATTTGGACTTTCGCGTGTATACAAAACGATTGTTTCTCCATCTTGAAATTCTAAACGATTATGGTAAGGCTAGAAATCTACCTGAGAAACGTAAAACATCGTCTTAATTTTGTCAGGGAATTTTTAATATTCGAAGTATTAGGGTTTTCGAAAGTGCGAGAATTTTACTTTCCCTTTCGAGGCTACTGAAATTGTGAAGCGCATATGGGCGAATATCATTCCTATTCAGCACACGGGAAACTCTACGAATATACTTCGCGGAAGAGAAGCCTACTATACAGTTGTATTGCACTTCGAGTACGACTCTGAAATGCCTTCATGATGCAGCAAATCAAGCTAATCTGGCTCCCAAGAAACTTGTTTATATCGAAAAGGATGCCCCAAATAATTATGAAATGCGGTGGCTATACCCTAGTTATATTAATAATATTCCTCGCCAAAGGTTTACAAATCCAATTCATCCTGAACAGTCGGAAAGCTCATTATTATTTCCTAAGGATTAGAACCTCATTGTACTGGGGATTATGATTGGAATTCTTCATAATTTCGATGCTGTTTTCGCGTTATTAAAATTTTATATTGTTCATTGAGCTGGCTGAGTGGGTGGTTCGTTATCAGAAGAGAAGAGCGAATAAAATTCTCCGGAGTTCGATGAAATATTCAAGACATCCTAATTTGCATCAGTTTATGACTGAAAGCTTTTTGTCACCCGTATTGCCTCGATCAATAATTTACAATTATTCTGAATGAAAGAGTACTCGATGTACAAAATTATCGGGCAAGAAAATATGCAACACCCATGCGTCTCGACCAGCCTGTATTGCTGGATATAATGGGAGCCCTCGAGAAAAATCCATAAAGAGACTAGCTATGTGTGGTATTACGTTTCAAAACACTCTAATGAGCGGGTTGCTTTCAACTTTAATTCCCTCCCACCCTTTCTACGTAGTCTGCGAGTTTCCCACTCAGTGCGTCAACAACTTTTAACTGAAAATTTACATAAGTTCGAGACGGATTTTATTAAAGGTATTATGCTTTTTGTCTGGGTAAATAAGTTTTATTGACCCTGAACACATTTCATTCCGGTTTTCAATTTCGTGTAGGGAGGATTTGTTGTTCTTTAGTCGGATTATTCCAGTGAAGTCTTGTGCTGAGATGCGTTTTAATATCGCAGGCATTTCCTGTTGTCATTTAAAACACTGTCTTTGTAGTGCCTTTCGTTACATGTTTATTATCGCGGCCTTGCTTAGTCAGCGCTTATTTTCCGTCGAAGCTGCTCCAAGCTTAATGACCAAGTTTTTATGCAAACGCTCCGAGTTTAATGACTAAGTTTTTATGTAAACGCTTACAAGCAGTTTTGCTTGCTTCGCCGGGCTTTAAAGATGACCCTTAACCTCAAGGAAGAACAGTTGAGAAAATACACAGCGACTCAGTATAAAATTACTTTAGTTCACTGGCTTTTTAAGAGATGATCCTTACTTTGACCTGTAGGAAGAACAATTTGGAACTGATAGAGCTATCTTGTCGTACGTTTCTTTTGAAGAAAAACTAACTGTTTACCTTATTACATATTGTAGGACTCCTTCAATGAACATTTTAAAGAGAAAAAAGCTGATAGGGGCCGTTGGACTGATGTTATATGTACAATGTCAGTTGTGGTAGCAGGGGCTGCCGGTGCTGCCCTTGTTTTTGCCAGATAGCTTCAAACACCGTTTCAAATACGCACACGCTAATCTGCTGCGCGCCTGCCGTTGGAGGAACTGGAAAGACAAGCTAGAGACGTGAGATTGCCCTTCCAGAAAAGTTGATCGTTTTCACTAAGTATTATCGAGCAGTTTCATGGTTGAAATCAGCAGGTTGCTTCCTCGTATGCTGACCGTTTAATCCTTAGTGAAAGCAACCAACGAACCTACATCAAGAGTTTTAGTCTTGCAAGAAGAACGGACACACAAAGTCATGTTGACTGCTGCGACACGGTCGTATTGTATACGACGAAGTATATGAACCTCGACGTAATTCATCTGAAATGTTGCTGTTTCAAGCAATTTTTGAACACGATTTTGTATTTGTGTATTTGGATGGGAAGATTGTTAAACTGCCTTTTGAGACTTGGTGGCATTGATCTGATGACTAGTTTACCGAAGATTCAGTCCTTTGTTAGCGTGAAAAACATTGAAACAAGATGAGAATCAACCGCATTTTATTGACTTTATGTTTCCCGAAACACTGGGAGATTTATAGATGAAAGAGTATTAATATATTGTATACTAGTCTTATGAAATATTTTGAATTATATATTGTCTAGAGTGCTATATTGAAAATAGTATATTGTAATATAGGACGTCATGTTCATCTATGCATGTACGGTGTATATAGTTAAAATAAAATTGTTCAACATTCATATTGCTTGGGATTATTTCGTCCTTTGTAATACGGAGTTGCCTGGTGCACGCATGTGACAGATGTTACCTCAAAATTAAACAATGATTTTACATATCGTATGCATGACATTGTTACCCTCGACCTCAAATGATCGAGTTTCTAGACACAATGATCAATGTTTATTGGCAAGTTTAATATTTTGCTTCCGTCTTGTCTTCAACGAGTACAAACATATTGATGTAACGCTCTCAGCGTGTCTCCGCTTGCATCCTGCTGCTTATTCCTTGTAAACAATTTAATTTGAAAAATATAAATCTAAACTAAACTGACTTTATTTATACTGGATACCTCTATCAGTTCTAAACTGTTCTTTCTAGAGGTCCAGTAAGGATCATCTCTTTTTGATCCAGTGTTACTACAGGAGCAAACCTAAACTAAACTAACTTTATTTATGTTGGATAGCTCTATCAGTTCTAAACTGTTCTTCCTAGAGGTCCGTAAGGATCATCTCCTATTGATCCAGTGTTACTACAGGAGCAAACCTAAACTAAACTAACTTTATTTATGTTGGATAGCTCTATCAGTTCTAAACTGTTCTTCCTAGAGGTCCGTAAGGATCATTTCCTATTGATCCAGTGTTACTACAGGAGGAAACCTAAACTAAACTAATTTTATTTATACTAGATAGCTCTATCAGTTCTAAACTGTTCTGCCTGAAGATTCATAAGCTGGATCACCACTTGTGAAGAAATTTCAGTCTTCTCCAAAGTTTTCTTTTGAGTACTTTTACTGCTAATTTCTATGCATGATATAATTTACAAAGCGTCACTAAAAGTTTCCCATGTTTTTTATGCTACTTCCATAAGTTTAAATGCCGTATTGGCTAACTTGTTCAACAAAAGCAGATAATAAAAAATATCTGCCTGGACAGCATATTTTCTATTTCCGACAATCTTGAGTGTTTACGCGCGTAATACAATTCATGTTTATCATCTTTCTTGCATCATCTTTCTTGCCGTGTCATAACGACTGCTTTATTTTCGTAAACATCTAAATCATGACCTCTGCTCCCCGTGTTGTCGTTATATTTCTCAATTCACACCCATATCGTCTTAATATCTGCCTAATTTAGCCGCTTCTATTTGTTTTTCAAGGATGTGAGGTCTCTAAACCGTTGCGCCAACTGTCAGTTGTATTTAGCTGCGGTTAAACAGAGATATTTGCATCTTCAAAATCATGAAAGCGAAATAGGTTATATAGGTATGGCTGGCAGGCATGATAACGCGATTCTGAATATTTTTCATTCTGTTAAATCCGGTTCATATAGATCACAACAATGCATATTTGTTAATACAACATTATTCTAATTTCTAATTATTGTAATTGAACTACCTATAATGAACCAATTATCGAACTAAAATTTGTTAATTAACCATAGCGTAATTTGTTCGTCATGGTTGGTCTCGTAACCATTCAGGAATCCGGTTGGCTTTTTACTAAAAAGATGAAAACATCGTTCAGGCTTATGCCTCGAATATTTTCACTGACTTGCAATATATGGTTCCCCGTGATCCCCAGAACCATCATGCTGGTATAGACTTCAGTAACTCCAATCAATCCAATCTATTTACACAGCGGGGAAATTATACATAAACGTTTTAATTACATACATTTGTACCAAACACAAGCTCAATATTTCTATATTGAACAATTTGTCCACTCCCATGAGAACCTGAATGATGTAGACAATTATCCTCTTTTAATACTAAGTTAGTGTCGTTCAATTTTGATATTTTTCAACTAATACAAATAACCCATTTGCTATAATTGGGCGTGCATTTCAAGCATTTTAAACTCTCCGTATGTGTCTGCTGTAAACAATTTATTAATCTGTTGCTGAACGGCCAAGAACCGACTGATTCTATCCAGACCTATCCTTCTGTACCATCATCTGACGTTCCTGCCATAAACTCTGTGCTGTTTACTAGAAGTACGGACGACCAAATTGTCGTTGAGAGAAAAACAGCACGAAAAAGATGATGTATCATGTTTATGGAACGCTGTTGTGCGACCTGTGACCCATTGCACCCAAAATTATTTTTTATTATCGAATGATACCGTTCTGGATCTTGACACACCGTGGGAAGCAGGGATAACATGGTGTGAAAGATCGTTTTGACATTTTAGACTTAGGGGCTGTTTACATGAGCCCGGTTACCCGAGATTCAACGAAGCATGAGATGACTTTGAGGTATTGAAATAAGTCTTTATGACACCAAACAAGGACATGCTATTGTTGTGGTGATTATACGACTGCCAGGATCGTGTTATCTGCTCGTTTCAATACCTCAAAGTCCTCTCACGCTTCGTTGAATCTCGGGTAACCGGGCTCATATAAACAGCCCCTAAGATGATATCGGACAGTTATGTTTTTGAGGACTTATTCATGCAGTTAGACTTTTTTTCGGCGCCATTTTGTTGTTGTTCACACTCGTAATTATAATAATAAGTTGAGAGCCATCGCTAATCTTTAAAACCTGCTAAAAACAGACTAATATTGTCGGCAAATAAATAGCATTTCTTGGAGTATGAAATATAATGATGTTGATAGGATATCTTTTTCGTCACGAACATTTTTTTTTTTCATTTAAGTTTTTTTTTTGCGTATCTTTTTTTAAGTATCTTTTTTTCTCGTTGATTATATTTTCTTCGAGTTATTTTACAAAGCATGTCTGCGTCAGAATATGTGATTGAAGATGTTGGCCATGTCTCTCTTCCCAATGCAAAGATCTTCTCACGAATCTTCTCTCAGCACGAGAAGGATTGTAGGCAGTTATTGCTTATTTGAGTTGACTGTCTCGACTAAATAAGCCTGAGAGAAATTAGGGAATGACTCAGAACGGACGATCAACTTGCTCTAGAGCAATTTCCTGGCTTGATTAGGGAATTATAAGTTACAATCCTTCAGAGCTTATGGCTCGATCAGGCTTTTGAACCGAAAATCTGATTAAATTCGCTGAGAACCGAGTGAGTGCAGCTCGTTTGAAATTATAATTCTGCCTAAGAATAACTCTGAGATGATTTTAGTATAGTCATTTCGGCTGCATTCTTTTGTATTACTTTCTTATGTTACCACGACAACGTTTCCATGACTACCATGAGGTAACCACCTGGTTACGTAACAGTAATTTGCGTCACCGTAACTAAGCAACGACAAGTCAAAGGTCTTTCAACGAACGTTACCTAAAAAACCTACTCCAAAACATCCAAGTTTTCATTACAAATGACGCGAAATTCGTATGAAATGCAAGTCTAATTCTTCATTCAATATCTGTCCATCTTTAGTTGCATGGAAACTAACGATATTAACCTCATACGAAAGGCAGGCCAATCTTTATAAATATATTATTTATATTTGAAGATTCTGCTCAAAATTGTGTCTATTTTCATCAAGATGTTGTTTGCGAATGACGATAAGCTCATAAATTAATTATCAAATGCTAAATATATTTCGCTTTAAATAGCGTCGTTATTAGCGTGGGGCCATATCAGTATGATTTATGTAAATCTACTGTAAATTGTGTGATTGGAAATTATTTTTATGAATGTTTTGTTTGTAGCGACGCTCGTGCACGTAATAACGCACTAGGCCAAAGCGAACACCCACATATTTGCTTAGGTGACACGTTACACGTAGCATATCAGATCCAGCTTTTAGCAAATCTTCGTTTGACAGCGAGTTTTTTCTTCTGATATATGCTATAGTGCATCCATTCTTTATGGACTATTGTTCAGGAGGATGAGTTGTCAGTGAATCTAGAATGTTTCAAGTTTGCAAGAACGTACAATGGTCGAAAACCCATTCATCGTGTACATGCGGTTTTAGATTCGTAGAGTTTCAGCTTTCCGGCTGTGAAATAACGATTTGTTCAAGCATTGACACTCTCTTCATCTCAACAAACAAAAGCTACTCATACAAGCAGTTACCATCTGCCTCGTGCAATTTTAGATCACGTTTAGTTGTCACGTTCAGGCACTAATCTATCGCTTACTTGCGCAGCATCTGGTCACGCAGCGGTTTCTAAAGTCAAGTAGCCACAAAATTGCTTTGTCTTTGATCTTTGAGCTATTGGGAGGTATTCTTGGAATCTATACAAACTATATCTGTTGCACATTTGCACTCTTAACTAGCTGTAAATATAACTTGGAAATGAAATACATTTTTACTCCAATTCCCCTCCCAATATTAAAAAAGTTCAAGTACGCGTCAGTTTGACATCGAATTACTCCACATCATGACATTCAATACAGTCCCTAAATTGTGTTAAATAGTCCTAAATTATCTATAGTGATCGCTGGAATAATATCGGGGAACTTTGCATGATATATCAGTCAAGATATCCATCCTTCATTGTGATAATATATTACCTTAAAAAGTTAACATGAGTTTATTAAATTAATATTCTCCGGAACTGCTAAAAAGGAGAGAAAAACTCTAGTTATTTCGAATGAAATAGTTCAAATCCCTAAATGATGATTCAGAAATAGAAATTCAAGTTCGTGTTTATCTGCAGACTATTTGACGGCCAATTTGGGTCTTCATGGCTGATATGTGCAGGGCGGAAGATGTGGTTGTGACAGGCAAAGACATCTTGTCCAAAGTTGTTCATTGTGAGGAAGCAGATGTCGAAAATTAAGGAAATGTAGGTTGACTTTGTGGGGAAATTCTTGGAGAACGTTGACCGGTGAGCCCATCTAAGGTGGACTTCGCCGAAACTAAAAATGAAGGAAACGCAACCTTTGATTTACTTCTAATGAGGAAAGCCCTGTCACTGGGCTTCGTTCCTTGTGGTTAGGGTTTGATGAGGGGGTAAGCCTTGGTGGGGGATGAACCGTTAAAACGAGGGCGTGGTTCTGACAACATCAAAACAGACAAATTTTCACATTCGATCAATTCAAGAGCCCCTGGAGTAATATTAGAGCATAGGTTTTTGTCGACAACCGTGAAACAGCCTGTCGACAATGGCGTGAGAAGAGGAAATGGAGGTATATCATTTGGGGATAACTCACAGCTGCCCCTGCGCGGGCTTAACGCCCCAAGAATAATCCTGGCACAGTGTAGTACTCCCTTTCGTACCACGAGAAACGTGGCAACCCTTACATGGACATGTAGGAACAAATGTTCAGTCACTCCTAGGTTCACTCCCTTGATCACAGTTACAATATTCTCTGTAAAACAAAACACTTGTCCTTTGTCCTCGCGCAATATTTCCCATGTGAAAAGCGTTACATAAACGCGTGACCGAATATTGCTCAAACGGCTCTACAAGAACAGGTCCCTTTGTCCTATTTATCTCGAAGTCGCGGCTTTGATAAATGAAGCAATCAGTAAAACATGGGGTCATTCTGACCTTGAACTTTCAAACATTATGCTAATCTCTTTATTATTTACAATGTGTTTCAATTATAATTTTTCATGCATAATTCCCAGTTTTTTTAACACGCACGTATATAGGAATATTCGATCTATTTTTACTAAAATAAACGTAAAAATACCCGCAGGTTTTAGACATTAAAAACACGAACATCAAATGGCCAATAATATAAACATTTTATTTAAAATTTCGCATTTAGGGGCTTCTATTTGTTTTTCAACTACAGGAAGTTTATCGCTCATTGTATATCCTAGAATAACACACTTCCTTATGCCACGTTTTCTATTTAATATGGAAAGTTGTATTGCGTTTGTTGCTGTCAAAAAAATGACCGCAAAGAAAGTAGCACAATGTTTTGTTAAAAAATATTTCTTCAACGTTTTTAATAGGCTTATTTGTACGAAACTGAACCCTTTTGGGGGTAAAAACACTCAAATACGTCTATGTACGTACTTCACGATAAAAGCCTACGCGCGCATATGACGCAAAGTAATATTCTTGACAGTTTCAAGTCAGATACGAAGCACGAATTTTTCCCTCAAAGATTTTAGCCGTTTTAACAGTAAATCACTTTAAGTTTGGTTTATAAAGAGCACTGTATGTCACAGGGAGCATTTGTTTTACTCTCGGTATCTTTTTGATCAAATAAAACCCCCCAAGTAAACCTCAAAGTGGGGAATTTTCGAGACAGGAATAATTTTTCATCGACACTACGTAATTCTGCGGTTTCATTCATAAAATTCCGCTATGAGCCAATCACATTGCGAGTTAGAGATGACGCAGATATATTGACCAATCAAATGCGCTGTTTCAATTGTACCGGCGAAAATTCGAACGGAAGAGAATTTATATAAGCGAGCGTCACTTTCATATGAATAGGTTTTGTATATAGGGTCATGGCCTTAATATGTGAAGATTTTTATAGAAAGACGTTCAGTACGAAGTGTTTAAAGCTTAGTGATGTACGACAGGACATTCTCCGGTGCTCTTGGGCCATATTTTTCTCAAATAAAGCAGATAGCGGCTGGTGGTAATGGGAGAATTTTATCAGGGATCGACACACGTTTCGACTTTCCTGTATGTATTAAACGGATCTCAGTCGCCAACAAAGATGAATGTCGAGCCGCATTGAGAGAAATACGTATCAGGAGACGTTTAAGACATGAAAACATTGTTGGACTTCTTAATGCTATTATTTCAGACGGCACAGATGTGTCCGATATTTCGCCGGCGAATTTTAGAGAGACGAGTTGCATATACTTTGTACAAGAACTACTAGACGCCGATCTCAAACAAGTTATCGAAAGTCATACTCGACTCTCGGACGAATATGTAAAACTATTCTTCTATCAACTGTTAAGAGGGTTAAAGTATATTCATTCTGCGAATGTCTTGCATCGAGACTTAAAACCAAGTAATATAATGGTGAATGTTAATTCATTGCAATTAATGATCGGTGATTTTGGTCATTCAATGGTGTTAGATCCAGAGTACAATCACGGTTCTTCTCTAACCTCTTGTGATACAAGTTTATGGTACAAAGCACCTCAACTCATTCTTGGAACTGGCCAGTATAGTACGGCCAGCGATATGTGGGCTGTGGGCTGTATTTTAGCTGAAATGCTGTTAGGCCGGCCTTTGTTCGAAGGAGAAAATGATTTGGAACAATTAGAACTGATAATTCATGCAATTAAGGTACCCATAAAAGACCAAAGCCATATTCGCAAGTATTTAACGGAAGAAGTGAACATCATGTATTCGGGAGAACCGAAATTTCCACTTCAGTCGAAATTTCAAAAAGTTGATTGTCAAGGTATGTAGCAAATTTTTTACATACATATTTTTGAATATTGCCACCCATTGCGGTCTATTGTGAACAAACTCATAATGTCGACTGGCTTCGTAAAGTTTCGAGCAATATGGGAACAAATTTGAGCCATTTTAAGCAGATTTTCCTGCGTTTTCCTGCGTTTCCCACCGATCGATATGTTTCGTGTCATAATCCGTGATAGGAAACACGTTTAGTACTACAAGTTGACCTTTAAAGTGTCGAAATATGGGCTTTGTTTCGCTTCAATAATTAATATGCAAAATAACGATCGGTTTCAAAACTTCTGGAACTTGTTTTTGCTGCAATTTTTTCCCAGCTAGGCCTTTTCTAGGGAGTATTTGTGCGCCAGGTGAAGATATTTTGTTATTTTCATCTATTTGGTACGGCCCACAAGTCTGGTTTCTATATATACTTACAACATTGTTCATTACGTAATATTTAATATACAATCTTTGCATATTTTGGCTAACCACGATTAAAACTGTCTAGAAAAAGTATGGCTTTTATGGCTCATGCAAAAATAATCAAACGTCCTATAAACAAGCCTTTAGCATTCAAAGTCATCGTTAAAAGCTGTTTATGACTGGAGTTGATATTTTATTCAGGGTTATTAACTATTTATTTCCTTCAAGAAGCAAGGTTAACTGTAATCTTATATACATGTTTACTAATCCGTTTAAATATCTACCGGCTAAAAGCTAGTAACGCTTCTAACTTTTCATGAAAGGACCTTTATATGGATGGCAAAACATCCCTTTTATAATTGTTAACAATTTGTCTGTGTTATGACTATGCAAAATTTAATGAACTAGACACAGAAAATAATTAAAGGTTAGAACGTAAACATGTTTCTCCTGAACAACAGTCATGGGGTAGACTCATGATCTGAAGCATGACTGTCATGACATCATAGGAAGTAATCATGAAATGGTGGGATTCAGAAGACCGCTTGCTGTTGATAAAGAGAACTTTGATGTTTAGCTAAGGCTCTTTGTTCGAGAGTTTATTTTTAGGAGGTCTTCTGGAAAGGGACAAAGTACATAAGCAGCCTACCTTGTTGATAAATTTGTGTTAATGTCTAATAGAACCATATTTATTTAGCTTGTTGTCCCTAGAATCAATATTGCCCCCTGGGTTGGAGATGTCTTTTAGGCAAGTTCAAGTTATTGCAAAATACTACCTACACTAGACCACCACATTTGAGATAACCTTTCAGGGTGATAGTCTAGACACAATAACAGGTTATGGAATATTGCTATAGATAGAACCACCACACTCGAGAATTTTGAACGTAACTAGACCTGTACACTGTATTATACACTGAATCATTTGATCTGTAAATTCTTACACAATTTAAGATCTTACAAGGGGTGGCCATGTTCACTGTTTAATAAACATGTATTTCATGTGGTGATGTTTAGAAACTTGCAAAATGCCCGAATATCTGTTGCTAAGCAATGAAAAAAACATAGAATTTGTATCCAGGTGGCAATACAATGCCATATCTTGAAAGAATTCATATACAAATAAGAGAATAAAATTTTATCCATGCTGTAGGAAGAGATTATTTTAAAAATAACTCCATTTGTTTTGTTTACAACTCTAAAATTGCATAAAAAATTAATATAGTGTTGTAATGTATTTGTTGTTAATGGGAATGAGTGTGTTTTATCTCATTAAACTCAGCCAAAACACAGGTTAGACAAAGGTAAAATATGCCAGAAATTATATTGTTATATTTTCCATTGAACTCCTGTGCCTTTGTGTCTAAACTTCTTGAAAAGGTTCAAGTGTGGTGCGTCCATCATAGATTGTGTTCTACAATGAACTTGCTAGTCCTTGTGAGGAGAAATGCCTGAAGGAAAATGCCAGTTGGTAGACAAATGACACCCTTCATCCCTTTTAAGTATGAAAAGTAATCTTTGTCAAGAGGGTTAGGTTGAAAATCCTCAGATGCGTATTTAAAATGTCTCATTTCTGATGTGCCAAATTTGGGGGGTTATTAGCAACGATAATCTTTATGGCATAAAGCAACGCGCTAGAACGGCCTCAAATGTTATGGATTTAGTATTTTATCCCAAGCCTTGCCAAACATTTGCGTTAAGAGTGGGACAATGTGGGAGGGTTTTGTTTAGACACCTGTTTTGAGGGGGCTAAAACATTGAATTTGAACAAAGTGCATCCAAGGCAGGACACCTCAATCAACCCACAAGAATCTCATTGAGAAAATAACGATAAGAAAGATATCTTAGATAACATCCTGAATTCCTATCGTTCAGTTTCCATGGTGAACAATATTGCTAAATTACCACAGTTTTCATTATGGACATTAATCATCCCAGTAATAGACAACATATAACTTGCGATATCAAAAAAAGGCATATTTCACGCTAAAGTAATATATCGCTCATTCGCAGCTGTGAAATTGTGGTCATGAATATATAAACACGCACGTATAACCACCATAAACAAATTCCTAGACGACATAGGCTCATAGGTTGGGTTGGGCTGGTCACGTTGAAAGTCACGCGCAGACTTCCTTCCAGGAAGAAGGAAATATTAACGGCCAACGCAACAACTCGTAATTGACAATAACCAGTACTTCCTGATTATGGCTACCCGTTCTTTTTTTGAGAATCTCGTTACGAAAATATTATTATTTCATTGTAAAAGACGTATAAAATTATCTGGATTTTGTTGGATAGATTATGGAACAAATAAGAACCAAAGATTTTAGATTTGATTATTTTAATTTTTTTTTATTTTTTTACAGCGTTCCATCTCCTCGAACATCTCCTATCTTTCAACCCTGACGATCGCGTGACAACTGAGCTGGCTCTCAGCCACCCGTTTCTTCAGGAGTACGCATGCGTAGCGGACGAACCTGTGTGTCTAAAACCCTTACATCTAGAACACGAAGTCGACGATTTTTTGGAATACACGTTGAAAGATCTGATTGTTGGTGAATGCGTTGTTTTGGCTGAAGAACAACCTCGTATCCATCAGCAGATGTCGAGTTATTCAAGTCTCACTGATATAACCAAAGAACTGAGTGTTAGTCCATCTGAGAGCACGTCTCATTCGACGGAGGAAAGATGCTCTCTCACTCTAGATCTCAAGACGGTCGGTGAAGATTATCACGAGAATTCCAATGAAAGTGATTTCAATCGTTTTAAAGTTTTAGAGGTTCTCAAAGAGGAACATGGTTCGTCTAGCGATAGCAATGGTTTAGCTGCTCATGAAGATGGAGTGAGCGAGGCCCCTCTCGTTTTAAACCATTCAATGACAATGTTCAGCAGCTCAAAATGGGAAAAAGAAAGGCAACGATCTGGTCATCGACGACATCACCATCACAGAAGGAAGAAGAAGCTACATTTAAAGAGTCCTAGTTCCGATAACGAGTCATCTTTGGATTCAAATTCTGGTCGTTTCCATGATCATTGCAATGGATCCAAGGAGAAAAACTTGCCCGAGGTTCAAGTTCCGTTAAGTGAAATACCCGAGAATCATGTTCCTAGATTGAGCGGCCCGGACGAGCAACGATGTGATGTATCCCCAGTTGTTCATCCTTCGAATCCCCAGACATCCCTCGATCAACAATCCACAGAAGTCCCCAACGTCACAAACTCGCTCACGCAAGCTGGAGATGATAAAGTTCAAGAATTGATATCTCGTTCTCGTCAGATTATTGCAGAGAAAACTATAGACAGTGTGCCGGCGATCAGCGATATTTGTGAATGCCTCACTCCAGCTGTGTCCACTTCAACTGATATAACTAACAATATACCTCCAGTCCCGACTGTATTTGAGTCAGAGCTCTTTAATAATGCATCGACAGAAGTTGAAAAAGCGCCGGAGAAAAACATCTCCTCTTCAGTTAGCGATCTGAGTGTGTTGAGTAATCACAATTCTACCTTAGATCTTGGCGTTGCTGAGGTGATAAGAAGATCTCAAGAACTTCTCCGAGACGCTTATAAACCTAGTGTTGCCGAGGAGAAGAGTTCTGTGGCGGACGATCACGTCCAGGAATTGATTTTAAGATCAGAGCAGTTGCTGAAGAATAAGGTCGAATTAGAGACCTCCAGACACGACTTATTTCCTTCAGAAGAGAAAGGTTCATTGCCAGGTAATGGTAATTCCCAACCAGTGCCAAGTTTAAGAGAAACTACGGACGGATTTCAGGCAACACATGGACTTACTGGACTGAATATAGAATATTCTAGACCAGAGTCACCCGTAGGCCATTACAAGTATACAACACCTTTTACGGAGAGACCCTCAAAATCTATAACACAATTACCACCTTTCAATCATCGCTGCCATTCAAGTGCAAGAGAGAAACTCAATAACCCGCAAGCCATTACCTCGAGCTTCCCTTGCCCTGCCATTGACAACAACAGCACCTCCCAAGCAGTGCACAACCATCAACTCCTTCCTAAAGAATCCAACAGACGAATGCGGTATCTGTCGCAAGAATGCAATAAAATTCTCAGCCCGAAGGATGAATCGAAGCCGAAAAGCGAAGATGGAAAGACGCCACGTGTGGAGAAATTTCGAAAAAACGAGGGATTTAGTTCGATGAATGACATCCAGAATTTTGACCAGAGCCTGGACTCGATAGATTTACAGGAGATGAAATTAGTTCTCGATGAGGCCAAGAAACTGTTGGAAAAATCCAAAGAACTTAGTCCCAGGAGTGAGAACGTTTGCTTGGATGATGATCAGAACCTCATGGAAGTTGATGGGAACGCGGGGTTTCATAGGAACGAGGGGGGTGTGAAGAATGGTGCCAGGAATTTGGAACCTGATTTAGATCGAACAGTCGAGGTCAAGTTAAAAGAGTTATCTTGTTTTCAGAATGAACTTGATTTTGTTGATGAAGTGTCAGAAGAGGTTCCTGTGAGCGATCACGCCGTCAAGTTTGGGGTTGTCAGGGTAAAGTCGGCCCCTCCGCTTCAGAAACAAACATTGCGTCTTAACTGTTTCACGCGAGTGCGAGGCTCCACGATTGATGATCCAACTCCGCTAAACAAACAGAGAACCATCGTGTTTTTAACGAATCTAATTTCAAAGTAAATCACCATTTTCACGATAAATCCTTGGACGAAGCTCCTGTACAGAAAAGAACGAACGAAGCCGTCTCTGATGATAACTCTCATAAACACTTCAAAAACTCCAATATGACTTCATCCGATGTTCACCTTTCAACAGCCACAGTTTACGATACCATGACTGGAGTAGAAAGTAAAAATCATTCACCTGAGGACGATAACAAACACTTCAGAGTGAATGAAGTTACTACCAATATTTTGGACTTGAACGTCGACAAACGATTAACTACGGACTCGAAGTACAACCTTAACTTGAACCAAACCGAGTGTCGAAAGTATTCATCGAAATATGAGATTTTAGAACGAAACAAAAATGCGTTCTCAGACGAGGTCGTGGACAAGCTGTGTGGCAACGCATGTCGTATTGAAAACGGCACCAGAAGACTGAACTCCAAGGATACAAATAGACTTCAAAGCTTTTATGCAACTCTAAAGATAAAATCGATCATGCGAAATCGAACTCGCCCAATTCGGGACAAGCGACATGACACTTATCCATTTTAATCAGTGCAGGCCAAAAAATTCTCTATGGCCTTATTTTAGTTCTTTAAAACTCCTAAAATAACCGAGTTTAACATCGACTTTGATTCTCAAAGCAGCGAGCGCTCAATACATCCTCTTCATTATTAATCTCTTTATTAATTTATTTCCACTTTTTGTTTGGAAAAAAATCGATTTCCAATCGATGTTCTAAAAATTGATCGCTCTCTGCTAGTGGGAGTCTTTTATTTGATATTTAAAACAGATATGGGCGGCGGTTTTGTGGTAGAATAGAGAATAGAATAGAATAGAAAAACATAATTTATTCACTCGATAAAGCTTTATTTACATTCTTAATTTAAGGACAATTTTATTACTATTTTATTCGCGTGTGTTCTAACACGAATTTTAGGTGATATTAAACTTTTGTCTCAAAATAATATATCCTAACTTTGTTGTTTTATACGATGAACGCATTGTTAAATATATTCCTTAAAATATAGTCTGGCGTCATGAATTTCATTTGCTTAGTAGCATATATTGCGTAGCAGCAAGCCTTTCCGTTCAACCTTGTTTCAACCAACCTTGGCAAGGTCGAATTTACAGCAATACAGTATATTCTCGTAAACTGGCTGGTTGGATCCATTTTACCAGCCTAAGATGAAGTATTGGGGTGAGTTTAAAGAGAAACAAATTTTGTAAACAAAATGCCAGAATCGAAAGTGAAAGTTTGAAAGATTTCTCAGCGATTTAGTGAAAAGTGGCAACGTTGACAGGAACTCGAAGAGCAAGATATTCTCTCCTTTATTGCTTGGTACGAAAAGTGTATTTTTTACTCAGTTTGGAAGGTGATAGCCAGCTTACAGTTCTTACAGAAATCACTTCATGTATACTAGAGTTATTTCTATAGAAAAGCTATTTCTGTACCCAGGCTAGAAAGATATCTAATTTTTGCCAAATATCAAAGTAATTTGTGTTCAAACCTTTTTAACCGGTATATCATCTGTTCTTCGTAAAAGAAAGAACGGATAGCAGTGAATATTAGAGCTATTTCACTGCTTTAAGATACAGTTGACCTCTGGGTTCCTTTTTTTTCCATCGTTATAAAGAATTTAATACAACGATATTTATATAACATTCATCTAGGTGGTAGTGGTTAAACTGGTATGTACGTTTGATCAAATGAGCTGTCCTTCAAAACCTGCACAGAAACGAAAGAAACCTAACATTGGTAGGGGCGAAATAAATCTTTCTAATTTAATATAAATGTGGCTCTCTTGCGTTCGCTCTCTCTGCGATGACTTGTGAGTAAACTGCTTTGATTTTTTGTACAAATTCCCCAGGCCACAAACAAAACAGGGTGACCCCCCAAAAAGTACCCTATATTGAAATCATTCTTTCATTGTTAAGGGACTTTTTTGATGTACATAATACTGTACATCTCTGGTTGTTGCTAATTTTAAAGGGAACCATGCTTTGACGATGATCAGCTAGTTTTAATATTATGGCAGGAAACCCAAATTTTGTATTATTACAGAATGTGAAAAGCCTGCGAAGAAAAAAATGGCTTGGGATTCATACAATTCAGTTAAAGATTTTGGTTACGAGTTTAATGAAGGTGACCTTTTGAATTAATTCATTTTAATATATATGCTCTGATCTTTTATCATTTTTACTTGTGTGACAAGAAGAGAGTCATTCAAGCAATCACATTAGATTCGAGTGAGAATAATTAAAAAGCAAAGGACAAACAGTTTGTATTTTGAGAATAATTTGAATGTACATTGGTATTCCGGTTTAGTTTAACAAACTCATGTTTTTAAGTAATCGTTTAAAAATTACACCAGAATTAGCAATGATAAAATTTTTTTTTTAAATTTAGAGGGTCGTCTTGTCATGATCGATGATAATGAAGCTGGTTTTAATTTTTATATCAGTGATGACCACTCGTACAATCAGAAAAACTATGAAATGCTTGGCGAGGTACAGTATATCATATGTTATTGTGTAAAGATGTACGAAATGCATTTGGTGATTTGAAAATTGAAAAAGTCATTTCTATTTAAATGCAGGTCATAACGGAATATGTTTATGAACTAATGCAAAGTGAAGAGATTGGTTTGGAGAAGTTAGAAATACCGTTAACCAAAGAATCATCTATTTTTCCCAACATTAAAAAACAGGTACAGTATATGACTTGAAAAATTGTCAAAAAGATTGAAAGCCATAAACTAATTCACCGTACATTGCAGAAGAGCAAAGATGGTGCTAAAGGATTCATTTTTGTGAGTAAAGACTTTCACTCAAAAGAGAAATTATTAGTCCTTGTTCATGGCTCTGGAGTGGTGAGAGCTGGTCAGTGGGCTAGGAGGTTGGTCATGTTGTTTAAAAAGACATACAAGGCTTTGTTAATTAAAGTTAATTGTTTTCAGATTAATTTTCTTTATATTCACGCTGTGATTTACACATGTTTCAGGCTAATAATTAATGATTGTCTGGACCATGGAACCCAGATTCCTTACATCAAGAGAGCAATAAAGGTTTATATCATATTTATCATTATCATCTTGTATAAATGTGAATGTATATTCCATGATTAATATATCTGTTTAGAATAGCTATATAGATGTATTTCAAATGTAGGTAGTCACTTTGAAGGTCTTTTTGTGGTTATATAAAACCAATCAAGCAAAATGAATTAATTTGATGTCTTAAGGATGGTTATGGAGTTGTTATCATGAACACCAATCAAAATGATACATATGTTGATGTGAAAGGGCAAAAAGTCTGGAAACAAATCAAGGTATTGTAACTTATAATACAACATGGCATAAAAAGCTCGTATATGTTTAATAGAATAACTCTGATTTAGGAAAGTGAGTCACCAGAGAAACACTTTTCTTACGTATGGAAGAACATCATTTGGAAGACATCTGCATCAAGAATCTTTGTTGTGGCTCATAGCTATGGCGGATATCTTGTTGTTGATCATGTAGGTTAATTGTTCTGTGATAACTATCAGGGGCCAGTTGTATAAAAGGCTAGTTAACTTTTAATTGTAGTTAAGGACAGAATTGGCCAACCAGAGTCCTGTATTTCTGAGTTAACTAGGATTTTACGATGCAAAATGTAGCTAAAGAGTTTTATACAACCAGCCCCAGTAGTTTTAGATTTGACAAGTGTATAGTGTATAGTGTTAGATGATGACAGTGTAGAAGTACTGACATATGTCTTTCGTATTAATTTTAGTTTTCCAGTTCTCCAAAATGCCTCCCACGGGTTGTTGCTGTTGCGTTCACAGACTCAGTTCATAGTTTCTCAAGAATGTATTGCAAAAATGAAACAAGAAATTGGTTTATGAAGGTACAGTGAGTGACACAAGCACATTATGCATATCATATGTAATAGTAATATTCCTATAATAGTTAATATAAGTTGTAATTATTCCTTAATAATTCAGACAGTTAATTGTTATATTGTATATTACTTCAAGAACTCTGTAAACTGGGTTTCTTCAGACAGTGACCTTGATACACCAATGTCACATCAGGATGATGAGAAACATGTCACACGAGTTTCTGCTGGTAAATCAACTTTACGTATCTCATGTATATTCTAACATTAATAGACTTTGTCTTGAGATCCTAACTTGGTTGTGCATCATCCTTTCTATTTGAGAGAAAGGATGATGTATTCCCCTCTCCTGCAATCACAGAAATATAAGATGCTATTTTTTTTCCAACCAGGAACAACAAAACATGAAGAAACTTCGTGGAAAGCAATGGAATCAATTTTTAAATATTTCCAAATACAAGAATCCGAGTTTGATAACATAAAGGAGAACTCAAAGATGCATGGTAAGAAATCGTCAAATAAAACAGGGAGAAGGTTGGCTTGTAGTTTTGATATGACTATGACTGGCGAATCAAACAAAGAAAGCACGTCACATAGTGTTCATAAGAGTGAAGAGAGTTTTAAAGGTAGGTTTAATGAACCAGACAGAAATGAGAAAGGCATAACTGAAGTCAGCTCTGATCAACAAAATGTGGCTGGTGAGGGCAGTCCTGATAACAGTGCTGCTGATAAAGATGTGGCTGGTGATGGCAATTGTGATGACAACCCTGATCAACCAAAAGTGACTGGTGATGAGGACAATCGTGATGACATCTCTGGTCAACCAAAACTGACTGGTGATGAGGACAATCGTGATGATAACTCTGGTCAACCAAAACTGACTGGTGATGAGGACAATCGTGATGATAACTTTGGTCAACCAAAACTGACTGGTGATGAGGACAATCATGATGACATCTCTGGTCAACCAAAACTGACTGGTGATGAGGACAATCATGATGACATCTCTGGTCAACCAAAAGTGACTGGTGATGAGGACAATCATGATGACATCTCTGGTCAACCAAAAGTGACTGGTGATGAGGACAATCATGATGACATCTCTGGTCAACCAAAAGTGACTGGTGATGAGGACAATCATGGTGACAACTCTGATCAACCAAAATTGACTGGTGATGAGGACAATCGTGATGACATCTCTGGTCAACCAAAAGTAACTGGTGATAAGGACAATTGTGATGACAGCTCTAGTCAACCAAAAGTGACTGGTGATGAGGACAATCATGATGACAACTCTGATCAACCAAAATTGACTGGTGATGAGGACAATCGTGATGACATCTCTGGTCAACCAAAAGTAACTGGTGATAAGGACAATCGTGATGATAACTCTGGTCAACCAAAAGTAACTGGTGATAAGGACAATCTTGATGATAACTCTGGTCAACCAAAAGTAACTGGTGATAAGGACAATTGTGATGATAGCTCTGGTCAACCAAAAGTAACTGGTGATGATGGCAATTGTAATGACAACTCTGGTCAACCAAAAGTAACTGGTGATGAGAACAATCATGATGACAACTCTGGTCAACCAAAAGTAACTGGTGATGATGGCAATTGTAATGACAACTCTGGTCAACCAAAAGTAACTGGTGATGAGAACAATCATGATGACAACTCTGGTCAACCAAAAGTGACTAGTGATGAGAAGAATCCTGATGACAACTCTGGTCAAGTAAAAGTAACTGGTGATGATGGCAATTGTGATGACAATTACTCTGGTCAACCAAAAGTGACTAGTGATGAGAACAATCATGATGATAACTCTGGTCAACCAAAAGTGACTGGTGATAAGGACAATCCTGATGACAACTCTGGTCAACCAAAAGTGACTGGTGATGAGAACAATCCTGATGACAACTCTGGTCAACCAAAAGTGACTGGTGATGATGGCAATTGTGATGACAACTCTGGTCAACCAAAAGTGACTAGTGATGAGAACAATCATGATGATAGCCCTGGTCAACGAAAAGTGATTGCTGATAAGGTCAATCCGGATGACAACTCTAGTCAATCAAAAGTGACTGGTGATAAGGTCAATCCTGATGACAACTCTGGTCAATCAAAAGTGACTGGTGATAAGGTCAATCCTGATGACAACTCTGGTCAATCAAAAGTGACTGGTGATAAGGTCAATCGTGATGACAACTCTGGCCAACCAAAAGTGACTGGTGATAAGGTCAATCCTGATGACAACTCTAGTCAACCAAAGGTGACTAGTGATGAGAACAATCCTGATGACAACTCTGGTCAACCAAAAGTAACTGGTGATAAGGACAATCATGATGATAGCTCTGGTCAACCAAAAGTGACTGGTGATGAGGACAATCATGATAACACTGCTGGTCAACAAAGAGTGACCACTGATGCAGATAAAGACAAGGAAGACAAATCTGATAAGAATGAGGCATCCAATAGCCAGGCAATCACAAGTAGTGAGTATGATCAGGCCACAAGGACAGATGAAATAAATGACAAAGAGCAAAGTAAAACACTTAACTAGCATTGGTAATAATTGAATAATAATTGAAGATACTAGTACCAGGACAAAACAACCAAAGGAGGGGGTGTTATTTAGGTAGGTAAGACAATTGTAAGGTGTGGTGGACCTCTAATGGATCAGCTAGTTAATACTTTCACTACAAAGTCCAAATTTACAATTTTTTATTGAAAAACAACTCTACGCCACAAGTATAAATATAACTCTTTATATTGTTTTGTATCTAATCTTGATTTGTGAACAACCTCCAATCTTAAAAAAATTTTTAACTTCACCTCTCAATTGATCACTTTAGATAACATATCTCATAGACAAAGACTAAACATTTTTGCAAAACCCTATTCAACTTTACACATTTATAATAGATGTCACGTAAGGCAAAAGTAACCATTACTGATCACAACAACACTTGCCTATGGTCAGAAGATGATAGCAAAATAATATATTTTTTCGTACAATTGTTACTTCAATAGATTTTCAATATATTGCACAATGGCAATTAAAGCATAACCCAAAATCATCATGAGAACTTTCAACAGCTTGTGGCATTCCTTGCTGTTCAGTTCATGGAAGAATATTTCAAAAAATGTCACATAAAGAAAAGTTCCAGTCGCAAGTGCTTGAAACAAGGCTGAAAATATCCGTCCTAAGTTTGTAGAAGCATAGGTCAGCATGAGAATTCCTATACCAAAGCCAACAGGACTCATTGCTGAGAAGAGAAAGGATGACTTGATAACTGCTGGTGCAGGAAAGCTATGCTGCACAAGATTGATTCCAATTGAGAATGCCAGAATGCATTTGTGGATGACCAAAGCACCTAGCACTTGAAACATGTTGTTGATATCTTCAAAAAGGCCAACTGCAAGACCTTCAAACAAAGCATGAACTGACAAGGCAATAAGAAGCAGGTAGGATCTGAGGTAATGCCGTTCATTGTGATGCTTTTTGCTGATTTCCGCAAATATGCTGTGCTCGTGATCATGATCATGATCGTCATTGATTTGGTTATGTTCAGTACTCTGTACATGTCTGTGCTCTATGTGACTATCATTGACCAGAGGAACTGGTGGTGATTGGGCAATTGGTGGTGGTTCATCGTTGTCACTTTCTCCGCTGTCATTTTCGCTAGGTGAAGGCTGGCTGTCAGGTGTTCTTGTCCCATAGCTAGGAGTGTGTCCGTTATGAAGGAGTGGAGATGCTGTTGAATCCCTGTGGTTATGAGTGTGGCTGTGACCATGACCATGAGAAGGTCGCTCTTTTGCAACATGGATTATCTGCTCAACTGTCAAAATCAGAAAGAATCCAATGCTTATCCCAAATTCAGCTAGAGGAAAGCTGTGGTCTATCTTAGCGTTTTCCAAAACAACCTTAAAGTCCTTCTCAACTGCTGGTAATAATTCCAACATACTCGATGCAAAAAAAGCTCCACCAGCAAAACACGTACACAAACTAATCACTTGCTTGCGTTTTCTGTCACGCAATGCTCTGCGATTTGGGTCGCTTTGCGATCGCTTTTGACGAAGTGTTAGAGGAAGTAATCCCGCGACAAATGTGACCACAAATAAAACCGATAAAGAAATTATTTTTACCACAACTGAATGCATTTTTGAGAGTGAACCGTCCAATTTTTGCCGTTGAATTACGTCTGATTGATCAACAGTTCGTCAAACTATGCTACGATCTCCAATTCAATTGAGGAATGGCTCGTGACAATAGAATTGCACAATAGGAAAAGAAACAGATTTCCTTCATGCAAAAGCAGACGTGAACATGCCTTACATATACCAAATAACTCGTATTTCGGAAGTATTTACGATGATTCCCAAGCAAATCTCTGATTCTCTGGTACGATTTCACCCAAAAATCCTGTATTTACAACCACATTTATCAACATATGACTTAGCTGCGTAATGGTACTCGTTACTTAGTGTCCATATATAGACAAAATATTATTTATATAACTTGTCAGTGATCTGTCGCACAGTCAAAAGGACAATGGTATTAAAATTATTAAATATCAGATATCAGCCATATTTGTTTACGGATGTTCGTCATATTCGATTCCTGATTAAGATTGGGATTTGAATCATCCGATTAGGATTTGAATCATCCGATTAGGTGAGAAAAATGTGGATTAGGAAATACCTGAGATTAGGAAATCGATTGTTCCCAGACTTTCCTCGCTAGAAACTCGCTCTTTTATGTCCGATGAAAACATTCTCGCGAGATAACACGCGGGACGTGTCGGTGGTAAACTAACTGGTGATAAAGGACACCATTTCAAAACACAGTCAATGAACTTTTGTATTGAGTTTATATCTTTTATTAAAAAGCTATTTTATTCAAAGATTAACTCAATAAAGCCTCTACAATGACTCGTAAGTATGCTAGTCCTGTGTTTATTTTTAAACGAACAATAAATTTACAATAGAGCGACCTAAAATGGAAATTTTATATCGGTTTTTATTTCATTTCTTTTGTCTTTGATATTTAATATGTTGTCTTTAATTTCAGTATCTATTGATTGTAACAAAGGTAGAGATATTTGCCCCAATTTCTTTTCCTGATGATTACTATATTTTTTCCCCAATTTACTTCTTAAAAACTGATATTTTAATACTACAATTAAAATGACAAAATGTTTATTTTTAATTTTACAGCACATATAGTTCTTTATGTCTTTGAATGTTCATGTGGTTTTAATATATCAATATAATTTAAATATAAATAGCCTGAAGGCTTTTGCCATGACTACGGGTGAATCAACTGTAAGAATGTACTTGTTAATTGAGTATAGTGGATCATTAGACCATTGCACCAATTAGAATCATTAAGCATGTTATTAATTTTCAATTAAAAGATCAGTTAGCCACAATATTTACTATAGAAAGCTTATTCTACAATAAACTGTTGTTGTTTGTGTCTGAACTAGCCGAGAAAGATATCTCAAACGTGCTGGTCCAGTGTAGGTAGTACTCTACAATAAGCTGTCATGGTGTGTGTCTGAACTACCTGAGAAAGATATATTTATAGTGGTGGTCTGGTGTAGGTAGTATTCTATAATAAGTTGTTGTGATTTGTTTCTGAACAACCAGAGAAAGATATCTCAAATGTGGTGGGTTAGTGTAAGTTGTAGTATTCTACTATTAGTTGTTTGAAAATATCTGAATATTTCTGGGTAATCTTTTGAGCATGTCTTTATTTTGTTTGTCAGGTGGTAATCAGAGAGAACTTGCACGGGCAAAAAATTTAAAGAAACAGCAAGGAAAAGCAAAAAAAGGAGATGAGCAAGATGGAAATAAAGGAGCAAATCTTGTTAAAAGACAAGAAAGGTAAAATTCATGCTGTCTTCTTTTTAAACAATTTGTGGCTACGTAGTTATCCAGCTATGATTTCAGTACAAATATCAACCAATAATAAGCCAGGTATTCAACAAATCTGAATTTACATTTCTTTATTTTATATAACTTTGGCACTTTAAGCAATTCTATTATTCATGCTTTCATTTTCGTGTAGTACTTATTCAAAAAGCATTTCGAATAGTGCTTTCCTAAAATCCATACAATGTTTATGAGAATATTATTAGACACACATGCTTTTAGGAGTTTTTAGAGAAATGGTGCCTTTTAAACAAGGGGATGATTTAGTTATTAGAGAAAGCTTGAATTTGTGTTTTTGAAGGTGCTTAATGTCGTCTAATGTCATCTGTTTTATTTAAAAATGGATTTGTATATATATTAATGACTGGACATAAATCTCATGCACAAATATCGTTACAAAAATTGCAACTGAAACTTAAGGTTACAAACATACTCATGATATTGTCTGATGAAGCTTTATGCAAATTTATGGATTTTCAACCACAAAATGTTGATGTAATTGCAAACCAATGTTCACGGTGTCCTCTTGGTAGGCCGTTTGTGGACGTAAAGCTATGCCCATGAACACGTTCACTCTCCAGAAACTTCAGAAATTCTTCAACTTGTTGATTTTTGCCAATTGGGCAACAAATATGAACAGAAGAGGATGATCCTTGCTTGTTGATTTGCTCAAGTACTGGTTTGAGAAGAGCATTTGCAATGCTGATATTCTCACAATATAATGGTCCAATTTTATAGCCTTCATTGGGAACAACTGACTCTCGTGCAACAATATACCCAGCCACAGATCCTTCGCTATTCAAAGCAACACATGCATGGCTTGCTGGTGAATACAACCACTTGTGTAAAAACTGTTTCCGATCATATCCAAATATTACTTTATCATATTTCACCAAAGATTCAAAGTTAGCATCTGCAACTTCTCTCACATGATATGACGAAGCATCACTGGAGTTTCCTTGGAGTTTCCTGAAAGCGTTTATTGAGTTAAGATTGTGAGTCTCAGCCGAATACAAGATATCAGCATTGCCAAAGTATTTTTTGATTAGTTCCAGAGATTCTGATGAACGTGCATATGAGCCTATGTTTGTCATTGGTTGGGATTTTTTAATTATGTGCTGCAGCATTTTTAATGCATAAGCATTTCTTTGATGTTTCTCTTCAATGTTCATTGCACCTCCATGGCAATAACCATCTTCGTATTTGAGAACACAAGAAACCGCAATTGGCGTACCATCCAACTCTCCAGCATACAATCCTGTGGGGTCACAAGCCAGATAACAATCTATTTCATCAAATGCTGGCCGCATTTTCATTCTTAACCTTGTCTGTAGGAAATATTTCTTCAAATATGCTGACGATTCTGTTATCATTTTAATACGAAACATCTTTATTTGCTAATATGTCTGGATTTTATATTTAATGGTTTTGATTTATGAATAACAATGTGTGATTGTTACATTAGGGTTGCTTTTCAAATTTCAATGGTGCTTTAATTTCCTTTGGTGCTTCCTCTTGCACGAAAACAATTTCGAATGGTGCTTCCAGAAAACACATTGAATGTCTAGTTAAGCTCTGTTCAAAAAACTGTTTGTACTCTAAATTCTGACTAGAATTGCAACTCAAGGTCTCTCAAAGCAGTGCTATTATAATATTCAAAGGCAATTTTCAACCTAACAGTGTTGATGTAATTGCAAACCAATGTTCATGATGACCTCTTGGTTGGCCATTTGTGGCTACAAAGTTATGCTGATGAACATACTCACTGTCCAGAGACTTTAAAAATTCTTCAACTTGTTGATTTTTGCCAATTGGGCTACAAATATGAACGGAAAAGGATGATCCTTGCTTGTTGATTTGCTCAAGTACTGGTTTGAGAAGAGCATTTGCAATGCTAATTTTCTCACAATATAATGGTCCAATTTTATAACCTTCATTGGGAACAACTGACTCTCGTGCAACAATATACCCAGCCACAGATCCTTCGCTATTCAAAGCAACACATGCATGGCTTGCTGGTGAATACAACCACTTGTGTAAAAACTGTTTCCGATCATATCCAAATATTAGTTTATCATATTTCACCAACGATTCAAAGTTAACATCTGCAACCTGTCTCACATGATATGACGAAGCATCACTGGAGTTTCCTTGGAGTTTTTTGAAGGCTGTTATTGAATTTAGATTGTGAGTCTCCACAGAATACAAGAAGTCAACACTGCCAAAGGATTTTGTGAAAGCTTTCAGTCCTCCTGATGTCAGGGCATAAGAGGCCATATTTGCCGTTGGTTTAAATCTTTTAGTCACTTCAGACAATTTCAACGTATAGCCAGATCTTCGATGTTTCTTTTCAATGTAGTATGCACCTCCATGACAGTAACCATCCTCGTATTTGAAGATACAAGCAATCCCAATTGGTGTACCATCTAACTCCGCAACATACAATCCTGTAGGGTCACAAGCAAGATAACAATCTATTTCATCAAATGATGGCCGCATTTTCATTCTTAACCTTGTCTGTAGGAAATATTTCTTCAAATATGCTGATGATTCTGTTATCATTTTAATACGAAACATTTTTATTTGCTAATATGTCTGGATTTTATATTTTAATGGTTTTGATTTATGAATAACAATGTGTGATTGTTTCATTAGGGTTGCTTTTCAAATTTCAATGGTGCTTTAATTTCCTTTGGTGCTTCCTCTTGCAGGAAAATAATTTCTAATGGTGCTTCCAGGAAACCCATTGAATGTCTAGTTAAGCTCTGTTCAAAAAATACAATATAAATTCTGACTAGAATTGCACCTCAAGATCACTCAAAGCAGTGGTATTATAATATTTAAAATATTGTTTAATAAAGCAATTTTCAACCCAACAGTGTTGATGTAATTGCAAACCAATGTTCATGATGTCCTCTTGGTAGGCCATTTGTGGCTATAAAGCTATGCTTGTAGACATATTCACTGTCTAGAGACTTCAAAAGTTCTTCAACTTGTAGATTTTTGCCAATTGGGCAGCAAATATGAATGGAAGAGGATGATCCTTGCTTGTTGATTTGCTGAAGTACTGGTTTGAGAAGAGCATTTGCAATGCTGATATTCTCACAATATAATGGTCCAATTTTATATCCTTCATTGGGAACAACTGACTCTCGTGCAACAATATACCCAGCCACAGATCCTTCGCTATCCAGAGCAACACATGCATGGCTTGCTGGTGAATACAACCACTTGTGTAAAAACTGTTTCCGATCATATCCAAATATTACTTTATCATATTTCACCAACGATTCGAAGTTAACATCTGCAACCTGTCTCACATGATATGACGAAGCATCACTGGAGTTTGCTTGGAGTTTTTTGAAGGCTGTTATTGAATTTAGATTATGAGTCTCCACAGAATACAAGAAGTCACCACTGCCAAATGATTTTTTGAAAGCTTTCAGTCCTCCTGATGTCAGGGCATAAGTGGTCATATTTGCCGTTGATTTAAATCTTTCAGACATTTTAATCACTTCAGACAATTTCAACGTATAACCAGATCTTCGATGTTTCTTTTCAATGTAGTATGCACCTCCATGACAGTAACCATCACCGTATTTGAAGACACAAGCAATCCCAATTGGTGTACCATCTAACTCCGCAACATACAATCCTGTAGGGTCACAAGCAAGATAACAATCTATTTCATCGAATGATGGCCGCGTTTTCATTCTTAACCTTGTCTGTAGGAAATATTTCTTCAAATACGCCGACGATTCTGTTATCATTTTAATACGGGACATCTTTATGCACATTTTATTCCAGGTGCATAATTTATGACATTATTACCAGTTTTTCACCAAAAATTCGCGAAAATCAGGCGATTTAAATGATATGTATTATTCCTCGGTCAGATAAATACTTCTAAAGATATTTTGGATCAAACATTCCAAAATATAGGTTTTTTCAAGAGCTTGAGAACTTATTAGGGTTTTGACGTCATACCGTTCATGGAAATATTGTCACATTCAGTGAGTCACATTACAATAAATACATGTCGTCGTATGCATCAAAATTTGTATACTTTGCGCTGCAAAATTCCGTCTAGATGTGTTCTATACGGTTGTTTCAACACACCAGATGCTGAAAATCTAATAGCCCTACATCCAATACCGCGTATAATGGAGATATGGAAAAAAAAGTTGGAAGATGGAAAAAAGTTCTTTAGCTTGTGGATTTTTTCCAACTGGGCAGCAGATATGAACCGGCGTGGATAATGCTTTGATTGCTTTTGAGTTGATTCGCATACTGCGTACTGGTTTGAGAAGAGAATTTGCGATGCTGATATTCTCACAATATAATGGTCCAATTTTATAGCCTTCATTGGGAACAACCGACTCTCGTTCAACAATATACCCAGCTACAGATCCTCTGCTGTTCACAACTTTATTTAATTACGTAGTTCTAGCCTCGTCGTAACTGGAGATGGTGAAATTTATTTAGGGGGAGGCGTACAGGTTTAGTTTTTCCAGTTGTAAAGGGAAAAAAATCTTTATTACATTTTGTTTTTGAAAACATTACAATTAATCATTTTAGTAAATATGCCGTTATAATAAAGTCATGCAGTGAATCACGCCAAAAGGCGAGAAAGGTCAAGATTTACGTAATGCTTACGTAATCCGCTGTTTTGTGTCAACAATGAAGCACTATTTAATATGCATTACTTCTCGCTTGGTTTACTCTGTTCTAGTTAAAAAATAATATAAATTAGCAACGAAAAGTGGTTAACTCTCACAATATTCCATTACCTCGTCCTAAAAATGCCGCTTGCAAACATCAACTTTCCTAGACTCAATTTGCTTGTGAAAATACGCATGCATCACATGATCGACGCATTTTTATCCTTAGCCTTATCTGTCGGAAATAATTCTTCAAATATGCTGATTTTGTTATCATTTTCAAGCGAAACATCTTTATTCGTATTTAGAAACATTTCTATTAGTGCTTTCACTCTAGAGAATATTTTCTGGAAATACTTTTTCGAATACAGTTCTTCGAAGAGTTCTTACACATATTAAAATAACCTAAAATAGAATTACATATTATACTCTAATTTGTAACAAAAATTGCAACTAGATCTGAAAGTTACGAACATAGCAGCAACACAGTCATGATATTGTCTGATGAAGCATTGTGCAAATGGGATTTTCAACCAGAAAATGTCGATGTAATTGCAAACCAATGCTCATGATGACCTCTTGGTAGGCCATTTGTGGCGATAAAGCTATGCTTGTAAACATATTCACTGTCTAGAGACTTCAAAAGTTCTTCAACTTGTGGATTTTTGCCAATTGGGCAACAAATATGAACGGAAGAGGATGATCCTTGCTTGTTGATTTGCTCAAGTACTGGTTTGAGAAGAGCATTTGCAATGCTGATATTCTCACAATATAATGGTCCAATTTTATAACCTTCATTGGGAACAACTGACTCTCGTGCAACAATATACCCAGCCACAGATCCTTCGCTATTCAAAGCAACACATGCATGGCTTGCTGGTGAATACAACCACTTGTGTAAAAACTGTTTCCGATCATATCCAAATATTACTTTATCATATTTCACCAACGATTCAAAGCTAGCATCTGCAACTTCTCTCACATGATATGACGAAGCATCACTGGAGTTTCCTTGGAGTTTTTTGACACTTGTTTCTGAATTGATATTATGAGTCTCTGCCGAGAACAAGAAATCAACATTGCCAAGATATTTTTTGAACATTTCTGGCATTTTAGATGTCCGTGCATATGTGGTTAGATTTGAAATCGGTTCAGAGTTTTTTACGACGTGTCTAAGTATTTCCATTCCATAGCCAGACTTTTGATGGTTCTTCTCAATGTACGTCCCACCTCCATGGCAATAACCATCCTCGTATTTGAAGATACAAGCAATCCCAATTGGTGTACCATCCAACTCCGCAGCATACAATGCTGTAGGGTCACAAGCAAGATGACAATCAATTTCATCGAATGATGGCCGTCTCTTTGCACCCACTCTTGTTTGTAGCAAGTAATTCTTCAAATATTTTGAAGTTTCTGTTATCATTCTAATACGGAACATCTTTATATCTTCTAGTATTTCCTTCTTGTATCAATAAAATATTTGTATTTTCACCGATTAGCGATCACATGTATCATTGTTTATATGAAATGCATATTATTAAGTTTAATTTATACGGTTACATAATAATAAAGCTTTTTTTCTGTAGTACTTCCTGTCTATCGGTGCTTCCTTGTTGTACTAAGAAACATTCCTATAGTATACCTCTTCCACGAACCCGTACAATACCCCTTTACTATATCCCCCTGCAAAAATTGGGAGTGCTTTTAGGAGTTAGATAGCGATGCTTATTGAAGGGAGGAGGTGTGCTTTAGCAATTAAGAGCTTTTTAGAGAGTGGAAGTGGTGAAATATGTGTTTTATACAAAGTTATCGTGAACATCAGAGAGCTTTGGCAAGAAACCAAAGTAAAAAATGATCTGGCGGTTTTGCAAGCTAAAGGTTAATAACTATTATGTTCACTTTCAGAGATGCGGAGGTCATGAGGTTGAAACAGCAGAAAGCCGCTGAAAAGAAAGCCGCTGCTGATAGTGGCGCTGGCTCATCAAAGAAATAACCCAAGGACTATTCAGGTTTCTTCCAATATTACATGGTTTTATCTACAAACTATATTAGTTTATGCTATGTGCTTTGTTGTTAACCCACAAATATTTGTTTGCCTTGAATTTTCATGTCACCTTAGTTCGAGATACCCTCTAGTTCGAGATTTAAACTAGAGTAAAAAAATATTATAAATAATGTAAAAATGCTCTGAGAGTCACGTCGATAATTTCAATGGAGAAAAGTTTTTGGAACGCATAAACGTCAAATTGTTATAAATATAGGTATCAATCTGCACATGCACACTATGTAATAAATGTGTTTATTGCATGCTTTTAAAATAATATTCATATCGCATAAATTTATAAATAATGATAAATTTTAAAACAGTTGTTGTGTGATAAATATAGTAAACTTTGTCCTGAAATAAGCTTTATATTGGACAAGCATTGTGGCATTAGCTCCATATAATGCGGTAAAACTATACGATCGAGGCCTTCTTCACTTCAACCGTATTCTTGAGGAAAATGGTTTTTGTTTCATTTAGGTAAACGCGAAATCCCCAAATTTGATAGGAATATGCTTAAGGTGGATGGTAGCCGTTGCATTTCTAGCGCATGTCCTATAGGCTATACGAACTAAGAACCCAAGTCAAGACCCTGGGTACGAGGTTGCTAAGAAGCCAGCATGCATGCAGACAGTATACGAATTAACATACGAAATCTGTCATGACCTGCACCCTTGTCAATCAATGTAAACAGTTTAAACGTAACACAATTGGCTTGGCTCGGTTTTTCATCCACAACACATTATGTAAACACGGCTATAGATCGGATATAACGAGCGTTACACAATCCATAATCGTTTCTGGTTTTTGGCTAACTGATATTAATCTATTTTGGAATATATTTATTGGAATATATTGCACGCATGCATGCATGTGCGTGTATTTTGTTTCTAAGTCTTTCCGACTGCGCCTAAAAAAAGACAAAGCAAGCGGAATCATCTGGGATACTTTTGGAAGAATACAGATCATTTAACACAACCGCTTCGTTTTGTTTCATATCAAAAATATTGACTCTAATATAAAGAAAATGCTTATAGGCTTCTTTGGCTGAAGTAGAAAAATCGCTTATAACTTGTCTACGAGTCAAGTGTCATTCAAATGCCCTTAATTTTGTGGCGAAAAGCAATCCTATAACGACGAATTTGTTGTCGTGAGGCTGCATGTTTTTTTTCCTAATAATATTTGTTTCGTTATCTGTCTTTTCGTCGTTCTCACGCGCGGTTTAAAATTGCTGCTGGCCGAGAGTGCATGAGGCTATAGTCATTCTATAACAGCTCTTGCCAGACACATCAACGCGCGCCGTCACTGCATATGAAATGAGTGAGAAACGAAGTGAAATTTATTTTGCCTAATTTTGAATTCGTTTGTAATAACAGCGTATAACCGCAGTGCTAAGAACTTAATATTATCATTGCGCCTACAAGATCTCATCGGCGATTTAATAATACTGCTTTTCAGCATTGCCAATTATAGTACTATTTAGTATGTTTAATCTTAGCACGCAGATGTTTTCTGTCTTTCCACAAAACGGAAGTTGTTATAGAGCGTGCTAGCAGCACACATATTTACATGAAAAATGTAACGATTCTCTGGTAGCAAGGCTCCTTCGTAGATCATAGACAGACAATTTCTCCTGATGACTGGAAAATGCTAGTTTCTCATCAGTTCTCAAGCGGGATTTGAATTTTTTTTCGCTGTTTACGCGCTACGGATAAATATCTATTCAGCTGGAAAGGCAAGTTCGCTTTCGGTAGCTATATAGGCTTGAACCCAGAACAACAAAATGCCAGTGAGTATTCGCTTCACAGACTTACATCTCAACTACTTGACATCAAGAGCAAAGGACGAACCAGCCTTATCAGGAGAATTATCCATAAAGGATACTGACCACAGTTCCCAAAGATGGCACAAGAGATGGACAATTCTTCACCAGAATTTACTGCTTTACTTCGAGAACTCATCGTGCACCAAACCAGTCGGTATAATTTTCCTGGAACATTCAACTGTTGATCTCGTCTCCTTAGCAAAACTACGAGATATCCCCAAGCAGGTAAAGACTAAAGTAGTACATTATTTCTGCATGCATACGTATATAACACATGCAATCAATATACAATGAGTTTATAGGACCTGTGAATATATTCGCATAAATGACTGGAAGGATCCATCTAAACTTTGAACGAATGCTGCATGGAAATTTCTTTTAAACCACTTCGAAGAGAGCGTATATACGTTTAAGATCTTGTCGAAAACCTTTTTGGGATGCATGTTTATTGGCGCTATATAGTTTTGTTTATGTCGTTTATATATATATATATATATTCTGTCTTTTCCCGTCATATATTTACGAGTGCATGGATTCATCATTATATACATGCATGCATGTTACATTCATAAGCACCGATTCTAACCTTGTAATTTTGGGAAATCACCTATGGCTATGCTATTGTAATAACTATAACTATATAGTATATATATTTTTTACAATTGCACTTCTTATATATACAATCACAGTGTATTTGTGAATTCGCTACAATTCATATTTCACAAATGCCTGCCTTTCGAAAGAGCTTTTCGATACAAATTATTGCAGAATCATTGCTGCCCGTCTTGTTTTATTAAATAGACACAAAAGCTTTATATAAGCGGCGTTAAATCAAAACCTCGGCATGCAGACGCTTTGAAATCTCTACAAATTGCTGGCAATCTTGGTTGTGTGGCGTAGTGGATTTAAATCTGTGATAGATATGTATATATATAGAACATGGAGGCGTGCGATACTAAACTATTTTAATCTTTATATATCAGTAGATATGCGGCGTTTTATTTCGTTGCCAGTGAAATGAACAAACTACATATATAGAGCTACGGGACGGCTTTAATAGCGACCTGTGAACTTGCAGCTTGGATCAATCCCGTTTTCCGCACGAAAAATCAGAGTTAACTACCTTAAAATTCGTTTAACGTGTCCCTTGTGAACACGGGGATACGATATAATTGTTGAACACGTTTTTCAATTCGTCTGTTCGCTATGGCTTTAATTTTATATTTTATAGTTTATAAGCTATTAAAAAGTTTTTCAATGACCCCCTCCCCCCGTAAAAACAGTTGAACTAAACACAGCTGCAAGACAAACACCGAATGCATATACTATTGTATTTTAATAAAATATATCATTGTATATCAAAGCTTTTAAGCTCATTTTTCATTGCCCGAATTTGCATACGTAATGAAATTCGTAGACGGACAATAGACTAGCGACAGTATCTTTTTTCGGTATCAGAAGTAACGGCTGTCTCTCTGATATCTTCGTATCTTTCGGTAAACTTTGGATTATTCAATTCTATGCTTCCAAAGGAATGATGTTTATACAGAGTTATGAGCTTGTGAATTTTTTTTATTTTAGCATACGTTCTACATCGCAATCCCGGAGGACAGTGAACAGCAGAAATATTTTCTTCGAGCAAGTTCAGAAGATGAATGTAACAAATGGGTGAATGCTCTACGGTCGTGCAGGTAATTTTTGGATTTTTTGATGGAGTGAATGAAGACAGCCTAGTCCCTAGGACTCTTATACGTTCTTAGTGCACGCAGCAAGGCTGGACTTTGTCGCCACTTTCTGTATTGAGGTTAGTTTACGATCTACGGCGCGGTTATCTGATCTTGTTCGACGTCGCTAGTCAAATATTTTTCTTGAAATAAGCTACGAAATGCTTTCTTCCTTCATAACGTTTATTGTTGTAAATCGCAAACATGTCAAACACGTCACGAAGTTTTAAAACCCGATGTCAAACACGTCACGGAGTTTTAAAACCCGATGTCAAACACGTCACGAAGTTTTAAAACCCGATGTCAAACACGTCACGAAGTTTTAAAACCCGATGTCAAACACGTCACGAAGTTTTAAAACCCGATGTCAAACACGTCACGAAGTTTTAAAACCCGATGTCAAACACGTCACGGAGTTTTAAAACCCGATGTCAAACACGTCACGGAGTTTTAAAACCCGATGTCAAACACGTCACGGAGTTTTAAAACCCGATGTCAAACACGTCACGGAGTTTTAAAACCCGATGTCAAACACGTCACGAGTTTTAAAACCCGATGTCAAACACGTCAGAGTTTTAAAACCCGATGTCAAACACGTCACGGAGTTTTAAACCCGATGTCAAACACGTCACGGAGTTTTAAAACCCGATGTCAAACACGTCCACGATGTCAAACACGTCACGAAGTTTTAAAACCCGATGTCAAACACGTCACGGAGTTTTCGATGTCACACGTCACGAAGTTTTAAAACCCGATGTCAAACACGTCACGGAGTTTTAAAACCCGATGTCAAACACGTCACGAAGTTTTAAAACCCGATGTCAAACACGTCACGAAGTTTTAAAACCCGATGTCAAACACGTCACGAAGTTTTAAAACCCGATGTCAAACACGTCACGAAGTTTTAAAACCCGATGTCAAACACGTCACGAAGTTTTAAAACCCGATGTCAAACACGTCACGGAGTTTTAAAACCCGATGTCAAACACGTCACGGAGTTTTAAAACCCGATGTCAAACACGTCACGAAGTTTTAAAACCCGATGTCAAACACGTCACGGAGTTTTAAAACCCGATGTCAAACACGTCACGAAGTTTTAAAACCCCACGTCACGGAGTTTTAAAACCCGATGTCAAACACGTCACGGAGTTTTAAAACCCGATGTCAAACACGTCACGGAGTTTTAAAACCCGATGTCAAACACGTCACGAAGTTTTAAAACCCGATGTCAAACACGTCACGGAGTTTTAAAACCCGATGTCAAACACGTCACGAAGTTTTAAAACCCGATGTCAAACACGTCACGGAGTTTTAAAACCCGATGTCAAACACGTCACGGAGTTTTAAAACCCGATGTCAAACACGTCACGGAGTTTTAAAACCCGATGTCAAACACGTCACGAAGTTTTAAAACCCGATGTCAAACACGTCACGGAGTTTTAAAACCCGATGTCAAACACGTCACGAAGTTTTAAAACCCGATGTCAAACACGTCACGGAGTTTTAAAACCCGATGTCAAACACGTCACGAAGTTTTAAAACCCGATGTCAAACACGTCACGAAGTTTTTAAAACCCGATGTCAAACACGTCACGAAGTTTTAAAACCCGATGTCAAACACGTCACGAAGTTTTAAAACCCGATGTGTTTTTAAAACCCGATGTCAAACACGTCACGGAGTTTTAAAACCCGATGTCAAACACGTCACGGAGTTTTAAAACCCGATGTCAAACACGTCACGGAGTTTTAAAACCCGATGTCAAACACGTCACTTTAAAACCCGATGTCAAACACGTCACGGAGTTTTAAAACCCGATGTCAAACACGTCACGAAGTTTTAAAACCCGATGTCAAACACGTCACGAAGTTTTAAAACCCGATGTCAAACACGTCACGGAGTTTTAAAACCTGATGTCAAACACGTCACGGAGTTTTAAAACCCGATGTCGAACACGTCACGAAGTTTTAAAACCCGATGTCAAACACGTCACGGAGTTTTAAAACCCGATGTCAAACACGTCACGGAGTTTTAAACCCGCGCAATGAGGCCTACGGACTAGGCTGGGCTGGGGTAGATTGTGGGAGGATTGGGATAGAGATGGGAGGGAGATTGTAAGCGAGAGAGCAAGATAGTCGAAGATTGATTGAATGAGAGGTGATTGATTAGAAGATGAGGGATGAATAGGGAAGAGAAGAATTAATGAGTTGTTTCAGGCTTTAATGAAAGCGAAAAGGATAGAAAAATGATTGAATGAAAGGTGGTTGAGAGAATTAATAATGGATGAAAAGGACAGGGAGACATCGTGAAATCTTACGATTTTATCTTCTCTTGTAGTTATGCTTCCCTACAGTTGGAAAACAAACAGCTTGAAGCAAAATATAATCTCTCAACTCAAATCCTGGAAGCCGAGCAAGAAGCCAAAGAACAACTGATAAATCAATGCATGGAATATGATCAGCATATTCAATCCTTGGAGAGTAATGTAAGTGAACCAACATGATCTAATCGTCCCTGAATGAAGTGTACCTCTGAACCCTTTTGAAACCCTCATGGACAATGTAATATTCTGCTCATAGGTCTTTTATCGTCTTCTGGAATACTTGAAACATATTCTGCCATTTTTTGCCCTTGCAGCTCGCAAAAAAGAGGCGTCAGGAGGAAACAAACAAGCAGGTTGAAAATCAGGAAGACGAAACCGAGAGCAACGATATTAAAAAAATTAAAAAGGTTCTTCGACTAAATACTTCCTTCCCAACAAGATAAACCACTAACGATTAACTCCTTCAAGCAAATACTTTGAAAAGCAGAGAAAAGAAACGGAACTTCCTATAACTTCAACTAAAATATTTAACACTTTTTAGGTGCAAAGTCTGGTACGAGCTTGGCTTTGTCGTCGTCGCTGGCATTCTGTTGTCCAGAACTACATTGAGTCAGGTCATGCATCAAGCATACGCCAGCGAAATCAAGTTATCTTTCATTTCGTCCAAGAGGAAGAAGAATATGTGACAGACTTGTCAACTTTGGTCACATCATTCTTACGTCCCTTTCGCATGGCCGCCAGTGCTAGGAAACCCCCTACCTCACACGAGGAAGTTAATTCCATATTTTTAAACTGGTAGGTAACTGCGTGCATGCATGTCGTGAGAGTTTGTTTTAAGTTCTATATTCTGTGAAATACGTAATCCTAAGTTGATATATTTTGTTTCAGTGAGATTATCCTATTTCTTCATCAAATATTTCTAAAAGGACTTCATACGCGAATGGAAAATTGGCCGACACTTATTCTTGGTGAGGAAAAAACTAATTCTCTTTAACTGTAATCAACCTTGTATTCCAACATTTTTAATATCTTCCGTAACTTAGTTTAGGTTTCCTCCTGTAGTAACACTGGATCAAGAAGAGATCGACCTCTCTTACTGGACCTCTAGGAAGAACAATTTAACACTGTTTATCCTTTGCAGGCGACCTTTTTCGTATTCTACTTCCAATGTATGGGATTTATCAGGAATATGTTCGAAACCACCACTATAGTCTTCAGGTAAAAGCTCCATTAGTTTCGATGAAACAGTTTCAAGATCTCTTTTAATATTTTAAATCATGTCATGTACAGATGCTTGCAGAATGCAAGAAACATTCGCTAAGTTTCAACCGACTTTTGACAATCCACGAGGAAAAACCAGCCTGCGCCAATAGAAGTTTAGAGACGTTTTTAACTCTCCCCATGCATCGAGTACCTGGTTACATCATCACACTTCACAGACTTCTAGCATTCACTCCGCCTGATCATGTGGATAGACAATCATTGGAGCATGCGCGTGGCGTTTTAGAAGAATTATCGTTGGTAAGTTATATTAAGTTATCTCAAAACCTTTTTCGTGGTGACCTCTCGTGCTAATGAAAATTTATCTCTTTGGAAAATTGTTTATAGATTTTTAAGTCCATAAATAATGTTAGTTCGGTTTAGGTTTCCACCTGTAGTAACACTGGATCAATAAGAGGCGATCCTTACTGGACCTCTAGGAAGAACAGTTTAGAACTGATAGAGCTATCCAGTATAAATAAAGGTTTAGTTTAGGTTTCCTCCTGTGGTAACACTGAATCAATAAGAGATGATCCTCACTGGATGAATCTCAAGGAAGCAGTTTACAAACGTGGGCGATATAAAATGATAATAATTTGTTTTTAGTTGATGCATGATGAAGTTAGTGAAACAGAAAATATTCGCAAGAATTTGTCCATTGAAAGGCAGATAGTGGGAGGTTGCGAGGAACTGCTTGATGTAAAACAAGTCTTCATTCGACAAGGTTAGTGTTGTCATTTTATATTTTTTAAGATTAGTTCCCATATGCGTGATTTTCTTGCTTAATTATATAAGAATTAGGATAATCGAATTAAGAAGTTTTCAACTACGAGTTGAAATGAAATTATTAAAATTATGTGAATAACCTAAATGTTTGTTGCACGACCCCCCTGTGGTGTGGACACGTGTTTCTCGGTTGGTGAAAGATGAAAAATAATTGTCGCTAACCAAGTTTTCTCATTACATAATTATTGAGCCTATAGGATGTCTTTGAATTGAAGATTTCCACTCAATTCTTGCATTTCATTAAACCAGCAACTGCTCAATCTTTCGAAGAATATATCGGCTGTCAACCTTGACATTGTAGGTGCTTAAGATAAATCGTGTAATATTCAAGATGAATATTAAGCTATATGCATGAAAAATCATAACAAAACACTTATAGTTAGGAATACAGTTTTGAATATATTCTCACTCAATTTAGCATCATCTGGTTAATAAAGTATATCTCAATAGCTGTTGTTGCCGAGCTCCTCGTGTCTTGTGGAAATTTACCTAATTTTTTTCAACATAATTATGCTTTTCAACAATATATTTAAGTTTGTTGACACGAAAGCAATGAAATATATCATCAATTATTCATCGTAAGCTATCTTTAAAAATGACAACATAATCATTTGGCTCTTACTCTACCGGACACAAAGACCTTCCCATGTACTCAAAAACCGTCAAAAAAGGCACTGCATTGATATATTATCACAAAGTAGTTATAAAAATAGTTTCACTGCTGAACGCTTGAATATTTCCTTCATGAATACTTCAATGAGATCCAGTTTATCGCCTCATCAACGCCGTATCGTATCGATGTTTGTGGCTGGGATTCATCCGAACTGATTAATTTTAAATGATTTGCTCAAACGAGTGCCTTCGCGCTTCGACATTGGTGCGAAAACGACTTTCTGACACTTTCTCGATTAATCTTTTCGCAAACAAAAAGATAACATTCTGTAAACAGTAGATTGAATGTCGATGTTGTGTAGGAGTTTTGCAAGGTTTCTCTGAACCAAGGTATGAGCTGTGTTGATTTCATATACAGGATGTTTTTTTAGCTCAGTCCAGCCTATTAAATTTTGAGGTATCAATTGATATGCTTTAAATTTTGTATACGCTTTTGAAACTGAGCTAATTGCCAGTTTATATACGGCGGCTTGTGTCTTTTTTCTATGGATTGTTGAAAAGCATTCCTCGATATTAAGGTCAACTTAGTTTTATCATAACTCCGTGCAAAAGGGATTCGTATGTTGTATGTTTGAATAAATTTTGTCCGCTCATGAGCTGTATGACTCTGCGTGCAGCCGTCAAGGAAAACTTGTGTTTCTCTTAAGGCAAAATTCAATTTATAAGTGAAGAGTTGTGGAATTGTGATGGTGCCCTAGTTTACTGTGATTTCTATAATGTCTATATATTTAATTCAGTCTGCCATCGGAACATTTTATTCTGCAGATGGTCCTGCTGTGTACTATATCATATGTATAGTATATGTTTTGTGCATAATCACTGTCAAAAAATGAGTCCACTTCTGAGGCCTGGATACGAGAGACAGACGTTTACATAACTCTCGTACCTCGTGAATAAACTTTTTCGGCTTTTTACGTTAAGTTATCAGACTAAGACTTCATTGAGCCTTGCATGTTTTAATCTTGGCTCGGATGATTCTAAAAGTCCAGTAAGGACTACGCCAGGAAACCTAAACTAAACTAACTTTATTTATACTGGATAGCTCTATCAGTTCTAAACTGTTCTTCCTAGAGGTCCAGTAAGGATCATCTCTTATTGATCCAGTGTTACTACAGGAGGAAACCTAAACTAAATTAACTTTATTTATACTGGATAACTCTATCAGTTCTAAACTGTTCTTCCTTGAGATCCAGTAAGGATCATCTCTTATTGATCCAGTGTTACTACAGGAGGAAACCTAAACTAAATTAACTTTATTTATACTGGATATCTCTATCAGTTCTAAACTGTTCTTCCTAGAGGTCCAGTAAGGATCATCTCTTATTGATCCAGTGTTACTACAGGAGGAAACCTAAACTAAACTAACTTTATTTATGCTGGATAGCTCATCAGTTCTAAACTGCTCTATCAGTTCTAAACTGTTCTTCGTAGAGGTCCAGTAAGGATCATCTCTTATTGATCCAGTGTTACTACAGGAGGAGACCTAAACTAAACTAACTTTATTTATACTGGATAGCTCTATCAGTTCTAAACTGTTCTTCCTAGAGGCCCTGTAAGGATCATCTCTTATTGATCCAGTGTTACTACAGGAGGAAACCTAAACGAAACTAACTTTATTTATATATAATGAAGGAACCTGTTGAACGTATCATCGGCTCCAAATCAATAAAATCCTTCCCCCAATAATTCGTTGTTATATATTCATGATGTTTTTGTATATTTATTTAATGCATGTGACGTCCTTGAAACCATTCAAACAATTGAGTCAGCTGTCATGATAATAAACAGATAAAACATACAATGTTTGATCTCGTAAACACGCAACAAACAAATTGTTCATACTGTGTTTAGTGTCATCGTATTTACATATGCGATGTTTTGATTTTTTTCAAAGGAAGCTTGATTCAAGTCGAAGAAAGTCACAAAAAGCCGATATTGTCGTTTGCAGGACTTGGCTTGAAACCTCACGAAAGAAAGGAGTATGTTCGTCATTGCTTTTTGTTCTCTGGACTGTTGTTAATTGCAACAAGATCATCAAATGGGAAGCTGTCTCTACACAAGGTGAGCTGTTATCTAGTGGTAATAGTAATATACAACGTATTCGAGTCACGGAAGAACCGTGAGAGAGTTATCATTTGTGACAAAGTTAGTTTCGTTGAGATTTCTTCCTGAGGTAACAACGAGAACGTGATTCAGTTCCTTTTTATTGTACTGTTTCGAAATTGCCGCTAATTTACTCAGATATCCTAAATCCGGGCTCAGTTCTATTTAAGTCTTAAAAAAGCAGCTCCTATTTTCTACCTGCTATGATGTAATTGAGGGTCTCCTCAACAATCTTCTGCTCCTCATATATTTCCGTCAGTTATACAAAAAGAGCTAAACACAAGTCAGTTTTCCCACACTTCAAATATTGCGTGGCAAGATCTCAAGGTATACAATAACTTACTCACTGCTTTTATCTGTTTAATTCTTAAATATGATGTGTTAATTGTTCGTTAACACGATATTGTAGTGTATTATGTGCATGTGTCGTACAACTCTCTGACGAAGGGTTGATTCCATGAGGTAGATGTACAGTTATAATTGCCTGATCATTGCTTTACCTCAGTCTCATGTGAGAAGACTGCATGCTGTTGGTTTCACTCTGCCTATTTCCAGGTATTTTGGGGTTCCCCCGTACTAGGACTGTGTTAAGATAAGAGGGCAGATCTGGAGGGATAGATTAACTATTAGAAATAGAGTTTATATATAGTTTCAATATGTATTTTTATTATTTTAGTCAACTGGAAAACTACATCTGTCCAACGTGTCTGTGATTGAAAATCTATTCGAAGAAGGTATTGAAAAATATTCTGTATGGATTCACATCTGCTTTATTTCTGTTCGCATCACACAATATCATAAAATACAGCAATAATATAATAATTTAGACATCAAACACTACATAATATACTAATTCTTTTAAGTATAGTACTAATAGTAGAACATCCCCTCTACAAAAAGTCTTTTATTCAACATCGTTGCCTACAAGTGACGTAGCTATTTCTGTAACTATAAAATCTGCAGTTTCATCTTCTTTCGCTGTGAACTCATCTGACCTACACAGTTGCAATCACGTAAATCTCAAGTATATTACGTTATCGTTGACGTAATTGCTTTACTCGACGAATGAAAGTGTCGTATTTTCGTGATAAGCTGTGAATATCCAAGGATGCGGTTGGCAGACAAGTGAATCTAGTCGGATTATAAGCAGAGATTTCCCAGGTTTTCAACGCATTCATTGTTTGTGCAGCGTAGCGAATACCACTTTACTGCCATGATATGTAGGCTTAATGGTTTCTGCTTCTACGTCAGTCTATTTTATGCCTTGGTTGTGAACATTGCGTGGTAGCGCGGTCAAAATGTTGGCGTATAAATCTCGTGGAACGCACAGGCATTTATAAACATCACTCAAGCTGTGGTTTGCTTTGTTAAACGATGGCAGAATGTAGTTTCAGGGCGACATAACTTATAACTAACGGAATTGCTTATTGTTTTACCTGGTTTTGATAACCAGCAACTGCAGCATGGTAATTTCGTATTCCTAGATATAATCTTCGATGTTAGTACACCTACGACCAAGATCGATCAGCATTGTGGATATGCTGACATGGCGTTGAGAGTTGTTGTACATCCACGTGATGGGGAAACCCCACTGACTATAACATTGGTTGCACAGACGGCTCACGAGAAAGCAGCCTGGCTTGGTGACCTGAAGCAAGTAAGCATAATTCAGTAAGGCCATAGCTGGAAGCCTAATCGAGGTGCATATTCTTATAGTCGTCTTATTCCCCACTGATTTATTTTAAAAGCTATTGTTCATACGGTATGTAAATATGAATGTGTGGATATGCACCCCTCTCCCTCCAAATTAGAGGTCTAACCACGCCCCTAGGTTCAGTCATACTCCTGTGTGTAATCTCGTCTGCCCTGGCTTGAATCAACTTATAATACTTCTTAATCTTCTTTTTCAGTGCATTGAAAACATGACATTGATCGACAACGTTCAGGACACCTCGTTCTCGTCGCGTTATTGTTTTACTAATGTCAGGTAATTCCTTGCTCTTCAGTTGAATTTCCCGTACTTCCTCTCACGATATGAGATGAAATGATATTCTTGTTTACTTTTCAGAAATGATCCAAGTTTGTACACTGATGATGTTGGTATTAAATACTCCAAGTGTCTAAACTCTTGCAGAATACCGCGGGTTAGTGGAAAACAGGAATCTCAGTTTACAACCGATAGAACTATCCAATATGGATAAAGTTAGTTTAGTTCAGGTTTCCCCCTGGCTTTTGTGTTAACAGTAACAGTTCATCCATCTCTTTCTCCTTCACAATAGATACGTTATGCAAGTCTGAAGCGGTTATTTGAACGTTTACTGGATTTACGATTTTTGAGCATTGAATTTTTAAACACCTTCCTCATCACATATCGTATATTTACGGACGCTGACACCATATTGGATGTTCTGGAGAAGTTTTATAATGATCGACAAAGATCGTGCTCATTACCTGTGACCGGCGGCGATATTCATCATATCACTACCAATCGTCGTGTAAATTCACTGAACGAAAAATGTTCCACTAGAAATTGTGCCCCAGGTGAGTGCCATAATTCTTGCTTGTTGAATTGCCCGAATGTCAAATTTATGTTTCCTCCTGTAGTAACATTGGATCGATAAGAGATGATCCTTACTGGGCCTCTAGGAAGAACAGTTTATAACTGATAGAACTTTAAATCTTTTTTACAGTCAAAAACCACACGGGTCTTAACGAGGAATCGATTGAGGATGATGAAGAGCCTTTAGCTCGACCAACGACACTCCAACTTCCCCAATCTTGTTACCACCGTCGTCACTCATCCCCCTCTGCCCTGGGCGAGGGTCATGTCTTCCAGTACCCCAATTTGGACACTTCAACTAACAGCACAGACTCTGAGCTGGATGGAAGGAATGATTCTGAGGCGCTTTTCGCAAGCGGTTTAAAACGATCAAGAAGTCGTGTCAACAGTGGCCCCTCGAAGGGCCGCGAGGATAGCGATTCTAATCTCGGTTCAAAAACATGGCCGAGAGAGTCTCAGTATAGCAGCCAGGGGAATAGTTTGTCACAGATTCATTGTACAAGCCAGGGTAAAAGTCTGTCTCATGAAGGAAATGGTCAAGTCTCTGAAGTGTCTGGAATAAGAGAGAGAAAGTCTCGTCGTGGATCAGAGATTGCAGTTGAACCTATACCCGTCATTACTATGGACTGTTCCCTCGGTAATAATGTTACCTCGGAGAATATTGATACTCTAAACCAGACTTCTGTCTTGGAAATTGACGCTAATAACAATCCAAGCCCTAAGTCAAGCAGTTCTAGTATAGTTAGTGAGCACTGTCTCAACAATGTCTCAAGTGGTAATATCGTTAAGACTACTCGTGGCAGAAGTGGACAAAGTGATAACCTGCTCAAAGAGAGACAGAACAAAGACAGGAGTATTTACGAGGGAATTAAAGATAGTAATCACAGTTATGTTAAAGAGATCAGTGTTCAACAGAACAATATTAAAGACAAGAAACACTCCAAGTCGGTGATGAACAGTTGTGGCTTTTCGCTTGGGCTTGAACGTTCAAAAGAACTACCGGACAAAAGACCCAACTCTTGTCCTAAGACTGTGGGGAAACAAAAACCAGATTACCTCAAAACAACCTCCCAGGAGAACCCCAGCCCTAAGCATAGTAAAGCAAGATCTCAGAGCTTACTGGAGAGGCGCAAGGGGGGGAAGGAGGCGAAATATGGACTCTCAAGTTCTGGGGAACTTAAACCAAAACGGAAATTTTCATTTCCCCGCCCTCTCTCACCCCGGTTAAACTCGAGCTCGCCAAAACCTGTGGCAAGTCCTGGGGCGGTTGTGACGTCAGCACGGGCGTCTAGGAGAAGGACTAGTATTACTGCTGCCGCTGCTGCATTCGCGGCTGCCACTGCTGGCGCACCTTGCTCGCCTTCGTCACCTCTTCCGTCATCAAATGCACGATTTTCATTTCGTAAGTATCATTTTGTTCACGTAACACCTCAACTTCAGATCACCTGAAAATATACAACTCAACTATGTCATCTTTTGCATTGTGCCAGGTGAAGTTCAAGGACCATTAGCTAGAGTTTTGACTGTATTACATCACTGGCTTATTAAACACGGACAGGTATAATTATAGTTCCTTATCTTCCCAAGATATCCTGCGATAGCGCTTGATAGCCCACTCTATACTCTGTTTTAGGATTTCCGCAATGTCCTGGCGCTACAGTCGAGATTGAAAACGTTCATTGATAAAGTGAAAAGATGTGAAAAGACCACCTCGGAACAGAGACGATTTTGTAACACAATTTTACAGTAAGTGAGCGAGCTGTGGTGTCCAATGATGACATCATTGTGATTACATCATCGTTTCTCCATTCGCAGAACTCTCGATAAGGATCCCAGCAGAGCAACTGATGAAAAACTTTTCGAGAGGATATTCTTACGTCGGGTAAGGAATTGTAATGAATGAAGCTTTGTGCTGGACGAAGTAGAGTTCACCTGAGTTAAAATGAGCCCACGGATTGGACTTTTTAACCCATCCATTAATGATCTGAGGGATGAACTAATATGATTTGTGTTTAGATCCAAACGCCGTCAGAACTTGGACTTACTTTTGATAAGGTTTCCTCAAGTCAGTTGGCTGAACAACTAACACTCACAGAACATCTTCTCTTTTCAAGAATACCTTCTTTGTACGTCAGTAACTTGCAGCTATTTTGGCATCAATAATAGTGCTAATATTCTTGTATGTTTTCATGGTGACATCAATAAGTAAATTAGCTTGTAGGTACACCACGTCTGTATTTCATACTGCAAAGCTTTCGGTCCGTTAATCGGGGCCTTCATCAGTGCAATAATGATGTCTTAAACAGGTCATCATCAATTGCACTGATTAAGGCCCGGGTTAACGGACCGAAAGCTTTGCAGTATTAAATACTTACGTGGTGTACCTACAAGCTAATTTACTTCATAATAGTGCTGTTCGTCACATGAAAAGTTCGACGTCTGAAACAGGTCTTCAATACGTCAGTTTCAAAGTCTTTGTCGTATTTCTAGCGAGTTTCTTAATCTGTCGTGGATGAAGGCGGATAAGGAAGTCAGAGCACCGAATATTTTGAGAGTGAGCCAGAGATTTAACGAGGTGAGTTTTAAGGCCGGTCTTTGTTTTAATGAATGGCCCATTATCAGATTATCTTATGCCAGTTTTCTCATAGGTAAGCAGATTGGTGGCGTCAGAGATACTCAGCCGCAGTACAGCATCATCGCGGGCGGCGGCTATAGAGAAATGGGTAGTCGTGGCAGACGTGTGTCGTCATCTTTGCAACTTCAACGCTGTCTTGGAGATTGTTTCGGCGCTTATGAGTAGCTCCGTTTTCAGACTGAAGAAAACATGGGAGAAATTATCAAAGCAGGTGGCTAGATTTTGCCCATCCATTTTCAGTTTTCAACTAACTCTGCATTTTATAATCCAAATTCAGAAATGTTTACATTTTTGTCCTCTCTTTCACAGACAAAAGCCATGATTGACAAGTTGCAAGATTTGGTGAGCACTGACGGCAGATTCAAGAACATGAGGGAAGCTTTAAGATGGTATGCTGTCTTATGCGGAGCTGGTTCACTGAAATAAGTTAATCCATAATTCTTTTAAAGGAGCGCTTTTCGTCACCAAATACTGAATAATCCTGGCAATTTCCGAATGACAAAATCATTTTCTTATTTCTGTTTTTAGTTCTAATCCACCGTGTATTCCGTACCTTGGTTTTTATCTCACTGACCTGGCGTTTATAGAAGAAGGGACGTCTGTAAAGAATGAAAGTGGATTAATAAATTTCTCAAAGATGAGGATGGTATGCTTGTATGCCGTCTATTTCACCCGGAATATCCTAAATATTCGTTCTTCATTGAAATGAGAGAACTTCTTTATTTTATATAGATTGCACAAGTTGTTGAAGAGATTCGCCAGTACCAGGAAATTCGTTACAACATCCAACACGATTCGAGGGTTAGTTTAGTTTGCTTGTTTGTCGTCGTTGTAAACGTCCAGTAAGGATTATCTTCTAAGGATCCATTGCTGCCACCATAAAGAGAGATAAATAGCTCTTAAAATGTAGCCAGGATCGCCCTCCTTTCACCATCTCAGGTAAAATCACCTCAGGTAAAAACCTGTCAATTGTTCATCTTTATGAAAATCTTATTTTAGGTTACAGATTATTTATTCAATCGAGAGATGCTAATGGATGAGAATTCGTTGTACAAAACATCTTTAACTTGGGAACCAAAGAAACGACCATCTGTGAGATTAAAGAAAGCTGACAGTCAGGATTGACTCGCAGTGTGTATGATCATGGTATATCTACGTTTTACATTTCTAAGTAAAAGAGAGTTTCAGTTGTTAACTGCTGGGTTTTGAGCCAGTTTTCAACAGAAATATGACAATGAGCATTTGTTGTGGTTGGTATCAACAACACTCGACCAGTTTGCGATCAATTTAAACCTTCGTTTTCTTCATGAAATGCATTAATACAGTGTTGGAAATCTTATGTTTTCTTGGTAGTCATCCACTAGCTGATTTTATCCATGTCGTGGAAAGCAATTTTTGAACTGTTTGGCTTTGTAAAATATTAGATATTTTCTATTTTTGAATTTTAGATAGTCACTCATTTTCAAAGTAATTTTATCGTAATTTATTAACTGATACAAAAGGAAAATATGTTATCTACAGTGGTGTTAGATATAAGTTGAATTTATATGGGAAATAAAATGCGCATAGTAGGCTATCGTAGACTTGTGGTACCCTTTATTTGTAGTAAAACACTCCAGTAATATTAAGAAGTTCAATGATCTGTGCTCCTCACTGCTGGTCATATACAGCTCAGTGTCGTTGTATGACACTCCAGGATTATCATTTAGTTCAGTGTTTGTGTGCTGTTGCTAAGCAACCGGGTTATGACGAAACAGTTGATTGTGCATTTCATTTAATTTGCCACATACTTCATTCCTTCACTTTTTTGAAGAATTTAACCTCAAATCACTGCTCTTTTCTCCATTTAATCGATCTTAAAATGTCTATGTCCACCTCGTATCGATACGAAGTTGTAAACCCAAGTGCTAAAGCTTTGAAAAAGGCGTTAGAAAGACAAAAGCAGCGAATTAAAGTAAGTATAAGATACTAGTTGTGCGTGGAAACTTGAGTCCTACACGAGGCCGATACAAGCAGTTGTCTTTTGTATGTTCAAGTTATTCAAGTGTGTACTGTTTCAGTGGATTGTTAGAATATGTTCGTGCAGATTCTAAGTAATAGCCTAGCTTTATGTAAGGTCTAAAGACCGCAAAGCCTTATTAATCTATGTTTTTTTGGCATAGATTTTAATTACAAAACATGTGAAACTTGTGTACTCATATTTTCATTTCTCATGACTTCAATTTTAGAATGATGAAGCTATGACACAGAAGGAAGATGGAGTGAAGAAGTAAGTAAGAAATAGTGCAAGATTATAAGCTTTGAGTCATGACTACAGTCTTGACAAAAATGAAACAACTTGTGCTAAGGGTCTGTTCACACAATCCAGTTTTGTCAGATCCAGTTCAATTCTGACGTACGTTTTATAGCCTGTTAACTTGCAATGGATATGTGCTGCAAATCAACTGAAGCCTGGCAATTTAGTGCTGTTTCATCAATTGAATTAGGTGATTAGTTCACTAACTTGACATAATACAAACTTCTTTTTCTTCGTAGTGATATGAGAACAATTCTTATCGCTGACTGGGTGGAAAAACTGGAAGAGGTATGTTTATATACTTCAGCTTTAAATATTGGTGATTGAATAGCATTGTGAATCCAAACAGTGAACGAAATAAGTTCTTTTTTGTTATAGACATGTTTTAAGAAGAAAGCAAGACGAAATTCAGAAGAGATGAAAGGAGAACTCTTCCTTTCCAACAAAGAACTAACTGCTGTATGTACAAAGCTTTGTGTTTTGAAAATGATCAAGGGATAGTTCTAGTGTGGTATTGTAGGTAGGGAGGCAGATGAAGGTAGGAGGGAGGATTAGGGTAGGGGGATAGATTAAGGTAGGAGAGAGCAGATTAAGGTAGGGGGGTGAAGGTAGGGGGGTGAAGGTAGGGGGTGAAGGTAGGAGGGTTGCCGGAAAATTTGGATAATCAAGGTTGAAAATGGGATAATCAAGATGGCAGAGATTCAAGTGTTACTCTGAGCTTCCAATTATGCCAAGGTTTCCAACTTCACTAGGTTTTCACATAATCAAGACCCCCAAATTTGCACCACTCCAGCACCTGCACCAGCCTGATAAGGAGGGTGCACCCTGCACCACCTCCAGTAAATCCATCCTTCATCCACCACTGTTTGTTTTAGGTTAGAAGAGCTCAACTGCAAAACTTACTCTCAAGCGAACAAGAGCAATACACCAAAGAATTAAACAGTCTGGAAAAGACGTTCCACACACAACGAATATGAAGTGTTTGTAAACTGTGAGTACCTCGTTGAGTGAAACACTTGTTGTTGTGGGGAATATCTCGATAAATCAATATGAAACATAGATTCAAATTGACCTAAAATTGATCAACAAACAAACCTCACTCTTGGCACCAATTTGGTTGCAAGATGTAAATAGTATATAATATATAAATAATATATATACAATAGTTATATTTTTAGGATATTCATTTTCTACGTATGCACGAGAATTTATCATTTTTAAACATGCACCTATTTATATTTCGTACTCTACTGATCGACAGCTGTTTTAGTAATTTACTTTGAGAAGAGCTTAAGCAGTATATGGGCCAGCAAAATATCCGAAGTTGTAGAAACTTAAGTGAAATATTTTCGTTCAACCTTGATAATGATGGTGTGTGGATGTCCAGTTTCAAAACTGGAACCATCTGATACAGCAGCGTCAAACGCAGACAGAGATCTACTGCTCGCAAGAGATCGTATCCTGCGAGAAACTCGTCCCCTCACATGAAGCGCACAACATGCCAATGACGCCAATCCCCTCCCCTCCCGCCCGTTCAGAATTTCTTCATCGCTCTAATTCGTAAACTATTCGTGATTTCGGCCGTGCTGAATTTAGTCGGCCAATACGATTTTTGTGTCCTTCATCAAGTACTTTAGTATCGCTAGGATTATCTTGTGTGCTTTAAATATCCCCCTGCGCTAACCTATTTGAACTTGAACGTAATTCTTTCAAGTACTTCTGAAACCCATTAGCTACCTAATCGGCGTCTAGCTCATCACCATAATTGTTACAATCAGAAATAGACATTGCAACGTTTGGTTTAAATTTGTCGCGTGTCCAAAAACATGTCAAAGCCAAGTCAGCCTAAATATAAATTTGGTTTAACTATTTTTATCGTGGCCTACATTAGACAAAAGTCAGCTGGTCTGATATTCAACCATTTAATCACTTTAATATCCAACATAGGACCGACAAGCATATACTATATAGTTGGACAATAACTGAAATATGTTTGACTTATCGTCAAAGGGCGGGGATCAGAAATTATTATTAAAAACGTTGCCCCTCTAATCTTTTAAATATACGTGGGCAGTTCTGTAATAACCCTGGAGGAAGCATAAACGAAAGCGTTTCACCCACGCAAAATCAATTATAACGAACAAACTAGTCTTGTATAGCATACGACAATTCCATTTCATTTAACTGTTCATAAAAGAAACGATATAAAAACGATTTAAACAACAACATCAATTTTGAGGTGAAGTGATACGTGCTGAGGATTATTTAAAGGTAATGATCCGCTTCCTTCTCTTTCGATTTCTTTTTTAATTAGCGCCAAATGATTAACGCGAGGTTATACGTACGAGATAAATTTGTGGGCGAATTGTTCATTTTTGCGCCCTACTTCAATTATCTATAAAAAATGAAATTTTAAAAGCAATATTCAGCTCGTCGCGAAGGATTTCATATAATACTCAATATAGTCCAAATACGTGCCCTTATATGGAACTAAAATACTACAGTGTGTTTGGTATAGCACTTGTATAAGTTCTGTGCCTTCAAGAGATAACTCCACGTTTTCGTTTTAATTTTTTTTGGCTGTGGATTATGAACCTTCTCTGCTAAGTCGTCTTGGTATGTTTTCAATCCGTGTAAAAATGCGCAAAAAATCTTCGGCTGTTTCCTGATGAGCCGTCATGTATTTATGCATTCATTGCATTTGCCATAGAGTTCGAGGTCGGTTGGGCGGGACTGACACGTGAGGAAACTTCAGCCGCCTCTCTGATAAGATTCAGCCAAAATTGTTATACATTTTAAGCAATTTTTGGACCTTTTTGCCTAACTGATCATCTGTCGGCCTTACAAAAGAAGGTTTAGGCTGATACCCATGTATTTCACTCAAAATAACAATTCATAATTCATTGTATAGTTTTATAGTCAGTTTTGCGTGTATTTCATATTACTTATCAACTTAAATAAATTTTTGGACGTTTTCCATTCTTGAAAATCCTAGCGAAAATTTGTCGAATTTTTGTGTGTTTGCTTTGCATATCTTTCGGCTGCGGTGTTCAATCCTTGGCGGCAAGTCTCTTTCATTATACCACGCGTCTTTTAGCATACGACTATGCTGCTGTCCCGCTATCAACACTTGAGACTTTTTTAGCTGGACACGGGACAAGAATACATCAATTAACAAATATATTTGATATTAATTTAGACCTCACGCAAGGAAACAAATGATAACTATAGAATAGCTCTGTACCACAATAACTAGAGAACAAGGTTTTCAGAATTTGATTACTCAAAATCGTTTAAGATTCAGTTCTACCCACTATCGTGCAGTAAATAGACTTGCCAATCAGCCATTGACGTTTGATTCCTCAAGTCTACTTCCTATATTCAAAAAGACATGATTCTTTTCAAGCAAAGAAACGTCTTACCTCAGGATTAGAAATGCTGTTTACTCAAAATTATATACAATAAAAATATTTAGTTTGTTCTAGAAAGAAAAAGGAGAAACTTCTGAGTGTTGCTGTTCTCCAATGGACGTGGGTGTTTGCATGCTTGCTTGCAGTGTTATATCTTGTAGTGTTATATTTCTTGCTATGATCTCTCTCTCCTGTCAGCATGTCATGACCGAACATTTTGACAAAAAGCCACGTTTTTTTTTTATCTCTTTTTTAACTAATTCAGCGGAGTCCGGACCGCGCACAACTTGATGATATATTGCTTCTTCTATAATTGCCTCTTTCCTCCCGTCATAATTTTGCGTGGCTTTTTGCATTCCCGGTCATAGAAACCATCGCATGCACCATACGCACACGCAATATCTGAACACGCGTGAATTTAGTTTGTCCTCCCATCCTCCCAGAACTCAGCAGTACAGCGTAAGCAATTATAAAAACAGTTTTTTCTGATGAAACTCGACAGGAGTTTTGAACAACAAATTATGAAAAATCACAAAAAATTGTAAAAAGTCTCAGCATCAAGATTATATTCTCTACACAGGAGGGACTGTGGTTCGCAGATACACGATGAAAAATCTAAACTCTAGTTCGTTTTGAAAGGACAGGCATAAAATTTAGATAAATGTAAAGCCATATATGATTGTGAGTTTGAGATATCTTTAGAGTTTCAAATTATCCAGGGTCATCGTTACAGCATTTACAGTAACCTAAAACGGGACAGATTTTTTCTTCAACTAACAATTAAAGAAAAAAAATTTACATTTATGGCCAAGCTCAGACGCCTCTGTCGGAAAATGCCCCGAAGGCGGAAGGCTGATGAAAATAGTGAAAGAAATTTAAAGATTATTCTTTTTAACGAATCCGGATTTGTTTTGAACTTCCGTCAAGTGCGTTTACAAACCAAGGCAACAGTTGCAGGTCTAGAATATTTTTATATATAGCCCCATCTGCTAATAGCTAGGTCTGCGTTATAATGGGGTAAGATATTAACACAATTCATACATCAGCACGACTGTTATCTTCGCTCTGTTTCATTCAATCAGATGCAGAGATTACCTCACGATAACACCAAGCCTTTTAAAAAGCCTTGCGCGCCGTGAAATTTTGCCAAAACATTAAGTGATTCCAACGCAAAGGATTACATGTAAATTGGTTGTTGATTTCATTTGTAATATCATGGCTTTCTTTCAACAAGGAGTTTTTCTTGTCATTTTCGCCGTTCTTTTAAAGCCTCACGATGGAGTTCCTCTTCAACGCTCAGGCCAGAACAAACGTTTGTTTGATCCTGTGGAAATTGAACGAAATATCGACAACCCCGGTACCCCAGCCCGACAAGGACAGGTCAAAAGAGTCTCTTCTTCATTTGTGTTTATCAATGATACCGAAATTGCGAAAGGTTTGGATTATCTGAAGAAAAAATACCCCGGAGTCGACTGGTCTTTGGTTACACCACTACCAACAGTCAGCCCTGGAAAGAGGGAATTTGATGGTGAAAACTCTTTAGAACAGTCGAAAAGGACATCTTCATTTGCGTTTATCAACGACACTGACATCGCGAAAGGTTTGGATTTTCTCAAGAAAAAATACCCCGGAGTCGACTGGTCTTTGGTTACACCACTACCAACACTCAGCTCTGGAAAGAGAGATTTTGATAGCACAAAAAAGTCTTTAAAAAACTCAAACAGGACATCTTCATTTGTGTTTATCAATGATACCGAAATTGAGAAAGGTTTGGATTATCTGAAGAAAAAATACCCCGCAGTCGACTGGTCTTTGGTTACACCACTACCTACGGTCAGCCCTGGAAAGAGAGATTTTCAAAGTGAAATGGAAGAGTCCAGATTGATAAAAAAGAAACAGGATTTTGGCAAACAGTTAGATCAGTTCAAGAGAGATATGAAAAATCTTCATTCTTCAATCGCTGGAAGAAACAATATCCCGAAGTACGGTAGCGAGGCAATCAAACAAGACCAAAGAAAAGGAGATTTTTCTACACCGGAAGAAGAGATGAAGTATTTAAGAGAAAGACGTTAGATAGTGATTGGCCCGTATTAACAATTTTTGACTTTAAGAATAAACATTAGGAAACGAGTCTTGTCAGATGAACATAGAATTAACGGAATACGCGTGCTAGTTTATGAAAAGTGTACAAAATTTACTTCAGTTAAGTTTTCGTGGATATATTATGTACATTAGAAGAACCTATTTATTTTCATTCTGAAATATTCAACATGCATCCACTTACGTCACCCTAACAAATGATAGAATTGCTGTGAAAATAGTTAAGTTTTAAATAGTTTAATTACAATTCAGAAATGTGTCGTTTTGTGTCCAATCTTGTTTGCTGTTTTAATCTTGATTAAATTGCAATTATTCAGTCTTGAGTGTCGTATATAATCATTTAACAAGCCAGTGATAAATCTGTCTTCCATTAGACACTGAGGCTGTAGACTTTCTCCTATCTTTCTACATTGATAAATATTTTTCCCGCCTACACCGAGCAGCCGTGTTTAGTCTGACGATTTTATGCAAAACATATACAGGATGTTTACACATATATCTAAAATGTATTACAGAACTCGTGTGCGTAGAATTAAGTCTCTCGTGTGTTCTCTCTCAGTTAACTGAGTTAAGCATGATTAGATCATGCAGAGGTGGTACATGTTTTTGAATGAGAGCTACCTTAAAGTGATTTGATGTTGTACAGAACTCATGTGAGTAGAGTTAAGTCTCTCCTGTGTTCTCTCTCAGTTGACTGAGTTAAGCATGGTTAGATCATGCAGAGGTGGTACATGTTCTTGAATGAGAGCTACCTTAAAGTGATCTGATGTTGTACAGAACTCATGTGAGTAGAGCTAAGTCTCTCCTGTGTTCTCTCTCAGTTGACTGAGTTAAGCATGGTTAGATCATGCAGAGGTGGTACATGTTCTTCAATAAGAGCTACCTTAAAGTGATCTGATGTTGTACAGAACTCATGTGAGTAGAGTTAAGTCTCTTCTGTGTTCTCTCTCAGTTGGCTGAGGTCGGATGATGCAGAGGAAAATACATATTCTTGAGTGTGATCTATCTTAAACTAACCTTAAAATGTTGACAGACAATGTGTGATTCGCACAGATGTTTTAAAAAAAGGAAGCTTTGAAAATGAAACAATTACACTCGTATATATAGTATAGTTATCGTTCGTACTGAATGATAAAAACATTTTGGAGTGGCATATCTCAAAGCCTTATCATATCGTCTTTTGAATACCACTTAAGAGATATGAAACTAAGGAAAGGTCACGGTCACTTTGTTTTTACAATTCATCTTGACCCATTTCTCTCAATACGGCGCAGTGATAGCAAAGAGTTCACAGACAGGGTAATATTATCATGGTTTCAAATGTATCAGGCCACTTGGTAAGCCAAATGCACACAAAAATAGATCAGTTTTATATTTACAGTTAAAAAATGTAACAATCATTAATGATACGCCTGTATTCATTTTGATAAGTTTTTAACATTTTTTAAAGCATTGTTGTAGACAAAATATTCACCTTTGGCTGAGATAGATTTTTGGGTAAAAAAATTATGTCCGTTATGGGCACGCTAATTTGCTAACTGTTGTGAGATTGTATTAGAATATTATGTTATAAATAATTGGATCTCTTGTTTCAACAAAATATTTTCTACCACGTATTATTTCATACAATACTATCAATATTTTTAAATTGCCATACAGGCACTGTTTTACTTTTCCCCATGTATCCAGTTATGTACGGCCACTTATTTTTTATCTCTCTCAAATTTTGTATTTGGAGTTTTATATTTATCACAAACACACAAAAAGTTTGATGTTGTACAAAAACATTATATTTCCATTTTTTATATAACATAATATACTATTGCAAATATACGCGTCAATATAGCCGTTCCTGATTTAAGGAAGCGCTACCATGCTTTGGTTCGCCGTTAATTTATTACTGAATACGTTTTAATACGAGATATATATATATATTTAGGCACAATCAATATGAATTGATTCTCACAAATCGTTATGCGAATCACCGCGAGTTGTTGACCAAGAACTGGACCCTTTTCTTGCATTCATCTTCGAGCAATCGTTCTGATTCCTGACGTGCAAGTCTGGCCTTCAGAAGACCCTTACCGCCAATCTTTAAATTCCTCCTCCGCTCATCATCATCCTCAGGTATCCCATCAAATCCCTTGTTATACTCGGACAACCCTCTCTGATTATAAGAGAACCGATATGCCCCCGTGGACTTTGCCTTTGGGGGATGATTTTCCCGTCCTACAAACAAATCAGTGTTTTCCCCCCCGGTTGGGATTCGAAATCGTTTCACTTGTGTTTCTGGTGTAGTCACAGTCAAATACTGCGTTGCTACTGGAAACGTTCGAGCCGTTTCAGGTTGTCTTACTTGAAGTAGAAGGTCAGAGTTCACTCGAATTTGTTGGTTCAATTTCGAGCTTTCCTTCAGACATCTTGGCTTCACAAGTCCAATCTTTTCCTCTGCAAGCTGATTGCTCTCTTCCGAATATCTTGTAGGTCTTGTTTCTATGGGTGCACCCCTTTCCCCGTTCTCTTCTCCCCCGCCTAGTGATCCAAACCCTCTCTGCTGTGTGAGCGATTCTTTCTCCGTCGTTTCTCTGGGAATCTTCAACTCATCTTCGCCAAAAGGTATGATGATTTTTGTCGAGTATTGAAAAACTTTTGATTCGACAAATGGTTGTCGTTTACTGGTTTGAATGACAGTTATGATATCATCATCTGGTGCCCCCTTCTGGGGACCCAGAGCTTCCTCCAGTGACGTCTTTCGGTGCTGCCCTTCTGGTTTACAATATTCTTTGACTGTCAGCTGAGGCAGTCTTGTGTAGTTTTCAGAATTCTTAGACAGTGATACGTGATTGCTGTCTTTCCATGCCTCCCTTGGTTTCTCGGGTTTTGTAGTGGACTTCTCCACCTGATTGCGGGTAACTCCAGCAGTATTCTCCTCGACCTGTTCTTTGATGTTCGTGTTCAGCCTGATCTTCTCAGATTGTTGTTTCTGGTTTATTAAAACCTTAGGATAAATCATAATACTCTCGCAACGCACCAACAGCTCTTTGCTCTTATTCCGACCAGTTAGTAACGCACCATCCTCTCCTCTGTGAACTCGACGTAACTTTCCACCAACCATTGTGCTTCCAGGAGACAACACATTCTCACTAGAATTGTTTAAGCCCTTGCGAAAGCAAAGACTACCTAGCTGTCCCGTATCATTATCACCACGCATTTCCACTATACCCAGACTAGTTTTAGCCTTTGCTGTTTTGCTATGCATCGTTTTAACCGAAGATTTTCCTGCTAATGCAGCTTTCTCTAATATTGAAGACTTCTCATTCAGTAATTCCATTGGTTCCATGGACGTCGACGAGTCTGTTTCGGCATGTACCGATGGTCCTGGCATGCCTGGTGGTCGAGGATGCAGTGCAAGGTTTTGCTTTGGTTTTAATACGTTGAAATTCTCGTCTAATTTGGGACGTTTAAAAGTGGCTATGGATTGGCGCAGTTTCATCGGAGAACACTTGATTGCTTCGAAGTACGTCTTTTTTGATGGGTCGTTTTCTTTCTAAAATACGAGAATACTACGACTGTAGACTAACTCAGGTATCAAAATGCTTAATGAAAGCTTACCTTATCGTTTGGAGTCAATTTTCTTCCCTCATGATAGCGGCAAGGTGATTTATATAACACATTTGAATGATCTTTTTCTTGTCTTTTCTCAGCTATTTCCTTCCTAAAAATGGAAACAAAGTTTAGTTCTTTTCAGTTCCACTTGTCAAGCTCTACCACAAGTTGCAACAAACTTGTACAGTTTGACATTTTTAGTAGTGGTTGCCGTCTGGCTAAAACAGTCTTTAGGAACTCGCAACTTCTTCAGTTGTGATCTTCAGTGGAAGACAAACTAATAATGCCCTCACCGTGACACACCAGGTTCTCCAGCTTGTTTTATGTTAGGCAGCCATCGTGAGAGGTAGTCATCACTAGCATACGTCTGAGTCATTTCTCTATGTTCAACATCGCTCTCAAACTCCACCTCGCGCCAAATACGATCACTTGTTGTCACGCTTTCTGAAGAGTCGACCTCTTCTCGCGTGTCTTTGCTGCGAGGAGCTCCCAAAAATGTCATTTCTGTGTCTGCGAAAAATTGAAGTTCTGTAAGACAACGAGATAGATCAGACGCTAGGTAATACTACTGAGCTATGACGGAATTCAGGGTATATCGTCCCGATTTTAATGCTATGGACAGGGAAGGAACGTTGAAAACTTTCTGGAGAAGCTCGAGGAGTTTTCTTATGTAGTCTGGTTTTCATCGTACGTCAAGGACGGGGCTTTAAAGATTTGTCATTCAGAGACCTTCTTGTAGTCCATCATGCAACCACATTACTGTTCTTTCATCAAACTTAAATCATAACCAGGATTTAGTCATTTAGTAGTACCTTAGATTACCACAGCTATGTTTAGACTTGGGCACTTGGATCATTACACGAATACTAACTGAATATGCAAGTTTCCTGCTGTGTGGGGCTGTCTAGACGAACCAATATACTCTTAACTACCCTGCGGCCTGCCTTCGTCCAGACACAGCTTCCTACTGCATGAATTGATCATAAATCCTTGTTCATCATATCAACTCAATCCATTCAAAAGACGTTATTCTGAAGACGTTAAGCGACTGGTACAAGTCTTACTATCGCTCTCACTATAGACAATGGGTATATGTGTGCAGAGTGATATCGTATTACCATAGTATATTAAAACTGTGTAAACTAATGTATATAAACCACCCTCAAACATCACTAAATACGGCATATTAAATACATTATACCTTTATGCTAACTTTACTATCATCAATTCCAGTCTTTGGAATAAAAGATGTCGATAAAAAGGACTGACCCAACGCGTACACGCTTTAAAACCACTCTACAACTTTAAGTAGTTTTCCTTGGCTACAGTGTGTATACCTGTTCAAGAAACCATTTTACTCAGATTTCAGTTAGCAATACAGCGCACAAAAGAGTGCGACTGTGTACACAAGAAAGGTTTACAAAGTCACGGCAATTAATCACCTCACGCGATTTAAAATAAGCCGAAACAACCAACCGTGTTTGCCTTTTCATCAAAAGCTTTATGTCCATACAGTTTCTTGACAAGTGATGTCCCAACTTAGCTTGTTACCAAGGATCTCAAGAAAGATGATGCGACATTTGATACCCCGTTCAGGAAATTCCGACACCAAGAGTCGGTCAAATGTGACCTGTGATTAAATATGTTTTGTCAATTTTGCCTACCCGACTCGTTTCTTTAATTAAAAACAACGTTTTGTTTCAGTTAATGAGAATCCAAGGCTTTTAATTCCTGGTCTCATTCAGTTTGCTTTTTTGACTAGCATGTGAACAGAAACGACTGAAAACACTCGCGGTTAGGAGTGAAAGGATTTTTTACTGAAAGAATAATATGATCAATCCGGTAAACAAAAATTGATAATTTCGTATTTTAATGGACGTTCATGCTTCAAAGAAAACTTGACATAAGATCCAACAGCTTGTTTTGTTAAATTATTTGGCGGGGGCACCAGGGCCTTTTTTAACATATATACTGGGGGGGCCAAGGCCCCCCCACCCTTCATGTTGCCCCCCCCCAGTTCACTATTTTGGCCCCCCAGTGAAAATCCCCTTTTTGAAAGATATTAACAAAAAATGAAGAATATTGAATAATAATTTAGCTCTGCGACAGTGTATTACTATTAGCACTCTTGTATTCTGTAACCCAACCTTTGTCGAATGTAACTCGACGAATGTTATTTGTCGAGACAGTCGAGCACAAAAACGGCTTAAATAGACAAATAGATTCATCAATGATCAATCATTTTTCTGTTGTAATGTACAATATTTCAAATGCATCTTTACCTTTACAAATATACGTGGATATTTGAGTGTACAGAGATTATCCAGTTTAAAGAAAATATTCTTCAGACTGGAAAATACACTAAACTGTCAAATATACACTCCATTACTCCCTGTTGATATTGACACACATGTTGTACCTTTGATATTACTTTTGGTAAGACGTAAGTTAACTTTATATTTTTTGTGCGTTTTCCATATTTTTATCTGAGATACAAATACAGTTTTTAGAATAAATTTGAAGGCTAAGAATATAGGAAACGGCGTTTCTTGACTATACTGATTTCAAAAATCTCCCGGGTGCCCCCTAGCTTTCGGCCATGATCGACATTCCTGCTTCTTTCCGCTAGTGGGGAAGCCCTTTTCTGCCAATGGCCCACCCACTCGAAATTTCTTAAAAAAGGCCCTGGGGGGCACCGAAACTCAAAACGCGAACTTCAAGACATACAGCGCAAAGGGATTTATGGTTTTTTGGGGGGGGGATCTCATCCGGAATAGCCAATAAAGCATCGCGTTGCTTCCGATGTGTGACTGATGTGTGACCGATTTTTAAATATTTTAATTTTTCTATCATTGATACAATTAAAAAAATTGATTTTATTTCAGTTATCGACAATTTTGTTATATTATTTAACACATCAGTTAAGAAATGATATTCACAACCATACTTGAAGCTCATCATTTTATACACTGCATTCCTTAATACTAAATCATATTATCGTAGATACTTCTATGATATGCAGTTTTTATTTAATGTCCCACAAGGACAGAACCTTAGTAGAGTATGCTTTTACATCAGTCTGATTCAGTCATATAAATAGTTAAAATTTAGGCATCTCCCGAATTTGGACCACAACAGCAGTCACATCATCAAAGTTTCCTCCAGGAATCATCAACGCATCTTCATATTTCTGAAGTCTTTCTTCTCTTGGTGTGATCCTGAAAAGATTAGAGGATACTGGATGAAATGAGAGATTAGTCCTACTGACCTTTAGGAAGAACAGTTTAAAACTGATGAATAAAGCTACCCTGTTGAATAATGTTGATCAACAATAAGGAAAGGTAGATTTACCTTCCTGGTTTTAATTCAACAGAACGTGCAAGTGCTTCCTTTGTTAACTGCCTTGAGCGACCATTTAAATCCATACCCTAAAGAAGTAAAAGATATTGCCACCCTATGTAGATGAGAAAGACTTATATAAACAATAAATGACACTTACATCTCTTGGTGAAGTTAAACTAATTGCAGCATAAATATCCTTTGGATACATGTTGTCAAATAAACCATCTGTTCCAAGTATTATCAAATCATCATTTTTAATGTCAAACGTATGCAAAACTGCATCATGTGTGCTGTAGGGAGTAAAGCAGGATATGATATATTATGAAGATTTAATGGAGCATCAAGGTATTTCACATCCTCTACCACAGATAAATTAAAGGCACTTTACCTATTACCATGAGGAATTGCCTTGCCGTTCGCAATCTCTTTCACTCCAACTTGGAAAGGGACATTTAGGTCAATATATTGCTCTTTACTCTTGTAAAGTATTTCACCATTTCGGAAAATGCAAAAACCACTGTCTCCTAGGTTTAGTGTTTGGAGTTGACCATTTGCTTTGTCCAGTATACCAAGGCAGGCTGTACTGCTTCCTTATAAATATAGAAGCATTTAAATTTGCATGTTGGAATGCAACCTCGGTTAGAATGAGGTCAGAATAAGAGATTTGTTAAATCTCACAATTACCAGCTTCAACTTGATTTTTCTGCAAAATCTCACTGTATGCACAAGTCAAGAGTTCTTTGAGGTCTATTTTGCCTCCATTTTCTTGCAAACATTTTAAACAGTTTGCCATCAGCATATTGGGAAACAATGATGGATCAATGCCTGAATGTCGCCATCCACTGACACCATCCGCAACACCTTACAAGACAAATTGAAAACAACACAATTTATAACAAACAATATTTCCTAAGAGTCAACCAAACTAGCATGCCGGTAATAAACCAATTATTAAGTTGTTTCTACTGCGTTATATTTGCTATTTCAAACTGTCAATCACTGCAAATATATCAATCAATTTGCTGTATACATAAAGTCCTATGTCAACAACAAAAAGTCAATTTACCGAAAGCTGCGATGCCATTTTCATTCCATATAAAATACGCGTCTTCGCAGGCTGATTTATTGTGTGGAGCCCTGCAATGGGCTCCGAAACTTGCTTTATATTTTAGCTTACTTGCAGCAGAGTTTGCGACAACAAACCTTCCGCCGGTTGCAAAATAACGGCAAACATTTCTTCCCCTTTGCAACAGATTACATTTGGCAAACTTGATGAGACTTCTACAAGACATATTGTTGTTATTCTTGAAGGTGATTGCCCTACATTACGGTGATGTAAGCGTAAATCATGCAAGAATTTCCTGAAGTCCCTTTAAAAAAATGTTGATTTTCACTTTGTTGACAATTTTGTTACTTTCAATGTTTACGGGGGGGAAGAGGGGGCGGAACGGAGGGGGGAATTTAAACCACCAATCCGGTGATCGAAAACGATATATATAGATTATTTCCGATTATTTCTGGATTTAGGAGAGAGATTTAGGATTATACCATAAGATTAAATCATAAACTTCAAAGATTAAAAAATTAATATAATATGGCGGACGATGGCTGCGGACACTGAGAGATTTTATTATGTTTATAGTTGTGATTTAGACGCTAATGTTTCATTGAAAATGTAAGTTTTATAAAGTTTATATTGTAATTTGTGCATGTGCATATTGTTATCCTTGATAGCCCAGTAGATATCAATCAGTTTAAGTTTATATCCATGTTCGTTTGTGTGTGAAAGTGAAAAGTGAAAAGTGAAAACTAGTTTGTGCTATTCGTCTGCAATACAAGCCTTGTAATGCAGTACTTTAATACTACGTTGTTGCAAGCTCTGAGAGCTCTTCATTTTTGTTTAAGTGGAAATTTAGAGGGCAAACGTGAAAAGAGAAACTACAAGGCTTTAATTGAAGATCCACAATTACGATTCTCTGGTCTTTATCAGAGGTTCGTTTCAATCAGATTTATATGTGGTGACCATTAAGGCTTGCTGTTCAGTGTGTATTGCAACTAAAAATTCACTGTCTGTTTAATAGTTCATGCTCTGATCTCTATGTGAGTTGCCAGCTATATGCAGATGGTCAGCCATTATGCTTACCAACCAGAACAGCATATAGACCCTTTAATACAAGATGGAAGTAAGTACCAAATATTTGGTTCTTCCACCGTGAAGGTGGGGTAGAGTTAGTAATGTAAAAAAACGTTTCGTTTACATACTAAACTGCTATATTTCTTAAAATATCCTGGCAGACAGAACCAACATGCAGACATCACTGTAACATACCCTTCTTTAATATCTATTAATGTACTTCAAATCCTAACATAGCCGTTCACTCCAGTTTCTTTCTCTGTTCAGTTGGAACGAATGGATCAACTTGCCACTGAAGTACAAAGATCTTCCCCGTAGTGCCCAGGTAAACCTTCCAGTTAGAGATACAAATTACTTCAGATTTTGCTATGGAAAAATAATTTAAGTACCATGCGTTTCTCAATAATAAATATTATTGCTTAGGTTGCTCTAACAATATGGGATGTTTATGGTCCAAGGAAGGCTCTTCTTGTTGGTGGCACAACTGTTTCTCTCTTTGGGAAGTCTGGGTAAGTTGCTTTAGTCTCACATCCCCACCTAATACCCCTGCCTAACACCCCTTCACCCCCTCCCTCCCAACTCTTCCAAAGACATTAACTGGAATTGTTTCCTTTCACCTGCAGTACATTAAGACGAGGTATGCATGACTTGCATGTCTGGCCTGAAATTGAGGCTGACGGCAGTCATCCTTCCAAGACACCTGGAAAAACCTCAGATCCTGATGACAAGATGAGCTCCCTGGCAAAGGTAGATTATATTTAATTTGATATGATTATCTAATTTCATACTCCACTTATAGAAGATGACGTAAAACTGTACTGTATACTTTCCTTGATTACTGCAGTTGAGTAAAAAACATCACAAAGGCCGAATGCACAAAGTTGATTGGCTGGACAGGTTGACCTTTCGTGAAATTGAAATGGTGAATGAGGTATGAGTAAAGAAATAAAGAAATGATAGTTACAATCTTCTATACCTTCTCATAAGACAAATTTTATATACTGCCATATCTTGCAACAGTTTCATAGAAAATACCTAGAGCTGTATCTTGTGTTGATTTTCATTGGACATATTTATTTCATAGAAAGAAAAGCGAAGTTCAGATTCAATGTTTCTAATGGTTGAATTTCCAAGAATACACGAAGATGGGATTGATTTTTCTGTAGTTTATTATGAGAAGGTATGCCTTAGATTACAGTCTGGATCAGTTTGGTAGAGTGTGAAAATACAGGTTATCCTGAACGTAAAATCTTTGTGTAGCGATTTTTTTCTCTATTCTAAACGAGTGACTGCTGAATTCAGCCTATGGCTGCAGGCATTATGTATTAAATCGTGATGTGTTACATTTTACCGTTTGATATTTCTAGCTTTCAGACGAAGGAGAATTTCATTACACTCCAGAAATCGTGCGAGTTCATGATCCGGAGATATTACAGGTACACTTTTTAAGAGATAATTGGCCTCGCTATCGTCACAAATTTTGACTATAAGATTTAATAGCCGGAATAATGAATTGGATTCCCTCGAGACAAAACGGTTTCACGCTCATTTTTTAACCAATACAACGTTTGTTTCAAAGTCCTTAGTCTTCCTGAGTAGCCATAGAAAAGCGAAGAAAAAAATAAGAACGAAAAACTATCTTTTGCTGGAATAAAATAAAAGAAAAGCCTTACATTTGGACCCTTAAATTTGGAGCGTTTCTTCATTAATTTCACATAAAGATCTCATTCTAGGCTGCAGGCGCACTCCACACATTTTCGTGTGCATGTATTGGACTGAACTGAACGAATTTGCATAGAAAAAAATCGTTTATTGTGCGAAGTTTATTGCGATACACATACAAAACTGGCGAAGCTGTTTGTTATTTCAGCAAATTTATCAAAACCTTTGTGGTTTTTTAATTGAAATATCGCCATCTTTGTCGCGATAGTAAATAATTTAATCAGTTTATCTCAACAAGATATTAAACCTTAGCAAACTCTTTAATAACAGCGACATTCCATTCACGTTTTTAAGCTACGTTCATTAAATACAAGGAAAAAATTGGATTTTCAATATACGAGAATGCAAAACAGTTCTCATTGAACGCGGTTAATAATTAATTATAAAATACGAAATTAATACTGGCTGTAAGTCAAACATCGTAACATAGTTGAACGTTTTTCCAAGGATATCTCATTTGAAATAAAGAAAGATTTTCAAACGATTTTTGGTTTGTAAGGATTAAGAACTTTTGCATGATGATTGAGATGATTTTCCTGTAAAACTAACTGATGCAGGTAACTGTGTCCTTGTCAAGGGGCCATTTGCAATGAATGTTTTCCCGTCTTTGTTGCCCCCTATTGAATACAGTTATTTATCTAATTTCCACTTTGTTTTTTCCCAGGAAAATTTGGTCGAATCAAAGCATCACAAATTAGTTCGCAGTGTTCGTAGTGGAACAGTCTCGCATGAAATGAAGCCAAACGCGGCCGTCAGAGATCAACTCAACGTAAGAATACAACTCTTGATTGATCTAAACCATCTAAACTAAACCCAATTTCTTCAATTCACAAGAGGAACATGTCAAAGTCAATAATATTAATTTGAAAAGATGAAAACTGCTGTGAGTTTTTCATGACCTGTTGCGAGCCTCTTCAAGAATATTTTTATAAAAGAGTAAAATTGGGAAAATTTGCTAAGATTATAGTTTCCAATTATTCTCTCTTTTTTTGCTGTGTTTTATATTCGTTGTCGTCTCCCATGCGCTCTTATGTCAATCGTGTTATATCTTCGTAATTACCTCCCCATTGATATTTAATGTTTTTGTCATTAACAAGTCCCTATTTTCAGTGGAAAATAAAATAAATTCGGTCGAAATCTTGCCCGTTTTATAAAGCTTTAAACTTTTTATATGCGAAAAAACAAAAGAAAATAAACCATCTTCGTTAATTTCTCGTTATTTAGCTTTGTCTTGAAGACGTATTGAAAATTCGTCGTTTGTAATTGCTCTCGCAATTTCTACAATAATCTGTGGTTTATTTCCCGCTGTTCGTAATGAAACTCGCCAATTCTTTGCTTGATTCTGTATTATTTTCTTCAGCAAATCGTTGGTTATCCTCCAAGCAAAGTTTTGACCTCAGAAGAAAAAGATTTACTCTGGCAGTTCAGATTTTATCTTTCGAGCCAAAAGAAGGTGAGGGTTGTAAAATAATGCGAAATATGCAGGAGAATGTATTAGTTTGTATTATTTTGAATGTATTAGGCCTGTATAGTAGTGGATTTCGGTCAGCCAAGATATCCAGACTTGTTCAAGCTCGTTTCTCTGGCGCGAAATACGTAGTTCCCCGTAAGGATATCCTGCAAGATGAGTGATAATTTGTGTGATTTTAGGCGCTCACAAAATTCTTAAAATGTGTCGAGTGGAACGAGTCTCACGAAGCAGGACAGGTATTTGACAGTGGAAGATGTTTGTTTTTTTTATTTGAATATATACGACGTTGATTTGGCCCCAGTCTGCTTGGCGATAACACTTGCTAATAATTATTACTAAGAACTAAATTGATTGAAGATTGAATAGTGATGGATTTGTTATTTATTTGAAGGCCCTTGATCTTATGCAGAAGTGGAGTCTTATTGATGTCGATGACGCGTTGGAATTATTGAGCGAACAGTTCACTAATCCAGCGGTTAGAAAATACGCTGTCTCGAGACTTCGTGAAGCAAATGATGACGTGAGTGGTATCTTGTTTTTTGATTAGTTCATTTTAGAGCTCTGTTAATGAGGTGTGAAGTGGTGGTAATAAAATCTCCTGTCTTTCTTTATAAAGGACCTGCTGTTGTATCTACTGCAATTAGTTCAAGCTCTGAGATACGAGCCTAATCCTTCTCAACAGGCTGGGTTCAGTCCGGAGTCTGCTGGGGAAGGTATGTGATGATACCTTTAGGAAGAACAATTTAGAACTGATAGAGCTATCCAGTATAAATAAAGTTAGTTTAGTTTAGGTTTACTCCTGTAGTAACACTGGATCAATAAGAGATGATCCTTACTGGACCTCTAGGAAGAACAGTTTAGAACTGATAGAGCTATCCAGTATAAATAAAGTTAGTTTAGTTTGAGTTTCCTCCTGTAGTAACATTGGATCAATAAGAGATGATCCTTACTGGACCTCTAGGAAGAACAGTTTACAACTGACAGAGCTATCCGGTGTAAATAAAGTTAGTTTAGTTTAGGTTTCCTCCTGTAGTAACACTGGATCAATAAGAGATGATCCTTACTGGACCTCTAGGAAGAACAGTTTAGAACTGATAGAGCTATCCAGTATAAAAAAAGTTAGCTTAGTTTAGGTTTCCTCCTGTAGTAACACTGGATCATTAGAATATAAGAATAAATATTTTATGTTAACAGATAATCCTTTGCTTGAAAGCAAACCTCCTGAGCAGCAGGTCGCGCTATCAGAGAGTCTAAAATCAGTGGAACCGAAGGGCTCGTATCTTGAATCATTTCTTATATCACGTGCTTGCAGAAGTGAAATATTGGCTAATTTTCTTTACTGGCAAGTATACTGAAACTTTAGTAAAAGAATTTTCAAGGATCGGTGAAATTGATATTTGTGTTTCCAGGTACCTTCGAGTGGAGTGCAGTGAGGATAATACGACTAAGGCTCACGCTATTTACAGTAAAATTATTCGGCGTTACGTGCGTGCGCTTATGCAGGTATAAAATATCATTCCGAATAAAATTCTATTTACATATAGTAGTTGAATAATCAAATCGAGTTAGGAAGATGTCTCTTTTATATATTTACCAATAAACTCTGGACTGCTCCATATTAAGAAATGAGTTGACACCCTTGTCCCACTCTGGTTACTACGGTTGATATTACGATATTGCTTAGTGTTTTGACTGGGGTTTTGATCATGATTCTTGTTTAGGATGGTGTTCCAATAAAAGTGCGGAAAGCAAGGATGTTAAGACGACAACAACAGTTTGTTGATAAACTAGGACAAATCATGAAGACTGTGGCCCAGTTCGGTGGTAACAGGAAGAAGAAGGTATAGCGTGTGATAAGAAGGTATAGCAGGCAGTAAGATAGTATAGAGCATGTGAGAAGAAGGTACAGCAAGTAGCAGGTGATAAGAAGATAGTTGAGCTTGTGAGAGAAAGGTATGGCAGGTGATAAGGTGGTGGAGCATGTGAGAAGAAGGTACACCAGGTGATAAAATGGTGGAGCAGGTGAGAAGAAGGTATAGCAGGCGATAAGATGGTGGAGCATGTGAGAAGAAGGTACACCAGGTGATAAGGTGGTTCATTTCTCTGTTCCTTTAGATTGAGAAACTCCAAAGTATTTTACAAAATCCAGAATCAGTTGATCTGAAGGAACCTTTGCCTCTGCCCCTCGACCCAAACGTCAGAATAACTGGTGTAGTCGCAGGTTTGTGAAGGATCGTATTAAGTTTTGATCCCGCCAGAGTTTTTAGTCATTTTTCATCCAGAATAACTGATATATTTTAGATAAAGCAACGTTATTTAAAAGTGCTTTGATGCCAGCGAAATTCACCTTTAGAACTGTGGACGACAAAGAATACATTGTGAGTCATTTTATAAAAAAGTTGCTAGATATACTTGAAACAAGTCTGTTGCTGAAATGTGATTTTTTCTTATCAAAGACAATCTTTAAAAGTGGTGATGATTTGCGTCAAGACCAGTTAATTCTTCAAATTATTCGCTTGATGGATAAGGTACTGAGCTGAAGTTTTGTGGTTAATGATACCTGAAAAACCAGCTTTTTTTAAAGCCTTAAGAACTAAAGAAAGGCGTAGAATACACATTCGAAAAGTCGAGTTATTTTATTGTGTTTTATTAGCTTTTGATGCTTGAAAATTTGGATTTGAAGCTGACTCCGTACAATGTTCTAGCAACGAGCACCAACAGTGGTGAGTGTTGCGACCAAGAATGAATCTTGCGACCAAGTTTTGTGGAACTTTCGTTGAAAGTATTGAATCGTGTCTTCATTTTCTCCGTCTTAGGTTGTGTGCAGTTCATCGAGTCCTGTCCTGTCGCAGAGGTTCTGGCCTCCGATGGTAGCATTCAGGTAAATAACGAAATTTCAACTCGAATTTGCGATTTAACCATTTGCATGCATAGGTTACGAACTCTTCTTAAAATTATGCACCATCCACATCCAGTAAGGTTGTAGAATGTAGACCTTGATTGCTGAACGTAATCAACATTGTCCAAGGGACACAGTGTTTGTTTTCAAAGGTGATGATTGAGAGATTCTTACAATGGTTATTTTTTCAATTGTGTTTCCTTCAGAATTTCTTTCGTAAATACGCCCCATGCGAAGGTGCTCCGTGTGGAATCAGCCCAGAGGTTATGGACACGTATGTGAAAAGTTGCGGTGAGTTTTATAATAACCTTACAATGGTAATATCCAGAAAGAAAACGCCCACAGATCGATCCATTAAGCGGTTACAAAAAGCATTGAGATGCTAGCATTGAGATACTTGCATGCGTACCTAATTCCCGTTGGCTTGATAGCTCACGATTAATTGATTGTAAAGTTTGTAAATTGAAGTTCTTATAGTTCTTATATACCATGTTTAGTTTGTTTGATTGTAAATGTAATTTCGTCTTAGCTGGCTATTGTGTGATCACGTACCTACTTGGAATTGGAGATCGCCATTTGGACAATCTATTGCTCACAAAATCTGGTAGATTTTCCAGCTAATTGTTCTCATACTTGTTCAAGGTTTTCGTATTTGCCCAAGTTGGTAACGTGTCTTTTCTTCTAATATTCTTACGAAGGCAATTTATTTCATATTGACTTTGGTTATATCCTTGGTCGAGATCCCAAACCATTGCCACCGCCAATGAAACTAAGCAAAGAAATGGTGAGTACTTGAACTAACTTGAACTCTGTAAAAACTACTGTTTCAAGGACGACAACAAACACACATCGCTTGCTTCAGAGAGATCTTTACATAGCTTAATCCTCGCATGGTTCTTTCGTTATGAATATCTCTTTCAAATTTTTTCAAGGTTGAGGCAATGGGGGGAGCTCAAAGCGAATTTTATCAGGAATTCCGAAGGCAATGTTATACAGCCTTCTTGCATCTGCGCAGGTATGAACACATGTCTTTAAGTACGCGTTGTTTGTGCTAGAATTCTCTGTTTTATTTTTGCAGATCAGCAAATTTGATCCTCAATTTATTTGCGTTAATGGTGGATGCGAATGTACCAGATATTGCGTTGGAACCTGATAAAACGGTGAAGAAGGTGAGAGATTGATAGATTTGGGGGGGACTATTGCATGGCGTATCCCTTATTAGATCCCTAGACTGCTTGGGCCTTCAGGCATTGGCCAGTCCATCCTGACCCAGCCACTAACTGGTAGGTTTTATCTTCAATAGCATATGAAAGTCATTTTATACTCTCTGTTCTTAGGTGGAAGCGAAATTTCGACTGGATCTTTCTGATGAAGAAGCGGTCCATTATCTTCAGTCTCTGATTGATGAAAGTGTTAGCGCTATGTTCGCTGTCGTAGTTGAACAGATTCATAAATTTGCACAGGTAAATATCAACAAGCTTTCATATAACACGGCCACATGGGTTAAGATCCCATATCACAACACATTACAATGAAACTCAGGTGTCCTACTATTTTACTCTTTCAGTACTGGAGAAAATAGCCTGTGCAGAATCATCACAGCAAAGTATCAAATACAATGTATTTGGTCATGATATGCATTTTCTGATCAGTGCATCATCAAAGGTCAGTCAGACTTTGAGATGATTCGAAGAATAACATCTAATATGTAGCACCTTTGAATACAATTAGTACAGGTTCTATGATTGCATCAAATGATCGATATATCAATATCACCACAGGATTGAAAAAGCGAAACAGTCAGCATCTTGGTTATGATGTAGTAACAATGCACATTTCATATGACTTTGTATAAAAAGTTTACAAAATGTTTGGTAAAAGAGAATTATATTTAAAATTTCATGTTTGATTTTTCATCTGTTGAGTTCCTTTATAATTTCTTCCAATGAATACTTGTTATCTTCATTGTTATTGCAAGTTGTTAAAGAATCGCATGATGATGATATCTGAAGTGATGTTAGCACAAGATTATGAACAAAACAAACTTTATATTACACTAGAGAAACTGTTGCTTCAGTAAGTATCATCTTATATTGATCCAGTGTTACTTCAGGAGGAAACCTAAACTAAACTAACTTTATTTATACTGGATAGCTCTATCAGTTCTAAACTGTTCTTCCTAGAGATCCAGTAAGGATATTATCAGCAACAATATTTCCATGTAAGCCTTCACCAAAATCAGAACTCACCTTTTGTAGTTCATTATGTTTTGCAGTTATTCTCTTTTCTGTTTCAGTGATTTCTTCTCTTGTCTCATGTAAACTTCTTTTTAATGTCTCATTTTCATCTTGCAACTGAAATTAGGTGAAATTATGAAATTAATAGCATTCTAGAATGCAACATTCTCCAATTGGTCAAAAGTTGATTATTGTTTTGTATGTTATGGTATTATGCAAACCTGTTTCAGCTTATCTCGAAGTTTTTGACGAAGTTCTAACTTAACAGATAGAACATGATCTTTGATATCTTCACTTGGTGTACCAGAGGGTCGCCTAAGTATGCAAGATACATTTCTGAATAACAGTGAACAACAATGGTATCGGATAGACTCATAGTAGAGCATGTAAACCATTTGATAGCAATGTTATGAGTAAGCAATTTGAATTTTTTAATACCATGCCTCCTCTTGACCAATTGACTGTGGTTGTAGTTCATCCAGCTGTTGACATAGATGGACCAGATTCTCTTGTTGAAACATGAGCTCAAGTTCTTGCTAAAAACATTTCAGGATGTTCAGATACAAATCATGGCATATTATGAAATACTAGCTATGAAATTATCTAAAACATATCTGGTAGAATTTTATTGGTCAAACCTCAATGTTGACTTTCAAATGTTCAATAAGTTGTGGTACAATACTGTCAAAGATTGCTGGATTCTTCTCTCTGACCTTCTTGAAGCAGGAGGAGATCTTTTTAAATCTACGGTAAATCAAAACACAGGTAAATCAAAACTATACCCGCATACACATGTCATCACTCCATAGCCAATTTGAGAAACAGTTTCTACCTAACAGGGGCCAAACATTTCTGTGTACACATGTCCAACAGTTCTTTTATATGACTAAAATTGTTGCAGATCTCCTTCTCTTGCGCTTCGTCGTCCTTTTCAGCCTCAAAATTACCAGCTAAACCGCTTTGAATTTCCCGCTCCTTGTTCCCCGCCATTTTGAGTAAAGAATGCTTGTTCTTCTCGGCCTAGTCCACGACAGAGTGACAGGTCGATGGTCCAAAACAGTGAAGAAAATGGAGATGAATTCTTTTATTTTTTGCACTTTTTAGCAGGTAAAACGCTTCTTTTTCATTGGCGATATAAAGAGTAACTATGTATCTTTTACCTTGAATTGCTTGTTTGCTTATTTGTTGGCTGGAAGAAGCTCTGAACCATCTTACCTTACCCGGTAGTAGCTTAAGCAAGCGATGCCGACGACATTAATTACTAGTTATTTGATACGTGGTTTTTGATTCAATTTTAGATCGATCTCGACATATCAAATAACTGAACCGTGCTTTATTCTGCCAGTGATAACTCGTGAGTATAAACGCTTACATAAGAATTGTCCTAATTTCATCTTTACATCTAGTTTTGTCTCCTCCAGGACTTCCTGGCAAGTGACTGGGGTACATTGTTTAATAATCGCATGTATTGTTCATTTCATATTTATATTGTGACACATTACAGTTCGTATTCTAATATTTTATAAAGTAAACCAGACTACAGGTACTTTCACTTTGTAGAATTTTGTTGTAATTTACATCAGCGGCAACTGTTTGAAATTAAACAGTCTGACTTGTTATTAAATGTGGTGTTCAATATCTATATAATGTAGTTGCAAAATAGTCAAAATTGTGAAACATGATCATCTGATTTATGGATCCCCAAATGTGTAATTTATATCCGACATTTTCGGGCTGTTTATGAGAATATCTGAATCAAATGCAATAATAGACCTAATCGTTGCTAGAAAAAGCAATAAAAATGTTTAAAAAACTCCCTGTACAGTAAATGCAAAGAAAAGTTGAGTAGATCTAATATTGGTTGTCTTACAACATTGTTCCAAGTTTGAGCATATGAATATTCAATAACACAGATAGATTAATTTGATAAGTATACAGTATGATAATATGAACTTGATTAATGATGATTTTTCCAATTTCTACTAGTTTACAATGGCAGATAAACAAGCTAGTGTGGAGGCTAGCTTCTTGCAATCCAAACTTGGTGATTTAGACATTGAGACACTTCAAAAACTTCTCCAAACAGCTATTGCTAATAAAGCAAAAGAACCAGAACCTAGTGGAGTGGTCACCCCCACTCTGCCAATTACCTCAACTGATGTGATCACCCCCTCTCCACCAAGTACCATTTCAACTGATGTGGTTGCCCCCATTCTGCCAAGCACCACCTTAACTAATGTGGTCACCCCCTTTCCACCAAGCACCACCTCAATTGATGTGGTCACCCCCACTCTGCCAAGTACCAGCTTAGCTGATGAGGTTGTCTCCACTCCACCAATCACCACCTCAACTGATGTGGTCACCCCCACTCCACCAATCACTACCTCAACTGATGTGGTCACCCCTACTCTGCCAAGTACCAGTTTAGCTGATGAGGTTGTCCCCACTCTACCAAGCACCACCTCAACTGATGCAAACCAAACTGTAAATAATGGCATGACAGAAATGAACGACGAAATTGAAAGCAACAAACCAATAGTTGCTGGGAGCTCAGAAATGCCATTTAATGGTGGTTATGATGGCAATGAACAAGCTCAGATTATGGCAGATGAGGATTTTTCTCCTGGCAAAGATTTCTCCCAAGATACTCCACCCAATGACCAGGAAAAAGGAAGCTACTTTGTACCAACTCAAGTAACTAATGCAGGTAATAGCAGTGCTGAATATTAGTTATCATGACACTCATATTGCTATAGTTTGAGTCTATCAAAATGTTATCCAGCATATTTTATTAAATAGTCAATAGGAATGTGTTTTTCAATTGCAGATCAGCAAGCCATTGGATTACCCAATTCTCCAAACACTCCGACAGTCAATCTTCAAGCATTGAAAATATATGAAGATGATGATGCTGAAGAACTTACAAGCCATGTATCCGAGAAAAAAGCAAACTTTGCATCAACTTCAAGCCAAAGTTCTACACTAGTAGACACTAACCAGTTCGCTGATTTTGTTGACCAGGATGGGCAGGGTAACTACCTTGAGAAAACTTTCCTGGATGATCAGCAAAATGCACCATTGAATCAAGCATCAACAAGTCAAGACCCCAAGAATGTTCCAAGTCAGATGTACATCCAGCCCAAACAAACCCTATTCAATACCCAGTGGACTACACCTTCAAACACAATTGGCAAGCTTGATCAAAAACCAATTCTTGTCTCAGCAGAACAACAAACTATCCAACCCTCAACCAACCAGTTTAATTTACCATTAGATCGACCACTAGCTGGTTTTGACCAAGAATTCCAAACAGCTCCTAGTCCAATGTCGATTTCATCCAGTAACTCTCTAGAAGATGTTCCATCCAAAGATTTTCCATCTGTGGTACCACCTTTGTTAATACCAATATCCAAGGTTAGCCAGTACCTTCCTGATGGGACAGCCATTTTAAACACAGAATCAAGGATACCTCTTGCCTTGAAACCTGTCATTGTATTAAAAAATGAAGTTGCTCTGATGGTGTTTGAACGAGATGATGGTTAGTAAATTTATCCATGACCCTTTGATGAGGTGGAATGATAATTATGTAACTTTATAAACATGGTGGCTCTGTCATGAGGGAGGAGTATTCAGTGTTGTAGTATTTGTAACATGGTACAGCAACTAGTGATCATCATATTTCCCGCTCAGAGAATTTTTTTGTGAGCAAACAAAGTGTTAGCTTACCAATCAGTGAATCTCTATTCTCCTGTCTAGGTTTGTGCAATGGATGTGAAAAAGTTCTTGAACAACAGGACTTGCAAGACCTGAAGGAGAAGCATACCTTGAAACTTCGGAGAAGTCTTGTGACTTATTCAAAACAACAGCCCCCACAGCTGAGGCAGAATAATGAACCAGTCGAACCACTTCATCAGCAATCTGGTTCATATGTTAGTGAAGCAAAGCCTCGAGTACAGGGACAAAACAACTTGCAAGCAAGCCACGCCTTGTCGCAGCAACAACTAGCAAATGATTCAGGAAATCTCCAAGGACAGCAACCCCAAAAGCATGACCAACAAGCATCACAGCAATGGCATCTGGCTGATGAGACACTTCATCAGCAGCAACAACAACAACAGATGCAGCAACAACAACAACAACAGATGCAACAACAACAACAACAACAACAGATGCAGCAGCAACAACAACAACAACAACAGATGCAACAACAACAACAGATGCAACAACAACAACAGATGCAGCAACAACAACAACAGATGCAGCAACAACAACAACAACAACAACAACAGATGCAACAACAACAGATGCAACAACAACAACAACAACAGATGCAGCAACAACAAGAAAGCCATCTAAGCCCAAACTTCAATCCAAGCTCAGATCCCTACCAATATGAGTCCATCACTTCATTCCCACAACCCACTGACCAGGGTCCATCACAACCTGAACAAATGCACAGAACAAGCTCATTACCCCATCTTCCGACACAGAACCAAGGACATCCAACAAATCCAAATCAACAGAATCAAACACAATCAAATTTAGTGGTGAGTGTGAAGATGTTCATCTCCTGGACTTCAAAAATATGTTTGCTTGTTTTTTATTCATCATCAAAAACCTATTCACTTCAACCTTAATCAATTATGTCTACTTGTGAGAGGTGAATCATGTGATTGCTGTCGCTGTCATGTATAAAAAAAACATTGCACTTAATCCTTTTCTTCCAATTGAAAGAAATCATTCTGTTCCTTTTGCAAATTTGCCTATTGAATTTGCTGAGTCTTTTGTGTTTCAGCCTGGTCTGAAAGCCCCAATTTGGATGAGTGATGAAAATTGTAAAAATTGCAACAACTGTGGAAAAACATTCTCTGTTACAAGAAGAAAACATCATTGTCGGGGCTGTGGAAAGGTGAAGATAAACTTTTTGTCGATCATGATCAAGGAAGCTTAATAATCACAAACAAACAATTTACTTTAATGGTTTATTGATAAATACATTTTCATCCTTTCATTTTCTTTGCATTCTAGATATTCTGCAGTATTTGCTGTGATCAACTTGCCCAGTTGCCTTATTTAGGGAGAAAAGTTGCAAGAATCTGTGTGTCTTGTACAAGGGCAATCAGAAAAGGTAAAAAACATTTCTAATAGTTACTGGTTAACGCTGGTTAATCATGAAGTTTTGTGCTCATGAATAGTGCACTAATTGCACTAATCAGTGGCCTCTTTCTGGCCCCCATTCATGAGGGTGGAACTCTGAGGCTAAGGAATACTGAATGTGAAAATGTTCTATTCTGAAATGCTCCACAATGCATGTTTTAAATTATAACGTTTTGTTTTTCCCATAGCGTATTCTGATAGAGCAAGACTCAAACAGCAGCAAAGATCCCAGCGCCCATCGCGGTCAGCCTCGGTCTCTCAAACTCCAACACAGAGTCAATCACTTTTGTTTATTCCTGAAGATAATGTCCTGCCAAATACGCCGTTCACACCCAGGCCAGAGAACAACTTCAATGTTCCTCAGAGGACCACTGAAGCCTACCCCACCACTCCCACGGGCAACTTCAATCCTGTTAATGACGTGTCACAGTCAATGCCTGGTAGGTGTGTGAGGGGGGGGAGTTTTGTGATGTGGGGGTATTCTGGGGGGAGTGTTGTGCTGTGAGGGGGGAGTGTTGTGATTGTGGGGGGTATTCTGGGGGAGTATTGTGGTGTGGGGGTATTCTGGGGGAGTGTTGTGGTGTGAGGGGGGGAGTTTTGTGATGTAGGGGGTATTCTGGGGGGAGTGTTGTGGCGTGGGGGGGGGAGTTCTGTGTGGGTCTGCATTGGGTGTTCTTTGTATTATTATTTAGTCATGCTGAGGCAGTGAATTTTGTAGCTTTGTCTCTTTCATCCCGCTCACAAAATTTGATTCCAATTCCATTTTACTCACGATGAACTCCACCCTGAAAGAGGTTTTTAAAATCACACTCAAATCTTATTCAGACGTTCCCATGCAACCAACCTCGTCTCAATTTCGAAATACGCCGTATGATGATTGGCAACCGTCGCCTGCTGCCGGATGGGAGACCGCTAGCCTTTCTGGGTTTGGACAGAATAGCGGTAAAGTTGGAAATTCATGGAAAATCCCTTCACGTCCTGCGGGTCGGATTATCGCTTGGACAGATGCCTCCTCTTTGACCCTGGAGGAACAGAAAAAACGCTTTAAGAATCTTAGTAAAGTCTTAAAAAGTAAGAATTGTTTAATCTCAAACTGGATCTCTAGGAAGAACAGTTTAGAACTGATAAAGCTATCCAGTATAAATAAAGTTAGTTTAGTTTAGGTTTCCTTCTGTAGTAACACTGGATCAATAAGAGATGATCCTTACTGGACCTCTAGGAAGAACAGTTTAGAACTGATAAAGCTATCCAGTATAAATAAAGTTAGTTTAGTTTAGGTTTTCTCCTGTTGTAACACTGGATCAATAAGAGATGATCCTTACTGGACCTCTAGGAAGAACAGTTTAGAACTGATAGAGCTATCCAGTATAAATAAAGTTAGTTTAGTTTAGGTTTCCTCCTGTAGTAACACTGGATCAATAAGAGATGATCCTTACTGGACCTCTAGGAAGAACAGTTTAGAACTGATAGAGCTATCCAGTATAAATAAAGTTAGTTTAGTTTAGGTATCCTCCTGTAGTAACACTGGATCAATAAGAGATGATCTTCACTGGACCTCTAGGAAGAACAGTTTAGAACTGATAGAGCTATCCAGTATAAATAAAGTTAGTTTAGTTTAGGTTTCCTCCTGTAGTAACACTGGATCAATAAGAGATGATCCTTACTGGACCTCTAGGAAGAACAGTTTAGAACTGATAGAGCTATCCAGTATAGATAAAGTTAGTTTAGTTTAGGTTTCCTCCTGTAGTAACACTAGATCGATAAGAGATGATCCTTACTGGATCTCTAGGAAGAACAGTTTAGAACTGATAGAGCTATCCAGTATAAATAACATTAGTTTAGTTTAGGTTTCCTCATGTACTATGACTGTATTAACTTTAGAGGCCTAAGATCAATCAGGTTGTTAATCGTAGTTTGGTTCTGGTTTGACTCACTGAGAAATATCGTATTTTTAGCTGAAGAAGGCGCCGTAATTCAAGCAGCTACAAGTCTTTCCATATCTGTCAAAAAGATTACAGGTAAAAATTTTAGGAGAGCGTGATGTGATGTATTATACTTCACTGTCCATTTGTCATTGAGATGGTGTTTCTATTTTTAGTTACGTTGAAGCAACAACGTCATGAAGTATGGTTCTTCTCAAGTATTGGTTTGGAAAACTCTGGTTTTTGTGAAATTGCATTTCTTCTTGAAAAACGAATTATCGAGGATGTATTTCCTTACGAAATGTTGAAAGTATATCGAACTTTGCACTCGTTGATTTTAAATCAAGGTCAGTAAAGGCAGTCCAGTGATTTTTATTCTTTTCATATCCCTGATGTGTAATTTATATCCATCTCAACCTTGCTTCCCTCATCTTCTCTGCAATGTCTACCACCTCACATCTTCTTCTGATCTCTTCATTTCATAATATCTCTGACCAGTTCTCCTTCATCTCTTCTTATTACGTGTCCATATGATCTCAACCTTGCTTCCCTCATCTTCTCTGCAATGTCTACCACCTCACATCTTCTGATCTTTTCATTTCATAATATCTCTGACCAACTCTCCTTCATCTCTTCTTATTACGTGTCTTATCATTGTCCGTTTGGTTTGCAGGTGAAAGGTTTGATCACTGCAATTACTTGGCGTTCAACAATCCTCTGCTGGGAAGCGAAGAGAATGCTGGCTTTCTTTTTATCGCAGGCGACAAAACTGTGAGTACTGAGTGCATTACATGAAGAAATGACGGGGGAGGGGTCGTGGATTTGTGGTAATTAATGATTTGATTAATAATATACTGATTGTTTTTAGCCAACACTGGTCCAACGTCTTGCCAATGGGAAGAAATTACTCTTTGGGATATTACTGAAGCAATCCGAACTACTGTGGGCGAAATACGTTCCTACAAGATTGTTGAATGCATTAGGAGTCCAGCAACAGAGTAAGTGTAACAGTTGACTAGGAAGTGTAGCGATCCTGCAAGGCTAGAGACTCCTTTTATTGAAGTGGTCACATCAACAAAAAGCACTCTTCTAACGTTCAAATTATGAAAATTCGACCATGGTTGAGTCCGGTGGAAATGGCAAATACGACCATGGTCGAATTCGCCGGAAAATGGCAAATACGACCATGGTCATATTTGCCGGAAAATGGCAAATACGACAATGGTCATATTCGCCGGAAAATGGCAAATACGACCATGGTCATATTCGCCGGAAAATGGCAAATACGACCATGGTCATATTCGCCGGAAAATGGCAAATATACGACCATGGTCGAGTTATCCGGAAAATGGCAAATACGACCATGGTCGAGTTCGCGGGAAAATGGCGAAATGGAAAATTAGCCATAGCGATAAAAAATACTTGCTAGAGGTGAAATACACTTGGTCTCGTTGTTTTGAAATATCACAAAATTTGATTTTCTTTCTAGCTTTTCCATCTCCTGCAATCAGTTCAAGAGACAGGCCGAGTGTTTGCAGTGTCGATCCGAACGAGTTGTATTATTCCACCTTTTTTGCCCTCAACAAATTTTTGGTACGTAAGTGTCCTGATTCTTAACTTTTTCGCTGTGATTACTGCGGAATAAAAGCATACGCAGTATTAATGACTTGTTCACGGAGTCATTCGGGAATTAACCGCGAGTTTTATTTCTAGAATTACAAAATCCCTCAAGCCTTGATTCCTGGGGTGAGTATTTTAAAATCAGGAAGCAAAGTTGTTCTGGAGTTACCATTTGCCTATCAGACTGAGGTATGTCATTACGTCATTGAACCTTGGTGCCTCGTTCTCGCGAATCGTCCACCAATCGTCTCCCTCCTTTCATTTGCAGATCATCAGTGTTCTTGATAGTTTATTGATCGATGAAAGTAAACCAGTGACTCTCCCAATTGCTGGAGACCTCGTTCCTGGCGCCAGCGGTCATTTTGTTTATTCTCCTAGCAACGCGGTGTCAGCACGAAAAGGTTTCGTTGTGTTGCAAAATAGCAACGAGCAATTGCAGACTGGAAACCAATGTAAGATAATATTCGTTGTTTGTACCTAATATTCGTTATTTGTACCTAATATTCGTTATTTGTACCTAATAGTCGTTATTTGTACCTAATATTCGTTGTTTGTACCCAGTATTCGTTGTTTGTACCCCTAATATTCGTTGTTTGTGCCTAATATTCGTTATTTCTACCTTCGTACAACCGAGCCTAGAGGTACCAGCAATATTTAATGATTAATTTTATCCCGTTTAGATCTCTCCTTCAGTGCTATTCTTCTGGTTCTGACATTTGGAGATAATTGTAACGTACAAACAAGATTTGGGATATCAGTTATTGAAGGTTTGTTGAAGAAGAAATCCTCCTTTCTCCATTCTTCTCAAAAGTTATTTGTTTCGTTCTATTACTAATCCCACCAGCCTATGTTGATTTGCAAATAACTTTTCGTTGGAGACCACTGATTCCCCAGTATTCATCGGTTTTTGGAATTTTGTAATAAAGGCTTTCCTAAGTAAAGTTTTTCTTAACTTAAAATTGCCATCGTGTTTAGAGTTTTTACGAAAGAATATTGAGGTTTCCTTGCCTTCGTTCTAGATGGTATATCGGTCAACCTGAGCGACAACCAAGCCAGAGAAGTACGTAATGCAATATACCAAGGTACCAACTGCGCAATGTCCCTGGGAGACTCAGAAGAGTTCACATTGCGGTGGACTGATGATACCTGCGCTAGTGTACTCAACCTACCAACACCAATCAGAGTCGTTCAAAATGTGAAGAAACCTAGCAAAGGTTAGTTTTCTAGCGATGAAATAAGAGAAGTCTTAAGGGAGGAGATCATTCATGCAATGTGCGTGACCATATAACTTCCAAGTTCATAGTGAGAGATACCACTATTCTCAGTTGTAGTCCAGTGATCTTAAACCTTCACTCTACATTCAGGTTATTATCCTCCCTCTGCTGCGCCAAGTCAGCCAACGGTGCGTACAGAAGTTGGTCAAACGAACGTGGTGATAGAACGTGTTAAGACCAGAGATATTGAAGCCGCCATACAGACAAAAATTATTTCAGATAATCCTCAGCAGACCGTTGACAGTCTTGAGAATGATGTAAGACAAGCATGTGCTGGATGCTTGCTAACATTTGCAAACAGATTGAAGCCTGGTACTGAGAAACGATTGAATTTAACCCTAGAATTGGATTGTGGAAATTATAAGGTAAAACTGAACTATTTTCTTCCTAGAGGTCCATTGTTAGCTAAGAATCATCTCTTATTGATCCAGTGTTACTACAGGAGGAAACCTAAACTAAACTAATTTTATTTATACCGAGAGGTCCAGTAAGGATCATCTCTTATTGATCCAGTTTTACTACAGGAGGAAACCTAAACTAAACTAAACTAATTTATTTTTACTGGTTTCTGTTCTAATCTATTCTTTCTTGAGGTCCAGCAGTTAGGCCACTTATTCTAATATAATTATTTTGTTTATCAGAAATGGAGTCTTGGGCCTAGCAATCAGCCTATCAATCTCTCTCGTGCTTTGCAACTGGCCCTGAACGAAATTGATGTCCCAGATGTCAATGATAATATTGTGTTTGTATTCAATGTGATCCTTCAAAAGAGAAATTAATATATTAGGAATGTTAGTTCATAAGTTAATGGTAATTCATAGCTGTCGTGATTTTTTTATAAACTGGTTTAATATGCATAAACTCCGACTGGATGTTAAAAGAAAGACATCAGGTTTTCGCAAGTGGCGAGTAGTTAAAAACAAGCCATGATAGTTGTTCTAAGATTATTTACAGATTTAGTTTTTGTTGTAAACGCCAAGTACTTGCAGATGAAATTTTCAATTACAATTTAGTTTGATAATAGCAATAAAATTGCAGACTTGTCTGGTCAATACTATATTGTCCAATTTTATAGAAGTTTTAATTCTATGCTGTGTGGTCACAGATTTAACATGTATCTTTGAACTCATAAACTGTGTGGTTAGACATGGTCACACAGAGTTACCAGCACTGGTAACCATATATCGTGGTGTGGTTGTTGACGAAGTTTCTGGCTCGGAAATGATCGACCTGCCTTCGCACCACTTCGGATAATACGAAGAACTCCGAACTTTAACAACATGTGAAAATGAAATACTCATGTTTTATATACTAGAAAAACGTATATCTTTGCGATTTTCTTTCCTTGAACAATATTAAAGGGGATTTAAACATGACAAGGTTTGCAAGAGCTGGAAAAAGAAAGTTCTTAGACGCTTCTACCTGGAATGAACTATCAGAAAGTATGTGCTCAAGTTTCAAAATATTCTATCTCAAACATGAGACATGCAGACTAGTCAAACTCAACCACAAACCCCGACAGTTTATTGTAAAATACTTCTCACAGTAGACCACCACGTTTAAGATATCTTTCTAAAGTAGTTCAGACACAAACCCCGACAGTTTATTGTAAAATACTTCCCACAGTAGAGCACCACGTTTAAGATATCTTTCTCAGGTAGTTCAGACACAAACCATGACAGTTTATTGTAGAATACTACCTACACTAGACCACGTTTGTGATATCTTTTTCAGGTAGTTCAGACACAAACCACGACAGTTTTATAATAGAATACTACCTACACTGGACCACCACGTTTGTGATATCTTTCTCAGGTAGTTCAGACACAAACCACGACAGCTTATTGTAGAATACTACCTACACTGGACACTGGACCACCACGTTTGAGATATCTTTTTCAGGTAGTTCAGACACAAACCACGACAGCTTATTGTAGAATAAGACCTACACTGGACCACCACATTTGAGATATCTTTCTCAGGTGTTCAGACACAAACCACGACAGCTTATTGTAGAATACTACCTACACTGGACCACCACTTTTATGATATCTTTTTCAGGTAGTCAGACACAAACCATGACAGAGGTTTAAAGGGTCTTGATTTAGAGTGGAATTATATTAATGTATGTATGTAAAAACAACAATGTACCACTGTTTTTGAGAAGTCATTCTGTGTTCTTTAGATCAGTCAAATACAAAACCATCAGCTGTGAAGAAAGATGCTCCTGTATCAACCAAAACAAAGAAAATAGTTTCAAAAGGGAAAAAAAGTTTAACACAAGAGAGATCTGAGAAGACAGTTTTAGATCCAAAGAGACAAAAACAAATTGAAGCTCGTAGATTAAGAAGAAAGAAGCGAAAGGTAAAATTCTTCAGATTTTTTTTTAAGGAAAACTTAACTTCTTTGAATCAAGCCTTGAGGGGAATAGTTAGACCAAGTGATGAAGTGGATGCGGCTGTTCTATGATGCTTTTTTTAATGAATGTGAAAAAAATGAGAAATATTTTTATTTCAGTGTTGTTTTGTTTGTCGACAATATGGTCATCAAGCGTCAGAGTGTCCAAACAAAGAGGATATGAAAATTGGAAGTTGTTTCAAATGTGGATCTTTAGATCACACAACAAAGAACTGCAAAGAAAGTGTTGATGATACGTCTTCAGGTGCTGAAATTATTGCTTTGTTTGTTAAAGAGTTTTTATTAACATAAGTTGTACAACTATTCACTGTTGTATTCAAAATTCTCAACATTTCTTGTTGCTTTCAGGTTCTTTTCCATTTGCAAAATGTTTTATTTGTCAAGAGATGGGACATTTGGCCAGATCATGTCCTGAGAATCCCAGAGGATTGTATCCACAAGGTATTTGTCATGTTTCATAGCATCTTTTTAAAATGATTTTCTCTAAATTTTTATTCTTAAATGTATGTTTAAAGGTGGAGGATGTAAAGTTTGTGGCTCTGTTGAACATTTAAAACGGGATTGTCCACAAGTTGTAAAGAAGAAGATTAAAGGTAACATGAGTGGTCATAGCCTAGCTCAAATTCTGCTGTCCTAAACATGCTTCTTACGTCTCCCTTCCATTGCCCCACATCCATTCCTGCTTCTATAGTTTGATTGACTTCCTCTTTCATTCTCCCCTACCATTTTCATTTCCCACCTATTTTCTCTTCCTTTCAACTTTCATTGTCCCCATTCACTTTGATTTCCCCCAACCTCTGCCCTGTACTTTCACCCTCACCTTGTTTCACCCCCCTCTGCTTCCATGTGCCCTATTATTTCATTACCCCATTCACCCAATTTCATTTTTGCTGCTCCTCTTTCATTGCCCACACTTGCAATCCCCCCTGCATGGTCATTTCCATTTCCCCAAAACCTCCCCCCTCCCCTCTCACCTTGTCCATACAATAAACATCATTTCACTTGAACACACACAGGAAACGTAACAGAGTCAGTGATCCTGACAGTACCTGAGGGATCAAGTCATAAAAGTGCAGATGCTGAAGATATTGTGGAAAATGAAATTCCTAAACACAAAAAGAAACACAAAAAATCAAAAGGAAAAGTTGTCCATTTTTGAGGTTGGTTGAATTTTTTTCTTTAACGTTTATTTCTGGTCGAAAATCATTGTCAATTTTGTAAAGTTCCGTACATTAATAGACACCTTTCGTTTTTGCTCAAATTATTATAAAACGCTCTGCTAAGTATGATAATGTTTCAACCTTCAGTGAATCAGTTTTTCAGTGTTTCCACGGGCACATACATATATTTATCATCGCCCTTCTATCACAAGTTAGATTTAATGTTTGACCTAAGAAACATGTATAGCCTACATATCCACAAGTACGAGTTAAGTAGCCAAGGTTATAAGTTCGTTTTCTCAAAAGCTTCTTGATTTCTGAAAAACATTCTTCACTGCTTCTCTCATCTTGCGGTTCTTATAACAATATACAAAAGGGTTGACGAGGGCATTGAACAACGCTATCGTGTCAGCAATTGGTACATATATAAACAATGAGGTCGCATCAGGTTCCTTTTGAAACGACAGTTTAACCAGCAGAGCTGAAATAGGCACATAACAAATTGTTATAATAGCAACGATGTAAAAGACGGTCCATGTCGCGTTTCTTTCTCTAGTTTCAACGACTGATTTTGAAGCGTTTTTAAAGCTTACACGTTTGGTGTTCCGGCGCCGACTTTCACGCGTGGTTTTTCTGTCTGAATGCTTGGAGTTTCCAGTTGAGTTTGGTGGTGCTGAGTTTTGCGCTTGTGCTTCAAGTTTCTCTTGTGAATTTTCTTCGTTTGATGCGGTTTTAAAATATGTCTTCAAGGTCTCTGATTCCTCTGTATCATTGGTTATGTTATCTTCTTCATGTGGTAATCCACTAGCAGTCGTCTCAACTGGTTTATCTTCTGATTTATCTTCACTATCGCACGAGTTTTGCTCTGAAAGCTGACGCTTCATTTCTGCTTCTTTTGATGAATTATGATTGGCGTCAACTTGATGGATTTTTGTCAAATCGTTTCCATCACGAAGCTGTGATAGAGTTGATGATTCCTTAGCAACGCTTTTCGATTCGTGATTTTCAACTTCAGTTAAATTTCGCTTTCCTTCTATCATATTCTCCCCTGTGTTGGAAAACAGGACTACCGGATTTGTTGGTCTAGGATTTTCGCCCTGTACGGTTAATGACCCAGTATCTATGGTCCTGGTATTATACCCCGCGCTTACAGACCCCGGGGTGGTGGAGACCCTGGTGGGTCTGCTATGGAGCCGAGCTAACTTTCCAATCTTGAAATACATAAATAAATTGCCAACGAGCAGGGAAAAGGCGATGAAGGTATAAAAAGTGTAAAAAGCGTTCGTATTCGACGGGAAAAATGAGCGAATACCAATGACCAGGAACCAAACGAACCAGCTTAGCAACACAGCGTAAAATAATCGTCGTTTTGTGGCCATTCTGCGATGAGTTATCGCTTTAAATAAAGCTAGATATCGCTCTATTGTTGTCAATGCCAACGTCATGAACGAAACTGGCCGAAGATACTCGAGTAGTCGCCGAACTATAAGAACATAGACGCACGAAGTGAAGCCGAAGATTTCCGATAAAAGCCGAACAACGTATAATGGTTCAAGTACCACTGCTGAGACGAAGTCGACAAATGCCAAACACACCAAGAGAAATGTGTTTGTTCGTTGTAGAGACTTTTGTTTTACATAGACGTACATTATCAAACCATTGCCGACTGCTGTCAACACTGAAAATATCGAAAGAATTACAATGACTGAAATATAAGTGGCAAGTGTACTTCCACTTGGACGATCTAGTAAATGGTAAATTCCCAAACATCGAGTGAAATATGGCGCACTATCGTTTCGTGTGATATTGCTCTGCATTCTCGTAGTTTCCTAACCAAAACTCAAAGTGTGTTTACTCTCAAATACTCCAACGCTGTGTTTTTGCAGGAATTAATGTTTTATTCATCCGCTGATGATTATTTTTCTCCAAAGAACTGTCAATATTTCCAATCAGAGCGATTTTCTTGATGCGCAATTGTACCTCGTTAATTCTTCATTTTCTCCCTAAAGCTGCGAATATTTCCCAACGTTTCCTTCATCCAAGTTTTCCCCTTAGAATATGTGTAGTCAGCACTACGTGTAAATTAAAATGGCAAAGGTATCTATTTCTCATGCAACTCTCTCAAAATGAGACCACCACCATCGTGGTTTCCCAAGGAATATATCAATTGTATCGGTGTTCCAACAAAGCTTTCTTTTCTTCTCAATCTTATTCATAAGGAAGTGTTACCTTGTGTCGAATTTGCTGCGTTTTTTCAGCCTATTGCTGCAATCTTGTTTATTCTAAGCTTACATGGAATTAGTTGGCTATTTACTGGCGGATTAAAGGTTTTTTGTGAGAAATCACACCTGCTATAGATTGTCATTTCTTTTGTACTCTAATATGATAAGACAAAAATTTGTTGTCCAGCTTTGAAACTAATTAATCTCATTGCGCATTTTGACAGTTAGATCCCATAAAAGTTTTATATATTCATAAATTTTTGATGTTGAATCATATTCGTGCTTTTCCAATAAGGTATCCCGTGTGATACATGGCTTTGAAACCAATTAGTTTCACGTCATGTTGTGACATCAAAATACTTTGTAAATTCCATCAAATTTTTATTTGAAATGAGCTTAGTATTTCTAAGCCGACAGTAAATGGATGGAAATAGGTTGTTTCTAAGTCTTAAGTTGTCTAGAGTTCTATTTATTATGATTTAGTAAGTTTAGTTTGTGCAATAATTTCAGCCTGAATTATTTGAAAATCTAATCCAAACGTAGGACGTAGGATAAGTACGTATATCTTAATATGCCGTGGTTTGTATCATTTTAAACATTTCTAAAGAAATTACGAGTGATTCATTTTCTAAATATACATTATTGTTTTTCTGTTGTTAGATGTCATACTCGCCTATTGTAACTTATTATGGTTACATGATTTTAAGAAGTCTATATATGAAACATATTAACATGTTAGTTCAGCTTTTTAAACCGACAACAACCGGCGATGTGTATAATTACCCAGAACTCCAGAAACTTAATGAAAAAATTTGATACGTTTTGTCTCAAATCAAAGAAAAAATACCGCTGGTTAAATAGTGTAATTGTAACTGTAAACTTTATGAATCCTAGCCCAGTCTGAGATTGGCTTATTAAAGGACGTGGGAAGCTTCCTTCATTTGCTGGGTAATAAGGAACCAACCATTTGATTTTTATAGGCAGCGGAATATAGGAAGGTGTAGACTCTGGGTTTTGATAGAATTGATAGGTTTGGACTACATATATTATGTATGCATGCATATGTACATACAATTAGATTGTTATTCCCGCGTTGTTATTTTTAACTTTGAAGTTCTTGCTGGATATATTGAGATTCCACCCTGCCCTTCCCATAAAAACCAAGTAATACGTCCCTAAACGAGGCTGTTTAGTTCTGACATGCTGGATGATTATAATAGTTTGTCGTTCCTGTTGTTAACAGTAATTCCACACAAGACAAACTTGGGCTAACATCTAACACAACCGAATTAAACCCTAAAAATCTTAAACCATTCAAAGCCAACACTACGTGAAATTTTGAAACAATTCATAGTGAAATGTAATCATCTGAAAATTGCTAAAATTATCCTATTTCGTTGTAAAACATGTCAGATTTCATTACTGTAACATATTTTAATAATCTACTATACAAAGATTCATAGTTCTTATGTGTAGTTGTGTTTACCAGAGCATGTTAGTTCCGATCATCAAAGGTCTTCACGGACTCTTGTGATTACACGCCTACTTGAGTATCCCCGTGTTCTAATGCATGTGTCCTGACTCTTTTGGCGCCAAAATAAGGAACGTGGGTGGCAGACTGATAATATAAGTTCGATAATTTGACAAACAATTTCAGCCACAGCTAGCTTGGTGAATCATGGTTAAAAAGGATATTATTCTATATCTCGTAATGTATGCTCGAAACCTAACATCGTCATGCAACTGTACTAAAATTTCGATATTAAAAACGTTTTTCAAACTTCCAAAACTTCCAAAGCATCAAAAAATTATGTTTATGTACATTTAATCTAAAAACAAGTTGTAATGAAGAGATTTCTTTGGGTATTCGTCGAGAGGAAATAGCTGGATAAGCTCTTTAAAATACAAAATGCATGTTGATATGCTAATATGTAGTCAAATAACTTGTGATAAGATTTGGCTATGAAGAATAGAGCATTTTATTTGAATTATGACTCATTTCCACATCAACAAATCCTTTTACGTCAACTGACTCTCTACAAACCAAACTACACGAAGCATGCATATTCTAGAAGCTGGTCGGTTTGGTAAAACAGATATCGTCGATAGATAAGGAGAATAGGTAATGGTCTTCCTTCCTTCCTCCCTTATAGATAGCCACATTTTGAGAAATTGTTTTCAGAAAGACCGTGCATGATGTGGGCAGACGACGCAGAGGCGTAGATCAGTTCCGCGTGGTTGAAATCCTGTCGGGGAACTTCAGTTGAATTTTTCACATTTTTGTTAATTGTTTATCTTCTCCTTCGTTCACCCAGCCATGAATAACTATTCCTCGTCTGCCTGACCATTTGATTCAAAGAAAACGATAAAATAAAAAAAGTACTCGACACAAAAAGAATTCAAACTGTAACGGTCAAAATATACAATCTCATGTTAAGAATTAGTCAATTTAAAGTTTTGTTCTTCTAAGCTATATATAAAGATGTTTGAAATAATACTTGCAACTCAACTTACCCTCGTTACCAGTTTGCTGCGCATTTTAAGATATCCCGTCATGCTTTATCTTTAATCTATTCTCTTTAATCCATCGACGTCGTATTATAGGCATTAGGCAACTTTGGCAAAACAATAGCGACCCACACAGGCAATAATGTCTAACAAAAAATTACAGATTTCAATCGTGCAGTCCTGCTGACTTTTCCTGCTGTTTAATCGCTGAAAAACAAATCCTTTCGTTCCAGGCAATATAATCTTGTTGTTTTTAATATAAACATCGCAGAACAAAAACGTCTTTACAGCGTTCATTGAGTTCCTATTTTTAAGTAAATATCTTCAACATTTCGACAGATTTGTGCAAAAAAAAAACAATAGCTTGATAATAAGATTTTGTTTAAGATTTTTTTACTGAAATATTTGAAATCACCGGCTAATATTCATTTCACTTGTCGTTAAAAACTTTTTGGTTACTAAGCGATACTTTTGAGATGATATATTGCCTTCAGTGTTTGCCATGCAGTATCTTATTAATTCTTGTCGCATTCATAAAAGAATTTTGACCAGCACTCGACTAGATACCGCTATGAAGCAGACATCTGTCGTGTGCGTATATAGCTATCAAAAATAATAAAATATTGCATTCTTAATTGTTTTAAGAGGATTATGTTATCGAGTGGACGAAGATTTCTTGGATGAAATTTTGTTCTTTATTAATGTTTCTGAAATGATTGTTCTTTAGCGGCAAAGTTGCGTAATTCTTATTAAGAAAGAGGGGAGGTCTTGAGGTTATAAATTGAAATGATTAGCCATGCCTGGATGAAAATACCCGCAACAAAATACTTGCCAATTGTTCGAGTTGAACTTTAAGCTCATTTACTCAAGTGATTAATTTTTGTGGTGAAGTCTCAACCGTCATAATGGGCATCTATAAAGTGGCGCTGCAGTAGTGAATTACATTTTATTAGCTTCTTCGATTCCCTTCACCGCGAGCAACAGGTGCCCATTACTGCGGTATCAAATATTGATTGCATAATAAAGATTTGGCTTCAATATGATATAATTAGAAGTGATTTCTCAATATTTTCTGTGGTGATAGAACTTTACAAAAGTTTGAAGAAAAACTGTGCCAGTTTTCGTGCCAGAATCTTGTCCAAATAGCAACGCAAGTAATCGTCGATACAGAAATACAATATATTTGATATCTATAAATACTTCGACAAGGATAGTTACAATACTCAGGGAAACTAAAGCTGACTGTACGATCATTTAACGTCAAACCTAAAGATAGTTTTGCTATACGAGTTACGTTTAATCCTATTCGGATGACTTTCGTCGCGTTTCATCGTTTTAATTCCTGCTGGGGGTACGTTAGACGATTTTATGGTTTCCATGTAGATATCGAAAGCGAATCATTACAATATTTCGCTCAATATCTCGCACAGTACTCCAAGAGCAACTCTACGACCTTATAAAGTTGCACGCGAAAGTTCTAACGCAAGTTAGCTCAAGTGAAAGCCCATATCCTGCGGAGACGTTGTTATTACATCATTGACCTGCATGCAAGATCAACTGTGAACTGCGCGTATAATCGGATATTGTAGCGTATTTCCGAAACCAAGTGGTTGCATTCTGGAGGCGGGATTGCGCATAAAGATCTCTCGCATATGATATGAAAGTCAAGTCCTCTTGACATTGGGCGCATTTTGGTGACGAATCTCAAAGCATCAACACACATGTCCTCAACGATGAATTCAATCTGGGAGAACGATAGCAATCCCTTGGTGGAACAATGTCAAAATGGCGTTTATTACCTAACCAAGGCTCCAACGGGAGTTTTTTATTACAACTACTTGATAAACATAGTGTTATCATCCATCGCAGCTGCTGTCGGGACCGTGGCAAACCTACTCGTAATAGCAGCCTACTTTAAAACGCTTCGTCGCCACGAGTTTAACACCAGCCTTCTGGCGTATCTTGCTGTGGCTGATTTGGTGATCACGGCGCTTGTTCAACCGTTGATGATAAGCCGTTTAACGCTGGAGCTTCTAGATCGACATTATTGTCTTTATTGGCTCGTGATACGAAGATTGTTTGAGTTTACCGTGCCCGTGTCGTTCCTCTCAGTTGGTTTGATCACGTACGAAAGGTATCAGGCGCTTTTCAGCCCCATCAAATACCGCACGAACTCCTTAAGACGACGAATTAAAATAACAATGATCGTCATCTGGATATTCGCACTGGTTACAACGTGCTTGCGAATCTTCGATTTCTTTGTTGTAATCTACTATTTCATGGCTTTGATCATTATAATCGCGTTAGTGGTTGCAAATACCGTCATCTATGTTAAAATCGGACGAATGGCCGCGGTTTACACGAAGGACAGACGAGCAACTGCGCAGAAACTTTGCGACAGACAAAGCTCAAGAAAAATCCACGCGAAAGACAAGCGGAGTACAAGAACACTATTCTACATATTCCTAAGTCTAGTAATTTGTTACCTGCCCATGCTGGGAGCCGTACTCTACTCGATTATTAACGGGCAAGAGAGATCGCAATCGATGCGATTCCTATTTGGTTATCTTCCCTGGGCCGACGGATTCGCGTTTTTAAACTCAACTCTGGACCCGTTCATATACTGCCTGCGCAATCCCAGGCTAAAGAACGCTGTTCTGGGTTTCCTGTGTCGTCGTGTGTACGGAAAACGCGACTCGTGTGTCGAGGCTGGCGCAAAGAATTCTCTCATGCTTCAAAACAGCAGCTCTGACAAGAAACATCCGAGCGATTCACGAAACTCGTAAATGTCAAGAAGAACTCGTTGATAAAGAATAAAACACGCTCAAGAGACACTCAAATCATGCATTGCGGACACCCTTCTCTTGAACTGATGAATAATTGAGAAGAATTCAAAATGATTTGAAGCAAGATTGTGAATTATTATTAGCTACTCTGTAACGACTGTGGTAATCTTTCTGCAAAATTTACCAAAAAATCTTCAAACGAGCTGCATTGGAGAACACAAATCAAATTGAGCTACCATGCATGCATGCATGCGCGTTTCCCATTTCATCGTTTGCCATATATATTTGAACGAAGGCTATTTGACGTAGTCTTTTGAGGGATGTCGTCAACGTCATGGAACTGAAAATGCCTGGAAGGCAAAACCAACCCGTCACGACCATGTGGTAATGAACTAAGAGTTTTATCGCTCTTTCGAGTAGGAATTGTGAACAAACAAACAAAACTTAAAAAAGTTTCCTTAGATTTTATCTCCATGCATGCACACACGTGTGAAGCAGCTGAATAACAATGGCGCGTTTTAACTCTTGAAAATTTTGATATTTTGTTTGTGCAGTCCGAGATAATCCACCTTAAAAATTTGAGTTTTTTAGTCCGCTTGAAGTATTCTTAAGCTAGGGTTATGTTTTATATAGAAAGGAGTTCAATGAAGTTTGGCAGTAATCCGATTTGAGGGTTATAGATTTAAAATTTATCAAAAAATATTTTGGTAAATAGTATAAAAATCGTCTGGCATAAGTATTTTATAATCGACACAAAATAGTTGTAGAGATTTTGAATATACTATAGCTTGTGAATATTGAAGGAGTTCATTGCATATAGCAAGTATATGAGACATGATAATTTTTTTAAGCATACATGAAAGTGGCTTTGCATGCAATATATATATCATGGCAGCATCCTGCAAATTTCTGTAAATATGGCTGTAAAATATGAGTGATAAAAAGGTTGCTATGTGTTACATATTTAGTAATTGTCGATAAATAATGTTTTTCCCCGTTGTTTTATTCAACAAACACACTTCAGAAGTAACCAACTGTTAAGGTTAGACAAGAAAGATCCTTTTCAAGTACTATAACAGCATGTCCGTTGACAGACAAACGTCTGGCTTGTCTGTATACCACAAAACATATATAACCGCAGACAGACAGATGTGTTTTGAAATCTTTACAAATCCTGATAGAAAGAAGAAACAAATGCATGTAGGAGGCAAAATATGAAATCGAGACGTAGATATGCGAACAGTGAGTTATTTTCACGTTTCTTTACCACTGTATACAATCAGGGGGGAGGTTGACTTAGAAGTGTGGAGGATCTAATCTATCAGAAGATGAAGAGTCAAAGTGATTATTTGAAAATATTTGTAGATGCTGCGTTCATAAGTATCAGTGGACTTGTTTATCCTCTTGCATGACAAAGTTCACTGATGTGCGTGCATTCATCATATTACGAAAGACATCGAAAGTCCGAGATTGTGAAACTCTTGAGAATATCCTAATCCAAATATTGCTCGTCAAGTGCATTATTTATAATATCATGCACTGGCAATGCAAGTGCATTTGTAAACACAGATTATAATTCCTACCACATTATAGATAGTTGGGTATAAAATTCTATTTTATATTTATATTTTATATAATTCTATATTTTATAGAGCAGAAGTTATAATTTAGTTTTGTGGCATCCATTGCAATGCATCTGCTGCGCATGGCAGTATTCCAACATGTTATATAATATAAATATATCTTATCAAAATACGGCTGATGTTGTTTCAAAATTGAAACGCTGTTTTATAATTGAATCAAAAGTTGAGCAAAACATCCCATTATATTAAAATATTCATCTAAGGTTCGTTTACAAGACGCACGGTGCTTCTAAAATGCACTTAAACTGTTTGAGATTATCGTATTTTAATTTTCTCTCTATACACAGCACTCGTGCATGCATTCATACTCATTTAACAATTTCCCATCTTCTTAGCTCAAAGTGTTTGTATGTTTTACTAAAATCATTCTTCGTTTTTGTTTTGTAACTCCCGGACGCAATATTGTGTTTGTTTGTGCATGACAAGTGCTGTTTTTTACACGCACTCTCTCCTGTATGTCAGCATGTTGGCTAATACCCATGCATGCAATGGATTACCCTAATAGATACCTCCCTAGTAGATGGTAATTTTACCACGTTAATTGGACCATATTCAGGTACCAACATAATAGAACCAACGGTCTAAATTCAGGAACCAACGTTCCAAAGAATGGAACCAACAGTCTGAAGAATAAAACCAACATTTTGAAGTTTAGACTAGACTAAAGTGGATCGACTATTAATTGCCCTGCTCTAAGGGGCAACATTTTGAAAGTTATACTGGCCAAAATGGCATACTGCGATGGACGTGTTAGTTTTTGAGCGAGAAAAAGTCTGTTTGTAAGACAAAGCATTATTCTCATAATATGTTTGCTCAATACTTGCCAAAGGATAATGCATGACACTATTCAAGCCAGATTCAATATGCACTTAATGAACAGGAAAGCAAGTGTCACTACAAGTCTGCAACTCCGCAATACCGTGTGAATATTTTCGATGCAGGATCGCGTGTCCGGAGAATTTAACTTTAACGAGGTTCTAATCGTTATTTGCTTTTCCTGCATGATTGATTGACGCACAAGGTTGTGTGCATGTAGTTCAGATATCGCTTTTCACGAGGAGGAAATTAGAGACGTGACCTCATGAGTCTCTTGGTACTTGATGGCTTTACTTACTTAATGGATTTTGAAATGCCTGAAACCTTATGTAATTGCTTATTTCTTAATCCACGAGCGAAATAATTATAGAAGAACGTATGGTATCAGAGGAATAATGTCACAGATAAACTGTTTCCCCATTCACGTTTCTCTACAGTAGAGAAACGTGAATGGGGAAACAGTTTATCTGTGACATTATTGACTCTACATCAGTTTCACGATTGAATATTGGTTCAGTTTTTTAACGGGTCATGCAATTAACCGAATGTTATTGAAGGTGACACAAGTAACTGTGTCAGCAGCAAGCACGTTAAAATTTGAGTTTAAAATATGCAAATGATTACGCTTGAATAAGCTGGGTGAAGAATGCATTACCAGCAATATTTATCTTTGGATATTGTTCACTCGATGAGTTACGCGTGTCCAACAGTCAGAATTTCTTAAGGTTCTTATTTGAAGTAACACTTATCGAAGAGCTTATTGCTTGGGTAATCCGTGTCGCTATATTCATCTGTCAACGAAAAGTCAAAAGGTTCAAATGGATTTTGCCAATATTTAGGGATAACTTACAATCTTATTAAAGCTTTACGTCTAAGCTCTAAAGAGGTTCTTCAGAAACGTTTTAACCAGAGCGGTACCTTTGCTGCAAAGCTTTAGTTGTCTTACTCGCCTGGTCTCGTATATCTCGTCTAACAATAGCGAAACAAGGCGAGTTTAGCCCTTCGGCTTTTCCGGGTTGTATCAACGCAAGTCAACTAAAAAGACTTCCTCTCTTTATCGAAGAATTTAGTCCTAAGGCTAAAGGCTGCTTTCCACTTATATGCAAGTACTACACGGACGGAAAATTTTAAATGCTTTTAAATTTTTATTATTTAACATCTAGGTCAACTAATGCATACTAGAATATGCAGAAAACTAAGTTCCTTCGATTTATTCACTTAGTTTTTTCAAAGGTAACATGTATAACAGTATAAGGATTTAGACTTTAACGTGTGTGTACGTGCGTATGAAAAACGCGTAAGTGGAAAACAGCCTTAAGGCACTTATTTATAAAGCTATTTTGTTTTACACAAACTCAGTTGAAAACTTGGCCACTCTCACAAAATGGTGGAAAGACTCTCTCCTTTTCTCATTCAATTCGAAACACAAAAGATCATTGCGAAATTTACTTGATATACTAAAGCACACGGAACTATGGTTATTCGTATATTTAGAAAATAAATTTAAATTTAGCGCTACTTTTGATGTTTTCCTGTCGCTTTTCACCGAAGCGATAAGCGCAAGTGTTATAAAGATTCTTATAACGTACAATTACGAAACAACCATGGTCTATTACCGCACTAAACCCCATATAAACTGAGGCGATAACTCGGAGCCAATTTCAAGCCGAATTGGGTACCAATTCCAGCCGAGTAATTTTTTGTCTTCACAGTCAACGATTGCAAGGCGCTGATTTCAATGAGTTCATGTCAATATCTTAACCTATATCCTTCCCTAGTCTCTTATGATCAATCCGATTAAGGAAAGGGTTTAGTGAAAGATTAATGGTAAGGTTTGCTAATAAGATCGGTATTTGAAGAGGATGAAGGTTTGGAAGGTTTAAAAATGGGTGAAGGATTTGGTTTAGGTCTTAAAATGATTTATAGAGAAAGGATTAGAAAATTGAGATGGATTAGAGTGTAGTGTCAAAATCTCAAAATTTCAATCACGCGATGGTTAAAATGGCAAACTTTAATTATACAAAGAATCTCGTTACAACATTAATATTGAATTCATATAAAACATGCAGATATCTGTTCATACTATTTGATGTTGTCTATTGAAGTCTGCAACATTGTACGCCAACGGAATAAAAACTGGAAGGAACATAAGTGTTACATTTACAGCTGCATATTTGACCATTGCTTGAAATCCTCCATTCACCACAGCCTCGACTACATCCACAATCTGTCGCTGTATAACTGGCATCGTTACAGGACATAGAGAGGGACCCAGTCGCTGATTGACGATAGATACACGAGATGCTTTGATTGGAATTATTTCCATTGTTTCCATTTGGGCCATTTGGACCTGGGATTGAAGAAAAAAATTCATTACAATTCTGCTTTCTAAACTTTCTATTTTTTCCAAAATTTCTTTCATGGATGACGCTGATCTTTCACGTTCATCATCTTACCTCTTGGTCCAGGATATCCATTGATACCATCCTCTCCACGTACTCCCTTTGCCCCTTTAGTACCTCGCGGTCCTGGAGGACCTCGTGGTCCGGTGTTACCAACATCCCCAGGATCACCATCAGCACCATTCGCACCATTTTGTCCTGAATTACCCTGGTCACCTGGTGCGCCAGGATTACCCCTAGGTCCGCGTGGGCCTGGATCGCCTTTAGGACCCGGTGAACCAGTTGGTCCTTGTGGACCATTAGGTCCTGCGTCACCAGGTTGACCCTTGGCACCAGGACCACCATTTGCTGCATCGGCACCCGGTTTTCCCGGATCCCCTCGACACCCCTTCTCGCCTGGCGGACCTTTGGGACCTGAAATACCGTTGCTACCAGGGTTTCCAGCAATGCCATTCTCGCCTATGATAGAATTTTTTTTTAGTTTGTATAATTACAGTTCCTTCGTGGCAATTCATGGCCATTAGCTACAAAATATAATGATTGATGTTTCTTGTTTGAACCGAAACGCAAGAAGGTTTTTTATATTGGAGTCGTCGATCGCGAATTATCACAGATCATGTTATAAACTGCGTTATTAATTGAAGGCTTGAAGCTAGTATTTTCTTCTAAAAACAGCTTGTTGCATGAGCTCACCTGCATCACCCTTTACTCCCGTTGCTCCTGGCAATCCCTTAGGTCCTCGTGGTCCAGGATCACCGTCATATCCATCATCTCCTCTTTGTCCTCGTGGTCCAGGTGCACCTAATTAGAACCATTGTGATGAATTAGAATAGTGGTGAATAATTAGAATCATTGTAACGAATTAGAACAGTGTTGAATATTTAGAACAATTGTGATGAATTGTGGTGAATAATCAAAATTATCGGTGTTACTCAATTTAACTCAAACTGTTTCAAATTACACCAGTTAGAATTCCTCAAAATTCTTCACACGAGCAAATATCCTTATCAAAAGTTGCTGGCTGTACAAGATGCTGGTTGTGGTTGTCGTTACTATTACCACGACTAGTCTCCATTTGTTGCATTACAGTAATATCTTTAGTATTTCATTTTTAACCTCGTTTACTGCCAAAAAACACCATGTCTCACCTGGTCCTCCTCGCTGTCCTTTAGGTCCCTTATCACCCTGGGGACCTGGGTGTCCGTTAGCTCCATTGACCCCAGGAGCCCCTGGGAATCCCTTCAAACCTGGGTCCCCCTTGAATCCTTTTGGTCCGATGGGTCCAGTTGGACCTCGGTCACCCGGCTCACCGGGACTCCCAACAGCGCCGTTGTTTCCAGTTGGCCCGTCAAGACCTTGTTGTCCTTTTGGTCCAATATCTCCACGAAATTCTGTTGGAGTGAAAACAGAGGAATGCTGTGGTTGGTTATTATTCCTAATAGTCGAATCTAAGTCTTTGTAGCATTGGAATATCGCATAACATTACTAAGTAAACAAACGTACGTGCGTGTTGACAGATCAGTCTGGCAAAGAATCCAGCTTTGATATAGAGATCCAAAAAGTCCGTAGCGGTGAACACCATGTCTGGACGTGGTGTCAACAATCTCAATGCTTCGATGTTAACATTGCTGCCAATACCGATAGCAAACACGATCACACCCTTGTCAATTAACGGTTTTACAGCAGCATCCAACCCTTGACCTCCACTAACACCATCCGTGAAAACAACCTGAATAAACAACGATGTAAAATCATTCGCGGAAAAATTGACTGAAAAAGGATTTGACGCTTGGTTGCAAGGGGATGCATCACCTTCTCCCTCCTCTTCCCTCCTCTTCCTCCCTCCTCTTCCCTCCTCCTCCCTCCTTCCTCCTCCCTCCTCTTCCCTCCTGCTCCCTCCTCCTCCCTCCTCTTCCCTCCTGCTCCCTCCTCCTCTTCCCTCCTCCTCCCTCTTCCCCCCTGCTTGCACCCCCCCATCCCTACACTCCCGCTGAGCTCCTCAAGGATACTTACAGCAATCTTTGGGATCTTTGGGGAGTCTCTGGCGCCTCCACCTCCCATAAAAAGATTATCATGTGCTTCTTCTAAAGCTCTATCGATTCGAGTCCCACCACCAATCTTTGTCAAAGCTTTCACGGCATCTCTAAACGTCTCGAATTTTTCATGATCCAAGAATTTAATTGCAGTCGTTGCTGTTGCACCATAGTTCACGACACCATCGTGCGTTCCGAGTTTCATAACCCCGAAGAAGTAGGCCATTACTTTAACAACTGTTTTCTCTAATTCATAGTCAGCCAAGGAAACGCTGTCAGAACCATCGATTATGTAGGCAATGTCAATAGAAATAGGACATGTTTTGAAGTCTAAAATAGAGATGTTGAAACCAGCGTTATTTCTAAGCTGAGATTACCATGCATGGGGTTTTTGGAAGAGTATCGATTCCGTAGTTTATTGCTTTGTATTTTCGTTATTTTCCTTTTTAGTTTGCCATGCATGTGGTAGTTGTATGTTGCAACATGACAGCTTATTACTGTGTTGTAATAGTTGATATACTGCCGTTAATTGTGCTGCAACGTGTTCAATATAAAAAAAACCCATGACCAGCCGACAATTTAAAAAAGTAAAGTAAAAAGCAAATTCCGAACAAACAAGACATCTTGAGAATCAAAATATAATTCAAACAAGACACAGATTGAGACTGTAAATTTTCTACATTTTGTCTGAAGGTCATCTACATTCAGTCTACACATTCTGTCTGAAGATGACTTTGTAATAAGTCGAAAATTTACAGTCTCAATCTGTGTCTTGTTTGGATTATATTTTCATTCTCAAGATGTCTTGTGTGTTTAATATAAATGCTAGTGTACGGTTTACAACGTTTTGTAATCAATTTTCTTTATTCTTTTCAGATACCGAAGAAAAACCCAAAGGATTTGTTGTACTTAATGGCAAGGTTTGTGTAATATCCTCTTAAGTTCGGCGCTAATCCTGTGTTATAAATGAGCAATAAAACACTGTGAACGAGTTGAACAAAATATGCGGCAGTATTTTTAGATTTTTAGGAAAAAAAACATAGCGCATATATGGCGTTGAATTGAGGGACTAAAAAAACGCGTGACGCCCCCTTGTGGGAAAAATATAGCTTGTTGTTTCTCGTTGACCACTGTTTACCTGGTAGCTTAGCAAAGGCGAGGAAGGACTACAATATCTTCCTTGATAAAAACGCGTAAAATGACTGGCCCACACGTATTAGACGAGCGATAATATTCGCGTCAATATTTTGTTCGTTCATTTGGCGGCAAATAAAGGAAGGTGGGACTAGTAGCAAATCTAGTGTCATAATTTGACTGATGGAAATATTTTTAATGTAGTCAATTTTTGACTTAAACTAAGTCATCTCAAGATTACGTTAAATTATAATCAAATTATATGAATCACTAATGAACACATATTTAATGTTGCCAATTTTTGACTTAAACTAAGTCATCTTAAAATTACGTTAAATTATAATCAAATTATATGAATGACTAATGAACACATCATTAATGTTATCAAGTTTTGACTTAAACAAGTCAACTCAAAATTACGTTGAATTATAATCAAATTTCATAATTTGATTATAATTTAACGTAATTTTGAGTTGACTTGTTTAAGTCAAAACTTGATAACATTAATGATGTGTTCATTAGTCATTCATATTATTTGATTATAATTTAACGTAATTTTAAGATGCGATTTAAGATCCGATATTCGGATTTGGCTGGCATTTTGTTATTAGTGAAAGAATTTACTGGCAAATCATCCTGTTGGCAAACGTTTCTGGAATTTGTACAAAATATGACAGTAAAATTTTCCTTCATCCGACTGTGGGCACTCAATCCAGAGACTTTACTGCATCGTAAAACAGAGCAGTTACTGACAGACATGTCTGTTACTGCTTGAGGAAAGTTATTAAACACAACGGAATATATTTGTCGTTGTAAAACTTGCGAGATTTTTTGTTGTGATAAAGATATTGCTTTCTTACCAATATGATAAGGGTACGTGCTGACATCTTGTGAAACACGGTCTATTTCTGCAGCCATCATCTGCTGTCGGAAGGCATCTGAAATTGAGGGGAAAAAACATACATGAGAAAATCTTTCTTGAATGAAATCACCAAGCATTTGATGGAGAATACGATAGAGCCATTGCAAACTAAGGAATATTTGAGGCATGCCTTAGAGTGTTGTATCGTTACAGCCTCGATTTCAACCTTTCATAGCTTTCTTCCCAAAACTCATCTTAATTGAATGCTTAAGCTAACAGGAATGATATGAGTCGTGAGTGTGTAACTGAGCACTAAGTTTTGATTTTATATGCTATGACTATAATCATCGCTTTATCAGAAAGAAATTGTACACGATTCCACAAGGCGGAAATATTGATAAATAGACTTCGTGCACAATATAGAATATTTCTTCATATAATGAATTCGTATGACTCAAACGCTGAAAGGCACTGATTTGACTCAAAGTGTCTTTAAATCAAAGTATTTGGCTACGATATGTAGGCTAAACTCCGACAAGGCCACTCTTTTAGTGCGAGCGAGGAAATGTACACTCGATGAATAAATTAAATTGCTTTGAAATTCCCTCTAATAGCCGAATACAAACTGTTTTCCGAAGAAGACAGTGGGTTAATGATAATAATATATATCAGTGATTATATCACAGTCTTATTACTTTATAACACAACGTTACACTGAATTATATGGGCACAAGTATAATCCCCAACGTTCGTCAATCTGTGAATTCAATGTACTTTAGAGAATTATTCTTGCTTTAATAGTATAATGATTTACTTACGTGCTCCAACTAAAGCTGTTACCCAAAGGGCCAGCAAAGATACAACACGGTTTGCCATGTTATGTGGTTCAATACAGCCTGTGAATTGTGACATCGTAACTCTAAGTCTCAGTATATATATCGTGAAGTCATATCACGTGGGCACAGCCATTACTAGGCTCTCTTTGTTCCAAGCAAGGTTTCCATAACTCCGCCTTGAGGCTCCAAATTCCCATTAAAAATATCCGTCTCCAAGTGTTCTGAATAGCTCTTGACCCTACCTCTTCACACGCTCTTTATCACATCCTGCCTTAGGATTTTTGAAAGAAATTTAAGATTCTTGGTCACTGAAACTAATTTATCTTTTTCTCATTAAACGACATCAAAGACTAAAGAATTTTGATGGTTTGTTATGGGTAACACTAAGTGGGGTTTTTCTTTCGTGAGAGAATATTGCATGAAAATAGACTATATTTGATTGTCATTTCTTATAATATATTTAGGTTTATTAATAGGTCACTAATGGAAATTTAACAAACGTTAATGATTACAGCACATTTTTGTGCAGAGGAGAATGACACAAAAAGCTGTTAAGATTTTCTGCGTATTTTGGTTTTAATATCATTCAGCTCACAAGGTGGCCATACATTATATTCTCTGAAAACAACTCCTATATTTGAAGTAGTTTCACTTGAATAAACGTTTGAGAAATCATAATTTAGTAACGATTCTCTTTATTAAACTCAGTTCTCTTATTGAGCTGCCTGGGTATAGTTCATCACACAATGTTAAGTTTATAATAGCATCGTTTCAAAGTCCAACTTACTGCATCGATGGAGCTAACTTTTGCATGTAAACTAGAAATATGTTAAGATAAGATACAGTTTCCTGGGCTTCTAAAATTAATCATGCAATGACGTAAAAGGTTCAAAGACGTGTACAAGCACTTCTGTGGCATTCACAATGCGAAAAAGGGCGATTCTTCGATCAAGGTTTTCCTTTGCACCTAACCCGTGAAACACTTACATGCATTTGTACATAGTTAATGAAAGATCTAGAAGGCACAGCTTGCCAATGTGAAGTGCAAAGATACTTGAAGATCTTACAATAAGTCTTGTGCTAGGAATAAGTTCATTCGCAGATAATTGTATTTTAATGCTGCATGAACAATGACATTGACGTTGTCTTCCAAGCAATTTTGGGGAGAAACAAGTCGTATATGATAAGAATAATATGAAAGATATTATAAGCGTCTAAGAATTCAGTTATACAAAGTAATCTTCGCCCTAACTACCAGAGTGATACCTATATGATGCTAATAACTCAGTTAGAACATGGTTACAGTGTTGTAACATTAGTTACACAAGATATTTCACGGTAATGTAAGGTATAAAATATTTTAGTCCATGCATATACATAGAAAATAAGAAAGTTATTTTGTTTTAAAACACCCGTCATCTCCTGCTTTGGCAAACGTCATATCTTTTGAGAAAGACCTCTACGTCTTTCATGGCCTTTCCGCAGAAAGACACGCACAGAAACTTTGTAGAAAATTCTCTTTTTTTATAAAAAACGTGATGACGCCCATCGTTTCTCTTCAATCATTTGTAAAACCAGGCAACATAAACAACCAGGAAAAATGCAATTAACAGCTGATGAAATTAACACCGGTGTTTGCAAGAAGGCATTCCTGTGCTACAGGGTTTTTGATATTGGTTTTTGGCTGAGAAATAGCTCTTGAAATTTAAGAGCGCTTGTTGACTTTCATATTGCCTGGAAACAGCGAATCCGGATGAAATATGTAAAAATGTTCAATTTTGACCACTCCCACGCCGTTAAAGGCAGTATAAAAGATAATGTCTGGATGCTTTGATGTTATTCTCTCGCGTACTATATCATTCAACATGAAGGCGTTTGTGGCCCTCGCGTTTGTTTTTACCTTCGCTGTACTTCACACATGTAAGTACTGGATCTTATTGTTGACTTATAGATTAGTTATTAACTTTGTTAATTATTACCTTTATTCAATATAAGCTTTTCATGCTAGAGTCTGTCGCTGTTTTTAAATGCCAAGTCTCTATATGTGTATAATTATCGTCCTTTATGAAGTTATAAAGTTCACTAATTATGATTCGTGTATATAAAATTTCATCATCTGAATCAAACGTAATATTGGTTAGATAGTCAAAAGACGCTGTGGTTTCTGTCTGAAATATCTTAAACTATTCAATTTCGGGAGTTGATGAATTCGAAGCATCCATTTTATTCAGACAGAAACCTTTGTGACTTTAACTAGACCCTGTGTCTATGAATATATTCTCTAAATAATATCGTATGTATTGTCGTGAGCAATTATGCTTAATCGACTTGATTATTATTATTATTTTATACTTGAATATTACTTGTAATCATGAAAAATGCAAGCACCGTATTACTACATCATGTTTCTTCATGATTTCAAAAACATGATGAAAGTTAATGTTATATTTGAATAGAGCGAATGTTGTTCATGAACCAGTTACATTCGCAACGCAACAACTTGGCACAGCAATTGATGATGAAAATTATATATTCATAGAAAATATTGACGTGATATTGTATGTGTGAATAAACATTTTAATGTCAGAACCCTTTCTTTTCCAATTAACCTCGGTAACAAATTTTAAAGTTGACAATGTTAAAGTGATATTTTATTTATCTTGCAGATGGAGCGCCAAGGGCCGCGCATTTTGCTGCGAGGCAAAGGGACTCGTCACTACCGACAAAAGGGCCGAAACCGGCTATAAAAGGTATGTTATTAATTGGCAGGCGTTTCCAAAGTTACAAATTGAAATCTTGTGGAAATTACGGTTGAACACGAGGGTACTTGATATCGGTCTTAGAGACAATAGTTATTTTAAATCAAGCATGTTAAAACCTTTGTGCAAAGCAAATCAGTTCTGTCTTTTTGCAGGACTCCCGGGTCTCCGAGGAGCTACGGGCGTGAAAGGTGACGCAGGCCCTGCTGGTAGTACCGGAGCTCCTGGCCCTCCTGGTCCCGTCGGAATCAAGGGTGATAAGGGAAATCCTGGACCTCGAGGTGATAAAGGAGAACAAGGTGCACCTGGTGAAAATGGTGGTAATGGAGGAAATGGCGCGAAAGGAGAGAGAGGTGGCCAGGGGAACCCTGGGAATGATGGTGATCGAGGTAAGAACGTCATTAAATTTGATGTATTTGGTTCAAAAGTACCTACCACTTCCACTGTGAGTTCTGTGCAGCATTAGATCACTCCAAACAACAAATGAAGAGGTATATTTTTCTGATTCTCCCAGGCCCACAAGGCAGTCCTGGTGCAAAAGGTTTCTCTGGTACAGATGGTACACCAGGTGGTCCAGGGCCAGCTGGTGATCCAGGTGATGATGGAGACAGGGGTCCACAAGGAGAAAGAGGAAATGATGGTGCTGATGGTAGCAATGGTAGTGATGGTGCTAAGGGAGCTAAGGGTGACAAGAGAGCTAAAGGAGATATTGGTATGTATACTATGTACATTGATTAAGACGGGTTTAATTTTAAACCAATTATTTTTCAGTAAAAAAGTATGAAGCAATTTAAAATTTCTTTTATTTGGGAATATTGCTTTCCTATGCTGCTCTTCGATAAAAACATTGTAGATCTAAATTTATTATGTAATAAAAATTCTTTTGTCACACACCTGACCATTGCTCTTAACTTGATTTTGTTAGGACCACGTGGACCCGCGGGTAATAATGGTGCCAAAGGTCAAACTGGTAAACCCGGTGAACCAGGAAATCCTGGTGGTCACGGACCAAGGGGTGATGTCGGGGCTACGGGTGAACCAGGTGAATCAGGACCCAAGGGTTACCCAGGAATTCGAGGACCACAAGGAGCAAAAGGAACACCTGGAGCTGATGGTGACCCTGGTAGTTCTGGCCCCAATGGTGGTAATGGTAACCAGGGTAGACCTGGTTTCCCAGGAACACGTGGTATAAGAGGAGATCCAGGCGATAGTGGTACTGATGGCAACCTAGGACCTGCTGGTTGGTATCTTCGCAACCTCTCATATCAGCTAATCTGTCACGTTTTGTTTTTCGATTTTGTATTAGTTTGGCGATGTTTTGTAATTTCCATTTTCTTTTTTTCAGGTCCACCAGGTGACCCGGGTAAGGATGGTTCCCCAGGCAGCACCCAGGAAATGTCTTGCCGAGTTGTCGAGGCAGCTGGAGGAAAAGTGAATTGCAACACTCTACCAGGTGGAGCAGCCTATAGCATGATGGGTTGCTACTGTAGTTATTCCTGTACACGAAAAGTCATTACTAATGGAGAATGTAACTGCAATTGTCTGTCAGAGCATTTACACACAAAAGGAACTTGTTGTAAATTGCAGGTTGAAGTCACCGTATAAATGAACAAATAAAGGGAATGCCTGTGTATCTAGATATATTTGCACATTTTATGTATGTTGAAATAAATGTTCTGTGATTAATTTTTTTGAAATAAATTCTTTTAAATATATCTTCGAGTTGCCTATTTGTATCTTCTCGCGTGATGTCTTTCTGCTATATATCAAAACGTGCGACTAAACCTTGAAACTCTTCTTAATAAACACCTCTTCATGCTTGCCTCATTATGAGTCATAGCCCTAAATCTGACAGTAAATCATCCTCTTCATTCATATCCAAATAATCAACCCCCTTGCCCACTCACATGATTAATCATCTGCCTGTTATATAACACCCTCCTTTAAAGGGCCGCGTCTCTCCCAAAATTTATTTTCTGAATTCACACAAATGTACTTGTTTTAATACATGTTTCCCTCTACATTTGAGCCTGGACCAATAGTCCCAAATAGCTACACAGGATAAGTTGAATGATGCTATAAAAATCCTGCTTGAATCGCATTTAACCATCTCTGCATGATATAACCATGCTTAACTCAGTCAACTGAGAGAACACAAGAGAGACTTAACTCTACTCACATGAGTTCTGTACAACATCAGATCACTTTAAGGTAGCTCTCATTCAAGAACATGTACAACCTCGGCATAATCTAACCATGCTTAACTCAGTCAACTGAGAGAGAACACAGAAGAGACTTAACTCTACTCACATTAGTTCTGTACAACATCAGATCACTTTAAAGGTAGCTCTCATTCAAGAATATGTACAACCTCTGCATGATCTAACCATGCTTAACTCAGTCAACTGATAGAGAACACAGGAGAGACTTTACTCACATGAGTTCTGTATAACACCAGATCACTTTAAGGTAGTTCACGTTTAAAATAAAGGGAGAACACAGAAACACCACACTATAATATCATATTCTAACATTTTGTATAGTCCAGCCACAATCAGATTTTGGCAAATATCGCGTGTCGTAAATAAAACTTTATTAACATTGATTATTGTCGTCACATCAGCACTTCCTTTTGAGTCGAATGAAATTATGCGAAATAAAAGCACGTATTTCCTTACATCTCGTCAATTTCAAGTGCAACCTCTTCTCTTCCTAGCGACAAATTCTTTTCATGCATTATCCGATGGGACTCATTTTTTCAAGTGTCCTGCGAATTATTAATAATCACTCCATTTTATATTCTTTAGTCTTTGTTTCCCGGAGTGTAATTGATTAGGAGTTATAAGAGACTGAGAAATGCTTGTATCTAAATGGATTAGGTGTTGAAAATTATATTTTTGGATTTTCTACAGCGTTCGAAATGATGTAAAGGAAATCAACTTCGTGTGTTGTTCAGGAAACACGATTGCGTAGTGGGAGACAAAAGCTTTTAACACCGGCCTAGCAATACTGCCAAGGAAACAGTCTTAAAATATAACTCAAAGTCTGAGTCGTTTGTTGTATTCTTGTTGAAAAATAGAAGCAGAATATTGGTTATGAGAACCATATCAGATGCTATTCAAACATGAATGTACATGCATGTCATTCGCGATTGTCAATGATGAAAGAATATTTTACATCAGTTGATATTCCCGTTAAGTTGATATTCTCGATAAGGAACCAGGTTTGGTTTAGTTCCAACAAAGCATTGCCAAATGATATCGGGCGAGGATGCCACCTTCAATGACTTTGTATACACAGATCACTTTCAAGTTTGTCGTTTTATAGGATTTTGACATTAACAACTATGCATCCTTTCAAATTCATAACCAAAAGCATGAATGATAAAGAGAAGCACGTTAGATAAGTTAAGATGACACACACATTCTGAACACATTGTAAATGCTACAATTCAGGTAGCCTCAGAAAAAATGACAGAAAAAAAGCATTTAATGGAAATAAATATGTGCTGGTTGCGACTGTGCAAGTACTTAAGTGGCTAATTCGTTCATTCTGATCCTTAAAACGCCTATTAAAAGCATTTCTTAAACGTATCATTATATTTAAGTCTAGAAATAGTTAAGCAACCAACCCAATATCTACGATTTCAACATTCATGCACGCGGTATATCGACATTGTATTTTGCAATCAGATTTTTTATTTAATGCGTGCATTACTCCATGCCTAAAATAACCGCTTGAATGAGTAACGATTTATTTTTTTATTCTGCATAATATTGGCCTATTTCTAGATTTACATTCCAATGTTCATCAAATTTGCTCCACAAGGTTGCTTAGCATTGTAAAATCATTAATTTTGACACCAACTCGTTAGAGCTAATGAAGTGTTAATTCTGAAAAGGTCAAGGACCACTTCGTTTTACGATTACCGTTCAAGTGCCTTAGAATTATCTTGCAGCACGATTTTGTGAAAGTTTCTTTTAGAATAATTAGATTTTGAAATGATTAGCAACGCATTTTTTCACTGAATTAGATTAAATCCTAAACAAAAACTTAATCATTTTCCAGAGAAGCTAGTCGATTTCCCTGCGCAATCCTCGCTTTCTTTCTCTGGGAAAAAATACTCCTTTCATCCTCTTCAGGTTGTCAGAGCAAAAGTAAACGCAATCGTACTGAATCGACTCCTAGTGGCTAATTTAAGGTGGCGCGTTGTTATTCGTCTTTTCCTGTGAGGGCACTTACGGATACCATGTTAACCAACTAGGCAACGCAAGTATTTGTCGCACTTAAAGTTCTTAGTTTTCTCATGAACCAATCAGAGGCGAGTTACAGGGTTTTTGTATAGAGTGTCCGATATATAAAAGCGAACTTAGACAAACTGACAACACGAAGTGAGTTATACGGCCTGTGAATATGACGTCCCTATCGTTACTGGCGTTCTGTCTTCTAGCTTGTGTTTTTTCTTCAGGTGAGGAACTTATTTAGTTATATAATTATCTCAATTTAACTTAAAGAGATTCTTGTTAACATATTTAAACGCATTATTAAGTCTAATATCATTTCATATGTGATGTAGGTTTGCTTGCGAGTATTGCGACTTGTAGATTTTGCTCTATAAACTTCAAATTGTTAGCTTTCTACAACGTCAACGACACAAAACAACTCTTTCATTCTTGTATATTCTGGCTGTATAATATAGCATTGCCCTTTGCGAAATGGTTAGCAGGTCTTCGCTTAAAACTTTAGCCAAAGCTACTTGCTAGAAGCTACTTTACCTCAACCCTGAACTTACAATTTGAAGTTGAGAAGAGCGATAATCTATTCGTGGCATTAAGTTACTTAATTTGAACTCGTGGCAATAAAATCAATTGAAAATTTGTTCTAATTAATAAATTAATTGATATATTATATCGCGCAATAGCACAAGATCAATACATAGATACATCAATTCAACATCCTGAATATTTTTGTTGATATAATTACAAATTTTGATCATTTTGTTTTTAGATGCACACAAAACAGCTTTTGACGGTAAGATGACGATGATATTTTTCTTCCTCTGAATCAGATAATTTTGACTGCGTGACAGCGTGGACATGTACATATAGGGTTGGGGAGGGATAATTACGACCAAAATGGACATAATAATTTCATCTTATATTGCCAACATCGGAAGCGTAGTTTTCCGACTAAATTCCCACACATTATTAGCATAGCAATATATTTGCATTGAATTTTTTCCTCGCCGCTTGAGTCCTGATAAAACAGAACTAGCGACGTTCAATCCTTGTGGTTGACATCACGTAGTTTGAATGCACAATGTGAGCGATCCATTTTAATAATTGTGAAATTTCCTCTTTCCTAATATTCATTTTTATTTCACCAGCCAATCTAGCCTCACTTTTAGAGCCGTCAAATGATGATATTTACAGTATAAGCACGTTTATAAAAGGTCAGTATGCCTTGCTTAAAAATCGAAGCAATTGCGCGCGACGTTCTGATTAGATTTCTAATAAGCGTTCTAATTTTTACCCCCAGGCGAGCGTGGTCCGATCGGCCTTACCGGGATAACTGGAATGGCAGGAACGACTGGATCTCCAGGACCTCAAGGACCTTCAGGATCTGCCGGTCAGGACGGGGACACAGGTGACAGGGGACCAAAGGGAAGACAAGGTGATAGAGGTAATCCTGGAACTGATGGTCAACATGAGACTGATGGGGAACCCGGTATGTCGGGTCCAAATGGAGATCCTGGTGCTCCTGGGGCGAAAGGTGAGCTCTTTAGCCCAATTTTAATCTGGATGTTCTAGAAGAAGCTAGACCAGATTCACCTATATTACTCCTAAACTGATTACAAGAAAGTTAAAGAGCACCTTTGTGCATTTGAGATATAATTCCAGGTGTTTGACATCAGAGAATATTTCTAGAGGTGGTTTTACGTCATTAGTTCCCATTACTAAGCGAGTATTTTTTACTCCAGGTTACCAAGGAATCCGAGGTCTTCAGGGTGATCATGGTTCTGATGGTGTCGACGGACCAACTGGTCCCAGAGGAGCCACTGGCAATAACGGTCCTAAAGGTTACAAAGGTAACCCTGGTAACAATGGTGCTGACGGTTATAATGGTTTTAATGGTGCTCCTGGTGACCGAGGTGATAGAGGCGATAAGGGTGATATTGGCCCACCAGGTGCGGATGGTGAGTCTGGTGGTCCTGGTGATAGTGGGGCTAATGGTGTGCCTGGTACAACAGGACCTGCTGGTGATGCTGGTAACACTGGTAACCGAGGAGCACGTGGTCCTGCGGGGCCCACCGGTGATGCTGGACCTCCTGGTCATCCTGGTCCTAATGGTCTTGCTGGTACTGATGGTCCTGATGGTCTAAAAGGACAGCCAGGTGATACTGGTCCAGCAGGTCCACCCGGGCCACCCGGACCTCCTGGTCATCCTGGACCTGACGGTCCTGATGGTGCTGATGGAGCGACTGGTCCCCCAGGTACGTCATGTCTTATCACTCATTTCTCCTTTCCACGAGCAAAGTATAATAAATATTTCAAATTTTAGGTGCCGCTGGAGCTCCTGGAAATGATGGTACCAATGGAGCCACGAAGTCTTTACAATGTGTCTTCGGTACAACCAACGGTCTTAAACATGTATGCAGCGCAAATCGATTCCCAATGGGTTGCTCTTGCCATTTGAATTGCAATGGAAAAGCTTGGATTAAAGATAATGCTTGTATGTGCGACTGTACTTCATCTCACAGCACAGATAATCCAGTCACAACGGGTGGAACGTGCTGTTATATCGCTTAAATGAAAATATAAGAGGACCAAGAAGCGTCGTCAGTTGTACGCCTTATATACTTGTAATTTTTGATTCTTGAATAAATGGAAAGTTGTTTTTATATAGTTAAATATGATGTGTTGTTTTATGCTAATTTATGCTTAGCGTTGTCAAAACTGGTTGATGCAGTAACGACAGTAATCCGACCGTCTCCGTGACGGACCGAAATGTCTTTAACCTGCTATGACTGTGTCTTGGTGGGAATGCTATACCGGTCAATCAGCTATCCAACTGTCAACATTGTAACTTTACCTCCATTGATGGCAAATGACATTACATATGACTGCTCTTCAATACATTTCTTTACGAGGACCTATATCGTTCATAACGTGATATTCGTGACGGCTTTGTCTCCTGTTGTTTTCTAGTGTTGACAAAACAATGCCTGCAAATAATTGATAATTTTGTTCACATTCTGCCCTTGATAACAATCGTTTTGTGTTCATACTGTGAAATTTAATCAACTTAGTTCAGATCGCGAACCCTACTAAAACATTGTGATCTGTCTTGCTTCTATAGCTAAATCTGTTGCGGATACAAAATTCTCAGACGCCAGGAAAGTATTCAAGGTGAGGAAAAAGCATTAATCATTATGTTCTAGTTTTATTATCAAACGAGAATGCTTTGCAAGTTCATTGTATATGACCTCAGAGAAAAACAGATAATTTATCAGCTTTAATTTTCTCGTATTACTTGCATCAACTAAAATGTTGTTCACACTTCACAAGTTGTCTGATAATAGTCTGACGAATCAAGACAGTTCATTCATTTCAGTTTCTGAGTTTTGAATAATATCGGGGATTTTCACAGAGAAAACAGATTCCTATATAAGCTGAGTTAGGTTCATGAGTTAGTGTAATACAAATTACTGAAAGATGCTGTATTATCATCTCTTATTAGTCCAGTGTTACTACAGGAGGAAATCTAAACTAAACTAATTTTATTTTTACTGAGTAGCTTTATCAGTTCTAAACTGTTCTTCCTAGAAGCCTAGTAAGGATCATCTCTTATTGATCCAGTGTTACTACAGGAGGAAACGTAAACTAAACTAACTTTATTTATACTGAATAGCTCTATCAGTTCTAAACTGTTCTTCCTAGAGATCCAGTAAGGATCATCTCTTTTTGATCCAGTGTCACTACAGGAGGAAACCTAAACTACACTAACTTTAATTATTGTTTTATTATTTATATTTATTTTTTACTCAGGTCCTTAAGAGATGAAACTCATGAAAGCTTTGTTGGTTTTCGTCTTCACGATCTGTTACTCTGAAACTGGAGAAGCTTCTTTGGTTCGTGGAGAAGGTAACAACACGATAATAGCTCTTTTACCTTTCCACACCCCCACTGCAGACTCGAAGCAATGTTCAAACGAGCTTCATTTTAAATCGGCCGTTCAAAGTCAAGCTTTAGTCTATGCGGTTAAAAAACTGAATTCAGACCCAAACTTCGGTGCCATGATTTCTCTTGGCTACGATGTCGAGGATATTTGCGGAGATAAACCTGAACATTTGCTCAACGTGATAAACACTTTATTCAAAAGACACAAAAGACAACATCCGTGCGCTTTTGTTGCTGATTTGTCAAACTTTTTAACCCGACTTGTTGTGCGTAAATCACAAAAAATTCCTGTGTTTTCTCTCGACTCTGCACCTGATGATATTGGCGCGTTCTATCTCGAACCCAAAAAACCAAGAATCGGAAAGGCGGCGGCGAAGTTCGTACAAGAATTAAACTGGACAGTTTTTGACGTGTTAGTAGCGAATGAAAGCAGTTATGAGTATTTCAAGGAAGCAACTAAGACCTTGAAAGTTTGTGAAAATCGCGTTTTGCAAGAAAAGTTTGTATCTTCTCAGAACCTTGCGAATGAGAGTAATCCGATTTTGGTATTTTCCGATTCATTAAAAACCCTAAAAAATCTCCCATCAACCCTCAAAGAACGAGATACTGTTATCGCCGGAGATGTGCCACAAACTGGTGAACGGTTTGCAAAAACTTTGGCTCTAAAACAACGCGTTCCAAATCTGTCCGAATTTAAAACGTTTTTGTTAGAATCCGCTGGCAGCAACGACAGCTGGTTCGGTGCGTTGATTCGTGACTCCGCGCAGTTTAAGAATTGCGCTACGCCTGGAAACAAGTCATGTTTGTCGGAAATACTCGAAAAACTATCGGGCGAACTCCGTCACGGAGGAAAAGTTATCGATGCTGTGTATACAATTGCGCACACATTGAAAAGAACTCAAAAACAAGCTCTCAGTAATGACGATATTATTTCAACACCCGAATTCACAAGTGCAACAGGAAACCCAATATGTTTTTCGTCAAATAAAGTATTGGAAGTGATTGACTACAGCGTCTATAATCTTGGCAAAACGCCGCCTTCCTCGCTTGGAAAAATCCAGACGTTCTCCGCTAAAACAAGTGCCGAACTTTCGTTGGACGAGTTGGATTTGAATCGTGATATCACTAGTTGCTTACTAACGTGTCCCAAAGGAACCTCCCCAGTCCCCACCTCGGCCAAATGTTGCGTTGAATGTAAGAAAAACCCTAACCTTAGCCCCAACCCTAACTCTACCGCTAATACAACCGCTTGTAAAAAAGGACTGAGGCTGAATAAGGACGGCTCGAAATGTATTGAGGTTCGCTTGGATTATTTGAAGTGGAAGCACCCACTGAGTATCGTGATTTTCCTTCTTGCTATTTTCCTATTCTTTGTTTTGCTTTATTTGGTTAACCTCTATCATATTAAGGCACAAACACCGGCTCTTTTGACGTCTAAACTCGCCACAATGTTGCTTCTTTTGTCGTTGTTTATAACCTTAATTCACCCTCTTTTACCGATTATTAAACCTAGCGCTAGCGCGTGCAATGCTTATGTATTTGGCTTCGTTCAAGCACTGGGTATCCCATTATGTATCCTTATATCCCGCTCAAACTCCTACTTCAAACGCTTTAGACAGGAAGATGGAAGTTTAAGAAAGAAAGTTTGTCGTTCAAACCCTCAAAATCTCATCGCTATTTTCCTTATTTTGTTTCAAATCATCCTTTCTATCATATTTATCGCGGTCTCTTCGGCGCATGTCGTGTATTACGAAACCTCTGACCCCTCTGTCGATTACATCGAGTGCTCAACTTTTTCAGGTGGCGAATTTCTGTTCCCGTTTTTCTACACGATCATTTTGTCGCTCGTTTTTACCGTCAAAAATTTCGGTGCGGAAACGATCGAGCATGACTCGTATGAGTCGCATTTCACGGCCATCTTTTTCTTCGGTTTTTACTTTCTATCCTTTCTCAATATCATCATCGTTTACGGTGTCACTGGTAAAACCAAGGTGATGTTAATCTGTGTTCTGGGAGTCCTTCATGTCATCAATTTCCTCTTTTTTATCTTCTTCCCGAAGGTATATGTGGTTGTGTTTAAACGTGACCCAGTTCGTTTCAGACCTCCTGTTCGCACTGAGAGAGAAGTGTTAATCTTTGATTTATCTGGTATCGAAGATGACCCGCCAAAAACAAAAAAATGAACACCTCAAATACATATGAGGCTAAGTCAGGGTATTTGTGTACTTTATGTGGATAACTTAGGATCATGTATAGATACTGAATCATCTAACTTTGCAAGTGACTATATATATCTCGTATGCTGTGTCTCTGTTTTGTAAAATATTGTAAAAGAAATTGCTCTATATAGTATATACCCTTTATAAAACATTGTTTTCTATTTTTATTGCCAAATTTATTATACTGCTGTATTTTCCTATTAAAGTATATATAACCTTTTAAGAACAATCATTCTTTTTACTTCAATCATAAGGGCCCTTAACACATGAATCAGACTTCTGGAAGATTTCATTAATCTGTTTCACAGCTGAATGCGAACAAGGCTATTGAAATTAAAAGCAATTTATTTACTTTATTCTGTACATCTCTGTGAACAAACACTGCCTATAAACTGTATTTATTTGACAAGATTTAGGCTCAGAAACACGATGCAATGATATTGTTTTCTTTAGTTTTCATCAGAGCAGATTATGAAGTTTTCTTTATGAAACAGAAATTGTCTTAATAAGTTCATCTTCTGAGACAGTTCTGTGCATGGGGCACCCTGCAGTCCTTGACCACTGTTTTTGACAATAATCACAAGTACCGAGAGATTAAATTTACATGTCTGAAGAAGTGGTAATTGCGTATAAAAATACACTCCGTATATATTTGTCTGTCAGTTCGCTAAAGATCTGTTACCGAAAACAACGACACTTTTAGAGTAGAGCCTGCAAGAAATAAGATCATGCTTTTATTAAAGATTTTACTAACAATATTTGATAAAAAAGTGAAGAATTTGTGCACTAGGTTGCTCTAATATCATATCTACTCTGAATTTGTTTCGACCCTAACGTATGTGTATTCTACTTCATGGTCTTGGGAAAAAAATAGATGTCATATGCACATATTTATCTATCTGTTCAGTTTCAGCAGTAGAGAACAATCAGATTTTTTGAAGAGGCTGCTAGTCTGTAATTCCCTTTGTTATAACGGTATTGTTGTAGGAATTATTACGCTGGTATCTTTGTCATTAGCGGCAATGTTTGTGTCCTGCAGTGACCTGTCCCAGTAAATTAAAAACAAACTGTGTAGACCCTGTCCGCCTGTTGCAAACTGACATGGTTCTGTACAGTTCACAACAGGTTATACGCGGACATCTCTCACATATTTTTGTTTCATAATTCACCAGTGATTTCTGTGTTTCAAAATGTAGCCTCGATTTGATAGACTGCATTAAAGCTGTTTTGTAAAGAAGCTCCACCCCTACTCCGCCATCAACCTGTGAACTCCTATGAAATATTTAACACTTGCAAGAATATGTTTGGGTTAGATTGATGACAAGATAATAAGCCTAACAAATTTGATCGGTTTTCATCAATAACAATACACTAGACACTAGCATGTTGTTATGTTAGTTTCTCTGAGACATATGTTGAAGTAGAACCACGGTTGTACAACCTAATATATCTGAATAACTCAGCGACTATAGGATATCGTATTTATATGCTTGTGATTGAGAAGAGGTGAGTAGGTACAAATATATTTCTTCAATATCTTCAGTCTTTACATCATCTCATTTTTAAATACCGGACTTGGCAGCTCACAGGCTCACAGCTGTAGGCAATAAGACAAAGGCTAACAAGGGAAACAGTTTCGGCAGACCTGTTCGCCAAAACACTATTTGCAAAGCCACAAATTCACACCAAAATCACTTTAAAGCGCTTTAGAGAACAACAGGAATTATCGACTAGCAATTCTAGCAATTAATTTTCAAGTAGAATAGCGTATTAAATATACATTTGAACGGACGTACCTCACGAGTTTGCGCATGTATCGTATATCCCAGCAGAATTCGGCAATCTTTCATTTCAAGTGTAACTGTGTAACACTATGTTTGTCGGTTTTTTGGCTTGAAACGATGCGTATGACTGATTGGCAGACATGACTGGACTAATGCAAAACTCTATCTATATCCATACATATGTGATATATATAATATATATGTATATGTTTATATATATGAACGAAGATAGGCATAAAAACTGTTATTATTTTGGTCATTAGAACTAAATAAGTTGTTCTATTTTTCATTTTATAATCGTGTCCGGTCCTGATTACCTTTTTGATTTAAAATAATAATTAAAATAATTGCAGTGATAAAGGAAGAAATCTGTTCAACGGAGATTATAACATTTAACGAAGGCAAAGCCACAGGTTTGCGGTCCTTTGTACACAGGTGTCTGGGCTTTCCTTGAAACCGAAATATTCTGTTTTTGCACTTGAAATAAAAACAAAACCAATTTGACGCAAAGTAATAAATAAAACGCATTGAGACATTGAGGATAACTTCTGCAAAAACAAAGTGTTTAGCTGGCAGCTGCTGCTCCGTAATTGGCATTCAAACTAATAGCGAAGTCTTGACTTTATAATGATTGGAATTGTTCACTAATTTCATGAACGTTTCTTTGTGGTGAGCCGCCTAGTGTCAAATCAAATATGAGGTGCATGCGATATATGACGCTAGAATAATTACAATATTAGGAACACAAATGTCTGTATAATTAGCTTTTTGTAAAATGAATGTCCCATTTACCACACTGAGGTATTATGACAAGACTAACAAGTGTCGCTAAACAGACTCTTACGTGGCATGCTCAGTTGCAAAGGCAGTTCTCTGGTGTAAGAAGATCATGCAGTGTTATGTTATGTGCAAGATTTGAACTTACATAGTTGTATCTTAGAGGAATATAAACTTTCTCGCAAATTTATATATTTAACTTAGTATTGTATTCTTCTTTTCCTTTCAAAGACACAGAATAATACATTGTACAACCAATCTAACTTGTTGTCCAGGATGTTTACAAAAGCCAGCGCTTTCTATCTTCTTACAAACATTATCATCATCTATGGTTCCTCTGACGTAATGAAACATGGTGACGTCATAATTGGGCAATTACTTCCCATGCACCAGTCCTCTGGAAATCCCAGATGCAAGGTCCCTGATCTCACGAGCATCATCAAATTCGAAGCACTAGTTTACGCCACGAACCGGTTAACCAAAGAAATGGATCTGAAAGTCGGTTATCATCTCATAGATTCCTGCTCAAAAACTGAACCTCGTGCCAAGATTAAATTCGCTGTACAGAAATGGTTTAAAGATGGGCAAAATGCATCACGTATTCCCATTGCCATCATCACAGATATCTCTGACCGTGAGGGCTTCTATTCTTTTGCATCAGAGCGACAAAGTCAGGGTAAAAAAATGCCTTTAATTAGTTTAAAACATCCTGGAAAATTATGGAATTCATATTCGATGAATCCACAGAATGGTTTTGTACAACGCGGGGTGTTTGGTTTAGTTCGTCACCTTGATTGGAACATTCTTGACATTGTTAAAGATGACAATGATAATGGATTTGAAAAGTTTAAAAAAATTAACAAGGCTGGTAGTATATGTTTGTTGAATGAACTTTCTTTTAATGGTGATAAGTTGACGTGGCTAAAACGAGGAAGAAAGACATCCCCTGTCGCTGTTCTGTTTTCAAAAGATGACACAAGTTCAGATGTTATCGACCAACTACCGAACTATAATTTGTCTGACTGGAATATATTACTCGGACATGAGGTATCTCAAGGTAAGGGACGCTGGGCAACCAACATGGCGGGGGTAGTTGGAATACGAAGGAACTATGGAAATTTGATGGATTTTGAAAAACACCTCAAAACTTCAAAGCTATTTAAATCTGCTGTAACAAAAAGATTTTGTTCAAATCAAACTGCTGAGGTGTGCGCTGGTCATAAAGATAAATTTATAGATCAAAATATACATCATGGCGCTTCGGTGATTGACGCAGTTTACGCTATTATAAAATCCCGTCAAACTGGTTCGAACAGGTCATCAGAAACAAGTTTAACTGGAATTCGTGTAACCAGCGATACTGGTGAAGTCGTGAGCTTCGATACGGACGATATGACGAGAAATTATTTCAGTTATGATGTTTTGAATTTTCGTGGAAATCGTTTCATGAAAGTTGGTAAAATCCAGTTTGGTCCTTCAATGAAGGTAACGCTCAGTGATCAGATTTTTTGGAGGAATCAGAGCCCACATGGAAGATGCTCAGCGGATTGCAAACCAGGAACGTGGCGAGAGATCTGGGGTGAAGCTAAACAATGTTGCTGGGATTGTCGGCCTTGTGTTCCTGGAACTGTATCCTCATACGCGAATGAGACCAGCTGTGTGAAATGCCCGATCGGAACTAAGCCAACATCGGATCAAACAAAATGTCAACCTCCGTATATCGACTACTTAAAGTGGCATGATCCGTTTAGTCTTGTCATGATATTTCTGCACGCTTTCACAATATGCTTCCTTGTGTATGCTGTAAACATTTTCGTAAAAAAAGCGAATACCCCTGTGTTCCAGCGATCCAAAAGTGCCTCTCTACCTCTCTTATTATCCCTGTTTGTCACCTTTGTATTGCCTATCCTACTCCTGGTAAAACCAACGCAGAGTTCATGTGGCGCTTACAACGCGATATTCATGTTCTCTCTGGGAATACCGCTGACGTTTTTGATCGCACGGAGCCACGTGGTGCTCAACTATTGCTATGGTGACGATGGGGAATTAAAACGTAAGTGGTTTCATTGTAGCCCCCAAACCGTAATTAGCTTCGCTCTGATCATCCTTCAACTGATTGTCGTCGTGATCGTCCTCACTGTCGCTCCCCCGAAAGTTCAAACCTTTACCTCCCCCGGATCTGATGTGGAGTACATTGAATGTACGTCGCATTCAAGACCGGAGTTTCTACCTCTGGTATTCTTTATCCTGGTGTTGATAATGGCCTTCAATATCCTTCACATGAACGAAGAATCCTCTCCACTTAATCAAAACGAAGTGAAATTCGTCTCCTTTGGTATCTACCTGATGTATTCTATATTGTTTGCCTATTTTGTTGCGGTGTTTGGCATAAATGGTAAGAAGAAAATCCGCGTCCTGTGTGCAATGGCGTATCTGTTTGGAGCAAACTTTCTGGCAACAATATTTCTGCCAAAGATCTACGTGATCATGTTCCAGCCGGAGAAAAATCTGCCTGACCTGAGTCATTTGTTGAAAGATGAAAATGGTAACCAGGAACGATTGGCGCATCGGGAGTGTGTTGAATCACCTTTACTGGGACTGCAGGCAGGCCCATATGATCGCACGGAGGTCTAGGAACTAAAGCGCACTGCATGTCTTGGAATGAATAGCATAAAACCTGGCATAAAACAGAAAACTTTATTTGAAATGCCAACAAAGAAGGGCGTTTTGCACGTGACCCCGCACTAAAAACATAAGTCGTTTCATTTTAATAGAATTATTGTTCTGTTGAAATAAAGATTATCAAATATAACTGAACAGTGAATAAATATGTATATGAGTATATTAGTGTGATGTTATGTGACTTTTTTCGAGACTTTTAAACAGCTAGGGAAATTCCCCTACGAGTGGTGTCAGCAAGGATACCCCATATTAAATGCAATATAAAGTATTCCACGTGTTTCACCAAATCTTACGGGCTCATATAGGACTAATAGCAGCAAACAAGATTTAATAACGAGTGAAAATTTGTATTTTTTTATTTGATATTTTGTCCTAATTTCAAAGTTTTGTCCGTTTTCTTCGTGTTGGATAGTCTTTGAAGCGAAATCATGTATGGGAAAAGACGATACGAAGACAGAGATCGTGATGATGGTAAAAATTATTGAACTAAGTTGGAGTATCTGCACGTGTGAATAATCTTAAAAAACATTGCTGCAAATGTCTATTATTAAACTAGGAAGAAAGAGAAGACGTAAGGTTGACCTAAATGACATTGAAGATAAACTAGAGTCATTGATCACAAGAGTTGGGGAAAAGGTTTGATATTTGTAACCATAATTTGTAACCCAACACTGTTATTATCCTTTACAAAATCAAGCTCAAATGGCAGTGTCGATGCCTTGACAGTTTTCTAACTAACTCTGTTTTCTCATTGTAAAACTGAGAATTTATAACCCTACAGTAAGACCTGGTTGATTTTTATGTAAAGCTCTGTTTTCTCATTGTAAAATTGAGAATTTTATAAGCCTACATTAAGACCCAGTTGATTTTTATGTAGAGTTCTGCTTCTTTGGAAAACAATTTACAACAGTTAGCCAATGTTTTGGAGGCTGACCTGCCAAATTATAAAGAAAGAATTTTAAAAATTATTTGTACATGGTGAGTCAGTCAGATTTATATGCTCACAAACGTATCGTATATGCAAATTGAATAAGTTCATGTATCACAAAGGCTATGGATATGTGGAGTTCATTCATTTGATTTTTCATTTCTCTCTGTACGGTAGTGCTAGTAACCATCCTGATAAAATCAGTGTATATAGTACCCTTGTTGGTTTGTTAAATGTGAAAGACTATAAATGCGGAGAAGAGGTATGTTGCCATGCACCACTTGTTAAGTTCAGTCAAAAAACTGTCAAATTAAGAATCCAGACCTTTGGATATTGTATTAAAGAGATAAATCCATTGGCAAACATGTTTATTATTTTAGTTTCTTGACTTAATGGTAGATGATTTGACTAGTGTCTTAAAATCTGGTTCATTTGAACGAGCACAGTTGATGGTAAGTTGACTATTTAGCTCAGCAATTCTTCATATTTAAACCAGTAAAAAAACCCCAACATTTTCATCAATCTGTTTGTTGTAGATTCGATTTATTGCTGACCTTGTAAACACAAAAGTTGTTGTCCCATCATCATTGATGAATATGTTTGAGAGCTTCATTGCAGTCACACTGGAGAATGATAATATGCAAGTATGCAATACAATTAGGAGTTTATTCTTTTTTATTAAGTTTGAGAAAACATATGAACATAAAAATGTTCATTCTCACAGTGAACTGTTATCAATTTTAAAACAGGTTCGTTCAGACTGGTTTGTTCACACAGTTTTATTGTCTTTTCCTTGGGTAAGTTAAAGTTAATCGTAAAAATCTTAAGTCCAACAAGACTCATCAACTTTACCATTATGGTTACCAGTAACGTCTGCACAAACAACTAATTGATATCCTTGGGTTTTTTCACCAGGCTGGGAAACAATTGTGGGAAACACGTGAATCAGATTGTGAAAGATTGTTTAATACAATTGAAATTTATTTAAAGTAATTTGCATTCTGTTAATGTTGTTTACAGCTGCACTTTAGCCAAGAACATCTTTGTTATGATGTAATCATCAAAAGAATTGCATTAATTTTAATATTCTGTATTTGTCTTGCAGTAATCGTCGCAAAACTCATGTAAACGGTTTGAGAGTTTGGTCTTCAGATCATCCCCATCTACAGGAAGAGGTAACATTATACTGAGTGTCTCTTTATCTATTTTATTTGAAAAGCAGTCTTGCCCTGAGCCTAAATGATTTCACTGGTCATTTGTGAGGGAATGTCAGTCAATAACTGAATATTTATTATTTTCGTTTCAGTATCTTGATTGTCTTTGGGCTCAAATACAGAAGCTTAAGAATGACAATTGGGTGGTAAGTCATATTTTGTAACTTACCAACACACATAATGACTTTTGCCTCAACTTGTAATGCATGCATGATAAATGTTGCAATATAACCAGGGAGCATGCACCCTTGCAGGTGGCATTAGTAACTGAGAGTTGCAGTGTAGTACCTGAGAGTTAGTACCTGACAAAGGCCATTACTAGAAGGTTGAAACATTGAGAAATGTTTCGTCTATTTTAGGCAGTTGTTACACCAGTCATGATAAACATTGTTCATTTTGGTAATATTCTTCCTTGTTGAGACGCGTCCAAAATAGACTGAAATGAAATGAGTGATAACAATATTGGGGCGAAAGTTATTTTGGAATGCTTCTTGCAGCAAATCCGTAACTTTGTACTATTTTCTCATGATTTAGGAACACCATATCAGAAGACCTTATCTGGCTTTTGCAGAAACTTTTTCAGAGGCTTTACAGGTGAGAAACAGTGGATAAACAATTATCATCAAGGATGGTAAAGGAATGAATGTTTCATTTATTTTCTCAACAGCATCCTCTGCCAAAGATCCCAATCCTGCCTCGTGAAGAAGATGTTCAATATCCTGTTCCCCAAGTTGTGTTTCGAATGTTTGATTACACAGATGTACCAGAGGGACCCACAATGCCTGGCGCTCATTCTATTGAAAGATTTTTAGTGGAAGAAAGTTTAAACAGAATAATGAATGCACACTACAAGAATAGAAAGGAATGGTACAGTGATGATCATATACAACAAAATCCTTTCATCCGTTGTCGAAATATACCAGGACATTTCTTGATGCTGTTTTAATTCTGTTTTTGTTAGTGCTGCGCAGTTAATGAAACTCCCAGATCATGAAAAAATTCCTTTCGAATACTGTGTGATTGAGGTAAAGTGATTTCTTTTTCAATGAATGTTCATTTTTCAATCTTTGTTTGCAAAGCAATCTTGTTTTTTATTACAGGTGATATTTGGGAATTTATTTAACCTGCCAGTTCCACGGCATTTAGAAATATTTTATGGTTCACTTCTGGTTGAGCTTTGTAAGACACACCAAGCCTCAGTTCCTGGTGTCGTATCCTTTGTGGACATTGCTGTCCTTTTGTCATCAAATATGCATTTAAACTCTCTTTCCTGACCACTTTTGTCTGCTTCGGATGGGAAGTATTTTTCAAGACAAAGGACAATTTTTCACAGAGAAAGGTTGTCTTCTGGCAAACGTTTTTGAGAATGCTGGTATGTTTACGAGTGTCTGTTGTATTATGATAATGAATCCTTAATCCCAAAATCACAGCTTGCCCAAGCAACTGAACTGCTTTATGAACGAATTGATACAATGAATACAACTTGTCTTCACAGGTTAGAAATTATTTTCTAAATATTAGACTTCTGGCTTCCATTGAAATTTTCGTCGTAATATGTTGTAATACACGTCTAATTACCAGCCTTCTCAGCTCACATCACGTTGTATCATCTTCTTATTTCATTCATTTTTAATAGATTTATAAACTGGCTGTCCTACCACTTCAGTCAGTTTCAGTACAAATGGACGTGGAACGACAGGCAAGTTTCTAGATGATAAAAATCATTATTATCACAGTGTTCTCTCTTGCAAAAATATTCTCACTGTAATGGATTATTGTTTTATATTTGGGTCGTTTGTTCATTCTCATTCACAGGATTACCCTGATAGAAGAACCTGCAAACTCACCTCACAGAAGATTCGTTTGTGAAGTGTTGGAAAAATGTTTACGGTAGGACACGCGCCATTTTGTTTAGGAATCTTTAGAAGTTTCACTCCGTATATTTAAGTGACCATTTCTGTTATTTTATGGTTGTTGTAGTAATGCTTTCAGCTTCAACTATTTCGTTTTTTTAGGTCATCATATTATGAATTTATCCTAGAAGTTGTTCCAGAACAGTTACACGAACTTATGCCTCAAAAGCCAGACTACTCGTACAGATATGAGGATAATTCAGGTAATAGAATCTGACACATTGGGAATAGTTGATATATTAACAAGTTCAGAGGTCCTGAGTGTCTCTAACAGACAACGTTGTTATTCAGTTGAGTAAAAAGATCCTCGTCTTTTGCATGACAGAAAGCACGCCTGGTCATGAGCATGCCAAGACACTCGTTGATTCAATAAAGGCAAACAAACCCATGGATGAACTTCTAGCTTTAGTCAAAAAGATTCCTGCGACATCAGGTGATGAAGAAGACATGGATTATAACCAAGGTAAAGATATGATTTGTCTCAACACACCCCCACATCGGCCACAGGAAATCTATCTCTGAACTTTTGTATCGTTGCTTGAAGCTATTAACCATCTCTTTTGCAGAGACAGCGGGAGCCACGTCTCTGAAAGTTGATGTTTGTTTGCAAGTTTTGCTGAGAGCTGGTGCGAAGTCTATCAGCCACACATTTAAGGCTTTGGACAAGTATGTACGCTGCGTTTCATTCTCAAACCCGGCGTACGAAACTGCTAATTCTGAGCTAAAATTTTATATTTTAGATTTGAAAAGATACTGCGAAGTGTAGTTACAAATGAACAGCAGGAAATGCATTGCCTCAGGGTATTACAGTCATTCTGGCGACTTCATACGCAGGTAAAATATTAAAGCTTTGCCTTTGAAGTTATAAATTGTTGTTTTCGGGAATAAACAGAAAATCACAACATGTCTGTTTCAGATGATTGATATTGTGACGGACAAGCTGATACGGATGGATATCATCCACAGCAACTCGTTCGTTAACTGGCTTTTCTCAAAAGAAATGGTTGAAGATTTTCACAGGTATAATATACAGACCAATGATTTATAGAAGACATGTTTCGAAGGTCAGGGATCAGTACTAGTGTATGTAGGTGAACAGGTTAAGGATAGGTTTCTAAAACATGAAAAACAGAAAAAAAGCACATTGAATAATAAGATTTTAAGCTACCGTCACGTTTTATTGTTAGGTCTTATGTATGGGACATTCTTCACTCCGTGTTGAAAAAAATTACCAAACAAACAGAGAAGGTATTTGATTATAATTATCTGGAATAGTTGTTAGTCATTTCGTGTAGGTCATGAAATGAACATTTCCCTCAAAGATGGGTCCAGTGTGGTTCGCACTCCCCTCGAGCCCCTTCCACAGCAAATTCATCCTATTTTTTTCCAAAACTTTGTACTTCATGTCAGTTTACACGCTGACACTACTACTGTATCTCACGTGTGATGTAGGCGAAGGAGGAAATGGAAAGGGAGAAAAGTAAACTGGAGAGGATGGAAGAAAAACGGAAGAAACAGAATGAAGAACAGGGAAGTGGGGAGGCAAGCATTGAGGAAATTGAAATAAAACGAGTTGAAGTGGAGGGATTCACAGATAAACTCGGAGAAATGCAGAGACAAGAAAAAGAAGTGTTTATAGTCATCTTTCAGGTATGAGAAATATTGTGCTTCAGTTGGTAGCTTCGTTGGTAGCTTCGGTAACGTGCCGTGGAAGACGGTTGTCCCAGATCTACGTACTGTACTTGTCAATGATCAATGTTTTGTTAAATTTTTAGCGTTTTGTGATGATGCTGAATCAACATATTGCTAAAAGTGAGGAGCAACAACAAGAAATAAAGTCACCGTCTTTTCTCGCCGTTTCAGACAGATTACGAGAAATATTCTACACGGTAAGGATGCATTAAACAACTTGGGAGCTATCCAGTATAAATAAAGTTAGTTTAGTTTAGGTTTCCTCCTGTAGTAACACTGGATCAATAAGAGATGATCCTTACTGCACGTCAAGGAAGAACAGTTTAGAACTGATAGAACTATCCAGTATAAATAAAGTTAGTTTAGTTTAGGTTTCATTCTGTAGTAACACTAAATCAATAAGAGATGATCCTTACCACAACTCTGTATCAGATTTATTTTGTATAACTGTTATTCTATATTTTATATTTCAGTACCACAGTGAAATCAAACCGTATATTTCAATCTTGGATTCTCTGCTCTTCACGTCAGATGTTGATCCTCACATTCTTAGTATATTTAATCAATACAAAGCTCTGAGTACGTGAACTCATATATCGACTATCAGGTAATGCTGTATTGCTCATATTGGCGCTTAATGCTTTTTAGTGTGATTTAATGAATGTAAGTTTTAGCTATATATTATACCTCATTTACAAACGCTCTCGTGTAAACATACGTGGAAATTAAATGTTTTTAATATCGTAAAATCTGCCTATTCAAAAGAAGCATTAAGGATCATTGCGACACAGATTAAGTACTAGTTGATATGAAACACAGTGACCATGGTATGATGGTTCTTTGTCCCGCTTTATTGTTGGAATTGGAACCTTATGTGCCTTGCTGAATGAAGTGCATTACATGAAGTCCCTCTACTGCCACTTGCTGCCACTGTACACTATTATACAGTTACATACAGGTCAGTGGATTAAGTGATTATTGACCTATGTTATTGACCAAGCATGAATAAAAAGTTAAAATGGGACACCTGATATCTCAGTTTCATTAAAAGGTTGCATCACTTCTAAATAGATTTAGAAAGCTGATCATTGCTTCACTGATATTGGATAGCCAAAGTAATTGACAAAATACTTGGAAAAAGACCCAACACATGCTTAAAAAGGGGTAATACTATATGGATCCTATACAAATCATATTAATTTAAAAATTTGATCACATTAGCAAAATTGTGTTCTAGGTCAGGTCCAGGCTACCTTTTACTGTAGACCTTCTGTAGACCTGGATTTTGTGGCCTCGATCAGGTCCAGGCCTGCATGGTCTGGGCTGGATAAACAGCATTCACATATGGGCCTAGGCGTGGTCCAGGCCAGGTCAAAGCGTATAGTGTAAATGCAGCTATCGAAAACATGCAACATTTGACTATGGATTTTTATGGTTATAGCTCCTTCAAGAAGAAAGTTTTGTAATGAACAAGTTCAAGATGCAATATTTCAAAGCAATGACATACACATTGTCAGTATGAGAGGATGTAAAAGTCATATCAATAAAATATCTGAAAGTTGTCTTAAGAATCAGGTATAGTATTTTTTCTTGCACTAAATGTATGGTTGTTGATTGTGTGAAAACATAAAATTGATCTTTTTATACCTCTGTCGTTCCATTCTCCTAAGTTTATTTTCTAACTATCTTTTATATTATCTTCTCCTTGCCCATAATCTTCTGTCTAATAAAACATTTGTTTGTCTATCTACATGTCTATTTATTTGTCTAATTGCTCTACTTTTTTTTGCATGAACAAATCGGTGGTAATAAGTCTCCTGTATGATGGCAACACTTTATTAATTTTTCACTTTTCTTTCTCATTTTTTTTGTTGAATCATTTGAGATCATTGACCGCTCCTTCATTTCTCTAACAGCAAAGTTATAGCGGCTTGGCAGCAGATTCCCCTGTAAAAGACAAGATGAAAGAAGGATAATGGAGTTTAACATTGCAGAAAGGTAACAATTTTATTTTGATTTAGTAAAACTGGTTCAGCTCCTTTGAAATATTTAGTATAAGGCCTTGAAGATAATTAAATATAAACCACATTTTTTGAAACTGCATGGAAAGAGTATGATAAAGAAAAGGTGATATAATCTTTAATGAAACTCTTTGGCCAATCAAAAAATAATTTACAAATGTTTGAAGCTAGAACTTACTATTTTAAAACCCGGGTTAACATTATATGATCCTTCGCTTTCTTTATTGAGCCTCTCTTGCTTCTCTCTCAAGAGACTTGAAGTTTTCCATACATTTTTAAATGCTGAATATCTTGGCTTTGTTATGCCTTGTTCTGCATTTCCAACCGTTTTCCCAAAACTAAGGTCAATTACAGGAACCGTATGGGGTCGAGAGCCAAGTTCATCAATGCAATCAATAGATCTATGTTGTTTGTTGTAGGTTGGCTTCACAAAGCTGTTTTGTTGTGGTGTAGTGGCTGATCTTACTTCTTTATCTTTTCTAACTCTTGCATTTTGTCTAATACCGGTAGTGGTCATATGTTCATCAAATGAGTCGAAGGAAAAGCCTGAGATATTTCTCTTATTAATTGAATCAGGATTTCTTGCTGAGGGACTTGTAGTTATTGAATCATAATACTCCTGCCAATCGTAAAAGGATTGTGAATTATTCTGTTGTTTTACATCATTTTTCCATGGTACATCTTCTCTTCTAAAATTATTTGATTTCTTAATTTCATTTCTTCGCGTTTCTTTCACTTCAAATTCTCTATCAAAGCCTTGAAACTGATCATCTTTTGAACAATTCTTATTTCTTCGGAAATCCCTTTGAGCATCATTATTCTTTGTGTGATTGTCTCTGATGTGAACCATAAGACCTTTCTCTTTAGTCATTTCACTAGGGGTTTGTAAACAGTTATTCTCCTCTTGTTCATTTCTTTCCCAGATACTGGCAGCGAAGGTGTCAGCATTTAAATTGTTTCTTGTATACTCACTTTTATTTGCTAAATATTTTTTTGTTCTTGTTTTGCATGTCTCTAAATCAATTTTGTCTTCTTTTTCAAACTGAAGTGTGTAAGCTCTTGGGGGTTTTAAAGGATTTGAATTAGAGACAGCCACTGGTATCTCATCTTCTGAAATATTTCTACTTTCTGTGATTTCATTTCCTTGACACACATCCACACTTGTTGTATTTTGATTTATATCATTCATTTGCTTCTCAGTAATGTGAAGATCCTTGGTTTCAGATTCATGATTCTTATGTGTTTCTAAAAAACCAGGCTGTTCATTGCAACTGGAAGTGTCCTCATTCTCCATAGAATTTCTTCTGTGAACTGGTTTCCAGCTTGTGTTATCAGTCCTTGTTATAAAACTTTTTTCTTCACTATTGTCTGGAGAATGTCCTTTAAAGTTTTTCACCAAATCTGTAGCTTCTATTTCTGCATTATAATGCTGAGCAATGTCTTGCCTAGATATGTTTGAGCTTGACATATATTTTGTTATAAAACACTTATCAAATGAACTTTCACTCGATTCTGGAACATTACTTCCACCATTGTTTACAGGGTCATTGCTTTGTGAACAACCACCATCTAATGGATTACCATTTATCTTCAATACCTCATTCCTATTTGTGTTATCCCCATGTCCAGTAAGGTTGTCATCCCTGCAGTCATCACAAGGTAATTTCAACTCAGCTAAGTTTAATTTTAAGTCTGTTAAACACAGTTTATCTTTTTCATTTGACTCAACATGAAAATTTTCTAAGTCATTTTCCATGACACTCTTTGCTTTTTCTATAACTACAGATACATGCCACGCACCAACAGACACCTACAAAGGAAATATCTTTATCTTAATAGCTAATTTATCATGATTTCCTCCAGTGTGATTTTTCATGCATGAGTGGGTACAAAACACAAATCATTATATAATCATTATATTATAATCCAAATGTTGTTCATTATCATACCTGCACAACAGTCAAGTCACCCATGTCCATGTGGTAGGGTAGATATTGAAAATATTGAGAAGGTTTGTGAGGGTAAATCAAACCTGCATTCTTTCCCCACATGTATAATTTGCCAGTTTCTGAAATATATTTTGAAGTTTACTTCATAGGTATGTGACATGTGCATAGGAGAACTAGTTATAAATGGACTAGCTATACCTTACCTGTAACAGCAGCTGAAGTTGTTTCACCACATGCTATTTGTTTAACTGGCCTTGGTAAAAACTGACCAGGGATTGGCTCTGGTTTACTTTGATATTTTATACTTTTATCCACTCCTAGTTGACCCTTACAGAACAACAGAATATATAAGATTATCTGCTATAAATACTGTAGCATATCTAGATGACAAAGCTTATCTCGGTTGAGCTAACCTCGTAGTTGTTTCCCCAAGTGTACACTATACCAGAGTCACATAGTATCATTGAATGACAGTCACCTCCAGCTAACGAAATTACCGAACTGTTTTCCATGTTTTCAAGAGTAAAGCTCTGTGGAGTGGATACAATTCTTGTCCTGTTTCCAAATGCTTTACCATATCCCCATGCAAACACTGCACCACCTTCTGTTGAAACAAACATAACACAGACATTACAATATCAAACTTGGGCATCAAAAGTGGAGAATGAATGAAGTTCATCATACCAAGAGATACCAAGCTGTGGATATTACCACATGCTACATGGGTTATTGAGCTGAGACAATCTATCTTTGTTGGTATGACAGCATCATCTGTTGTAGCATTTCCAATCTGACCATGTTGGTTACATCCAACAGCCATTACAAAGCCAGTAGCAAGAAGGAATAATGAATGTCTAGCACCACAAGCAACCTCTTTAACTTTCATGTCTGGAAACAGTTCTACCAGGACTGGTTGGAGCTATGAGATGTGTGTATTGTAAAGCTAAATTAACGGATTCTTATCCACCAAAGCTAATTTTGTGGCTATGTGTGGTGTGTCAACCTCAGTGAATTATTTGTGACTGTTCAATTCTCAGTGATATGTTGCCATTCTAAAATCATACCAACAATACCTGGTTTTCTTTGAAATCAGCTTTGGAAAAATTGTATCCCAGTTGAGCATTAAAATTATTACCAAAACTATAGCAATAACCAGTGTTTGTCCAGATAAAACTATGCCTTGCTCCACATGCCATGTCTTGTATGTTTCCATTCAGTTTAAGAGGTACTAGCATTGGTTTAATGGTAGTCAAACAAGTACCATTACCTAACTGACCGCTGGTACCATTACCCCAACTGTAAAGGTTACCTGTATCTGTTTGGAACAACACTATGGTTAGCAAGTAAAGTCATGAAAACAATCATTAGTCAATGTCACTTATGATGTTATTGATCTTATCTAAATCATTACTAACTGAGTGGTCATCAGTAATTTTGATTATATATCATCATCATCATGTCCATAGATATACCTGTTAAGGCCAGAGTATGGCTTGAACCACAAACACTGTTCAGTGGAAATTCACCATCAGGTAACATTAGTCCACCACCTCTCAACTGATTCAACGCCATTTCCAAAGTCACATCTCCTTTAAGATCTTGTCCATGCTGTCCAAATTCACCACAGCCCCAACTAACTAGGGAGTGCGTTCGTTTTTGGTTTGTTGGAACGCTATTTACAGTTTTTTCTTCCTGGACATGTAGAGATTTGCTTTTTGGCTTGTAGGGAGCGAAATCTTGATCTTTCACAGATGTACCGTAGCTAAAATATTGCTTTGAAATTCCGTGAAGTTTTTTTTGTAAGACTTCTGTAAAATTTATTGGAGTCATAACTTCCATTTTGATCTATTTTCCTGATAAGTTCAATTCAACATCCTTTCTGCCAAGCACACAGGAAAGTTTTTAAAAATAAAAACAAACGAACAATGAGTCAATGACATTAGTTGCCATTGTAACTCATACTATACACACGGGTTTTTACCCAGGTAGAAAGCCCTTCATTAACGGATGTATTATTTCATTATGTGCATATTTCATTGCGATCAACTGCAATTTTTAAATAAATAAAGAGACAATAAAACATCAATTGAATGTTAATGTTTACTTTGGGGGGAAAAAACTATCAGTATTTATCTTAAAAGAGAAAATGCAAAAGATTTTTCCCGAGTATCTTCTGACCCTAATATCTATCAAATCTGTTATTATCTCAATCCCTTATGAAAATGAATAATAAATGATATTTGTTTTAAAGCAAATTAATGATTGAATGGTATAACTAGTTCGCAAATATCTGCGACTAGTTTTTTTGACGATATTTAGTTTGTTAGGGGCTTTTTTAACAAAACTACGGTGTTTTTTCCGTTTATATTTCCGGTCAACTCATTGCGATATTGTTCCGAATTTGTTCCGAGAATCATCCGACTGTTGACTTCCCTTTCTTCCCTTGAAGAAATCTCAACAAAGAGCATGCCTTCTTTTTATTTTTGAACAAAGGAGAACCATTTTCTACAGTGAAATATGGGGAAACCCGATGTATTTAGGGTGCTCCTTTTACAGATAGCACAGGAGTTAACATCGCGTAATTTTGAAGAGATGAAGTTTGCTTGCGATGATGCAATTCCTGAAGGCGTTTTAGAAAAGCTTCTTCGCCCAATTGATCTGTTTACAGAGTTGGAACATCGAGATCTCTTGTCAGACACAAACAAAGGTTTCTTAGCTAAGTTATTGCTTGAAGCTGGACGACAAAAGCTTGCTACAAAACTTTTAGGCATAAACGAAAAAGGTAAATACTTTGTGGGTGATTTAAATATTTGTCTGAAAGCTTCCTCTTGAACATTTTTAGTATAAACAAAGCACGAGTTGTACTTCTAAAACAAGTTAGGAAGCTTTTAAGTTGCAAACAAGAATGAAAATTAAAGTTATGTTAAGTTATCCACTCCCTATAACATTAACTAAAGTTGTTTTATTTCAAATTATATTATCATCATGATATCATCTGTATTTAGCATCTTTCTTGTTTTCAACTTAATATTGTTTTCTCTTTTCACTTAGCCTGTAAACTGAAAAGATCCTGCAGTTTACTTCATGGAAAGCTTCCAGGAAAAGTTCCCCACTTCCTTGGTCGTGCTCTTCTGTGTGAGGAGATAATTGCCCACCTTCACCAAGGCCATGACCGTCTTGTTACGATTACGGGACCTCCAGGGTATGGAAAATCAGCAGTTGCTATCAGCATTGGTCATGAAATGATAGACCAGCATAAGTATAGTGTTTACTATGTGTCCACCCGTGGTGCCTCGTCTGTTGACAGTGTTGCTTTTCAACTGCTCTACTCTATGAGTATTGTTTCAGGGGATGATCCAATATCCCAAGCGCATCATTACTTTGAAGCATCCCACAACGATATCTTACTCATATTGGATAATGTGGAAGATATGTTAGTGCCAGAGTTAAAAATGAGCTTTCTGAAGTTTATAAGACTCACAGGTGAAATGGCTCCACATGTGAAGATGATTGTTACTTCCAGAGTAGCACTAAAGTTCATTTCCTTCAATATGAAGAATGTTCCAATTCCTGCATTAAACAAGAGAGAAGCAGCTCAGTTGATACGTATATTTGCACCCCAAGAGATCACTAATTCTCATGCTGAGTTGTTGGGTCAGCATTGTAAAGGAATTCCATTACTAATTCGAGCTGTAGCATCATTGCTTGAGACTAATGTTGATCCTGAATTGTTAATTCAAGAGTTTCAACGCTCACCAGGGACAACTCTCAAGGGTATTGGTTGCGTAGGAATGCCACCTGAGTCTGACTTGTATCCATGTTTGAAGATCTGTTTTGAAAGGCTGTCTGCAGAGTTACAACGTCACCTTGTTGCATTATCAGTGTTTCCCTCGTCTTTCAAAATTTCGGACACAAGTTGCGTACTCCGTGATATCTCAGACCTGCAACGACAAATCGTCATCACTCAACTTGTTGATAATTCCTTTGTCAGACCGGATACCGAAGGCCGAAGCTTTTATGCCGTCCATAGCATTGTCCAAATTTTCTGCCAGGAACTCCTTAAGGAAAGCAAGGAACTGAAAGAATTTTATGACGCTGCTTGCAACAACTTTAATTTGTACTTTTTGTCTTTTTTACATGATTTGAATGAGAAATTTTATCGAACTGGTGATGAACTTAAAACTGCCATGATTGCCTTTGAATGCAACAAGAATAATATTTTTCGTGCACTTGAGAGTGCAATTCATGGAAATACGCTGGTAAAATATGTAGCGGATCTACTAAACTCTTCGTTCAAGTTCTTCACTGTGAGATTATCGTCAGATGAATTTCGACGTCTCTATAGAAGTTTGCTTGATGTTTTTGACAACCCTAAGGACAAGAAACGTTATTGTCACTCTTTAGTTTCCCTGGCTTTTCACCAATTCTGGGTCATGTGTTCTTGTCATCGACCTTGTCCGAAAGCTACCAAGATGTTTAAAGAGGCTTACAAGATGCAGAAAAATCTGGGACTTACCAAGAGTGAACAATATGCGGAATGTTTGAGTAAAATAGCAAGAGCAAATGCGTTTGATGGAGATTTAGCTACATCTGTTGCAATGGTTGATGAAGCAAATACAATTGTTGAAGAAATTGGATGTAGTAACCTTGCAAAGATGTCAGTGATTAATGATTATGCAGGTGACTATATTTTCTTTTCTGTTTTGGTTTAAATTTTGTATGACTGCCTTCTACTAATGATACCTTTAAATATTTAAAACAAAAAGCTAGCAATTGATTTCTATAGGTTTGTAAATAATATATACGAGAAAGTGCTTGAATTGAAAAGTGTTTCAGAATTTCACAAAATATACAAAGAAAAGTTAATTTCAAACATATTTGATGAATTTCTCATATATTACCATTTGAGAAAGAAATTTAAAATTCCCTTTGGAGGTCGCTTTTCAGTTTCATTTTAGTGAGGTATATTTTGGAAGAGCTTTTGCACAAAATGTACATTTTGACTTTTTAGTTTTTGCTTGGAGTTTTCATGTGAATTTTTTTAAGACAATTATTTTTATGCAATGTACATAGCTGTGTACAGCTTCAAGGAGCACCACAAGACTGCCATCAAGCTACGAGAAGGATTCCTTCCGACAGCTAAGGAGTTTTTGACAGATCATCCTTCAGTTGGTACTCTCTATGAAGAGCTGGGTAGCTCTTACGAGGCACTGGGTGATGCCCAGAAATCTATGGAATGTAGAAAAGAAGCAATAAGGATCTTTGGAGGATTTCTGGGTGACCATAAGTTCACAGCTACCTCCTATCTTGGTTTGGGAACCACTTTGAAATCTCAAGGTAGGATCTTTTCCCAGTTTTGAACTCGTCTATTTTGCATCAATTTTTTCCAAGTTTCAAAGTGTGTTTTGGGAGTACTGGAGTATGGAAAATCACTTTCTCACATCAAAAAATACATTTCATGTGATAAAAATGTGTTTTAACGTTCTTTAGGTAACTACGAAGAAGCCCTCGTAGTTCTTCGAAAGGCGCTGGACATTCAACGTAAAACCATCGGGCCACACGTGGAAACGGTGATCACTAGTCAAGAAATTGAGAAAGTTCTTGAGAAACTAGGACGGAAAAATGAAGCAAAAGAAGCAGCAAGGTTTTCTGATAAACTCATGGCTGACCAGAAACGAATTGAGAGAGCAATGGAAGATTTTGAAATTTGAAATATCCGTGGAAAAAAGCGATGATTATCATCCAGAAAGCACTTGGACTAATAATTGAAGGTTTTGTAAAAGAAGATATAATTATCAGACAGAGCACAAGGCGTTTTTAGTTATAGATTTACATAGGCCTGACATTCTGACATCTTTTTAGTGTTTTTTGTTTAAGTCTTATCATGCACGCACCTCCGTGAACCTAGCGACTACTACCAGATTTCTCGAACTCAAATATGGATTTCGTATTATCTTTGTTGCATTACCGGTTGATGCTAATGAAATGTGTTTGAAAAATGTGCTGATCGTATATGTTTTTAACGTGAAGAAAAATCCAAATTTTGCTGCTTATTTTTCATTAGCGATCGATGAATGTGCCTCCGTGCATATCATGTGCTAGGTGGATCAAACACAACAGTCGTAGATTGTAGAAAGCAAGCATTGCAATTAAACAAGTTTATGTGAATGGTTATAATAGGTAACTTACGTGTAATTTAGTTTCCCCAATAAAACTAAATGTGAATTTAATACTTAATAATAATGATAACAAGAATTTTTTTATTGGATTGTTTTCTGCAGGCAACAGGTGGTGATGAAGAAATGGTTAAGTCGTCTCAAAATTATTCGGGAAAAGCTCCGTTACGGCGTTAGGTTAGAGTTTATAAAGCAAAAAGTCTGATGAACTGCTATGATTATATTTGTAATGACCTGCTATCTTTTCGGCCGCTACCGCAAAGCTATATTTACATAGGCCACAAGTAGACTTTAACCTCATTCTGTTTCATCCAATACGTTTCACTTGGTCTAAGACTTATGCCGCTAATCTTCTGTAACTTAGCAACTGCGTCGGTTTGCAAAAGATTATTTAAATATGTGTAACATATATAAGCCTCTTGGCACATGGCAACGGTCATACGATAATTGTTACATTGTCCAAGGTGGTGCTGTGCTACACGGTATTATCCTATACAACACGGTGTTGACTTCCAACGTGAATTTTTGTTAAGAAGAGGCATCTTCCGCAATGGCTAGAGCTTTCAAAGTTCCGGTTCCCAAGTCGTATAATAATGTCACGGAGGCAAAGCTAGTTCAGAAAGGCAGTAATGTTTGGGTCCAGTTACCAGCAAATTTGGTGACAGACTCAAAAATGTGTCGACGATCAGTTTATATGGATGATTTTAACTCAAAGCCGTTTCATCGATATAGAAATGTCAAGCCTAAAATTACGACCCGACGATCCACTTGTCCACAATCAAATAAGGTAATGAATGAACTCAATTCGTTGTGTCAAATTTCACTTAATCTTCTGTGTAAGTTTCGGATTAACTGTCCTATTGTCTCTATAGTATAGTTCTTCACCATTTAGACTTTGGACGAATGTGTATTTCTTTTGTTTATGGCGTTTCTTTTTTCTCTATATTTAATTGTTAAAACTAAACATTTTACATTCCTTTTACGAAACATGTTTTGAGAGTTTATCAGTTCTCTTCAACGTCTTTGTTTAAATTAAAAACAATTATTGTAACAAGACGATTTTGCTTCGAAACAGGCGATTCTTTAAAATTATTTTTGTGTCATGTTTTTCATTTTTAGTACCTTTATCGCCTACAAAAGTAATCTTATACACGTCTTTTAAAATTTCATAATTCAGGAGTTTTCGTATCCACGCGAACATTTGGTACCTGGTTACAGTGACACAAATCATGCAGGACTCGTTAAAAAAAGTGATTTGAACTTGAACACCAGTAGAAAGTTCGGGGAGCCTTCAAACAGTTTTTACGAAGGTAATATACACTGTTTTATAATAATGCTTGCTAATGAAGTCAGCCTCAAATACAGATATAGCGTCTTCCGTATTTCAAATAAAACGTCTTCAATTTTTTGAGGAAATCCTTCCCTTTTGAGGAAATCCATCCCTTCCCGTTGTTGGACTGCTGACTTTAATTCTTTGTGTTCATATTGCAAACATTTATCACTTGCTGGTGTTTAGTACAGAATTAGAATAGTTGTGTTTAGTATAGAGCCTTTCGTGCATGGACATAGTTGTTTCATGAAATGAAGAATCTCGCAACGTTTTTCACAACTTATCAAACTTCTAGTGGAAAAAGCAAATGTTTATAGCTTGATTAAAACGATTTACTAAGTGGCTGTATGTGTGTGTTTATTTCTTGTGTGCTATAAAGTGAATTGTATTTTTATCAAACATGGTAACTTGGTTACAAATAAAGTTTTGTTTTAGTTAAAGTTGAATGTCATCGACTCGGACAGATCACCTGTTTCGTGTTAAATATTTATAGCCTATCTCAAATGATCTAAATATATATAAAGCTTTTTAAACTAAATAAAAGCGGCCTATGCTAACTTGGAGATGTCTTTCAACGTCACTTTAGGGATGTCAAAGGGAAAATATTACGAAGGAATGAAGCATACAAGCAGCGAACCGGTAGGTTTCTTGGTTATATTGCTCTTAATTTAGAAATGTTTGGAATATCTTGGGTATTTTTTTTTAAATGGCACAGATGGTCCTTGATGTCTCATGCACTCAGATGGGAGCAAACAGCTCGAACTATATTTCTAAATTTTTGATCTTCTTATGTACGAATACATGATTGCTTTTCTCATTTATGTTTTAATTCGTGTTATAGATTCAAGCGTTTTTGCCAGTAATGAGTGGAGATGCCTCAATGAGTCATCATTATTCTGGCACCCCTATTTATGATACAAGAAAACTTTCAACAGCAAGGTCATATAACGACAAAGCAAGAGATGCTTTACCTGGTCTTGGAGGAGGTGCTTTGGACACTTTTCCTGTAAATGGTAAGAGTTTCCTGGCGTGATGTTTAATGTAATGGTCCAGGAATTCCAGCTCATCCACTGAGCAATCATGCCATTTTCCTTTCAGACACAATAGATGGGGGAAATTTTCATGAAAATCCATACATGAGGCCAGATTTGGTGAATTATGAGGTCAAAAGGTCTGCTTCTCTTCACACGCCAGGACGGAGCCTTTCTCGTTCCAAATTCGAAAATTTTGATCCAGCAGCTAATGTTCCTCTAGATCCTTACTCGAGTTTTGAGAACTCCGCAAAACGGCATGAACTAGAAATATTGACAAAGTAAGTCTTTGCCTGCCTTTTGGGAACATATTAGTAAACGATTTGATTGTCGACTTTTGCAAACTTTAGGTTTAAAATTCTTTCCTAACAATTCTGTTGATATTTTCAGAGCAGAGCCAAGAGCAGTCCAGTTTGGTGAACCTAACGTAGATCACCTCTACCGGACATCAGGGTGCACAAGTGGCTACAAAGTAATTGCCCCCACCTATGAAAATACTAACGGCACTTTTTCTCATACTGGGGGTAATTTCAGAGGATCATTTACCGTAGCTCCAGATTGGGTCTCGGAAAGAAAGAAATCCGTTGTTCTTCGGCATTGAACGAAGAAATCAAATTTTTTATCATTTTACTCATTTTCAACTTGCAAAGTAAATACAGCATTTTGCTGATTTTTTTGCAAATGTTTTTAATGACATTTTCGGGTGGTGCGTTAGGCCGATAACGGATTTAAATTATTAATTTTAATGATTTTTTAAAAGCAGAAATGTCTATGAAACCAATACAACATGACGATAAGGCTACCATGTACAGTATTTAAACCAATCATGTTATTTAATATATATTGTAAATAAGCGAATAAGGTAATAAAACGATAAAAGTGATCGATAACAGTGATAAAATTGTGATAAATAGATAAGAGTGATCGATAACATCAATGTTCGCTCCCAGTTCCCTGCACGTGGGAGATTCGTGTCTGAATAAATCCAAGATGGCGAACAAACGCATGGTTTACGTTGGTGGTTTAGCCGAAGAAGTTGATGAAAAAATACTCCATGCAGCTTTGATTCCGTTTGGAGATATCACAGACGTCCAAATACCTTTAGATTATACAACACAGAAACATCGTGGGTTTGGTTTTGTTGAGTTTGAGCTACCTGAAGATGCGGCTGCTGCCATAGGTATGTATGAACTTTGTTAGGTTCAGCAAATTCCTTATCAAAAAGCACGATTGATTTATTCCATTTTCTTTAGATAACATGCATGAATCAGAGTTATTTGGTCGGACTATCCGAGTAAATCTGGCGAAGCCAATGAGAGTGAAAGAGGGCTCGTCAAGAGCAATATGGAAAGATGATGCTTGGATGTCTAAACATGTTGGTGAGACTCTGGAGTTAGATAAAGGCAATGAGAATACTGAATCAGGCACTGGAGAGTCTGTTGAAACTGGTAACACCAGTGAAACAAAGCGAAATTACAAAGTATATTTTGACATAAAGATTGCAGAGCGTAATGTTGGAAGAATAGCGATGGAGTTACGAAATGATGTTGTTCCAAAAACGGTTGAAAATTTCCGTTGCCTTTGTACTGGAGAGAAAGGGTTCGGGTACAAAGGCAGCCAGTTTCATCGAATTATCCCGCAATTTATGTGTCAAGGTGGGGACTTTACCAAAGGAAATGGAACTGGGGGGAAGTCGATTTATGGAAAAAAATTTGAAGATGAGAACTTTGTCCTGAAGCATACAGGTCCTGGAATGCTCTCCATGGCCAACTCTGGTCCAAACACAAACGGATCACAGTTTTTTATAACAACTGAAAAAACAGAATGGCTTGACAACAAGCATGTGGTCTTTGGCAGTGTTATAGATGGTATGGATGTCGTTCGGAAAATGGAGACAACTGGTTCCGCATCCGGGAAAACAAGCAAGAAGATTGTGATTGAAAATTGTGGACAACTTTGAATCATTTTATTATTAGTTGTTACAAGTACAGTAAACACACTATTGTATTTTAAAGTTCAGTTGAATGTATTTTTCATTCTATTCTCTGCTTTTTCTTGTCTACTATATGCACTTTTTGGTAACAAAGTACCTTGTCATGGGGGTAAATTGTTAATTAAACTGTTCTAATTGGCTTACTCTAATTTCTAATTGATAATAGGTAACAAAACCATAAACTTGTTAGCTCTAAAGTGTATCAGATCTTGGTGCGATAAATTCCTCCTCTTCATCATCATTGCCATCTTCATTAAGAAGTAATTTGTCAGACTGTTCTAATTGACTGTTTGCCATATTATTATTCCATCCTCGGTTTTTTCTAACTTTGTTTACTTTTCTATTACTCAAGCAAATTGCTGTTGCACAGGTCATGATGCCAAATGCAAAGAACAATGACATCACCATTACCCCAACTAAGATTGGACTCATTGATTGATTTGCATCATTTAAAAGTGGCTTTACTGCGCTGTAGGAACCATTGTTTGGGTTTGGGTTGATTTTCAGCAGTTTGCACATCAGTGGGTACAGGTCAATTGTGTTGAAAACTTCTTTTGAGTGGTAGCCTTTTTTAAATGCTGGACCACGGGCAAAAAATATCGGCCACATCAAAGGGAAAGTATTGAGGTAACCATGTGACCCTTTGAACTTCATGTGAAATGTTGCGGGATTGATAGCGAAAGTCCATCCTTCATCTGCGGTAAGCAAAATTGGTCCTATACGACGGTTGTTGTAATAGTGAAATTCTTTTGGAAAATTTTCTTTAAGCCATACTTTCATGTTTGGGTGATGGTTTGCTTTTAATTTCTTGTAGACTTTATCTTTCATTCCTTCTTTAGGCCAAACAAAATTAATGTGTTTATTGCCATTGACCATACACTCTGATGTATTAAGATAATTTGTGATATTGATTACTTTGCTCTTTGAAATATTTGCCATTCCATGATCAGCAGTCACGATAATATTCCACTTATCCAGCAAATTGTTTTGTCTCAACTGCTCGATGATGTAACCAGTAATATTGTCATTATTAATGACTTCTTGTAATGATTGTGGTGAACCAAAGCCATTGTGATGTCCTGCATGGTCAAGCATACCAAAGTACATCATTAAAAGATTTGGTGGTTTTTCTGACTTTAACCAGGATAGTGCTAAATCAACTTTATGCTTGTATGATATTTTTGTATTTTTATTCCAATATTTTGGGGTATAATTTTGAATATTATACCCTGGCCACCATATAACTCCACTGGTACCACCCTGACGCTCATTTGTGTACCATAAAGGCTCAATGCCTTTATGCCACCACCACTTAGGGTCAGTTACAGTCATATTGAAAGTATCATTGAATTCAGGGTCGTACATATTGTTTGCTATTATCCCATGTGTTTCTGGATACAGCCCAGTAGCAAGGGAAATATGATTTGGAAATGTTTCTGTAGGAATGACATTAATCAGATAGTCAGCGTATACTCCTTGATCCTTGAAAGAGTTCAAAACTGGTGTCTTAACTAAATCCAGATATTTCCAGCCAAATGAATCGAACGAGATTAACAGAACATTATTTTTGTTTTTGTAGTTATCGTTGTCCTTCAAATTCGTGCTCTCTGCGGCAGCGACAGTAGATTTGACTGGTTTGGCTTCGTGAGCTGGTGTGGCGTTCAAGTTCAGTATCAGGCAGAACGTAAGGTACAAACACCTCATTTGTTGCATATTGGATTTTCACTGAAATGTTGACCGAATTCGTAATATTTTAAAAGCCAACTGTTACAAAAGATATAGAAGCTCTTTGTTGACACGACGATCTATTATTATGCTTCAAAGAAATTATACATGAATTAATGAATACTTATGATTTATATTCGCGCACAGCTCACCCAAGCAAACCTCGTCTAGACAAATTAGTTAGAGAACCTCACTTACAGTTTTGTCACATAGCGAAGTTTCTTACAAATATGTTCGAAGTAGGTACGTTTTTAAAAACGACTCTGTCGGCTCCTGCTCAAAATTATTCTACAATAATTACTAAAATTCAATTTTACACTACAAGTACAATCATTTTTAGATCTTCCTTCATTGAAAATGCAACACCAGTCCTGACCGACGCCGCAAAAAAAAATCTCATCATGCCAAAACTAACTAAAGGTAGGTGAAACATCAAATTTTGTAATATTCTAATTTTTAAAGCCAACTACCGGAACATAATGTTCATTTTACAGCCCTGAACGTATTTACAGCAGTTAGACTTTAATAATACCGTCCATGGATCTATCATTAACCTATTTCTTTTTCTGACTATCGACTTTGATGGCATGTCGGGAGATGGTCTTGTTCTTGTCTGAGTATTTCTTGTCATCCCCTCTGTGTAAGATATACAAACACATTACTCCCATTAGCTTTCCCATGACTCTATAATATCACACTCCCTCAATCCTCTCTATGTTAATAATTCCATTGTACCTGCTCATCTTTATCTTGTTTCTACAACCTTTCCCTCCTTCCCAATGGCTGGTGTGAATCGCTGTCATTGATGACTTGCACGAGACACAGTTGTTTTGACTGAATGGCTGTCAAAAGAAGAAGATAATCTATATTTGTGCAAGACGGGAAGTCACATCATACAAGGAATTATTGTACCTGTTCTTTGGAACAGTGACCACAGATCATTCTTGTCGCTTGCTCCATATCGTGTTCACGTTCAGCATCTTCGTGACATTTATCGCAAGGATAGCATTTCCCGCAACAAGGAAATCGCATCCATCTGTAGCTCTTCTTGTAATGCTTACAAGTTCCGTTCTCTGGAAGCGCTTGGCCATGCTTGATGGGAGGGTCTTTGTTCCTCGTAGTTTTCTGAAGTTGAACTCTTTTAATTTTTTCACCTGCGCAAAATATAGGACATAAGATTTGTTAAACAATGGTGCATCATGACATCGTCTTCGAAAAAACTCTTCGATAACACTCGTTCATTTCTGTTCAGCAGTTGCCAAACTAAATCTGATATAACTTAATGTGAGACTGTGAGTTACGCGAAAACGACGCTGGACTTGAAACCTTTTGTTTCTTACTATCTGGTAACAAATCCTGAGCAAAAAGTGATATAGATCTATCAATCTGTTACAAATATTTTTACCAGAAACTAAAGCGATATCAGGTCGTAGTTGATAAAATCTAGCTGTTTCTATTTTCATGTCCAATTTCTGATGGCAATGGTTACACCACACATTCTTTGTCGAGCCATAGGTGATGCCCTGAAAAATAGATGAAGAAAACGTGAATGATTCACCCAATTGACCCAAAGACAGAGCTAAAAAAATCAAACCTTTGTTGATGTATCTTTGCTGCAGTTGAGACATCCAATGATTAATTCACACTCTGACAGAATGAGATCAACTGGTAAACATCTGCAAAAGAGGATTCATGTTTTAAACTCAAATCGTCTCAGGTTAATAAGGAATAGAAAATTTCATTTACAATTATTCTCACCCTTGAGGATCCATGTATGCCACTGTAGTGGAGTTTTGATGCACAATTTCAGAACTTGTAATAGTAATGCTTTGGTCATTTGAACATTTTGAGCAGGGAAGAACCATTTGCATACTACAAACCAAACACTAATAAGGTAAATATCTGACAGAACATTATCTTCTAAAACACAACCATAAACCTACTTCTCCATACAATTTGGCATCTCTTCTTTATTCTTGCAACGGCCACATTGAACAGTGAAAAACAATGATTTTATTCTAACAGTTGCTGTATTCTCATGAAGTTCCATTCCTTGAAACCTGATCTCTGTCCCCTTCTTTGAATTATGTGTTTTTTTTGCCTCTATCATTTCAAACATAACACTTTCAGGCTTACTATCAACTTCTTTATCTTCAGCATCAAATTGTGATGCACTTGTCTTAACATTTTCCAGGTTAGATTCCAAATCTTGCTTATCATTAGGATTAGAAAGCTCAGTTTCCTCTTTGGAACTTCCACCAACAACTTTATTGTCAAATGTAATAAATTGAAGTCCAGCTGCTTGGGCTTCCACCTCAAATTTTATCTGAAAAGAAAAGTGATTGAATCAATATTGCTTGTGCTGTTGTGCATAGACCTAGTAAATGCTTGGATTAAAGATATGTCTATATTGGACAAATTACTAGATATCTTTGTATTTAAAAAGTTAAAGGTTGTACCATATATTGAAGGGGTGTCCAAATTAGCAAGGTTTTTACCTCAAGGGGATACATGCATGTCAGAGTTGTCAATTCCGGAGATTTGCCCATGCTAAAGAGTAATTTTTATCATAGTTGCATGACTACATGCAACAGTTACCTGCTTCAATGCTTTTGTGAAGAGATCCTCTAAGTTTCTATCAAGCCATCTGAGAAATGGCCGAAATAAAAGGTCAGAAGAGTCTCTGAGTTTCTGGGCATCAGCATGCTCTTTCAAATGTTTGGCAATGTCATCATTGATGTATCTTTAAATTTATATAAATGTATGTTAGATGACTCTGAATTACCAACATAAAATGTATTAGATTTGCAAAAAATTTAATGACATACTCAGTAAAATATGGTGGAAATAAGCCATCATCATCTATAATTTCTGCTTGGAAAATCTGTTTGTGATACATACATCACATAATTAGGATTACATGTGAAAAAGTGTATTTGCAAATTAACACAGAGAATGCCATCAATTGTTTTAATTACCTCTCTTGGATAATTGTCTGGGAATGTGATATTCATTGAAACTTTATTTATATCATAAGGCTAAAAGATTAAAGGAAAGATTTGCTAAAGGTAGGATGACATTTTGAGTAAAAAGAGTATAATTTTTAATAATTTATTCCTACCCAGTCTGGATCCGATGGTTTTATTGTAAACATGCAAATGGTTCCATAACTCTCATAATTTATTTTCAAACTGTCATTAAATCGTTTCTTCAATTGCTCCAACTCAATTTCCTGCAAATACTTTACATCTTCCAGTGATAATTCTGATAATTTTTCACTTAAATGTTCTGGTCTCTTTCTAGGCTTTGAAACATGTGCTTGCCCTGTTGGTCCAATGAATCCAAGCATTTTGTTCTGAACAGGGCTTTCTTCAATAATGACTTGATCATTAGAACATCCTTTTTCAGGTATTTCTCTATTGATAGTATTGAATGTTTTGTTAACTGATTTCTCTACTCTTGTCTTGTGTAAAAACCTGCATTTTTCACCAAATCGACAATAGCCACTTCTGTGGAAGTTTCGGCAAACCGGTTTCCTTGGTTTTGGTTGTGTTTTACCCTTGTTATCATGTGACCTGTCCAGAACACTTTTATCTTGTTCTGAGCATATTTCCTCATCTTCAAAATACTTTTTTGGTAAAATTTCAAAAGCTTGTATTGTTTTAACATCATCAGTGTTTGTCTCTTTGTTATCTGCCTCATGATCATGCCGATAACGACATTTCTCACCAAATCTGCACCCACCAACACGGTTGACATATTTACATGTTGTAGAAGTAGCAGATTTTGTTCCACAAGATGTTGTAGAAGTATCCATTATGATTTAAGATCGTGATCTTTATGGTTAAGAAAAAAAGATGTTCTTCCCCAATAGCTGTTTTAAAACCATTAGAGCAACATCTGTACAATATTATATAACTCCAGTGTTGCAATTATATGGTGCAACAAACACTGATCTATATAGTAAACTGGTTCCTTTCCATCAAGGTGGTTAAACTTGCCAAAATATGACTGCTATTGAACAAGAAAATATTCATGGAGAGAATATTCGACGTTTATAGACAAGCGATATAAGAAGTTGATGTGAAAGATTTGCGTTATCCCAGGTATAGACGTATAGCTCAGTGGTTATTTACAAGTGTTATTAGTGTTATTATTATTATTAACTCTTCGTAATTTATTATAATTTATTCGTGTATTTCGCGGACTAATCCCAGACTTCCGGTATCCAGAGAAACAGCCGGAGGTGAAGATATTTTTGATATGGTTTCACTTTTACGTTGTCCAAAAGAATTAAGGTATGTGTTTTGTAATATATGCTGTATTTTGAACATTTCATACGCTTCTTTTACTTGTTTCTTACCTATGAATGTGCGTGTATGACAACGTTTCGTTTTTCGTAATTTGTTGATGGAAAATGCTGTTGTCTTTTGGGGCAAAAACAATTCTTGCATTTCAACTCCGGTAGTATGTAAAAGCTGCGAATTTGTTTGTCCCGCTTTGGCGTTTTGTGTTTATTTTGGAATTTAAAGTTGCTTAATATAAGTGCAATGTAGAATATTGTGAAGAGGAGTATTGTCTAAGTTGGTATAATTGTCGTTATACTAGGTTCTTTAAAGGAAGTTATTTATTAGACTTCAGACAGTATTTGTGTGGTGTCTTATGACTCTTATGGCTATTTGAAAGTTGATACAGTTGAACCGGTTTAATCTCGCAATTGTTTTTTTTGTTGCTATAAAAATGACGGGGCTTTAACAATTAAAAAGGGTAAATAAAGAATAGAACCAAGTTAGCTTATAAATATACTTTGTATTAAAATATTTAAATGCTCTGAAAAGAATTGTTATAAATAATGCTCAGAAAAGTTGCTGAATTGCAATTGAATATTGGAACCAATAAACTTTTCTCCTTTTAGCTTTTAACCATGCAATGTGTGACAGTAGTTGATTATCAGAAGTTTTTAACAAAGAAGCAAAAGAATCGGCAAGGTTTTCTTACAAAGAAAATTGCTTCCAAGCAGAGCGATATCGGAACTCAAAGTTGCTTGATAATCACCTACCGTCACACATTACGCACTTGAAAGCTAAAAGAGGAAAGGTCTATTATTAGAATCACATATCAAACAAAAATGTCACTTCAGTGTTAAAAAAAAAGTATTTTATTAACAAGTATGGTCAGGAAAAATGTGTAGAAGTTTCCTTAATGTGCTAATGAATGTTTTAATTTTTAGAGATGATATCAGATGATGATGATTATTTCTTCTTTGAAGATGATTACTACACAGAGTCAGATAATGATTGGTATGATGATGATGATGTTGACTTTGATGAATATGCTGCAATGTATGGAATGGGAGACAGCGATCACATGGACTATGAACCAACTCGTCTTCCACAAGAACTAACTGACCAACAAGCTGTGTACAAGGAATTAGGCATTTCCAACCCAAACAATGATCCAAAAAATCCTCTTCCATTACTTGATATTTGTGCCAGTAAGATTGCTTTGAACTTTCCATTTGCTTATATTGAGGATCGACACCCACCAGTTCCTGAGAATGTTCAGCTGAAAGTCATTAGTTATTCCTTTCCACAAGACATGCAGAAAATAAAACGATATTGTTCACTAAATAATGGTTCTTCTGGGGAATTTGATAAAGCAATTAAAAATTTGAAGTCTGTCAAAGATTTAACCCAAATTGGTAAGTAAACTATGCTAATATGTGAGCATCTTTCAATTACATGAAACAGGGCTTGTCCCATCAAATTAATTCAGGAAATAATTGCTAAGTTGTCTGCTCACTACTGTTTGTTTATGTGTTTACTGTGTCTTAGGTTTTCATCTGAGTGCCAATGTTGAAACTCGAAGCTATCGCGAGGTATGGCATGGTGGCCCACCTGGGAAGAAGGCTCCTTATTTGTATGTCAATGTCAAATTTGACCGTGGAAAAATTATTGACACTAATTGTCCCTGTGAAACCAACAGCAGTTGGTGTTATCATGTGATAGCTGTGTGCTTATGCAGAATCTTCCAACCGGAAAAGTGTGAAATGAAACCACCGTTATCAGACTCTTTGAACAATCTTACAACCTACGCTCAGCTAAGAACATTTACACAGTATCTTATTGCAGAATTTAGTGATCGACGTATTGTTGAGTCAGCTCAGAGTGTTTTAGACAGAATGATCAAACCTCAGATAGATGATGCTATTAATGAAACATGGGGTGCTCCAGATCCAACAGCAGGACCCGGTGAGTTGAGATGCGTTAACATGTGAACCTTAATTATAGCAGCATGATTTCTGGACCATGTCATGAAGTATTGTTATGTCCCTGTATGAATATATTTTCATTGATGCCCTAGGTTTTGAGGAACTGGCACAATGGTTGATCTGTGAAGAAGGTTTGAAGACGCGATGTACGGTATTAATCCAGAACTCTGATGTCACTGAAGGATGCTGGGCAACAAGTCTTGGGGACTCTGATGATCAGTTTGCATCTGTGTGGGATAGATGGAGATCAAGTCAGATAGAAAAACCTGTTATTGAAGGTAGAAAATTAAATATTTGCGGTTTGAAGATCATATAATTATATCATCAGCACAGGGCAGTATAACAAGGCGGCAGCAGTGAATACACTGTGGTGGAGCATCAAATGTGGTATAACAACTGCCTAAAATAGACAAAAACCATTTTCAAAGATTCTACTTAAGGGCCTTCGTCAGGAGAATTAGTATGAAAGTATGAGAGTCATATTAAATATCCTAGTTAAAGGGCTTGTCAAAGAGCAAGGAAATGTCAAAACGTCAGGAAATGTTTTTCTTTATTTTATCCCAGAGCAACTGTCCAATCTCAATGTTATCACATGTGTTATTAATCTGGAATTTCTTCTTTCAATAGATTACTTCAACAATCTTGAAGCAATTCCTGGTAATATTTTATTCTCGTATAATCATTACAAGAAAACATATTCCCGGGAGAAAAGTCAAGAGATAACGAAATTTCTCAAGAATTGTGAAGAATTGCTCATCGATGACTTTGGGTACTCCCTTAAAGCAGTCCAGACGTTTACAGTTCAGTTGATGGATAATATTGAAGAGCGTAACAAGAGAAATTCATATCGAGTTGGGAGAGAAAAGTTTGAGAGTAACTTGCATCTTGGCTGTATACCAAGACCTCAAGAGTATGTTGTCTTTTAGTTAGGGATAAATTCATTTACGGTCAAGATGATATAATTTAGAAAAAGCTCTAAGAGATTTGTGTTTATCATATTTCTAGCTGTTGGTTATTTCGTGATCAGCTTGCTAGGTTATGGCGACTGTTGGTTTTAAACCCTTCAATTTCTGCCAGAAATCGTGAAGAAATATTTACAACGTTGGAAGTGCTTGAAGCGAAACTACGTAAGTTCATTATTTAGTTTTAATAAAAATACCAAATATCTTGGTGTCAGCATTTCAAGCGCTAAATGTTGTGTCGTATTATTGATAGACCCTTCAGACGGCAAGAAACAGTTCATAGAATGGGACTCCCCTCAACATATTCAACAGTTGAAGAACTTATCCTGGGAGTCGTTGCAGCTCTCTGATGATCCGTTTAAAAGCAACAGTACCTCGGAGATCAGTGTATTGAAGTCAACTGCGATAGAGTATGGCAAAAATCTCACAAAGATGAACTTCTCTGACACTTCTGGCCAATTCCCGTACCCAGTGGAGCTCAGATGTGGCGACTTTGTCTCTTCTGTGACGATGTATTGTTACTTTATTGAAGCGTTGGTAATTTATGGTAAAAAAGAACAAGCTGTTGATCTGGCAATGAATTTAGCTCTGGCTATAATCAGATACTACAGTGCTTGGTTGGAGGTAAGCTATTCTCTGGCGTTTGTTTGGAGTCGAGGGAATTAGGGCCATTTTTCTGTTGCTGGATTAAATTTTGATAGGTCAATTTTGTATCTTCACTTTCGATTGTTCATAGAACGATGGGGTTATTCTTGCTGAGACTTGTTACGGCTTTGCGCAGAGCTTTGATCCGTCCACGTTCATTTGTAAAGTAAAAAATCTCACAATTTAATCCTGTGTATGTTTCGTCTTAGGGAAGCTCGCCTTCAGATGTACAGAACACTTTGTGTGTAGACCATGATGAGAAACACGAGAACGAGACAGGCAAGAAAGCCAAGGGGAAAGGAAAGAAACGACAGACTAGAAAACGAGGAAGATCAGGTAATGTTTCGTTTAAGAAACGACAGGTTAGAAAACGAAGAATATCAGGTCATGTTTCAACACATTCTCCCTCAGCTTATATTTGTGCATTTTTCTTTTTTCTTGTAGGCTCAAAAAAGACGGGAGACGAAACCGTTAAATTCAGTCCAAACGAAATGCTGTTTGATCAAACTAAAGGAATCATACCAATCACTTCTATTGCATATCTCATGTTCATTTTGGATGAAAATCAAGATCTGCTCGCTGAAATGTTGAAACTGGTGAAGCTAAGAGGTCTGGGATTGAGCGAAGACGAGCTTATGGAGTGTGATGACGTCACAAACGATGCTAAGTCTCTGATATTCCGTATTGGTGTAGTGGGTGTTGCTATGCCTAAGATACAAGCTGCTTCACTTCAGATACAGGTAGGTTCTTTAGAGCAGACATCGTATATCCTGGCTTTTAAGGTCCGGAATAAAAAAGATCGAGCCCGATGTTTTTGTGACAAGTTTCTCGTTATTGTCTTAGGTCGAGTGGTTCAATTGGGATGTGTATGTTTCTCAGAAACTGCTGCAGTGTACGCCATCAACTGGTGACGTGGAATTTCTTAGAATGTTCACACTTCGCATGCACACCCTACGTGAATTTGGTTTCCATCCATCTCATGTTCTTGTCACAAATCTCTTTCATCATGCTTATAAACCTGGTGGCAGAAACTACGATGAAGACATCAGTATTGTATTGGGAACCATATCTGCGTTGCCATGGAAATCAAATTCAATGAGCCTGCATTACAGAACTTTCCTGGAGTGTTTAAGACGACATTGGGTGAAACTGGTGGAAATTGTTCTATGTCGTGTTAGTGCGAGTTCAATTGAGTTAAGTGATGCACTGAAGTGCGTCTGTTCGGCGACCGCGATGTTTGGTTCGACTGATGACGATTGTTCGGATAAAACTAGCAGAAAGGGAACGGCTCGAAACAAGAAGTCAACGGAAAGTTCTGAGCACTCTGGAAAGTCAAATAGCGTGGCACAAAATAAGAAGATTGTTCAAGATATGTTAATCGAGAAGGTTGTTGCTAATCTCTACCTGGCGTATGTGTTAGTCAGTCATGCAGACAGTTTAAAACAAGATACTGCATCCGAAAAGCGTGTTGTTGCCAGTCGTAAAACTTCACCAAAGCTTGTGAATTTAAAGATCATAATGGGAAAGTGGAGATTTCCAACCGAACAACAACAAAGACTGTATGAGACAGCCGTCACACTTGCATGTCGTTCGTTTGCTGTGAAGAACTTCACGTACTCTCAACTTGACATGATTAACAGCAGTCACGATTATAATTTCATCGAATTCATGCAACGAAGTTTAAAGTAAGTGAGCTTTCAATGAACTACTAGTCTTAGATTTCTTAAGTGTTTCAATACTGCTGTATCTTCTGCAGATGGATGTGCAGCATTAGTGAAAAGATCGGTGTGAAAGCGTTTGACATTATTATGGAACGACAGCGTCTTCAAACAGGATCAGCGAAATGTTTTAACGATGATGAAATTATTAAGATTTGTACCACGATGTTGGAATCTGATCAGGTCAATATGGTTTTATTCCCTTTCTTTCTCTTTGATTACTATTTTAAGTAAACATTAGTAATAGACAAACTCAACATAATTATATATATTGTTATAACTTTAACAGAAAGATGAAGATCTTGTCTGGGTGAGAGTGCGCGAGGCTTTGTTAACCTTGATATGTCCTCGTAGTCAGTCGAAGATTTCTGAAATCCTCAACTTATTTCGGTAAGTTAAATTGACAAAAACCAAGTACAAAAAGTGATCTTCAATGTAAGAGGCGTTAATTAGGTTTGCGGTTATAATTTTAGTGTTTCCGACAAGGAACAGTCAAGCAAGCAAGTGCTGCTTGTTCCCGCTATATGTAAAGAGCTCTTGTCGTATATTCCCGGCAGTTCACTCGAGGAAAGTACAAAAATGAACCATCTTTCTCGCGCGATGATTACCATGCATGGTTTGTGTAAGAAATTAGAAAATGAAGATTCTGGTGAAAGTCTTGAGGGAGTGGTGAGTTGGAAATGAAAAACCTGTATATATTTACCCTGAATTTCGTACTATGATTAAACCATCTTCGTTCCTTCATATAGCAATTAGCCAAATGCTTCTTTTCTACCACTTTTTTAAAGACACTTCTCCCCGCCACCCTTGAATGTAGAATTATTAGTACGTGATATAAAATAGATCCTATATTTCTCTTGTTCATTTTTAGAAAGAGTTATTTGCTGAAAGCTCGGCGGATAAACCTGGTACCAGTGATGATAACCAAGAAACCTTGGATCCTAACTTGCAATTATGTTTTGATCTTGCTATTGAGTCAATCAAACATATCAATGATAATTTTCGATTACGCTCAGGGTTCGAAGTAAGACGAACATTTGAAAACATGTGTAATGTCATCACTTTTGTTGCGAAGAAAGCTTCTTCTGGATCTGTTCCGGAGGATGGTAAGCAAATAAAATATATATAAATTGGTCAACATAACATTTACTCGGGAGTCCATTCATTACTACGCCCAGAATGATTCATTAAAAAAGGTTTGTTGCTTTCTTTTATCCAGCGAAAGTCAAAGCCGATCCATTTGAGGAGGTTTATATAAATCGATTCGTCGAAGCTCTTTGTAACAATGTTAAAGATTATCTTCTTCTCACAGATTTCTTTTTTGAGGTATGTTGATATAATTCGTTAAAGGATGCTACTGTTCAGATGCATGCTTTGTCCAAAATAGACTTAATATTTGTTCTTTGTTGTAAAGTCTATTTACTGCTTTCAGTTGTCTTCACGTCTTCTGGCTCTGCCACAACATGGCTCGTTTGGTCGAGATCGGGTTTTATTGAGTGATGATTTGAACTTAGGATTATTTTGCCAGTCATGTTCAAGTTTATCTGTCTTATTGAAGAGGTGAGTAAAATAACAGTCTATCGTAAACCATGCAGCTGTTTTCTTCTAAATATGCGTATGAATGATCTCGTATAAGGTTGGAATTACTTAAGTTATATTTATTTGTGTTTTGTTTAAAGATGTATAGCTGGTCTTGTTGCAATTACACAAGGTGATGATATGGAGAAGTTTATTAAGGATTCTCTTCATGATAACCCTGGCTACTGTAAAACAAGAGCAAAGAATGCAAAGTTTTACTGCGGCTCTACTCTCGTAAACTTTTTGGAAGTTCTTAAACGACTTATGAGCATCTCTCAAGAGGACGACTTTGAACCATTCTCGTATAGACTTGCGTCAAGACATGCAATTACTAAGGCAGGAATTGACGAGCTTGAAAATAAAGTCGCTAGCAGCCCTGTGGAAGAACCAGCTTTCTCGGAAAATCAGCTGATATCATCATTATTATTGAGGAGGATGTTCAGTCCTGCTTTCGCCTGTTTCGATTATGACTCGGATAATTGGATGTACTAGTTAACATTCCCGGCACAGTGTGACCCAGTCGTTGGCCGTTCTCGTCTTGTGTATGTCCTAAACTGCGGAACTTTACCCTGGGTCAATCATGTTTTCATTATAAAAGACGTTTTGCGAAGAACAAGTATTTATAAACTGGAATAAAGCTTTTTCTAGATTTAACCCTATAAAGTAAACTTAAATTGATCATGCATGGGATTCTTGAGACAAACTACAGTATGAAGAAATTATTCATTAGCCGTTGGACAGTCCTGATCCTGCGCCTAGGAATAGTATTCTATTGGTTCATATTCGATTGATTCTATCGGAGGGGCTTTTAAATATTGGACACAAATAATTGTGCTGTATTTTTGTTGAGTTAAATTTGTAGTTTTGTTCATTTGAAGGCATTGCAATGATTAATGTTGTGTTGTTTGTGTTTCATATTGCAGTCTATACGGTAGAAAGCAGTGAGAAGTGTCACTCTTCGTTGATAGAGGTTTTCAAGGGTTGTTCCTACAACAGTACAACTTTCCATTCAATCTCATATTTTATCTTTTTTTACATCCAGGCATATTAAGGATACGTTATATTCAGAACCCATAGCATCTATATGTGAAAAGTGCAAATATCTTTACAAGCAGTATGCAGTTTGAAATTGGTAAGTTACCATGCATTGTGACGATCTATGCCTACACTTTATCTTCAGTATACAACTTTATTTAAATGCTAGTGGAGTGTTTGCTTGTTTGCAATAACTAACAAATATAGAAAACTTACTGACAACATTCTAATTACAGCATACTGAAAAGTTAGAAAAGTTTCTTTCTATCGTTTTGGTTATATTAATTATGATGTTAGTATGTTTTTCCTCCCGACCCAGGTGAACTCCATCCAGTGTTGCAATACGAGAGCATAACTCCACCTTGTTCATACGCTGTTTTTGGTCTTACATTAGACTTAGATGAATGAAGTCTTTCAACCATCGCCTCGATATCTGCTTTACTCATCTCTGGTTCAACCTAGAGGAGCAAAATAACTTCAGGTGAGCGTCGTTGCAGATCAACTTCTCATCTATTTCTGCATTATTTTCGGTACGGCAACAAATTTTGTCCACTTATTACTAAGGAATAATCAAACATTCTTCCGACCCTGTGGCTACGATCTCTTCAATTAAATTATTGAAATAATTTGCCAAGCTAACAGACATTAAAACTTTGCAGTTATTGTTAGTTGAAGTCGATGAAAGTTTGTTTATATCAGAACAAACCTTTGTTTATTGTTAAAATAAAACTCACTCGTTCAGTCCGAAGTTAAGAAGTCGTACTTTGAATTTGCCATCTGCATAAAAATAGCTCTTGATAGAATTTGAAACGCATGCATCAAAGATGATTGGTTACCTTCTTGCGTCGATCAGGATTCTTTGGTTCATATGTCTTTTTTTGTGTGTTTAAACGATTTACAATCTCATCCACTTCTCCACTGCTTTTCGCCTGACTACTCATTTTGCTATCTTCTCTGCCTTTTTGTTGTGACATTGCACGTTAGTTACAAGACAAAACAACGGGTTACTTGGCTGTTTGCAGCAGCTGCACGCATGGAATGTGTTAAGGGTCGCCCCGCATGCTTTTAAAATATCTTGTGTGGTTTATTCCACCAGTTTAAGGAACTGGTGGTTTGCGATTTCTTGATGTGTGAATGTTTAGAATTTGAAAATGTTGCAGTAACTTCTCGCCCAGTCCTGGTGAAACAACACTCGAAATAATTGGGATCATTTCTAATTTTTATCCCTTTCTTCAAAAGTGGTTTCCGTTGTCCCGTTCAAATCCCGTTCAAACGAAAACACCAAGGAGACACCTTAATACGACGGTCCCGCACGGTCTCGCGTGGCGTGTGCTGCGCACTTGTTTAAAAAATGGCGGCAAGCTTTAGGAGTGAAGAAAAATCGTTTTGAATATTTTTTGCTTTAAATAACTATAATTGAAAATTTCGAGGGTGTTATGGATCAACAGCATCGAAAGGTGTGTAAAGAAATTGATATTTTAAGTTTTGTGAGAGAAAATTTGCCGTAATAGATTTCTTTTTGTGCCTATATTTATGCGCGATTTTTACGTGAAGAAGTGCATTTTATGTTTATATATACTTATAGGTTTTTGCCTGGCTTGAGCGGTTGTTTCTTGATGAACCAATGCCTGCGTTTGAGATGAATTCTAAAACAATCGATATTCTTGCGAGCTTGGTTGACATTAACACAAGGAAAGATGAAGACATGAAAATATTGTTGGAAGATCTGGCTGAGAAGAAAGAGGAATACAGGAGTGAAGGTATTTAGGAAATAATGTAAATGACTAATGGCAGGTGAACATTGACAAATGTGGCCAACAAGTTACATTTATTCACCTGTCATTAAAACAATTTTTTGTTGTTGTAATCTCAACTTATCTCAGCCCACTCTTAGGATGTTTTGTTTGGATAATTGATCTTCATATGAAACTCAGACAGACACTTGTGCCTCTTTTTCCTTAGCAAATAGAATTCAACAAATCTTGTCTCGTATTGGTGTACCTCTGAATAATCTATCTCAATCTGGTCTGACAAGTGTAAAGATTCTTAGAGATATTGCTGTGGTACTGGAACTGAAAGATATTCAGCATTCCAGGTAAACAGATAGAAAAGTTGGTTGATATTAAACCTCTTTGCATAGTTGCAATAATCTTAATCTATTCTTTCAGCTATGTTCTTGCTATCAATAAACTATTGAAAGATATTCATGATGTTAAAATTGGCAAAATCAAATCCCAGCATTATTTAAAGAAACAATTAAGAAAAACAAATAAAGTTTTGATTGAGTACAATAAACTTCAAAGGTAACTTCACAATCCGTATTTTAGTTTTTGACAGTTTTAACAGGAAAAACATGTGTGTCAGCTAGGTAACAAGTTATGTATGTATTGTTATTTGATATCAATCAGGGCATTTCAAGCACTGGAAGATCAGATATCATTACAACAACCATTATTAAAACAACGACTAAAAGAGACAGGATTTTTGAATCAGAAATCTGTAGAATATCAAAAACAACTGGATCAATTACAGGTTATTTTTCAGTTATTTTGTTATATATACCATAGTTATATAAATATTAAGCTGAATTATATATTAACTGAATTATACAATTTTTTAAGGAATATCAAAGGCATGCAAAGCTGGAACCTCAATTTTGTCATAAAGCATTAGAGAAGTTTTATGAGGTATGGTGTTAACTAACCATTTGAAATATTAATTTTGTTTTATTACCAGATAGTCATGCTTAATATTTTATATCCATCCATTCTTGTATGAATTGAACATGGTTAAACCAGACTGAGTTGAATAATAAAGATGTTTTTTCCAACTCAGGATATTGTCATTTTGGAAGAGGAATTGAAACCATTGAAGTCAAAAATTGATGCCTACCACAGTCTACCTCCGGTGAATAAAATGATACAATCTAATGCATTTTGTGCAAATAATGTTTGAGCGTTACATATGTATATAGCTTCAATGACTTTTCAAGAGAAGTTTTTAACATTTTATTTAACCTAATTTTATTTAATCTCTTTAATACAGGACATTTCTCTTGCTAAAGTAAAACTTGAAGAAGCACGAAGAGAACTGGTAAGTCTTTTATTATCTCTCATGTTATAAAGCTGACTTGTTTTCACACTGACCTGACTATTTAATGTTGTACTTCAGGAAAGTTTAGAGAATCAGTTGACAAGAAATATTGAATCTATGCACAGTATGTAGTTTTTTCTCCAATATACAGTACTACAGATAATGATAAAACATTAGCTTGTCTTAAATATTATAATAGTGGCCTAGAAGTAATATTTTTAAATATAATTTAGTCATTTTAACATTTTCAACATGTTGAATTATCTTTTGGTTTATGCATATTCATTCCATCTCTTCTTACATTGAGCTTCATGGACTTTTATGGAACTTGTTAAGAAGCTTTCACCACAAATATAACACAACTCTGTCTTTGGTTTTGACTCAGCCTTGAATTTTGCTTCCCCACTTTGTCTGCCTACTTTTTTGTTTGATATTTGAGGTGATTTCTGTTGGTTGATGTTTTTTAATATGTCAGTTTTCTTTTGACATTGTTCTTCATGAACTTTTGATGAAGATATTAATATTTCCTTTCCACAAATATAGCATGCTTTGCTCTTTGGTTTTCTTCGACGTGGGGTTTCTGGTCTTTCTTCTTCACTAGGGCCTTGATGTTCTTTGTTAGCAATACTTTCTTTTAATTTTAATTTTTCATTCTCAGGCACAGGATCACCCATCTTGTTCTTGCTACATTGTTTTTCATGAAAAGCAAATGATGATTTTAGGAATTCCTGGCCACAAATGCCACAAGTAATTGTTCTAGGTTTCTGATAATTTCTAACTCTATTTGGGATGGCTTTAGTTGTAACCTGATCAGGAGTTACTTCTTTTTCTTTTAAATTTTCCACCTTATTTGTACATTTCTTTTGATGGAATTGATAAGAGGACTTTAGGACGTCTTCTCCACAAATATAACAAACAACTGTTTTAGGTTTCATAGAGTTTGGACGGTTAGTGACTTGCTTTTTTTCTGGTGTATCAACTTTTGTAGTTTGACTTTCTTTGTTATTGCTAGAGCACTTTTTTTCATGGAATGGATATGATGATTTTAGGAACTCCTTCCCACATATGTAACAAATAACAGTCATAGGTTTCTTAGAAATACAAGTTTGGGAGGGATTATTTGCCTCATCTGAAGAGCTATTTGTACCAATGTTTTGTTGTACCACAGTTTCAATTGTCAACCTGTCAAAAACTTCTTCTGACAGTGTATCCTTTTCAACAGTATCTTCTTGGAAACTTCCATTATCTTCAGATTTCTCTCTGCACTTCTTTTCATGTAATTTCAAAGAGTGTGGCAGGAATGCAACACCACATAAATAACATGGACTTGGTTTTGACTGCATTGGTTTAGGACTAGCTGGATTATTTTTAGCCTTTTCTGAATCACTTTTCAAAGCCTTCTGTGGACTTACATTATCTTCTGTTCCATCCTCCAAGCTACTATTTTCCATTGCTGATTTTTCTACCTTGTCAGATCTCACATCCTTGGGCAAAACATTGTGAGGTTTTCCTTGATCTTTCATGATAGTTCTTTCTGATACAGTTTGATCATTTGCATCTGGGGTTTTATTAGCTTTCCAATTCTTTATACATTGTGTTTCATGAATGCCTAAAGAATGTACAAAAAAATCTTTGCCACATAAGTAACAAGCCTCTAATTGTGGTTTCTTTGAGATTTTTGATTTGTTTGGGACTGCATTTGTTTTTAAAGCCTTTTCCTGTTTCTTTGCACATTGCTTCTCGTGGATTTTTAGTGAAGTTAGCAAGAATTCTTTTCCACAAATGTAGCAATTCTCGGACTTTGGTTTAGGTGACACAGTTTGGTTTTGAGTAGCTCCAATATTAACAAGGCGTTGCTGGTAGCCATCTGTTCGCTGCTTTATCACAGTTTTGGGACGTAGTTTTGGACTATTGTCATTGCTTTTAGGATTACTATCTACACTGTTGTCGGCATTGTGAACCTAAACGATGAAAGTTTTTCAAAATATAAAAAAAACAATAGAGAGGAATAATGAAGTAATAAAATATGCCTACATTATGTGTTGTGTTGTCATTATTTTCACCAGGAGAAACATTGACCTTTGAAAAAAATACATCCCCAATGCTTGTTTCATCCTCACTATTATTGTTGTCCTTGCGTAGCTTGGTAAGTGAGACTGTCTGAGGTCTAGAACTTTCATTAACTTGATTCCCATCATTAGAAGCTGACATATCTTCTGTAGAAGCTGACATATCTATAACTCCTGTAGTGATAGAAGTTTGTAGAATATGAAATTGCAGCTGTTTGGCTAGAAGGGACTAAAAAACTACTGTTTGCAGCTGTTTGGCTAGAAGGGACTAAAAAAACTACTGTTTTTTTTGCCAAAGCAAATTTAGGAAGTTGCAATGAATAATTAATAACTAAAGCTTGAAAAGTGAATTTAGCTATATTTTATTATTCTTCTATAAATTACCCTGTTTTCCACTTCACTGAATAAGGTATTATATAGAAATACCAAAAGTAATGAAAATTAAGAAATATATACAATTCAAATATAGGCTATATAGTCAAATTAAAATATCGTTATTTTGTATATACTGTAAGTACAAAATTTGGTTCAGCATTAACACGTATTAGAGTCGAAGAATATTCTCATCTATTCTCGTCAATATAAACGTTAAATATCGTGTATAGTCAGTATAGAAGCGCACTTTAAAAATTACAAAGTCTACGAATTAATATTAATATACAGCTTTACGCTACACTAAATATAACATTTAAAAAACAGCGCAGAGAACAATTATATGTGTGAAATGAGAAGCAATTTTTAGTTTAAAATGCCTTTATGTACATCCAAATATAATATTTACTTACTTTGATAAAATGTTCACATTTATTTGATAAAATTCGGGTTTTCGCGAAGCAAGGGGATTTAAAAACACAATGCTTGTAAACAAGAGTTAATTAATGTTTCATGTAAGCGAAAATAAAATGTCTCTTAATGTAGATATAGCCACAGTTAAATGATATAGGTCAGTGGCATTTTCAAAATCTCGATTTCCAAGATGGCTACCAATAGTGACGTGGACGAACTATTTGATATCCGAAATTCTTTTTACTTGGGCAGTTATCAACGGTGTATAAACGAAGTACAGAAAACACAGGTATGTAAAGTTTCTAAATTCGTTTCACTTGAATAATGTTTATTGTGATTTGATGAGGTTAATTTTTACTTAACTGAATCTATTGTCAGCCTTCGTCCCAAGATTTGAAAATTGAAAGAGATGCTTTCATGTTTCGAGCGTATTGCGCACAGGTACCACTTATGATTGCCAGGTTAATACAAGTTTAAAAGAAGTATTAACTATTGTACTGACATTCTTTAATAACTTTCAGGGGAAGTATGGGGTTGTTCTTGATGAAATCAACAAATCTTCTCCTAAAGAATTGCAGCCAATTCGTACTATGGCGGAATATTTGCAAAATCCAAGTCGAAGGTAGAATTTCAGCGTATTAAATAGTTTAATGGTTAACTTCAATGATTATGGTTAATGTCGCTACTTAGTGTTATTTATATATTCATTCTTCACATAATATGTACTAGTATGTTCTAATATCGCCAAGGAGCAGCGTGGCAGCATCTTCAAACAACTCAGCATCAAATGTGGTATAACAACTGCCTAAAATAGACAAAACACTTCTCGACGTTTCGACCTGAGGGCCTTCGTCAAGAGAGTTAATATTAGACAAAGTAACTCTCCTGACGAAGGCCCTCAGGTCGAAACGTCAAGAAGTGTTTTGTCTATTTTAGGCAGTTGTTATACCACATTTGATGCTAAGTTGTTCTAGCATGCAGACTCAATGAATAAATATTTGGATTTACAGGGAAACTATAATCAACACAGTTGATCAAAAACTAAAATCTGGTGATGTTGATGATTATTATCTTCTGATAGCAGCTATCATTTATTCCCATGAACAGGCAAGTGTAAACAAGTGCTATCATTTATGTCGCCAGCATTGTGTGGACATTACACTTCCTAGAACATAAACTGCAATAAACTCTTAATCTTTATTTCTTTAGAACTATGAATCTGCGTTACGATGCCTTCATGCCTCAGAAGCATTAGAAAGGTTGGCATAACTAGTTTTATGTTTTTCCATTTTTATCCTCAGATCCTATTTGAATCCTATTGAATATTTTTTTATAATTTTAGTTCTGCATTGACCATTCAAATATATCTTAGCATGGACAGAATTGATCTTGCAAAGTAAGAAACTTATTCACTCTCAAACTAAATTGAGTAAATTCTGTTGTATGAATTAAAATGTCTACTATATTTCTACATATATACCACATTATGTTAATTAAAATATCCTTTTTTTAGGAAAGAGCTTAAAAGAATGCAGGTAAGTCTGATTCAGTTAAACAGAATTACAATCATTGTATACTTAATTAATACTACTAAATGATGGAATATTGAAATACTTTAGGAAATTGATGAGGATGCAACACTGACACAGCTAGCTCAGGCTTGGTTTAATATTGGAGTGGTAAGATGAAAAATGCAAAAATGTGTTAACTTGAATTGAAAGTTTATAAATTGCCTGTTTTGTTTTTGCAAGGGTGGGGACAAGATTCAAGATGCATATTACATATTTCAAGAAATGGCAGACAAGTATGGTGGTAGTGTATTGCTTCTCAATGGTCAAGCAGTTTGCTATTTACAAATGGCCAAATATGAAGAAGCTGAGAGTCTTCTACAAGATGCTTTAGATAAGGTATTAGAAATATATATTACCATAGTTGGCGTACTCATTGTAATCGTTTGTGGCATTTGTTTTGCCTCTAGGATAACAGCAATCCAGAAACACTCATTAACCTGGCATTTCTATCACAGCACTTGGGAAAGTCACCAGAGGTATGATATGCAGCATTATCTCTTGTGAGTAAACTAGGGCACCTGTTTTTCAACATGCAAACAAACTGTATTGTTTCTTAGGTCAGCAACCGATACATTTCACAATTGAAAAGTTCACACCCAGATCACCTATTCACGAAGCAGTATAATAATAAGGTTAGTTTCTAATGATATTTCATCCGCACCAAGTATAACTTTTACCTAGCTTTAAGTAAACTTGTTTATTTTCTATAGGAAAAGGAGTTTGACAGATTGGCTGGCCAATATGAGGCTTCAGTCCAGGCATAAAGATAACAAATTTCCGTATTATGCTAAGTTAAATTTAATAGAATTTTTATTTGATTTCCAATTGGTGTATTTCAAAGGACATCTCTTAGGTAGCGATCAACGTAAATTAACTCTCGTAACTTTATTCTTGAGTTAATTTCACGCCACTCCTCCCAGTTAGGTGAGCACCAGGTTCCTAGCGTAAGGAATACTACAGTTGTTATTGACCACAATGAGCTTATAAGAAGGGCAGAAAGATTGAAGATTCCCAACTTGTCTGCTTTAGTTGAAACTGCAATGCTTTGGAACACCACTGCTACAATATTGATGATAAAGGATACATAAGCTAGGACTGCTATAACAACCACCAGGCCATCCTCAATCTCCAAGGATGCAGAAACCCACTAGAAAGAAATAATTTACTATTAAATCATAGGTGTTTTGTGGTAAGATAATATATGGTTATCAACATTATCAAGATTCATACTGTCTGACCTCTCTAATTGGTTTCAATGTTCTATAAACAGGCAATCTATAGTTACAAAGATCACACGACTCTCTACCAGAGATTGTCAACCAATTTTCCATACATTCTTGATGCACCAGAGCAGCTGAACCAGTACATCTGCATGGTGATATCAGTTGTGTATCATTCTCACATTTTGTATCATGACAGATCCTACAGAACAATTCAACATCCTCACTTGCTGGAGGTGGGGCAATGTACACACGACACACGCCATTGATTGGTTGCATGGGAGTTACTGGATTTTGTCGTTCATCATCGCGCGCGTCTCGTGTTTCACCTCCAGTGGACGTTGCAAAACTACATGCAGACATCACCTTGATTTAATTGTCTGAAATAGTGAAAACTAGTGAATTAACCAATGCTTCGCCATTAACTGACAAATCACGTTCAAAAACCCACTATGATCTTACCTTGTTTTATAAAAAATTGTGGCTAATTGTCTTTGTTATATCACACATAATTCATGACGTACGATTAGTGACGTATTAATTTCGTTACCTTGGTAATCGTGATAACATAACGATGATATGGTTCGTATTTAAAATTATATCAGGGCGCTGTAAAACACTTGACTTCTTGCTTTTCTTGTTAAACGCGCGCTAGATCCAGTTTTCGAGTGCATCACACATAGATCAGGTCATAATGAGCGCGTTTCCACGCCCGTGTTTTACAGCGCCCTGATTATATTTATAGTGGGATATCATATTACAGATAAATACCAGTGATAAATACAGACCTTTAGTACATTACAGAGACTGGAAATTATTATAATCGACCGACAGTATGGATGGCATATTAGGAGGATATTCTGTATTCTTTGATCTTCCTTATCAAACGGCTTGGAAAAGATATAATCATAAAAAATTTTGGTGAGTGTTTCGTCATTCCTCAATATTATGCTGACAAAAAATTGGAGATACTACCATTTGCGTTCAAGCTTGCGGCGTACGATTTTAAAACGTACGTTTAACGTTTCAAAACGTACGTTTAACGTTTCAAAACGTACGTTTTGTCACGCCCCCTTTCATGTTTGGGTTATTTTTAAATACGGTTTTAAAATACTGAATGCAGCTATTTGAAAAAAGAAAATTGCACCTATATAAGTTTACTTTTCTCACAGAGTAAGGTTCCATTTGTAATTCTTATAAAACACTTCCGCAAACGTTACAAATGTAATAAACCTATTTTTGGATATTAGCTAAGTTCGTTTGAACTTCAAAAACATGTCAATTTCATTGTCTAAACATGACAGGGGGCGTAACAAAACGTACGTTTTGAAATGGCAAACGTACGTTTTGAAACGGTAAACGTACGTTTTGAAACGTGAAACGTACGTTTTAAAATCGCACGCCGCAAGCTTGAACGCAAATGGTAGTATTAAAAACAATCCCTACTTCGTTTTCTTCACTGATCTGTCCATAAATGATGTCATTGGGTAAACCATTTGTTTACACTTCTGATATATTTACTTAAATAAATATCATTTTATATGTTGGGTGAGGTCAGGGAGACTACAAACTTAAACTCTACAGACTACACATTTTGTTAAATGTCAGTTTGCTGCATTGTTATGAAAACATGGTAGTATACAGTTTGACTGAAGTTTTATATGTCTTGTATCTGTTTCCAGGAATGTCATAATTCATTTTGTTACTGCATGGTTGGCAGTACGGCCATTGCTGTCCATACCAGGAATATTGTTTCCAACATTTGTCAATATTTTTTTTATTCTGATAATCATCACCACTTGTGTGGTGCAAGATCTTACACTTGGGGTATGTACTTCTTCATAGTTAGAAATTATATAACAAAGGCCTAACAAGACTCTTAAATGCATTTTTTTCAGGCATTATTTTCCACTGTTTACATTGTGATTGCGCTCTATTCTCTCAGTATTGAAACAACACTTCTCAGTGCTTTCTTCACACTCTCATTGATCCTGGGTTTTCAAATTGTTATGGGCCATTATGTTGTTGAAAAGGAACAGCCTATCTTATCAGAAAAACAAGGAGATGCAGTATATACTGGTCTTACCATCATGAATAGCCTTTTCTTGGAACCATTTCATTTCTCTGTACTTGTTTTGATGAGAGCTAACTTATTGCCTGACTTACAATGGAGATCAGATCTACAGTTAAAAAGAATCATGGAACATTTGGGTGGTAAAAAATCTCCATAACATGAAACACATGGATGTATATTTCTGTGCATAGTGGCAGGGCAAAAGAACTGTTGATGCACTATGATATGCATTGTTTTATGTGGGCGTTAATCTCTTTTTTTTTTTTTTTTTTTAACCCGGCCTTCTTCAGTACAATACCAGTTGAGAACTTACAAACTGATTTACTTATTGATATCACCATGCAAACTTACAAGAATATCAATCAAATATTGTTTATTGTTATAGGTCTATATTATTGCATGGTAGTATAAACCAATGTTTTAGAGTTATATATATGAAAATATATATAATACTAGATCGATGAATTTAGCTTTATACTAAAAATAACTAAATCATTATAAATGTTGAATGGCAATATTAACCATGAATAGCTAAAATCATTGGCACTTTTCAACTATTTGTTATCATACAACTAGTTCATATAAAAAGTACTTTCAAAGCAATTGTATGAACAAAAGCAAAAAACAAAACAGCAGTTAGTTTTATCAATCTGACAGAATAACTTGTCTTCCATCAAAGTGACAAGTTGTGTTTCAAGACTGTTACAAAGTTGAAAGAATGCATTCAAATAATATCTCTGCTTGCAAAAGTAACAGTGCCCTTTTGGTGTTTCAAGAAATGTTTGCAGCATTTTTGGAAGCAATTCATGTTTCATTTCTAAGAAGAAAAAAGCAATATATGCATGGATGTTTCTTGGTATATAATAGAATTTGCATCTTTTTATAATTGACAAATATTATTATGAAAAACCTACGAGGTGCCTTTCGAAGACACAACTCTAAAAGTGGTAACACATTTCCTACAATATTTTTCATTCCTTGCAGTTTAAGATAGTGTTCCAATATTTCTAAATAAATGCAAAGCAGAATACTTTCAATATTGGTGTAACATGCATGCATAATTGCATGGTATTAAAATTACCTTGATTGCTTTTTCCAAAATGCTTAGAACCACACCTTCAATTAATTAAAAAAGTCATACATATTCTTCTGAACTGAAATCAATATAAATATTGTCAATTTGCTTACCCTTGCATTCCTAGAGTTTGAAGATTTGAAATTTGCAACACTGCTGCTGGAAAAACTATCAAATCTTGATTGCTGTCCATAACCAATGACTTTAACTGGCTTAGTCTTTCCAAGTCTGAATTAGTAGAAGAATAAGAACTTTCATTTAAATATAGAATATTTATCCTACCTTCAATCCAGCACTATCATAATCCCTATAACCAAAGTTTATTTATAATCAATGCAATGTTATAATAATTGTGGTTTAAAATGTTACCATGTGGCAAATGACTGATAGCATTTTTACTTAGGGATAGGTCTTCAAGACTAGACAGCTTGAGAAGATCTGCAGGTATTTCTTCAACCTTGTTTGAGCCAACAAATAGGGATCTCAGTCTGCTACATCCTGACAGCTCATTTGGAAGATATTTTATGCTGTTCTTCATTAATTCAAGAACTTCCAATGATTTTAGTTGACCAATTTCTGTCACAAAATAAAACCATTCGATTCTAATGTGTGAACAATTGGGCATCAAACTACAATATAAACCATAGTTGAACCTGGTGGAATAACTTCAAGCTCATTGTTAGATGCTTGCAATTTTTGCAGCTTCCTTAACTCTCCGATTGTCTTTGGAAGAGATTTCAAAAAATTATCATCAACATTGAGATTCTCCAAATGTTCGCATTTCCCGATTTCTTAAAAGAAAGTGGGTGAATCGATAGTTATTTTCTTGTTGATTTACTGTTGAAAAAATGTCCCTTTGCAAAATTTACCATCTGGAAGCGAGGTGAGTTTATTTGATGGTAGGTACCTTAAGTCAATAGTAGAAAAACAAGTGTCATGAGAAGGAAACATGGTCACCAGCTATATCAAACAATAATTCACTGATACTTACAGTGTTTTGAGGAATGTTAACCTCCATAAATCTGCTGGCTGAAGTAAATAAATACAGTAAACAATGAGAGTTTTTATGCATAACTACATGAGAGCTTCTGGCTGAAGCATTAAGCTTCTAGATACAGCCCTGTTGTCATCAACCCCTTACCAATGTTTTCAATAAATTGCGTTTGAGAAATAGACCTTGGATTGAATTAATCTCCAAAACCTCTCTTGGAATTTCTTCCAAGTTTTCATAATTTATATATAGGTTTGAATAAAGTTCATTTTTAGCAGTTGCAAGAAGATGTTGTGTTTGATTTCGTCTTATACTTTGTTTCATTTCATTCTATGTCAAATATTCTTATTTCCCTGACATTTGTTGCTAATTAGAGGCTAATTATTAACAAATTAATGAGATAATGAGCAAAACACAGCTCGCCCCAATGTCCATGTTCTAAATCCTAACTCTGATCCTGACTCAAACATGGCGGGGATTCCCAAATATTTAAAAATTTAAAACGCAAATTTTTAATGTTTATGGAACTATTTTGTTTCTCTAAAGACCAAAGGCATACCAGAGATGTAAAAGTTTGGAAATATTACGTATGTTGTGATTTATTTTAAAGTGTATTTGTTAATATTTATAAATATATTTTTATAAATTCGTCAACGTGCATGAGATAATATATTTAAACACGTGCAATTATTAAATATATATAAAAATTCTTTTGACGGAGGCTTTTAGCTAGCCAAACGTAGGGAAGTTTTATATTATATATTTCGTAGTTACTTAACCACATTTTTATGACACTACTTCCCGTTTATTTTCCTATTTATACAATGATAGTGAAATCAATAATGAATAATTGTACCCAAATTATAACGCAATTTACTGTAATAATGTACCCTAATATTTATGGTAGGCTTTGTTGATATGAAGAATCTTCAATTACTCACCTCACATGTGAGCAAAGCTATTCCTAACTGTCAAAATGCTTGCATGAGTATTGATGTTGACACCGGATATGTTTATCTTGTATCCTCAAATCATTTGGTTGGATTTTCACCAGAAACAGAGAGTGTATGTATCAACATTTCATATTGTATATTTTCAAGCCACATTCAGACTGAGGGCCTATAGATGTTTAATCTTAGATTAAACTACTATAGTTATTCAATTAATATTTTGTAGGTTATAATTGAATTACCATTATGTAATTTTAACCAAGAAAATGACAATTCACAAGATATAATTGGTATTCAAAATTTGCCCCTCCTTGATGCTGTGTGTTTTGCAACTGCTAATGGTGATGTTAATCTTTTTGATACTTCTACACAACAGGTAACAGATCTATAGATTAGCTAAAGCAATCAGGGAGCAAGGTGGCAGCGTTTTCAAACAACTTAGCATCAAATGTGGTACAACAACTGCCTAAAATAGACAAGAACAATCCTCGACTTTTCAACCTGAGGGCCTTTGTCAGGAGAGTTAGTCGAAACGCCGAGAAGTGTTCTGGCAGTTGTTATACCACATTTAATGCTAAGATTACCTAAAGCACTATATGTTTTCTAATGCTTCTTAAAAACTAAAAAGGATGGATCATCATGATATTTTGAAGCATAAATGGCAATGTTACTATTGCTTTATATAGTTAGAATGTGTTGGAAGTGTTGATAGTGGCCTTACATGCATGTCCTGGAGCCCAGACCAGGAGATTGTAGCATTTACAAGTGGTAATTTTACTGAACATCATTGATAAAGATACAATATTGTCTACTTACAAACATTTTAACAAGCAATGAAAATTTCAATGTAAAAGGACTTACAATTTTGCATTGGGAGCAATAGCATTGTAGACAATTTGAAATGACATTTGGATCACTGTTGTTTAGGTCAAGGTACAATCATTTTAATGAACAAGGACTTCAATCCTATTTCAGAAATACCAATACATTCAGAGATATTTGGAACAGGTTACTGTTTATGGAACATAAATCTTGTCTAAACAGGTCTGCTACATATTGACCTCAAATGTAAATTTAAAACATCATAAAATATAATATAATTTCAGATGAACCAGTAAATGTTGGATGGGGTAAAAAAGAAACACAATTTCATGGGTCTCAGGGAAAAGAAGCTGCTAGAATTAAAAATGAGGTAATGGAAATATATATTCCCTTGCAATAGTCAATAAGAAACTCTATTAACATACTTTACCAAATACATTCTTAGAAATGAGCATTCATTCAGAGGTTTTAATAGTCAATGTTTTGTTTGCAATAACTCCTATAAGAACTCTAATGCCTTGAAATCCACTGTCCCAGTCCTCCCTAACTCAAATGTCTTCATTCTTTTGCTCTAAAATTCTTCCTTAAAATGGTTAATTATTTTTTTAGGATGATTCAGAAATAATAATTCCCACAGATGATGATAAAAAACCAAGAATAGCATGGCGGGGGGATGGTCAATTCTTTGTTGTTAGTTCAATCACTGAGAAAGGTAGAGATAACTTCAAGCTTCAATGTATATTATTTAACCACATTTACTCTGATTTGATATACTAATATGAATGGATTCAATTCTGTTTTTGAAGGAAACAGAGAGTTAAGAGTGTATAGTCGGGAAGGTGATGTTGTTTCCACTTCAGAGTCTGTCACTGGGCAAGGAATGCCTCTTGATTGGAGGTTTGTGATTTCAAAAATATTTTGTCCACTTTGTACTCTTATGAACTGTGCTGTTACGATCCTCTATTGTGCACAGATGTCGATTTGTCTACCAAATACTGAATATGCTACTGAATACTGAATATTTTAATTTGGTATTGAAAAGTTCTTATCTACGTTCTAGGCCATCTGGAAATCTAATTGCCTCAGTTCAAACATCGGATGACAAAAAACAAGTCATCTTTTTTGAGAAGAATGGTCTAAGACATGGAGAGTTTTCTTTGTTCTCAAAAGACTCCAAGGTACTGCAATGCTGGTTCCCATTGTCAAATTTTATCGATCATCGCTAATGATAAAAATCGCATGTGAATTGCGATATTGAAACCATGTTAAAGAGATGTACCAAAACTTATTTTTTCAGGTTGTTCAACTAGGTTGGAATATTGACTCTAGTGTACTTTGTCTTTGGCTCCAAAACCCAGCACCAGAAACTGAATTATTCTACGACAATGGTAAAGCTGTTTGACCCATCTTGCTTTACTCGCACCACCCCCTATGTTTGTATAAAAGCTTTGTGTATGGCTAGTTTTAGGAATAGTTTCTTAAGTAGTTGATTTTCATCTTATCTGTCCTTTCTAGTTCAGTTCTGGTACTGCAGTAATTATCACTGGTTCTTGAAACAAGAGTTGAAATTCATGGAAAATTCTCTCAATGATATTTGTTGGGATGATGAAACCCGGTTAAAATTTCACATTTTAACAAAAGATGGAATTTATGCCTCGTATCGATTTTGTTGGGAAATATTTCAATCACGTGGACACCACATAAATAATGACGCCATGGTTGTCATGGTAGATGGAGGTATTTTATTACTTTTTAATAAATGATTAGTTCCAGATTTGTGGAATTATGAATGTTATTAAATACTCCAAGGTATATAATTATGGTGCAAACTGAACTCCTAATGTCTTCTGGATCATATTCGATGATCATCATAGTCTGTTACGAGTCAAGATTGTGCAAGTGTATAAAAGTTGGTTAGACTTGAAGTTTACTCCAGTTTTTGTTAGTAACAATGCGATAGCACCGACCCTCCAATCTTGTGATTACAATCATACACAAATTACATATTTTCTTTGTCGTTCTTTAGCCACTCTATTATTGACCCCAATGTCATCAGTTGTTGTGCCTCCTCCCATGTCTGCTTACACCATACAAACAGACAGCTCAATCAATTCTGTTACTTTCCATCCACCATCCCATCGTATGGCTTTACAACTTTCTGACGGCAGCCTCGTTATTGTCAAGAAAACTGTAAACACGAGTGACGATCAGAGCTCGTGTGAGTTTCATCAAACGAGGTGCAATATTATTAAAATTTTGTATTTGTACCAGGATATTCAAGATTCAGTAGCATAATGGCGTAATCTCAATAGTCTCTGAAGATTTTCCCAAAGCTATCGGATATTTCTTTTAGAGTGCAAGATTTCGAAATGAACGAAAAGTTGCGGAATGGACCTGGATGTTTTCGTCAGTTGACATGGTGGAAAGATGGTATTCTGCTGATTTTGGGGAAGTTGCATGAAAGTGGAGGAAATGTTATTTGTGAAATATCTTTATCCCAAAATGACGGAATATACCAAGCAAAATATCAGTATGTTTATATGTACTTGCTTGCTATATTGCTGTTTGGCAATATTTCTCATTGTATATTTTGTTTTTTCTTATGGATAGAAATATTTTGCCAGTGGAAAATGTTCTTCGACTGTCTGTGAATATCGACACAAGTTTAGTTATATTAGAGTGTGATGATGGATCTCTGTTGCGATATACGTCAGGTGAAGTTCTTTTCAAAATTTTAGACTTTCGTTGTTTACTGCAACTGAGACTGGTATTGCTTTCGAAACCACACTTACGCGTGTAAAAGTAATATAATATTTTTTAATTCATCGCATCAAATTTTTACTATATTCCAGATGCTGGTAATGGCGAACTGGAGCCATGGCTTAATTCAAGAGGGGATTCTATAATTCTATCACAACCGTGTATCTATATTGAGACTGTAGAGTTTGGTGATGAGGTTAGTGTTTTGTTGTAATATTTTTTTACTTTACTTTTTCTAAAATCTATTTGTTATGGTTTTTCACAGGAGGTGGTTGTTGGTTTAACTGAACATTCTCGACTTTACGTCAACGATAAAGAGATTGCTAACAACTGTTCATCATTCTTTGTCCATGATGAATTTCTTCTTCTGACTACCACATGTCATGTTTTGCGCTCTCTCAGCATTGTACCTCATGAAAGAGGTATGTATGAAATAAATGAAATATTTTCGATATTTTGATCTCAAAGTCTTCGTTGAGAACTTTTATATACCTGCATGCTGCCCTGCAGATGAGAATAGTTGATGACTTAAGAAGCTGCTCACTTCCTTTGTGTACCTGTACGTTCTTTCCAGGTTTGACATCGTTATTTGCTGGGAAAACCGTGGAGGAAAATGTGAGAAATGTTGAACGGGGCTCAAGAATTATAACTGCTGTTCCACAAGATACAAAAGTGATTTTACAGGTAAGAGAAGTCATTGATCATAGCACAGTTAACCACGATAATATGTTGAGTACTTTATGTTGCAGATGCCGAGGGGGAACTTAGAGACGATTCATCCTCGAGTCTTGGTTTTATCATATCTTAAGAAATGCTTTCAGAAGTACGTTATTGTCGGATTTATAGTCTTGTTCAGTTTTCAATATTTCTATTTCGTCGTGCTAATTTTACTCACTATTTGTATTAAGTGTAAAATACAAGAATGCCTTCACATGTATGAGAAGACATCGAATCAACTTAAACTTAATTCATGATCATAACTCAAAGGTATTCTATATTCGTACATTGGCCTATGCATGTGTATAAATCTACCTCATGAAGATCCTTTCACTAAACAATACTATCGTCGACAGCATTTCTTAGATAATGTGGCAAATTTTATCCAGCAAGTTGAATCAGTGTCGTCTATTAATATGTTTTTGTCAGAACTGAAGTAAGTGTGCATTTTTTGAACGCTACATGTTCCAGCTTGATCCAGCACTACCAAAGAGAACCTAACACTAATTTTCCCGTTAGAACAGAAGACGTAACCCAATCTCTATATTCAGAATACTATCGTGACAAAGATCCCAGGTGTGTGTTTATTGTACGTGGAAATAAAACATTACCAATAAACAAGTGTTTTAATCTGGGGTTTCTTATTTGTTTTAGTGAAGGAATAACGAATAAAGTTGACACAATATGCGATACTTTGAGAAATGCTTTAGAGGCGATTGATCAGAATAAGTAAGTACAGATTCAACTATGTATCTCTTCTGGAAATTATATCTCCGTTGATTCTTCTGCTCAATAATTTTACTATGTTTTAGATATCTCCTCTGCATATTGACATCTTATGTGAAGAAAACCAACCCGGAATTTGAAACTGCTTTACAAATTGTGAAGAAACTTAAGGGTAAAGATTTTTTTGTCATATCTAAATAATAACCAAATACCATTTTGAGTAATTTCAGTCATTGTTCATCAGTTGTTTGAATAATGTTCATCAGTGATAAAAATTATCTTTCTTCTATTCAGATGAGAAGAAGATCAGTGATGCTGAAGATGCTCTGAAGTATCTGTTATTTCTGGTTGACGTTAATAAAATGTACGACGTTGCCCTTGGAATGTACGATTTTCAACTCGTTTTAATGGTTGCAGAGAAATCACAGAAGGTTTGAATCAAAGATTAATTATTTTCTTTATGGAGAGACGATGGAAAATCTTACTAGACCTTGATGATGATCAACATTGCAGCTCTGACAGAGCTATGAATAATTCTACACGGGATTTTTACGAGATGATCCTACTTGGGCTTTTATAGGAGGAAAAAGCGGTAAATTACGAGCCTATATTTTTCAGGATCCAAAGGAATATCTGCCTTTTCTGAATAATCTTCGCAAAATGGAGGAAAACTACCAGAAATACTCCATAGATAAACATTTAAAACGTTATTCAAAGGCTATCCGACACCTTGCTAAATGTGGTAAGTTTAATTTTCATGTTATATTCCTTACTATTTCCTTGGATAAATTCTGAACATTTCATCGTCTTTCCTAGCTTTGTAATCATATATATTCCATTTTCTGTTTGGTTAGGATCAGAACGATTCAATGAATCTTTGCAGCTGATTCAGGAACAAAGTCTCTATACGGAGGCCCTACAGTTACACTCTGGTTCTGAATATAGAACGATAGCTTCAAGTTATGGAGAATATCTAATGGAAAAGAAAAGTTACGAGGAAGCTGGTTTAGGTATAAACTATCACGTTATGTCTTAGCTACAATGTTTTCATCGGTTGGTCTTTCATAAAGCTGGTTGGTAATTAGGATAAAATAGTGTGTGTTTCACTGGGGTTTAGGCCGGCGTGGAATTAGCAAGCATGAGAAAATTATTTGTACCTTTGAGTCATTTTTGCATTATTTTGTTAGTTTTTACACGATGTGAGAAATATGAACAAGCGCTCGAAGCTTTTCAGAAATGTGGAAATTGGAGACAAGCGTTTTGTTTGGCTGGAAAGCTTGCGTTGACTGCTGAACAGATTTTACACTTGGCTAGATCTTTGGCAGGTGAAAAACATGATTATCTGTATGTACAATTAGTAGTAAGTTTTTTATTATCATTTTATTTATCTTGTCAGGTTATCTTAAAAATCGTAATAATTTTGCCGAGGCAGCGGTTGTTCTGGTGGATTATGCCAACGTAAGTTTATTTGTGATAGTGGACCAGAGTTCACTATAGTGGGCGAATTAGGATTTGAGTGGATCACGGATGGATTAAGACTTTGGAAGCAGTCTTCAGTTACTGTAACTTATCTTGAAGAAACGTATATTCTATGTTTCAGGATTACGAAGGTGCGATTGAATGTACTATTCATGGTAAATTGTGGGAAGAAGCTTTAAGATTGGCAAGTGAAACATTTTTATTGTACAACGGTTATTTGCGATACATCGAAAGAAATCGTAATCATATTTATATTTATCTTTATATTTTATTGCCTTTTCTAGATACACAAGCATGACAGGGCAGATATCATCGAGACTCATTTTCAACCAACCTTATGTGAAGGTTTGTGCTTTTTTTTACATTATTTTTATGGTATTCTGAGATTGGTCTTTGTAGCCAACAAGGTAGCTATTTCAAGTTTATTATAGCATTTTCTGTCCTTAGTATGTGAGCAAATATTGTCATCATTGGAGTTAAAAAAAGAGGATTTCGAGCGATACAAGACAAGGTTAGCAGTTGTCAGGGAGGAGAAAGACAAACGCAAACTTGATGTGATTGGTAAAATTTTTTATCTGTTATCATCCCTTATGTCTGGAGTAACAATTAACACTTATTTACTGCGAACGAAGGAAACATTATTGTTTTGTGGACCCGAGACCTGTCGATATTTCACGAGATTAAGCCTTTTGGTTGTCCTTTTAGTTGTGCTTTAGTTGTCCTTTTAGTTTCCTTTTAATTGTCCTTTAGTTGTCCTTTTGGTAGTCCTTTTAGTTGCCTTTTTAGTTGTCCTTTTGGTTGTCCTTTTAGACCCCGTTTACACTAAAGCGAAAGTTTCCGGATTCATCACGAAAGCGGAATGTTTTAGTACCGGATTCATGTTGCTGTTTACACACGCAGCAACGAATCCGATAGAAAATGTACTCGGTTTTAAGCCGTATCCGGAAACTTTGAATCCGTAAAAGTCTGTGGAAACTTCGTATCCAGAAACATTTGAAACCGGAAAATTTTCTTGTGTAAACGCTTTGCACGACGAATCCGAAGAAATTCAAACGTGACGACCAAACATTTCTCCAAGAACAAGTAATGTGAGTGTAAACGGACAAATCCGCATACAGAGACAACTAAAGTGTAGTGTAAACACTTGGCGAATCCGATACATGTGTGTAACAATGAATCCGGATAATTTTACAAATCCAGAAACTTTCGTTCTAGTGTAAACGGGGTCTTAGTTGTCCTTTTGGTCGTCCTTTTAGTTGTTCTTTAATGTTGTAATTTTCTATTTGATAGAAAATGATGTTGATGAACATTCCAACGCAGATTTATTTTCTGAAACTTCAAGTATGAGTGGTCTTACTACTCTGACCTCATCATCTCTCTCCTCAAGAATGTCGCGGAGTTCTGGGTAATATAACACTGAGAATTGTTTTTACTGAAGGCGTTACTGCAATCGTTGCAAAGCTGGTATGGAAAAGTTGTAGAATTTTAACATTTCAACTTTTTTCTAGCAAGTCACACAAGAATCGTAAGAAATCTCAACGTAAAAGAGTCAGTTTAAAAGAAGGAAGTCAGTTTGAGGATTTAGCTTTAATGGAAGCTTTAGCAGAAATTATTTTATTTGTTGACGAGATGCAGGGTAAAATTTTCAACTTTTTATGACTTACACGTATAAGGTGTGAAAAAGTAATTTTTATCGTATGAGTGAAACGATGTGATTTTTTCGTTATATTTTAGAAGAAATTTCAACATTATTGAGAATGCTTGTGTTATTTTCCTTCCAAAACGAAGCGAGGGTTTTGCAAACCTCGTATGGTGAAATACTTGATATGGTTCGTAGTTCATTGATAGATATTTGGCCATCAAATATGCCAGAAGACACATCATCCACAGTAAGCTGAAATAATTAGCTAATTCATACCCTAGCTATGTATTTTTGCGTTAAACGTTCCTATATACGTAATTTTACAGAGTTTTGGCCCTCATTTGACTTCAAACGCTATTGTAAGATCTGTGAAGAACAAGGAAACATCCCAAGGTACAGGAAAATATATCATCTGACTCTGGTTATGGTTGTGAGAAAATATCATTATTTTATCATAGTTTATCGATAGAAATACCGATAGAATTGAAACTTGCTGTCAAGTCAGGACTTACGATATTTCACATTCAAACTTTCTACAAGAACTTTCTTAATTTCTTTCTTTATTTTCAGATATTCCTTCAACACCGGCTGTTCCTGTTCTTAAAAAACGTCTTCACTGGCGTTTGGACCAACTCAAGTAATACTGGACAATAACTGCATGAATCTCACTGATGGACAGAACTTCCATGCAAGGGATAATGACAGTTTGTACGTTGTTGTAAGTGCGAAGGGGTATAAGTCGTCTCGGGCTGTTTCTATGGAGTAACTCTACAGGTTTAAAAGACAATTTTTTGACGTTGAAACGTAACCTTTCAGATTTATACTCTCGGAACTAGAGATATCTTTGACACGGGTCATAGCTTATGAAATTAACAAGATTAAGATTAAGCAAATACATTGACAGCCAATGAAACACTCACTTGAACACGGCGTGAACCTAACAAATATGTTTGCTTGTTCTATTATTACAGAGCAACAATGATCATTAATTTATTTTAATCCTGAATTTACGAAGTCATAATTTCTAAACTTCTTGTTTATTAATCGAATGTTCTTAAACAACTCTTGTCTCGAGTACAGAAATTATTTGTTTGACTTTATTAATAGCTAATTGAATTATTTGGGGATTAACACAAAGCTTGCATGTGTATTACCATAGAGGTGAGTTATAAACATCATTTACTTGTTTAATTCAGCTTAAACTAAAACGAAGTACCTTCTCTATAACAATTGAACTGGAATTTTTAAACAGAATTAATCCACTTGCTTTGTTTATTTCAGTTCATCTTCGCAACAGAAATGGCAGATCTGTTGAAAACCCCGTAGGTGGTCCAGGGTTTGTTTTCCATTATAGTTTCAATATTGATTGTTTTAAAACAAGGTTGTCGTTATTATGGTCTTGCGTGGAATCAATGTTTGTTTCAAATCAACGAATAGTTATTGCTGTCTTCAACATTATTTCAGTTATATCAGAAATAAGAGCTTGGAATGTAACAGAACGCTTACAGAATTATACACAGTTTACTTCAAAAGGACTTGGAAATCTCACAGCATTTAATCTTACAAGTGTATTATTATATTCGCGTGTCGCACGAAAGTCCTGCACAATCGAAAATATCATATCACCTGTGAATAACAGTGATTCCTCGTCATCCGCTTTATGCTATAATTTGAAACAGCAACCACTGTTCAGAGGAAAATTACAGGAAGGCTCTCGCTTTGCATCGTTTTATAAAGTAAGTATTGGCAAAGATAACTTTGTTGTGAGATAATGAATCTTGCCCTCCGGGGGGATTTTATTTAGTGATTTAGAATCCTAAATATTGATCCTTGCTTGGTTTGTTTGATACCACGCTTTTGTGGAGGCGCGGAACACGTTAATGGTTAACTTTACATTTTTTTAGGTCCGTGGCTGGCTTGTTCTTGGTGTCGTTCTCACTGGAATTATTTTTCTGGTCGTCACCTCAGGCAGACGATCTCCCCGCCGATGTAACGCTTATTGCAGAATGATTTGCTGAAGGTAGGAATGTCTTATTCTGTATTATTGTAAGTGCTGCGGTCTAAGTTCTCCCCAAATGATTGAATTGCGAATTAAATTAATTAATTTCTCAACATGATTCAAGTCATCATTACAAATGATTCCAGATTTTATTCGTATCACGTACAAAGTCTTAAGATAATTATTTACATTGCGAAAAATTATGCAAACATTTTCTCTATAATCATTTCATTGACCTCGAATAGAAAACAAAGTTATAAAACCCATCACTTAAAGTTTAAACCCAAGATAATTTAAGCATTTATAAAATGTTCGACATCAATTGAGTACAAAATCCCGATGCGATATGTTTCTTTCCTAGTGATTTTTAATACCCCCCCTCTACTTTACACATCGGAGGATTTACATAACCAAATACATTTAATTCTATAACGCACGCGATCGATATAAATATTAAATAAACCACAAGATAAGTGCAACCAACTGTCTTTGTTAGAGTCCATTCGTGAAAGTGCATCATTAAAAATGTGAGTAATATTGAAGCCATAATGAAGAAACAGCAAATATACAGTCCATGACTGTTCAAAACAATTGATGACTTCGATTCAAATATCATTGTCTTGAGAGTCCAAGGGAGGCCAAGGCATAACAGAATATCAAAAACATTACTTCCCACGGTATGACTGCAAGCCATATCACCGTCACCTTAACAATAACATATATGAAATGAAATGGTTATACCGTCCAGTAGAAAGTCTTGTGAGGGTAGGGTTAAGTTTCTCCTGCGTTTTTATGGAAAACTTCCTCTCACCTTTCTTGGCGACGACCAGGCTGGAGATACAGTCAGGAACACTGCTACCAAAAGCCACTAATGTTAATCCCATGATTGTATCAGGAACACCGAACGTATATCCAACTAGTGTCACCATCCAAACCAGAATATAAGATGTCACTGCTATCCATATGATGCATACAAAGAATGACAAAGGATACCATTTCTTGCATTTGGGTTTTCGTACGTCAGGGATTGTGAAGTAGAAGCATATGTTCAATGGTAGGGCTAAACACCAGCATAATTTTTGACATTTTCCACTTGGCGGGTGAAATGGATTTCCTAAAGCAGCATCGAATTCCATATCTTGAAGGCAGCATTCATTATCTAAAACGAAATGTTTGACCTTAGTGTTTGCAGACATTGACAAGTCTAAATTACTTCAATCTGTTCCGTCCTGTAAAATGCTCGTTCGTCGTGGTAGGTTTTCACTTGTTCGTAAACATCAAGCAAATCACACCTTTGTTCGAAGAGCCTACGCTAGTTCCATCTGTCTTGATTTCAACCTCATCATCACTTAACATCAGCATCGCTGCTTCGCTAATCTTTTCAACCTCACCTCGTTGTTTTTTATTTTCCTCAGAATCTTCCTGATCTCCGTCATGTTTATAATGATGACCAGGGCATAACTCATCTGTGCCATCGTCCCGTGCTGGAGCTAACCCCGTATAACCCAGATGATGCTCTGGGAATTGAATAGCTTTCTCTGTGTTTGTGATGCGGTAGACAAACCTCTCGATTGATGGATTAAAATACATTAGGATTAGGTACAGAGAATATGAACACATCATCGTAATAGCTTCGTACCTGGAAACAGAAGATGGAACATTGCTTAGATGTTTCGTATTATTCCCTAATCAGCACAAACTTTGGGCCAGTGTTACTAATGTTGGTTGAGAAAATTATGAATCATAAAACTTTGTCTAAGTTATTGAAGGAAGGAATTGTAGTCGAAGGTAATGTTACACTTACCATTTCACGACGCCATCCATGATCACCAACACTAAAATTATCAACGCCAGAAGGTAAGACATGAGGTCACGAACAATTGGCCACCAAGACAGTTTTAGCACCTGAGGGAAAAGGAGAACAAGTTATGTGTTTACAGAAAGACCAGTTTTTGATGAGTGGCGGAATCCTGACGAGTGAAGCAAGAGTCTTCTAAAATTTCCGACTTACGTGTCCGGAGAAGAGAGCACAAACTCCGATGACAAATAAGACATTAAAAACAGCAGAACCTAGGATTGTTCCCGTTCCAATGTCACCTTTGGTTATGAATACACCTGAATTAAGGTGAAAGATGTTGTTTTTTGAGACATAATATGACAATGGATGGCTGAATTGTTCTTCCCATCTAAGGCTGTGGAAATCCTGCGTATTTCTCAAGTAAACTACTCCTTGTTCTTTCACGCTATAGGCCTCATTTATAATACTAACCAATCACAGAATATCGTTTATAATACTAACCAATTACAGAAGCGAACAGTTCAGGAGCTGAGCTTCCCAACGCCATAAAGGTTGCCCCAGCAACATCACTTTGTAAGTTACATCTTTCACATATCACATCCAATGCTGGGACGAAGTAATCATCACAGATTATAGTAATTGCCCAAAACATATAGAATGCGACTAGGACGTGTAGTAGTATCCCCCCGTACAATCTCTGTTTACGGTTCAATAAGTCACGTGGAAATTCCAGAATGGCCGGGGGGGTGCATTTTGGTTTTGTTGGATGGCTAAGCAAATGACGGACACTTGAAGTGGACGTTTCTGTAAAATACAAGAAATCGGAAATGTATATCTTTATATCGTTTCATATCAGCTTTAAAGCCAGAAAGTCTGGGGGATCATCTCTTTTGGATCCAGGTTTTTACGAAAACTATATGAACCAACTTTATTTAACTCGTCTGACTGGCTCTACCAGTTCCATCGGGATGAAAAAGTTTAAGAAAGATTCGGTTCATCGTATCCATGCAGTGCATCATGTCATTTCTGTTTTTGATAAACACTTGAACAAACCAAGAGTTCTTGTGTATCATATTTCAAACAGCAGCCGTGCCAAAGTAATTTGACATACCATGCATGTACTTTGCATTTTGAGAGCACCTGAATATTGGCCCCAACAAAACAGATTCACGCCGGCCAAAGATGTTCAACAAGACACCTCGTTTTGAATAAAAGATATCAAACTGGCGCGTAGCAGAGACTTTCGTTGAAGTAGCCTAATCAAACCTACAAATCTTATTTTCCTTATCTTTGCATGAACAGTGTATCTATATTTATAAGAATTTCTTGTCAAGCACCATATTTAAATCAAGGCGATCGTTGGACAAAGTGTTATTATGAGCAACACAAAGATGCTTTGATGCTGAATTCTATACATCCTGTCATAACAGATAGCAGTTTTTCTATATTATACTTCCTTTCGTCTTATTATAGATCTTTTGGTTTAAGCGTTTTTCAAAAACTGAGTTATACAACTAGGAATTACTACAACGTTTAGCTGTTTGTTCATATATCCATAAAGATATTTGCAACTACCACATCGCCCAATGCATCTAAACCGCATGTCTTTATTATCTCGTGAATTGAGTGTGATGTGTAGAATAATTCAACAAGAAACGTTATTTAAAAGCTATAATAGAGCGTGCTGTATAAAAACATGCATCGGAACCTAGGATTGCCCCATTCCTGTGCAACCTTTGGTTGTGACTATACCTAAATCAACGTTGTTCGTTGAGACTTGTCATAAAGATAATGTCTTGTTATACTCATGCAGCATCGTTTGATGAACAATCGTCATGCATTAGCCGCACATTGAATTGCTCAGTGAGGAAGCATGTTCCATTAGTGCGTTTTCTGTGTAGCATTAATTCCAAATTAATTAAAAATCTATTATGACTAATGAGCAGTTATGATGAATATAATTTTCAAAATACAAATATCACATCAGCTGGTACGAATTTTTATTAATCCATGGTAACACTTCGACTTCATGTGGTTTGAAAACGACCTCTCTTATAAATGTAAGAATATCTTTCCATTTGTTTGATTCAAGCATATTCATTGTCAGGCCTGTCTGCGAGAATACGCCGGGAGATTGAATTGGTTAGAACTTACCTATATTTTGAGATGATTTATGTCTAATTTCCAGATTAAATCCGTTCATATTTGTCGTTGATATCTGCAGGAAATCTTTCACCGTGTAAAAGCCACAAAATAAGGAGATATATAAGACAATGTATTTTATTTTCTTTGTAAAGACAGCCATTATTGAACGACGTAATTTATTTTACTGTATGGACTAGCAGCAGCTGAAAGAGAGAGAATAATTACAATATTTTATATTTGCTTTATATCAACCTCATTTGAATTTCAATTTTACAAGAGTCTCAAGTACACGTCCGCAATAAGTGAAAACTATCTTTATCCCTATATTAACTATATGCTCTATCCATGCCCAACGAATTATCCTGAGGTACAAAATTTAGGTTTCAAAGATTTATAGGTTATACTTCGGGATAAAGATATCATTCTCTTTGATTATGTTTGAGTGTATACCACGTGTCTCCTAATACTAGCTGTAAAATGTTTCGTCTCAAATTACAACAATTACGGAAGTTTTATGACATATTACGTATGCAAGTATACTAATTTAAATATGATCAAACCGGATTAAATGCTCTACATCAGGAAAGAAAATCCTATCATTTAAATAATCATCTCAAATAAAATACTTGAACATTTTTATATTGCATGTTTTTTATTGTTTTGTCTATGCATGATACGAATTCATCTAAGAATCATAGAATAACGTTCATGCAGAGAGGCCACTGCATGTTAATAGCAATGATTTCAGTTTATACGTGACCATTCACATAAGATAATATTACATCCTGCTGTGATTCCTTTCATCTAAAAATACTTCAGTATATCATAGTATTTTATACTGTACAAATCAAATAGTAATTTCTTTAAACCCTTCTTGAAAAGTGATCTTTAGATATAGAGGTAGTTTTAATTACGAAATCAATATAATGGACCTGTACTGGTCTCCTATAATGACTCTTATGTGGAGTCTTAAAAAAATCAACGCCCCAAGCAGCATACGGTAGTTTGGCCTTTGTTGGACTGGGTTTAGACTATTCGAATTCATCTAATTGTAGTTAAAATAAAAAAACAGTATAATATATGGATGTCGTGATGAAATATAGATTGTATGATATATTTTACCGGCCTTTCTCTCTGTATACGATTTTATAATAAAGTGAAAAAATATATAGTTTAGTTAATGTGAGAAAAGTTAAAATAACTAAGTTATGATATAAAGACATTTTCACAATTGTAAACAGTGTAATTTATTATTATATTTTTGTATTTATTTCCTTCACAGGTGGCAAAAATGAAGGAGAAACGAACACCAGGTACCTACCGTAGAAGACTTTCGTTATAAAAACAATACTTTATCCTAGCTATATTGAGTCAATGGCATCCTAGATTACTATTCTTCCAATTCGAAGTTCTTTAATTCTTGACGATAGACGGAATATGTTAACGGTTTCATGGTAGTTTACCTCATCAAATGTCAACGAGAAATTCATAAATGTTGATTATGTCATATCTATAAGATATTTGCTTCGATGATAATGTAGTGACAAGCAACTGATTGTGTTCCGGGGGGAGTGTTACTCTGCTATCTCTGAGCGGGTTCCGCGTACTCATGCGTTGTGTTTGGGTTAACCCAGGTTGTGTTGAGATTTCCACTTTGCCGTGTGGAAATTAAAGGATTTTTATCCGGAATGCTAAGTCATCTATCAGAAGAGAAATGCGCGCTAATGTCCAGTAATAATTCTTCCTTATTTTTTGTTCAGTTATCCCTCATCATATATGAACCAGTGACATCTTGGTAAAGCCTGTGTGGTTTCCATCAGTCTAAGCTGTCGTAAAGAAATCAGGTAATTGATCTGATGTTGTACTTATAGTTTAAATTATAGACTGACGTCCTTCAACACACACACACGAAATTATTTTTTATCACCAAATGGTTGTTTGAAATATGATTAAGTTAATACTTGACTAAGTTGACTGAGTTGATACCAGGCCTTCACTGATGACTTGCCACGCTTCAGCCTGATTTTCACATATTGTCAGTCATTGTCATTTTTGGTCCTTGACTGTCCTGGTGGTCCTTGGAGGTCACTGGAGATCCTTGGCGATCATTGCGGTCTTTGGCGGTTATTAATGGTCACTGGCGGTCACTGGCGTGGTTCTTAGCGCTCATTAGCGGTCTTTGGCGGTTACTAATGGTCACTGGCGTGGTTCTTAGCGCTCATTAGTGGCCGTTGGTGCGTAAAATCGAGAAACAATTATCTTCTTCATCAGTGACCCCCAAGAGAAATTAAGATATGATGTCCAGACATATGAAAATAATGCTTCAGTGATCGTGCGTTAGATGAAATTCTCATGTGCCTGAGATGAGAATATCTAATGTGACCTGCAGGCTGAAGTATAACAACCTCGTGCTAATCGTCTGAACCACAATAAATATATTTTGATAGTTTCCTTGGTGAGAATGCTAAACAAAAACAAGGACACCCGCTTTTATATTTTAAACCCAAATTTCAAAGCAGGTTTTGAGAGATTGCCACATCTATGTCTTGACATATCAACATTTAAAATTATGATTCTCATTTAGTAAATAGTTCAACAAAGAATAATATCTTGTTTCTAAATTAATGTTGATTTAAATCTTAAAGGTTTAAACCTAGTCAACGAGCGTTAAACCTTTTAAAGACTGCCGCAAACCACAATTTCCCATTAAAATTTAGTTGCTGATAATGATATGGCCTGTGAGGTTCTTTATCTTTCTTTGTGGAGTAAGAACTGTCGCAGTTAATAACGTATGTATACTTTGGGTTGTAATAACATGCTTTGTTATAAAAAGTGTTGATGTCTTAATACCTACAAATCATTCGTTAGCCAATAGGAACAAAGCAATTAAGGATAAGTCTTTATAGTACGTACGGAAGTAATATAGTTCTTTCGTAGTTGGAAAACCCTTCTGTGGAGTAAACAGTACTTTCTGATATACGTGTGTGCCTCTGCTGCTGGAATAAGACTGGAAATCAGTTTGGCTTAAAAATATCTTATATCTTTGTTGATTTAAAGATTAAACTTGTTTCAACATAATTCTGCTGTCATTTATCGACATTTACCTGCCAGGTTTTGCAACCGTATTGTGTTTTTAGTCGTACGAAGAAACATTTTGGGGATTGGAAAAATCACTTTCGTCAACACCAAACTGAAAGCAACGAACTGTATTAAAGTTACAACTGATTTGTCAGGTTATTTTGCTACAACTGAATACGAGCTTTAAAGATGTCTCAAAAAGATGAAAAGATTTCCTTCTCGGAGCAGATCACTTCAAGGCTTCATCGTTGGGTTCAGAGAACGACCAGCAAAGTTAGGAACGAGAGAGCTCAAATTGTTAGAATACAAGAAAATCCAAATATTCTTGAAGTGAACGAATTGAATGAAAAGAAATGCCCTCCGCGTGAAAGTTCTGAGAAAAGATGCCGAGAATCTAGATCGTATGAGGAATTAGAAAAGGCTTTGAAGGATTTAATAAATAACTGCGTTACGAATGACTGTGTTATTCAAGAAGGAAGTTCGATAACTCACGACAATACAAATATTAATATCACTAGGGAAGATAATTGCTCGGAATCTTCGCCATCTAATAAAACAAATAATGATATTGAAGCTAAAGAAATAAAGAATTCAAATAACAATGAGGCAAATGAATCGTCTTCCGGGAGTGATTGCCTGCAGGAAAATGAGAATAATGATCCAGGAAGGAATCTTAAATCACTGCCACAAACACAACTACATTCTCCCCCGCATTGTCAAAGCAAACAAACTGTCATTTTTTTAAGCGATGAAGAAAGAAAAAAAGCTTTGGAGGAGTTTGAAAATGATGAAAGCATCGTAAGTTTGAATGCTTCAAGAGAAAATGAAAAAGATTGCAATCCTGAAACGAGATCTGATGAGTGTTTTAACCATTTATCAAAATCCTCCGACGCTTGTGCTATTAATACATCATCTTGTAAAGTAAACACAGGATTAAACCCGCCAATTGATCGATCAAGTTTGAATGAACGTCGCTTTCAAACATCGGCAAAAACACTGAACAAAAAACAGCCATTAAGACGTATACAATCAGAAGGGGATGCTCTAGAGTTAAAACTCTCTTTCTTTGACAGTGACGTCTCAGAATTTGCAGCCACCTGCGTCAGACATGCGCAGAAAAAGCGCTTTTCTGATATCACTCCTGACGTGCACAGAACAGTTCATTCACCAGGTTTCCTTACTGAGGAAGGCACAAAGAGTTGCTCAATTCCTAAACACGAGGTGTCGGTAAGCACTGTTGAAGAAAATACGAATTTATTTGAAGACAATGATGGGGAAGAAGAAACGAAGCCAAGGCATATTCCTTTGTCTGGACGGTCTAGTTCGCTGAGCTTGCCTTTAGAAACGTCCAACTGGAAAAACAAAGCCAGTTCTTTTAAATGCCTAGTTTCCTCCAGTCTCCCACGATCAATTCCTAGTCCCTCGCGGTCGGTGCCTAATACTACGAATTCAGGTCCCAATTCATCGCTCTCAAGCCCCAGTCCCTCAAAGCCAAGCCCTAGTCCGAAGTTTCGCAGGTTTCCGTATCAACCGGTATTCTACGTACCAAAACCAAACGAATCACGAAAACCAGCACAATGTGGGTCTGTCGGAAAACAGTCGAAAGAATATTTGATTTAGCACAATGATGTCACTGCATTGAAAACATAATAATTAAGGAAGTTAATGAACAATTCAATATATTATTGCACAATTTGAATGAACGTCCTAATCACACTGTAAAATTATATAAAAACCATGTATAAAACTCTGAAGATGTATTCTATCAGATGAGCTCTGATTTCCATTTTTGTGGATCTGTATTGTTTATACTGCATAAATATGTAATCATAATAGGTTTTATGGTGTATTCATGGCTAATATATATCAAAAAATAGGTACAAAATAGGTACAAGACGAATATACCGGAATATAGTATGTTAGACTATGGTAAGGTCCAATTTACCCCCGGAAATAAAAATGAATAAACCCTCACCCGCGGCTAGCCACCTTAATACGGCGCCAGTTAGGGGCCTGGTGCGGTTATTTTGAGCGGAAAATTCAAAATGGCGGCGAATTTGGAAGAAATTGTTTCGTATTTTCACCAGAAATGTGCGAATGTTTCGCAGATTTTAGAGCTTAGAGGCATTGGTATGTTTTAGTTATAATGTATAAAGACTAGGATAAGTGCATAGGATTTACGAGACAAGTAAATATTTATGACTAAAGATGAAAAGGGAAGGGCTAAAAGTAAAAAATGGCGAACAAAATGAATTAAATAATAGAAAAATGTATGGTTGTGGGATGTAGGGACTGGATCTGGGTGGGTAACGATTAGTTAGAAACTGTTATTTTTGCTCATCTGCAGTTATTTTATAGTTATATTTATCATCTAGTGTACTTACCACAGTATCTGACTTCTTGCTATTAATTGTTAATTTAATCCATTTAGCCCATTTGTTTCTGTTAGAGGCCACGCCCATATTCATGTTGCCCAGCTCAAAGTTATCGTCCGCACACACCCACCCACCCAGCTCAAATGACGTCAGACCGTGGCAGTCAAATTTTAATGTTGCGTATTCAACTAGCAAGTTGATCACACCATTATAAATATCAGTCACATTTATTTCACAACACTAATATGTGGAATAACTGAAGTGTTTTTAATATTTTCAAACATTAATGACAATATACAGGCGGTTGTAGTAATTCATGAGAAGGACACTATATTTTGCAGCAGATCGATTGAAAAACTGAAGTGAGTTTCATGTCAGTATTCTTTTAATCTTTCTCAAATATGGAACTTGACGTGGAACTCACTGACGTGGAACACCACACAATAACGTTGAGAGCTTGAGGTAAAAACCCACCCACCGATAACGTCCATTCGATGTTTTGCCTGGCAGCATGAATATGGACGTGTCCCCTTATGAAATGTTGATATTACATTTGTAACTCATCATAATTCTACATTCTTGCAGATGATTCTGGTGACTCATTAAAGACTATGCAAGCAATCAATGACGAGGTTACTGAAGTTGAAGAAATATTGAATGACTTTAGGAAAGAATTAACCAAACAACGTAAATTGTTAAAACATGCCGAGACTGTCAAAAAAGCTCTTGAAGGATTTGAACAAAGAAGTGAATATATTTCAAAAAACTTGCCTCAACATTTACCAGGAAATAAATTAAGGTTGGTAATTTTGTAGTTCTTTATTGTCAAAAGGAGTTTATTATTTCAATACAATGATGAATTGTTGTAAAAGCAAGATTGGTTTCACTCTTTTGTATGTTATTGTAGCAAAGGCCCTGAAAGGGCAGTCGTCTTGGCAGAGAAGGGTCAACTTGCATCTACAACAGTTGAAAGAAAACCAAAAGTGAAAGTTGCAAATTATCATAAAATTGGATACCTGACCACAGAAGAGTTTGACAGTGTACCAAAGTAAGTTGCTAAATCTATTTTTAATGATTGGTGATAATACACTCATTGCTTTCACAATATTTTATGTAATATTATTTATTAATTTTTTAGATATTTAAAAGGCCGTCTTGACTATACACATGTGAACAACGCAATTGATCAAATTCATCAGGCCTTGGCTGCCAAATATAAAATCCTCAGCACTAAAAGAATTGGTATGGGGGAACATGTTATGAAAAAGTACAGGGTATGTTAATCGTTTTCTCAATCATGGGTCAATCATCTTTTTCTACCAGAAGTGTTCAGAACTGTTCAATTTTTTACTTCTCATTGTATAATTTTTATTGAATTTCTAATAGGAATTCAAAGAACAAGAAACTGCTGAGACAAAAGGTATTTTTCTTATTTTTTTGTGTGAATCTTAGGAAAACAGATTAGCAAGGATATTTTTCTAATTTCTTGGAAATGGCAAGAAATACCCCCATAACTTAACTGTTTTCAACTTCTGGGAAATCCTAGGAGTTGGTGTCTTTTTCTGGGGAAATGAATATCTTTCTGAAAAAGATGAAAAGACCTCCAGGATCAAGTACATGCCCAGAGCTCATTAAAAACCTGTCTTCACTCATCTTATTCCTAATTTGTAGGATGTTATTTCTTCATCAATAAGGATCTTAAGGAATTCTCCAGTTTCAAGTTGGACAAAGTTGGACAATCTATTTTAAATATCTTGAGGCATTGTGGAAAACTGAAAGAGGTACGAAGTGGAAAACTTGTTCGTTTTGTTGTGCTACCATAAAATATCTTGGTGTGATGTATTTGTCTTTATTATAAATGTTGGAACTTTGTATGTATGTATGCTATAAAGAAAGACTGCTCAAGCACATATTAGCACGATTTTGATCATGTTTATTAATTTAAAATTATATTAACTAGTAACAATCATAATGAATTTTCTAACTACTTCAAATATAAAAACAATATAATAATGGAGCACAAAACTATAAACCTTTAGTAAATACCTAGTCACCAATAAAAAGTGCATGTAGAGATGTTCAATATATAGTTTAAAGGAAACACATCATTTTGTATATTGCATGTTTGTAAATGTAACTTAGTGATATCTCGGATGTGTAAGTTAATTATAATGGTCCCAATATTCGTTTCAACGGACAAGTGCGACTGTGTATTCATAATTAAGACGCTGGTGATTTTGCTCCTCCGTTGTTTCTTTGTGCAATCTATGAGAAACGAAATTAACAGTTTTGTTGAAATCAAAATCATCTCGTCTTTTCGTGTCTTTAAGAATTTACCTTTTCTGCTTTCTCTGCTTCGCGTCGTTTGTGTTCAACTTTAGCAATCTCATCTTCGACCCACTCTGGGATATCAGGAATGGCGTATGATACTGCAAACTTGATGGCGAGAACCACGTGCTTAATAAATAAATATAGTTTAAAGATTTTCACATATCCTGCATGGGTAAACATCTTCTGCCAACCATTTAGTTACCTCAATAACAATGATAAGCAATATTCTCTGTGCAGGAGTCATTCCTGGAAACATTCGAGTCAATGAACCTCCAATTCCAAGTAAAGCAAGATTCACAATTACTGCTATCACTCCCATCAATTCCATTGCATCCTTCGGTGATCAAATGAAGAAAATACATTAAATTTGTTGAAGTAATAAAACCAAATAACCAGGTGAAATGTTCTCGAGTATTTCCTTCCTTACCTGCCATGTTCCAATGTTTTCAACACGTATGCCGAATGGTCGTTGAAGATTAGTACATAATTTAAATGCATCGCTCCGAATTTCAACCAAGTTGTTAAGTAACGCACACAATCCAGCCAGCGGGAAAGCACTTGAGAACAGAACTACGAAACCAAACTGAATGAACATCTCCAAATAGTCTTCAAATGTATCCTAAGAAGAAAACATAAAACAGTCGAGAGGTGGTATGATATGGACACGTAATAAGAAGAGATGAAGGAGAGCTGGTCAGAGATATTATGAAATGAAGAGATCAGAAGAAGATGTGAGGTGGTAGACATTGCAGAGAAGATGAGGGAAGCAAGGTTGAGATGATATGGACACGTAATAAGAAGAGATGAAGGAGAGATGGTCAGAGATATCATGGAATGAAGAGATCAGACAGGATACCTCGTATACTGGCATAGCGGCTTCGATTTCGGGCTGTTTTGCCTTGGCTGTATCAAGTTCAGCAGGTTTGTCTGGCTTAGTCGTGTTCCCACTTTTTGCTGCTTTTTTCGCCTCCTCTTTTTTCTTCTTCTCCTCATCTTTTTTCTTTTTCCACTCCTTAACTTTTTGTTTGACAAATGGAACCAGAGCTTCTTTCACATTGCCAATCACTTGTTTTGTAATAAGCAAAGCACCGAGTTGCTAAACATATGAAAATGTTGGTCTCACATTAGCAAAAACTTAGCACTTGTGTTAAAAGGATAATCAGAAACTTTATCTTGCATAATGTTATCTTTCTGCTGATTTGTCAAGAAGAATTCAGTGAAACGTTTGGGGCAAAGAAGAGCCTACTGAAGACTCTAATATGCAGAGAAAGAATACTATGTTTGATAGTTTAAAGTGTTCATAGTATCCATATCATAAAAAGAAACTTACTGTTTTCAGTTTGTCAAAGTTCATCAAAGCGAATGCAATGTAGAACAAGGAAAGATAAGCATTGAAGAATTGGAACTAGCAATGGAATAACATTATTGTAAGTTAGTTCTGCATTGATATGTTAAAGGCATTTGTGTCTGATACTTACCGAAACAAGTTTGATGATCAGATGATTTTCGTAAGTTTCGTCCAAGCGATAGTTTTCTGCAACACAAATGAACATGTTGAGATCCCGTTTAATTTACGTGAATAAAAAACTAACTAAGCTTACCTTTATCGTTTAGTTTATAGGCAATAGTTTTATAAATATCGTCCATTTTTCCAATAGAGACCGCGAGGGCAATCTTCGGTGCAAACTTCAGCCATTTAGGAGGATTATCCATGCCATCGACCCAACGTTGAAACTCAAATACAATGATCATTACCAGAAACACGACAAGAAGAGACAGAATGATCACGGGAAGAGTGACGCAATATCTGAATACATTGCGTTTCCATGATGGGTATGTGGGTTCCATTTTACCTGTGATGTGGCTTGGCTTCCATTCACCCTGATAGAACGAGGAAGTATCGTTTGATTCAACTTACGTTAATATATCAGAGACCATGTCTACAGTAAACCCTATCAAGATTACTGATGAAGTTCGGTAAATTTGTACCTCAAAAAGAACTCTCGGATCCTTTAGAGATTCAGACGGCATATCCAATGTTCCCCAACGATACGCCAGCTCAGCAGATCTTCGTTTCCAAGCCTCGAGATAAAGTGTCGCCCAAACGATGTTGAATATACTGAATATGAACATACACCAATCACGAATCACTTCACCACGCGACATTAATCCAAACATTATTATGCCAAATATCGCTGGAGCAAATAACCATTTGGTGTAAAGTCCAAGCCATCCAAAATACATCGCTATTTTAACACCGAAATAATCACGGATATCATCTATATATTGAAGAGAGAAGATCAATTTAGTCACCGATTAAGATGAGGGAGATCGATAATCAAGGATTTTATCATCTAGGTAATAGAGGTTTAGTGTAGTTTCTTTATTTACTGAATAATTTATTATATTGTAACCTAGAGGCTGTGGTTTGAAGAATGCTTTGACCCAAGTCTTTCGAAGTTGCGCTAAATCATCGTGATCATGAAGGGGGAAAATTTGTTCAATCACTTCTTCAACCAAAAGTTTAGGAACTGGAAAAACAGAAATAATTTTGACATATTGTAATAAAACATCTTCTTCAAACATCATCTGCATATCGTGTGACCTACCTATAGTTTGTCCTGGAACAAACTTAATACCAGCCAATTCATCACCTTCAACTGCTCTCATATTGTTGACCAATTCCATTATGATGCTCTGCCTGTCACCTGAAGTAAAGAATAACTCAGGATCTTCAATATTCAGAAACTCTTCTTGATTCTCAACTGTAAATTCTGCCATTCCTCCATCTTTTAATTTCTTCCTTAAACCAATTTCCTCCGCTTTTTCCATGAATACTTTGATTGATGACGTAAGAAAGAACCCGTATGCAGGTTTATCTGCCATTTGTCGCACGTTGATTTCCACTTCTGGTATTCGTGATCGCAGTCGTGATAGCAACCACATCACCACATAATCTTCGGTTTTGGCTGGAAATATGATGACGACATCACTTGTTCTGGTGACTGTTGATTTCTGCCATACTTTATTTGCGATCACAAAACGTCCTGCCCCTTTGAGCAAATTTTCTGTGAATAATAAGAACGTTAGCATGTAGTATTTTACAGTCGTGTAGATTGAGATTTTTCTCATTGCTGACATCAATTGCTCTACGATAGAAATATCTCTCATTTGGCCAAATAGTGGTAAAAGTGTCTTACTTTTTGCAGGATCTGTTTGGACATTTGGTTCTTCCTTTACCACCTTAACACGCTCTAGAAATACACAAGATTCAATTGTATTATTTAACGTTATTTAACGTATTATTTAACGTATTATTAACTCAGTATCGTACGAAGAGAAAACGCAGGTTGTGTTTGAACGATTGCAAAACAGATTATAATATCTCTTGAAAGACAAACTTGTTAGAACAAAATTTCCGTTTAACGAAAAAAACTGGTAAAGTAGGATTTGCACTCAAGGACTGGAACAGTTAAAAGATTTCAAAAACCTTGTTCTATCTTAAGGTGCAATAAACACCTTTGTTGCAAGGACCAGCCAGTTGTCAACCCAAACGTGCAAAGGCAACATTGCAAAATCGTCTGTTTCATAAAACGAAACTTTATAAAGATAAAGGTGTACCTCGAACCGATTTCATTCCTTCAGGAATCGGCATCTTTAAACCAAGAAGACAACTTGTTTTTGCGCTGCAAATGCCAACAAGACTTACTTCGAACTTTTGCTTAGCTAAAGCGCATTAGTATTGTTGTAAATTCCAAGGGACGCGATTCCCACAAAACTGATTGGTTGTTTTTGTTTTGGCAAATTAATAAACATGATATTGTTTTGTTTTTAGCAGGTACCACTAGTCTTTTTGGCATAAATTACGCGTACCTCGCAATAATTACGCTCTGGATGTATCATGTCATGTTATTCTGATCAATATGTTATATATTTTATATCAAATCGTGAATCTAAAGCTACCAAGATTCATGATTAGATCACGGATAAAAGTTGATAAAAGTTGTCCACACAAGAAGACCGATATAGCCGATAAAGCATTGAGTATAGTTTATGGTGTATATAGCTCAGTGGCCTGCATGGTGAAATCCAATATGGCCGCAGAAATGGTAAAAGTTTTAGATGGTTTGCAAAATTTAAGAGTATTTCCGTCTGTCTCACAGGCATTTAACTCTGGAAAATGTCATATTAGTGTTCGTGGAATGAAAAAAGTTGGTTTAAAGGTGAATTCGTCAGTCCGCATTAACATTAAATCATGGCAATTCTACTGCAGTGTCTGGCCATGTGCAAGTGTGAATTCCCCAGATTTTATCCAAATTGATACAAGTGTAGTATTTAATACTGATACGTTTCCTGAAGTTGAAAACTTACGTGGATGTTACTTGGACATATTTACAAATATTACTCCTCTTCAAACTTTGGTGGCAAAAGTTGTCGAAGTTGTTGTTTTTGTAAGAAGTGAACAACTAAATATTTCACCTCGGCTTATTTTTGATAAACTCAGAAGAGAATCTCAGGTCAGATGTGTACTACAGGATAAAGTTTTTACAGAACATTGCTGGGTTTATGTGAGAGAATGTCACAATTGTGGGCTGCAATTTACTGAGGAAATTGATAGAATATTTATAAATCATGTTGAATGTTGCAATTACAATTCTGAGGTTGGTCTAATTAATGATTAGTAATAGTGATAAGTAGTATAAATTATGTGAAAATTAGGACTTAGAACTGTGTTACATTTGTTTTTGTATATTATTGAATAACAACTTTCAATTACCTTCATTATCAATTTAAAACTGTATTTGGGCTCATTTGACTTCAGCTGGGCTCTCCCAAAGCTGAAACAAGTGTCATTGATTTTTGAGTGATCAAGTTTCATATACCTTTCTCTAGGAAAATTTTGCAAGCGTGATTTCTGCAGGCACAAAAATTGTTATTAAAAGAATTCAGAGATACCAACCTAAAGTAATAAACAAGAAAGAAATATGTTTATCTGCCTATGGAGATATTGTGACTCAGATGAAAGATACAGTGTTTTTATCACACCAGCAAGAACAGTTGCATGTTGAGGGACCAAGAGGATTCCTATTGTTGGGACCACCAGGGGTTGGCAAATCATCACTTGTTTTGTATCTCTCTGAACTTTGGGAAGCAGAATTGCTGGTTTTGAATGGTGCTGACATCTTTGGTGCTCATATAGGACAGAGTGAGAAAAATTTGAGGAGAATATTTCAAACAGCTAGGTTGGTATCTTCTGTTCGTTTAGTTCCATGCTTTAACCCTCAGCATTTCAAATGTACTTTCCTGCTAGTATATTCATACCTATCATTTCATTCTAATGAACAATTCTTTTGATTTTCAGGGAAACATCAAAGCATGTGACATGTGTGTTATTTATTGATGAGATTGATGTGTTGTGTCCTAGTCGAGGTCAGGGTGATAATGTTGAAAATCGTGTGGCGTCGCAGTTATTGACATTAATTGATGGGATGTTTAATGAGTCCAATGTCATATTAATAGCAGCAACTAACAGGCCTGATTCTCTGGATCCAGCTATTAGACGACCAGGAAGACTTGATAAGGAGGTTTGTGTATATTTAAGTGGCTGTATGTAGACTGATAGATTTGGTCTTTCTGTTTGATATTTTTTTTTGTTAATTGAAATATTGCATGGTAAGATGCTTATATATATATATATACAGCCTAAGCATTGAGTGATTAGCTGTTATATATTATAAATTACATTCAAAGTCCAGTAGTAATTCAACTTTTATTTTAGTTTGTTATAGGTGTACCAAGCTATGAGGAAAGAATGGCAGTGTTAACAAGCTTAACATGCAATCTTAGTTTATCATCAGATGTTCAGCTGGAAATACTTGCTAAACAATGTCTTGGCTATGTTGCAGCTGATCTTACAGCATTGGTACGACAATCCATAATAAATACATTTACAACAACTTCAAAAAACCTTCCTGCAGGTAATTATGTCATAGAAGTGGTGGTTTTTCATTGTCAATACAAGTCAATGTTTGACATTATTTCTTTGCCTTTGTCAAATGTAGATGAAAATACCAGATGTGTAACAATGGCAGATTTTCAGAGATCATTTAGTACAATTGTTCCATCAACATATAGAGGATTGGATGGCATAGTTGAGTCTGATCCTGTGGATTGGCAAGATATTGCAGGCTATGATCAAGTTAAACAAGCTCTTAGACAAGTATTTTTAATATATATTTGCTTTTAATGCATATAATGTTGCTTCTCTGGCATAACAAATTTGAGTTATTTAGTGTTTCAAAGATGCATCAAAACTACATTTGGCAGAATGCATCATTCGTAATTTTCATTTGTAGGGAAAATTATTAATGAAAATTTTAACTGTGTTTTTTGCCTGTATAGGCAGTAGAATGGCCTTTCCTATATCCAGAAGCATTCTCGCGGCTTTCCCTAACTATGCCTCGTGGAATATTGTTGTTTGGACCACCAGGATGTTCGAAGACTATGCTAGTACGTGCAGCAGCAACATCTTGTCATTGTACCTTCATATCCCTAAGTTGTTCCCAGTTGTACTCGCCTTATGTTGGTGATGCTGAACGGATGATAAGAGAAGTAAGTTTTTTAAAAAGTAACTTAAATATTATTTCTAAGTGCTTGGTGAAATTTATGTTTTGATAATTTGATGATTTTTAGGTATTCACTAAAGCGCGTGCTGCGGCTCCATCCATCTTATTTCTGGATGAAGTTGATGTAGTTGTAAGAAAGAGATGTGTGGATGAAAGTGGTGAAGTTCAGGCTAGAGTGTTGTCTACCTTGCTAAATGAAATTGATGGAGTTGGAATATCTAGTAATATTTATGGGACAATGAATCGGAATTAGTGAGTATTCTTGCTATGATGATATTGCATGAATGTTAGTTGACTAAATAAGGAGCTAAAACTAGTTTTAAGGTCAATTCTAGCTAGTACTGGCTCAATCTCAAAAACGCCAGAATGGCTTTACTACAACCCACCTTGAAGGTCCGAATACCATGGTTGCGCTGGCTTTCCGCTCATGGAAACAAAATCTTTTTTTAATATGGATTTATAAAATATTATCTTTTTCCCAAGCAGTGAAACCAACACACAGCAGAAGAATATTTTGTTTGTTGCTGCTACAAACCGTCCAGATGTGTTGGATGAAGCCATCATGAGACCAGGGCGAGTGGATCGTGTTGTATATGTACCTCATCCTGATAGAGAAACAAGGCTGAAAATATTAAAGTTGTATTGTGAAAAGATTCCAATTGCAGAAGATGTTAATCACAATACGATAGCTGACCAAACTCATCTTTTCTCTGGAGCAGATTTGAAAAACTTATGTCGTGAGGTCAGAGATCTGGTTGGAATTTCATTGTAAAATCCACTGGAACTAGTCCTTGTAGAGAAATATTTGCAGGATTTTTATTTCATTCTTTTTGCGCTTTTTAGGCAGCTCTCAATGCTTTACAAGATTTTGGTGTTGAGAAATGTCGTCAAGTTGAGCAGAAACATTTCCTTGCAGCTCTCTCTACCGGCTCACCTTCACTGTTTCTTGAGCAAGTCACATCATATGAAACTATGGCTACGTCTTGGTGAAAATTAAATAAACTGTGGATTGATTTGTGGAATTTATGGCGCTTCTTTGCTGGGTTTAATGGTACTTTATGATGATGGTATAACGTTAATATTGACATATAGTATACTGGAAAAATACTATACTGTATAAACCTATTGGTTATTATTATTGGAATATGGAAATATGGATATATACTATACTGGATGAACTAACTGGTTATTATTATTGGAATATGGAAATATGGATATATACTATACTGGATGAGCTAACTGGTTATTATATTATTGGAATATGGAAATATGGACATATACTATACTGGATGAACTAACTGGTTATAAATATTGGAATATGGAATTCAAACAAGGAAGGTAAGATCAACTTTTTTTTGTTAGATCTATGTATGTTGTTTTAGAGTTTTCCACGCAATATATGCTAAAGATGCTACATACCTTGCAAAATTTGATTGGTTTGAAATAATGTGCACAGAGAAAGCTCGCTAAAATTAAGATACGCACGGGGTTGCCTTTCATAGGTATTACTATAATCGAATGCAATCAGAATTTAAACAATAATTAATGCTATTCTATATGTCCTTAATGGAATAACTCTTGCAAACAATTAATTTAATATCAGTCACAATGTCAAATTTATGATTCTGTTGGTGGATCTGTTTGTAACGTATTGGGATATTCTCTGTATATCGTCTCCAGTCTTTCAAGCTGCACTTCATCTTGCGGTCGAGATCTACGTGTATGCCAGTATCGGTAACTATAGTAACTGCAGAACACAATCTTCACTGTTGTTGCTATGGCAATCAACACAAATACATACCTAAAAGTGAACAGTATGAGGACCATCATTTGTCTCCGATAATATGAATGAAGTAGTTTGAATGTTGAAAAAGCTCGTAGTAACGATACCATTTATTTATCAACCATTTCATGATAACATCAATTGAGTCTTTTTGCTCGTAGAATTTATGCGCATGTTCGGTACATTGACCATCGTCGTCACAATACATATTGTCAGCACATGGAGTTTTTTCCTTGAGAAACAAAGTTCTCCCTGTGAACGACGAGGAAGCGATGCATTCTCCCTGCAGAGAAACCAAAAATCACCTGAAATAACCACTTTCAAGCCTGAGTTCTTAGTTTATCTTTATTTCACTTCATGGTTACTTCCATATCAGGTTTCCTGAGATTTATATCCTCTTTTCTACTGTACATACCATTGTGTTGTTACAACACACATGACATCGGTAATTCAACGTTGTGCATAGACATTGTTTGGTACCGAAATAAGAACATATTGAACCCTGGCATTCTCCGTGTTTGCAGACATTGGAGCCGTTGTTGCAGATGATGTTGTCTGGTTTTTGTGGGGCCTTCACACACGTACCATTCATACCTGGTAAAACAGACTTTGGTTCGTCAAAATGTTAAAATAACTTTTAGAAAGGAGAACTTATTTGTATTTGTAACTTACAATATGATGAAAAGGAACATTCTGTTTCTTCCAGACAAAGCTTCCTTTCGGTGCTGTTGATAAATTCACATTCATTCGTGCAACATGGTCCTGCCTTCGGACTTAAGAATCAACAGTTTATTTAATGATTAGTGATAGTGTGACCTCACTACGGCACGAGTAATAGGCTCGCTGATATTATATTAATTCAATATTAGGAGTGCAAACTTGTGTTACCTGCACTGCGCTGGGAATTGAAGAACGCACGATTCAGAACAACAAGGATCGCGTGATTTACAATTATAATGATCTCCACAGTCACAATCTTCACCTGGTTCAATGATTTCATTGCCACAATATGAAGTACCATCTAGAAATTAATACAGTCAACTTACTATCAACTGTCTACCAATAAGATTTCAATCTAATCGCAGTAATCCTAGCTCTCTGCTGATAGCTCTTCAAGTCTAACCTGTGAAACACTCGTGTGCTCTTGATACCAGTATTCTGTTCATGGTGGTGATGCTACATTGTGAAAATCTATCGTTATTTATATGTCCTGTGTCACTGGCATGTTCAAACATCAAGTAGTTGCCTTCTTTTCCACCTGGTTGACAATGTTTTGGATCATGCTAGAATGAATGTCATAAATATTGGATGTTAATTACTCTCATACTGTCTTATTTAACTCAGTTTAAGGACAATGTTGGATATATTGGAGTGCTGTTGTTACACCTCTGCCCCAAAGCTGTGACCAACTTCATGTGCCATTGTCAACGTTGCTGTTTTATCCCCAACCATTTCACCATGATTAAGAAAGGTTACAATGGCGGTGTTATAGGAAGAATCCCCGTCCCAGGTTTCGCATATTCCTCCTTTTTGCAGGAGACCAGCAAGCCAAGCCATGCCCAAAACTCCTTCTGGAAAATCTCTGTAAGTCAGTAAAACACTGAGACAATAGGATCCGTGATTTTGTTTACTCCAGCGCTTGAGATATTCGATGATGGAAATGTCAACAGGAGATGAAAATGCACCTGAAGAATAGAAACAAGTTGATGTTATGGATGGACACCAGATTTAAATACCGAGGTCGGCAGTCTCGTAATTGAGAATTTTTCTCTCCCTTTTTTGGTTTTCTCCGCTCACTAAAAGAACATCTTTCAGGTTTATCAGACATCGTTCCGGAGATATCTTGGTATTCAGAAGTAAGACAAGCGTCCAGGCATTGATATATCTTTCACCAACCTTCTGATTTCTGATCTTTGTACACGTGTAATGAAGCGATCACCAAACCAATACTTTCTCTTTGATTTTCAAAGAACGTCGTCTTTCGAAAGATCTTATCAACTTCATAAATATGATAGGCCATCTTAGCCAAGGAAGTTGTTACACTTCCCTTACCGATGTGTTTAAAAAACATGCTGTCAGCTGCTAGCATAATTGGACAACTGTTATATGATGTAGAAAAACGCTTGGTTCGCCCTTCTTTTCTTCTGTGATCTTTTGGTGGTGATGGACCATATACATGAGCACATTTCGTATAGTTTTGAATAAGATCTTGCTCTTTGTAAATGATGATAATTTTTTGAGTTTCTTTTTCAATTTGCTCTATGTAGAACGTTTCTTCATCATGAACAAATATTTTCCCAGTGAACACACCATGCGTAAAGTAGCCAGATATATGTGAGGTTTCCCTGTCTGAAATGATAGTAAACCAAATATAAACCGTAATCTTAATATTTAAGGCAAATCCTCAAGCATACCTGTCAGCTTTCCTTCGTAAATAAGATTTTCTGATAACCATTTTATGTCTTCATTATTTTCAGAAACTATTTTAATTTGAACATTGGATTGAAATATTTTGTTGTCGGGCCATAGTATCGCTGAAAAATTTCTGTAATAGAAAGATAATTTAAACGTAATATTTTTGCGCAGCACATGACTGCAATGTAGTTTCTTCGTGAGTTGTTTATTATTTCACGCATCATTTTCTATTACCTTTTGAAAGCATTGAAGTTAAGCAAAAACCTCTCGTTTGAACCAGGATTCCCAAGGACGCGAATGTTAATGTTTGTGGTTTCATAATAATTGACAAAATGCACAAGTGGAGATTCTATAAAGAACAAATGATTTTATAGGCAGAATCACTCTGCATCATCTTCTAGCTTTATCATTGCCAAACTTGATAACTAAGGTGAAACACTTTAATTAAATGAATAGGGTAATGAATGAATATAGGTAATTTCATTACTTTTGATTGTTTTTTCCTACCTGTTGGCTTTGCATCTATAAAGTAAAAATAAAAAAAGTATAATAAAAATAAAACATTTCCAAAATATTTTGGCTTAAAAATAACCATTAATCAACCGACAATCTCATGAAACACATTCATATTTCAACATGTGGATTATAATTATTTCATTTTCAAAAAACAACAACAACGACAAGAGATAGTGACGGCCATATTGCTGACGTCAACCAGTTCCAGTCTCTTATTGAGTTATTGTTAAACGCAAGACATGCTAATCTTACAATATAAATAATTATGTCATGTTTTCTGTGATAATGTGAGCAAACAAGTTCACTAATTTTGATAATTGCCGCAGGCTATGACATTCTTGTATTTCTTCCCGTGTGATTTTTGGCGACCACCGTATATAGCATGCATGCATGTAAAAGTAATCTTGTTTATTTTTTTTTTAAAGTGGGCAGTCTTTTACCTGAATGATATTCTAAAACTGATCTAGTTCAAATATTCACAGATTGAAACAGGCACGTAGTCTGTGTTTACTTCATGAAATTCCGTCAGTTATTTCCTGTTAATTTCCATCTTTAATCTTGCTTTAAAAGTAAATTAAGTTAATTTGATAACGCACGAAGAATTATCTCGTGCGAACATGAACAGTATTTCATGATATTTATTGAACTAATCTATGCTTACTTTTCACCTTAAGAATACAAAACACTCTTATCTTTTGAACAGTAACAAACAGTAAAAACAATTCAACGCACAGATTATTTTTACCAGATGTAGTGAAGTATGGATCGAATTTCGTGCACGAAATATTTGTTTCATAATGTTTTTAAAGCTGTTGCTACTCAATCTTAAAGCATTGGAAAAAAACTGATTTACGTGTAAACTGACCAAATTATACAACGAAATTTCCGTTCTTGTTCCGTTTATCTCCTCCAACCAGATACGTGTAAATTTGAATTTTGGTTTGTTTAGATAATGCATGCTTTATGACATGGCTAGACTGCATTGTTTTAGCCCGATGCTCTGCCAATATTGTGATATTTCGGTATTTTATGGTTGTGAGGTTTATCAGTTATACCAGTGCGGGAGTTTGTCTTTTCGTCTGTTTTCATAATTCATGGTAGTTTGACTATGTTAAGTTTACGTGATACTAAAAACTTGAGGTGTTCAAACGCAAAGAAGTAAAGTTTAGTGAGTTAAATATGTTCTCATTTTCTGTGATGAGTCTGGGAAACACTAGCACCAAGTCACAGTTTATTTCACACCGCTTTTCCTTTTCTTCGAACGATATCGTCACGCAGGATTAAGGCTGATTACAAGCAATTAGGTCGTGTTTGGGTAATCTTAAACTAACATTATGTTTCCTCTTGTAATCTTCACTAAATCCTTTCTAATTGTGTTGATAACGCTGCAAGGCCAATGTCCAACAACAACAGTTTTACTGTGTTTATTTTGTAATGCGATTGTTTCATAGTCACTGTATATTTCGTAATTGAAAGTAGTAGAAATATTTGAGGAACAATTGTTGTTCAACGTTAGTAGTTTTCCAATTCTTTTTGTCTAAGAATTTAACTTATTTTTCTTTCTATAAATTTTCGAACATTTTTATTTGCTTTTTGTCTCTACCTATTTACAATAATACACGTAGCTATATATAGTAAGAAAGCGTTAATTATATTTTTATTAATGAATCTAGGTTTGTGATTATTTACATCTTATACTTTTAATATTAGAAATGCATTAAAAAGTTTAAACATCTGAACAAATGTGACACTTGCATGCATGTGGCCAATCAGGTGTATTTAACTAAAACGGTCATAATACTCGGTTTTACTTGTACGTAAGAGTTTATAATGCTTCATATCTCCCTATATTATCGATATACGTTAATTTACTTTATAAGTGTTCCATTTTAATACCTGCATGCGTGCATCAGACTTGAGAGGTCGTTTAAATCTAGATCAGGTTTTTCTGGCAATTATACCCTATTTGGTTAACTCGAATTCCTTTTGAGGCACAATATTTTAAATTAAAGTCCCATCTATCAATATTTCATCGCCTGAAGGTTTTACATGTGTGTTGGAAAGTCATTTCTTCAATTAAGTTCATCGAACTTTCTCTGTCATTGTGGGTGGTGTTTGTAGGCGTCGCTTCTTTTTACTGCATGTGTTATGAAATGACACTTTTGAAAAAATAATTATTTTCACCTATGTCTTTTCGTGTGGATTTCGTGAAACATAAAACGAGGCAAACTCAAATTTTATCATTTTAGAAACTGAACTCATTTGAACTATCACCATGCAGATACTGTTTATTTTCATAAACGTGAAGAAAAACCCGCCGTATATTAATAAAATATGCTTTTGATTAATGCTATATTGTGTACTTGAAACATGACTATGCATTTCATATAGACATGTCCTCACTAGAAACGAACTTTTTTTAATTAACAGACATATTGTTCTTATTGCCTTGCTTCAGATATTAAATATGTATAGTTAGTTTCGCCAAATATTCATTCGTATCGATCCAAACCCTTTTTACTTTAAGTTTAAACATTTCAATTATAGCAAATTAATTGATAATTTTCACAACAAGAGCGTATATATTTTTAAGCTATATAAAAAGTATATCTTTGTACATGTATGCACTGTTGTTAAATGTTCTTTCAAACATTCGTGTTAACTGACTTTTCGATGTCATATTCTAAAAATTGGGTTTTCATGCAAGAATAATTATCGACTTTATTCAGGTTCATAAATTTTCTTCATTTCAACCTGACCTTCTTCCTCAGTTGGGCATGTTGTACGCAGTGTCTTGGGAGATCCATTTGTGCTACACTTGAAATTTCGATCTTTTCCAAAGCTAAATGTGGCCAAGAATGCTTTGCGATACTTGGGCAGTCTCCAGGCGTACACGACTGGGTCGACTACGAAATTTAGCAATTCGATTGGAAAATAATATGTCGAGAACATCATTGCTGGATGATCAGGTTTATTGAACAAGTCATAACCTAAGATAACCTGATTAGCAATCATGTAAGGAATGACTGTCACAACCAATATTACAGCCAAAGTCACAACAACTATTGTAACTTCGTATTCACGTTTTAGATCCGTGCTTTTCATCGTTGCCATTTTATTACCTGCCTCATTATTGTTATGGCCATTGTAAACTGCGCGATTTTTACTGCTCTGCCAAAGAGAACGAAGTTGCCGGAAAACTTGATAATATTCTATAGCGATACAAATTATTATCACCTCAAATAAGATAGTAAGAAATAGTTGAACTTGATTAATTTTAAAGTTCATTAGTCCGGCGCAGACGATGGCGAAAATCCAGACCGCAATACAATATACTGTGGTTTTCTTCTTTGACATCAACAATGCTGCTTTAAATGGGAACACAATGGCTACCAGGCGTTCTGTTGACATCACAAAGATCGTGAAAAACGATACTTGGACTGTTATCCAAAATATTGTCAGTAAAGTCATGCCTGCTTCTTTACTGAACGTTCCTGGTGTCGAGAGTCGTTCAATGCCCCAAACAATGGAATTCACCCCCGTCACAAAGTCAGCTATGGCTAAATTGAAGATGAAATAAGAACCCAGCGATGCAAAAACTTGTTTAGAATTGAAAGTCATTACAATGAGTAAAGCTCCATTAAAGACAACTGATGCAACTCCAATGACGACAACTAAAGATGGAACAACTTTGTCTGGTTCAATCAACTGACCCGCGTGTGTTGTGTTGTTAATCTCATTCATTGCGGCAGAATATTATTGTTCAGTACACGATTTCTTTTCAATCTCTTTATGCACACAACAGTAATTGTACACTTGCCCTGAGACAAGACAACAGATTGTCGAGTCAAGTTTATTTAGTTAACATGCAGAAATATCACGCTGTTCCTGTTAAATCGAAACGGACGTAAAACACAGCGGTTTATTGCTCTCACGCTATTCCTGTGGTTGCTCTGGACTCTGAACGCGTGCGAAGATATTCTCAACGATAGTTTTTTCTGTGTCCTGTGTCCGATCTGATGATCCAATGTCCTGTGTCTGATCTGATGTGGATATTAAAATTGGGTTTGTCTAGTTCGCTGCTTATATACACGATGATTTCGATTGATAAGGTCTGTGGTATACAACGCAGGTGGATCGCCCATGACAGATATAATAATCACATTGTCATTCACAAACTTCGACAAAAATTGACACTAGATGACGGAATTGTAATGAATTACGGTTTTTCTTTGGTTTCGTATTTCCGATTCACAAGTGGCGTGGCACTTCATTAAGAGAGCCCATGCAGTAATACCGCATGTGTTATTATAAAACGGAACGATAAATCTATAAGATCTGTGCTTGAATTCATCTTACTTCAATATGAGTTGTGGTTATAATTATTAATGCACTTTTACATTTAAGAATGACCTTTTAACATTATCATGTCCGACCTCTTTGTTCGAAATCTTCAATCAAGCCTGGCGATCATTGCATTGTCGGCGACTGTAGTACTGTAATATTGTTCCTGATATACAAGAGTTCAAAGAAGCCCGGTTATACATTCTGCCTTCCTAACATGTTTCTGGACTCCCACTAACTTTATATATGGACACTCGTTTTTATCAATGACAGATGTGGAAACCTTACACAAAATATCATGCAATCCGCATTTTTTATATGTTGTAAATTGTGCTTTAAGACGCACGTCTATACTGTCGTTTAATATAGTATTTCATAATTACTGATATTTGCGAAATGTTTTTGTATTTCAACATATTGAATAGTAAGAGTTCTACATTTTTCCTCGGTTAGAATGGTTGGCCCAAACGGCGCGTGTATATAGTTACATAGGAGAAAATTGAAAGAACATGTTTTAACTGTATATATACGCCGGCACGAATATAATTATCGCGCATGACACTTTTGTGTTTGTGGCCATCATATGAGTTTGCGTGAAAGAGATTGTTGATTTAAGCTTTCTTTATGTGAAATTATTTTTAATGACATTTGTCTACATCTTGGTATAATTGAGGCAAAATTTAGTTTAATGTATGCAAGGCATTCGTGATGCATGTGACTTGAACATACATTCATGGCTGTCATGAATAGCTGTTTTCCTGATGAAGCTAGGGCGGGTCGAATGCATTGTCTTTAGATGATCCCACAAATTTGCTCTAGTTTGTTGAAATTTCTATCTAATGCATTGTACATCATAATTGATTGTATTGAAATACGGGTCATCTTATTCCGGCATAATTCGTTGCAAGCGGAGAGAATTTGAATTTCATCTGTGGCATGCTGTGTGATAGATATGGAAGTGTTAAAGATTCTGTTTCATATTTACCGAAAAGAAACCACAAATCTATAAACTGTGTTAATGTTTGTTCGAGGCTATACATCACACTTAAAACCTTTTAAAGTTGTACTCATGAGTTCTAAAGTGCGTGGTAACTGGTAAATTCACTGCATCGTTATTGAATATCATGTTGTACTCGGTTCTTGTTTCATTTTGCAAATATTTTATTATCAGTTTAAACTTGCATGTCTTTAAATGTGGTCGAGCAACTTAGAATATTGAAGAAAATTCGATCTAATTATAAGAAAGTTGATTCATACACTGTTTTTGTTAAGATTATAGTGGATTGCGAGATTATTATTTTCATTTGAATAAAACAACTTACATGAAACGGAGGCAATTAATATTCGCGACTGGCTTCTACGAACTTGCAGTCTTCTACAACTGTTACTATTTAAAACACAGACCGCAAAAAACCATTGAGTTAAGAGTGCGTTAAGTAACAGCAAATATGCATCAGATATGCTTTGGCAAGATGTACGCGTGAGCCAGTGTGGCGTGCATGCATGGAATGATTTAGAAAAGGAACATTTCAATTCTTTCTAAGTTGTTTTTAAGTTCTAAGTTCGACAAAATAAAATAATTAAATGAAGTCAAGTGCCCTAAGGAATATGATCTTTCAAGTCTTCCTGCATGTGTCAATTACGTTAAAAAGTGAGAAAGAAAGACTGCATAATTATGTTGACCTCTTTCTTTTTACTGCTTTAGTTCATTCATTTTCTTCTGTCTTCTTTCATTACCCTCATTCCTTTTTTCTTCACCTCTCATTCTACCCCTACTTTATCTCTTCGTCTCTCAAACTTGTCCTTCATCCACCCCTACCATTCCCTCTTCATCCTTATCATCCCCACCCTATACGAGACATTGTTTAGATTTTCTGTGGCATGGCGGCGCGATAATGTTATTCCATATAACGTCCGCCTAGCTGTGAAGAGCGTCATATTCAAGTGTGAAAAGGTTTAATTTATAGGATTACAGAGAGGGGATGACAGATCCGTGTCGAGAAATTCCTTTTAAATGAATCGTTATCCTCTTGTGGCTAAATCTTGTTTATATATAGTTTTATTTCTTGCTTAACAACAATAAAATTTAATAAATGAGTTTCTTTGTACTGCGATTATTAGGGGATCAAGGCGTTTTTTGGCTATTATAGCATGCAAATAATTTAAAACAAGATATCTTTTATTTCCCCTACTGAGAGTAAATTAAATATTGACGTTCTATATATTCGTTATTATATTCTGTGTCACGACAACTCAGAATGAGATCTCAGTCCATGCATGTATGTTTTACACTATCATTATTATTAAAGATAACTCGCAATTCTTTTCATCGATTTTCTGTTTAGTTTTCTTGCTGTGTTTTCCATATTCGTGTTGATCGTTGTGATCTCGGCGTTTTGTTGAAATAAAAGTAAATATCCTTTCCACGCCTACCCTTGTTTACAAACCATTCTTTATTTCAATTTTAATTAAAACCAGCAGCTGTTATAACAACTAAGTTTATGAAGTTTTTCATTAATATCTTAGACTGAGTTTTCATGGAGTTGAAGTGGATTTCCGCGCCAAAGAGCTATCATGCAGAGGGCACGTGAATATGTCAACATCCTGCACACAGAACGATAATCTATTTTTTATCCATAAAACGCCATGTTTTAAAAAGCTGTCATCATATTACAATATTTTATTATTTCAGCTATGTAGACAACAAGGTCATTTTAAAAATTTCTTAAATCTCTGATCATTTAGCTTAATTTTATAGCGTGGTTTAGGAATTAGGTGTAATATGCCCTACGAATTAGATTAAGTGCATCTTCTCTCAAAATGCTCTTCTTTTAAAGATAAATTATCGATTTGTTTGCACTTTAAGTTATGTGGCATTTAAAAAAAAGTCTACTTCACTGACCACTCAAGATACTTCTTGCATGCTCGGATATAGTACATCTTTCATATGCAGTTAAGGTTTTTATTTTGTATTTTTCTTTTAACTATTTTTCCACATGAATTTCCACATGAGATTAAAGATCATATAATGGAACATACAAGTTTATTTCATGCAATTCCTATCAGTTGGAAGAAAGTTTTTAACACAATAGGGTATCAAATGTGCGTGCATTGAAAGTGCTTATCTTCGTTCGGGTCTTTCTAATGTACGTTTAACTAAAAACCATCAACTTATCGCGGTCTGTATCAACGTCTGTTCCATTAATTTTTGTGCTTATCTTATTTTGATTATTTGTTTTTATGAGAAGCATTTGTCACCTGAACATCTTTAAGGTCTTATCGTGCAAATGAACATTTGCCATGTTTGCATAAAATTTCTACTCGTTCCTGCATTAAACTTCTGTGCGATTATACACTGTACATTTAATAACTTGATCCGTTATTCGTACATGTCCTATAGTCTTTAAAACACGAGCACGTCTCTTACAGTCCGCCAACCTTTTTTTACATTGAGACGATACTTGTTACGGTAATCACCAAATGATATCCACCTCGGCTTAAATTTCTCCTGAGCAACCTGTGATAATACTTTGTAAGATAAGAAAGTTCTGCATGGTTGAAATGATCACGAATGCTTGTCATTTGTCATATTTCTTAGAACTTAGTTCGTCAGGTTTTCCAATTAGGTTGAATAGGATGTGATCGAAAGTACCATACGGTGCAATTTTTCTTGCAACTTCAAATGCAATTCTACTTTTGAGAGATGTATGTTTGGGAACAACGAAACTTTTGTGTTTCTTAAGGTCTGTTCACACGATCCAATTTTGTTCGATCCAATTTACTTTTGATGGATGTTTTATAATCTGTTGTCTTGTAATGTATATCAGCCGCAAATCCACTGAAGCCAATGTACTACTGCTTCACCAATAGCCGACTATATTTCATACGTCAAAAGTGAATTGGACCTTTACACTTCATGCACTTTTCGTCTGCAAGACTCTTTACTAATTTACATCTCTTAGAAGTAGCATTACAAGTTGCACCGTGTAACATGGCCTTTAAGACGAAATATTCCTTCATCGGCTCAATCATTCGCCCAACTCACCTTCTCATTTATGTTTAAAGTTAACACTGGAATTTTTTCCCAAATCCATTTTAAGAAAATATAACCTTTTTCAGAGCGAGACACTGTCATTATTTTATGTTCATGAATGATGATACAAAGGTGTTTCCTGAAGTAATGATGGACCTTCGTTATGCGTAACGAATGGTTGAAATGCCGATCACCAACTTATAATCACTGGTTTCCTATTGTCCTTTAATATGCACTCATTCAGGTATCTTCAACACCTCTTAATTTGAGAGAAAATTTTATCACATTAGTCTGTTTAAGCTCTAAGCGACAGTTGTAGTAATGAATATTATTGATTTGCACGTTTTTGCCATCGAAGCTGATTGATAGAAAAGATGCATTGAAGAGGCAGTTATAACGTCCTATTATATATCTGCATGCATGGTTAATGTTCAACACATTCTTTTAAACCGTTATGTAACCCCCGACCCCGTTAAGACGAACTAAACCTTTTACCATTTGTGCTTCTAAACTGGTCCTGGCGTTCATGACATTGCTCCAAGGCTAATAATAGTTACAATGAAATGTAAGGTATTCAGGGTCAAGGTTATAGTAATGAAATAATTCTTCAATAATGTACGTTCGTTAATTTTTATGTTGTTGGTTTTTCATTTGTGTGCTATGATCGAGAGTTGTCACAAACGACGGTCCCAGCAATAAAGTTTCTGTTTATTAATTTCTGTTATCATTTCTGCATCCTCGTAGTGTTTGAAAAATTGCAAGACGATATTTCGGTAAACGAAGAGCGTAAACAATCGGATTTACTACAAAATTCATCAGTTCAACTGGAAAGAAGTAATGCAGAAACAGTTTAAGATGTGGGTTATCTTTTGTGCTAATACTAATCTGTCCTGCTATCATGTATGGTAACACTGTCACTATAAGAATCACTGTTAGCGCAGCAACGACTGTCGTTAATTGATACTCTCGTTTTAAGTCGCTGTTGCCTTGGTTACCGCTTAATTGCAAAGGCAGACAATCACGACGCTCCCCCAGTTTAATGAAGATTTTGCAGTATAGGAAACATGTGACTAAGATTGTTATTTCAAAGAACAATGCAATGAATAGTTGGGTTTTCTCTTTATAATAAGCCATACAAATTCCACTGACTCCAGATAACACCCAAGCCACGATACAACCGAGTATTGTTCTGGTTTTACTTAGGAAAATATTTGCTTTGAACGGGTAAATTATTGCAATATATCTTTCTAAACTCATGATGAAGATAGTGAGGAATGAAGCTTGAATACTTGTCCAAAGTATTGAGAAAGATGCATTCTGACCAGATCTAGGAAGCAAAAATGATCTTTTCATTCCCCAGACGGAGGAATTAAGGCCAGTTAGAAGATCAGCAATAGCGACGTTTGCAACGAGATATGCGCCATTTGATGTGAAGATCTTGCTGGCGTTGAGCATCATTGATAAAAGAAGCAAACCATTTAACATCACTGCCATTACACCAATTATTATAGTCAGTATATCGTATGGAGTGTAAGAAAGAGTCTTTGTTGAGTTGAAGGACAATATATTGTTTATTGTGCTGACATTCTGTGTTGGAGGAATCATCTTCGTTTTATTTGCTGATCAGTTGTTTCATTCTTTTTCTAATTTTTAATCTTTTCCTTTATTGTTGTATGAACCATTGTCGTTTTTCACGTCTAGGATTGTGCATCCATCGATAATTCTTTTCGCTATACATAAACCGTTATAAGAGGCAGGAAAATGAATAATACTAGCTTACTATGTTAAACCCAAATATGAGCCTGAATAAACTGTTATCAATATCAAAGTTTTTCCAGCTGTATCATGATTAGGGCAATATTTTCATTTTACATTCTCTACTGAAACTAACGTGCACAACTTTGAATATTAAAGTTGACACTAATGTAGCATCATATATTTTTAATGGCAATCAATTTAAATGTTAATATATTTCACCGACTTAAATTTTTTTACAATTTGCACGTTTGGAAAGTGATGGACGACCTGTGCTGTAAAAAGCTGAGCTAAATGAGTAAATTGACATCTCTGAATAATAGACTTTCTTGATTGTTTCAGTCTCTTGTTAATCAGCTCGTTTTAATGTGTCATTTCACTGAGCTGCTGAGTATATTGTGTGACTCTTTCTTTAGTTTAGGTGAGGCAATGTTGCGTATTATTATACAATTTACAAGACTATTTAAAGCATCGTTGTGTTTCACTGATAGATTTTTTTAACCTGGGTTTTATCATTATAGACCACGCGGTCTAATGTCTGGACTATCAAACTCACGCAGTTTTGTCGGCTTCTCTGCTTTGATTGAAGTCACTCGAAAACTAATTTTCACTCAATTTAGAAGGAATGAAATCATAAAAATAATGCATTTTAAATTGCTTCTTATTTGAATGCCAGAAAAAAAGGATTCACCTGCCGTAAATCGACTGCTTTTTCCGACAATTTATTGATGATATAGAAATTGATACGAAATTCAGATCGTCATGATTTTTATCAAGATTTTGTCTTCATGACTTTGATAAAAAGCTCGCCACAAGCATGCAAACTGGTTTGCTTTCAGATTTTGAACATTGAATATATTTGCAGATATTTTAAAATGGAATATAGCGTTGCTTATTGTAAGTGACATCTGCCTTCAGATTTAATTACATGCATATTTTAAACAAGCCTCGATCTCATTTGCTTTTTTTCCTGACCCTTTTTATTTTATTTGCGCCCAACATATATATACATATACTGTACTTTCTAAACGATGTTTAATCAAAATAGAGAGTTTTCAAAATGGTATAGAAATTATACATTGTTAAATGGGAGAATTTTTATTATATATTTGTCTGTTTTGGAATTAAACGTGTCGTCTAATACTAAGTAATAGGAATAAATGACATATTTGAGTTATTGTTTCAAAATAATGCCGGGTTTTACGTGTAAAAGATTTATGCGTGTTCGTGATTGACACATACGTGTAAAGACTGTGAATAGTTGTGTAGTTTTAATTAGGTAAAGGCAATTGCAGATTTTGTGCCACAATATTGGAGGCAGGAAACATGTTTTGGCGCGTTATAAAATTTCACTAATAAGGAATGGGCGGGAAAATGAATAATGTGACGGACTCCACCCTTCAGTTTTTCGACATTTTTTTTAAAAATGCGCCCCAAATTTGAAATCAGGCTCTGTGGTGAACTCCCTAAAACACTTGTTTGCGTGTCAAAATCGTATCATATTTAATACTTAAGTGATATCAGAAGTTAAATTTCGACTATTTCTTTCTAGGTCCACTCTTAAGAAGACGAACCTCAGTGGCTCAGAAATTAACCTGTATATAAATGTGGATTTTTACTGACTTCGAGGTAAGAAATGCTGCTTAACTTATTTTATGTTTTGATGATATTACCGGGTGTATTTCACTGGGTGTTAAACAAACACGATATTCATTACACGACGTCAAATTAGTTGCAGTTTGTAAGTGTTTTTTTCTCCCAGTTGCGTCAATTATTTCCGGTGGAACGTCGTACAAATGAATAGCTTTAGAAATATTTGATGCTCTCGCCAGTAATTTCAATACGTATAAATCTTTGTCACTCACAGCTGAAAACAACTGCTCCGAACAGCAATACTATTTATGACTTCCTAGATTTTCTATTTTAATATTGACTACACTTTATATGGATCTCTTAAGGCCATATTGATCTATAACAATGCACATTTTTTAAACGATAAGTGCGTCACTTGGAGACGTGGTATATGACGTGGTATTGTTCAAGAACATGTACCACCTCTGCATGATCTAACCATGCTTAACTCAGTCAACTGGGAGCGAACACAGAAGAGACTTAACTCTACTCATATGAGTTCTGTACAACATCAGATCACTTTAAGATAGCTCTCATTCAAGAACATGTACCACCTCTGCATGATCTAACCGTGCTTAACTCAGTCAACTGAGAGAGAACGCAAGAGAGACTTAACTCTACTCACATGAGTTCTGTACAACATCAGATCACTTTAAGGTAGCTCTCATTCAAGAACATGTTCCACCTCTGCATGATCTAACCATGCTTAACTCAGTCAACTGAGAGAGAACGCAAGAGAGACTTAACTCTACTCACATGAGTTCTGTACAACATCAGATCACTTTAAGGTAGCTCTCATTCAAGAACATGCATGTGGTACATTTACCCGTTGATCAAACTCTGTTTTTTTTCTTGCATAAAAATAAGAAGGACAGACTCAAAACCGAGCGTGGAAACGCTATATTTTCTGAAAATCTGCCGTATAGAAATACAACCATTCAAATCTGGTCAGTAAGATATAAGTTATAACTCCACCTTGGGCGAAAAGTGGTTTGTCTCTGCTGAACGAATCTCAAACGACTGGTTGCTTTGTTCTACGGCTGTAATATTTCCGTGCCTTCCACATCTTATACATTTTTACTATTTTACATAGAATGATAGGTTGTAGCATTACTTGTGTATTTTAAGGTTAGGATAAGATATTGGGTGCCAAATCTCTTGGGATATAAATATAGCAGAATATCGTTGACATTGCATGGGTCACACCAATACATTTACCATACCAGCATCCGAGTTTATTTAACAAAGATTATTGGCACATACTTTAGCGATCGTAAACAAGTTTTTATGCTGATTTAAGACTCTTTAACAATTAACATATGTGCCGAAAATCGTATGACACGGCTGGAACGTGACTGAAAATTGAGCTACAGCTAGTCAGGGCTTTTTACTTATAAGAACATGTTTCTGGAAGTTATTTGCAGCGACTGAATAAAAACGAAATGAAGAATCCCAGATAAATATTTTTATTATATATAGTTTTGAATCAAAATAAAATATCCACAAATACACATGACCTTCAGGCTTCGTGAGAGAAGTTGGAAGCTTGCCGGCCCCGACGAGAGCCTCTTTATTCTATATATTATTGCGATATTGCTTGCTCTGCCTTTTTACTTGTTTTATTTATTAAAGTATGATTAATGTAATAATGCGCGATCATTTGGGAGCAAACCTGTCATGCATTACATAAAAGGGAGAAATATTTCTAAATTGGTGAATATATAGCTACATTTAAGCAAAGCCGTATACAAGAAAAATGTTTGTCACTTTGTCATTAACCCACTTCCTTCCCGGGCTTAATTTTTCTGTTTTAAGATGCATACATGCATGCATCAGGCTCGTGCATTACACGTGCATGTATATGATTCGGTCCAATACTTGGAAAAATGACAATTATAAGGTGGTAAAAATATTCCTATATATAAGTATTTTCATATTATGACTTTTTTCCGAGCAAAATTCAGTGGTAACAGATGTAATTGTTTTGGTTTTTTATTCCAATATACAAACCTTGTGTTATGGTACGAAAAGTAAAATATATATATATATATATATATATATATATAATTATATATATATATATATATATATATAATAGTAATAGTAAATAGTATAGCACGCGGTAATTCACTTGTTTCGGAATTTAAGTATTTCTGCAGCTTTTAAAGCCATTGTGATTAGTTTTTCTCTGAGAAAAAATATTCATACCTGCAAGAGCACATCTAAATTAGTTTCATGAACTTTTGATAATAATTTTAAACGAATCTTATAGAGGTGTTATAAAATAGGAATTAACCCAAGTTTGGGGGCTTTTTATCTTCGGATATCATACAGTTGTAATTTAACCAAACACTCATGCATTTTTTGAGATATTGTTCATGCATGTAAGAATATTTGTGAATACACCCAGTTTTTATGAAAGTGTTTGTATACTATGCCAATAAGTTCTTTATGATTTGAAATCACGTTTTAGAACAGAAACGAGCATGGTAAAAATAATTAAAAAACATCTATATACGAGTACCACAGGCCTGTTTTACAAGTCGTTGATAAGTTACAAGTTGTTTTAAATGATATTGATTTGTGCAATACTAATCGTGTATTGCATGGTTAGAAAAGGGGGTTAAGTACCTCCCACACTTCACTTCCCAAAAAATAACACGTATTGCTCTTCCTTCCTTCTCCTTTCTTTCATAAATGCTTTTTAAACACTACAGTTTCCAAGTAACACATTTTCACTGATAAAATTTCCCAAACGTGCACTGTATATAAAGGGCGAGCAAGCTTTGATGAGACAATTCAGACAAACCAAGCCATGAAGTCTACAATTATTTTTTTGGTCGCACTGGTTGCGCTATCGTGTAAGTATTGACATTTTTTCTTTATTAATTATTATCACATATTTCGTTGATTTTCACCAGTATCTGTTCATTCAGAATACAGCCAATGTCTCACTTTTTGGGTTTATAAGAATTTTTATTCTCAAATTCACTGTCATATATTTTTCTTTCAGATTCTTCACCACTTCACGGAGGTATGTTGCTCTTCATCATTCATTCAACTCTAAATGTTGCTTGGCTTTTTTTAATTGTAATTTGTAATTCTTTTTTCTTTTTTTTCGGCAGATGAAGGATTAGCGAAAGAAGGTAAGATGAGATATTCAAAACCCTCGTTCTCGGGTTTTTGTTTTGTATCTTACGTCTTATTGTTTTTCTTTTAGATGAATTATCCTACGAACAACAAGGTGAGAATAGCAAAATTTTACATTCATAAAGTCCTTGAGGAACATTTTTTTGAAATGTCGACGTAATATTATCCTTGCTCTGACAGATTATAAAGCGTACTACAAAGGACCCCCTGGTCCTAAAGGCATGAAAGGAGATCAAGGCGAGAAAGGAGATCAAGGGAGGAAAGGACCAGTTGGTCCTAAGGGACAACCAGGTCCTCCTGGACCACCGGGTCCGAAGGGAGATAAAGGTTATCCGGGTCCACGGGGTCCAGAGGGACCTCAAGGTAAGAATTCAATGTTAGATTGTAAATAACGTAAATTATTTTTGATTGTAAACTATTTGAGCTGTTTTGAAACAAATCATAGAACAATCTTAATTCTCATGCAAAAGACGACCTCCTGTGAACACCCATTTAAACCCTTGTCTTCCTGTTTAGGCCCTCCTGGTCCTAAAGGCGATCACGGTGAAAAAGGTGCTCCAGGTATGAAAGGTCCCCCAGGCCCAGATGGTCCAACTGGACCTTCAGGTCCACCAGGTAAAGATGGAGAACCAGGTGAGCCTGGAAAAGATGGAGAACCAGGACCACCAGGTCCAACTGGAGATAAGGGCGATAAGGGAATGAAAGGTGACAAGGGTAGCCCTGGTGAAGATGGTGATCCAGGACCACCAGGACCCAAGGGAGACCAAGGTAAATTCAATTTTTTTCTGTTTTTCTATCGTATCGTTGCTGCTCATGATATGTACCATTAAGATTTGTTTTCAACTCACAGGTGATCCAGGGCCGCCTGGTCCTCCAGGTCAACCTGGCAAAGATGGACGTCCAGGACAAAAAGGAGATCAAGGACCACCTGGACCTCCAGGCCCTCGAGGACCTCAGGGAAATGAAGGACCACCAGGACCACGTGGGCCTAAGGGAATGACTGGACCACCAGGACCACCTGGTCCACCAGGACCTCGTGGTAAGTATGATGAAGTTATTTACCGAAAGTTTTTTCTACCTTGAGCCCTTATTTTGATACATTTAATTGAACTAATGTAATGGACATTGTTTTATATGGAAAAATAATTGTTTTCTAGGTCCACCAGGACCACGGGGACCACCTGGACTGTCAAACTGTAGACTTGTGACAGGAGCTGGCTCACAATTGCAATGCAAGTCCAATGAAGTTGGTTTAGGTTGTAACAGTTCTTGTGGTAAGGTCTGGCGCTCTGATGTCAGAACATGCAAACACAAATGCTATGGTGCTTACATTCGAACCCAGATGATCTGCTGCCGTGTTGGAGGATATTAAACAAACAATATGTTCTTTATGAGTTCATTTTGTTAAGATATTATGATTGAAATAAATGCTATGAAAAAATAACTTCTGTATATTCAGCTATGGATTTATCACTACCAACTACACAGTTCTGTGAGGATGTAGAAAATAAAAAGAAAGCACAGGTAATGGAGGAATATGCTGTGTCCATCATTATTATTAGCCTCTTAATTCAATCCCTAGTTTAGCATGTAGTTCTTTGCGTAAAAAATCCTGAATTTCATTCACTTCTTCATCCCGAAAAGTTTTCTCCATGGAACGGTATGTGATTCGATAACAATGACTCAATCGTTCTGTCCTGGGATGTACAAACTCATCTATCAATTCAACCTTGAATAAAATATTGAGGTTGATAGAATGTAAGTTTTCAATAACTTTTCAAGAGATGTGTGTTTGTTAGGGAATAATTCTAACAATTTTGTTGGTCTGGGGAGTAAAAAAATAGTTGAGCAAGCACTCCTGTCAGAAAAGTGAAAAGGATTCAAGGGACTGCTGTGGCTTCTTAAAGTATAACTGTTATGTATTATTTTTTAAATATAACCTTTTCAACAATATCTCCTGCAGTGGATCGTACAATTTCATAGAAATTGTTTGCTGTGTATTTCTCAGAAACCCAGAAAGACACATCTTTATATGTTGGTGGATATTTACTGAATGGCTTGAATTGTACAACCTTGTTTTCTCGAAATTGAGACAAAAATCTTTCATCTTTACTCCAAAATAGGCGAATATCTGGGATTTGAAATAATTTCATAGCAAGGCGTTCCAGGCCAATGCCAAATGCCCAGCCAATTTTGTTTTCTGCACCAGCTGAAACATCAAATTGTTATATATTAGAAACAATCCTGGAAAATAATTGAATGATATTCACTCACCATTTTTCAATATATCATGTTGTAAAATGCCACATCCTAACAGTTCCATCCAATCATTCTCAACCCTGATCTCCATTTCCCATGATGGATGTGTGAAGGGAAAGTATGCTTCAACCCAACGAGTCTTTACTTTCTCCTTACATAAATGCTCAACAAGATTGGTTAGCGTTTCCTTAAGGTTGTTTTCAACCAATTTAACAGCCTCTTTGGTGTGCACTGCTTGACATTCAGGTGTTGCCTTCTTATCATGACTGAATATATTTACAGGCTCCTTAAAAATACAATAATATTGGATATAAAGTGTATATTTTGTCAGTCTTTATTTACAGTCTCTGCTACAGATACTAACTTGATTATTTTGGAAGAGTTCATGCTTAACAAAAACTCTAACACCTTCCATTTGATGAAATACTGGATAGTGACTTTTGTCAATTTCATCACGACGATATACATCTCCTGTTAAAATCCATGCATCAAGGCCCATCTTAAGTAAATCTTGTTCATGTGCCGTAGTATGGGCGCGTAATAATATGTCTTTATTGATATAATAATTGTCATTTTTTGATCTTGCAGTATGGTCTGATGGTACCAGTAAACTATCAAAGTTCTGATACGTGGTAACCACAGGACTGACATCATCAATCATTGTGAATACAGGTGAGCCCCAACGGGTACGATGTGTGGCATACATATATTTGTGTATCTTATCCTTTAAAATCTTCAATGGATGGTCAGTTAAATTATGTAGTTTTCTATCAACTTTTGTTAAAATACTTGGTGTGATATTAGTCATTTCATCAGCACGGTACGACTGTCCCAGTACAATAATTTCATTGTTTACACGATTGAAACTAGTACTCGAAATGGTCGACAAATATTTGTAAGCATTGATTTTGCCGTAAATAAATTCAAATCCTCTAAAATATCTCAAACAATTCTTTTGTACAACTAAATAGCGCGATTTCTGCAGCACCGACACCATTTTGAATCAGCCAACACTAAACACAGCTATCGCAAAGCATGCTTGGAAAACAGGAAAACCAGTGGTTCTGGAATAGATTTATTTATAAACGAGGTTGTACGTCTTTATACTCAAAATTTAGAGGCTGAAAGATGGTGAAATCTTGTAAATAATGTGGTAAAATCAAGGGGAAGTGTAGGAACACTTGGCCTCAGTGTGACCGTATATGTAACTTTTAACTACAAGACATCTATTTAGAGATTTTAGACTGCCACCACTTGGTATAAATTTGGTGAATAAATCAGGTGGAGTACTGTTATCCAACCCTGGTCAATAAATCAAATGACATGTGTGAATTTCGTCAAAGTGTACATTTTTACTTCAAATAAAAACCATTCCAGACATGAACAGCCCTTCTTTCAAAAGACCTAGCAAGCTGGTTTTAAGGCGCCAGACACTCGCCTTCACACCTTTGCCACAGGGGAAGAAGTTTGGTTGGAAATTGGGCGACTTTTTGTGACATTTCTTGGATGTGAAACTCCTCAGTTTTTCACACCAACCCCAGTCTGTTCGAACCCTTTTACCCCCCCAAACTAATTTTTATTTCATGCAATAAAAATATATATCTAAATTAACATTATATACTTAAGCTGTGAGTTTCTTAAGATTATCCTCAGAATATACACGACAGGCAGCATCACTGGGAATTACTGGCATTGGCAACCCTTTCTCTTCCTGTGGGTCTAGTACGGCTTCTGTGACTAGGATTTTTTTGAAATCTCACAAAAATAGCTGAACTTCATTTCTCCTACATCTAATTTGGAGGAGATAGACTGAAAAGAACTTCACAGCAAATCAATTTCCACAATAGAACACTGTTCGACAGTTGTATCAAACCAGAAGGCAAGTTTGTTTCTACTGTTACTTGTTCATCATGTAAATTAATGTTGAAAGATTCAACTCCTGTAATAATGGGATACATTGCTGATGCCTATCATAGTTTGTCTGTCAAATATATATTAATACCTTTTGCTGACTCTAGTGCTGTCTGAATGCTCGAGACACAACTTTGGCAAGTCATCTGAACAGCAAACTCCATCTTAAGACAAAACAAGCACTAATTTAGCTATGGGAGTGTTGAAATTTCTGAAATGACCCCCAGCACCTCACCTTCTGTTTTTGTTTTTCTATAGATGTTGAGTTATTAGAAGCTTGTAAACAAGAGTTCCATCGCCGTCTTAAGGTTTATCATCAGTGGCAAAATAAAAATAAGGCATCGAAGTCGACGGGTCAAAGTGCTGGTGATCAAAGAGCACCTCAAGAGGTCGTGGAAAAAGGTTGGGAAATAGTTAATATCAACATTATATGCTTTTATTCTAACAAGATGATTTATTTTATCAGTTCTGAACTGTTGTTACTACAGGAGGAAACCTAAACTAAACTAACTTTATTTATTCTGGATAACTCATTTAGGAAATCCAGCATTGAAGAAATCAAAGGAAAATATTTTATATCTTCAGGTAAACATTGTTGGTAACCAAGGATGCATGTGACAAGACTTCCCTTATTGATACATTCAATGCTGGTAAATTTCCATCAATTTCCTCTGTGTCTTGTTACTCTTGAGTCTTGTTACAAGCTAATGGCTGTGAATAATATTCCTGTTTAGTTTATGATATAATTGCGGTAGAAGATTATGAAGATGTTAAGACAAGATCTTTAATGTAATGTTATTCAGTTGAGTCAAAAGAAAGTTTTGAAAGTCTTTCCACTGTATGGTGGCCAGAGATCAGTGCTGCTCGCATAAGGAAACCATTTTAATTTGTTGGACTAAAAAAGGAGCTTCGTCCTGGCAAACAAACGCATGAACTGAGTAGGTGAAAGCTAATGAAGGTAAAAAACTTGCAAAATATATTGGTGCAGGTTTTTAAGAGTGCTCATCAGTTACTAATGAAGGAAACAATGAGATTTTTGAAATGGCAGTAAACAAGTGCAAGATTGTAGTAAAAATTAAAAAAGAAAGGGGAACTCAAAGATCAAGCTTGGGTGTATATCTGTTGTTACAAGACAAACTAATGAAGTACTTGAAATTTAAATCATTATATATTTCAAGTTTGCCCTGAATACCTGAGATGTTTGGAATGACACTGGAAAAGGATACAATTTTTTTAGTTAGGTGTGCAATTTTCCACGGGCAGAGAGGGTCGGCTGACGGCTATTTTCCATTTACAAAACACTCAGAATCTTATAAAGGACAAAGCAGACTGAGAAAATAAACCAGACCCTGAAATAACTCAAAAACTAACCAGGTATTTTCGGTGGTTCCATTTCGGAGTTTGCAAATATCGAAAAATAAAAGAAATGGTAAAAGAAAATTGCTACCGGGAACCGAGAAAAAAAGTTGTTATAGTTTTAGTTTGAAAAGATTAACGCGAAAAGAGAAGGCTTTTATATCAAGCTAAGAGTATTTTCACTTACAACGGACTTCTTACTAATCACTTACAACGGACAATAGAAATATGCAAAACATATATTTATTTGGCTAATTTATATCCATTCCGGGCAAGTCTGGCATGAGTTAGTTGATTATCTATTGTTGTCAATGCGTTACTTGTCCGTTGGAATTTTCTTTGTTTGTTGAAGTAATAAAAGGCGGTTGAATCTAGACGAAACTCAGTCTTTGCAGTCTCGAAAAGGAAGCATCAGTCAACGAAGTTCAGGAAAAGTTGGAAGATTCTCGTAGATACATGGTGCATGATTGTTAGTTTGAGCAGCTTTTGGCTTGATCTTTGGCTTTGTAAACAAATTTACTGATCGCTGTGTTGATTTGAATAGCGTGGGAAGACGTTAGTGAGTGGAGCCATATTCTTACCGATTATTACTGCTTTATCTTGTATATTTCGATTGAAAATGTCCAATGCAAGTGAGCTGTTACTTTAATTTAGTTTTTCCTTGCTTATTTGATTTCAGAACGAACTACGGCGCCGAAAGATGGGAAAGACGAAACACAAGCGCTTGCTCGCTGCGGAATAATAGGTATTGTCCTATTAATATATGTGTATTTTGCATTTGTGACTTGAAAAAACACGTTTGCACTTTGTTTACGGACAGTCAGGGTGGACGAAACTTGAATAGTTTTGATATATAGAAAGGAATTCGAACTTTATGACTGTAACTAACTTTCCCGGCTGGCCTATTCGTTTTTGGGACAGGGTTGCCCGAAGGGAATGCTCGTTTTGAAAGGGAAAAACGGATTGAAACTCAGTGCCTATATAATTATTTGTATTGGTATATGATTGTACTATGCTAGACTTCCCTGTCCTTTTGTTTTACCGAAGTTCTGTTTTTGTAGAACGAAAGAATCGTAAAGAGATATCGGACATGCCTTGGGACATTTATGCACGCAAATACAAAACTCGATTTCGACAATATGCATGAGTAAAAATTGCATGGAATTTGGCTTTTTGGACTGAGATATAAACTGAACACTCTTCTGTTTACCTCCTTCATTTTCAAGTTTTCCGCCTGTGCATGATTTTTGCATGAAGTCTGGTCGTATCAAGCGCATGCGGAGTGAATACAAGTGATTCTGGGGCCCCAATCACTTGTGTTTTCTCCATCTTGACGACTATATAGTCCGGACAAAAATATCGCTCAGAGAGCGCCTAAAACATAAAAACATGAAATATGTATTTCTAGAAGGAGATGATAGTCCAGTGTTCTTGCTTTCTTGTACAAAAACGTGCATGATATTTTGTATTAAAACGTGCATGATATTTTGTATTAAAACGTGCATGATATTTTGTATTAAAACGTGCATGACATTTTATATTAAAACGTGCATGACATTTTGTATTAAAACGTGCATGACATTTTGTTTTAAAACGTGCATGACATTTTGTATTCAAACGTGCATGACATTTTGTACTAAAACGTGCATGAAATTTTGTATTAAAACGTGCATGACATTTTGTTTTAAAACGTGCATGACATTTTGTATTAAAACGTGCATGACATTTTGTTTTAAAACGTGCATGACATTTTGCATTCAAACGTGCATGACATTTTGTATTAAAACGTGCATGACATTTTGTATTCGCGTGCGCAATGCGAAGGCCACGAGTGACTGACGTTGGAGTGTTGGAGGTTCGATATAATTTATCCTGAGTGCTTTATACATAAGTGACATTTCTCTCTTGGAAATTATTCATATCATACTTTTGTTGTTAGATGATGAAGGATCGTCGCAGGATCAGGAGGATCATCGCAGCATCAGATGTTGAAGAATCGTCGCAGGATCAGATGGTATGGTATGGTATGGTATGGTATGGTATGGTATGGTATGGTATGGTATGGTATGGTATGATATGATATTGCTACCTAAGTGATATTTGTGACTTGAAAATTAATGTCATATTATTGTGATAAAGTATCGTTGCAGGATCAGATGTTGAAGAATCAGATGTTGAAGGATCGCCGCAGGATCAGATGTTGAAGAATCAGATGTTGAAGGATCGTCACAGTTCAGTTCTGATTTTCATACAGTTCACACACAGTTCAGTTCTGATTTTTGTATAGTTCATTCACAGTTCAGTTCTGATTTTCGTACAGTTCACACACAGTTCAGTTCTGATTTTTGTACAGTTCAACACAGTTCAGTTCTGATTTTGGTCAGTTCACACACAGTTCAGTTCTGATTTTCGTACAGTTCACACACTGTTCAGTTCTGAATTTCGTACAGTTCACACACAGTTCAGTTCTGATTTTTGTACAGTTTAACACAGTTCAGTTCTGATTTTCGTACAGTTCACACAAAGTTCAGTTCTGATATTTGTATAGTTCTCTCACAGTTCAATTCTGATTTTTGTACAGTTCACGCTCAGTTCAATTCTGAATTTCGTACAGTTCTCTCACAGTTCAATTCTGATTTTTGTACAGTTCACACACAGTTCAGTTCTAAATTTCGTACAGTTCAACACAGTTCAGTTCTGATTTTCGTACAGTTCACACACTGTTCAGTTTTGATTTTTGTATAGTTCATTCACACTTCAGTTCTGATTTTCGTACATTTTACACACAGTTCAGTTCTGATTTTCGTACAGTTTAACACAGTTCAGTTCTGATTTTCGTACAGTTCACACACAGTTCAGTTCTGATTTTCGTACAGTTCACACACTGTTCAGTTCTGATTTCCGTACAGTTCACACACAGTTCAGTTCTGATTTTTGTTCAGTTCTACACAGTTCAGTTCTGATTTTCGTACAGTTCACACACAGTTCAGTTCTGATATTTGTATAGTTCTCTCACAGTTCAATTCTGATTTTTGTACAGTTCACGCTCAGTTCAATTCTGAATTTCGTACAGTTCTCTCACAGTTCAATTCTGATTTTTGTACAGTTCACACACAGTTCAGTTCTAAATTTCGTACAGTTCAACACAGTTCAGTTCTGATTTTCGTACAGTTCACACACTGTTCAGTTTTGATTTTTGTATAGTTCATTCACACTTCAGTTCTGATTTTCGTACATTTTACACACAGTTCAGTTCTGATTTTCGTACAGTTTACACAGTTCAGTTTCTGATTTTCGTACAGTTCACACAGTTCAGTTCTGATTTTCGTACAGTTCACACACTGTTCAGTTCTGATTTTCGTACAGTTCACACACAGTTCAGTTCTGATTTTTGTTCAGTTCTACACAGTTCAGTTCTGATTTTCGTACAGTTCACACACAGTTCAGTTCTGATATTTGTATAGTTTTCTCAAAGTTCAGTTCTGATTTTTGTACAGTTCACACACAGTTCAGTTCTGTTTTTCATACAGTTCAACACAGTTCAGTTGAACGATATTAGTCTTAGGAAGCCATTTTCAGCATCTTAAAACAGTTTTTGAACAAAGGGGTAAGCCTTTCCATTTTGGTCAATTTTGACGACTTTTTCAACTTTTCAAAAAGTGTCTCAAAATGCTCTAAAATGAAATATTAGTCTTAGGAAGCTTTTTTTAGGATTTTAAAACAGTTTTTGAAAAGTTCAAAAAGTTGTCAAAATTGACCAAAATGGTAAGGGGTAAGCCATTTTGATTACTTTTTCAACTTTTCAAAAAGTGTCCTAAAATGCTCTAAAATGAAAGATATTAGTCTTAGGAAGCTATTTTTAGCATTTTAAAACAGTTTTTGAAAAGTTGAAAAAGTCGTCAAATTGAATAAAATGGTAAGGGGTAAGCCTTACCATTTTGGTCAATTTTGACGACTTTTTGAACATTTAAAAACTGTTTTAAATGCTAAAAATAGCTTCCTAAGACTAATATCTTTCATTTTAGAGCATATTTGGTTATTTTGATCAATGGTTCAAAAACTGTCTTAAATGCTAAAAATGGCTTCCAAAGACTAATATCTTTCATTTTATATCATATTGGTTGGTTTTTTGAACATTGAAAAAGTCGTCAATTTTGCCTTTAAGTATTGAAATGTATTATTTTATGGCACGTATCAACACACAATGCGGTGGCCTAGTGGTTAAGAATCCTGGAAGGGTAAGTGTAATTTTTCCCACCTAAATTGCTATTTAATTTAAAATTCTTCGAATAGGATTTAGTAAATAAAAAACAAGAACTATTGATAAATGATGCTGTGGCCCAGTGGTTAAGACTACCGGCTACCAGGTTGTGAACCTAGGTTCGAATCCTGCCTGAAAAAAGTTCGATTTTTCCCACCGAAATTATTCTTTAATTTAAACTTTATCGAAAAGGATTAGGTCAAATAAAGAACAATAGCTTTCAACAAATGATGCGGTGGTCTAATGGTTAAGACGTTCGTCTCTCAATCCGAGGACTAATGCTTCAACTCCTGGCAATGCAACAAAATTAGCCTAAAAATTTCAGTGTGACTTAGAATGTTTTAAAACAGTTAAAATACTTCTCGGCCTTTGCAAAAGACAGTAAATTGGAAAAATTTGAAATATAAAACCAAAAAAAATCTATCGCCTTCAAAAGTACCTGAAAATTGAAAGAAAAGCACAGAAAAAAAAGAGTTCTAAAAACACGAATCTTCTAAAAAGCCTGAAAATGAAGAACGTCGGTCGGGAAAAAAATTAAAAAAATTTAACAATGTCCCGCTTTTAAAAAACTCATGTTTACTTACCTTAATTTTTTTTCACGAAAATTTGACAGGGTGATTTTCTCGAGAGTGAAAAATTTAATTTTTTCACTTTTTTGAAATTCTCTAAGATTTTTTTACGAAGATGTATTTTGTCTTGGGCTAGCTGTGTCAATCTTGGGCTACCTGTGTCTGGCTTGACACAGGTAGCCCAAGACATAATACTTTTTTCGTAAAAAAAATCTCAGAGATAAACTAGAGATATAAAAGAAAAAATAGAAAATAAACCAGAGACACAAGACAAAATCAAGTTTTTTCTAAAACTTTTCAAAAAACATTTAGAAAATACTTAGAGAAAACATTAAGAAGAAACTAGAGAAAAAAACTAAGCAGAAAATAGAAAAAACTAGAAAAATAGAAGAAAAAACCAGAGAAAAGAAAACTAACTAGAAAAACTAGAAAAAAAACTAGAGAATAAAAGACAAGAGAAAAAAGAAAAAAACTAGAGAAATAGAAGAAAAAACCGAAAAAAACTAACTAGAAAAACAAACAAGAGAAAACATTAAGAAAAAACTAGAGAAAACACTAAGTAGAAAAATAGAAAAAAAACTCGAGAAATAGAAGAAAACCAGAGAAAAGAAAACTAACTAGAAAACTAGAGAAAAAAAGAAAGAAACATTAGGAAAAAACTAGAGAAAAAACTAAGTAAAAATAAAAAAACTAGAGAAAAAGAAGAAAAACCAGAGAAAAGAAACTAACTAGAAAACTACACAAAAAAACTAGAATAAAAGACATGAGAAAATAGAAAAAACTAGATAAATAAAAGAAAAAATAGAGAAATAGAAGAAAAACTAAAGAAAAAAAAACTAGAGCTATCGAAGAAAATACTAACAGATTTAATTTAGAAAATACTAAAAATACTAAGAGGTTCAACTTAGAATTGTCAGTCACACAGAAGAACTTGCAAAATAAACTAACTAGACTAACTAGAAAACTAGAGAAAAAAACAAAGAAAAACATTAGGAAAAAACTAGAGAAAAAAAATAAATAGAAAAAAAACTCGAGAAATAGAAGAAAAAACCAGAGAAAGAAAACTAACTAGAAAAACTACAGAAAAAACTAGAGAATAAAGACAAGAGAAAATAGAAAAAAACTAGATAATAAAAGAAAAATAGAGAAATAGAAGAAAAACTAGAGAAAAAAAAACTAGAGCTATCGAAGAATACTAAAGATTTAATTTAGAAAAATACTAAAAAAATACTAAGAGGTTCAACTTAGAATTGTCAAGTCACACAGAAGAACTTGCAAATAACTAACTAGACTAACTAGAAAAACTAGAGAAAAAACAAGAAAAAAACATTAGGAAAAAACTAGAGAAAAAAATAAATAGAAAAAAACTCGAGAATAGAAAAAAAACCAAGAGAAAGAAAAAACTAACTAGAAAAACTACAGAAAAAAACTAGAGAATAAAGACAATGAGAAAATAGAAAAAAAACTAGATAAATAAAAGAAAAAATAGAGAAATAGAAGAAAAAACTAGAGAAAAAAAAACTAGAGCTATCGAAGAAAATACTAACAGGTTTAACTTAGAAAAATACTAAAAAATATTAAGAGGTTCAACTTAGAATTGTCAAGTCACACAGAAGAACTTGCAAAATAAACTAACTAGACTAACTAGAAAAACTAGAGAAAAAACAAGAAAAAAACATTAGGAAAAAACTAGAGAAAAAAATAAATAGAAAAAAACTCGAGAAATAGAAGAAAAAACCAGAGAAAGAAAACTAACTAGAAAAACTACAGAAAAAAACTAGAGAATAAAAGACAAGAGAAAATAGAAAAAAAACTAGATAAATAAAAGAAAAAATAGAGAAATAGAAGAAAAAACTAGAGTAAAAAAAACTAGAGCAATCGAAGAAAATACTAACAGGTTTAACTTAGAAAAATACTAAAAAATATAGAGGTTTAATTTAGAATTGTCAAGTCACACAGAAGAACTTGCAAAATAAAAACACTAACACCATCAGACGAAAAAGGTTTATTTCTTAAACTTTACAAAGAAAAAAGATTTATAAATCCAAGTTTTGAAAATTGTCACATTATTCATAACATTTCACACTAAAAAATATTAATCAATGAAACTGGGTGCCTTTCAACTTTCTTCAACACCAAAGAAAAAAGAATTTCATCAAAAAATAATAAGAGAAATATATTTAGAAAAAATACTAATACTAAGAAGAAATTAAAGAGAAAGAAGTATGAGAAAAAGCCAAAAGCAACTGCTAAAATATTTTCAATTGTGAGGAAGCACAGGGAAAAACATGCAAAATCAAAACACCAACACCACCAGACAAAAAAGTTTACTTCTTAAACATTACAAAGAAAATTTTCTCTTTATAAATCCAAGTTTAGAAAATTGTCACATAATTGATCACATTTCACACATGTTATCACACACTAAAATATTCAATGAATCTAGGATAGGGCTAAAATAATTCAGGTTCTTCTGGGGTGCCTTTCAACTTTCTTCAACTTCATTCATTCTAAAGAGAAAAAGCATTTCATCAATCCTTTTACGCAAAAGTTGTTTTTTCAACCTGACATCATTATTAAAGATATTACTCATTATCTTACTTTAGCCATCTTTCATGGATAGACAATACATTCGTGAATGCATTTTGTTTTATGCCAATTATATTTAGCTGTTTTCAATAAAAAGAATGTGTCACATGCATATATTCAACCCAGAAATATGTCACTATTTAATTTGAACACAGAAAAACTGGGTACCACCCTTCTGAGTACTACAGAATATAAATCACATGGAAATCAGAAAAATTTCTCCCAAGTTTAAATAGTAATTGCTGGTCTTTTTCATGGATATTTATTGTAAGACCACCACAGGAATTATAGTAATCAGCCAGACTTGTTCAGCTGTTATAGCATTAAGTTTCATCATTGGTTTCACACATGGTGACCATAGAAGCAAATTTCAATTTATTGTTGTCATCTCAACAATGTAGTGGTTTTTTAAATCAAATGCTGACCATCCATGACAAAATCAAATTACCTCAGTGCAGATCTTGTTCACTTTCAATCAATGTACATCTGACAGTAAAGTTCATATCCACGACTCATGTTGCACTCTTGACCAGGGAAATCTTGAATATTACAAGAACAAATGATTAATATAAAATTGCATTTTCAACTATCTTAATTATTGTCTAGTTTTTGGTCAGGCATTCTATGGTTACTTCATCCCTCTATATAAATATGCTATATTTATTCAAAGCCCACCACAGGAATTTATCATTGGTGACCACATAGAGAGCATAGAAGCAAAGTTCACTTAGCAATCCTAACAAAATTGTGACTGCCTGACGATTTTAATGAAGATCCTAGTTGCAGCAAATTCCCCCTTATACTAATACAAAATATATATCTGGGCGGTGATATATATTACAAGGTCACTACAAAATTTCAGCTGCAAGGCTAATAGAAATTTTGAGAACAATCAAAATTACTCTGCAAAAATCTTGTTCACTTCCAATTTTCCTCTCACAGTAAAGTCCATATCCAGAGCAGCTAATGTGGCTGGTTGCACTCTTGATCAATGAAAATCTTGAATATATAAAGAAGTTATTATTAAGACAAAATTCCATTTTCAACTATCTTATTATTGTCTGTTTTTCGTCAGGTATTCTATGGTTACTTCACCTTCTAATATAACTATGGTTGCTATATTTATTCAAGACCAGCACAGGAATTTATTACTGGTGACACATAGTGAGTATAGAAGCAAAGTTCACTTTATAATCATAACAAAATTGTGACTGCCTGAGATTTTCATGAAGATCCTAGTTGCAAAATTCCCCCTTATACTAAATAACAAAATATATATCTGGGCGGTTGATATATATTACAAGGTCACTACAAGAATTTCAGCTGCAAGGCTAATATAAATTTTGAAGGAACAACCAAATTACCTCTGCAAAAATCTTTTTCACTTCCAATTTTCCTCTGACAGTAAAGTCCATATCCACAGCAGCTAACGTATCTGGTTGCACTCTTGATCAAGGAAAATCTTGAATTATAAGAAGTTATTATTAAGACAAATTCCATTTTCAACTATCTTAATTATTGTCTAGTTTTTCGTCAGGTATCTATGGTTACTTCATCCCTCTATATAAACTATGGTTGCTATATTTATTCAAAGACCAGCACAGGAATTATTACTGGTGACACATAGTGAGTATAGAAGCAAAGTTCACTTTATAATCTTAACAAAATTGTGACTGCCTGACGATTTTCATGAAAAAGATCCTAGTTAAAGCAAATTCCCCCTTATACTAAATAACAAAATATATATCTGGGCGGTTGATATATATTACAAGGTCACTACAAGAATTTCAGCTGCAAGGCTAATATAAATTTTGAAGGAACAACCAAATTACCTCTGCAAAAATCTTTTTCACTTCCAATTTTCCTCTGACAGTAAAGTCCATATCCACAGCAGCTAACGTGGCTGGTTGCACTCTTGATTCAAGGAAAATCTGGAATATATAAAGAAGTTATTATTAAGACAAAATTCCATTTTCAACTATCTTAATTATTGTCTAGTTTTTCGTCAGGTATTCTATGGTTACTTCATCCCTCTATATATAACTATGGTTGCTATATTTATTCAAAGACCAGCACAGGAATTTATTACTGGTTACACATAGTGAGTATAGAAGCAAAGTTCACTTTATAAATCTTAACAAAATTGTGACTGCCTGACGATTTCATGAAGATCCTAGTTGCAGCAAATTCCCCCTTATACTAAATAACAAAAATATATCTGGGCGGTTGATATATATACAAGGTCACTACAAGAATTTCAGCTGCAAGGCTAATATAAATTTTGAAAAACAATCAAATTACCTCTGCAAAAATCTTTTTCACTTCCAATTTTCCTCTGACAGTAAAGTCCATATCCACAGCAGCTAATGTGGCTGGTTGCACTCTTGACCAAGGAAAATCTTGAATATATAAAGAAGTTATTATTAAGACAAAATTCCATTTTCAACTATCTTAAATATTGTCTAGTTTTTCGTCAGGTATTCTATGGTTACTTCATCCCTCTATATAAACTATGGTTGCTATATTTATTCAAAGACCAGCACAGGAATTTATTACTGGTTACACATAGTGAGTATAGAAGCAAAGTTCACTTTATAATCTTAACAAAATTGTGACTGCCTGACATTTTCATGAAGATCCTAGTTGCAGCAAATTCCCCCTTATACTAAATAACAAAATATATATCTGGGCGTTGATATGTATTACAAGGTCACTACAAGAATTTCAGCTGCAAGGCTAATATAAATTTTGAAGGAACAATCAAATTACCTCTGCAAAAATCTTGTTCACTTCCAATTTTCCTCTGACAGTAAAGTCCATATCCACAGCAGCTAATGTGGCTGGTTGTCTCTTGACCAAGGAAATCTTCAATATATAAAGAAGTTATTATTAAGACAAAATTCCATTTTCAACTATCTTAAATTGTCTAGTTTTTCGTCAGGTTTCTATGGTTACTTCATCCCTCTATATATAACTATGGTTGCTATATTTATTCAAAGACCAGCACAGGAATTTATTACTGGTGACACATAGTGAGTATAGAAGCAAAGTTCACTTTATAATCTTAACAAAATTGTGACTGCCTGACGATTTTCATGAAGATCCTAGTTGCAGCAAATTCCCCCTTATAATAAATAACAAAATATATCGGGCAGGTTGATATGTATTACAAGGTCACTACAAGAATTTCAGCTGCAAGGCTAATAGAATTTTGAAGGAACAATCAAATTACCTCTGCAAAAATTTTTTCACTTCCAATTTTCCTCTGACAGTAAAGTCCATATCCAGCAGCTAATGTGGCTGGTTGCTCTTGACCAAGAAAATCTTGAATATATAAAGAAGTTATTATTAAGACAAAATTCCATTTTCAACTATCTTAATTATTGTCTAGTTTTTCGTCAGGTATTCTATGGTTACTTCATCCCTCTATATATAACTATGGTTGCTATATTTATTCAAAGACCAGCACAGGAATTTATTACTGGTGACACATAGTGAGTATAGAAGCAAAGTTCACTTTATAATCTAACAAAATTGTGACTGCCTGACGATTTTCATGAGATCCTAGTTGCAGCAAATTCCCCCTTATAGTAAAAACAAAATATATATCTGGGCGGTTGATATATATACAAAGGTCACTACAAGAATTTCAGCTGCAGGCTAATATAAATTTTGAAGGAACAATCAAATTACCTCTGCAAAACTTGTTCACTTCCAATTTTCCTCTGACAGTAAAGTCCATATCCACAGCAGCTAATGTGGCTGGTTGCACTCTTGACAAGGAAAATCTTGAATATATAAAGAAGTTATTATTACGACAAAATTCCATTTTCAACTATCTTAATTATTGTCTAGTTTTTCGTCAGGTATTCTATGGTTACTTCATCCCTCTATATATAACTATGGTTGCTATATTTATTCAAAGACCAGCACAGGAATTTATTACTGGTGACACATAGTGAGTATAGAAGCAAAGTTCACTTTATAATCTTAACAAAATTGTGACTGCCTGACGATTTTCATGAAAAAGATCCTAGTTGCAGCAAATTCCCCCTTATAATAAATAACAAAATATATATTCGGGCAGTTGATATGTATTACAAAGTCACTACAAGAATTTCAGCTGCAAGGCTAATAGAAATTTTGAAGGAACAATCAAATTACCTCTGCAAAAATTTTGTTCACTTCCAATTTTCCTCTGACAGTAAAGTCCATATCTACAGCAGCTAATGTGGCTGGTTGCTCAATTGACCAAGGAAAATCTTGAATATATAAAGAAGTTATTATTAAGACAAAATTCCATTTTCAACAATCTTAATTATTGTCTAGTTTTCGTCAGGTATTCTATGGTTACTTCATCCCTCTATATATAACTATGGTTGCTATATTTATTCAAAGACCAGCACAGGAATTTATTACTGGTGACACATAGTGAGTATAGAAGCAAAGTTCACTTTATAATCTTAACAAAATTGTGACTGCCTGACGATTTTCATGAAGATCCTAGTTGCAGCAAATTCCCCCTTGTACTAAATAACAAAATATATATCTGGGCGGTTGATATATATTACAAGGTCACTACAAGAATTTCAGCTGCAAGGCTAATAGAAATTTTGAAGGAATAATCAAATTACCTCTGCAAAAATCTTTTTCACTTCCAATTTTCCTCTGACAGTAAAGTCCATAACCACAGCAGCTAATGTGGCTGGTTGCACTCTTGATCAAGGAAAATCTTGAATATATAAAGAAGTTATTATTAAGACAAAATTCCATTTTCAACTATCTTAATTATTGTCTAGTTTTTTCGTCAGGTATTCTATGGTTACTTCATCCCTCTATATATAACTATGGTTGCTATATTTATTCAAAGACCAGCACAGGAATTTATTACTGGTGACACATAGTGAGTATAGAAGCAAAATTCACTTTATAATCTTAACAAAATTGTGACTGCCTGACGATTTTCATGAAAAAGATCCTAGTTGCAGCAAATTCCCCCTTATAATAAATAACAAAATATATATCGGGCATATATATTACAAGTCACTACAAGAATTTCAGCTGCAAGGCTAATATAAATTTTGAAGAAACAATCAAATTACCTCTGCAAAAATCTTTTCACTTCCAATTTTCCTCTGACAGTAAAGTCCATATCTACAGCAGCTAATGTGGCTGGTGCACTCTTGACCAAGGAAAATCTTGAATATATAAAGAAGTTATTATTAAGACAAAATTCCATTTTCAACTATCTTAATTACTGTCTAGTTTTTCGTCAGGTATTCTATGGTTACTTCATCCCTCTATATATAACTATGGTTGCTATATTTATTCAAAGACCAGCACAGGAATTTATTACTGGTGACACATAGTGAGTATAGAAGCAAAGTTCACTTTATAATCTTAACAAAATTGTGACTGCCTGACGATTTTCATGAAGATCCTAGTTGCAGCAAATTCCCCTTATACTAAATAACAAAATATATATCTGGGCGGTTGATATATTACAAGGTCACTACAAGAATTTCAGCTGCAAGGCTAATATAAATTTTGAAGGAACAATCAAATTACCTCTGCAAAAATCTTGTTCACTTCCATTTTCCTCTGACAGTAAAGTCCATATCCACAGCAGCTAATTGGCTGGTTGCACTCTTGATCAATGAAAATCTTGAATATATAAAGAAGTTATTATTAAGACAAATTGCCTGACGATTTTCATGAAAAAGATCGTAGTTGCAGCAAATTCCCCCTTATAATAAATAAAAAAATATATATCCGGGCAGTTGATATGTATTACAAAGTCACTACAAGAATTTCAGCTGCAAGGCTAATATAAATTTTGAAGGAACAATCGAATTACCTCTGTGCAGAAATCTTGTTCACTTCCAATGTTCATTTGAAAGTAAAGTTCATATCCACAGTTAATGTTGCACTCTTGTCCAAGAAAAATCTTGAATATAAAAAGACATTATTAATATAAAATTCTATTTTCAACTATCTTAATTACTGTCTAGTTTTTGGTTAGGTAATCTATGGTTACTTCATCCTTCTATATATAACTATGGTTGCTATATTTACTTCAAGACCACCACAGGAATTTATTACTGGTGACACATAGTGAGTATAGAAACAAAGTTCACTTAGCAATCTTAACCAAATTGTGACCGCACTGACAATTTTCATGAAAAAGATCCTAGTTGCAGCAAATTCCCTCTTATACTATTGAAATAACAAAATACATACCCAGGCAGTTGATATGTATTACAAGGTAGTGACAAGATTTTCAGCTGCAAGGCTAATATAAATTTAGAAGAAACAATCGAATTACCTCTGTGCAGAAATCTTGTTCACTTCCAATGTTGACCAAGGAAAATCTTTAATATAATAAGACATTATTAATATAAAATTGCATTTATAACTACCTTAATTATTGTCTAGTTTTAGCAGAAGGCACACAAACAGTAAAGTAAAATACTTAACTTTGACCAGACAGCACAACAATCTTGCTCAGAAAGGTCCGCGAACGGTCCACGTGTATAGTTTTCTTCGGCATCGCCATTTTGAATTCGGCCGGGCGAGTCTTGAACTGATTTCTATTTCAACTGTTCTCTTGACGTTCGTCTTGATAACTAGCTGTTGAGATAAACGTTAATGACAAAATCTTCAGTTCTGCTTCAGTCTATGGGTACGAAAATTGCTCAAGACATAAATTTTCAGTAAAAAATTATCATCATTGCAGGCAAAATTAATCTCGAAACTTTAGATAACCTTGTACGCAGAATATTTCATATTGTATATGGTTTTTTGTTATTTCTGACCGACAATTAGCAGAAGGCACACAAACATCAAAGTAAAATACTTAACTTTGACCAGACAGCACAACAATCTTGCTCAGAAAGGTCCGCGAACGGTCCACGTGTATGGGATCGCCATTTTGAATTCGGCGGCGGCGAGTCTTGAACTGATTTCTATTTTCTATTTCAACTGTTCTCTTGACGTTCGTCTTGATAACTGGCTGTTGAGATAAACGTTAATGACAAAATGTTCAGTTCTGCTTCAGTCTATAGGTGCGGAAGTTGCTCATGACATAAATTTTCAGTAAAAAATTATCATCATTGCAGGCAGAATTAAGTTCGAAATTTTAGATAACCTTGTACGCAGAATATTTCATATTGTATATGGCTTTTTGTCATTTCTGGCCAACAATTAGCCGAAGCACACAACATCAAAAGTAAAAATACTTAACTTTGACCAGACAGCACAACAATCTTGCCCAGAAAGGTCTGCGAACGGTCCAGGTGGATGGTTTTCTTTGGCATCGCCATTTTGAATTTGGCCGGGCGAGTCTTCGCATTCATCTTGACAACTAGCTGTTCAGATAAACCTATATACAACGAAAAAAAAGGGTTCGGCTCAGCTACACTGTACTCCTTAAGGAAGGCCTACGGCCTTCCCGTAGATTAGTGTAAAGGCCTACAAGTGGGAACTAGCAGCGTGCGGGGGACCAAAACGCTCTAGGCAAACGGTCCCCCTACTGGGGTCGGACAAAGCAACCGCAGATTACGCATATAATCGCCGGAACCCACCTTTTAGTCAACGGCGAACACCTTCTTCTTCGAACAATCTTCAATCTTGCTGAGCTTCGATCTTGCTGTCCACCTTCGATCGCCACCAATCTAAAGAAATTTTTTTTTAACGTTGAGATTAGTTTCATAGGCAATAATTACCATGTGATCTTAGCAGATCACGTGGTATGATAATGTACGACAACATGCCGATCAACTCCGAACATCATCGTGAGCGATGTTACAATAAACGAATCACTAAACGCCTAGAAAAAAGTTGTCCTTTCCTATATTTCAACCTTTTAAAAGCAGTGCATTCTAGTTTTGTTTTGAAGCACAATTTGTTTTTTGCTTCTAGTTTTTTGGTTTCGTTTTAAAAGGTGAATTGTCTCTGAATTCTTTGTATTTCTGATGTCAAACACTCCTGTTCTTTTTGGTATCATCAATATAAGCTCCTTTGTTTTGGAGACATACAACAGTTTTTTTTATTTTAGCCAAAACATATAGCAGCAATTACAGATTCACTAAGTTCATTCTCATCTTGATTCACAAATTTTTAAAGGACTTGAATCGATTCCATGCGGTCTACAATAGCTGGGCGAACGTCTTACACCTAAAGTCAGTCAAAGATTGTTGTATCTCAATTCTTCAGCTTCAGTGGTTCTTTAGACTTAGCAATAGTTTATTTCCCTTTCTTATCATTGCATTCCAGTTTAAAATTATAGTTTATATTGTATTTCCAGGCATTTATTCCATATTTCCCTTTCTTATCATTGCATTCCGGTTTCAATTTATAGTTTATATTGTCAGACAATAATTGTCTTTCCAGGCATTTATTCCACTACATATCTCCAATATTGTAAAAATGGTTCTTTAAGCCTTCAGATCAAAACATTGGCAAAAACAATCTGAAACACAAAATTAACATCAGACTCTGATAAAACAACATTGAATCAACGTTTAAACAATTCTACT